CTCAGACTGACATCGAGTTGCCATAGCCTGCTGTTGGTGGACTGGCTGACGTGGTCCTAGCTGTACTTGGGCAGAAGATGAGTCCGGAACAGCTTGCCAGCACGGTGTGGGTGCCGAAGGAAGTGCAGGACGGGGCAACAACATCTGTTCTAGCGGCACGCCTTGGAGTGAACAGAGGGGCGAGCCTCTCTGGAGATCGGGCTCAACGGGTAAACCCGGTGATCGTGGCGTCGGAGGGCCTGACCATGCGAGTGCCATAGACGAAGTCGTGCTGGCTGGCGAAGCTGCGGGTAACTGCACGCTGCTTTGAAAGTACCTCCGGAGTTGGGGATCCGAGCTGTTGTTGCCGTTAGCATGGGCCACGTGCTTGGGAAGCGGTAAGTATACAAATCCATCGGTAGGTCTGAGTCCAGCGCACTTGGCGGTGGCCAGCGCGTGGATGCCCATTGCTGCACCCATTCAGGTGCAGCAGGACTCGTCATCCACCCCAACGTGACAGAACCCGTCCTCATCCACTCCAAGGCAGCAGAGTTCACGGATCTGGTTTGCTCTTGATATGAATGCGGTCCATTGCCGCTGCTCAATGTCCGCTCCACGTCACCAGCTGAAACCGAAACAGTGCCACTGGTTCCCTTCCGACCTGCCCATCCTCCCTCCAAACTGGGATCCGCCGTGCTGAATTTCGGCTTCTTGTTAGATAGAGGGGGAACAGTGTGTCTGGCTTGCTTCCGACTGAGCTGCGGTCCGCCGGGAGCTGTGCCTTGAGCGTCCGATTTGCGCTTCTTGCTGTCAACATTGGCACTGTTCAAGGCTTTGCTTCGCTTTACACCTGGTGCGGCCATGGCAGTTTGGATGGTAATGGGTACAGACGGTACAAAGCTTGGTGGATTATGAAGGATGTGGAATTTGGATGGGAAAAAGGTGCTGACGGAATGGATTCCATCCCACTTTAGTGTCAGTGAGGCATGGACGGTGCGCAAAGCGCTCTTTGCGATCTTGAGCTCGAACTGTCATGTCCCGAATAACCCCAGCTCAACAACTCCAGTCTGGAAAGCCAGTAGCGGGACGGAGCCGGGATCGGACAGGGATTGCTCAAACAACAAGCCGAAGGTTGCATCGCCTCATGATGCGGCATGAGGGAACCTAGAGAGGCCGGTCCAGGAACTTGCTTGGGAGCATCCTCAGCTGGCGCTTTCGCTGTGCCTCTTGTTCCCTTGCCCCTCGCTGGTAAGGGCAGTACTCACGGGAACACGCTGTGATGGCCACAGGAAGCAGCCGAGTCTACTGTCTACTTCCGCATTTGTCGTGGTCGTGGCCCAAGGCGCTGTCGTGAAGGCCAAGTCAACTTCGACCCGGCTGTCAGTCTCCCCAGGCAATCCCTTGTGCTGGATCCGAAGAAAACGACACTCTGGACAAAAACTCCGGAAGACTGGGATGCAAAGGCAGGGCTGCATGGATTACCATCAGATCCAAACTCGATTGGCGACGCCATCATTACCTTCTCATCGTCAAGTGCATGCTATCATCGATTTGCTTCTCGGATACCAGGGTCCTGGATCGCGCATCTTGACTGATAAATCACTGCTGGGGCGGGCCCCTGGTGTGACATCCATCAGCTTGCAACCGGACATCCACACCATCCCCGCATCATTTTCGGTGAGCATGATGACAGGGATTGTAGTGCTAGGCGCTGAGGCGGAAACCGGCAAGCCACACATATTGATAGCTCCTTTTAGCCCCTCGGATCTCAGCGTGGGAACCAGTGATTGCTGCTGTGTAATCCATCTGTTGACATTGAAGTCCGGACTAATGTAGCCACTTATGCGAGCATGGGACATCAAGTCCGAGTAGGACGTTCACCGAACGTCCTCCGATGTCCTGCAATTAATAGAGTCGAGCCAGTGGGAGTAACGCCAGGGAAGTGCGCCATGCAAGTAGCTGTTTCATTGGCTCCTGCTTTCGAAAGCCACAACTAACTTTACACCACGGGCAGATCATGTGGAAAGTGGGAAGTCCCCCGCCGTACAGAGTAGCGCGACGACGCAGTCGTGGTCGGCTTCTAGGCCGGATGAGCCGCAAGAGTGTCTTTGAAAAGCGTCAGATGCTGCTGTGTGATTTGCTCATTATTCCGGATAAGCATCTGCACAGTACCACAACAGCATGACTCCCTGAACAACCCCAGGCGAACCGCCAAGTCAAGAAGCATGCCACAAGGCTCGCCTCCCACCACAAGATGCCGCAAACAAGGATTCCCGCCCCGAGGCTGCCAAGGTGGCTACCCACCCACAAGAAGGACCGTAAAACACCGAGACATGCAGTCCAGGGTCCGACCCACCGAAAAGTCAAGATCTGTCGCATCATATACTGTTAGGCATCATGAAAGAGCGCTGACCATCAACAGCCACGGTGTGATGCGGGCTGATTGCACGTCCCTAGCTGGGATTTCCTGTACGGAGTAGGGAGTATGGAGTAAACATCTGGGACTTGCCGTAATTTAGCCTTTGCCCTAGGCGCTGCTAATGCAAGCAGATGTTGAGCGTGGATGATGGCAGCCTCAAGTGAATTGCTCCCTTACAATACCCCACCTGGAAGGTCCTTTGCATGGCCCGATACACGACTGAACCCATGGTCGAATAGTGTTGTCAGAGAACCAAACTCTGTCAAGTTATCGACGGCACTACTAGGCTGCAAACGAAACTGCTTCACAACCGCCCATGCTCTTTAGATCCTCGTCTCGGCGACCCTATTGCAGGCCACTGGCAGGTACCGGGGGACTTGTGCCGTCTGATTGGGGCAAAGCTATATCTTGATCAGTTGACAGGAAATGCGGCTGCCTGATCGATCGCGAGGGAATGATGGTTTGCCCCGGTTGAGAGTACCAAAGCACTGGTCAGATCTGCAGACATGCCACTCTCAGCATGGCCGTCGCAAAGGATGCCAGCCGAATCGTGCTGAAGGCTCATGTCTGAAGGTTTCGAGGAAAAGCTTCGGACGAGCCATAGGGTCTAGGCGGCTCTCAAGCTCACGAGTCCCTGGAGATTCAGCAAAGAAGATCTTTGGATATGACGGCATGGAGGAACAATGACAAGCCGACCACAATTTCACTTCGTCAGGACAGTCATGGTTGAGAATCACGAATCCAGTTCCGAGATGGATTGTGGTTTGCGACCCTAGCCATGTCTGCGTGACCCAACAATAACCCGACGCGGCGAATACTGATATAAGTCCAAGTGTGGTGGAATGTACAGTACGTGATAACGAGCGCTAGAGAAAAGCGGCTGAAACCAGCATTTTGGCACCGGCTGTCAGGGCCAGTGCAGAGCTCGAGGGGAAACAGCTGCCTCTTCGCGATCCAGGTACCGAGTTTGTGACAGATCAGCTTCGCATACCGCAGCAGTAGCGCGTGGCAACGGCAGCGGGTGAGACCCTCCCTAGCCTTCTATTCCTGAGCGCCGCGCTCCGCCGCTATGATTCATAGACTGTGGCTGATAAGGCCAAAATTGGGCTTCAGAGGGATGGCTTGGAGACTGGGATCGCGTTGAATTGAACGTTGTGGCCCCTTGAGCGTCGACGCCTTCAGTTCGGTTGCAAGGTTCGGCAGACAGAGTGGACACCTCAAGCTGTGCTGACATCTGAAAGCGTCTGACTGCGCGGAAGGGCAAGCGCTCGCCTTCTTGACATCTAAAGAAAAAGATTATCGAAGCTGTGAGGAAATCAGGGAGCGGCTGGGTCATACATAAGGTCGAGATTGTGCCACGTGCTGGAGGTAGGCGAGTCAAGGAAGGCAGGGCAGGTGAGGGAGAGTGCCGCAGCGATCATGATTCCATCGAAACTTTCAGAGGACCATTTCTGCTGGTGTGGCGAGGAAGGTGAGGTTGCTACGGGAAAGCTCTCATCATCCGATCAGACGGTAGGCGTCGATGTTGAGATCTGGTCTCAGAGTTGGAGTCACTCGGATCTGATGAAGCTTGGGTGATTGGTATGAGCGATAAGTACGGAGTAACTTGATCTAAATCACACTCCACCATTGCCATGCTGCCAACCTCCTTCATTCCATCTTAGACCAAATTCGACTGACCAGGTGAGCCAAGCTGACATTTGCGAGACGAGGCGTCGGCTGACATGGGCAAGTCTGGGTGTGGTGGACAACGTGGAGGTATTGAATGCGATCGATGTGTTGTCACTTGGCTGGCTTGCTTGGACGCATGCTGCTCGAGAGAATCGTGCTAAGGTCAGCCATAGCTTGTAGCATCCCAAGCCAGACCGTCCTACAAAAGCCAATTGGAGTTTGGGTAGATGCAAAGATATTGTAGTAGTGTACAAATTACTCCATATGACGAGTGGGAAGTGTGTTCTGCCACGGGACAGGATTCGCGGCTGACGGGAGTCTGAAGGCCCTGCTACAGTACTTTAGGTAACTTAGGCGCTGCCAACCGGTGGTGACGCCTAGAGCCTCGCCCGGACTGTAAGGACTACAGTGGCCGGATGGGCGAGGCTAGGTACATAGGGTTGCACGAGGCTGGACGCAACCAACTGCAGCCGAGGTGCGCAGGCACAGCGCAGTCTGATGGCATTGCATTGCCCGTAGGGTTTCTTTAACATTGGATTCGGTTGGTTACTCAGCGCATCGCCAACTTGTGCTGGTGGCGCGACCACGTGTGCACCCCCAAACATGACGACGATGAGTTCATCAGCGTCTCACCTTCACCACTCACCACTCACTCACTCTCATTTTATACTTTCCCAGCCTCCAAACACCGCCCACTTCTGCGACTCCAGCCTGCGTGCACCAGCGCAGTTTGTGGTGTGTCCTGTTCCATTCCTTTCATGTTTCTTTGTTGTATGTAGATTGCACGACGTTCCCGGCTGTTCTGACAGTAAGCCCGAGTCGCCGCCTTAGGTGATCATTCCATGCTATTCGTTCAGCTTCTCAGTTTGCCTCTGCCAACTCTCGTGTCACCTTGACCTCGCTCAACCCATTCTTTCGCAAAGAAGCAAGCATGGATCCCACTATGCCGACTATCGAGGGGATCGAGGCCGACCTTGAAATGAACGACGCACCCGCCTATGTTGAGCCTCCTGCTCGTATAGCTGCGCGCTTCTATCGGAGATCTTCCTCGCGCCGGCGATCCTCTGCCAATTCCTCCCGCCGAAGCTCCTTGTCCTCGATCCATTCGCATTCCTCGGTGCTCTCGAGCCATGGGGGCCCCCACAGCACACATATCGCCCAGCACCTTCGACGAGCCTCAATCATTGAATCCAGAAAGGCTCGTCTTGCAGACAGGGCCGCACACGCGGAGCAGGTCAGATTACGTGCGGCCGCTGCGAAGGCGGCGCAAAGGGTCTCATACAGCGAAGAGAAGACTCTGGCTGCACAGGCGGCGCGTGAGAAGTTGCTCGCCGATATTGCAGCGCGGTGTGAAGAGGAGGTAAGGCGGGCGAAAAAGATCGCCGAAGAGACCAGGGAGAAAAGGGCCGCCGAAATGGCAAGACTTAAGGAAGAAATGGCCGAGAAGTACGCTGAGGCAGACAGAAGGAGGACCGTGTACCAGCAGGGAGTGCGGAGGCCACGCACCACTTCTCTTGCGGCAGTCGAGGAGAAGAAAGTCGCTCCGGCAGCTCTAAAGCGTTCAGACCGTGTCTACGCCGCAAAAGTCATTCAACGGTCATGGAGACGCCACCGCAAACGCGAGATCCTTGCAAACTTCTCTGCTCTGGAGCTGAACTTGACGCGAGCTAGGACAATCACTTTTGAAGAGTTGACACGATTTATCTCAGAGCAACGGACCACTGCCGCCACCACGTCAGTACTAAAGTACCTCGGGGTCATAGATGCAGACCAAGGTACAACAGGAACTGTGCGGGTTTTCCTCAGCGGGTATTTGATTGCCGCACACCCGGTGCAAGCCTTCAGTCACGGTGGAAGTCAACCACAGGAGCAGACTGTGCTGACCAAAGCTGAATCGCTCGTTCACATTTTCGAGGCTTGTATCAAGATATTGATTTCGGGGTCGCCCACGGCTTCCCTTCAGTCAGGCAAGGACGCTCTCTCTTTCGCTCTGAACGACTTTATTTCAACCTTCCATGCTTGGAAGAGCCAGGACCTGGGAGTCCTTGTTGATATTATGGTCAGTTCATTTGTCAATCTGGATCTTATTCTGCAAGCCACCAAAAACGATCATGATGGTCACGTGGCCGAAGACTATCTCGATGCTGTGCGACAGGAGCAAGTCAAATTGCTTGCTCGTCTGAAGAGGCTCGCGGGCCCAGAAGAAGCGCTTTCAAGGGTCCGTGTTGCCGTGAGAAAGGCTCGCAAGCAAAGGGCGTCTGAAATGCGACAGCAAGGGGTTAAGCAAGTCCCTCGAGGATCGACGCCTGTCAGTAGAGATGGCGCAACTCCTTCAGGGGCCCTCATGACGCCCCCTTCAACTCCACAGCCTGCTCAACAAGGTGTAGACGCGAAAAGTCCGGTCTTTGCCGACAGCCTCTCCAGAATAATGACTGTGCTGCCGTCGAATCGCGAGATTGCGCATGAGATGTTGATCAATGGCAGTTTTGAGGTGCAGCAGCGACCCTGGACGAATGCGCACAAAGGCTTCGTGGATTTACTTCGAACCAGCATGCGTAACAGCATGCAAAGCGGGAGCAATGCAGCCACTACGAGGTGGACCCATGCTATGGCAGTTCTCATTCGTGAGAAATTGATGAATCTGATCAGCCCACGGCATCCCCTCTACGAGCGAGTGGACGGTCTTCTGGATCCACAGTTAATCGCCCAACAGTCTCGCAATGGCATGTTTTCATATGAGTCGTTCTTCGCGACAATTGCAGGTCTCATTTCGCAGATTTGTTCCCCTGGCCGGGACGAGCTTGTCAGATCATTTGCAACAAATACCTCCGACGATATCATCGATCGTCTTTTTCAGCTAATCAATATTGTTGACCTAATGACGCTGGACCACATCAACTTTCAATTCCGGTTGGCGTCGCAGGCGGTGCTTGAGCACGGGCACGAGCACGAAATGGCGTCTTTCGAGCGAGATCTTGACCAAGGTTTGCATACGCTCGAACGAACGAAGCGTTGGTGGGCGGATGCCAAATTAGTGATAACCGGACAAAATCCAAGTGGCAATGCCATCTACGCAAGGGGGCTGTCAGAACTCGTTCTACGCAACTCACATTTGAGCTCTAGCGATCTGCCGGAAACACTGCATTTGGACTCCGTTCGCCTACTGAAACTGAGAGCTCGCGCGTTCCAGATGATAGCCGTCTCATCGATCCTTCTCACCACCAAAATTCGACTGAGGCGCAACAGGGAATCACTCTGGACGAAAGATGCAGATCGGCTGATGTCGTTGGATCTTGTGACGGTTGATCCCAGTCGAGTAGTCTCGCTGGTCGAGACGTCACACATGATGCCTGAAGCTACCAAAGAGGGTTTGTCCAACTTTGTTGGGCGAGTTCTCCCTGCAGCCGTTGCTGCAGCCAAAAATGCGAGCGCGGCGGAGCAGACTGGGGAGGATGCGGTTCACGGTCACAGCACAGATGTCCCTGCCGAAATTTCCACAGGAGACGTCTTCAGCGAGCAGATTGCTTGTTTTCTCCTCAAATCTCTCCGAGAGCATGTGTTTGCCAGGCTCGCCGCTAGTGGCACAGCTGAGCGGGTAAGAACCACAACGAGTGCGGCGGAAGTGCTAGCCAGGGCGGGCATGCCAGAGTTCTTGGCAGAGGTCAATCGCCTGGTCGACTCGCTCGACAAGATACGGTCGGTCGATCTGAAAAGCCATGAGAAATGGTATGATCTACTGTCGGCCGAGGCTGCTTAAGAGTCTACGATCACTGCATATATGATGGGCACGCGGTACGAACGAGCATACGTCAAGCAGGGCTTCGGAGCTTGCTGGATGGTGCATTTCTTCGACGATTGTATATAGTATATGCCATTACGAGACTTGTCATGCTTTGAGACGTACACAAACTTGCATTTGAGAACTGGGCCAAACACTCAGTTCAGTACAATAACTGGAGGCGTTGGGAGAGCCGTTTCTACTTTTGGCTGAAGCTTGAGAATTCTTCAGACAAACAGATTTCCAGAATTTATCATCACGTCGCTTTCAATCCTCCTTCTGGTGCATGGCTTGTGGTTCTAACGCAACTTGAGATGAGATCATGGCGCGCGAAGATGAGCCAGGCGCCCTTCAATATTTGCCTGGTGAGGTGCTGAACTCAAGAGCGCGAAGCTCTTATTAGGTCCGTCGCAACACATCTACATCCTGGGATATGGGGAGGTCACGAATATGTTGCTATCCATGTTTTGTCGCATCCAGGCTTCACATACCAATCTCTGCTCCGATCACAAGGACAACATCTTTACGAGTGTCATGGTATGGCATGGCGCTTCACCCGCTCCCCGCGCGTTACAGGCCAGGGTACAAAGCATTATCACGCATTGAATCTCTGCAGACCGCAGTCACCAAATTATTCTTACCGCAGAGACCAAGCAAGTCCAAGCGAGTCGACGTGGAAGCAAGGTGTCGGCCGATGGGTTGCACGTCGGCGCCCTTATTGAAACTTCACAAATTCCTTAGCGTCAAGAGGAATAATCAACCCGAGTTAGCGATCGTGCATAACATATCTGCAGAGCTTCCTGTATTGAGCTCTTACAGGTGGTTTGAGGCTCTGGCAGAGTCGCTAATGGTACTGTACAGATGCTGATCTTCATTGCTTGGACTTTAGCAGAGACCAGGGTGAGCTGGGGCCTGACTTGCCACTATATGCACCTTCTTCTGAGGAGGAACTCGAGAATATTGACCATATGCAGCTCGTCATCAATGCTTTGAGAAGGAGGGACTCTCGCGCACGGACGGGAGGATCGACCCCGTGGACCCTGGTGTTCTCAAGGAGTCCACCACATCCAGATGGGACAATGTCTCACAACCGCCGTCAGCGAAGAAGACAAAAATGGTGTGGAGAAGACTTGGTTATCGCAAGATTAGCCAGAGGTGTCTGCTTTATCAGTCCGTCATCATTGCGGGCTTGACTACATGCGCGAGCTTCGAACATCGATGGAGCGCGGCAGGACTTGCATCAGGTTACCCGCACTAGCTGTGGATGTCCAGGTGCTCTCGCACCCAGCATTGGATCTGCAAAGATGCAGTCCGACTTCCCTTTGGCTGGAGCAGCGGGTAATGGTGTGCTGGAAGTTTGGCAACTATATGCTGCAGCATCTCATCGTCGGCGTCGATCAGACCAATCTCAGCACTCCCACAAAAGCAGGGCCAATATTCTGCACCAGGGCATGAGGTGATGTGAACCACGAATGATCGGGCAGCCTGATGACCAGCGACGCTCATTCCATCTTTGAAGCTGTGCTCGCGGAGTCGTGACGTAGGAAAAATCCAGGGCGAGCTGGAGACGGGACAGTGCATGGACCAACCTGGATAGAGCCAGATCCTCATGCTTCAGGCGATGGTACAGGCTGGATTCGCCTAGTTTGTGTCGTCAAGTCCACGCATGGTATTCGGTTCTCTGCAGGTTTGAATGCCAATTAGGCGCAAACACGGCCCTGACGGAGGAGCTCCCCTTTATCCCTTCCTATCTCCCCCTTGCAGCCGGGGAAGCTGCCGCAAAGCCGTGCAAGGATGGGAAGGTGGCTCTGAGCGCTTGATCGATTTCAGCCAAAGCTCCGACACCGAGCACTATTCTGCAGTATCGTTCTGTATAGCGCGATTTAGGCGAGATTTTCCCACGATCGATCACGACCTGCCGATTTCAGTACCCAAAGTCAGATTCCCATCCACCAGCATGTAGGATCGCAAGAGGCTAGTAGACGAGATTCCCGCCTCATGGGTGTGGACCATCTTGAGAAAATCCGACCCTCGCAGGAAGTCAAATCAAGCGAGCTGGTTTGACACTGGCTAAACTAGCGCAATCGATGGGCTGCTGGCTCAACCGAGGGGGCTGTGGAGACTCGGGAGTCGGGGGGGTGGCAGGAACCATGGATGATCCAAGGATCCAGTACGCAACAACCTCGTACCCGTGCAGAGCCCAGTCTGGAGCACTGGGACTTGTGTAACGCAGTAGGCATGAAGTGCGCGGAGTGCGCGGGCGAACCGTCCACTTTTTCGATGTCCTCGTGCCGTCCAGTGTCGCAACTCGCATAACCAGGAGCTGCAACTTCGAGCCGAGGCAGCCTTCAGCTTCCACCACAATTTTCACGTAGCCTTGTTCCTGATCCAAGGCATCTCTTGGGCTTCCAACGTGCTGGCGAGTGGCAGAACCCGTCCATCCAGTGCGTCACGGCCCTGTTTCCCCCCTGCGCCGATCAATCTGATATCAATTCCCGCTGATTGACGTTAAACTCGATGCGACTGGCACATGACTTGAACCAGACGCAGCAACGGTGCTAGCGGGGACCCTAGTCCAAGATGAGAGTAGCGCGCTCTAACCATGTTCAGACTAGCGCAGACACAACCCGCGTACGCATCCAACACGCAAGGCAATTCCGCCAATTCGATGCAAAGCTGGACTATTTTCCTTAAACCTTGGTGACCTCCCTCGTATCGTCCTGAATGACAGAGCTCCGAAGTGTCAGTGGCACTGAGATGGACCTATGGCGCACTCTTACCTTGCCGAATTTAGCTTTGTCGAGCACGGCTAAGCAGACGTGGCGGGGAGCTGAACTGCCCCGACTTTCGGCTCCACCGCGGTTCGACACGGTTCAGCCGTTGCCTCGTTGCTCTGAATCTCGGAGTCGATTCTGCCAGGAGACCTTGGCAGCCTGCGAGGAACAGGAGCGAAGAATATAACATGAAGGTCTCCGATGGCATCACCGATGCTGACAGACAGCACAGATCTTCCTCGCCTTTCTTCGCCGTTCAGACATGCAGACAATTCCCGAGTTCACAGGGCCCCAATTCCCCTTCTCCACGGCTCCTGGCGCGGCTAAGGCCTATGCTGTTGTGCACTATAACTTCAACCTTGGCCGAGACATGCCCCCAACCCTGATCGCCATTCCACGGCATGAAAAGGACGTCCGCACCGCCATCAGGTACGCAAGGCGAAACGGATACCGCATCTCAGTCTTCACGGGCGGCCACTATTACGATGGCGGAGTCCACGCCTCAACAAAGCCAGACGTCCAGCTCAACCTCACCCTGACGTACATAGGCCCGAAACATGTTGGTCTCGCGACGTCAAAGCGATGGGTTCCGTACAGAACCAAGAATCAACTCTGGGTCGGCGTCACCCAGAGTATCGGAGATATCAACCGGATTCTTCGTGAAGACGGCCGCTTCCTGCCTCACGGACAATGCGCTGATGTACAACTTGTTGGTCATGGCCAGAGAGGTGGAGGTGGCCAACTCGCGCGAAGCTTCGGCCTGCTGGGAGATCGCATCCGCGCCATCCGAATACTCAACCACACCGGGGAGAGTGAAATGATCACTACGTGCGACCCGAAAGCCCACGCCATCTTGGGAGGCATTGCGGGATCCTTTGGCGTCATCACGCACTACTCATTACAAGCCTTTGCCGACAAAGACTACGACTTCCCTGACACAAACGCCCGGCCGCACGGCTTCAAAGGAGTTTGGCGATACAACCAGCGTGCCTTGAAGCTGCTTTTGAACGAGGTGGCCGCAATGGCTGACGACTCATCCCTGCCGCCAAACTTTGATCTTTCCGTCAACGTGTTCAGCGCCTCGTTTCCTATGCTCCGGCTGATTCCAAAGCTGAAGGACAACCCATACAATCCCGTCGAGAGCATAGCTGGTGAACAGCCCGGTCAGCCAGACACCACATGGCCCGCCTGCATCGTCGTGTTTGCGCAGTGGGTCCCTATGAGCCGGCAGGATAGGTATACTGGCCAGGTCGATGCATGGTTCCAGAAGCTCCGAGACCTTACCACGGTCAAGAACTGCTGCATACACACTGAAGAACTTGTACAGCCCATGTCCGCGATGACAGGTGAATGGCTCTTTCGCGGGTCCTGCGAGTTCGACTTACCGCACGTCAGGCGCATGTACTTGACCAGATCCCGGGCGATGGTACAGAGCGGATGGGTCGACACAGCCGCCCTCCAGATCGACCTCCTCTTGAACACGTCGCGTGCTTCAAGCCTTTCGCAGAGCTGTTACCTAGCCGGCAAGATCCAATGCCTCGGTGGGAACCTCATGCAACGTTCCGACGACCAGATTGTGGGTGAATCCTGCGGCCAGAGGGACTGGACCGTCTGCCAAACGCTGGATTGCTTTCACCCAGCCGACTCCCGAGGTGAAGCTACCGCCAACGAGTGGCAGTCCTGGAATGATTTGGTCTTTTGTACCTTGGGCCACGCCATGCGTGGACCTGACAAGCGAGTAGTCTGGACTTTGTCCAGTGATGGGCAATTGGACAGAACCTGGTCCTACTACCGCCAGACCTACCAGACTGACGACGACAAGAACGCTATGACGAAGCACCAGGCCAAGTCCAAGCCCGAGGAGCGCGCCATGCAGCGAGCCAAGGGGCAAGCCAAGCTCCCTGCTGATTATCCGGAGCACATCATGAAGACGGAGCAGGAAGACGACGAAGAGCAAGTCACATCCCCCCAGCAAGCTTTGAACCAGGCGTGTGCTATGTATCAGGACGCTACCTTGTTGCCAGACCACCCTACGTCGCAGAAGCGGCCCGCACCGTCAGAAGAGCCCACATTACAAAAGCGGCCCAAGTTGCCTAAGAAGCCCGCACGGCGAAAAGAGGGTGCATTGCAAGAACAGCCTACAACCCACGAACAACCTAAGCTTCATGAGGAGGTGATGTATCCGGAGCAGCTCGCGTTCGACGAGCCCGCCCTAAATCAGGAGCAAGCTATGGTTCCGGAGCCCACCACCCAGGAAGCCGCCATGTTCCAGCAGTTTGCCACTTTCCAGGACCCTATGATGTTCCAGGACTACGCCATACTCCAGGACTGCGCCATGCTCAAGGAGCTCGCTATGTACCAACACGCTACCACGTTCCACGACTGCGTCATGTCCCAGCAGCTCACCTTAGATCAAGAGTCCACGATAGCACAGGACGTCACCCAGGACCTATCCGCAAGCCAGGCGCTCACAATATCTCAGGAGCCCATCATGAACCACCAGCCCACCGTGTTCCCGGAGCTTGCCACGAATACATGGCCTTCCAGGAATCCCCAGCTGTCCGACTACCAGAAGCAATTGGAGGTCTACTACAAGGACTGCTGGGGATTTGTTCCCGATCCGTACAACTTCTCTACTGCATGGCAGCAGCCACAAAACCAGCCGTGGTGCGCGATGATGATGAGCGAGAGCTGAGGCAAGTTCCTAGCAGACGGTGAAATTTGAGCGCGGCGTCACTGTGAAATGTATCAACTGGAAAATGTACCAATCACTGGTTGGGAGCGATGCAAAGGGTTTTTTTGTCGATAATTGTGCTATCATAGCACCTCGCTCAGTCTGAGCAGCTGCCAATCTGTCATTGCCAAGTCCCATCTCTACATATAGAGCGGAGGGCAAGGCTGTCACTGCTCCGGCGTTTCTACATCTAATGCGTGCTCGCACAACAGGAGCATCATGGCCTCTACTAGAAGCGTCTTCTTGCCTGCTTGTCTGCCTTCTTGTGTGTAAAACGAAGCAATTGTCCTCCTTCTCATCACTGCGTCTCGTTGCCAGCGTTGGAGTCTGGAGTTCTTCCCTCGGACGACTGAGGCGAGCTGCCCTGGCTGACTGACTGCCTGCCTGCCAGTGTTTACCCATTCAAATCCCCTCCATCGCATCTGTTAGTTTTCCTCTGCTTCCGTCGAGGTAGGGTGAAAGGCAGCTTCCACACACCATGAACCCATCCCAACCTCTTTACCCCACAGTCACTCAGGCACGTTGGTTGGAAAGCCCACTCAACTGAGATACTTCTTGAACCAGCCCACCGCCTGCGCCACGGCATCACGATAATTCTGCATATCCTCCTCCCGTGCCTTGACGCAAAACCCGTGCCTCGCGCCCTTGTACACGCGGAACTCGAAGTTGTACCCATTCTCGCCATCTCCCTTGCTCGCCACGCTGTCGCGCAGCTGCGCCTCCGTCCGCGCCGCCACCTCGGCGTTGAACTGGAAATCCAGCTCCGCCACGGCACTCGCGTACGGCGTCCTGTACGTGCGAATACAGTCCGCCACGAGCGTCGGTTCCTTGACGATATACGACGGATGGCCATTGAACTGGGCGTCGATCAGCCTCCCACTGTCGGCGGCGCCTTCCACGCGGCTCTCCGCGCACAGCTTGGTGCTCGGCCACGCGCCCCAGCAGAACCCACACACGCCCAATTTGGCCTCTTCGGGCATCTCGGCGCGCACGGCGCGCGCATACTTGAGGATCCTCGCGTAGTTGTTGCGCGGGTGGCCCCGGATCATGAAGGGGATGGCGGCCGGGAGCACGGTCACAAGCGTGTACATCTTGCCCAGCACCGAAGTGACGGTATTCGGCGCGGTGGTGAAGTACTCGACGCCCTCCATGACGTAGGCGGGCAGGCCGCCGTTGAAGACCACGTCGGGAAAGAGCACGCGGCAGCCCGTCGCGGCGGCGTACTGGTCCGCGAGCAGCTTGTTGTTGGGGATGTTCATGGAGAAGGCGTCGGGGAAGTAGATGATTGTGGAGGACGAGCGTGACGGATCGCTCCCGCCGGCGACGTACGTTTTGATGCCGTGCACGGTTTCGATCGTGCCGGTGGGCGTGGCGTGCGTGTGCACCGCGCCGCGGAAGCAGTCGGGGCAGGACATGGTGGTGGTGTCTGGCGTGAGGGCGAGGGCGAGGGTTGCGTACTATCGAGGGTACGGCCTCGGTTGAAGCTTGAGCTTAGATTAGAAGATGGTAGAGGAAAAGAGGATGTGGTTGGAGATGCAGCTCGAGGGGCATAAGTTTTCTGATATGTAGCGAGGAGCTGAGCTACTAATTAGTTAGTATCTTGGGCCGTGTGTGTCGTATATCTTAACGTATACGTTCACGATGCACCACTTGGAGGGACGTGGACGGTCGGACGGCCGATTCGGCCGATAAAGGTGACTCACTATGACTGTACGGAGTGGGCTGCTCTGCTCAGTACTCCGTAACTCGTACTGGATATGCGAAGACTCACGACCGGGCCGGCACCGGCGCTTGATGGGACGGATTGGACTAGTTTAGAAGCCTCGAAGAGCTTGACTAGCACAAAACCGCCACGAATCCCGCTAAATCTCGGTGAGCCCGCACTGCCCGTCAATTGATGTTGCCCTATGGCGTGGCTTTTAAGCCGGTTCTATTCTGTAGCGTATCTGCAGCTGAGCTATGCAGTCACGGAGCAGTAGAGAGCAAGAAGACCAAGCCACATGATTCGAAAAATGATGACTCCTCAATTCTGAGCAACATGCATGCATTTCAAAGCCAAAGATACTGTAGCCTTGATATATTGTAGCATGTTGATCTCATTGATGGCCGTCTTCTCTGGTTACTGTAAGCGACGTCCTAACCGACGCTGATCCTAAGTAAGTTACGGCAGAGAGCCCGCAGAGCCCAAACGACGCGTGGGACCGAACGCAGCTGCCAGCAGAAGAGGTGTCTTGTCGTGTTTGTTCATGCAACCGACAAAGCTCGCGGGTCAGCGCGTTCCAAGTTGTGCCCTGCCCTACGTTATGTGCGGATCTAGATGTGTACTGTACCCAGTCATCAATCGGCCTGTGACTGTGCACACTTCCAATGTCCAGCAATTGTTGTAGCGGCTTTGACTCTTCGATCAAGCATGTACACACAGTGCACACTGCGGCTGTGCGACACAAGGTAATTGGTCGCTGTAATGATTTTGTGCACACCAATATACCCGCACAGGACATTTTCCCGAAATGCAAAAAATTACAAAAACAAAATGAACCCAGCCTGATTTGAACAGACAACCTTTCGATCTGGAGTCGAACGCTGTAGATGATATTAGTTTTGTATTTGAGGAATCAGTCAACAACTTCCACATACCGCTACCGTTGCGCCATAGGTCCATGGAATTAACTCGACCATCACGGCAGAATCTGAGGCACATATGGCTGTGATTTACTTATATCCGCAACATTGTGCGAAAGCTTGCTGACCTACGGTTTTACTAAGCGCCGTACCTAGTGGATCGAGCTGGGACGCCTTCTCAACACGAGCACGTACGGACGTCCCATAACACTAAGTTGCTTTAACCCTGAGTTCCTCATTTATCACCGCGCCATTGCCCCCAACCTGGACAAATTGCGCGATCGTGCTTTGCGTGCGCGGATTGTTCCCTGAAGCACCATCAAGGCACGGAGGGACAAAGGAGATATAGTAGGTCAGGTTCGCACGCCATCGGGCCATCACAGCATGGTACGCACGTGCTCCTCATTAGAACAGCCTTTGCAGCACAGCTCCAGTCTTCACAAGCCACTCCAGAGCAATTTCATGCTCTGGTGTGGTCTGTCGTGGCGCTGCTCTACTTCGCTCTACTCTCATCTAATCTGATCACCTGCCCCCAGCCTCACGCCGAGCATTCCAACTTTGCCAAACCCGGCGCGCAGACCACCAAACCCGCGGCCTACCAACAGGCCCTCGCCAGCCTGGCATCCCTGTGCGAAGGTCAGCGGAACTGGGTGTGCAACCTCGCCAATGCGGCCTCCCTGCTGTGGCATCTGCACCACTCCTTGCCACCGCCGCGGGAGCGGGAAGCTGCCACTCAGCCGGGAAGTGGCATTGGTGTCAACTGGGCGGGATTCTACGTCCTGGACCCGTCTGCGCCGGAGAAGCAGCTGATCTTGGGCCCCTTTATGGGCAAGGTCGCTTGCCAGACGATCGCGCTGGGGAAGGGTGTCTGTGGCACGGCGGCGGTGGGCAGAGACGGCAGTGGTCGCGGGGAGACGTTACTGGTGAGCGATGTGGATGCGTTTCCTGGGCATATTGCTTGTGACGGCGAGAGTCGGAGTGAGATTGTGGTGCCGATAAGGGCCACGAATGGCAAGGTGAGTCAAGTATTGAGCAGCCAGCGAATTGGTTTCGTGATCCTCGGATGGTTCCGTGGCTGCTGGTTGCGGTTTGCGGTTCTCGCATCGCAGCGGCTGCCGTTGTTCGCTCGCTCGCAACCAGGGATGCGTCGAAGTTGACGTCGTGACATGTGTTGTAGGTCGTCGGCGTCATTGATATCGATTGTGCGGAACTCGACGGCTTCGATGAGGAAGATCAAAAGGGGTTGGAAGCAATAGCAGATTTACTGGGACAGGCCTGTGACTGGTAGTCGAGGGGGAAAGGTGAGGCAAGCTCAGTTTTTCAACGCGGTCTTTTTTCCCTTGTTGGGTCTGATTTCATTCCCTGTCATTCTGTCGTGCCGTCTGTGTTGGGTATCTCAACTCCACGCTGGAAATGCTATCTATGACCTCCCATGAAGCAGTGTTCCAAGCACCTAGCGCCAGGCTGCTTCAATCCTGCTTTGTGATTGTGCTGTGGTGATATCTCATCCTCATACACAATGGATCCTCCACTCTTTCACATCTGCATGTTTGCGCCTTCCTTGAAATTCGAACCCGCCCTGGAACTCTTGATGATCCTAGAGACCTGTTCCTCCAGCTCATCCCAGTCGTCGGTTGTGACCTTCGTCATTGTGGTGTTGAAGTATCTCTGAATTTCCATCAGTTTCTCCCAGTCCTGCCGGTTGCTGATAAAAGTGACGGCAACACCGACACGTCCGAATCGACCGGTTCGTCCAATACGGTGAAGATAGGTCTGGGGATCTGCGGCGTATTTACCACCGCCAATAAACTTGTCGGGAACGTCGTAGTTGACGACCATGGACACTGACTGAACGTCGATACCTCGAGCAAGAACGTTGGTAGTGATCAGGACTTTTGCGTGGCCCATACGGAATGAGTCGATAATGAGATCGCGCTGTGTTCCTTCGTAACCGCCGGTCAGTGACGCGACCTTGTGGCCCTCGGCTGACATGCGTTGTTCGATGTTGAGTGCCGTTTCTCGAGTCTAGGCAATGATTAGCAGGCAGGATTTCTTCCCAATGAATGGCTTCCTACCTTGACAAAGATGATGGACGAGCCAATCGTCATCAAACCATAGAATTTGACCAGGACGTCGTATTTTGCTTGATCACTGTCGCAGTCAAGGTAGATCTGTTTGATGCCTTCGACAGTCAGATCCTTGTGTTGGAGAGTCATTTGATTCGCATTAGGAGCAAATGTCTGAGCATAGAGGACGACATTGTCTGGGAATGTGGCGGAGAAGAGAACGATCTGGACGCCTTTGGGCAGCAGTCTGCAAGGTCATTAGTGAGAAGCACAAACGGCCAGAGAAGCGCAGAACGTACGCCTTGACACGGATGCATTGATCACCGAGGCCTTGTTGATCGAGCATGTTGTCGGCCTCATCCAGAACCAGAATCTTGAGTTGTCGGACGTCCATGACTCGCTTGCGGATCATGTCCATGACTGTGCCAGGCGTTCCAACGATCACTGCCGCTTCAATTCTACGGGAGCGTGCAGCTGCATCTTGAGGAACGGCGGCTTCAACCTTGAGACCTTCGATGAACGCGCCCATAACCCTCACAACGCCTACAATCTGACGAGCGAGTTCTCTACTCGGCGCCAAAACCAACCCTTGCGGAGTCTTGCGCATAGCTTCGCTGCTGAGGTCCAGACGATGTAGGATATTCAGCACGAAGGCAGCGGTCTTACCAGTTCCAGACTGTGATTGACCGATGAGATTCTGGGGAGGGTTCATCAGGAGGAGGGGAAGGGTTTTCTCTTGGACTTTGGAGGGCTTTCGGAAGTTCATGTTGGTGACGCCTTTGAGGATTTCGTCGCTCCTGAAAACGGTCAGAATTCCCCTACGCTGCACACCCTTGACGCAACTCACAAGCCTAATTGCTCGAATGAAGTGGCAGAGTATAGAGGGTTGTTGGGGTCTGCCTGCATGTCCGCCAACTTGACCTCGACATCGAATTCCGGCTCCTGTAGCTCGGAACCTCCAAAGGGCTCTGTGGCTCCGTCAAGTTGTCCATTGTCCGCCGGCGCCGTTTCTGGCTGCTTGCCGTTTGTATCGATGGTGGTGGGAGGGTTCTCAGTGGTGGGAGAGGCGACCTCATCTGCCCACGAGGTGGACTCGGGTTTCGTCACGCGGTCTGCCAGAGAGCCGCTACCGGAGGGTGTTTCTGACATCCTTGATTGTTGCAAGATTGATCTCGGATTTTAGTGGTGAGTTGTTTGAGAAGTGGTGAAAGTGGCTTGAACGGCGCAAGTGCAGGAACTGAGGTGAAAGTGAAACAAAGAGAGACCTGTTGCCGGCTAAAAATACATCAAAATTGCCCTTGATCTGCTTGTTGGTATTTCCTCGCGTCTGTGCTCTGCCTCAACTTCAGTCAGGCTGAAAAGAGATTGTCAAATGCACCGTGAATAACCAGGCTGCTACCATGAAACTTGAAAAGCAGCTCAAAAATTTACTACTACGTTGGTGCGGGCGGGATGCGGGGTGATGCTGTACCCTTGTTAGTGTGTTTAGGCGGATTGTGCCTGGACCAAACGCGTTGGGGACACCCGTACAGCGGCAACTCTGCCCCGTGCCTCTACGAATGCTCCGATGAGCCGCCGACGTGGTGCCTGAGGCTGTGGTTTGATTGAATGGGCTTCCCCGCCAATTACTGTATTGTGCCATGCCTCAGATGCAGCGTCCCATTCACGCCGCACTGCTCCTAAGACAGATATAAATCGGAGGATTGCCGCGTCTGCGTCCGGGTCGCTGAATGATGCTGCTCGGACAGATTGATCCTCTACAATCACGATGGCTCAGCTTGCGACTGTCAGCTTCGGTGCCGAACTCAAGGTTGGTTTGGAGCGGCCGGTGCCGGCACATATACTGACACTGTTGCAGGACGGTTACAAACCGGTCGACAACTGGGTGAGCCTGGGCATCAACTGGCTCACCGAGATCCAGGAATTCTACCAAGAACGCGCGGTCATCGAGAAGGAATACAGTCAGAAGTTGACTGCGTTGGCAAAGAAATACTATGACAAGAAATCCAAAAAGTCCAGTAACCTGAGTGTTGGCGACAATCCCGCCCTCACGCCCGGTTCTCTCGAGGCGGCCTCTCTGACAACGTGGACTACTCAGCTCACAACGCTCGAAGCCCGGGCAAATGAACATGCCAAATTCTCGCAGGACCTGACGAGTCAGGTTGCCACTCCGCTTGAATACAATGCGAGGAAACTCGAAGAGCTGCGGAAAAGTCATGCCGACTACAATGCTAAACTGGTCAGGGAGAGGGACTCGTCGTATGGGGACCTCAAGAAGCTGAAGCAGAAGTATGATTCTGTCTGTCAAGAGGTCGAAAACCGGAGAAAGAAGGCCGAATCCTCCTTCGACAAGAGCAAGGCGCAGAGCACATACAACCAGCAATTGATGGAAATGAACAATGTCAAGAACACCTATTTGATTGGGATCAATGTTGCAAACAAGATGAAAGAATGCTATTACCACGAGTACATACCGGAACTGCTGGACTCACTCCAGGATCTCAACGAGACTCGTGTCTCCAAATTGAACTCGATATGGCTGGTGGCCGCAACCCTGGAGACCAACACCCTGAAGCGGAGTCTAGAGCACATGACACGCCTCTCGACAGAAATACCCAGGAACAATCCGAGCCTTGACAGCAACATGTTTGTCCGGCACAATGCTGTACAGTGGCAGGAACCGCCAGACATGGTCTTCGAGCCCTCTCCAGTTTGGTTGGATCAAGATCATATGATGACAGATGACATGTCGAAAGTATTTCTGCGTAACATACTCCAGCAGAGCAAGCCGCTCATCAACTCGCTAAAGGCAGATGCCGCTCAGAAACGAAGGGAACTGGAAAACGTCAAGCAGGCCCGCCGGAACATCCGAGAAGGTAAAGACAAACGTGATGAAGTCGCCTGCGTCGTTCAACAATTTATGGTCCAGGAAGACCTGCATGCCATCGAGAGGAAACGACTGACGGCAGAGGTGGAGACGTCGACCATCACTTCAGTCGTGGGCGATCTTAGCATGTATGGCAAAAGCCATGCCTTCAAGTCCGAGACGTTCAAGATCCCGACCAATTGTGACCTCTGTGGCGATCGCATATGGGGTTTGAGTGCAAAGGGCTTCATCTGTACCGATTGCGGTTTCACGTGCCATAGCAAGTGTCAGATGAGAGTACCAGCAGACTGCCCAGGGGAACAGACGAAGGAGGAAAAGAAGAAGTTGAAGACCGAACGTCAAGCAGCGGCCATGGCCGCTGTCGCAGCTCCTTCGCCCGTCCAGAACGGCGCCGCTGGGCCCCCACCTTTGACGAGACAAGACACCATGAACAGTCTGTCGTCCGGGTATGCGGCGAGTGCTACGAGATCATTATCGGTTGGAGTCCCGAGGATATCTACGATGGATGAGCAAATTGCCAGCTCTCCGTCAACGCAAGCGACATCGAACCCTGTTTCAGCAGGCGGCGCCCCTAGGCGGAACCGAATTGTTGCTCCGCCTCCATCGGCCTATGTCAGTGCAGCCGTCCCGGATTTGTCTTCGAACGGGAGTGCTCACCCGAGAGGTAAAATGCTCTACTCATATGAAGCAAGGGACGAGGGTGAATTGTCGCTGTCAGAAGGCATAGAGGTGAAAATACTAGAACCTGATGGTAAGTGAGCTCGACCTCCTGTCGACTTGTACTGACAAGCAGCAGACGGCGGCTGGACAAAAGTTCAAGCTGGACTGGGCAAAGAAGGCGTGGTGCCTACCGCTTATTTGGAGGAGCTGCCCACGCCTGCAAGCACACCAGCGCTCGAACGACCACCGTCCTTGTACTCCAACTCAAGCGCCTCGTTGGCCTCGTCGACCGTGGCAACCAAGAAAAAGCAAGGCCCGGCGGTGGCACCCAAGCGTGGAGCAAAGAAAGTCAAATACGTCGAGGCTCTGTACTCTTACATAGCCCAGAGTGAGGCCGAATTCGACATGACTGAAGGCGAAAAGTTCATCCTCATCAGCATGGGCACGGGTGACGGGTGGGCGGACGTGGAAAAGAATGGTGAGACAAGGAGTGTCCCTGCCAACTACATCCAAGAGGTATAGATTGGATGTCTGGAGCGGTTTGGCCATGGCATCAACTGTTTCCCAAGCGTGACTATCAACATCAGCGAAAGCATTGAAGCGCGTATCCGCAAGCTGTCTCTTTCGATTCAGCGCACTGCGCCGTGCAATGGAGGGAACATACTCAGCCCTATTGACAATCACTAGTGCGGCTTAACGCGAGCCGTGAGCTCAAAGACGGCGGAGGGGATACGAGAGATTCGTCCAGCCCCCAGTCGGCTTCGCTTGTGGTGTCAGGTGATTGGGCAACGCCAACACAGCCCGAAAGTTGTTTCCAAAACTCCGCTTTTACTTTCCACGTCTCTTTTTCAGCTCGATGGTCTTAAATGCTCAAGTTTTACTCTATTGGACGAAGCAGGTCAATATTCAATGCTCGCTGGTGCCAAGAAATCGTGGTCGACGAAGAACACGAGCACAAGGCATTCTCGCCGCCTCTGACCAACTAGCCCTGCACTGGACTCGCCTGTATCCAGAGCTTCGGTGCACCTTATCGAGAAGCTTTGAACGTCCAGGCTTGGCCCTTGCTTTGCACTCGCTCGCTAACGTCCAAGTCTCGAGCCGGCCGGAGCAGAAATGGACTTTTGGCCCACGATCACCATCCCCGTGCATGTTCCCTATCTGGCTTGACGAACGCTGGAATCCCGGTTCTTGGCCATGCAAGCCCGCAAGCGTCGAAGCCTATCTATTCCAGGCTTGAGCGCCAGGGCCAAAGATGAAGATAAGTCTGCCGCTGAGCCCGGTCCCTCTAGGTGAGGCAAGACTCCCACATACTGTGTCGTCGTAGACTGTTCCTGTCTGAAGCTTCGCAATCCAGTCCAAGCAAGAGCGACGTTTGACGCCTGTCCGTTGAAGATGGCAGACATTGCTGCTACCCTTACCCGGATTCCAAGACCTACCGCGACGACCATCCCAGCCAGCCCTATTACTGCTGCACCCTCGTTAACGCACCAGCGTGAGCTGTTCAGGAGAGACGAGACGGTCAGTGAAGACACCTGTGGCTGGGTGAATGGCGATCTGAGTGAGTTGTCCATTCAGTCTATTGCGACTCCAGCACACTTATCTGCTGACGCCTCTCTTAACCTCTCCGCAGACACTCCTTTCGTCTGCAATTATCCCTACTATCAACCCTGTCTATGGTCACCGGAGCTCCACGCAGTGGGATGCTGCGGCGGTCCCTCCACCACGGACTGCGCCTGGGTCACGTCCTGCGTGCCTTACTCGATGGTGGACAACGGTTGCGACTCGGCATGCCAGGCGAATTACCTGAACACGGTGTGGTAAGTCAGCGGATCTTCTTCGATCCCTGCTTGTCTATGGAGGAATGAGGAATTATCAGCTGACTGACCGACGCACAGTAACGAAGCTTATCCGCTCTGCGCGACAGCCACATTCGGCGGCCCGGAAGGATACACGTACCTCTCCTGCACGGACACTGTCGGCCCCACCGACACCATGATGGTAACCTACTACGGCGGCAACGCGACCTCCATCGCGGGCCTCCCGCGGTACTTCTCCGACTACTGGTACGGTAGCGGCACTGCCACGGACACGTCCTCGGCGACCAGCACATCGACATCCACGAGCGGCGACGCCGATTTCAACGATACCTTGTCCTGGTTCTCGGCGCACAGGACCGTCCTCATCGGCGCGATTGCCGGCTTTTGCGGGTTGGTGCTCCTCCTCCTTGTGGGCTGTTGTGTCATTAGGAGGAAGCGGGCGAGCCGAGGCGTTTACAGGCCTGCGAGCCAGGCTGGGCCGGTCTATACGATGCAGGCGCCAGGGCAGGGCCAGGAGCAGTTTCCGATGATGCAGTATCGCGGGTATGGCTCGGAGTATGACATTCAGGGAGCCGGTTACGGGAGGGTCTACGTCGGTCCGAATAAGTGAATCCTCACCCAATGGTGGAGGGTATATCTCGCTGCGGACAAAGTGAGGCGATGTACAGAGTAGTCTCTCACATCGGCTACAGCAGCTTGGACTTCTGGACGTCCAAAGCAAGAAATGTCTCCCGCCACGTCGAGTTTACCTTAGGCCTCGTGTAACCTACACCGTGGGTGGGGATGGGCGCCTTATGTGCAACCCATCGGATCTCCCATGCATGAATGAATTAGTCTGCAGATCTTCAAGCCACTTCAAGCGAGTGTCTAACGTCGATTCCATAATTCCCGACTTGCCTTTCGATGAATGTTAACTGTGAGGCTTGGCCCAAGATCAATATCAGCGCCGAGCGGTAACGTAGCTGGCGAGCTACCTAGTTAATTAGCCACCCCTGCGATTGCGCACCAATATATAAAACAGTGCGAACGGTGACGGTACAAAAGGCGCAAGCCCAACTGAAATCACTAGAGCCCGTCCAGTAGAACAGACAGGCGAGCAACTCAACGCACCCCACATGCGAATCAACAATAACTCAACATAACGTGGTAATTAAGTCAGCTTACTTACATCTCCATGATCGAAGACCGACCATCGATCGTATTAGCGGGAGACGGTACGAAAGGCCGACATAGCTAGGTGAGGTAGGTAGGTAGTCTACTCGCACAGAGTACTTACTGTCCTGCACTGTACAGTATGTCACACTTACGCAGGTTGGTTCGCTCCCGCGCGTTGCAGGCTTGCCTTTACCTGTGTATGTGATTTGGCTGGTCGGGAAAGGAGGCGGGGCGACATTGATGCCACGGAATGACTGGGTGCTGCGCCAGTACGGAGTACAGTACATACTCTATGTACTGTTGTATGGCGTACGTCGCTGGGTAGTACATGTACAGTAGCGGGCGAACTGTACACGCTGCTATGTAGTTATCGAACTTCATGGCCACGCACGCAGTGCTGTGTACGTATGTACCTCGTAACCACTGCAGCCGCGACTACCAGCCTGGTTAACCTGATAGTCAACTCTCCCGGCATTCGTTCGGGTCGGAGAGGCTTGAGGGTGGCTTGGACCCGAAGACTCATTCCCAGCACCCCCAGGGCTGTCTGTATCGTACTATACCGTGACTTGTGCGATCTCTTCCCCGAGCTGTACTCGTACCGGTACTGGTACAAGGGCGATGAGAAGTCGACGATGGCGGATGAGAATCTGCCACGTGGTGGGCACCAATGTCACCACTATAGATACGTTGTCCGCGGCACGGACGGATTATCCGCCTGCCACGCCTTCGTGAATTGTGGCATGCAAGGTTGTGGCTTTAGGTTTGTGGAAAACCCAAAATTGGCCATACTGGCCCGTCACCCACCCGTCACGGCCCGTAGGCTATATGTGATCGGAAGGTCGGCCCAGGACACCGTAACACGGATAGGAAGACAGACAGTGCGGATCACGGGTCGATAACCCTCGTCTATGCACCGAGAGACGGGCACACGGGCGGGATTAACCTGGCAGACAGTAGACCGCCTTTAATGGGCATCATGTGGTACTCGTGGCAGTTGACAGACAGACAGAGATGCATCCTCGGTAATCGATGACACATCTGCGGGAGTATTGGGAGGCCCTACGCACCTCGTGCGATTAACAGCCCCTGGATCCCCGCCATACATCGTGGTCAGATCGACAAGATGTTCAAAGGGTCGATTCATCGTGTTGCTGGGAACGGACCCCTCTGAGATCACGACTACTAGGTACCATCATCAATGATGTGACAGACAGGTGGGATTTGGGAGCCTAGGCGCATATGCCTTCGGGTGTCCGATCTGAGAAAGCTACCGTGTGAAAGTTCAACCTGAGAAGAGAAAGGCTAAAGCCATTGACTCTGCTCGTGACATGGGCTGCGCTTTGTGTACACCAGGCCTCGTGGGGAAAGCTCCAGAATTCTTCAGCTCGATACTAACAAAAGAACGAGACAGCGGCCGCGAATAGTATTCGCTCTGCGCGTGTCGCTGATCAGTGGACGGCAGGGAACGAAGCCAATGGCTTTCCGAGAATGTGGCGCAGTGGTGCCGGCACATGGAAGGATGTTCCTTGGACTCGATGCTGACGACCCCAATATTGTGGAAGGCTGTGGGCCTTGGCGGCGTTTGTGACGACAAGGCCATCGGATCGCTCAAGTAGCGAAACCGACAGGGGCGCCATTGCACGTCCGTGCTACCGATCCTGACCACCTCATCAAGATCTGGAAAGCGTCGCCAGAGTACAAGGCGAAGTTGACGTCTCGGTCGACCAGCAATTCTGCTTCCTTCAATGAGCTTGGCTGATTCACCGAAGCTGAGGAAATGCCCCTGAATCTGCATGAGGCTTCACAGGTCAAGTTGACGAAAGGTTGCGACCACGAGATGATGTGAGTCCTCCGGAGCATTGTCCCGGCGCAGAAACTTACCCTACCACCTTCCCGTCCAGGCACATATCGGAAGGTATGAGGCGACCGATATACTTTGCTCATGGCCAGCATGCCCACGGGCTAGCAGGCCATCAGAAGACCGATCCACCAATTGAATGAGGCTAAAGGGATAAGGGACCTGACCCTGAACTCGTTGGCTCCCGCACACAGTGCTCACCGGACCCGAAGAGGATGAAATTTCGGGAGTGCCAATTCTTTTCAGCACAGAAGTTTGAAGTCTAAATAAGGAGCAATGTCAAAGAGAGGTAGATTGCATCTGGTGAAGTTGGGTCGGGAGATGAACTCACCCTTGACGATTCGGTCCGGCGTCCCAGGAATTTGGAACCGATTGCCGACCCAAAGAATAAAGTTCACTCAGCAGGCGCACGCCTTCCGTCCTTAATCCGGGGGATTTACGCTCTGCAAGTGAGGGTCGAACCTTGATGATCGATCGCCACGCGTTTGGGGACGGAGATCACGTACGGAACCAAACTTCAACAAGGATGGCGCCTTGAGGTTGTTCAGACTTGCGGCGGATTCTGCATCCAACCTTCCTTGCACTTCCTCGTCCGTCATTTGGGCGCCCGCATTTCCGAGGATCAGCTTGTCATCCAGTGCGATCTCGAAGGTAAGGGTGAAAAGACTTTTGGGTTTGACTAAAATCCCTGAGATGTATCTTTGTTGCGACTCTCTCGTGCGTGACCCATGCGTCTCGCCAGATGCCAATTAGCCACCTGCAGCGAGGACGGCACAGGTCTGGGATCAATAAATATAGTTCGGTGAAAGCTGCGGAGGGCAATGGCGAGGGGTGGGGAACAAAGTGAGATCGAAGGGCACTTGCTTTTGTATCACACGCGGATAGATATTAGCGCCATGTGATGGAAATAGCTGATTGCAAGGGGCATGATGAATCATGACAAATAATAACTTGGAATAAGAAATGGAGTATTTGATCCAGCTTGTCCAAGATGGCGGATTCCAAATTCCCCGGGGATGGCATCTTGCCACTAGGCGAGTTGCTGCAGAGAAAGGCCAGGTGATATGGAATGTGGCGGCTGTCAAGGACCAGCAATGCCCCGAGCAGACCAGAGGGAGCCTTGTGAGACCATGAACGGCCATGCCAGACCAAGTCCGATCCAGCCGCTACGGTAAGGACAGGGGTAGGGGTGGTAAGAGATTGCGAGATCCGGAGGGGAGGAGATCAGAAACGATTTTCGCTCCCTTACTTCGGATGCGGATTTTGCGATCCGAATTTCCAACAAGCTCGCCCGGATATGAAGGGGGCCGTACCTGTCCGGAGGGTTCGACCGTCATGTCCTAGTAGATAGTACGAGTAGCCTGTCTGGTGTTTTCCCCTCGCGGTCTCAAGTTCGGTGGTACGGGTACATAGCACTCGTACTGGCCAAGCGAATTTTCACAGCTGTCACGACCACAAATCGAACCGAAAAACGTGGTGTTCAGCTAGCGAATATATGGTGGGTCTGATGATCGATGCGCCATTGGCCCGCTAATGGCCCACCTGTACTTTCCGAGGCCCTAAGGGTCTGAGGCGAATCAAGCGGAGCCGGGTGTGGTGGAGCTCGTGATTGACTGACGCCACTGGTGCAACGGAAGATCTCAAAGGCACGGAATAATGCATCATTGGCTGAGTGCGGGGTGATCAGATCCTCCCTGTAGCGGTGCCTGCATTAACGAAGGGCTAACATGGTATATGAATACAAAGTCAAGTACCATTGACCATTGACTGACCACCATCGACCCGGGTATGTCGCCAGTGAGAACAGTCCCAAGCGTCACCACGACGGCCTGAGTTTTGCCGCACGCCCTGAACGTCCGCTCAGCTCAAACCATAGGTCCTGGAGGAGAACACGAAGATCTCTGTCTTGTTGCGTTCAAACCACAAATGTATTGAAACTCCAAGATGGCTGACGACGGACTATCACCATGTCGACTTGATCCTGCCGTAGAGGCTCGATTGGATCCGGTATACCTGGAGTTCTACAACACCCATCTTGCGCACAGGAAACCGGTATGGCACTGCACAGTCACCGAGGCTCGAAATCAGGAAGCCCCTCCACAATCGCATAGCGAACCGCTCCCCGTCGGCAAGATTCTCGAATTTTCAATACCCCGAAGGGAGACTGCTGGTCCAGACGTTCATGCCGTCTGCTTGGTTCCGCCAGGCGACGCGCCCCGCGACGGCTGGGCAGTTGCGCTCTATTACCATGGCGGAGGCTGGGTCTTCGGGCAGGCCGATACCGAAATGAACATTTGCAGTAATATGTGTGTCCGGTCTCGCGCAGTAGTAATATCTACAAACTATCGGTGAGCTGCTTTGCCACATACTCTTTGTTCTGTATTTGAGGGTTTACTGACTTGCCCTCTTCGTACAGGCTTGCGCCCGAGGACCCCTTCCCTGCCGCTATCCATGATGCATGGGAGGCGTATCTGTGGACGGTATCGGAAGCACAGAGGGTCCTCAACTTGGACCTGCGGAAAGTGGCGATTGTTGGCACGTCCGCTGGCGGCAATATCGCCGCCGTCACTGCTCAGAAGGCCGCATCGAGGCCGCAGCCTGGCGTGTCGCTAGTCTTGCAGGTCCTGGTTGTGCCTATAACAGACAACACAGCAACCCCCGAATCCAGTCCTTCCTGGAAGGAGTTTGAATTCACAGCCCAGCTCCCAGCGGCGAAGATGCTCTGGTATCGGAGCTATTATTTGCCGAACTTGTCAGATTGGGCGTCTTGGAGCGCATCCCCCCTGCTGGCTTCAGATGATGTCTTCAAGACGTTACCACCGGCGTATATCGTCGTCGGAGAACTGGATCTGCTGAGACACGATGGGGAGGAATACGCCAGGAAGCTAAGTGCCAATGGCATCCCAGCTAAGGTGAATGTCGTGGCAAAGTTGCCACATCCTTTCCCGTCAATGGATGCGATCCTGGAGGCCGGCAGGACGGCCATCACCAATATATGTGATGAATTGTGTGCAGCATTTGCTTGATGGATGAAGAAATGGCGGTTGGTGGTCGGCAGCATGCCTCTGGCTTTTGTTCGCATGCATTGATACCCCTTTCCTGGTGGCTGGTTTAAAAGAGGCGCCTAAAGAAGTGCAGCTCAGCGATGAAGAAAAGAGTTTGGGTCCAGGCCAATCATGTATCAAAACGATCACGTTGTTGTACGATTAGTGGAGTGTACGGTGTGAGCAGGAAAAGGTTTGGTCTGATAGTAGAGCAAGCTCTGATAGTGTTGTTCAATACTGGCCAGTGATGGGTCAATAAGCAAGTGATCAGTCCTGGGTTGTCGTAGCCACGCACGCAGCACCAACTGATTGTGGCGAAGTGGCCAATTCGGTGCCGAGAACGTGTCCATGTCCATTCTCACTCTTCGCTGTCCTCGTCACGGCCGCATGAAATACCCCGCAGGTATTGTGCTTGGACGGGTTCGCTGATAGATCAGGTTCACCTCCTGGGTGCAAGGATGAAGAGAGTTAAGGGTTTCTCGAAGGAGACGGTGGTCTTTTCATTCTAATTGGAGCCTATAGCTGGCTTCTCATGAATATCAGCAGTTGCAGCTAGAAATGGAAGGATAAGGGGCAGAGATACAATACGTGCTGCAGGTATGCGTGGCAGGCAGCTCACGCTTCAGAGGCATGTCTCGTGGGAAGAGAAGTCGGATGGCGAGGTACTGTATGAGATAATGAAAAATCGGAACAACCCGATGTGCACGAGGGAACTGAAATCCATGGCTACGCTTCATGACTTCGCCGACAGGGACAGTAGACGTTCACTCATTACTCGGAAGAATTACAGCCTGGCAAGACGTCAGTAACTTATGCCTTGAACAGCTGGACCAGGTTGCCGGCACTAACGCTGGACGGATGATGGTAATGAGAGGATCACGGTCATCGGCAGAGTATGGCAATCGCATGCTGAGCTTGGATGTGCGTCCCGTTGAGACCGAGTTGGCAGAGGAAGAAGCAGAGCGGTCTGAGCGGACGGAGTTCGAAGAGGGCAGTGAAGTTTTTTGAGCCACAACCATTCCACCCAATCTCATTCGTGTACCGACATGGCTTGCACGTCGACATGGCGCAACATGCGTGCGACACGGAAGAGCGTTTCCAACGAATCCCTCGAATGCCGCGAATATGAATGAAAGGGTGTTCCTCGTGAAGGATTCCGTGGCTGCGACGTGCAATAGAGGGTTTTCTCGGTGAGTTAGTCCCTAGAAAGGTAGCAATGGTACAGAACGGGGTTTATGTGCTGTTAAATGGAATTGAAATCCCTGATGTTGTTCTTGAGGGAGATTCGGCAGTGTGCGAAGTGACAGGGACACCGCGTGGATGGGATACCCGCCTGGTATCGACATGTTTAATTTGCTCATCCTTCGAATCCGTTCTTGGATTGCAACGCCTGCTCTCGCGTGGTTGACACACGTACACGTGTGTTGCTCGATCCATCTCTGGACATGTTGCTGTCATAGCACCGAGGCTACGGCAACCCCTTCACTCCTGAAAGGCGCTTCCACGTCTGATATCGACGCACATACTCAATCGCTCTTCTTGACTCGCTTCACCTCGCCCTCCTTCTGCGTGAACTCCAAGAACTCTCTCTTCTTCTCGTCCATCTTCTTCTCGTCAAGCCCATCCTCCCACTGCACCAATACATTCTCGTCATCGTCAAGCAAGTCGCTCATATTGTCCAATCCCTTCCACTTCACAAGACCATCACCCTTGAACCCCTCTGCAACGCGCTGAGGATAGAACATATGGCAGGTGGGTCGGAAGGCTTCACGGCCTTCGGGAGTGTTGATCTTCTTGATCAGTGGTGGGAAAAGCAGGATCATGTTGCGGCCTTCGTCCATGATTGGGGACCGGCAGTATGCACACGAAACCTTGCAGGGGAGGTGGTGGGTGGTCGATTTAGAGGTGGGGTCGTACCAGCCTAGTTCGTGGTGGCCATTGGTGAAGTTGATGTCGGATTTGTGGAAGATGGCGGCCCACTGGAACGGTGCCTGTAAATGGTGTCAGTCTCATAATCAAAATAGAACGAGCCAAGTAACGGCTGAATGAGCGTATGAAAGGGAGAAATTGGACGTACACCATGTAATCTCTGACAAGTCGTGCAATGGCAGTACTTCGCCGCCAACGGCCTCTCCCTGCTCAGCTGATATGTGACTTTTCCACAATGGCACGCGCCCTCCCACTTGACGTCGAACTTCTCATTTTTCTCGACGTCGTGGACAGCGTAGGGTTCGCGATGCTTCCACTCATCGATGTCGCGATCGGTCCGAGAACCGGCCTGGTGCTGGTGAGACTCTTCGCCTTCTCCTGTTTGCTTCGACGACTTGTAGTCTTGCTCTTTGCTCATTTTGGTGGTTGCGAAGGTACGTTGGAGTTGAGAAGGGTGAGAGGAAGTGAGGCGGTGATGACAGGAAAGGGATCTAGGCGAGATCGAGGTGTGTGATCTCGCAGAGGTTTTCAGGAATGAAGGAGCAGTGCGGTTGAGCTGTGCTGTGGACAATCTCTGGGGTTGCAGCTGGCTACTAAAACGGAGAGTTATTCTGGAGTTCATGAGTGAACAAAGTAATTTGGGCCAAGGGTTGCTTGAAGGAGATATGGAGGACAGATGAACCTTTCACCACAGGCACACGATCACTACGAGCTATCCTTTCACTTTCGTCGGCTACTGGCTCGCCGCACGAAGTTATTGCAGCGGATTTATGACCCGGTGGAGCAGCTTGGACGTCACAGGAGAGCAATCATTTGGTTGCGTGTGTCTTTCTGCGAGATGAGAGCTACTATGCATTCGGACGAGTAGTGTCACATCAGGATGATGACAGCAGAGATCATGCCCTATCGCGGCGAGGATGATGCCCTCAGTCACTCCATGACAGCATTGACTGCGACCCCAATTGCTGCTCGTTCTCCGCCAGTTCGACTTCCCCAGGGCCGGAGGGCCCAACCTCGGATGACATCATAGATCGTGGCAGGCTCGTGCACCAATGAATGGCAGCGATTTGCGGCGTCTCGCGAAGCCTCCACCCTAGCGTCGGGCCGGAGTCTAGGTGCTCCGCACGAGTCTATCAATCACTAACTTATCAACTCCTTCTGCTCCAGCTGCTGCATCACCTCCAACAACACCTCCTTCGTACTCAAGTATGCATTCTTTGGGTCCTTCCTCACTCGCTGCCAGACCTCACCATGCTTGGGCTCATTCGCAACACACTTGGCGATGACATCCTCCCTTTTCTCTTCGGTCCCGTGCTGAATCAGGAACTTCAGGTACCAAGCCCACGTATCCCCCAGGTCGGCATCGAGAACGATAGCTTTCTCGAACCAGTTCATTGCCTTATCGAGTCTGCGCTCACTCCAGAAAATACGCGCGACTGTGACGAATAGAATGGGGTCGTTGTCCACCGCTTTGATGGCTTCGAGCGAAAGTGGTTTTCGCTGCGTCCGCGGCTGTAAGTTCCAGATGTTTTCTGACCAGAGAAGCCCTGATTTCGGGCATTCCTGCTGTGCCTTGGACATCAAGATCTTGGCTTGTTGGACATTCGGCGGTTTGGCCTTGAGCTCGACCCGGACGCTTTCTGCCCACAGTTCTGCGTTTCTCGGGTTTTGGAGTCGTGCTCGGTCGAGGACAGATCTAGCTTTGATGATGATGCCCTCTTTCTGTTCGAGCCTTGCGGCAAGAAGCCATAGAGGTACAGACTTGGGACATTGCCGCGTGCCCTGCGCATAAGCCTCTCGCGCCTGCGGAACCATGCCTTTGTCCTCGTAGATTTGGCCCTTCATCATCCACAGCTTAGCACTGCGGGGAAAGCGAGTCTCTTTCTTGTCCATTACCCTCGACGTCAGACCCTGGAGAACCAGATCCAGAGCGACATCGATATTGCCCAGCTGTCTCTCATACGCTGCACTCTTATACCACACGCGTTCAGTTGGAGCTTCCTGCCTGGCGGTTGCAAGCAGCTCCCGTGCCTGGTCAACTTGCTTAGCGTCAGCTTCCAGCTTGACCGCGGCCAACCAAATCTCTTCATTGTTGGGATTTTGATTGAAGGCTTTGCCGAGCACGCGTCGGGCATCGTCCACTTGACCAGCATGCCATTTCTCGCGCGCAAGTTGCAGCCAAAGATCTTCCGATTGTGGACAGGCTTCGACGGCCTTTTCCAGCACCTGCCATAATGCTTGTTTGGTGCCGTGATTCCTCTCCAGATCAGCGGCTGCAAGCCACAACGATCTCGCGGTAGGGAACACCCGCAGAGCGTATGCGTAGATTGCTCTAGCGGTCTCGAATTTTCCTCGTCCGATGCTCGCCTTGGCATCGTCTATGAAGATCTCCTTTCGATCGTCGTCCTCGTCCAATGACCAACCAAGAGTTTCTCGAATGATGGCACCACAGGTCAGGATGGCACCTTCGGTTTCGCACTTCTCGGCCTGCTCGATCCATTCTTCGCGCTTGAGCATGGCCCCTTCCTTCACCAGCGCCTTGACCGCACGGTTCATTATGTTGACTTTATTAGCGTTGCCAATCTGTTCCTGCAATCGTGCTGCAGCAATCCAGATTTCGTAGCTGGTAGGCACGGCTTTCCTAGCCTTGTTGAGTACGGCCTGAGCATTCTCAGGCGTCTCGAGATGCGCAAGCGCAAGCCAGAGCTCGACTGATAGCGGTATGATCTCGGTGGCCTTTGCCAGCAACAGTCTCGCATCTTCTGGATCTTCTTCTAAGTTGACCGCCTCCTTCCAGATCGCGACGGACTGCGGGATGTGGTCAATCGCCTGGCGAAGAACCCGCTTCTTCGCCCGAGGGTCTGTCTCCAGCTTCATAGCTTCGATCCACAGCCTGGTTGATCGTTCGTTATTTTTGATGGCATTTGCTGCGATAATTTTCGCATTGTGTCCTTCGTTCAGACGAATATTCTCCAGCCAGGCATCCTCGCTCTTCGGACACATCTCACAGCCCTGAGCCATCTTTTTCCGTGCCGCAACGATCTTGCCGGCGTATTCTTCCAATCGCGCGGCCGCAATCCAAGCTGGAGCGTGCTTCGGATTCGTTCTGATCACCGAGTCAAGCAGTTCTCGAACTCTCTCGATCTCGCCGAGTTGGACCTTGGATGGGTCGAATTCCGCGGTGTCGAGACTCGTGAGGTAGCCCTTCGGATCAATGGTGGTGGCAGTCCCTGTCCCTGCGTCGGCCTTTGCTGCTCGGTCCAATCTAGTCTGAAGCACTCGGTCTCGGGCAGCACCAATGTCGGCAAAGTTAGTCATCGTCCCGTCCTTGTTGTCCGCACTGGTAATGGCACCATCAGGTTCTCCGTCTTGAACACTGGTGGAGAGCTCGCCAGCGTCTCTTGCCCTCGCAAGGACGCTGTCAGGCACAGCATAGGACCGCTGGCTCATCCGCTGCTGTTTCGCGCGCCGATTCTTCCCCGTCAGATCGCCTGGATCAGGAATGCTCGCCCAATCGTCGTCGGTCAGCGATGCGAGACCCCGTTTCAGGTCGGCGAACTGCTCAGCGATCTTAGGATTATTGCGGTTATATTCTTCGAGTTCTTCTCGCTCTCGTTCTTCCCTAGAGGACGGCGAAGGTATCACGTCGGTAATCTGTTCATTCACAAGTGGCAAAGATAAACCAGGTGTCTCGACTCGGAAGGGAAGAGCACGAGGGATGTGGTGTAGTACTAACCTAGGTCTCTTCCGGCGTTTGAGCATCTTCTCATCGACATCCTGATAGATCCGGTCGGCCTCGTCATCGTCTTGGGTGAATGTGCCGGAAGCAAAGAGGCCGGTTTCGTTGTCCGGATCAGCGAATCGATCATCGTCCGCTTCTTCTTCTTGTTCCGTTTTCTTTGCTGTTGCGCCGTATGCTGTGGGAGGTGCAGTGCCCAGCTGCTGAGCACGTTTGGCGAGCGCCTCTTGGATCTGTTCCGCACTGGGACCGTCGCGAGCAGGGCCGAGATCCGATCGTGTGGTGAAGCCAGTCGCGCCGCGACCTAGACCGGCGACGTAGTTTTCGGGAGCCTGCTGGTTGAGGAAATCACGTCGCGACATGATAAGCAGCAGGCGGCGTCAGGCTTCGCCCCGAGATTGATAGTGAGACCAAAACGGAGAATGGGGCAGACGTGGAGTGGAAACGAAGGACGGTGACACTGAGAGAGTCGGTGGCAGGCAAGCAGGCAGTTGCTGTCCCTGTCGCCTTGACCTGACGCTGAGGCTCGCGTACACAACGTCGATTCGATCCGCAGCCCCAAATATTTCTGCCATTTTTCACCGCCAAACAAACCCCACAAAAAAGTCCAGCACCTGGAATCCTGCCCGTCCTCGTCGCATTTGATCTGCGGCTCTCTACACAGTACTTACACTTCGCGTCTCAGGCTGGCGTGTCTCTCCGTCCGAATTCCCTGTGGAGGAGGCCGCCCAAATGCCCAAAGTCAACTCGCGCAAGCGCCCTGGCGCATCGTCCTCGTCCCCGTCCTCGCCGTACAATAAACCGCCCTTCGCAGCCCCCTCCTCCACTTCCAACGCAATCTTCCGCATGAACACGACCCTTGGTCAGCACGTGCTGAAGAACCCCGGCGTCGCCCAGGCAATCGTCGACAAAGCCTCCCTGAAACAGTCCGATGTCGTGTTAGAAGTCGGTCCAGGTAGCGGCAACCTCACCGTGAAGATCCTGGAACAGGCGAAGAAATGCATCGCCGTGGAACTGGACCCCCGCATGGCCGCCGAAGTGACGAAGAGAGTTCAAGGCACGAGTATGCAGAAGCGATTAGACGTTGTGCTGGGCGATGTGATCAAGACGGATCCGCTGCCCTACTTCGACGTGTGCATATCCAACACGCCGTATCAAATCTCCAGTCCCCTGGTGTTTAAACTATTGGCCCACAACCCGCCGGCCAGGGTTTGCATCTTGATGTTCCAGCGCGAATTCGCCATGCGCCTCTTCGCGAAACCAGGAGACAAACTCTACAGTCGGCTGAGCGTGAATGCGCAAATGTGGGCCAAGATCGACCACATCATGAAAGTAGGCAAGAACAACTTCAAGCCGCCGCCGCAGGTCGAGTCGAGCGTCGTGAGGCTGGTGCCGAAGAATCCGAGGCCGAACATCAGCTACGAGGAGTGGGATGGCTTATTGCGGATATGCTTCGTGCGCAAAAACAAGACATTGAGGGCGAGTTTCTTGGGCACAAGCAGTGTGCTGAGCATGCTCGAACAGAATTACCGCACGTTTTGTGCTCAAAACAATGTCCCTATCGAGGAAGGGCCGGTCGAAGAATCAACAATGTTGGAAGTGGAAAACTTTCAAGAAGATCCAGAACAGGATCTCGATGGTGATGAAGCAGAGGAATGGGGTGGCTTCATGGATGTGGACGACGAGGAAGACTCTCTTCCCACATTTCTCAAAGAACAATACGCATCAAAGTCCCAGCTACCGGAGCGGACACCGTCACGTAAGAAGCGCGACAAGGTGTTTCTCCTCGTGCGAGAAAAAGTCCGCTCAGTCCTGGAGGATAAGACGTCGTTGGCAGATAAGAGGGCCCGCATGTGCGACGAGGCAGACTTCTTAAAACTCCTCTACCACTTTAACCTGGAGGGTATTCATTTCATGGGCATCAAGCATGGCGGAGAGTAGCCATTGCTCGTGCGAAGCCAAAAGAAGAGTCTACATTTGCGCATTTCCGGGGCATCCGGAATGAAGCATTTACATCCAGGGCGCTGTGGACTGGGCTATGGCGAAGAATGGACGCAGACGTCTGTGCATTAGACAACCCCAGCGCGAAACGTCTGGGTTTGGACGCCCGTCTGCAACGACCGAGACGCATCAATGAAAATGTCACGAAGATAGATACCCCAGGGGTCAGAAGGACAGGATGGAACGAGAATTTCATGGTCATCAATCAGTAATTCCTATCCTGTCTTGATCCTAAGGTCTACACATTCCATGCATGGTGCAGCATACTGCCCATGTGGTCGCCACTCACCATATATACCCCATAATGCCTATCACCAACCATAGCACCAACAACCGACTATCCCACCTCAGCACACCACCACCACTATCACCACCACCACCGCCATCATCATCATCGTCATCACCTGCACTGGTCCCCTCCTCGAACCCATTCTGCAGCCCACCCATCCACAAAGCCCCCAGATCAGTCAAACCTCCATGGCGATCGAACAGACTGACCGCATCCCCCGTCCACTCATTCGCCTCGTCCTCCCTGAACGCGCCGAACCAAGAATACCGGTCCACGTAATCCAACCCGTCAAGGTAAGGCAGCGACTGATTCATGAACGCCTCGGTCTCGTCGTCCGTCACACTGGGGATCGCAAACTCGGTCACCCAGATCGGCTTATCGGGGTAGACCTCCCGGAGCTGGCCCAGCCAGGAACTCAGGCCGACGAAATCGCCGTACCAGTGCGCGGCCACGAAATCAAACGCGCACCCGGCCATGCGGTTCAGGCGGTAACACGACGCATTGAAGTCCCTAAGCCACTCGAGACCACGGCCGGACCCCGTGGTCGCGGGCAGCGACACCCGCAGATTATACGGCGGCGCGCGTAGCGGGGCGATGGTGTCCAGCCAGACCTGCGCGGCGTGCGAGGGGGACGAGTCGGAGCCGCCGGACGAGGTGTCCCCGTCGGGTTCGTTGAACGTGAGGACGTGCTGGATGTGGTTCCCGCGGCGGCTGCTGGGGCTTGATGCGATGCCGACATTCAGTGAGCCGTTCAGGATGCTTTGGATGGTGTCGACCGCGGCGTGGGCGTCCGAGGCCGAGTGGACCATCGGGACGAACTCGGTGGTCCAGCGCGCGAGCGAGGAGCTGGGGCCCGGCCAGGGGCTGTAGTTGTAGTACCACGTCAGGGGACTGTTCTCGTGGGTGAAGATCGAGGCGTCGCGTTCGGAGCTGTCGGTCCCGATGTAGCATAGGCCGCGCTTGGGGAAGGTCGAGTTCGTCGATTGAGCTATACAATAAGGAAGATACGAGAGGAGGAGGGGGAGGAGGAGGACCGATGTCGAGGTTGGACACGATGATTTCATCTTGACGAAATGACTGTGCTGTGCGCCAAAAAGGGACAGGCAGGACCCGAAAGGCTGAGGTATAGAAGGTAATGCTTTGTCGTATAGGCTCTAGGATCGAAGTTCGATCGCTTCCTCAGTCGCGCTGGGGAAGTGTGCTATGCTGTTGCATTCGCCCGGTCGTGTCGTCTGTATGTATATGTGTATGTATACGAAACTTCAAGGAGGGTCCCCGTAGAGCCTGTGCGGTTTTACCCTGGCCGCTGCAGGACGATAACAATGTGCAGATGGAACAATATCAGAACGCTTAGAGAGGGTATTCTAGACGACTTCAGCGGGCTTGCGTCGAGTCGGGTTTAAACCACGATACCGGCACACGATACAAATTGCAGGACGGCGTGTAATAGTCAGGATGGCTCTTGGACATACCTTGGGACGTTGGGACTTGGACCACCAGCAGATATCTAGTATAACTGCTAGCCAAGAATATCACCAAAGAGACGACGACGACATCATTGAGCAGGAGATCATCAAGACGCTTGGGCAGGAAGAACGGTGGTATTCTAATGGCAGAAAGACATGCGCCCAGAGCTTGCGCCACACTCGAGATACGTGGGCTTGCTTGAAATTGACGAATGAAAGTCAATGCGTCAAATGTGTGAGGAAAGGGTATGCAGGAAGACGCTGATGCACGACTAACTTGCACCTTGGCTGCCAATTCTCAGAGTTACTGTATACCTCGTAGGTGAGGATAAGCTGAGGGCGAATCGAGTACAACGTTGACGTCAGTGATTGATAGGCCAGGCGATAAGATAAGATACTCCGCATGAAGTGTGTGCACACTCGTAGCGTGTGAGCGTGTAAATGGTGGCGATGGAACAAAGTTCATTGGCGCACAGCCACAGCCAAAGCCATAGGTAGGTATTCGTGCGCAAGTTGAATGTACTCGTACCGTACGTCTCTCTTTCAGCCACTGTGTTCTCCTCCATATAGTGTGAATGGCTAGTGCCCCTTCGTGTTAGTCTCGAGGGCTCGTTCCAACTTCAGTATGCTCACCACAAGCAACACTGGGCTTCCCCGCTCGTTCCAGCTAAAGCCAGTAAACAGTCCGCCTGTGCATCTTCTGCGTGCAATTTTGCCGCTTCTGTCCTAGTGACCATTGCGCCATCTCGTCTCGAAATATTGAACGCGCGGTCTAGAAACAGAAGACCTGATCTTCGAGCTTACTGACTGGTCTGGCTTTCTGATATCCAAGACTTTCGGTCGCCTTCTTCAGGGCACTGACCATAGGTGGAGGACCACAGATCAGAATTTTCATGTCGGGAGCTGGGGGTGGCAGTCTTTCTTTGATCATATCAGCAGTCACGAATCCGACCCCGCCCTTCCACCCCTCTGGCGGGTTGTTCAGGACGTAGTACACGCTGAAATTGGGGTCCTCCTTGTCCAAGGCATCGAGCTGCTCCTTCAGCAGGATATCATCGGGATTGACATTGGCAAAAACAAGGTCCACCTTCGTGGTGTCCTGGGGCCGGCCGCGATTGATGGCACGGATGATTTGCAACATTGGCGTAATACCTGTCCCACCAGCAATCATACCGATGCGCTTGCACATGTTCGGAGTGTAAACCATGGCACCTTTTGGACCTCGCACTTTCATGGTCTCTCCGATCTTGAGTGTGGCCATGTGTGCACTAATATTGCCTTGAGGGTATGACTTGATCAGGAGCTCGAAAAAGCCCTTGTCCTCGTCGGATGTGATTGGGGTATATGAGCGGACGACCTCTTTCTCGGCACCCTTCGGGGTTGCTGCCAATGACATGTGTTGACCAATGGGCAGACCAATGATATCGGTTGGCCTGGGCAAACCGAAGCGATAGATGGCGACATTGTGCGAGGTCTTTTTAATGTCTGTGAGAGGGAATTCTTGGAAGGTGTCTGGCTTGAGGACTTTCCTCGACGATGCTGCAAGGTAAAGAGTCAACATGCATTTCACACTTGTTCACAGTTCTCGGGTCACTCACGAGGCCCGCTGGCGAAGATCTTGTAGCCTCCCACAAGCGCAGCGAAAGCAACTGCGTAGGGGACGTATTCTCTCTTAATGATTGCGACGCCGACGATCAGCAGCACCGAAGGGATATAGACCCCATTGATGTTTGCTTGAGAAAATGCTGGTTTCCTGGAAAGAGGTGAGCGAGAGATGAAGGGGATTTGGGGGATGAGTGAGGCCCTACCCCATTGTTTGGACGTTGATACCAGTGCTCTCCTCTGCGTACCTCGACGACGACAAGTTCACCTCGACACTAGGAGAGCGGAGTGATAGAGGGCCACCGCACGGTGTTGTGGTTGGGGTCAAAAATATATCGGGATTGGAGAAATTGGCAGGTCTCGACCGCGATCATCGGCAGGGACCACGGTGAGAGAGGCGCGTGGGGCTTCGTTGCGGGATGCTAACCTGGCCAACGTTGACCAGCAGCGAAAACACACTCCCATCTTGTCCGAAGTCCCTGCTGTCGGCTTTTGTGGGGGGTCGCTTGCCTGGATTTGGTGAGAAAGCGCGGGGCCTTTCCGAGCAGCGGAAGGCACACAGCGGCAGCCGACAGTCGCGAAAAAAGTCATCGCCTGGCCGGATACACTCGCCTTATTTTATTCTACAGTATATACTTTGTAAGAGCGGCAATTGTAGATGCACCAGACAGAAGGCGAGCACGGCGGCCTCTGGACTCCGTCAACCACAAACCGTCAACAGATTCGTCGGGCATTCTGGAGTTGGCGAGCATCAGATACACGTAGAGTGCAGCGTGGGCGAGCGTGTTCTTGGGTCAGACTGCGACTTTTGGCGTCTTTGAGTGGCTGCAATGGTGCAGAACGTCAGCCTTCGGATCTGTTCGTAGCTTCCATCAATGCAAAGAGCAGACCACCACTGACAACCTTCGGTCAACCAATCCGGCAAAATACCACGCTCGTTTGTAGTCGAATCACTTTCCGATAGCCATCGGGGATATGGCGGTGCCCCCAGATTCCGACAATACGCCGTCCCCGTTTCCGCTGACAGCGGTGGATCGTGCTGTTCTTGCCATGACGGATGAAGAATTTCATCCTCACACATGGGACGAGCTCAAACAGATTATTGGTGTGTGCTATCGGTGATCATCATGATTGAGCGGTCAGAGTGTCTTTCTGACTGAATGACTACATAGCTGAGCACAATCTCAGCGTCCTCAAAAGATGGCCATCCGACCTGAGACGCTATATGAAATGGTCAGCCGAGACGAAGGCTGCCTATGGAAGTGTGCCAAATTTTGTTATGAAGGAAAGGCTGAAATGGGTTCCGTTGCCTTCGTCCAAGTCAGGACCGAAATTCGAGGTTCGAAACCCGGTTCCCTTTGCAGACCCAGCGGATTACAAGATACTGGTCAATGACTGGCCGTATGGATTGGCGCCTGGTATCAAACATATCATTGTCTGGTTGAAGGTCAGACTCGGGTCAGAGCCTACCAGAGGTGATATGACTCCAGAGTCAAGACAGCAGGTTGAAGAATTCATTCAGTCCAAGTTTATGGAGCGAGTCAAAGACTTGCCAGGCGAACAGGAAAAGGTTATTTGGTTCAAGAACTGGACTGCTTTGCAGTCAGTGCCGGGTATGGAGCACGTTCACGTCCTAGTAAGGGACGTGCCCGACGAGATTATCGGGGAATGGACTGGTGGCGACCATCCTATCAATGATTAACTTCTGGACGACAGCGAGAATGGAAAGATATAGAGAGTAGACTGAGCCTTGCTTCAAAAGTCCTCCCATCACGTCACCCCATGGCGAATCTCATTCCAGATATCGTCGAATACCTGAAAGACCGCCGTAACACCCTGAAGGGTATTCTCGTCAATATCCATGAATCCATAGCGCTGTTGGATCTTGTCGGGATGCCACCGGACACGCTCGGTTTTGATGGCATGGGCAAAAGGATCTGTTCCATCAACAGCCCCATAGCTACTGGTACCCTTTTTGACAAATGACTCGATCTCTTCTCTGGCTACGGCCTTACGGTTTCCTGTTTCGACGGGCCATGCAATCTTGTTTCGTAGAAAGACCTGCTCGGCGTCGTCCCCAGACTTCTGCCGGTTCTGAGCCATGCTCCGAAGGTCTTCCCAGCGGCGGAGATAGTCTTCCCACAGTCTCTGCCACCGCTTGCGGTCCTTCCGCTTCTCGCCTCGCCTTAGACTGTTCTCGATCTCAATGTCGAAGATACGATCCTCATGTCGAGCCTGGCGAGCCCGTTCTCTTCTTGTCTCCTCCTCCCGTATTCTCCGCTTTTCACGTTCACACTCTTTCCGTTTCTCCTCCTTCGCAGTTTCAATTCCTTCCCAGCTCTTTTCCCACATTTTTCGCCGAACGAACTGTGCATATTCTTCATCAGTCATGCGTTCAAGCTCACCAGTCTCTTCGTCTCGGTATGTGTTAGGATAGCTGTGTATTGGTTGGCCGTAGACAGTCTCCCAGAAAGCCGCGCCCTCATCATCGCCCATGGCATCGAATAGCGATTCTCGAAATGCATGGTCCGGAGGGAGATGACTCGAATCGAGATTCTCCACATGGGTCGCATCGTCAGAGTGTCTCGAGGACCGGTGGCGCTTCCTATGTCCATGAGACGAATGATGGTGCTTGCGACGCTTGTGACTTCTCGAGCTGACTTCGTTATGGCGGGCATCCTGTGACCTGGACTTGAAGCGGAAGCGCTTCGGTCTCTCATCAGTTTCGCCGCGCTCCGCTGCAGGCTCTTCTGATGTGGCTTCTGAGGGCATCTCAGGCATCCCAAGTCTATGAAACCCCGATCAGAAAGTCTGGAAGCGCTGCCGCGTAGGCGATACTGCTGCCCTGGAAAGCGGGCACTGCACTGAGAATCGAAATGGTTCAGCGCAAACAAGGACGACCGAGCCAGGAGCCAGAAGGCGTGCCTTTAACGGAGGTAAGTTATTCCGGTGCCGGAACGCCAAGATATCAGTTCCTGTCTCAAAAACCGGAACTTGGACCGCATTGGTAGTGGAGATGTGACTCTTCAAAAGAGATGTCCTTTTGCTGCCGCTCCTTCCTAAGACAAGACTGTTTCAATTCTTTCAAAAAATCTTCTTTTGCAGTACAAAGACGTCGAAGTCCCCCAATAAAAAGCCCACTAGGGTGTGTCCAACGAGGAACTCATATTTCAACAAATTCTCCAATCTTTGTAAAACAACAACACCGACTTTATTGTGGCAGCTCACCGGCAAGATCAAGAATGGCTGGTGAACTCGACAGTCGGGTGTCACCTTTGACGCTCGAAGAAATGGCGAAAGTCAAGAACCCCATGGACTTCTACCGACAGTACATCGCCGAGCAGTTATCACCCATCGTCAACCGACCAGAGAAAGAACTCATTCCATTAATACAGTGGCCCATGACACTAGACAAGGGGGATCTTGTGCTAGCTGTTCCTGCATTGAGAGTGAAGGGCAAGCCGCCCCAGGATCAAGCCAAAGAAATCGTTGAAGCGTTCCCCAAGACGGATGATACCCTCGTCACAGTGAGCCAGGCAGGCCCATTCGTCCAGTTTTTCGCGAAGCCAGAACATATCATCAAGACGACCATTCAAGAGATCCTCACACACACGAAGGCGTATGGTTCAAATCCAACTCCGGGACTGAAAGACCCATCGGACCCATCCAAGGGGCAAAAGAAGATCATCGTCGAGTTCTCATCTCCGAATATTGCCAAAGAATTCCACGCAGGCCATCTTCGAAGTACCATCATTGGCGGCTTTTTGGCGAAGCTCTATCAAATTCTGGGTTGGGAGGTATTGAGGATGAACTATCTGGGAGACTGGGGCAAACAGTATGGTCTGCTGGCAAACGGCTTCAAAGAGTTTGGCAGTCAGGAAGAATTAGACAAGAACTCGATCGCACATCTGTTCCAGGTCTATGTCCAGATCAACAAGGTGAAAGAAGCCCAAGATGGTCCGATCAACGAGCTGAAGAAAGAAATAAAAGAGAAGAAAGCTAAAGGCGAAGATGTTTCTACACTGGAGGCCAAGCTTGCACCCTTAGTGGAAGAGAGCGAAGACGAGAAGGCGAGGAAGTATTTCCGGAGTATGGAAGAGGGTGATCCGGAAGCGTTGGCGTTGTGGCAGCAGTTTAGGGACTTGAGTATCAAGAAATACCAGAAGACATACGCCAGGTTGAACATCGCATTCGATGTCTACTCGGGCGAGTCCCAGGTGAAGCAAGAGACAATCAAGCAGGTGTTGGACAATCTGATGGCGAAAAAGATTGCAGAAGAGTCCGATGGAGCAATCCTGATCGACTTCGCAAAACATGGCGCTAAGAAGCTCAACAAAGCTATCATCGTAAGGAAGGACGGCACACCGTTATACCTGACACGAGATCTGGCTGCTATCCTGGAGCGATACAATGACTATCATTTCGACAAGATGATCTACGTTGTTGCAGACCAGCAGAATGAACACGTCGCACAGCTTTTCAAGACAACCGAGATCAGTGGGCACAAGGACATTGCCGATAAATGCGAGCACGTCTCCTTCGGCATGGTCAAGGGCATGAGCACACGCAAAGGCACCGTCAAGTTTCTGGACGACATCATTCAGACGGTCAAGGATACCATGCTTGATGTGATGAGGAAGAACGATCAGAAATATTCACAGTTGGACGATCCAGACGCCGTGGCCGACACTCTGGCTATCACGGCGATCATGGTGCAGGATTTGACAGGCAAGGTTCGAAACGGCTACGAATTCAACATCAACCAGATGACGGCATTTGAGGGAGACACCGGTCCATACCTGCAGTATGCGCACGCGCGGTTGTGCTCGATCGAACGCAAGGCGAACGCAGATCTCAGTGCGCTGGGGTCTGCCGACTTGTCACTGCTGCAAGAGACTCACGCTATCAACCTAGCACGATCCCTTGCCCAGTACCCCGATGTCGTCCTTAACACGCTCAAGACGCGCGAACCGGCCACCGTGCTGACCTACTTGTTCAAGATGGCCCATGCGCTGAGCTCAAGTTACGACCACTTGCAGGTGGTCGGAAGTGAACCTGAGCTGCAGAAAGCTCGATTGGCACTGTACGAAGCTGCTCGCCAAGTGTTGTGGAATGGCATGACCTTGCTCGGCTTAACCCCGGTCGAGAGGATGTAAGAACAGACATCAAGAGAAGTGGAAATTTGGTAGTAGTGTTGATTGTGTGGACAGGGGTTGGTCTAGCATTTCAGCGGGAGATTCCGGAGTGCGCATTCTGAAGGATCGATGCCCCTGCTCCTCAATCTGGAGTTCGGCCGTGGGTTCATGCAACAGGACAAGCGTGAACCACGGATGACCGGCCGATCAGGGGACTAGGAGCCGGACATCAGGCTGATAAGAAGACGGGGCAGCTGCATAAACTAGCATTACGCGCGGTATACCAGGGACTCGTACCTAGGCAGACTTGATGGGATCTCGTCTTGCCCATGGCTGAATGTGGTGAGGGTGCATCCAACGAAGACAGAGTCGGGTTTAGTCAGGGCGAAAATTCGATGCAGGCGTCACAGCGCGTTGGGCACCTACACCTATCTGATCATCATCTTTCTCGCCACCACTCTCTTCCGGACCGGATTTGGAGCCGTGACGCCGTGCCGTTGACGTACTGAGATTGACAATGAAGACGCGACATGAGAAGCGGGAGCGTTCGAGGCTGGTAAAAGTGCGATAGCTAGGTTGCCAGAGTGCATTCTGCTCGACCGACGACAGCTTTGGTGAGCTCCAACCTTGCATGCAGGCCATGAACCAAAGGCCCATGCAGCGTGGAATCTGATTCAATGCTGGAGGGGTAATCTCATGCATGGAGGGGGAGGCAGCAACGAGGGTGAGCACGGGCACTGCATTGAATGAATCTTGGATCGACCCTTCGCTGCGCGTAGGCTCCCCGCCTTTGCTGCTGGCCAACAAATAGGCTGCCGTGTAACAGTCTGGGTCATGGTGTTGTATCACAATGTCATCCCCTTTGTAAACGCCACTCCACGTTTCGTGTGACACTGGGAGGATGCTAGCGAGCTGGATGGATTGAGGCAGATACACAAATACCTTTGGCAACCCCTTCACTTGTCAGTCACACTTTGAGAGGGGGAGCTGGTGCAAGCACTGCTTTATTCATGCCGACCTTGGCTACCTGATCGCGTTTGACAAGGTCCCCGCTGACGTCGAGTTGTGGTTGAAATCACCGCAAGCGAACGCAAGATGCTGATGGCAACGAGGGCTAAGAAGCGACGAAGTCGACCACCGAAGTGGCAGAGAGGATGACTGGGGGTGGCAGGGGGTGGCAGACTGGGGCAGTCACAATCCCCGAGTGGTTGTCCTCGTCCGCTCGTGCCTGCAACTAGAGCTGCGATGTGCGTGGTGCGTAGGTTGGGCAGCTCATTGGGCTGTATTTGCCACTCATGTTGCAGCAATTGTTCATTAATGCGGCACATCACGCAACTAATTCTGGCCAGCCCTTGTGGGTGCCTTGACTGGCGAGCGTTGCGACAATGAACAGGTGCGAGGGCTGATGGGTTTTGAACACCGGTCGGTGGATTGGCTCTCACCTGTCCCTCAGTTGTCGCTCACCTGCCCCTCTCTCACACACGCACATTCTACTCTTCCCTCGTTTGCCGCGCTATTTTTTCGACACTCGAGGCCCGGCCCCTGCTCTGCCTGTTGCTGCCTCCGATTCCTGTTCGTCATCCCGCAGGCTATCATCAGGCAGTCAAGTGAATCCTTTCTATCTTCTTTGCCCCTCGCTGCTCCGCGTCGTCTGCCTCTGCTTCTGCCTCTGCCTCCAGGGACGCGTAGTGGGGTTGAGCAAGCATGACTCCTCTGCAAAAGAAATCCAAGCACAGGCGCCATTAAATCTTTTGTTCCTCTCTGCCTGCACATCTGTCCATATCACCAGCAAGATCTCATATCAATTTCTTTCATTTGTGTTTGGCAGATCTCTGCGGCCTGCCTTTGCATTGACAGGCGCGCACTCTTGGTTGGCAAATCAAGATCGCACACGATTACCGCTTCACTCACTAAAGATCGTCATTGAAACACTGCGAGACCAGCCTTTTGCTCGTCGCCCTCCCGCAGGACACTGCACTGGCCGAAGCGCAGACACCTGTGCGACCGGAGATTTGCATCATATCTACAAAGCCATTGTCACAGCATCGGGAGGTGGAACAAGCCCGGAGCAACTTGAACATCGGCTTGTCCTGTAATCCCCGATTCAAGAGCGAGCGAAGCGCACAACTGCGCGGCCGGGACGGAAAAGCATTCGGGATGGATGCCTTCCAATACTTCCAGGATTGAGAAATACCGAATTAGAAAGGGTCAATTGGACCAGAGCTGAAGGCCCGGACGCCTGGCGTACCTGAGACCAGACAATAATATCAATCACTATTTCAGCAAAGAAACCCTTCGGGACGAGCCACCAGCCGCGAGCCGCCCCAAACCTTGGTCATCACTTTTCAAGAAGTACAGCACGGCCGGCGGCTTGTTGCCAGTCTTTGGCTGTTCCGGAACCCTGACCGGCCTTACAGGCCCCTGCAAAAAGTACTTAACTGAACCGTGGATTTTAGCGGATAGTCATTCGTGGCCAGAGCAGGGACCCTGACTCTCCACATCTCTCAAACCCCCATTACAACCACATTCTTCGGCCACGTCCAAGAATAGGCTGACAACCCAGCCCCTTGCGCTTGATCGAATATAACAAACAACTTGCACCTTCGCCAAAGGCTGCTTTCTCTCACTCACCGCCGCTCCTATGCCAGAATCTGATCGTCGCCGTCCCCGAGTCGCCACTTGCGAGGAGTGGGACGAAGATGCTCAAACAACCCGTCCAGGCACCCAAACAACGGCCAATGTCTCCACCAAACGCTCCGACCATGACCTTGTTCCTCGACAACGGGAGACGAACAACTTCTACACCGACTGCGGAGACTCGGGATATGCTAGCCGCGCTGCAACTACAGTTAGCGAATCCACGTCCTCAAGTCGTCGCAGGATTCCTGACTTGAAACTCGACACCGCTGGAATTCGCGAGCGGGAGCGGAATCCCTATCTATATTCTCAGACCGCTGTCCCCAAACCACCAACTCGCCGCCAGTCTTCATCTCAGTCGAAAGAACCCTCACCCGAAAAACGCCCGACCAGAGTAAGAGATGATCTTCCCCAGAGAGGATATTCCGACCATTACACAAAGCACTCGGAGCCAAAGCAAGCAGCTAAGGTAGCTCGTCCGCCAAATTCTCCAGGGGCTGTGAAGAAGGAAATTGCAAAAAGCGCCAAAGATGACCCATCTGCGACCACTAAGAGCAGAAGGCTGTCGTCGAATCAGCAACCCACGCCAGTGAACATGTTGCCCCCAAATGCTCCGATGCCGATACAATATGCCATGTATCCTGCATACCCACATCCGGGTATTGCGACATCAGGCTATGCGACACCAGTTACACCATCCGGCCCTTACGGTTCAATGCCATTTTCGTACGCACCTCCGCCTACCTTGCCAACACCATCCTACGCGACTTATCTGCCTCCGCCTTCCTACTTCGACCAATTACCTGAGCCAAGATCAGCCAGGCCAAGTCGACATCCAAGTCCTGTCCGAAGAGCAAGCGCATATGGCGAACCCGTTATCAGACAGAGCCAGCCCGACTCAGCAATGATGTCTCTCGAACGTAGGCCTTCGAAAGAGAGTCGACCAGCACTTCCTTCGCATAGGTCTTCTCGTAGTACCGACGTTGATCGAGGACAGATGCTACCTCCACCTCGACCGCAGCAGCCTGAGGTCGTCCTCGGACGGAGACCCAGCACCAGAAGGTCCCAGACCTATCATCCGCAAGAGCCTACTGTCCGCGAGAGGGTCGTCTTCGAGCCGGACCAGTATGAAAGCGATGATGATCGTGATAATGGGCATATCCGTGCCGCGCCTCCGTCCTCTTTTCGTGAACGCAGAGAGTCGTCCTCCCGTCCACCTTCATCATACCGTCCCCTTACACATGCGGAGCCTCGCGAGCGACCTCCGGCGAGAAAGTCCGTCTCATATTCCACAGGCGCCACCGTTACGAAGGTAGCATCATCTTCATCGCCCGCTATGCCTCGGCGTATGACCGTACCTCTCGAACAGAAGGAGGCCGAGGTGGAAGAGTACCAAGCGAAACGAAACAGCGCGGCTGTTGCTGCCAGTGGCTTGACAGCCGAAGCCCTCCGCAAGCTCGATCAGCGCACTTCAAGTTCCAAATCCGAAACAGGAAGCAACTTCAGCCATCAGTCGTCATCCAAAGATTCATCTGGGCGCGATCGAAGTCAGACTGCTGGCGCCAAGACCAGCATCATGCTCCCTGGCGGAATGAACGTGACCATTCCTGAAGGCTATATGAGCAGAGACGGCCGCCCTCTCAGCATCAATATTGGGGGACTTGTCGTCTCAGTCGCTGCAGAAGGCAAAGAGAACGAGCGCCCCAAAGAGCAGAAGAGAATCGAACGGGCACCTAGTGTGGCCAGCCGGACTTCCAAGAGAAGTGCTGCCAGTAGCGTCGTCTCCAACCCTAGAGGTCGAGACATGCCACCTCCCGTTTCTCGACGACCATCACAGCTGGAAGATCGTGTCCCAACGAGTCTGAGATCCAGCCGTCAGCCTAGTCGTGCACCGAGCATGAGTCGAGGCAGTCATGACTACTCCTCCAAACGACAAAGCGTCGACTACAGCAGGGAAATTGATTACAACAGAGAATATGACGACTTCTATGCGGCAGGATGAGGTCGAATGGGTGGACATACGTTTTGTGCATGTGTTTTGAGCTACGGGTGGCCGTCTGAGCGCATTTTCCTCCTTGTCCATCTGCTGGTTGGCTATTCTGACATGTCGTTTCTGCAATCCTTTTAATTTGTTGCTCTTCACTCGGGGTCAGTCACTTCCCGGATTGTTACGGCTGTTTGGGTATTCGATCCTCTAGGCAAGCTGCACTCTTGACGATGCTGGCTGTGCTTGCGTCGCCGTTGCTGCTCTCCTGTTGGGCAAGGATGTGTGCCAGCCGTTTTTCTGATGGCAAAAGCAAAGCAGAAAAAAAAGAACACCAAAAGTCCAACAAAAGTTACTTGATACCCCCCGAGTCGCCTTCAGCATAGCCGGAGGCAACAGATTGGGAATTTCCCTTCAGCAAGGTGGAAAGGAATGTTGGTAGCTGGGATACCAACGTGAAAAGCAGCGAGCGGCAATTTTTCTGGTCTCTATGGCTTGGGGTTGATGTGTTGATACACACCTTGTGGCATGCGTGCATTTCTTATTTTTCGGGCATGAATGACGCTTTGAGACGATACTGCCATTGGTCTCGGGCGAAGGAGATGTCGGGTACAGCTTCTCGGCCATTCCATGTACCGCAGGCAACGTTATCCGGTTCTTGAGTTCTGTTCTGACGACCATATTCACGATTTCACACGACGAGACGAGATGAGATGATGGATAGCACGCAAACGAGGGATGAGAGGCCCAAGATTGGAAAAGAGGGCAGACGAAAGGTCTGCCATGTGTGAGAGAGAAAAGGGAGAGACATGACAAAGTTAGCTCTTTAGGAGGTCCTTGACGAGAACGTGGAGAAGCCGGCGCATGTCCTGTCCCGCCAATGGATACAGCAAGGCGCCAGGTAGACAGATCCTGTATGTAGCATGAATGATATCAACATCAACATCAACATCAACCTCCGCAGACTAGAAGGAAAAGTCAATCTCACAAAGAATGGTTGACGCTCAAACCGGAAAACATGGACCTCCTTCCTTCCTTCCGCCTTCCTTCCTTCCACGGTGACCCAGGAGGCGTATCCTGTCCATGATGACTCGATAGGCTTGTACTGTCTATCCTCTTCAGCCACCATTCTAATCGCTAGATCATTGGACACAAATTTCCAACAACTACGTACCACATCGATGAATGCACATTCCTAACTGCTACATCGGTGAGTTGCTTCTGTATCCCCGTGAAGACAGGGTGTGCGCACATCCCGCCGGGGTAGAGGTGCAAGTGGAAAGGGTCGCCGCGGCACGCATCGGAAACAAAGCGTTGTAGTATATGCAGAATGTATTATTAGTGGTTGTAATCTATATCCCAGAGGACACCAAGGAGATCATCGTGGCTATCGTCAATGTCGGCCCCGGAGCTCTCGTAACCAAATATATGCAAACCACGCTATGCTTCGGACGTAAGAATCATATCCCAGATATGTACGCACAGCAACGCTTGCCAATAAAACAAAACCATCCACGCCATTGGTTCCCACTACTTGTGCCGATACTGCTCAAAGGCCAGGTCGGGCAATCTGGGCTCCCTCGAGAAGGGTGGAGGACTTCCACTATGGTCACTTCGTCCTTGGCTCAAACTGCGGTAGCCAGCCTTGCCCATCTCGGCACCACGGGTGACTAGCGTTTCTTGGCTCTCATCCCGTCGGGGTCCGAAGCGTGAGAAAGCCTGCGCACGCACTTGTTCGTAACCACCAAGCTCGGACGTTTTGCGATCGTGGCGAGGTGGCGAAGAGAAGGGAGTAGGTTGCATGAGGAATGCGTCGCCTTCGAGGTCGCGGGAAAGATGCTTCTCTGCAGCCTTGCGGCGCTTGCGGTGAGGGTTCTCCCGGAAACACGTGATGATGCTGTTGATCACGATCAACAGTGCAAGGATAGCGGTCAGGCCAGATTGCACGGCGATCAAGACGACACCGGTGATGGTCTTGGTGGTTTGTGCGATCCCGAGCTCCTCCACAAAGACCAAAATACAGACCACGGACATGACTCGCACGACCTGAATGATGATGTTTATCCAGTTGCCAGATTTGCGCTGGTACGGTCGGCTCCAGAGCAAAAGGATGAGCATCAAAGACTCAATGACGAGTTGACCGATTGTCTGAAACAAGCCATGGCCGTCGCCAGCAGCCAGCACACATCCTTTCGCGAACATGTAGATTATGGCTGGAATGAAGAGCCACCAATAACCCTTCTTGTAGTTCTCATAAAACATCTTGTACTTCTTCCAGGTCTCCTTGTTCTCGAAAAGAGCGTCGGCACTACCTTCCATTTTCTTCAGTTTCTGGACCACGGTGAAAATTTTCCAGGTATAAAACGCGAGCAGCGCGGTGAACGTGCCGAGTGTGACAGCTGCGAGGACTTTTGCAGCCCAAGAATCGCCATGGGTGAATTGGAAGATACAGTACAGTGTCCATACACCGTAGAGTAGGAATACCAAGTTGGTGATCGTCTGGAACATAATACGCCAGTATTCCTTCCGGAAGGTCGTCAAGGACTTGGGGAATTTTCCAAAGAGTGCCCATGCTTCCAGAATGACCTTGAATAGCAAAATACCGACGACGATAGCCGCAAGAACAATAGCGAAGATCAAGAGCACCGTCATAAAGGTGTTGGCCTGAGGGATCGTAAGCTGCTCAACGTAGCCCTGGATTCCCTGAACGAGGTGAGATTCCTGGGAGTCGCTAGAGCTGGATTCGTCGCTCGTGCCGTTGACGGACGTGGTGACTTGGCGTGCCACCAAGAGCAGTGCACGCTTTGCGATGCCGCTTGATGTGGTGGCTGTACTGCCGTCAGGATAAACCAAAGTAGCGTTCTTGAGGTAATCGTAGCTGTTATTTGTCAAGTTGCCTCCGGTATGCGATCTGAATGAGTCGATTGATGTTTGCAAGCCACCCCAGGAGACGAGCCCGGTGCTGAAGGCGAAGTTCTTGGCGAAGCTGCTATAGACGCCAGGGTAGTTGACTGAGTGCATACCATTCATCACCATCCCCTGGAACCAGAACATCACGTCGAAGAAACCAGGGCTCGAACTGGTGGTGCCAGGGTGCGCACCACTGGCCGCGGCACCCACCAACGAGACAGCCAAAGCACCAGCAGCAATGGCAGCGGCGACGTACGATACAGCCGGTACATCCGTGGTCTTCCCATTAGAAACACCTGATTGTACACAAGCCACTTCCGAACCTTCTTTGTTCTTAAGAACCAGCTGAGCATTTCCATCGAGATCGGGAAGCGAATAGGCTATTGACGGGATGAGGGAGGTATATGAGGAAGGAATGACTTGTGATCCGTTGGCGGCAAATGTGCCCGCAGGTACTGGACGATGTTAGAATGGTATGCAATTGTGGTGAGCAAGTGGGCTTACCAGGACATAGTTGATCGACCTTGGTGTCATCGGCACAGGGGTCGAAGCTGTTGTTGTATACCTTGACGCCGTAGGCCGTCACGATCAATTCGGCTGTGACAAATTGTTCCTGGGTACTGGTACCCGAAACGTCGAAGTCAATCTTTTCGGTGGACTTATCGAATGAGATATCGACATTGTTGACTTTGATCGTCGATGAGCCGTTGTTGCAATTCGAGAAACCATTGGTCTTCAATATATCTGTTGCCAGCACAGATGGCAGCAGAGCCAGCGAGGCCAATGCCACCACCGACGTCCTCCACATGGCGATATGTGTACTGTGTATTCAATGACGCGCTATTGTGGCCGTCAAAGGACGAATTGGAAATTTCCCTTTTCAATGCCACCTTCCAACCATGTGTATTCCAATGGCACGATGAGGGCGGAGGTCAGATGGGCTTCTGGTCGACGGGAGCCTGGTGTGTGCAAGGCAAAAGCTGGGGAGGCGTGGAAAGGTCGAGCGAGTGACAGCTGGAAGGAAACGAATGGGCAAGAGCGAACGTATGAAGTCGTGGGAAAGTGAGCGACGCAGGATATGTGTGAACGACGAAAAGGACTGAGTTGACTGGGTTTTCAGCTGAAGTCTCGATTGCGGGCAGAACGATGCAGATATGCCTCATCATCGCGTTGGATTAGGATGGGCCCTATGTCTGAAAGGCTCGCTTACAGACGCCGTTTCAGGCTGTGGGCACCTGGAGGGCGACGACAGTCTCTGGAAGGTCCGCCCAAAAACCATCGTCGGCAAGTGGATTAACGGGGTACTGTAAGTGGCGCTTTAGGGAAAAACTCTGGTGGTGTTTGACTGGGTGAGTGGCTCCTGCTTGCGTAACCAAGCTTTTGGGTCCTCAGGGGGCGTCGGTGCCCACCGAGCATGGGCGTCAGCCAGTCGCACAACAGTTCGCGGTGGCTTGGGCCTTGCGAATGGCACCCCAAAGTCCTCCCACCACTCCCTCCTCGTAGGGTCACGCTACCTTCGGCTGCTGTGCATAATACACAATTACTCGTTGCGAGAATGATCGCGAGCAGAGACCACTGGGTATCCTTCCTGCCAGCTGGTCAATGGCCGCGTTGTTGTTTGTCCGCATGACCTTCTGATCACTGGTACGTGTAGTCCATCAGAAAATCGATAGACGGGTGACGGTTTAGCAGATCAGTGGATCCCCTTCAAGCAGCTCCGGTGGTGAGGCGCAGCCCGAACCATGCAAGACATGCCCCACCACTGCGGGTTCGCCAATCCGTCCGAGTGCGCCAGCGTTCGGCTGACTGCGCCTCGCCGAACTCCTTCTCGGCGTCCTTCGATGAATCCGTCGAGTTCTGTCTTTGGTACCTGCATGTCAGGCCTCTCGTCACCGTCTTCGTAGACATGCAAGGCACGAGAACCCTCGAGTGACATGAATCGCAAATTTGCAGGCCGGCTGACGAGGAAGTAGGAAGTGCCTTTTCAAAGAAAAATAAAACCATAGGCCTTGTGGTGTGCGAAAAGCATTAACTATGACAGACGCAGACCCGCCCATCGGGGTCCTATTAATAGCTGGAGCCACTTCTTGAGCCAAAGATCACACGACTCGAACGACCACAGCCTCGTCACCTTTAGGCGAACGGACATTCACTCGAAAGAGCTGTGGTTCATAGCTTCAGGCTTCATTATCGCATGTGGAGAGGCTGGCATGGCAACTCAAGCAGCTGTTCTCAGGGAGGCACAAGCATGTGCTATCGTTCTAGTGTACATTTTCTGGCTCTCTTCCCTCTTGGCACTTCCTGATGCCAGAAGCGCTCCGTACACTTTTGTCGTGTAAAAGAGCTAATGCACGCGCTATTCATCTCGTCAGAAATCTGGCTACTTCTCTTCTTTCGAAGAAATGGACAAATCGTGAGAGGCTCGCTCCCGACATCCTCGACGCCCTCAAAATGCTTCACATCCATCCCATCGGCTACAGCACCAGAGACCACTGGTTGATTGTAATGCGGCTGGAAAATCTTCATCTGCCATATGGATGGTAACGACCTCTTCCCCGGAATCCTCCCCCTGGTTTGTTTCCCGGATTCTTGGGTCCAGTCGGCGCATTAGCTGGAGCACTTGGTGCCGCAGGTCCGCCAGGACCTTTTGGTGGTTTCGGGGTATTGTGACGAACTGGTCCCGCGGAGCCTCTGCCTCCAGCGTTGCCTTCTGGTTGAGGGACGTCGTCGTACATGCCCTCCCACGACTGCGGCCCACTGCCGTGTTGTTGTCCGTGCTGGCCTTGAAAGCCTCCTCCACGCGGACCATGAGGGAATCCACCCTGGCGCCGCGCGTGTTGTTGTTCATACTTCTGTTGCTCAAACGCCAGCTGCTCTTGTGCCGATAATTGTCGTTGCCCTCCAACCATACTGGCCGGGCCCATGGGTGGACGTCCCCCACCCATGTTCATCCCGTTCATTCCACCTTGCTGCATATTCATCATCTGTTGCATCATTTGCGGATTCATGCCTTGCATGTTGCCCATGCCGGCATTCTGCGCGTTGGGACTGTTTCCCCCTTGCATCTTCTGTTGCTGCTGCATCATTTGCATCAGCTGCATCTGTTGAGGGTTCATACCCATATTCCCCATTCCACCCATGCCGCCCATCATATTCGCTGCCATCTGTTGCTGCATCATGGAAAAGTACTGTTGCATTCTCTGCCAGTACTGAGCCATCATTTGCGGCGTCATGCCGGAATTGCCGGCCATCATATTCGGCGTTTGATTCTGTGCAGCTTGTGCAGGCTGGTTGTTGTCGTTACTGCCGAAACGATCTTCCCGTCCGAACTTTCCGCGTCCTCCTCGGCCACGACCAAAGTCTTCATCTTCGCCCATCTTGCCTCTTGGTTGAGCACGCTTCACTTCGATGGGCTTCCCGAGGATTTCGAGCGGATAGAACTGCAAGCATTTTTCCACCGCCGCATCACTGTCGAAGGTCACGAATCCAAAGCCTCGTGGGCGGCCCGTGTCCTTGTCCATCATGAGCGTTGCGTCGATCACGCGACCGAACTGGGCGAAAAATCCCTCGAAGTCTTCCTCTGTCGCATCTTGACTGACGCCACCAACGAAGATTTTGGCTGTCTTCTCTTGTTCGTCTCGGGGGATCGCACGCTTCGGGTCGATCTGGGTACCACACAGTAAGTCTTTGTGTTTCCGGTGCAGGGAATGTGAACGTCTCCGGGAAATTGATTCAAGGGTTTCTTGTCTCTCCCGCAATTTATCACAATGGGTGGCTCTTACAATCTTTCCGTCTAGGAAATGCTCCTTTACCATCACTGTGTTAACTGTCTTCGGGTCCTTGAACGTCAAAAAGCCGAAGCCTCGAGAGCGGCCCGTAGCACTGTCTCTCATGACGGTGCATTCTTGTACTTCGCCGAACTGAGAGAAATAATCGTGCAAAGACTCTGTTGACTATTTAGTATCATGGCGGCGTCATGCCGAATGATCGCTCGAAGAAATTTGGCGTCGATTCAGCGGACTGGGACAGTGTCTTACGGTCGGTCGTTTCCCAATTGAGTCCACCTATGAACATTTTTCTGCAGATAGCACTATGTTAGCTATGAATTCAATGCCACGACAAGCTCATGAGGTGAGCGTGAAACTGACAAGGACAATGGGATAGCGATGAAGAGTGCGGCACATAAAATCCTTCATCTGCTGGACCACTGGCCGGCCAACAGCCTTGCAACAACAGCATTACACCACGCCTCCACGACTGTGCAGATTCCCAACGCAGACACTGCATGGAAATTTGTATCCGCCCACGGACAGTGTGGTCTAGAAGCAGATATCATGGCTTGGGGACTTCTTTGTTGTTTGGCAATCGAGGAGCGGCCTGTTGCAGCACAGCGCGGTGATATAGGCCAGCCAGCACCGGGAGGATCAAGGTGGGTATGTGCCAAGACTATTCGTATGAACGCTCTGCCGCTGGCTGCAAATATTGAGACCCCGACCACCGACTCCATGACCTGTTCTGTGACTGTGGCATATCTGTAGCGCATCAAGGTGCGCCGGGTGGCACGCATGCCATTGACCGATAGCTGTCATCTGACGCATAGGAAGCAATATTGATGATCTGTACTCCTCGACTTCCGTCCCGCATGCAACTTGAGGTAGTCGACAGTGTTCTGACTTCTAGCCGACTGAGGCAAAGATTCGTTGGCGTTTTCTGAGATTCAACAGACACTCCATAGCATCTATCACCTGCCTGACTTGTCTTTTTACGTTGCTCTGCCTGGGAATATCTCGTGTATGGGAGCAGATACTGCCAACTATCCTGGCGCGCCTGGACCACCACTTTCGGTACTGAAGATTGACTCTCTGCTAGGTGTTGCAATATGTGGAAAACCATTGACGTAAGGTGCAAATATCCGACAAGTCTTCATGCCATGATAGGTCCGACAATCTTCGACCGCAGCCACCCAAGCATGCCTCAACAGGAAAGAGGCTGGCAGATGCTAGTAGCCCTGTGCAACCGTCCCTGGTATGCACGGCCTTTGCCAGTATGGGTGATTGCATGGCCCATAATCCCTTGCCGAACAGATGTAAGAGACCATCCACATCCGCCAGTATAAAGATCTCTTGTCTTCGAACAGGAGACAATCTTGCATCTTCAACATGTTTGATGTTGTCTTTCAGATCGTGTACAGCTTTGCTTCTTCCATGCCGGCCACTGTTGAGATCGGTTGTTTCAAGGACATTCCAAGCCACTGTTACCCATGGTGCTCTCTTCGGCGTGGTCCATCCCTTTGGACTTCTACTCTGCCCAAACAGGACATGACAGACTTCAAAACGTGAAAAGGGGAGAGATAAGGTAGAACAAAGGGGCCATTGGTAAACACATTTGACTCACCCATCCTCTTTCATGTTGACATTGTAACGCTCTTGCTGTGGCTGCATGTCATGTGCCTCTTGTATTTGGACGTCATTATTGGTGCCATTGGCCGATTCTTCTTGACCCTGAGGTTCCGTCTCAAAGGACACGTCGTTGTAAGCGACCTCTGGCTCTTCACCATAGCCTGGAGCATCGTTGCCCTTCATGGCAGCGTCGCTCGAGGAAGGCGGTGCAGCAGGAGCTGCAGGAACGGCAGCGGCTGCATTGTTATTCGAAGCGACATTCTCTTCGCCGTCGTAGCTGAAAGGTGACGTTAGCAACAGCGGCATCTGACCAAACACCGTCTCAGGGAGAGCAGTGGAACAGATGAGGTCGGAGAAACTTACAGATCTGCGAAGAGATCTTCCTCCACGTCGTCAGGTTCTGCCATCTTCACTGTTCACCTACAAAAGCGTGATCAGGTGCGTGAGTTACGCTCACGGATTTCTTTGAGTCGACTTCAGAAGTTTTCCTAGGCGAATATATCTGAGAGCCGAAGCAAAGAGACGAGGTGGCTGCGCGGCCTGTACACAGCCGAAAGGGAGGATATGGATAGTGATTGTTGGTTGAGAACGAATCAGAACAAAAGGTACACTAAGGATGGAGTGAGGTGACAGGTCAAGGTCAGTTGAAGGTGAGGCCATGAACGCGCTGTTTAGAAGCGCAGCCGGAGGTCTAGGCTCCGATAGCCTTGGCAATATCGGCGGATAGTGATCACGTTGGCGTGGGCGGGAGCCCGAGGCACCGCCTACGAACTACTGTGGATGTACCTTAGGCACACCACGCCGGCACTGACGTGCGGCCCTGAATGACCGCCTGCGTCCACACCCGCCTTGTAAACACATTGCCTGCAATGATCGCTATTGTCATCCACAGGATACAAGCATGTTCTCTCCGCCTCATGCAAAAGTGATCAGGAGGAAACCTCGATAGGCTTTCCTCGCGGCAACTGAATCCCAAGTTGACTCAAAATGGCTCAAAAGAGGACTCAACAGCAGGTAACATCTTCGCCATAAATGCTGTATACAAGTTCCTACTGACCGTCCGCAGGAGATGGTCCAGGTCGGTTCGTGCCTCCTTGTGTCTCCTTGTTTGCTACATATATTCGTGGCAGGGACTCTGACTAACGCCTGGTCGACCGGCAGACAGAACAGAGTACGACCATCAAGCCAGCTGCAACATCTCCCCATAGTCCTTGCTAACGCTCTGTAGGCGACCATCCTCCCCCTTCTGGAGAGGACGGCCTTCCACTTCTCGGCAAGCATCGGGCCAGTCTACCAAAGTCTTTGGCGCGTCTTACTCCCATGCGGATATGCTGAAGTTCGAATCACTGTAAGAGCATGGACAGCGAAGATGGGAGCGTACAACTAATCCATGCCAGGAATTTGGGACCTCATTCGAGACCGAGAACGCCACCCCCACCGACACATAGACCGTCGCAGACACCCCCGCTAGAGAGGCAGAATATTCAGTCTCCAGAGAGAAGACCGTACACAGGCTACACCTCTTCCGCACTTGGCGAGAGCTGGGACGTCGGCAGTGGTGGAGACCTGGACGATGAAGACGATGATGACCTTGTGTATGAGGATGACGAAGACGAGTTCGGGCTCCCCAGCATCACAAGCATGCGGCGGAAACGAAGTAGGAAGACCATGACGCTGAAAGCCGACCAAATATCGTACCCCAACCTATTACAAACCACGTCCGCTCCAACTTTGGCTCCGTCGCCCTTTGCCCAGCCTGTCAGGTCGAACAGCTTTGATATCGCTGAGGAGCGCAACCCGCTGGCATACCCGAGCGCGAAGAAGGGAGAAGGGAAGATCCTAAGGCCTCAGTATAAAGACATCCTAAGGGACCCAGCAAATTCGCTCCATTTGATTAACCACCCTTCGCTGCCTTTGAATGCAACACCCAAGGAAACAGAGGCCCATAGCACACGAATATCACGAATCAATAAGTTCAAGCGAATCTTACAGGCAAGCTCTGTGTCTCTACCGGATTTACGAGCCGCAGCGTGGTCAGGGGTTCCCGAAGAAGTCCGTGCCATCACATGGCAGCTTCTACTTGGGCATGTGCCTACCAATAGTGAACGTCGTGTTGCAACTCTTGAGCGAAAGCGGAAAGAGTATCTCGATGCTGTGAGCCAAGCTTTCAGTACAGGCCATGCATCAAGTCGGAGTGCCTCAAGCACGGGTCTTCCAGGCCTTGCGTCACAGCCAGGCCGCCGACGAGGACTGGATGAGGCTATATGGCATCAAATTAGTATCGACGTACCACGTACGAATCCGCACATACCCTTGTACGGCTTCGAGGCCACGCAGCGTTCCCTCGAACGGATTTTATACGTCTGGGCGATCCGACATCCCGCTAGTGGCTACGTGCAAGGAATCAACGACCTTGCCACGCCATTCTGGCAGGTTTTTCTGGGGACCTATATCACCGACCTGAATATTGAGAGTGGGATGGACCCTGGACAATTACCCCGACCCGTCCTGGACGCTGTTGAGGCTGACACATTCTGGTGCTTGACTAAGCTGCTGGATGGCATACAAGACAACTATATCGTAGCGCAGCCCGGCATTCATCGCCAAGTTGCCGCGCTTCGAGACCTGACAACCAGGATCGACTCGGGTCTTGCAAGGCACTTTGAGAACGAGCATGTGGAATACATGCAGTTCAGTTTTCGGTGGATGAATTGTTTGTTGATGCGAGAATTGAGCATCAGAAGTGTGATCAGGATGTGGGATACATATATGGTAAGAGCATACATGACTGCCATTCTTTAAAATGCTAAACCTATATCACAGGCGGAAGAGAACGGCTTCTCCGAGTTCCACCTCTACGTGTGCGCAGCTTTCCTGGTCAAATGGTCGGAAAAGCTGATGAAGATGAACTTTCAGGAGATCTTAATGTTCTTGCAAGCGCTCCCGACACGCGAATGGACAGAAAAGGATGTTGAGTTGCTGTTGAGTGAAGCGTTCATTTGGCAGAGCCTCTTTCGAGGCTCGAGGGCCCATCTGCGAACGCAGAATAGTAACATACCCATGGGCTCGCTGGGCCCCTCAACGTGATCCAAGGGATCAATCAATGCTATATGGACTTGTGCAAACGAGCTGCAGAGTTGGAAAGCTGAATAACCCGCCTCTGCCCGTCCTTGCGACGCATTAAAGTTATGCTGAATAACGTACTCCGTAGTGACGTACCAGACGGACGGACAATACCGGCATCACGTGGTGGCTTCGGCAGACCTGCCCCAGTACCAGAAGAATCCGGCGTTTTCACTGCTGGCTCATGCGCAGCCAGCCTCTTCTCCCTCTTGAGGTCTCCAACTTGCCTTCGATTTCTCATCCATCTTCTCATTTCTCATTCACCACTTGCCCCGACCTCATCTTGTCTTCACTGGAGAACGACGTCCCCCAACTTTTCTCACTGGTAACCACAGTTTGTCGTTGCGATTGATTAGGCATTTCTTTGTGTGTTCAGATTCGCATCACTGCCTGCAAACGGCGGCCTGCACACCAGACGGCGCTTCTGACTAGGGTTCCTGGATCTTCGCATCCCTCGTGCCAGAGCTTAGTTTGCTTCCCTGCAGCAACTGTCGGAGAGTGCAAAACATACTCCTTTTCAGGAGCTGAGTTGCGGTTGGGAAGGCGGAAGTTACGTGGCACCGTTGTCAGCGGCGGCGGGTTTACGCAAGAGGGTTGGTGAAGGAATCGTCAGGTCCTGCTGAGTTGGACTTCGGTTCCCCTCAAACAGGCCTCTATTACTCGTCTACCTACAATAACATCTTCCTTTCTTCCTGCAATTCCTTGACTTTTGCCCCTCGGAATCTATTTACACCACGACCGCAGCACTCTCAGCTTTGTGCTCATTGTCACCTTAACTGGACGAACACCTCGACCGTCCTTGCTCTTCACCCACAGTTGCTGGTTGGTTCAACCGCCATGGCTTCCTACGTATATTTCAAATTCAAGTCGCAAAAGGAGCCTCAGCGTGTAACCATTGATGGACCTCACACGGATGTCTGGAATCTCAAGCGTGAAATCATCAGCATTTCCCGTCTAGGAGACGGCACCGACTTTGACCTCAAGATCTACAAAGAAAATAGCAATGAAGGTAAGCTCGATCTTTGCGCGCTGTTAAGTTCATTGTCACTGAAGCTTGACAGAATACACCGACGACACCGAAATTATCCCCAAAGACTCAACAGTCCTTGCTCGAAGATTACCCGCATCGGCCCCAGGCAAGGGACGTGCTGCTCGTTATGTGTCTGGAAAACCGCCTGTCAGTGCAAAGCCTTCTGTGGCGGCTTCAGCAAGCAGAGTGGTCAAGACAGTGGACATGGATAAAGCAATGACGGAGGAGGAGAAATTAAAAGCCATGCTCCAGTTCACCGATGCGCAATGGCAACAAAAGCAGGAAGAAATGTCACATGAAACTCGGGTACCTATGCAAGGGAAGCCCTTCAACAAGAAGGCGAACGTGCCGGAAGGCGAACCACCTCATGGGTACATTTGTTACCGCTGTGGCAAGAAAGGTAGGCCATCATTCCGAATATTGATGATTCAGACCATCGTTAACCGTAACAGGCCATTGGATCCAAGCATGTCCAACGAATGATGACACCAAATATGACAACAAGAACCGTATCAAACGGACGACTGGGATTCCTCGTTCCATGCTGAAAAAGATCGACCAAGCAGATATCGACAAGCTTGACGACGCACAAAGACAAAACCTCATGGTAAATGCTGAAGGAGAATATGTCTTTGCTCAAGCGGACGAGAAAGCTTGGAGAAAGCATCTTGAACAAGTCAAAGCCTCTGAGGCGGCCCAGAAGAAACAAAACCTTGGTGACCGAGAGCTGCAGGATCGAGGCTTGGAATGCCCGATCGACAAGCGCTTGTTTGTAGATCCAATGAAGACACCTTGTTGTGGGAAGACATATTGTCATGACTGTATCGAGAACGCATTGCTTGAGAATGATCTCACATGCCCTGGCTGTGAGACAGAGAATATCAGCCTTGAGCGCCTCGAGCCTGATGCGGAGATGAAGAAGAAAATCAAAGAATATGAAGCCGAAAAGGCTGATTCAAAGCAACGGTCTCGAAGCCCTACACTAGCAGCCAATTCGCCGGAAGACAATGCTTCACCCGCTGGTTCCAGACCTGGTTCCCGCGATGGTACTGGTACTCCTCAGTCGACGAATGGTTCGGCTAAGAAGCGCAGTGCGAGTGAAGTTGACGGCTCTACGTCTATCAGCAATCTCGCGGCTCCGGCTATGAAGCGTCAAAAATCCGGGGACGCGGTATCATCGTCTACGCCTCATCCCGATGGCATTCAGGGACCAAATAATGATAGCGCCAAGGAGGCTGCTTCCACATCTGAGACCGCTAATGTGCTGCCCACCAATATGATGCCGCCTGATTTTTCACAAATGCAACAGAGCAACAACATGAATCTGCCAATGATGCCTGGCTTCAACCCATTCATGATGAATCCTATGATGATGGGCATGGGCATGGGTATGGGCATGAACGGGATGAACGGGATGGGCGCAATGAACTTTATGAATCCGATGATGATGAACGGCATGAACGGCATGAACGGCATGAACCCGAGCAATATGGGAAACATGGGCATGAACTTCTCAGACCAGCAGAACTGGAATGGGAACATGAACCAGAATCTAAACAACAACATGAACCAAAACCAAATCAGCGGCTACAACAAGTTTCCCAATCGTCCCCACCGAAACCAGAACCTCCAGGCTCCCTCAAAACCGTCGACACCACAACAACCCGCCGGTCTCGTAGGGGTGCCCACCGGACCGAAGGCCATGAGCCAGCAGAACCAAAATCACAAGTACAACCCGAACCAAAACCAGCAGAACTTTTACCCACCGTCAGGACCAGCCGGGGGCAAGTTCTCGAATCAGCAGCGGCATACGGGCAATGAGGAGGACAACGCCTACATGCGGCAGCCGGTCAATCCGCATCGACATACTAACCGGAACAGGAGGCCACGGCAAGCGGATTATAGGGAGCTGTAGATGGAACTGGGAGAAGGGATGGTTCCACAGCTCCAGCTAATGCTGAGAAGGGGATGGTTTTGCTTCAATCTTGGAGCCCGCGTTTTCTCGATTGCTGATACAGTAACTTAGGTCCGGGAGCACGCAAATATTCAGCGGAGGCACTTTGCCGCCCCAGGACCCAATATGAGGGATCAAGGCCTGTTTTCGCATCGCAAATGGCTTATGGGTCGTCTCGACGTGTTTGGGTCGAGCAGTGAAGGCGGACTGCTACGGCACAAGCACTGCAACATTGGAGGTTGCCGTTTGTAGGTACTATATCGTGGCACCAGCTGTCACTTGAGGTTCATGAGTGCTAGTATTCAAATGAAACAGCTATGCAGCCCCAGGCGCAACGACACACAATAAGTGAACAAAAATTCTATAGGCTGCCTCTGTCCTTGCTCCTCAACAGCTTTGGCCGATGCCATCTGTCTGTCAATGGTCTTTGCAAGGTCAATCGCCCCAGTCCCTTTTCTGTTGTTTTATTTCCACAAACCACAAAAGTCTGTCGCAATCAGACGGTTTATAGTCTGCTCGGCGCCTCTCGGTCAATTTCCTGTTGTCTCTCACTGACCACATGGTGCTGTGGCAGGAGGCTGCTCGGGACACATCGTGTGACAGAAAGCAGAGGCAATCGTGTTGATCCGAGGAAAGAACTACTGTAATAGATGCTCCGCCGTACGTACAAGTAGCACGAAATGATACGGTGGATCTTAGGGCGAATCCTTGACGCGTAAACGGGTCCCGATGTGTCTCTTGATGTCTCATCACCATCAGCACGTCAATGCTCATCTACGCCATGATTCGAACACCAAGATTCCCTTTCCATTGGCCTCGTCCGGCTTCTATCTACCGAAACGCCGCCGCAGCCACCTGACAGACCGCAAAGCCGGCGAATTGCAGGACGCTCGCGCCAACGAATACATTTTCAAATGGGTCCACAGCCGCTGCAGTCATGAAACTGACCTTCGAGCCATCGTCGAAGTATACCAATTCCAGCGCATAGTTTCTGTCCTTACGTAGTCGGAGCGCTGCAGCTGGGACCAAGAAATCCTTACCCAACGATCGGACGTTCTCGAGGTAAGTCGGCAAGTCCTCGAGTGTGGGAAAGACTGTCTGGAGTCAGTAACAAATGCAACAGTACCTTCTCCATCATCTCCTACCTGTGACGATTGGGTCTCCGGTTGTCGGCAAGATGTTGATGTTGTCAGCTGCAGCGCCCAGATCCTGCGACGTCACTCATTAGCCCCCGTCGTGCCTTGCCCTACATCGGAATGAGAGGACACTTACAACTACCTGCAGCGGTGTCAATGTCCGGTCCATGTGGATCTGGAATATCGTGACTGTCCCGTTTTTCGAGTCCCCTACGAACAGTCGATCCTCCCACAGGTTGATACCATTGGCGCCAGGGAAGGTGCCCGACACCTGCCTGCACATGACCTTCTGTCTCAACATGTCAGGAATTGCCCAGGATCCCGGCAGCACAGGGCTTACCTCGGCGGCTGCGTTACAGTGCTGCACATTTGTTGCCCAGCTCCACGGCCCGTAGACCTCCTCTGCTACCCGTAAGAGGCCGCCGGCAAAATAGTGGTCGTTGGTCACGAAGAACTCTCTGCCAGAATCAGTTTCCTGGCGTTTGTCGAGACGATGGGTTTCCTACAAGGGTCCCATCGCTGCAACTCCATTCGCAGTCTTGATGTTTGGATGTTTGACGCTTTTGACCAAATCAACCACATCGGTGCCCAGCTGGTGGCTAAAGAGGGCGATGGAGTCGCCACTTCGAGCATGGTTTACGGCGTAGATACGTATCTGATATTTATCAGCTCCAGAACTCGAACTTGGGTGTCAGTCTGTCCAACTTGTAAAGGGTCCTCAGGCAACGTCAAGATATCGATGCCATGAGTGATAAAGTCTCCTTCGAGGCCCTTCAGCTGCAATTGAGTAGTGTCACCAGTCACCAGGTCATACTTGAACAGTTGCTCACGAAAGGAAGACTCGGCGCGCAGCGAAACAGTTCGCACGCCAGAAGGAGGATACCAATGCGTCCTCTCAACTGGGTCTCCACAGGCGAGGAATGCTGTCTTTGACGGAAAGTGTATCTTCACGTCCTCACAGGCATTGGCAGTGTCGATGACTCGGCAATCGCCGTTGTTGAGATGTGAACTGTTTTCCCACCGCACCAATCGCGATTTGTCGATTTCAACTCGGCCAGCTAATCGCCACAGTTGCCGTGACTGATTAAAAAGGATGACTGGAACTAACGGCAGGAGGAAAGTGAGGAAAATCCTGGTCGACATCCTACCCCTTCAGACTGTTGAAAGTCGAGTGCTCACAGAGAATGAGTAGAAGGCCAGAGGCGCTGGTCGCGGGCCCAAAGAGCGCGGAGATTGACGGCCAGTTACCGCTGCCTTTCCGGACAATGGCCTATCGACATCGGCACTGCGTCTGGCTGATGAAACCCATCCTTAGAAACTGTTGTCAACGAAGAAGCTGTAGGTAGGTATCCCCCTAGGACAAGGAGCACCTCGTCATACTGTGCTGTTGATCCGTCCAGGGCCACATCGCCCGAAAGGGCAACGGCGAAGCAACTTACAACAATGAGCTCCTCATGTCGTGGTATGCCCCCTACGCAGTCTTCGCACAAAGCGTGAACCACATACATACCTCATGGATCGGGCTATGCCAGTTGAGCACTGCTTGGAGTCCAAATAGCCGTTGAGATTAACTTTCTTAAGATGGTATAGGGATGACAATTTTTTCACTACACGCATCGCTGATCTTCGAGTCGAGACAAGCGCGCAGATAAGCTCACACGATCTCAGGCGAACGCCTCCGGCTATCTAGGGGTCTTTTATTGCAATCTCACACGCCCGGCCACACCTTTCTCGTTTCGGAACTTCACATGGAATCGACTTGAACCCGCCATGGGCTTCCGTGACCTGGGATTTTGCATGGCAGTTTCCTTGTGCAACCTGAACGCGGCATCACAGATGTCATTGTAAGCGATCGTGCAAATCCCGCCGAAGTACTCCGTATCAGGCAAAAGATCCTGCCGAATCAGGGTGTGGTGCTTTACGTGGTACTGTAAAAGCCGACCAGGATAGGAAACGTGGGGCCCTCCACATTGTGGGATTGGGGTAGGGTAGGATCAGACCGGCATGCAGACAAAGAATGAGGCGGATGTCTAGTAAGTCTACTGACGACACCTGAATCAAGAGCCAGGCGAAATCAGGTCGCGTCCCGCGTTGAGGTGGTCTGGATTCCGATAGTCGTTGCGCATAGAGAGGCCGAAAATGTCGACGGTAACATTTGAACACCCTTCGATAGGCTCGATCCGTGGCATCGAAGGAGATGGGGTCTACCAGTTTCACGGCGTCCAGTATGCAACACTGAAAGACAGGCTCGCTGAGGCCCAAGTCAAGACAGCATACGAAAGCCCCGTTGATGCGACGAGCCATGGGTGAGTCTGACCGCGCGGACTTGTAAGCTACATCCATGCTGAGGAGTTGACTAGACCATCGGCGTATTCTACCCCCAATGGGTACGAAAACGAGATGATCTTCATCCAGCAGTCGATGCCCAAGCCCAAGACGGTGCATTCCGACCTGGAATGCTTGAATCTGAACGTCACCGTCCCAAAGGGCCAAAGTGGTACCGAGTTAGGGAAGCAGAAGTTTCCCGTGTTCGTCTGGGTACATGGCGGTGGTTTCATCGTGGGAGCGAATTCATGGCCGCATTACGACCACGGCAAATTGGTCAAGCTTGCGAATGACAATGGAGTTCCTGTGATCGGAGTCGGGATCAAGTGAGTTATGCATCTCCCGGCTTGCTCGAAGCCAAAAGGACTTCGCTGCTCACATCGGCAAAATGTAGCTATCGCCTGGGCTTCCCGGGGCTACTGACGTCCGAGGAACTGCGGCAGAAGGGCTACAAAGCGAACAACAGCCTTATCGACCAAAGAGCCGCATTCCGCTGGGTGAGGCAACATATCGCAGGGTTTGGCGGTGACCCCGAGAACATCACTGTCATCGGCGAGAGCGCAGGGGCAGGTAAGAGAACCAAGGTCCTAAAAGACCAGAGAACCGTAGAGGCTAACCGATCACGCGAAAGTGGCTACAACATTACACCTGTATTCGAAAGAAAAGCTCTTCAACCGAGCAATCGCCACGGGAGGCTCCTCTCTCTTGGTCCCTGTCTTCGAGCTCGCCGACCAGGAACGTACCTACCAGCAGGTCCTCTCCATCTTGGGGCTCGAGAACATGAACGCCGAAGAAAGGATTCAGAAGCTCTTGACGATGCCCACAGATGAGGTGATCGCGAAGCTACCGCCCTCTGTTGCCCTCCTGCCGACGCTCGATGGCGACATCATACCCGTTCGACCCACGTACGCTTCTGTGGCCGATAAGTCCGACCAGAGTATGCCCGGGAAGCAGTGGGCCGAGGGACTAATGATTGGAAATAGCGGCTTCGATGTGAGTCCCCTGAAGCGTGCGTCGTCCGTTTGGTGACTGACACTCGCCCTTTGTGCCTACCAGGCCTCGGTCCTCGGCTTCATGCTGGGCCACTTGAAGAACGGGATCAAGGACAAATTCCCCGCGTCCATAAAGTCCTCGCTGGCCTCGGATCCCGCCCTCGCAGACCAGATCCTCGAATCATACGGCTTCACCGGCTCCTCGTCAGCTGCCGACAGCGACAACGACGACGCCGCCTTCCTCCGGTTCCTCGAGTTCGCCAACGACATCAGCTTCTTCGCCGCCACCACGGCCTATGCGCGCGGCTGGCCCGCGTCTCCGGCAGGCGAGTCGAACATCTACGCCTTCTTCTTTAACGAGCCCAACCCCTGGCCGGGCGTGTACCAGGGCCGCGCCACCCACGTGTTGGACGTGGTGTTTCTGTTCCAGAATCATAACCACAATTTGAGCCCTGCGCAGCGCGCCGCGGCCGAGCAGATGGGCCTCGACTGGATGAGGTTCGTGGCGGGTCAGAAGCCGTGGGATGGGTATACTCCCGAGAACCGGGCGGCGAAGGTATACGGCCCGTCCGCTGGAGATGAGGCCACGGCGACAAGTAAAGTTGTGGATGCGGACTCGCTGGAGACCGGGCGTGGGAAGGCGATTCTCGAGGTCGGCGAGAAAGTTGGGTTCGACAGGTTGAACGAGATTGTGGGACGGTTTCGACTCGGGCTGTGATTGACTTCTTGACTGAAGTTGACTGAACTTCACATCGCTGCAGGGGCGATGGCTGAGCTTGATTCATGGTTAGGCAGTTTTACGAGGACCCGTGCGTATGCTCGCTCAGTATGATACCGTGCAGTATGACAGTTTCCCAAACAAACGTTAGGTGTGGTTGTTGTCCGCGGTCCGCGTTCTGACGGCCCCAGCTCGAGGAGACCTCACAATGCTGGCTGTGTCCGCCGTGATGCCCGTGGTGGTGTCGGCCGCGCTGACCTTTGTGGTATCTGTCGCGGTATTCATCCTGCTCTCCGTCCTCTATTCCTGCTCTCGCCCTCCTTTCTAGTGCGAGGTACCCTAGTTGGGGTATTCGTCGCCGTTGCCGCATTCCTCACCTTCACCTTCAAAGTCTTGATCATTATTGCGTGCGTGGGGATGGTACCCATGCACGGCATAATGCCAAGATTCGGGAACTGGGATGCCCGTGCGACGGAGTGATGTCCTTCCCCCACGGTGTCATCAGGATATTCTTGGTGTCGGTGGTGGTAAGACGGTTCCGTGGTATGATGTTCTGTCTCCTTACCATCCTCGTGTTCTTGATGTTGGGCCTGAGGAGACGATGGGGCAGCGGGATGTTTTGCTTGTTGGTGCTGGGTCGGGACATGGGCGGCTGAAAGTGCGACAGCGTTGGTTGCTTGTGGGGTGTCGAGCCTAGGCATGGGGAGATGGATACGCGGCAGGATGTCCCTCCTTCTTATCATCATGTTCTTAGCGTTAGGCAGGGAGAAACACGATTGCGCGGCAGAATGTTCTGGTCCCTGAACGTCATCATGTCCATGTATGCTAGGACTTTTCAACTGACGAGTGTGCTCCATTTCCGCGGTATGATGGTCTTTCTCCTTATGAGCATCATCTTGCTGCTGTTGGGGATGGTGATACGACTGGATAGCATGGGGTTTTGCTTGGTGGTGAACCCCGGCAGAGGCACCTTCTTTTTCTTTCTCGTCTCCTTCCGCCACAACGCAATCATTTATCTTCTCATGGGACGCGTTCATGTTGAGCCGACTATGATCCTTGTCGAACATGAATGAGAGGGCGATCTGGTAGAGTTATCTCGCAGAGGTAGATGTGCTGTTGGAGGACGGAAAGCTCGGTCCACTTGGTCCACGTGCTGATATCTACGGCTTGGGACAGCTTCTTGACACTCTGGCTTAACATTCTGGCTGCAGCGTGGGAAGGCAAAAAATATCGACGCCATCGACAGCGAAGTCCTCCTGCTCTCATCACACCGGCCCGTCGCGATCACGCGCGCGTAGCGACTGTGCTGACTGAGAATACGCTCCCTTCCTTGGCAGCCGTGGAGATGGTTGTCGAATCCCTTGTCACTCTAACCGGTGGTTGACTCCAGTACATAGTGAACGCCGATTGGGTGCTATAGTATCGCAAATAGGAAGCTGGGCCTGGCCGCATACCAACCTTGAAAAGGATCAAGTACCTTCTTCATTCGGAAATAGCTTGCCGACATCTTTGTGCAGGGTGGGAACCAAGGGTAAGTAGCATTCGGCCTCGCAGAGGCATGTCGAGGCTGGGCGGAAACCTAGGCTCTACATTAATCCACTGACTCCTCGAACCAGAGGTTGCCCATATTTGGCAGATCTGTTCAATTAACAGACGCAGAGGGTATACTATGCACCCTGTCGGGATACCATGTGTCTGAAATGGAAAGGAGGCTCCAGAGCACTATGCGAGAACGCGCTGACAGCAGAGTCGATGTGTTTCGGGACATGGAACAGTCCTGCATCGCCCATTCGGTGTTGGCGTTCAGCCAAAGGCATAGGTCACGGACGGAACGCAGGTACTGATTGAAGGGGGTCAGGAATCCGCGTTGCACAGCCGACAGGAAACAATTCGAACGATGCAATGCGCGAGAGGAGTGACTTCGGAGGCCGGAAGCCACGAAAGACTCCCTACCCGGCTCATTTTCCCAATTGGGTACTGATGCATAATTACCATCATAACTCAGATGCGCAATACTGTGGTACTCGTACCCCTAGCTCGTACTAGTCAACCACGTGTCTTGATCTTGATTGGTGAGTTTCAGGCTCCCGCTACTAACAATCCACATGGAGATGACATGTACCTGGCACACAGTAATGCCGCGCTCGGATCTTTTAAACGCAGTTTCTTGATATCTGCTGATGGAATCACTACTCGCCCCAATTTCAATCTGTACCTGTACAGACTCGTGGAACCGCCGCAAGACGTGTAGCTTCGAGCTGCTTTTCAAGTCCAGCGGAAGCAATACTAACTACAGTAACTGACGTCGAGGCCCGATCATCACAACCTCGACGCGCCATCCACACGTCCAGTCCTACACAGTATGTTCTGCCCTCTACTATCTGGGCCTTCGCCCAAGACTGCTGTATTGTACGGTGCAGTAAGTGGCAGTGCCATGTACCGAAGCTCGTGCAAACCCCAAACCACGACCTCTCGGGACAAATAAAATGCCGCCCACCACCAGCCTCTGGAGGAGGGGGTTATCCTGGTCGGTATTCCGTACTTGTCCGTTAACAGTAGTGTCCATGGCGGGGGCTGGGTGCTGGACACCGTACGTCCTCTGTAAACAGAGATATTCTAGCTGCAATACATTTCACTTGTTCCGGTAATTAAGTCGTAGTCCTGGATTTGGATTCTAATTCTAGTTCTAATTCTAGGTCTAGGTCTAGTCCCCCTTCCATTGTCTTTCAATCCAGTGTAGGCTACCTCGATCTGCCATGCCGTGGTCCGGATACTGTGTCAAAAGTCTTCTTCTTATTATCGGATTTTCTCTCCATCGTACTGTACCTCGCTAGCTCGCTCGCTACTCTTCATGCGTCCGCACATGCATCCTCTCCAGCAGATTATTTCGCGCCCAATAACTCCGGTACTTCTTTCCAAAGACATACATGAAAGGCACGGTAGCGACGAGCCCAAAAGCGACTGCGCCCCACACGTAAAAGGCATGCTGGGGCCCGACCTCCGCGGTCCAGTTGTTGACGAAATAACTGAACCCAAACAGGATAACGTTCTTGACAGCCATGCTGGCGATGAAGATCTCATTCGCCATCCCGCGGTACGCGTCGAGCGCGTAGTTCGACGTGCCGATGCAGACGAACATGACGCCGAAAAGCATGAGGCCGTGGACCGTGGCGCAGGCGTAGGGGCTCGCGCCGGCGGAGACGAGATGGCCGAAGAGCATGAGCCCGACGCCCGCGCAGACGCCGACCAGGCACGGGATGAGGCGGTACTCGGGCTCGTAGACGCCGTTGTTGCGGCGGGCGCACCATTTGATGAACGGGTCGGAGAGGGCGCCCATGATGATCGACCCGAGGATACCGCCTACGAAGGGGCCGAGGGACAAGTATCCTATGCTGGCCGGGCTGAGGAGGTATGGGGGTGGGGCGAAGAGCTGGGCCAGCACGAAAGCGATGACCACGTAGAGGACGACGAACATGGAGTTGATGATCAGGATCCAGGAGACCGCGATGTTGAGGACGACTGCGAAGGGCGCCAGGAAGAGCTGTAGCAGGTTCTCGTTCGAGTAGGTCCCGCTGAAGATGGCAAGGTCCTGCGCGAACGTCTTCTTTCGGTATACGTGCGGTCCGTTTGCGGGACTAGGGGTCGTAATCGCGGTCCCACCTGTTTCCTCGGTATGCCTTGCAATGCCGGGCTTCTCCATGTCGAGTCTATCCTGGTACTCTAGCGCGGCGAGGTCTTGGAGGTTGTCGTTCCTCAGCTCGTCGATCTCGTACCGGCGGTCGCGGACGTAACTTGTCTCCGGGACGAACAGGAATTGGAGGATCGTCTGGATGCCACCGAACAACACGAGGAGGTAGTAGCTGTACGTGTCAGTCAGTCGCAGCCGGCAAAGCTTTGCGCGTGGCGAAAACTCACAGCCATTTCCAGCCAATGTTCGACGCGATCGGGCCTGCAACAACACCTGTCAGGTTGGAGATTCCGGCCAGGATAAAGTTGATGGCCGAGGCGTAGACGCCGCGCTCGTGGACGAAGAACATGTCGCTGACGAGCGTGAATACCAGAGACTCGTAGGGCGCGATCGCGAAGCCTTGAAGAATTCGAGACGCGAGCACGCCCTCGTACGTGGTGACGCACGATCCCACGATATCGGCAACGAGGCAGAAAATCGAAGCCAGCAGGAAGATGGGTCGAGTGCCCCATTTTCGAGACAGCGCTGAAAATAAAGGCCCCGTCACGCCGACAACGAGCGTCTGATACCCCGAAGTCAAGACAAGCTTGGAGATGGTCGTGTTGATTTCCAGCGACATCTCGAAGAACGCGGCGTTCAGCATGGCGCTCACGACCGCGGCATACAGCACCGAACCCCAGCAGGTGATGCCCAGGGCTGTGAGTTTCTTGGTGTAGGGCCAGTTCAGGGGATCATTGGGGTCGTTGGAAGGTTGCGGCACAAGGACGATGTGTGCATTTCGTCCCGTGCCATGCTTGAGACCGCCCGTCACGTCCTGCGAGTGCGCCGCGTCTTCTTCGAGTATCACCGTGCCAGGGACATGAGGGATCTTGGTGTCGTCGAGGATGCCGAGGAATGGCATGTTGAATGGCTGGATATGGTGATCCGATGGCTGCAAGCTAAGTACCGGGAGGTCAGGCGCGGCGTTCGGCCGTTCTTATATTGATCGTTGTCTTCATTGCGCATCCAGGGCAAAAAGCACGTCCGGCGTCCTCGACTCCGTGCCTAAGAGCTGTCCTGGCATCGCGGGGAGGATCCTGTATGGCAAAAGCCGCTTCCCCGAATACCAATGCTCCAAGCCCCAATGACCTCAAGCCCCACATCTCCGATCAGCCACCTTGTGTCGAAGGATTGTGAACCTGGGGCCCTCCTCCGGGGGTCATGCTTCGGTCCTTTCTGGCCTGGGGCTTCTCCAATTCCCATAGGTGACCGGCACACCACTCCTATCATAGCGGAGGTTTCATTACCTCCGGAAGGCAGCAATGCGATGGTTACGTTGTACTCCTGTTAGCCTGACGCGCATGTCGTTCGAGGCTTCTTGGAAAAGCTTGAGTTGACCACTTATGGTATTGGTGCAATTGCGGCGCAGACGAGAAATGTTGGTGCCGGGTGGGGTATGAGAGTTATGCATATCATACAGTAAAGATATATCAGAACAATTGAGGTTTGCACCCTGGACGTCAACGAACTTGGCGTTAGCTGCGCTCTTCCTTCTCCAAGTGACGAGAACTGTAGGCTTACAAGGTTTCCTGAAAACGAGACCGGGATCTTGAGAATATTCGTATCCATACTGCGCAAGCAGGACTCAAACTCCAAACACCTTGCTGCCCGTCAAGTGGTGCCACGTCACTCTAGTTTCCCTGCTTTTGTTCCAGCGGTGAAATCCCAGTAAACAATAAGGACCACGATATATCATACCAATGCAGAGAAGTGCAACTCATCCAAAACTAGTATCCTGGGATCACGGCAGCGTCCCATGCGCCTCCGAGGCTGGCTCAAGCGTTGGTTTTAAAGGCACAACTCCCTTCGATGCGCCTTTTGCTGGTGCAAGAATGCTCGATGCCATTTCTCCTCGCAGGACTTGCTCGCGAGTGATTTGTAGCATGTCTCTCGGTAAACCCATGCTGGCGAGAAATTGAACCGTGTCTCTCCACTCAGCCTCTTTTCGCTGCTTGCTCCAACTGAGCTCCTCGGCCATTATGTCAATGACCTTGGGAAGAGCATGAAGAGCAGCTTGCGCGTTCAGAAAACTCAATCTCGTGCGTCTTGCAAGGACATCCACCGCAGTTTGAGCGTATTCGCTGCGGACGGCATACCGGACCTCCCCGTCAATGAAAGGGTACAACGAGGAGAGGCGCTGGCCGCGCAGAGGATAGTGCTCCGTGTTGTCGGTCGGAGCAGACAAGGCGGCAACATCCCACGCGCGGTCACCGTAGTCCGACGCTAAATGCTTTGCGACGTCCATGTCGAGACCGAAGTGCTGAATCAAATTGATGAAGAGAGTAGTCGAATAACCGTGCGCGCCAACTAGTCGGATCCGATGGGTCTGACATGTGCCGTCCAACAAGCGGACCGAGGGATCGATGCCGTTAATGCCAGCAAGGTCTGGCACGAAAGTGACCGGTTTGGGCTGCAGCTTGAAAACCTCGATCGCTTTGTCGACTGCTTCCTCCGCCATTTGTCGGTACGTCGTCCACTTGCCTCCGGCACAGGTGAGAAGGCCCGAGTCAGAGACCGATACCAGATGGCTGCGAACGAGCGACTCGGTGTTTTTTGAATTGGGGTCTCGAACGAGGGGGCGAATTCCTGTAGGCTACATTAGTAAAATTCCTTCCGATGTAGCCGTAGGCTTGAAACATACCTGACCATGCAGCAAGAATGTCCGATCTTCGAACATCAATATCCGGAGTTAGATATGTGCGGATCTCGTCCAAGATCCATTCGATGTCTTTTTCGCCTGCTACCGGATCCTGAGATATGGCACAGGGCGCGTCCGTGGTGCCTGCGATCGTGTTGCCTTGCCAAGGGAGGAAGAAGATGACTCGGCCGTCCGAAGTGGAGGGGTCGATCAAGCCCATCTTCTGGGGACTGAGATAGCCAGGAAGCACGACGTGGACTCCGAGGCTCGGAGCCACAATCTCTTTTTCGCTGGGCGAGTCCATTTGCCGGATTGCGTCACAGAACGGGCCTGTGGCGTTGATAATGCCCTTAGCTTTCACGGTGAATTCTCCGCTTGCTCCTTGGCCGTCCTTGTCCGCAATGAGATCCCTGACGCGGGCGCCCGTCAACTTGCCACTTGCGTCTTTCTCCAGACCCGTCACTTCAAGGTGGTTGACTGTGGTCGTGCCATACAGTGTGGCGGTCATGGCCAGTGAGACGTTCATCCGGGAATCATTGTGCTGACCATCATAATAGACGAGCGCTCCTATCAAGTTGTCCTTCTTTAGCATAGGAAATGCTTCGAGAGCTTTACTCCTAGGTAGGAAGTAAGAGCTCTCTATGCCTTCCGACCCGGCTAAGAGGTCGTAGAATTTGGTACCGGCCCAGAAGTACGGCGCTTGCCACCATGCCTGTAAAGGCAGCATGATCGGGAGCCACGATGACAGATGAGGTGCTGTGTACAGGAAGCTTTTCCGTTCCTTTAATGCCTCTCTTACCAGCTGGTATTGGTTCCAATCCAGGTTCCACACGGCTTTCTCGAGATATCGCACGCCACCATGGACGAGCTTTGTGGATTTGCTGCTCGTGCCACTGCTGAAATCGTCTCTTTCCACAAGCGCAACTTTCAAGCCTCTTGTGGCTGCGTCAAGCGCAATGCCTGTGCCCGTGGCTCCACCGCCGACCACCAGGAGGTCATATATCTCAGAGGAGGGGCCCGAGGAGGATTTTTTGAGATCAGCGATCTGTTCGGCTCGTGTCTTGATGTATGGGAATTTTGGGGGGATGATGTCCCCGTTCTCGTCTCGTTTCGGGGGTTTCGGGGCCAGTGATTCTGCTCCTGGCAAGTTCCGAGGCCGATAGACAATATACATGCCTGTAGCGCCTGCAACAGCGAGGCCGGTGCCATACGCCAACGGCTTCAGAAGCCTGCGGACTGAGAAGCGTGATGCCATGCTGGGATAACAATCAAAGAACAAGTGATACCAAACCCGAGCTCAAAAGAAGTAGAGTAGGTCGTTGAACATGTGCCAACACAGTATGGTAATGTCACTCACCCCAATGGACGAGGAAGTTACCTTTTGGCTTCACGGAGGTATTGAGGATAGCTGTCAAGGGAGCTCCAGCGGCGGTATTTGAAGGAAGTTGACAGCTCCTGATCGACGCATGAAAAGTGTCTCATCGCGAGGGGGAATGACTTTGCGAAGCGAGTGCTCGGGGCATAGCCATGACCGAGACCTGTCAAACGCGATGCAGTGGTTTGAGCCTATAGCTTTGAGTCTGCTAAGAGTCTCGTGTTTGCTCATCATGCACCAGATGGGTGCCAGGTTGTCGTAGGTTTATGCAGTCACCAGAGTCCAAATCAGCTCCCGGTTGAGGCGGGGAGACAAACTTTACGCAGTTCGGTTGTAATTGACCGAATTGTGGCTGCCATGTCACGTGCAAGGTCAATTGGCAGCACTTCGGTCTACGAAACCCGAGAAGCGTCTGGCAGGAAAATTATCACGAATATCCAGATCTGGGAGGCCCAGCCTCTGCCGCGGCTTCTAACCACCAGCGTAGTATCTGCGATGGATCCGGAAACAAGCTTTGGACGAAGGCAAGGTTGCTCGCATTCTCACGAGCATCCACTGCTCTTGAACCTTATGACAGACCACGGAATTTCCGGCTTCTATGCTCGAAGTCTCTGCACGGCCGTACAAGCCGGTCCTCCGTGGCATCGAGCGTGTTTCGGCCGTTCCAATCCCAGGCATACGGCATGTACTTCCAGAGCAAGAAAGCCGTCGCTCGAAGCTGGACAAAAGTCTCGGGCCGTACTAGATCCGCCTCGTTCTCACCGAAATCCGGTTGGATTCGTCTGCAGGGACGCAGTAGTGATCATCCGAGGTATCTCGCTCGGCAGCCGCAACGGCATGAGAGTATGCGGATCCCCCCAACAATCAGAGATGAACACACCCATTGACCAGGGTTGGCTGGATTATCGTTGTTGATGCTTAACGCTGTGACCAAATCTGCCAGTGATCGAGATAACGACTTGTAGTATCCTTCTACTTGGAGCGCAACTGTCAGAGAGCCCTACAGCAGGCTTTCAGAGAAGACCGCGGGACGGGGTGGGGTCTCTCGACTTGAGCCATCGATGGTCAGCGTGGGCAGTCGAGGGTGCTCATGGTTGAGAGAGAGCGCGGTTCCGCCCATGCAGTCTCATAGGGGCTCAAGTCGAAGGAATGAACACGACGTTTGCTTTGCGGCAGCTAGCCCAACAGTGTCGCGTATCTTGCAGCTTACAAGGCACAGTGAGTGGGGGAGGGAACAGTGCTCGAATCATATGGCTCTTCGAGTGGGCAGACTAATTACACCGAACACATGCTGCAAACCTGTTTGTTCGAAGTCCATCAGAGTAGCTCGGCTAAAGTCCAACGTGCGTAAAAGAATCGATCAATTTTCGTGGATCACCATGCACTCCGTATCAAGGCCAATGGCCGTATAACGGTGGCCTCCAATCTAAATGCACCAAGACTGCGGTGACATGGTGGCACAGCGCCCGTGGATATCATAACACGCCAAACTGCTGTGCAACAACGAACAGTAATCAGGCCCTCTTGAACGTCCTCGATCTTCGTATTGCGATCAACCCGCGACACTTCTAAAAATCCCGTAACTCACACCTGGCCCTCAGAGTTGTATGTATTCGACCAGACCGATCGCTTAGGTTGAACAAGTCTTTGCAACCCCATGTAAGGAGTGTTGATCGGACTCTCTCCGGTGAAGAGGAAGGTATCGTAGAGGAAGCCTCCGAATGTGCAACCGCAGAAGGGCGCAACCATTGGGACCTTTCAGCATCATTAGCCGCAGTCCTTTTCACAGCCCACGATATTGCGGAATAGTCTTACCCAGAAATAGTAGCCGCCAGCGGACCAGACCTCATGACCATAGCCGATCATGTAACTGACCAAGCGAGGGCCGAAATCTCGAGCAAGGTTGATGGCGTAGCCGGTCTCCCACCCAAAGCAAGCACCAATGCCGAAGATGACGAAGAAGAGGGCGAGTGGGGTTAGATTGCCTGCACCAATGTTCCCATCGTCCTTCAGTGCGTAGATCAGGAACATGAGGATGGCGCTGGCGATGAACTCCGAGAAGAATTGACCAGTCTTTGTCATAAATGGTGCGGGATAGGTGCAGAAAATTCCAGCTGTTGAAGTCTCGCCACCGACGGTGCGGATATCTGGACCTCCCTCGAACACATCAATTGCTGACTTGTAGTTGGCGTAGACAATTGCAGACGCTACCATGGCACCGAGGGTCTGTGCGAGCATGTAGACGGGGAATTTCCTCCAAGGAAACTTGCGAAAGACGCAATTCGCAAACGTCACAGCAGGATTGAGATGGGCACCGGATATGCCACCGGTGTAGACTCCTAACATGACACCAAGGCTGGTAAAGTTAGTCAAAGGCAATAGTCGAGGAAAGCAGTCAAACTCACCCCCAGCCCCAGGAGATGGACTGATAGTCACCCTTAGTACCACCAGAGAGGACCACTTGCGCAACAACTCCGTCACCGAAAAGGATGAGAATAAAGACGCCGAAGAACTCTGACAGAGGCTCTCTGAGAAAGTGTCGGACTCGACTCCATGCTAAGTCTGGCTCTTGTTGAACGACGTCCGCTTGTGGGATTTTATGATCGACCAGGGGACCGTGCTCGGCAAAGGCTGGGGCTTCAGGGACAGAAGTGCGTCGCCTTTGATCCTGCGGAACGTGAAGATGCTCTTGGTGAGTGATGTTGCCCATGTCGTGCGGTTGAAGTGTTCGTTTCTCCGGTGACGCCGAGGAAGAGGAAGACGACATATGATTGCTGACGGCGGCAGGGGGGGCAGGGTTTCTTGCCTTTGTGGATACGGAGATTGATAAGAACTGCCCATGGGGGACTGAAACGGGATTATATAGACGGATGCTATGTGATACACCCCCAGGTTTCCCGCGGCAATACTTCAGGCTCCACTGTGTGAATGAGAGACCCGTTACAGGTCATACCGAAAGCCTGGAGGCGAGCATGCAGGGAGCATCCAGTAGTGCTCATTACGTGCCTTGTATCGCGTCTAGAACCAAAAAGTGTTATGGGGCCGGGACGGCCGTGCACGCTGCTGCATGACACGACTCGTGGCGTAGATGCGGGATGATGGATGAAAGAATTCCTGCCACTCACCTGGCTTTTCTTCAGCCTGGCCTCCCGAGCAGGGCGGCCGAAGTTCGCTCACCCGGACACCGATATGCCTAAGGTTCAGTCGGGCCTACCACGCCGAGCTGCATAGTACTGCCATCCTGAACTTAGAGACTTCTAACGAAGTGACATTGAACATGCACAAGATAGTGCAATCTCCTTTTGCGTAAAGTTCAGGAAAGGGAAACAACGTGCTTGAAACCGATTGTGGGGAGAGTCATCAAGCGGTCAAGGTAGGACCAGTACAGGGTGTCAGCTGCTGGTGGTCCTAATCGTGATTCAATCGTGTTGTCGGTGGCACGACGTATGCCATTTGAGCTTCCAGTGGACCCAAAGTATTATGCACACATGCACAATACTACGTTGCAGAAGAGGAAAGAAGTGAGACTGAGATGTGACCAGCTGATGAGCGAATGAAAATCGGGAGGCCAGGCAGCCAGCGGAACTGATACCGAAGCCGGCAGTCAGCGGAGCACACGGCAGACAGCAGCAATCTTGCTACGGAGGAGCAGATGCCTCATTAATCCCTTTTCGGCGCAAGGTCGCATTCGCTCTTGGAACTGCGGGGTGGCGGGGCAAAGCCTCACATCATCAGCCTCGGCATGCATCTCGCTGTTCAGAAGTCCGAGCCCGACAGGAGTACGAGTAAACTACAGAGTACTAGGTAGTTACTCCGCGAAAGCATGTCTAGGCTCGTCTCGTGCTCGTAGCAGATCTCCTCTCCCACGCGTTTCCCCGCCACGCGGTCGGCGCCCGCCTCTCGTGCATGGAAGGAGTCTGGAAGCTGACACTTCGGGCTATTGTTCCCCAGGATCGGACAAGATGACGACGAACCCCGAGGCATGGCTTCCAAGCTCGTGTAGCATCTTACTGGTACGCAAGGTCAAGCATGCAGCTGTATGTAACCCGGCGGCTCATGGGATCGAACACCTGCATGTACCGTCAAGAGCAAGGGTCACGCGTGCCGTGCTTCGAGCTCGTCGAGGCCCACATGCTTCGCTTCGGTCTCTCCCCGCTCTGGTCATATAAACACTGCTTCGTCCCCGCCACAGAGCCACTCCAGGCCCCCAACCCCGGTCTCCAACAGCTGCTCTCCAGGAATTGATCGTACGAGTCTTTACGAGCCTTGATGAATTTGTTGAGAAAAGTTGTCACAATGGGCAGCCCTTCCGAACACTTCATCGGCTCGATCGATCAGGGCACGACGAGTTCGCGATTCCTCATCTTCAACAAGGCCGGCGAACCCGTGGCTTCACATCAGTTGGAGTTCAAGCAGATTTATCCGCATCCTGGGTGAGTTTACCATCCATCCGAACAAAATCAGTCCACTCCTGACGTTCACGGGTGAAGCTGGCACGAACATGACCCTCTGGAGATCATTTCGTCGGTTGAGCAGTGTATCGACGGCGCAGTCAAGCAATTCGAAACCCAAGGCCACAGTGCCCAGTCAATCAAGGCCATCGGGATCACCAACCAGCGTGAAACGACCGTCCTATGGAACAAGGAAACCGGCGAGCCGCTCTACAACGCAATCGTCTGGACCGACACGCGGCATCAGAACCTCGTGCGGAAGCTGAAGCAGCGCCTAGGCGCCGACCAGCTGATCGAGCTCGCGGGTGTCCCGCTCTCCACATACCCTTCGGTCGGCAAATTGCTTTGGCTGCTCGAGAACGAGGCCAAAGTCAAGGAGGCGTATGAAAAGGGCGTGTTAGCTTTCGGCACCATCGACACCTGGCTCGTGTACAAGCTCAACGGAGGTACGGACGTGGCCCGGCGCACTGCAAAGAGCGGATCGAGTACTGACTCAGACAACAGGCCCCAAGAAGAACGTCTTCGTCTCGGACCCCTCGAACGCCTCGCGCACCATGTTCATGAACCTACGCACGCTCGACTATGACGAGTCTTTGCTCGACTTTTTCCGCATAGATACCTCCAAGCTCGCGCTCCCCAAGATCGTCCACTCCTCCGACCCCGAAGCCTACGGCTTCCTGGCGTCCACCGTCCTCAAGGGCGTCCCCATCACAGGCTGCCTAGGCGACCAGTCCGCCGCGCTCGTCGGGCAGAAGGGCTTCACGCCAGGCCTGGCCAAGAACACCTACGGCACGGGCTCCTTCATCTTATACAACGTGGGCGAAACGCCCGTGATCTCCAAATCGGGCCTCTTGACGACCGTGGCGTACGACTTCGGTGGGGGCACAAAGCCGAACTACGCCCTCGAGGGCTCCATCGCCGTGGCCGGCTCGAGCGTGAAATTCCTCGTCGACAATTTTAAATTCATCGACAAGTCGTCCGAGATCAGCCAGCTGGCCGAGACGGTCGACGACAACGGCGGCGTCACCTTTGTGACGGCCTTTTCGGGCCTCTTTGCGCCCTACTGGATCGACGACGCGCGGGGCACCATCTTCGGCATCACCGCGTACACGCAGCGCGGGCACATCGCGCGCGCCACGCTCGAGGCCACGTGTTTCCAGACAAAGGCCATCCTCGTGGCCATGGAGAAGGACTCGGGCCACGCGCTTGCGGAACTCGCCGTCGACGGCGGCATGTGCAATTCGGACCTCACCATGCAGACGCAGGCCGATTTGATCGGCATCCCGGTCAAGAGGCCGGCCATGCGCGAGACCACCGCGCTAGGCGCCGCCATTGCCGCGGGCCTGGCCGTTGGGGTGTGGGACAGCATCGACGAGCTCAAGCAGGTCAATACCGAGGGGTCGACGAGTTTTCAGCCCAAGATCTCCAAGGAGGATGGCGACAAGAGATTCGCACAGTGGGAGAAGGCCGTGCAGATGAGTAAGGGCTGGGCAAATTGAACGCTCCCAAAAAAGGGAAGAGGCGCCAAAGTACAGATTATGTTACACGTATTCGGGTACAGATACTGATGATTGGGCTACATATATAGCGGGCGTCTAAAAGAGTGATGAAGAGATGTTCATGTTCATATTCACATCAACATCCACGTCTTTGTTCGTGTTTATCTTCCGCCATTGGCTTTCGAGTACGACATGCCGGCCTTGACATGACGATACGGCACAAGCTATATGTGTGACTTGCGACATGCATCCTGCCTACATAGTAGTCGCCTCTACGCCTAGTCAGGCACGGAGCGCAAAGTGGACCCATGAGTAGCATATTCTTAACAGGTTATGCCGACTGTGCGGCGATCTCTCTGCATGCAAACCGCGCGGGTCATTGTCCTCACACCGTACGGCGGGTACATCTTCCCTCTCATGGCCCAAGAGCATCGCATAGAATAGCATAGCAGGCGGCCTAACAGATACCCAAAACGGACCAGTCGCTAAGGCCTCGGACTGGTGGATATATTGATGTGATGATCCTATCGGCCTTTTCCAGGAAAACAGCGTCAGGACCGCACGCCGGGTCGAGCCGGTGGCCTGGCTGCAGATGTACCTGCCCTCGGGACTGGTTGTCTTAGCCGAAGGATCGCTCATCTGGGTTCTGAGCAGCATCATGTCTGCCTCTTAGCTGCCTCATCGTCCCAAAGGCATGCACCACTGATGCTGGTGCTGTTATACTCCTTCCTGAGACCTGCTTGGCATAATCGCGCGACAGAAAGGTCATACTCCGACGCTGCGCAGCTCAGCAAGTCGACATCCGCAATATAGTGCCCGGGAGCTTCGAGACTCGTTATGGTATCCCGTTCCGAAATAGCCGTGACTAGCCAATCAGCCCACGGCCTGCTTCACGATACTATTCGTAGGGGGGCTTGAAGATCAGCCAGTCGCTCTCCGGATTGGGTATCACAAAGGCTGGCGTCGCGCGGGAGTTCGGCGGCTGGCCTTGCGTGGGTGTCGTCTGATTCTGGCTGGTAACTGACACGGACGGATCGAACCCGTTGCTTCCAGCAATCGCATTGAAGCGAGGGTAGTTGAAAAACTCAAACACCTCGAGGTATTCGAGCTCACTCTGCGATGAGTTGTGAGTGGTCACAGGGTCGAGGACGGATCGCGGTCGTTGCGAGGTCATGAGATTGAGTTCGTATGCAGACCTGGGCAAGAGAAAGACGTTAATATCGAACACAAACAGGAAACCGCAGACCTCTGTGGGGATCATAAAGGATCATTGGGAAGGGTCAGTATATCTCACCTCCTCATGGCTGTAAAAGTTCTTCCTGAGCCAGTACTCCCTTCCTGGACCACGTCATTCAGAATCCTGGCGTATGTTCCTGCAACTTGCCAGTATTGTCCCATCTGTTCCAGTGTGGAGATGAAGAACATGATCTTCGGGTCGATCTCACATTCCATGGTTGCGGCGTGTACGATGAGTAGTCGGGCTGACACCCACAAGGCAAACGCGAATGGGTGGCCCAGCAGAGCAAGCATACCGGTATTCATCACGTCTTGGGCAATTTCGCGTAAGCTCTCCACTGCACCGAGGCACCGTTGAATAGCGTGGTATGACGGTGTGAAGACGGGGGATTTAATCGTGGGGTATGCTGCCGAGGAGTGAAGTCGAATGACGGACGTGACAAATGCGGCATGCAGCATGATCCAATTCGAGATTCTGCTGCCGGGGTCTGAATGGCAGAGCTGAGATATCTTGCCGTATTCGCCTGGAAGATTCTGCAACCAGTCGTTCAACTCTGCGTCGAGCTCGCGGTATCTTTCGCGCCATCGTTGGATGTCGGCGTGGCGCGTGATGTCTAATGGCTGGTGTAGGAATCGGTGGATGCGACTGAGTATTCCCAACACTTCGCAGTGGTACGAGAAACTTCCCAAATTTTCTGGCTTGTTAACGATCATTTCGGACGGCAACCCTGGCCGGCGCCACCGTGTCTCGACAGGCTCGTTCCTGGAGAAGAGGTCGTAGCGGCAAGGCAGGCATCGATCCATCTCTCTTTCGTCGAAGATGAATTTGTCTGCGGTGGCGACGGTAGCATACCGATCGAGAATAAACGTCATCCAGCACAGTCGGCGGCGCTCTTCGTTCTCGATCCACGACTGAGGCTGTGACGCCTGTAAGTGGGTTGCTGAAGGGTATGCGCTGGATTGGAGGTATATTGTCTTTTCCACTTCGAGACCCAGCTGAACAATATTCCGAGCAGTAAGAGCCAGCAAGTTCCAACCTTGCTGCCCGTTCGACGTCCCCAAGACGTCGACCGCCAGAATAATAAGAGCCTGAAGCGCGCGGACATTGGGGTGATCAAGCGCATACATCATGATTTTCTGCCTCGATGCCTCGTGAAACTGTCGCCTGGCTTCTGCAGTGAGACGGGGATCTTTGGAGAACCGCATCGTGGTCGCGACAACAGCATGCATCAGCACCCTGTCCGAGTCGTCCATGGATTGGGAACCGAAGAAAGCGTCGAATGTGGCTTTCCGATCCAAAATGGGCGACCAGGGATTGACATGCTTGAAGTACAGATCGACAAGTGTGTACAGCAGGTCGTACGTAGGCAGCTCCGATTCAGGGACGGAGGGTCCTGGCGTCGACGTCGGATACCAGGCAGTCGACGGACCTCTATCGCTTTGCGACATTATGTCGTGGCTGCTGACATCGACCACCGAGCGAATAGACATGGCATCCTGCGGTCGCGGGTATTGCATCCGTTCGTACGCATTCGCGGACGAAGGCCATCTTGTGTCCGATCCAGGCGTGTCTCGCGACAGTACACTCGTCGCGGACGGCCGAGATTCATTCTGCGCATAGGTGTTGAACTGGGTGCCTGGTTGATGCGGCCCCCGTAGAGAGCTCTGGCGATGGAGAGGAGAAAGGTCGCCGTGCTCAGCGATGTGATCTTCAAGTCGACGGCCCTGGGCGTGTAGCAGGGCTTCGAGGCGATTGATCTTCTCCTCAAGTTCACGGCCATATCCCACCCGCAGACCGGGTTTCTGCCTTTCCTTGTAGACACATTCTCGGCCATTCCGGGCGCACCAGCCACAAGCAGGCTCTGCGCGGTCGCATTTGACTTTCCTGTTTTTACAGAGTTCGCAGCTTCAGAAAGTACGGTTAATAAAGAGAATGGAGAGGCATCGGGTTGAGAAAGTTCCTTACGAGATTTTCAACGATGACCTTTTTCGCTTTTTGCTGGCGGCCCCGTTCTCCAGCGCATCCTCGGGACTGTCATTCTCATTCTCGGCATCGCTGGACAAGGGTGAATTCCGCTCCTGCTCCTCGGATGCTTCGGTAGGAGAAGTTTGCGGACCGTTGTAAGTTGTCATTTGCGCAAATCACTGCGACTCCTGTACGGCGCTCCTTGCAGCTTGCAACATTCATGAGATGTGTAGGGAGGCTTATGCAGACCAAGGCCAAGGCAACGTGCAGAATAGGACTGCGGAATCCCGGGCTGGTGAAAGAGTCAGGCGACGGAGAGCAAACCCCACACCAGGCCCGCAATTTGCCCTGCACCCCAGGCAAAGCCACGCGGTTACGTTTCTCGAATGCCGGCAGGCCGGAGTCACGGTAAACATCCAAGCGGCCTCATCCTGGCCGGAGTCATGCTGGCAGACCGGGCGATACTCGGTATCAGCACGAAGTAACAATGTAGTAAAGCCTGGTAGAACTGTCCGTCTGGGGCTTACAGGGCAACACAGTACCTACCTGTAGGTAAGAACTAGGCAGCGACACGCCGCAAGACATACCCAGTACGGGAGTACCTAATTACCTAGGTACGATTGAGTTGAGCATCTCGGCCTCGTCGGGAAGAAGAACGGCCTGTCCCGGGGTTGTGTGATTGCGTGCCTCGGATCAATCTTGCGGAATAATATGTATCCGATTTGATCCTTCCGTACGGCGTTTTCCCACCCAGGAAGGGAATCTATCCAGGTAACAAGGTCACGAAACAAAATCTAATCAGTCTTCGTACCTTGATATAATTCGCAGAGTCTACACAACACCATACAAAAAACCTACGAATCACTAGTAACTGGGTAATCGACCAGCCCACAATGTCCAAACTCATCAACCCAGCCGACGTCCGCACTCCTCCCTCAATCTACTCTCACGTCCAAGTCACGCCCATCTCACCAACGAGCAGTCTCGTCACCATTGCAGGCCAGGTCGGTGTCCCGCCCGACTCTACCGCCGCTGCATCAACTTTCGCCGAGCAAGTGCAAATAGCCCTTGATAACCTGAGAAAATGTCTCGCAGCCGTGGGGGCTACCCCAGCCGACATCATCAAAGTCACGCACTACGTGGTCAATCTGGATCCGAAGGATAAGTCCCGGCTGGAGGCATATTCGAGATTCATCGGGGATCATCGACCACCAGCCACGCTCGTGGGAGTGGCGGCGCTGGCGTGGCCGGATTTGTTGTATGAAGTTGAGGCTATGGCTATTGTACAGCAGAAGTGAATGCGGGTAGACCGCGGTGGGCGTTTAGTGTCGGAAGGAAGAAGCAATGCGCCATTATAGGCGCGTGCGATCGTCGTGGTCGACATTTCCCTTTGCCAGACGAATGATCATGCTCCGTCAAACACCTGAATCCTCAACATCCTCCACCTTGGCTTTCTTGCCGGTTTCAGCATGTGCTGCATCGTCCATGAATTCTACCTTTCGCTTGCCCAGGCTCGATCCGCTGGCGACCGCTGAAGCAGCAGCAGCAGGTGTCGACGCAGCAGAGCCCTGTCCACTATCACCACCATTACTCTCTGTTGGTTTCGGCTTCTTCCGCTTGACCATTCCCGAGATGTCAGTCGCTTTCTCGGTCACCTGGGCCAGCTTTTCCTTTTTCTCCTCTTCGGTCACACCACTGCCCAGTAGACTGCCGAGGACGCCCTGAATCTGCTGCTTCATCTGGTTTTCAGACTCGGCCTTGACGCTGACGGGTGGTTTGCGCAGCTCTTCCAGCCGCACTTCCATCTCAGCAATCATGTCCTGGACGTCCTCGATTTGCGCCATAGCTTTGTCCTTTGCAGGACCGGCATCGAGTTTGTCTAATGCTGCCGTCTCTGCTGCAACGCGCATTTTGCAGACATCGATGGCCTTCTCTTGCTGGGCGATGGCTTCGTTGCGGATCTTCCAGTCGACCGAGAGCTTGCCAGTTGGATGGCCTGCAGCGTCGCGCTCTTCTGAGCTGGCACTGAACTCCAACGCCAAACTCAGCTTGTAGTGACATTCGGCCAGGATGCTCGACTCAGGGCGCTCGAGCTCTTCTCTCAACGCAAGGCACGCGTTCAGATTTGTAGCTGCATCCGAGTACTTCTCACCCTCTAGTTCGACTTCCGCTTGCAGATCGTAGATCTCCGCGACACGGGCTTTCAGCGCCTTGACTTCGGGAGTGAGATCTATAGATGCCACGTATTTGCCCTTCTCAGAATCCTCCATTGCGTGTTCCTGACTCTGGTCCAGCTTTTTGAGATACAGAACGCGGGCTAAATCCAAAAATTCATACGACGTGGCGAAGTCATCATCATCGTCTTCTTCCCCCGCCTCTTCATCTTCGTCCGCTTCATCGTCCTCTGAATCGTCCCAACCTTCGGCGTCACCTGAGATCTGGAAGTAGGGCTTGTCCGAGGCAGTCTGTGGAGGCTGCTTCACGTCCTCTTGGGGCACGACATCACCCACGTTTGGTACCGTGGTTTCGGATGCCGCAGACACGGCTTTCGAGGTCGCGCCAGCGCCACCACCATTAGTTGTAGATGCCTCCGCCTTCGTTGCGCCGTTGGCTTTCCTCTTCTTGCCCGATTTCTGTGCTTTGCTTGAGGACAGTTGCGCAGACGCCGCTGTTCCACCCAGCACGGAGCTGGACTGTTGGGCGAGGAAGAACAGACATTTCCCGTAGGAGTAGTATAGGTCCGCGTTCTCGATGGCCATTTCTCCATTGAGTTCGGCTTGCAGTTCGGTGGCTTGCGAGTACAGTTCTGCCGCTTCTGAGTAGTGCTTGACTGCATATTCTGCCGCTGCCTGCGCGATGAGCTCGGTAAGTTGGGCGTGTTTGTCGGCATCTGGGGGATTGCCAGAGGTCTGGTCAGTCGCAGCCGCCATCGACGGTGCCATACCACGCTGCTCTTCGTGTTTCGGATCAGGGACCGTGGTTGAGACTTCGTCGCCGTTGGTGGCCATGTTCATCGAGGCGGCAGATCGCAGGGCCGGAGTAAGAAAGTGTTACGGGACTGAAAGGGATGACAGGGAAAGTTTACCGTGTCGGGGATGAAAGCCGCCGACTCGAATCGGAGGACGATGAATCGATGCCTGGGTAAACATTACGAGTTACGAGCGCGTCTCGCTGGGCGAACGCCTATGACGCGCTTGGCGGCGCTCATAGTGCCATCGGATAACCTTCCTTGTCAAGCTGGCGGTGGTAGAGAGTCTCGGGAGTGTGCACCGTGGTCACCCAAGATCTAGACGAATCAGCCCACTATCGTGGTGACCACGGTCAGCATAATGATTAGGGGCAAGGGTGCGGAAAGCTGGAAAGCCATTCCTTATGGCTGTTTTCCCAAGAGGTTCATGTTTCCATGCCTTTGCCCTCTGCCGAGGGGAGTCGTGAGGTGGACATCTGAGTTTCTATCCAACCATTCTTCACGGGTTGGCTAATATTTGAATGGCGAGTTAGGTTTGAGTCCAGCTCATAAAAATGACACGAAGAAAGTCGTTCTCGGAATATATAGGACGGGCTTGGACCGGCCACGAGCGCACACTGTGAGTGCTGGGAACCGGAATGGTTTTTTCGTATCGAAACTGGTTCCTTCAAAGCGATGACTCGGAGCAAGTTGGGATTGCAGGGTGTCTTTTAAGGACCCAGCAAGTCCTCAAAATTGTATTCGACACGTTGAACCCCGACTCTTTCCTCAACGTCTTGAACTCTTGTGGTAGAAGCCTTCGTCTCTCACCCATTTTCCTCCAAGCTCGTACGCATCACACTTGCCCTAGTTGCCAGGATTGCTGGCTTTCCGACACCATCTCGACTTGGTGATCCCGCCAACGTATCCCACCTCACCATCCTGTCTGCAAGGCTGAGAGGCCAGGAAGAACCGCCCTTCGAATTCGCATCACTGGAACAAGCCGCCCGGCAAAAAACATCTGCCGCAATTCCTATCAAAATGCCATTCCTCGAAAACCTTGAGATGCTGATATTCACGGCCGGCTTTGGGATCATTCTTACCTCACCTCTTTGGGGAAGTGGCTTGTGGATGTACAAGATGGTGCAACTCGAAAACAAATGCAGTAATGACTATGATCGACACCTCGAACGGATGAGAACGGTGAATTTGACACAATCGAAGCTCCAAAAAATGGATAATAAGGAGTTCGCAGCAATCTGGAGCGCCGTTTCCAAAGAAGCCAGAAGGAGACACGGACAGGTGCTCATTGGAATTGACGCCCCAGAGCGACGCAGAGGGAATCCGTCAAGACGGCCAGTCACCCCGGACACCGAGGACACTGAGACCGATGAGCTCTGAGCCTGTGTAGAGCTTATGGTGTAGCTCGCAGGAGTCCAGTGGGGGTACTATGTACGTAGACGGTATGATTCTATGCTGGAGATTTATCAGACGGACCATGGCCGAGGATAGAATGATCGCTTAGCGCATGAGAGTAGTGAGCAGGAGTCTTTAAAAGCGGCACGAAGTGAGGGCGGTTCGCGTGCAGTTGAAATGAGCCTCACTTCGCGTCACCTCGGCTTCAAAACGCGTTACGCGTCGAGGCTGAACTTCTGCCCGCTCGCCCACCACAGTTTTTTTGATCTTGACCATGATTAACATGTAAACAAGCTAAGGACCAGCCGACGATGGAGGAGCCTGTATCGACACCAGGGCTACCTGCCCGGACATTCAAAGCAGCCTCAAAAACGACGGCGAATGACCAAGTCTTCTCTTCATCGCCCGGCTTCGGCACGCCTGCATATCCCATTAAAACCCGTCCACCCAACGTCGCAAACACTTTTGCTGCGCAGTCGAACGCGACTACAAGCGTGCATGGCGCCCCGACCGTCCTACCGATCCTTCTCCCGCCCCAGACTTTGAGACCTGTTGCGTTCAGAACGCTCACCAAGAAGCACAACCTGACACTGACTTCGTCCGGGCTGGGCCTGCTCTCTACCTTTGTCGGCAGATACTGCGGCAGCGGATGGCGAGAAGAAGGGCTAGCCGAACGTGTACTTGACGAGATCGCAAAAGCATGGAAAAAATCCGGTGGCGGCCTGCTCATCGAGGATGGGCCGGACAAAAAGCTCTCCAACATCCTCAAAATGCTCGAGCCATGCATGTCTGGAGGGCGGCTGGATACGGGCAAACTGTCCCGCACTAATAGCTCCGTTGGCAGTCCAAGTCTATCACGGTCTGGGTCATTCGCGAACCGACCTGATGTGACCAGGGACGACAGCCAGACGAGCTTGGGTCTCTCGGCCCTGGATATGGATGGCAATGCTTCCGGAGACTATGGCGAAGAAGAAGACTCTCACCCTGATACACGATCCTATCTGAGACTCATCTCAGCATTTGACCAACCTCGTCTAATATACTCGACGTCCAAAAAGTCCCTAGAACCAGCTAACGGCACCGCCAGCCTCCTCCCACCAATCCAGCACAAATTTTCCATGTTCAGGAACAGGTACCACCTCGTCCATCAGCGACTGATGAGGAACGAATCCTTTCAAGCTCCCTCGTTTTCAACGGCAACCCGACCACCTAATCTACTGCACTCAGCCAGCAGCCTGACAACTCAGCAGAACGCGTACAAAATCACGCCGATATCAAACCTGCTTGGCCGATCAGGCACATCACACCTTCTGCTGGGCATGCTAGCCCACTCCGCAGCTGGGGACCTCGCCCTTACAGATCTCTCCGGCAGCGTTGTCCTAGACCTCTCCATCGCCCGTCCAATCCCTGAAGACGGAGCGTGGTTCTGTCCCGGCATGATCGTCCTCGTCGAAGGCACCTACGAAGAAGACGGTTCTCACAACTCCAACCTCGGCACCGCAGCTGGCGTGGGCGGCCAGATCAAGGGCGTATTCGCGGCAGACACGCTAGCGGGTCCCCCAGCTGAAAGAAGGGCACTAACGCTGGGCATATCAAACGCCACAGGCGCTCAAACACTACACGCGAACGTGGGCGCTGGGTTCGGCTGGATCGATTTCCTCGGCCTCGGAAGCGAAAAGGCAATCGGCTCGCAAATGCGGCGGGTCCAAAGACGTGTCTTCGGCCCATCGCCACAAACGGTACCGACGGTGGCGGATGCTGAGGAAGAACAAGAATCTGAACCCGCTCGATGCAAAATCGCCATCCTGGGAGAATGCACCCTCGACTCCGCGCGCACGCTGGAAGCCATCCGCGCAATCCTCTCCTCGTATCACACCTCGAGCTCCGGACACGTCTCCTCGCTACCCCTCTCTATAATCCTCATGGGCAATTTTGGGTCGGCGGCGAGCATGGCCGGTTCGACCAAAGGAGGCGGCAGCGTAGAATACAAAGAACACTTCGACGCCCTGGCGTCTGTGTTGTCGGAGTTCTCGTTCCTCCTGGCGAATGTAACCTTTGTATTTGTCCCCGGTGATAATGATCCCTGGGCGAGTAGCTTTTCGGCCGGCGCTGCGACGATGGTCCCCAGAATGGGCGTGCCGGAGGTGTTTACAAGCCGCGTGCGACGGGCTGTGGCAACCGCGAACACAGAAATCCACGGCAGTGGAGGCGGAGGCAAAGTCAAGGACGCCGTCAAGGGGGAAGTCATCTGGGCGAGCAATCCCGCGAGAATGTGTCTTTTCGGCCCGGTCGAGGAGATCGTGCTCTTCCGGGACGACATCACCGGCCGGTTCAGACGGCATGCCGTGACTTTTGCGAGGGCCGAAAATGAGGGCGATGAAGAAGAGCAGCACCACCGGCAGCAGCAATCCCAATCGCAATCGCAGTCACTATCGGACCCCAACGGAGACGACATGCACGAAGACGACGAAATCCACGCCGCGACATCCCATGTTCCTGTGGCAAAACCGAGCAGCTCGAGCTCGCCCAGCGTCCAAGCCGCCCGAAAACTCATCAAGACGCTGATCGACCAGTCCCACCTGTCGCCCTTTCCGCTCCACGCCCGCCCCCAACTATGGGACCACGCCTCCTCGCTGTCTCTGTACCCGCTGCCTACCGCGCTCGTGCTGTGCGACGCCGAAATGCCGGCCTTTGCCATCACTTACGAAGGGTGCCACGTCATGAACGTTGGAAGGGTCATCGACGAGTTGGCCCTCCGGAAGGATAGTCGGGGGAGTGGGCTGGCTAGGTGGATTGAGTATGATTGTCGGAGGGCTCGGGGTGAGGAGAGGAGCGTGAGATTCTAGAATCGCATGGATTGGGTGAGACTGCGCGTGTGAGAAGGAGACGCCGAACGCTGAAGCTCAATGCTGGATGTTCAATGCTGTTGCCAGTGCTGAGCGCTAAATACCTAGGTACTTGGCATATAATTTAATGGGTCATGATGCAGAAACGAGTACATAGAGTATGAAGTCGTTTGATCTCTTGACTTGCTCTTCCTCTTCCTCCAACTCGTCCTCTTTCATCGTGCATGACGAGGAGGAAGACGATGCCTAGATATGTAAGCCCCCTCTGGTATGATGTATCTGAAGGATGCCTAAGTTTCGCATGTATACAGGCCCCCGGCAGGCTAGGAAATTTGTCTCGTAATTTATATGGTACTCGCAACCTACATTCTTACATCGTTGAGCTTGAGGTGCCTGGGTAATATCCTCCCGGCCACGCATTCTACGTCTTATCCGGAAACGAAGCAAGTATACGGAGTACACGGGGAGGCGACACAGCGGTGTACAGGGCCCTCAACGACCTCAATGACTCTGAACGCCATGATAGTGACAGTATGTTCTGTACGAGAGTGGTTGCTTTCGATTGGATCATGTGCCTGCGACGAAACCTTCAAACAGACACAGACACAGAGGACTCACATTTCGCACGAGGACGAAAGATGCAATGGCACACGAACAGGAACACACAAGCTGGGACACATGAACAGGGGACACACGAACAGGAACACACGAACAGGAACACACGAACAGGAACACACGGACAGGAACACACGGACAGGAACACGAACTTCTGACGACGACATCACCTCTGCATACTGTACGTGGCTGTGTGTGAGAGAGAGAGAGAAAGGAAGAGAGAGGGAGAGAGGGAGAGAAAGAGAGAGACAGACAGTCGTACTGTCTATCATTCATTCGTCTCCATATGCTTAAGTCACTGTGGCTCGGCTACTGTAGTTCAAAGCGCCAGTTCACAATCACCTCCACCCTCACCTTTACAGTTGCAAACACGTACACCACCCCTCGGCACAGGGTCTAATATCCTCCTCGAAATCCAATCGCAACCACCATCCGCTGCCCTGGCCGATACTGCCACCTGGGATCTCGCGCTCCTTGACGCCCCGCATGGCCGTCGCGATCATAAAGTCCTGATCATACGCCACCAGTTCAATCTCGACGTCCTCGACCCTCCGGCCCTTGAACAGCGTCGTCATCCCGCGTTCCGCTTTGTCGGGCGGTGTCCATTTCGCGGTCTCGGTCGGTTCGGGATGGTGGTGGTCCTCTGCCGGGCCAGAAAACCGAGGCGATTCCAGCAACGAAGGCGTCGAAGGCGAGTCCGGGAATGGGGAGAGATACTCGTGCGGCCGGACGTGCGCTGTGCCGTTGGAATTGGTCGTATTGCTTGCGGTTGCAGGGAAGGAGATCTTTCTCGGGTCATGGGCGGCCGTGTCCGTGGGAGTCAGGGATGAGATGGAGGGGCGGTGCTGTGCATACATGTCCGTGGCGGGGATGGAGGATGTCCTGCGATGCGCTGTGGTGGTGGTCGTCGTGGTGTTGATCTCAATTGGTGGGACTGTGCCGGCGACGTTCTCTTTTGTATGTATGCCATTTGCCCCGTTGGCTGTTGGGCGTATGCTAGAGTCCCCACCGATATCAAGGACCGATGGCTCGCTCCGCTGCGCGAATATATCCGCCGAGGCGGGCACTGGACTTGTCTGATTCTCGAGGCTAGCTTTGGTAATGCCACTGCTATTTCGACCGGGACGGTGGTCTGGTGGTACGCTCGAGGCTCGGGGTTCTCGTTGCTGCGGCGGTGGAGGCGGCGGAGCATGTACGTCCAGGAATTCCAATTCCCTCAGCCAGCTGGCCAGGAGACCCTCGCCGACCATCTTGATGTACGCTTCTTTCAGACCCCAGTAGGCGTAAAAGCGCCGCAGCTTCAGGCTAACCATCTTGGCTTCATGTTCCCTGAAGATGCTGCTGTCACCCTTGCTGTCCCGTGGTGAAGAAGCCGCGGAGGAGTTTGAATCACTCCATTCGCCTTCCTCGCGTTCTTTGACGGGCATGTGAACCGGCATTTCGCGCATATGTCGTCTCTCCCTGTCGGAGAACATTTCGGCAAAGATTTCAATCCACTCGTCAAATCTCGCCCGCGTGGTCAGGTCCTTCGGGGTTCGTTTGTCTTCATTTGTGCATGCTATGTCGACTCCAAGGCGGATTATGTTGCAGTCCTCAAAGGCCGTGCACGTTGGGTGGGTGTTAAGATCTATTTGGGCCAGAGAGTCGAGCACGGCCGGTGAGGGAGGCCCTTGATTCGGCATGATGGACGCAGGAAGTTGCGCTGTGGGTGTCGAGCAGCCGATGATGGTGACCAAGCCTGCTTGATGGGAGACGTTGAACTCGAGACCTCTTATTTGGCATGGCTCCCCATAGATAGGATCACTCTCGTCGTAGATGTCGGTGGTAGACCAGCCCTCTGGGGGTTCCCAGTACGGCCGTCGATGAGGAGCCGGTGTCCGGGATATCTGCACCTTACTCCAAGGGATTTTCGCCCGTCGGTGAATGAATGTGTACTTCAGCAAAGCGCTGGCGAGAGACATGAAGCGATCTGCGGGCCGAATGAAGCGGGTGACTGCTTCTTGGTCCGCACGTTGGAGCGTGGACAGGAGTGGGAGCGTATGGAGTGATCTGGGGTTGTGCGGTTGAGGGACATAAGGCCGGGTATCGAGATACCAGCGATTGATCGTGGTTTCGAAGTTTTCCGGACAATGTCGCTTCATCTTGAGTATTATTCAATAGTCTAGTCAGTACGGAGGCCTGAGGGCGATCAATGACCGAGTGACAGATGCGGGGATACCAAGAGTGGTACCGCGACGCTTGATGAGAGTCGTCGGTAAGGGTAATGTGACTATCTCTCGTGTCTTTGAGTACTGTCGACCGTTGGGTTCAGCGATGTGGCCAGCTGAAGCAGAGAAATGGTGCTGATGCTGATCGTGGAGGTGCTATTCGCCGAGGAGGGTCCATTCATGGGGCCTATTGCCGAGTTTCCTTCTAATGCCTCTGGATTGTATCGCAGGCTGCTATTGAATTGAATAAAGAATCAAAGCATGGCATCTAGAAGACACGGATCAATGAGCTCACCAGCCCGGACAAGTAGTCATGATTCAGTAGCAAGAGATCGCGTCGGTGTCAAGCATCCACGCATCATGTCTTATTTTAGCAAAGGCCGAAGATGGGCTCGGAACAGGCAAAAGATCAACGGCGGCGGAGGTTCCACGAGGCTGATGCTCATTGACTGCGTGCGGAGTGCCTGAAACCATGAGCCCTGCATCGCCGTCTCTGCTGTTATTGGGTGCGATGAGCTTCAGCATCGCATGTGTCCTTGGGGCAGATTCTCGAGTCAAGCGTCGGCGGACGACGAGTGAACGAAGCGGGCTGACCAATCACAGACGAGGCGAAATGTCCCATTGGAAATAATTTTCGTGGCGGCGAGAAGTGCCCGTCATTGCTGCAGTGAGCGAGTGACTCAGGCAGCGTGGAAAAGATACAGGGAACTGAACATCCCTTCGGCCTTAGTCTTTGCTACACATGTCGCATCAATGACAATCACCGTGGGCGTGTTGGCCTTGCAAGGCGCATTCTTGGAACACCTGGTCTTACTGCGGCGCGCCGCTGATTATCTGCGGAAAGACGGCCATGAAGCCGCCTTCGAGTTTACAGAAGTCAGAAACGTGCAAGACTTGACGCGATGCGATGCATTGATTATACCGGGCGGAGAAAGCACCACCATGGCGCTTGTGGCCGCCCAGTCAGGCCTCCTAGAACCACTTAGAGAGTTCGTCAAGTACGTGCTCTTGCCTGGACATTGGGTCCACGCTGATAGCTGACCCTTCCACACAGAGTCCAACGCAAACCGACGTGGGGTACCTGCGCTGGTCTGATCCTGCTTGCCGAAGCAGCTAATGCCACCAAGAAAGGTGGCCAGGACCTCATAGGCGGATTGGACGTCAGAGTGAACAGAAACCATTTCGGACGCCAGGTTGAAAGCTTCCAAGCGGACGTAGATTTGCCGTTCCTCGACACAAACGGAGACATCTCGAGGGCTCCGTTCCCCGGGGTCTTCATTCGAGCACCTGTCGTCGAGAAGATTCTTCCCAATGTCGAAGGCATCCAGAAAGGAGAACAGCAAGTGGCCGAAACTGTGGTTGCACCGTCGAAACCCGCCAAGGATGACCAAGCAAGGTCGGCAATGAGCACCCATGTTGATATCATGGCCAAGTTGCCGGGTCGGCTGAAGAAAGCTGCTGCAATGGGCGCGGAAGTGAATGCTGGCGAGGAGACCGGGGATATAATCGCCGTTAAGCAGGGCAACGTCTTCGGAACCAGCTTTCATCCTGAGCTGACGTCCGATATCCGGATACATGTTTGGTGGTTGAGGCAGGTATTGGATGCATTTGGGACGCCCGGCGGGATTCATTGATGCGGTATTAGACACAGAGTCTCTGCTTGATAGAGGAGTTCGGAGTCCAGGACCGTGACAGTTTGGAGACTTGTACATATCGATATCCATCATCTACCACTGCCGTATTCTTCCTCTTCCTTCCTCCGCTCCGCATCAATAGCTCGACCGTAACCTCCTCTACCTGGATCGAACTCGTCCCGGTATTCGTCTCTTACCTGTCCGCCAGACTTGCCTCGGCCATATTGTCTGCCTTCCTGAAATCCAGCGTCCAGGTCGGTTCTGATGACACGTTCATCAAGCTTGGTGCCGCCAATATACTTCATACAGTCGAGCGCCTCCTGGTGGGTGTAATACTCGACGAAGCAGAAGCCACAGGGGGTCTTCTGAAACCGATCTAACCCCATGACAAGTCGTTTGATCTCGCCGCACTTGGAAAACAACTCGTGGATTTGTTCCTCCGTGGTATAGAACGACCTGCATACGCATAAGTCCTCGGCCGAGAAGGAGGCATCTAGAGACGAACAGGTTGCCGACATAGATCGTGGTAGCATCTTTCAGAAGGTCAACCTCCTCTTGCTGCTTCTCATTCTCCTCATGTTGGTCGCGTCCATACTTGCCCCTCTTCTGCTTGCGAGTCAGTTCAAGCTGTTCCTCGTGACCATCAAGGGACCCCACGCACTCTAGAAGCATAATACGTACTAGGCCTGTCGAGCCTTTCAACTGTAGACATAGCTGCTGATTGCGTCTCAATGCCAGGGTAGATGACTGTTGGTGGTCAACAAAGGAAAGTCCTTGGGAGTGAGCGACCACAGAAGCTGCGGCGCGCCGCGTCAAAGCGCGACAACATCATTTTGATTTTCACTTTCAGTTGCGCTCCAGCAACCACCTCACGAAAAATCGTCCCTTGCGACTGCCCGGGACTCTGCCATTACTATGTCTTCCTGATCCGCGCCCTTTGGGCTTGCGATAATCCGAAAATGCCTAAAGTAATTGGATACACTCCGCCATTCCTCTGCCGGCCATCTCCAGGCTCAAAGATCTTCACAGACCCGGAACCGCAGTCCCCTGTATCCCCCTCCAAACGCTCTTCCTACATCGGTTCTCCTCCGCAGGCGCAGTACCAGGGCTCTAGGAGACTTATTGCAAGCAGAGGTACCGAAATATTTACTGTCGTGGGCAACAAGATCAGATGGGCAGATCTTGCGACAGTACGAGATGACTGGGAAGAGAATGCAAAGTCTGGCCTTGGTCTGTCTCGAACTGACACAACAGAAGCTGGTGAGGCCGCAAGCTACAAGGTAAGCCGATGGTCCACCCTGCGCCGCGCGCGGTTGCTGACAGACTCAGACACTTGCTGTGCCTGTCTACTACCAGATACGCCAGATCTTAATATCTCCATCTGGCTTTTTCCTTGCCATTTGTACCGAGCACACTGTCCATGTGGCTGTCCTGCCTGATCCCTCGAGGTTGAAAGAGCGCAACAAGTCTTCGCTAAAAGTCAAGACATATCAGCTAGGTCCTACAGTCCATGTCATTCCGGAATCTCCACTGGCATCGGTGCTATGGCATCCCTTGGCTCACGCTACAACCACAACCGACTGCCTGGTGACTGTCACTGCTGAGGCCGCAGTGCGACTATGGGAGTTCGACAAATTGAGCAATTGGTCCCTTGACCGCCCCAAGCTGGCCATTGACTTGAGAAAGCTGGCGGATGGCGTCTCCTGCGACCAAGACTATGAACCGTCTGCTTTTGGCAAGACTCGCGGGTTTTCTGTTGATACTGTTGACATGGAAGTATCTGCTGCCTGCTTCGGCGGCAGGGCTGAAGATGACGAGGACGCATGGGCGAGCATGACCCTCTGGGTGGCGATGAGGAATGGGGACATCTACGCGTTATGCCCGTTGTTGCCGTCAAGATGGAGGCCAACCTCGACCACTATTCCTTCCCTCACCACAACAGCTATATCTCGAATGGCTTCTATCAATGACGATGAGGCAGACATGGACGAAAGACGGGCCGCTCAGCAGCAATATGAGTGGGTTCAGGAGATTGACAACGAGGAACCCGAGATCCATCAGTCCACCGACAGCCTTGGACAAGTTGAGGTGCGCTTCCGACCGCAGCAACCGAGTGCCATCCCACGTCTCCAAGGACCCTTTACAGTTACCCCGGAGGATGACGGCACAGAAGTTGAGATTTCCGATGTGTACGTGTTTCCCGCGAGAGTTGATGAAGAAGAGCTGTTCGATGGCGAAGACGGAGAGACGCCGGCCGTGCCATCAGGCCCTCCCATTCCTTTTACCACCATCTGTGTCGCCACGCCGGAGAATCAAGTATCATTCGCTATTGATCTGGACGGAGTGACCGGGCAGTGGCTTCCAAAGAAGGGAAAAGGTGCATTCAGTGTCCCTACTTCTGACGCCAAACCCCTGACACTGATCGACACGGTATCGCTGGTCGAAGAGACCAGGAACGCTGCAGTCAATTGGCCCATCTTCACGCCGGATATCGTGTACAACCACTCGCTTTTCCTGACCACCACTGACCATGTCTACTCTTTCTCTTTGAATGACTGGATAACCCAGCTCGGCGCTGAACTGGCAGGAAGTCAGCCTGTTGATCCCGGCCTGCAAAGAAGGCTGGAGATACGGTGCCAGAATTCGATCTCCGTGACTGACAAACTGATCGACACAGGAGAACCGTCAGAGATTCTTTCAGCCCCTGCTATTGTCGACGACGAGTCGGTAGGCTATCTGCTCCTCGCTTCGACCGGTCATGGCCCTTACGGAGTGGCCTTCGATCGAGACTATCTCAGTACTTCCACTTTCGAGCCCCTGTCGACAGAGCTCTCCTCATTTTCTCCCAGCCGCTCAAGCACTCAACTCGTCAAGACGGCAGACTCAGAAATTGACCTAGTCCCAGCCCGGGAGCCTTACTCCTTGCCCAGAGTCTTTTATGAGAATCAACAAGTCCCCATTGATTCTTTGCGCAAACAACTGCCGCCACACCTCAGGAAGGCACTTACTGATCGCCCTATGAAGCTCAGTCCTGCTACGCTGGAGATCATGACCTTCACCCACCGCACAGTTGGCGTGCAATCACACCTTTTGGAGACTGCTGCTTCAGAATTGTTCCGCCGATGCGAGCGACTACGCGACGAACTGGGTAGCCAAGTCAAGCAGATGGCTGAACTGGCGGATCAGTTGCAGCGTCTCGCCGCTACTGAAGGAGAAGATGAGTATGGCAAGCCATATCGCATCAAATCCCCTGACGAGAGACTCCAAGAAGCACGGGAGAAGCAGAAGAAGTTAGTGGCAAGGTACGAGGCCTTGAGGAGAAAAGTTGGCCGAGTCGGGTCCGGGAAGCGAGATCTGAGTTCGAAAGAGCTCGCTTGGATTGAAGAAATCGGTGCATTGGGGAGGAACCTTGGTATTGTGACTGAAGAGAAAGACGGGCAAGGAGATTCGTTCATGGACAAGAGGTTCGACACTGTAAGTCCGCTTTTCCTCCTCTCGGGGGTTTCGCATCCCGAGCAAAATGAGCGATTACTGACGTTCGAGCAACAGGTGAAGAAACTGACCCACGACCTCGTGGAAGAAGCCAACCTCATCTCCAAACAAACTTCCTCTCCAAACCCTCCGCCAGCACTTGAAGCATCCACATCGTCAATCTCCAATTCATCAATCACGCCGTCCATGTCGGCGTCCCAAATGACCGTCACGTCGCGATCGAGTGCTTCGCTTCCGGGCTCCACTTTGTCGACTGCGTTCGGCGTGCCTAGTCGGCTGCAGAAAGAACGCATCGCAGACGTCATGGGCATGGTTGAGAGGGAAGGCGCGGTCATCGAGGCCGCCATGAAGCGGCTGGAGAGGTTGAAGGTCGAGTACTAGGAGTACTGGATGTTGATGTGGCGTGGCGTGAGGGTAGAGAAAGGGACAGCACCAGAAAAGATCACAAGTGAGCCACGAAAGGCGCAAGACAAAGGTCACTTGTTGAAACTGTACGAGCGGAACGGGTTGAAATTGTACGAGCGAAACGGACTGAGACTGGTCTGGAGACCTGTGTTCAGAGTTGAGCGAAAGCGACGCCCACTCTGCTTGTAGAGCCACAATGGGCGCCATCACTGGGTGTTGACATGCCTGACGCTCGCCTGCTAGTATGGTGTATTATCGACCTGAAATGTCCAGGCTTCTTCTCGTCATCGGCTCAAAAGAAAAAGCCCCTACTCTTGTCAAAGTGGACCTTGCTACAGCCACCACGTCATTCTATCTATTCAACACTGACGAGTTCTACCTTTGCCAGCAGCCTAAATTCCTCACTCCTCCCGGAACTCGTATTTTCGGCGACGTCATTGCCGAATATGGACAGTGCATCCAGAAATGCCGGGATGAACGAGCCTGGGCCTTTACATGAAGCGTCTTTCTCCGCGAACTCTGCCGCAATCTCATAGTGCAAGATGCCCGCCAGGGCGGCCAGGAACTTATCGTCCTGGTGAAGCGCCACGTAGCTGGCGATGACAGCCCCGAGGGCACACCCTGCGCCCGTGATCTTGCCGAGAAAGGCGGACCCGTTGTTTATGGCGACGGTCCGGACCCCATCGGAGAGATAATCCGTCTTGCCGGTCATGAGGACGACGCACCGCTCGCGCCGGGCCAGGGCCTTGACCAGCGCGGCCTTGTCCCTTTCTGTAGAAGTGGACGGGCCGGAGTCGACGCCCCGTTGCTGTGTCGTCGACGTCCCTGCTACGGCGCCGATCTCGCCCTCGTTGCCCTTGATGATGCTGAAAAAGCCGCCCGCCAGGAGGGTTTTGATGGCGTTGCGCCGCACGGCCGTGGCGCCGCCGCCGACGGGGTCGAGGAGGATGGGACCCCCGACGGCGTTGTACGCTCGCATGCCTTCGAGGAAGGTGGCGATCTTTTCGGGCGTTGCGGTGCCCATGTTGATGACGAGGGCGCCGCCTAGCTTGGCCAGGTCGGGGGCTTCGGGCCCGTTCTCGGACATGATCGGGGACGAACCGGTCGCCAGGCAGACGTTGGCCACGAAGTTCTGTACCACCGTGTTGGTCATGTTGTGACAGAGCGTGTTGGAGGCCACGTGCTTCTTGATGATGGCGGGGACTTCTGCGATGAGGGGTTCGAGGTCAGTTGTCGCCTCTTTGCCGGGCGGCACGGCTGCGTAGAATGTGTCCTTGGACGATTTGATCAGGTCGAGGAGACTGCTCGCCGCGGCTTCGGGGTCCGCGGAGGCCATGATGGCACTGACTACCGCGACGCCGTTGAGGCGGTTGGTCCCCGCCGTGGACTGATGGAGCACTCTCTGGACGTTCGAGGCGTTGATGCTCCCGATGGCGACGCAGGGGATGGACTTTTCGGTCCCCGTGGCGCAGGTGGCTAGAATTTCTTGGAGTCCTCTTGTCCCGATGATGTGCTTGGTGTCGAGTTTCGTTGGCGTGGCAAACGTCGTGCCGATGCCTAGGTAGTCGGCACCCTCTTTGATGGCCTTTTCGGCCTCCTGCGGTGACGAGGCTGTAACTCCTATGATGGCATCCGGTCCTAGGATCTGCCTGGCACGCACCATGTTCATGTCGTCTTGGCCGATGTGGACTCCTTCGGCGCCGACCGCTTGACAGACGTCGAGCCGGTCATTGATCAGCAACGGGACATTGTATTTCTGGGTGACGGCATGGAGTCTCGACGCGACTTCGATCATGGCGCCCGTGTCGGCGTGCTTTTCTCGATACTGGACGATGCCAACGCCGCCACGGAGCGCCTGCTCGACCACGTGGACCATGTCCTTATCCCCCAGGATTGCTGGAGTGGAGTCCGTGACTAGGTACAAAGACCAGTCTATGCTTGGTCGGAGCTGTGGGTTTGACGACATTGTGTGACTGACCTGACTGTGTGAATTCTAAGTCAAAGGGGTCACCGATCGGGCTCGTGCACATTGAACATGTGCAGTCTGCTTCTCACATGAATGGAGTCACTGAACTGTTACCTTGCACGGAACTGATGGTTGTTGGCTCGTGGTAGGGATTGAAAGAAACAGAAAACTACAGGTATGCAGAGCTCAGGATGTGTCATCATATAACGAAAAGCTTCGACTTGACTTGCAACTAAATGCGAGACTGTGGAAGCGAGTCACCCCCGTCGACAGAAATTCATCTGCAGCAATGGCACCTACCTTGTAATTCTCCGGAAATTCAGAGAAAGGCAACCTGCAGACTCGATGAGACATGTGGCCTGTGAGATGGTGTCGTGAAGCAAGTTCAGTCAAGACGACGACATCTGGGCGTGTGTCGCGAGCAGCATGAGGCACTGTGGCCCAATGCTGCACTGTACGAGTACCCTACAGTACCGAAGTACCTAGGTAGATAGCTTCCGGCGCATCGGACGCCTAAAGTCTGGGTGCCGGTGCAGATTCCCAGGCTCCCAGGCACTGTTCCCGGCGGTCAGGCCTTGTCCGTGGCGGGAAATGCAGTGGCTGCCTGCCGGGCGAACAAAGACGCAAGCGGAGGGTCAATTGTCGATTGTTCTGCATGCTCCTGCATCTCGGCTTCTCGCTGCTGCAGTGAATGTTTGCGGGCCAGACCCCTGCTGAGCATCAATGTCATTCTCATCCATCCAGTCACGCAAGCACACGGCCTCTTCCTGTTGGGTGAGCGGATCCTCTGCTCCGAGTGACAACTGCACAAATTTTTAGCGCAAGCCGAGGAGACTAACCGAGTCCTTCTCCGTGGATTGCTCCGTACTTCATCTTCGCCTCCCGACTTCTATTCTTTTCCTCTCATCATCATCATCACCACCACTCTGTCAAGCAGTCGAGATTTACTCGCTCTGGTCAGACATTTTCATCGTCGGAAGCCTCGCAAGCTCAACATCCATCGCCCTCTGAGTCTGCCACCGCTGCTCGTGCTATCAATCCCGCAGCGCCATTCCGCTTGCGCTCCTCATCCTACTGGAAAGTCAACGCATCACGCTCAAGCAACAGCCCGGATTGTTCATGTATCGGACGGTCTTCCCCTCCTCCAAAACCAAAACCAAACAAAAGCTGGACATATTTCCGGCCAAACGACATCGTTGTAGTGTCGCCAGGTCCTCCTATGGTTGATACGCTGCATCAGACGCCTTTCTTCATGTTATATTTCATTAATCAGTGGTGATTTCCCACGCATGTCTGGTCAAATTGAAAGATTCGCAAACACCCGCATCCACGCCAACAACCTGTGAGCCTTCGTCTAGCCCGAAAAGGTCGACCTTCCTGCTCGAACTGTCCTATACAGCGTTGCAAAAGATAAGATTCAGGAAAGAGAAATAAACATCGCTCACCATGGCTACTCTCAACATTCGTCGGGACGTTACCGATCCCTTCTACCGCTACAAGATGGAGCGCTTGCAATCCAAGATTGAAGGCAAAGGCAACGGCATCAAGTAAGCGATATCGAGTTCTGGTTCCCCCAATTTATATATACATAGTACTAACACATTATCGCTAGGACTGTTGTGGCCAACCTGCCAAGCGTTGCAGCATCCTTGGCCCGTCCTCCTTCCTATGTTATCAAGTACTTCGGTTTCGAGCTGGGTGCGCAAACCAACACCAACCCAAAGGACGACCGTTGGATCATCAACGGAGCCCATGAGGCGTCCAAGTTGCAAGACTCGCTGGATGGCTTCATCTCCAGGTTCGTCCTCTGCAAGTCCTGCAAGAACCCCGAGACCGAGATCAACCTCAAGGATGGACGCATTCTGTTGGACTGCAAGGCCTGCGGCCAACGTACCCAGGTCGACCTGCGACACAAGCTGAGTGGATTCATTCTCAAGAACGAACCGAAGGGCGGAAAGAAGACCAAGAAGGAAAAGATGACTCGTCGCGATCGAGCCAAGGCCGAAGCCCAAGAGAACGGCTCCGTGAATGGCGGCAGCCCTCACGACTCCAACTCTGACAAAGGTGATGCCGATGGCGACGAGGGTGTCGTGGAGCTCGAGGCTGGTAGCGATGACGAGTTTACCAGACAGATCACCGAGGGTGCCAAGGGGATTGAGTCCAAGGCCGATAGAGAACCTAAGGATGACGAGTGGACAGTCGACACTTCCGCCGAGGCTGTGGCTGCTCGTGCCAAAGAACTCCCGACTGACCTGAAGAGCTCTCTTGCCTTCGACGACGATGAAGAGGGCGAGGAGAACGGCCACAACGTCTACGACCAGCTTGGAACCTGGCTCATCGACGAGACCAAGGCTAAAGGCACTGTGACCAAGGTGGACGATCTCGAAATCTACAAAAAGGCCAAAGATTTGGGCATCGAGAACAAGCACAAGACCTTGACTGTGCTGGCCCAGACTCTCTTCGACGACAACATCATAAAGCAGAAGCAAATCGAGAAGCGTGCCAGCATGCTCAAGACCATGATCGGCGAGTCTGAGAAGCACATGAAGGCTTTCCTCGGCGGTACCGAGCGCTTTGTCGGCAACGATCACTCCGACCTGATCCCTCTGGTCCCTGCCATCCTCATGGCTTACTACCAGAACGACCTGGTGAGCGAGGAGGTTGCGAAGGTCTGGGGTCAAAAGGCCAGCAAGAAATATGTCGACATTGGCACCAGCCGCAAAGTCCGTAAAGCTGCCGAGAAGTTCCTGCAGTGGCTGGACGAGGCCGAGAGCGACGAAGAGAGCGATGACGAGTAGAATTTGCTCCCTTGCACTCTACGATTCACCAGTCTCTTCGGTGTATTCACGCCTCGACATGACGTCTATTCATGGGCCCCAGATGGCCTGACCACACTCTCTCCTCCGGCGCGCGGGCTTGTCTCTTCTGCTTGTAAACTTGTTCTTGGTCACTCCTTTTTCCTTCACGTGTTGGGTGGTACACAGCGTCGTTGCGTGTCGCCAAAGTCGGGTCCACTCTACACCTGTCTCTGCGAGGCCCGATCCTGTAGTCTAGAATCTCCCTCAATTGAATCCAGAATGCCATTAGATTTTCATTCCAGTTGAGCGTAGTCATACCCACTCCTCAGTCTCGTGTCACTCCCCGTTGACGTCGCCTCGCGCCGATGACCCCCCACCGCCTGCCGATACGCGCCATACTCGCGCCGATACCGCCTTAGGTCCTCATGCATGACAGCCACGCGCCTTTCGAGCCCGGCATGACTTTCCGCCAACAGCCGCACGCGCTCGCGATTATTCCGCGCGTCCACCCAGTGCACCCACGCCGTCACCAGCGTGAGGAACAGCACAACCACACCGCTCTACGCCGTGATGATCTGTTCGACGGCATCGCGGTTCGACTTCTCCGCGAGCTGCAGCGTGCGCTCCTGGATCGCCAGACTGCGCTGCTGGACGTCGGTGGAGCGTTTGCCGACTTCGTTGTTCTCGGCTTGAGCCGCGTTGCTTGCGCGCAGCAGGTCGAGGGCCTCGACGAGCGTGTCGCGCGTCAGCTCGAAGTCTGTGGTCAGGGCCAGTTTTGTGGATGCGATGAAGTCGTCGATCGTGGAGAGGAGGTGCGTGGTGCCCTCTTGTTTCTTGTCTAGGTAGGCTGTGTAGGTCTGGGCCAGGGTTTCGAGGAGCGAGGCGTCGATGGCACGGAGGACCGGGGATTCTTGGATGGGGAGGGCGTGGACTCGGACTCGCGCCGGGACTAGGACCGGGGTGAAGGAGAGGGTGGCGAAAAGGAGGAGGCCCAATGGGAGCAAAAGCGGCTTCATGCTCGTGCTACGTATAGCACGTAGAATTTAGTGCTGGCACATGCAGAGCTGAGTGTGCAAGTCCTGTGTAGAGGTGTTCGGGCCGTGAACTGTACAGGAGCAAGTGCACCACCGACGAGAGACGTCTAGACTGTTCGCCAACTCAACCGGTCTGGTCTGGTCAGTGGTGCTGAAGTGGTTCGACGTGTGCAGAAGTACGAACCGTGAAGCCGCCTTCCCACACACTCAGACGTACTGTGTTTCGGCGGGTCAATACTGCGTGACCACACGCTGACGAAGCCACCTCGCGCCGTCGCTAGTTACCCTTTAAGCGAATTGGGAACTGCGGACCACCGCTCCTGCGAGAGGGATCTGTGTTTATGGCTGGATGCCAAGTTTGTCCTTCCAGTCCGGAAACACCATGGGTAGCCTCTTGGGCGTCTGCTCCGGCAGCTCCTGCTCAATCACCTTGACCAACTCGCAAAACACCACCTCGTAGCCCTCCGTCGCGAGGTGGAGTCCATCCTCCAACAGTTCGCCCAGCACCTCGCTCCGAGGCGCATCCTTACTTCCTGCCAGCGCGCTGGTCGAGCCTTCCGTCCAGCCGGCCCTGCGCATGAATACAGTCCACAGATCCAGCACGGGGAGATTGCATTCACGGCCGACTTGAAGCGCGGCATGCGCGTATTTTGCGGTATGTTCTGCAGTGCGATCACGGCCGCCCAGTTGATATTCATCCACGGGTGGAGGCGTGATGAGGATGACCTGCGTGTCGTGCAGCTTCAGGGCTGGGTGGCAGATCATGTCCTTCAGGGAGGCGATGTATCGCTGGAGGGGCACGTGTTGGGGGTGTCCGGGCACGCAGGCATCGTTGGCACCGAAGAAGATCGTCATCAACTGAACGCGCGGGACCGTCTGGGAAGGCACACTGTCTGCGGGGAAGAATTGCTGGAGGACTTCGTGGCCCATCGGCGCCGTGTAGCCTGAGAAGCCGCGGTTGATCACGTCGAGGCGTCGAGAGTACCATTCCGACAGGCGGGCCGTTAGGGTCAGGGTGGAGAGTTGTGTGATGCTGTCGCCGAGGAGGATGAGTTGGGGGTAGACGTTCGGGTGGGGGGAGGTGGGATGTAGAAACGAGGTTGACTGGGTGGGTGAATGGGACATGGTCGGAGCGACGAGTAGAGTATGAGAACGTCTTTGGTTGAGGAGGCACAGGCTGCGAAGAGAATTCATGTACTGTAGCAGCTCAAACAGGCTGTGGTATACACGGTACAGCACGTACTCAAAATCTCAAGCGATGTTCACCCAATGCTCGCGATGTCGATCTCGGAAGCGTTGCACCGAGCACGAGCTCATTAGTGGCTTCGGCATCGCCTAAAGATTCCCGGGCATGGGCTTGGGTGATCCTGCAGGTGCACCATGACATGTTGGTGCAGCTGACGAGGGCACCCGAGGCTTCTTACAGGCCCGTGGCTATGCATGTCATCGTCACGCCCCAGCACTTGTCGTGGCTCTCCAAATTGTTTCTAACCCACCGAGGTTGTGTAAATGCCTTGAGCGGCTTCATCGAGGCCCACGCATCCAATTACTCCAGCGACAGTGGTGTCCTGCTGGGGCAGCACTTCATTTCACGTCGCGACGACGAGTCGTTCGGAGTGTCGGCACTGGCTGCTGCTCAATGCCCAGACTGACGAGACATTCCTCCGCATGAGGCCGTCCTCCCATTCGAGACCGGCACCTCGCCGCGTTCGTCGAAAACCGTCAGATGATTGATGCCACCGCCCACTGGGTCGTTCGAGATGTTTCGTCCACCTGATCATATGCCTAGCCTTGACACTGACATCTTGTCCACTATAGGCACACCCTCTTCCTGCTTGCTACGATTAGCGTGACCGTCCATTACTCGCCCTTTCAACCGACCAGTTTTCACCTCTGGCACGCTTGGCTGGGCCCCGGAAAAGTCACCCTGTCGATACTGCTAATCTTTGATATACTCGAACCGAGTCAGGGAGCGAGTCCTCTACTTCTTCCACGCCTTCCACGAGACTGTTATTTATACAGCTTACCTTCCCGATGACCAGCTGACGGACTGGGGAAGGCGGCGGCTGCCTGCAGGCGGCGCCGTGACCTTCTTCCTGCCTCTGGTGATCTTTAGCAGCTGTCCTTCCTCCTCCTATTCATTACAGATGCTGCGACGATGCCGAAATCCTTTGTCTCTTTTCACGGACCCTATGAGGCTGCCTCCCTCCCACCTTCTCAGTCAACTACCACGCCGTCCTCCCCAGAGACGCTCCGCAGATCCAGAACTTCGCTTGCCGGAATTGAACCGGGACCACGGCTACCCCCGTCACTCGTTATGACTTCCCAAGATACGGAAGAGACTGCCCTGCTGGGGGACCGTCCAGGGTTAGTTCGCAGGTACACTGGCGAGAGCACACCGGGATCTCCGAGGTCAAGACAGCTTTCCAGAGTGAACAGTGCCAGCGGGAGTTCACGAAAACGGAAATATGGTGCGCGACAGTCGGGCAACGCCAGTCCGGTATGGATGAGGAGCTCTGGGCTGCGTACCCCTAAACTTTCTTCGTCGATGCTGGCAAGCTCCTTGTCGAAGGACGACCGATTATGGTACGATCAGTTCACGTCGACGGACTGGGTCCACGATAGCATTGCGGACGGATACCGTGTGCTCGAGCTGAGGAAAAAGCGGGGTTGGCGAGGACGAATCGCTTTGCTCCTCGACTCGGCTCAAGGATGGGTTCTCGTGGCCATCATCGGAGTCGTCTCTGCCGCATTAGCATACTTTGTCGACGTGACCGAGTCTGCTATCTTTGATATCAAGCGAGGCTTCTGTCGAGGTGCTTGGTATCTGAGCAGGACCAGCTGCTGCGGTGGAGAACGCACGTGTGACAGGTGGAGGAGCTGGTCGGAACTTATTCACCCTTCTCGAATCGACGACCTTCACATTGACTATCTGGCATTCATCCTCGGATCAATGTTTCTTGCAGCCTTGTCCTGCTTTATCACATTGTACTCGAAGACTGTCGTGCCCTCACACATAGCTTCCACCCTCGATGAGGATCTTGGAGCGCTCAGGCAGACCATCAACGCCGAGGCAGACAAGGACAAGTCATCAGGTGTCCGACGTCCGAGTCAGGAGAGCACAGTCCCGGCAAGCGTATACTTCTCAGCAGCGGGAAGTGGCGTGGCAGAGGTCAAGGTCATCCTCAGTGGCTTTGTTCTGCACGGATACCTCGGCCTTCGAGTTCTCATTCTCAAGTCTATCGCTCTCATTCTGAGCGTGGCATCAGGGATGAGCTTGGGCAAAGAAGGTCCTTATGTGCACATTGCCACCTGTGTGGGCAACATTGCTTGCAGGCTGTTTACCAAGTACAACCTCAACGACGGTAAGCGAAGAGAGGTTCTATCGGCGAGTGCCGCCGCTGGTGTCGCCGTGGCTTTCGGCTCGCCCTTGGGTGGAGTCCTCTTCAGCCTGGAGGAAGTCAGCTACTATTTCCCTCCCAAGACTTTGTTTCGCACCTTCTTCTGTTGCATTGTTGCGGCGCTTTCACTAAAGTTCCTGAACCCGTATGGCACAAACAAGATTGTGTTGTTTGAAGTCCGTTATGTTACGGATTGGCATTACTTCGAGCTCGCCCTCTTCGTATTAATTGGCATGGCAGGCGGAGTAGCCGGTGCACTTTTCATCAAAGCATCTCGCTTCTGGGCCACTACATTCCGGCGCATCAAAATCATCAAAACCTATCCAATGCTGGAAGTTCTACTCGTGGCCCTGCTCACGGGCTTGATCAGCTTCTGGAACCGATATACCCGGCTAGCTGTTGCCGAACTCTTGTTCGAGCTTGCCAGCCCCTGTCAGCAAAATCCAGGAAATGGGCTCTGTCCTACGACCGAGGATGAAATCCTGCAGATTGTTCGCTACCTCAGCCTTGCATTCGTCGTCAAGGCTTTTCTCACGACCATCACTTTTGGCATCAAGGTGCCCGCCGGCATCTATGTGCCTTCTATGGTGGTTGGCGGCCTCATGGGACGCATCGTTGGTCACTTGGCCCAATACGTCGTCTTGAAATTTCCAGACTTTTTCCTATGGTCGCATTGCCGAGACTCCGGAAACATCGAATCGTGTATTACACCTGGAGTCTATGCCCTAGTGGCGGCCGGCGCCACCATGTGCGGCGTCACACGCCTCTCTGTCACTTTGGCTGTCATCCTGTTTGAGTTGACAGGCAGCTTGGACCACGTGTTGCCCTTCTCATTGGGTGTTCTTTGTGCCAAGTGGACGGCAGACGCTGTCGAGCCGTTGAGCATATATGACCTGTTGACCGACATGAATTCATACCCCTTCCTCGACAACCGGACCACCCCGGTTTTTGACTCCGAGCTTGGAGACATCACACCCCGATTCAGAAGAGACAAAGTGATTGACATCACGCTATCCCCTCTTGTCAAGGCGACCGACCTACGGGCTAAACTCAGACGCTTGCAAAATCTTGGGGAGCTAGATGGTGGCTTGCCTGTCCTCCGCAACAAAATCCTAGTGGGCCTCATCCCAGCTCCAGACCTAGAGTTTGCTCTAGACAGGGTAGAGGATGAGGAGAATGCACTCTGCTTGCTCTCCACAGAAAACCACGCGCTCACCTCCCACTACCGGCTCTGGGACTCCTTTGAGGAAGCAGGATACGATTCAGGACGGGAGGAGTCTGGCAACGAAGAAGCGTCCTCCGACCCTACCGACCTCACGCCTTACATTGACCCGGCGCCGGTGGCACTTGATGTGCACTCCCCAATGGACCTGGTTTATCAGTGCTTCGTCAAATTGGGACTGCGGTACATTTGCGTTTTGAGTGAAGGAGAATTCAGAGGCATGGTCCACAAAAAGGCGTTTGTCAGATACATCAAGACACTGGAACATAATTCGACTCTTCGCTGAGTGGCTGGCGAAGAGTGCCAGCGGAAGCGACTTCAGACACTGCACCACCAGGAACAGGGCAAGATTGACAGGTGGGAGCGGGCATAAGTTAGCGTTGAGCTGCATTGGTGGAGTTTGACTTCTGTTTGCATAAATATCCAGGAGGGTCTGATGGCGTTCGGAATCTCATTGTCGATCCCAGCAACTCGTGTTGTGTTCATCATGCCTCGCATTGGCCCTGAGGATACTGTGTAAGCTCATACAACTACGAGTACAAGAACACAACAGTTCATTTGTTGCAAGGCATCAAGAGTCTTTATTGTGACTTAAAACTGAGACTACATTTTTCGAGCGACTGATCAAGACCTCGTAAAGTCACTTTGCAGCAAGCAGATCACGGCACAATCCAAACCTTACAACACCAGTTTAGACGGTCTGGACGAAACTCAACCACCCGCTGTTCTTCTTTCTGGCCAAAGTTACTTACCTACACAGTACGGTGTTTCCTCACTTCCCCAGAACTTACACACGTTGCTGATCCTTCCTACCGCATCCGCATCCGCATCCGCACGGCCACGGGAGTACAAGTAGACAGACCGACAGATCGACCGCCTCTCTTTCCTCAGAAGCTCCAGCCAGCCAGCCAAGCCGGGGAAGCCAGCCTTGTCTCGACTCCCCCTTCTGGTCGAACCTATCAGCGTGTCCAGACGACGCAAGGTCGATCCGAGGCTGCGGTACTCCGTATGCTTTTTATTGGTCACCGTCAAAGCTAGTGCGGTATAGAACGATTAAAAAAGTCTGCGCTTCCACGCCTGTGCGTTGAGCCAGTCGCAATTTTTGGGCCGGTTGAGGTCCCGGCCGAGTTTCGGCGTCGGAGGGCTGGCAAGGTCGTTTTGCGTAGGGAAGGGAAGGGATGTATGTACGAATGCTGTCTGCTATGGGTTCGTCGGGTGGATGGTGAGTAGGCGTTGTTCTTCCTTCCCACTTACCGGAGATGCACAGAGACTCTTACTTTGCAGTCGCTGCCGATGCACGGGCTCTCTTTACTTTCCGCTTACTGAAGATGTATAGATCCTTTACTCTCCATTCACTGTGACGCACAGACTCTCTTACTTTCCACTTGTTGGAGATGCGCAGACTCCCTTCTCGTTTCCACTTACCGGAGACGCACAGGCTCTGGTACTTCCAAGTCAATGACTGGAGATGAATAGACTCTCTTCTCTTTTCCGCTGCCAGCCGGCGGCTGTTGAAGCGTGCCGGTTTCCGGTCGCCGCACAGGTCGCACGCGAGTTCTTGATTTGACGTGTAACTCCCAACCCTAACGCACGGAGAGAAAGGCCGTCTTGCGCGCGGACACCAGAACCGGGAGTAAATTAGTGGTTTCGTTGGCCAAACCGCTCAAAATGGGTAGGACGTGCCTCGAAGTCGAATTGTTGCCGTGGCAGGATCAGGCGAACAAATGCAGGACAGATGATAAGGACGCCCTCTTTCCTGAGTCTGCTTGAGGTCAGCTTCGTGGCGTCCACCCTCAACTGTTACGACTTATAAAGGAACTTCTGCTGCTGAGTCCTCCCTTCTCCAAGTACTTCCGATACTCACTGTTCGTCCGCTATCACCAATATACCTATTCTCTCCCCTAACTCCACAGAGCACTGTAACGAACGCACCTCCTTTATATACGAGCACCTCGGCGATCGCCAGCATCAACGCGCTTAACTGTTCTCCCCCTCACTTTATACGCGACTTCCAGGATGATGTTCACCATGCCGATTACAGAGCAAGCAGACGCTGTTGCCGCTGAAGGCATCGCTAGTTCCACGGAGCACGTGGAGCAAGTCACCTCTGTTGAACCGTGGGCTCTCCGACGGGACAGCAATGCAAGCTGGGCGGCTATTAGTAGTCCAAGGGGCCGCTCCAGCATACGAGGCCCTATATGCAGCACCATCGCAAGTGCGGGCTCACACAACCCGTTCAGCGATGCATTCGGCGCAAGCCTCGTCGCCAACAGTGTCCATCGGCACCGGGACACATCAGAAGCGTCAAGTTCAACGGCGGTGGGCTCGAGTGAAGCTGAGCGAGACGCCCAGGTTGTCAATGGGAAGTCAGAGCTCACAAGGACCATAGAAGAGGTGGACGGCCAGACGGAGGAAATCCAGCGCATTCTGGACGGGGACGCCATTGCGGCGAGCAACGACGAGGCCGAGAGACGGAGGTACGCCGAGGCAAGAGCAGAGCGACCACCGCGGCGCGGGAGTCGATGGTCGCGGCCTCTGGCATCCCTTGCAGTTCTGCGGAGGCAACGGAGCACGCGGTCATCAATAGACACAGAGCGCCAGTATGCCCACGGGCTCCATCAACTGCATGCCGACAACTGTCAGGCGTGCAGGCAGAACTCTTCAGTCGCAATGGCAGGGATATATATGCTGGCCATCACGACAGTCGTTGCCATCCCGAGTCCGTTCATCTTGATCAAGGTGTTGCCGGACAAGTCGAGCCCGAGCTCCCAACTCAACCTGTACTTGGTGATGGCGCTGCCGAGCGCGATTTTCAACAGTCTGCTCATGATTGCTTGGGTGGTGCTGGCCGGGCTCAGATGGCCCGCTTGGCGAGAGAAGAGCAGAGTCGGCTTCGTCAAGCAGTGGCTCGTCTCTTTGACCGTCGGACTTGGCCTCTATTTCCTGGTGGCTGGGGTGCTCTATGCATTCTCGAAGTGATCACCGCATTTATACAGGGTTGTTTCCGCAAGAAAACTGTCCGCAAGGCGTCTGGAGTCAGTAGATTGGAGTCCTTCGCGCATGGCGTCTGGAGTTGGTACACATTGATTTGAAGCGCAGTGTTTGAGGAATGTTGACAATGTTCCGTTTTCGGACATGGATGGAAGCGTACAGCGAAACGCGACGCCGCAAGCAGCAAGACTGGCCGTCAAGATACCCCAGCCAGAGACTGAATAGACCCAGATACTGTAGAACTGTCAAGAAGATGATTGAGAGAGAAACCGAATCTGTACCATTGCTGTCGCCGTTGTATTTGTCGTTGGATACGTCGTTGGCAGTGTCGATGGTGCGGGCGAGCGCCGTCCAATCGGAAGCCCTCTCGCGATGGGCTCGGCTACAGCGCCATGTCGCACTCCCTCCCCGTCTTCCTCTGCCTCCGCTGCGCCCCAAACCCCGGGCGAGGCTGGCACTCTTCGGATCATCACTGACCTACGCACAAAGCAACTCCCTCCCCCGTCGCCTCGAAAGAGAGTCTCGATCGCAACTCGCAGAGATATCGACGGCGCCGTATCGCCTTTCACATCCCAGCCTCAGACACCATGGCCAGATAACTCACCACCTACGCAGTCGAGGTCGTCATCCCTCGCTTTTAACTACGATATCTTCAACACGAGCCCCAGGCGGTGGCCTCCCACCCCGAGGATGGGCACCTTACCAGAAGAGCGGGAAACGCTGATAAATCAGGCTGGCAGGTCGTCCAAGGATGCATATCCGCGGCTTTCTCAGGACAGTGTCACAACTGCCTCGACGGCTTCGTTGGTCCTGGAGAGTCTAAATTTGTCACATGCTACGGAGAAGCGCTCGCAGCCCACAGACTACCGGGACGATGACAGTGATCCTGAGTTGCCCCGGTTTAAGGACAAGAACTACACCATTGGCGGACAGCGCATGTCCAGAGGGCTGAAGCGCGCGCTGTGGGTCCTCTCAGCCATTGCAGTCGTCGGATGGGGGCTCGCGCTACTGGCCTTCCTGGCTGGAGGTCGATATAAGCATGCCTCGACGTTAGACTACGACCACGAGACGCCGATCAAGAGCTCGGGAAAGAAGGTTACCATGGAACAGATTAGGAACGGGCAGTGGTCGCCCAAGTACGCCAATATCGAGTGGATCGCTGGGCCCAATGGCGAGGACGGGCTGTTATTGGAGATCAGTCGGCAGGGAAAGGATTATCTTGTCGTCGAGGATATTCGGAGTCGGACCTCGTCCGCGGCGAACGCTTCCAACGCCAGGACCTTGGTGAAGAGCGGGTGGATCAACTATGGCGGAGAACAATATTGGACTTCAGACTTCTGGGTCAGTCCGGACATGAAGAAGGTTCTGCTGCTGGCGAATCCCGAAAAGGTGTTTCGACACTCCTTCCTCGGACTGTACTTTATCCTCGACGTGGAGACGCAGAACGCTCAGCCGCTCGATCCAGCTCTGCCAGACGCGAAGATTCAACTCGCTCAATGGTCACCCCAGAGCGATTCTATTGTGTTTACGAGAGACAACAACATGTTCCTGAGGTCACTCGCGTCGACCCAGGTGACCACGATTACAACCGACGGAGGGCCCGAGTACTTTTATGGGATTCCGGACTGGGCGTACGAGGAAGAAGTCTTCGGAACCAACACAGCCACATGGTGGGCGAGGGATGGCCAGTACCTCGCTTTCCTACGCACCAATGAGACCACCGTCCCAGAATATCCGGTGCAATATTTCCTCTCAAGGCCGAGCGGGAAAACGCCCGTTGAGGGCCTGGAGAACTACCCGGAGGTCAAGGAGATTAAGTATCCAAAAGCTGGAGCACCGAATCCTGTGGTGGATATGCTGTTTTACGATATCGCGAAACAGGAGGTCTTCTCCGTGGACATCGAGGGTGGGTTCCCAGACGAAGACCGCATCATCTTTAATATTGTTTTTGCGGACGACGGAAAGGCACTGGTCTCAGAGTCGAACCGCGAGAGTGACCGTGTAAGGATTGTCCTTGTCGATGTTGCCGCACAATCAGGGCATACTGTCAGAATCGTTGACTTGAAAGACGTGGACGGAGGCTGGATTGAGCCCACGCAACAGACAAAGTACATCCCGGCCGATCCCGACAATGGCCGCCCTCAAGATGGCTACGTCGACGTTGTCATTTCTGACAACGGCAATCACTTGGCTTATTTCTCCCCATTGAACAGCTCGATTCCGGTCATGCTGACGAAAGGGAACTGGGAAGTGGATGGTGGGCCAGCAGCTGTCGATTTGCAAAACAATCTGGTGTATTTCACGGCGGCCAAGCAAGCCCCTACGCAGCGCCATGTGTATAGCGTCAAGCTGGACGGTACCGACATGCAATCACTCGTGCCCACCAATGAAGCCGGATACTGGGAGTCCTCATTCTCTTCCGGCGCAGGCTACATCAGCCTAAAATACACCGGACCCAACATCCCCTACCAGAAAGTCATCTCCACTCCGGCCAAACCGGAGAAAATCTCCCAAGTCCTGGAAGAAAACAAGGCACTCGCTCAAATGGCATCCTCGCACGAACTGCCCCACCAAATCTTCCAGAACGTAACCGTTGACGGGTATACCCTACAGGTCGTGGAACGGCGGCCGCCTCACTTCGATCCCAAGAAGAAATATCCCGTCCTGTTCTACCTGTACGGCGGCCCTGGCTCGCAAATGGTCAACCGCCGCTTTCACGTCGATTTCCAATCCTACGTCGCGTCCTCGCTTGGTTACGTCGTCGTCACCGTCGACGGGCGCGGCACAGGCTTCATCGGCCGCGAAGCCCGCACCATCATCCGCAACAACCTCGGCTCCTACGAGGCGCACGACCAAATCGCCACGGCAAAGATCTGGGCCAAAAAATCGTACGTCGACGCCGACAGGATCGCCATCTGGGGATGGTCATACGGCGGGTTCATGACGCTCAAGGTGCTCGAGACGGACGCGGGCGAGACATTCAAATACGGCATGGCGGTCGCGCCCGTCACGGACTGGCGCTTCTACGATAGCATCTACACCGAGAGGTATATGCGCACGCCGCAGAACAATCCGCAGGGGTACGACAAGTCGGCCATCTCCAACGTGACGGCGATGGCGCAGAACGTGCGGTTCCTCATCATGCACGGCGTGGCCGACGACAACGTGCACATGCAAAACACCCTGACGTTGCTGGACAAATTTGATCTGGCGGGCATTGAGAATTACGATGTGCACTTCTTCCCGGATAGTGACCACAGTATTCTGTTCCATAACGCCAATAGCATCGTGTATGATAAGTTGGGGACATGGTTGGTCAATGCGTTTAATGGGGAGTGGTACCGCACAGAAGATCCACGGCCCGTCGAGACAGGCGAGGTGAATGACGATCTGGGTGAGAGGGGGACGAGGTGAATAACCACCTTGGTGAGAGGGAGGCCACATGAACAGGAGGGCACTATACTTGGGGGCGACTGGATAGAGCGAGATATGCCCGACCGCTTTATACTGGCGCGCTACTACTGTACCAGAGCGAGGGTGGCGCCGGTGTTGACAGCTATGCTGCGGAATCACTCTGTGGAGTAAATGTAGCGATATGTACAGGATCAACATTTGAATTGACGTGCTAATGCTACACATACGCTCAGGGACAATCTAGAGATCTTGCCTTGCTGTTCTTGATCAATGACCTCCTCGTGAAGGAGGAGGGTGTAGGTCGACGGATTGGAAAGGCAGCTTAGTGCGTGGCTTTGTAGATTCGCGCAGTACTAAGTAGGTTCTGTACGTCGAGGACTGGCCATACTGCCACCTTGTGTTTGAGAGGTCTCAGCAGAGGCTGTTCATTTGAGGATCAAGAAGAACTCGGGCAGACAAGCCTCTCGTCGCTGTCCAAGGTGAGTTGTGAAATCTTTCAAAATGAGGAGAGAGAGAAGTTCAGTATCTACTAGGTACCATCCGAGTGGACGCTCTGTATATCCTTCGAGCGTCCTGCACCCAGCATATACTCCCAAAGTGGATATGCCACAGCCGTATATTCATACAACGCCGAGTCACTGACCAGCCCGTCGCCACAACGATAAGCCATCGTCAAGGGATCTCCCCCATATCCTGCATGATATAGTCCCACTGCGCCCAATCCAGTTGGACGTCTGCCAGCGCCAAATCGTGCGCCAAGCTGTGTTCGGATGCAAAGATGCCGTCGCCAACCAGTGGTGGCGGGATGGGCTGAAACGCAGGCAAGGGGAGCTGGCTGCTTGCGTTGGACGTGCTGTATCCCACGTCCGCAGCGAAGAGGTTACTGGCACCGGGCGTTGGTTGCGCCGGTGGCGGGGAGATGCTCTCCCACCCCAGTGTGGCTTGACACTGGCTATCGGTGCTCCCGGGATCGTTGGTGGCCTCTTCTGCCGCATTGTTGCCAGGGCGCATCTTCGACGAGGTGGCTTTGGCGCGCTGGAGCGGTCCGGTCTCACGCTGCTCGCGCAGCTGCTGGATATACTCCGGGATGACCTTGGGGAAGACACCGTTGGTGCTTGCCCGGAGGGCCTTCTCCCGCGCGGCGTACGCCTTCAAGCATAAGCTCCCCACTGCGACGTGCAAGGGCCGCTTGTAGTCCGTCACAAAGTACGGATGGTGCCGGTAGATCTCGTCCACCGCTGACCATGCCCTATCCGCCTCTGGTCCCAGCGTGGACTGCTTGAGGTCGTTGAGGACGAAAATGAGGGCTTGCCACACAAAGTGCACGCGGGTATGCCACATGAATCTCTGTAGTTGTTTGGCCGAGTGTGCCATGTTCGTGCCTTCGAGGAGCTTCACGGACACGTTCCACAGGTAGTCCCGTTCCGGCGGCGGCAGTTGCTCCTGGTAGCCCCACTTGCGTGGATGGTGGGCCATCAGGCGCATCATGTTGATGGCGCCTCGGCCGATGATGATGGACATGAACTGGATGGGCACCGACGGATCGCAGTACTTGAGGAATTTGTCTTCGAGGCGCTGTTCCAACTCGTCCATCGTCGCGTCGCGCTCTTCCAGGGAGCTCTTCCATGGCGTGGATAGCCGCAAGCTCTCGATGTCAATGCTCGGTTTTTGGCGTTGCTTCTCCAGGAAGAAGATGGTAAGTTCGATTCGGAGCAGACACGATATCATCTCGGTCGGCCTTGTTTGCGGGACCGGCGGTTCCGTCATGTCCGGGTGGAGGTCTTCATCGTTCACGTTGGTCGGGGCCAGAACGTCGGACAAGGAGAGGTCGCCGAATCGCCCTGAACCGCTGAGCTCGGCGGAGCGGCCCTCCAGCACGACGATCTGCCACCACAGGCGGCGGCGCATTTCCGTCTCAAAAATAGACAGCCCCAGACCTGTGCCGTCGCGGTGGAGACCCATGCCTTGGGCGACGCGGACGGCAATTCCTGCCAACGTCCAGTTCGTCCGCGGGTCGTAGTTCTCGCGCATGGAGAACAGGTAGAGCGATAGCGCTTGCAGCACCACCAGCTCCGAGGTGTTCATGAACCTCGCCCGGGCAAGCGCTTTCCTGGTGGCATGCCGGTATCGCGCCAGCAACATCTTTCGGGGCTCACCGAGTCTCGTCTCACACTCGTCGTCGTCAATCGTGTAGACTGCCGCGCCGTAGATGGCGAATAACAGCGCTTCCAGGCCTCGGGGCAGATTGTCGAGCTGCCTGCAGGCTTGCTCGAGAGTCTTGTGAAATGACGGATAGTGGATGAATTTGGTCATCGGGTTGATGTTGTCCAGGTATATTTGCCACAGTACAAATATATTGGTTGGAGACGGATGGAATTGGTGGATGAAGTTGCTCGTCGGCGTGTAGCCGAGAATGAACTCGGTGCTCTCCTCCACAGGGGTACCGGCATCGTCCTCGTCGTCCTCGGAGTATTCGGCGATGGCTTCATTGGGCTGTTGAAACTCGTCCGAGAGACTGGCCCACAGATTGTTCTCGATGAACAGGGACTTGCCCTGGTCGACGATCAATCGGCCGGATTTTCTGATCTCGGGCGCGGCGAAGATAAGATCCTCGCCGGCAGCCGTGCTGGATACTTCAGGACTCAGTGGCTGCGAACCCGGTTGTGTGAGAGGAGGGCTTTCGAGCGACGCAGGGCCGGGAACTGTGTCGGGATTGTCGATATCGATGCCTTTGCTCTTGAGGAGTTCCTCGCACTTTTTGAGACGGGCGAGTAACAAATCCTCCTGTGTTCGTTTCCTCCGCCGGCGTGGTGCGGGCGGCACTCGGAAGATGCATTCAATGTTGGACTTGACACAATTTGAGCACGGGCTCTGCTTGTCGCATTTCACCTTTCTCTCAAAACACCGGATGCAGCTGAAGGCCTTGTGGAGGCGCTGCTCGTCCATGGTGGCGTTGGCGCTCGTGTCTGGTTCTGTATATCACGGCATCATCATCGCGTCTTGAACAGATGTATCTCGCTGTAAATGTGGCGCGTCTTCGATCGACTCGACGACCTGGCACAGACACGAGAAGCCTAGATTGCAAACTGTCGTGTGTTCAAGGCACGTACTGTGAGATACACGGGAAATCAGGCAGACACGGGATCATAGTTGCATGTCCTTACCCGAAGCAGCCACTGTTGACGCCACTGTAAATACGAACACGTCGACCTGGAATTTGCTTGGCATCTGGCCACACGAGGAGTGAGTCGGTCTTGTTCACAAACCTGTGTCTTCATGGTGACTATCGTACGGCGACGATGACTCGCAGCCGCTTGAGACCATGGCTTGATGACAACGCGTCGTATGTCGAACAATAACTAGGGCACGTAGCATTAATACCTGCCACGCCACGGCGTACGCTCCGCAGGATGAAGCAGTTCGGCCACGCTGTGGTTATTATTAGGGCACGCGGACCCTGGACGATCAGGCCCCAGCGGCCATTTCGGCGCCCTGCCCAGCCATCACCTCGCCAGAGCTTGTGCCCATCTCTCCCTGTACCGCAACGAGCTAAAGAGCTTGTCTGAGCGTCGGCCCGAAATCACCTTTGTCCCGCTTCTGATCTCTCCGACTCTGCACAGACAACTCTGCTGCAACATGTTTCTACGGGCAGTCAGTCCTTGAAGCATTGCCAGGAAAGGTTCGAGGCGATAGCTAATCCAATACAGAGCACCGCTCGTAGATGGCTGCCCGCACGGAAACTGGCTGTGACAGCCTTGCAGGAGCCAGGCGCGTCAACATGGAGGCTGAGAATCGCAAGCCTCGCGAGTGTCGGCCCCGTCAGCAAAGCCACCACAGGGCTCGGCTTCCTATTCTCTAGAAACCCCGTTCTTATAGTCGCCGAGAAGATCCCTTGAACAACTACAACTAAAATCTCCTCAGTACGCTGTATACGAACTTCACCCTTGGCCACCCTGCTGGAGTTCCACCAACCAACCAGCTTGCTCTACCCATACCACTGAGCATCAGTTGTCCAATCATCCCCTGCAGGACACGATCGATCGTCTACGCCGAGATGGGCAAGACCGACCAAAATGCCACCCAGCAGCTCGAAGCCATCACAGGCAAATTAGCCAGCCTGCTGGATCAACTGGCAGAGCGGCGCGAGAAATGTACCACCAGGGCTGAAAGGAAACACCTCGATCGACTCCGGAGAGACGCCAGGAAGCAAGTGTCGGCAATCATCAAGCTTCAACAGTCAGTCGACAATGCCAACGTCACCATTGCAAAGTCCTCGCAAGCCTTAGAGACCGCTGAAGCAGGGGGCGGAACATCGCGTCAGAGCCACGCCTCTGATGTGAACAGCTTGCTCTTCCGAGCCGTCGCAGGGCCTTTTCACAATCAACATCGCCTTCGTCCCCTCCAGCAACGACGAAGTCCTGAGCTGAGTCAAATTCTGAAGCCGTGGAAACAGACAAAATCTGCAAGTACGGCAAATACATGCGACTCACAGTCCGGCCCAACCACCACGCTGGAACACTCGACGAGCACGAGTTCGAACGACAGCGGCAGTATCGATGCCCAGTCTGCACGACCAGAGACGGAAGTACGTGCAGAGGTCGAAGACCGGTCGGAAACCGAAGCACATCCAGCATCCGGTATCAGTCAAGCGGGCAACACACCAGACCTAGTGCCATCCCGCGAAGCAACAGCTTCATACCCAAGTTCAGACTCGGACTCGTACCAGGATCCACACTCGGGCTCCTCCCCATCCTTGTCCTCCTCCACCTCCTCCTCCTCCTCGTCGCTAGACCTCCCCCCCGAAGTTCCGGATCAAGACCTTCGCGCCGAAGACCGGCAGCCGCCTCCCCTCCCTCGCAAATCTTCCCGCCGAGTATCGCGCATCCCAAGAGTCCCTTCGTCGCCCCAGAGGGCTCCTCCACCGCCGCCACTCCCGTTGGCGCCCCCACCACTCGTGCCAAGGACGCCGCATGCCTCGGTGCGTGAGTCTTGGGCTTCGTCGTCGTCGTCGTCGTCCTCCAGAGCGAGCACAACCGATAAACTTGCCGAGGACTTACTATCCGGTCTGGAGAAGCGGTATAGTCTCACCATCACCAGGACTGTGTCGGTGTCGACGGCATGACCATCGATGCTATCAACTCTATAAGACAGTGTGATGTGGTGTGATGTGATGTGATGCGGTGGTCCGAACACAAAGTTTTTCTTAAAAACAGTATGCATGCATGCTTGAATGTAGCGCTTTCTTAGGATATCAATAGTGAGTACGGTCCTTGGGTTATGTGGGGATCGAAGGGTTGGGGGTCGAGAGTCCGAGTTCTAGAGATACCCTTTTGATGTACGCCGTGTTAGTCACTAGTTTTATGATGGCCGGAATGGAATAACACACAAGACGTACTTATTTTGACAACGCTGTTTTGTGACGAGGGGCGGGATTGTGGGTGAGAGCTGAGCGTGATAGCCACAGGTCATAGGCCACAAGTCCCAAGTCAAAAATGGCTTCAGCTTGGTATATTGTAGGATGTCTTATGTCTTATATGCTATGCTGTACGAACGAAGTTGCAACTCTCTGATGTGGCTGAGTGGAGACCTTTTTCAGAGTCGCGCCAAAGTCATTCCCTGGCGCTGGACCGACACCAACAGTCCCTACTGTACAAACACAAGGCACTGAAGCAGAGCTGGGAGTGGCATGTGACGCTATACCTCCACGACCGTCTTTTCAGTCCCTTGCTGCCGCTCTGCGGGATGCTGCGCTACCGAGTCAGCTCCCTCGGATAATCGTAGCTCGCTATCGGAGGCCCTGGAGGCAGCCTTTTTTTTGGCTGCCTTTGCGGCTGCTTCTTGCGCGGCGGCAACTCTCTTCAAGTTGCTCCACGGCATGGTGAGCGTCCCAAACACGGTGGCGCAAGTAACGGCCACGACGACGTAGAATGCACTTCGTAAGGCGTCGTTGTATGCCATGAGCACCGGCACTAGCAGGTTCGGTGGCACAATACTGCGTAAATTAGTCGCGCCCACGTGCGTGACGACCCTTGCGTCAATGCCCGGGATCTTCTTCAAGTCTTGCGACAGGGTGTTGTCGAAGATATTGTTCGCCACGGAAACGAAAATCGAGCCGCCCAGAGCTTGAGCGAAGAACACAATACTTGCTCCGGTGGCGACGTCCTTCCGCGGCAGGGACGTCTGTGCGCCGACCGATGGCTGCTGTACCCCTAGTCCCAGCCCCAGGCCCCATAGGACTTGGTATCCGATCCATTTCGGGTGGGCCGTAGTCGTCGTGAATGTGGATATTAACCCTGCACCGATTGAGGATAGTACGCAGGAGGCGTACATCCACTGCGTAAAGTACCCGAGCTTGCGTGTGAGGATGCCTGCTGCCATGCTGGAGACCGTAATTCCAAGGACTGCGGGGAGATTCATGATTCCTGAACGCACAGCCGAGGCGCCCTTGATTGCTTGGAACCAGATAGGCAGGAAGTACACTAGTGCCATCATGCCGCCACCTGCGAAGAAGGCGTAGCAGACCCCGGCACTGACAGCGCGGTGCTTTAGGATCCGGGGAGGTACCGTGGCGTGTTCTTGGAAGAGGTGTTGCAGGTACATGAAAACGAGGATGAGAACACCACTAAGGATGAGGAGGATGATGATACGGGCATCGGACCAGTTATAGCTTGTGCCGCCCCATTGTAAGGCCAGAAGGAGGCATACAATCGCAGGAAGAAAGACCGCCGTGCCGATGGGATCGAGTTGGTGAAGTTGTTCCTTCAAGATTATTTTTTTACGCTCGGTGGCGGCTGATGGGAGCTTGAGAATGAAGAATAAGACAATCGCCATTGCTCCTCCAATGGGTAAATTAATGTAGAAGCACCATCTCCATGAGAGTTTGTCCGTAAAAACACCTGCGTAGTTGTCAGCATAAAGATTCCTGGGGCAAGCCTCGCATTGCCACATTCTGCATAACCTGAGCACATCCTGGAAAAGTACTAACCCCCCAATAACGGTCCTGCGACCGAAGCTATTGCAAATATGGCGCCAAACATTCCCGTGTATGCTGGTCTCTTCTGTAATGGGACGAGGTAGACGATGATTGTAATGGCGCCTGAGAACAAGCCCGAACTTCCGAGGCCGGCAACAGCTCTTCCAACAATAAGCGTTGCGGAGTTTGGAGCAGCTCCGCAGACGAGCGACCCTAGCTCGAATATACCGAGACAGGTGATGTATACAGTCTTTGGGTTGTAGAATGTGTACACCCGACCGATGAAGAGCTGGAAGCCAGACATCGTCAATAGATACGCCGAGGCATACCATCCCACGTCTGAAAGGGAGTTGAAGTGGTTGGTGATGACAGGTATAGCCGTTGCTATAATAAGACGGTCCTAGCCAACGCTGTTAGCGAGGATTTCTTATGGTATGTTACGAGGACCGACCAATGCGACGAGGAAGACACTGGCCATCATTGCCGCCACGATTATGAATACTTTTGACCTCGGCGGATATTCGTCTATCTCAGGAGGCCCAGTGGTAGTGAGAGCTTTACAGCCTGGTTTGGAAGCATCTTCGCTGTGGCTGCTTCGCGACTCTGCATACCGCGGCCGTTCTGCCATAACGTCCACAATGCGTGAATGCACTGGTATAGGAGCCGAGATGGGTGGATGAATCAAATGTTATTGTACCTGCCAGCATGAGGGAAACGAGGAGAGTCTTATACCAAGGAGAACGATATCTCAGATTTTCTTCATGATAGCACCCACCGTTGTTTGACTGCTCTATTGTCTTGACTTTTGAACAGGCTTCAGGGGCTGTTCCCTTCCGCTCTTTCTCGGACGCGAGAGTGAACGCAAAAGAGGGGACCGAAAGAGCCATAGAGAAGCCACACATCTTGACGAGACCTACAAAGGCAGCCCCAATGGCCACGTACAAGCTGCTAGATGACTGAGACGTCTGTTGCTCCTCGGCGCCGAAGGGCAGGTTGGGTCCGAAGGTCAAAGGAAGAGAGAAATTGAGCTGGTGAGACTGGCACCCGGAAGCCTGGTCACTACTGGTCATCTGGTCTCCCGTAATGGGATTGCGGTCGATCACAGTGCTAGTCAAGGACATGTTCCAATTGGCTGGAACAAGATTCTGTCTGCCCTTTCAGCCTTATTGAAATTTTGGCGTGAATCTGGGTTTCTTTTCCCAACACAAAAGCGGTGATGTGACAAGAGTGAAATACCTAGGTAATGAAGCCGGTGTCGGCCTCCTGGCCAATGGTAGAGTAATGCCGGGAAAGTTATCCGGACCTTTCTCACGTGGTTGCCTCTGTGACATCAGTGCCTGCCAATCGTACCCATATGACGTGCCTCAGTCGAACATTTGTCTGAAGGAGAAGTGGGAGTTCTATATCGCTTTTCGCTTCAACAAGAACTCATTCCTCATAAATTCACAAACTTGCAGATCGATCACGTGTTATTCAAATCCCTCCACAATGTCTGACGGAAAAGGCCAGTTCGAGCAGGGTTTCCTACCCAAGGTCACTCACCAAGATCCTCCTGGGAGAGAGGGTGATCTGCCGGTGGAAGCAATCCACGACAAACTGCCAACTCCTGATGGTGGATGGCAAGAGTACAAAGCAGCTGGAAAGTTGGAAGGCAAGAAGGCGTTCATCACAGGCTCGTCCCACACTACTGTCTCCATGCATTGCCCCGATTGACTTGTCAAACAGGTGGTGACAGTGGCATTGGACGCGCGATTGCTATTCTCTTTGCAAAAGAAGGGGCCGACAGCTTCATCGTCTATCTGCCAGAAGAAGAGGAAGACGCAAAGGAGACCCAGAAGCGAGTCGAAGCCGAGGGCCGCAAATGCCATCTCTTCCCAACCGATGTCAGAAAGTACGAGAACTGCGAAAAGGCCGTCAAAGAGGCTCAGCAAGCCTTGGGCAAGATCAACATTCTAGTACGAGCTACCCCTTTTCTCATAGAATCTGCGACGACTGACATGCCACCTCAGGTGAACAATGCGGCCTACCAAATGATGCAGATGGACATTACCGAGATCCCTCTCGAGCAATGGCACAAGACCTTCGAGACCAACATCCACCCGTACTTCTACTTCGCCAAACTCATCGTACCCCACATGAAGCGCGGCGACACGGTCATCAACAACGCTTCGATCAACGCTTACATCGGTCGTCCCGATCTGCTAGACTATACGTCCACGAAAGGAGGTATGCTGGTCGACTCCATCATCCTCGATTCAGTCCTACTGTTGTAACTTCTGCTAACTTCGTGATTCACAGCAATCATCTCATTCACCCGCGGCCTGGCTAACCAACAAGTCAGCAAAGGTATTCGCGTCAACGCTGTCTGCCCAGGACCTGTATGGACGCCGCTCATCCCATCCACGATGAACGAGGACGCACAGAAGCAATTCACCTCGCCGCTGGGTCGACCTGCTCAACCCAGTGAGATTGCCACTTCATTCGTGTTCTTGGCCAGTCCAGATAGCAGTATGATCAGCGGGCATGCTCTGCATCCTAATGGCGGCACTGTGCTTAACACTTGAGTGAAGAATGAGTTCCATGGAAAATGCATGCCCTCGGGCTATGAATCGTGATACGAATGATTGTATGAAGCGCAGATAGACCTACTCGCTAGACGGCGAAAAGCGAATCGAAATGAAATCGAGCTTTAGACCCGATAATTGCTTTTTTTCTTCGTTCTTAAGTACATATCGTAGCATGGACTGCTCCACTGGGCGTTACACTCTCACGCGGAACTGTAGCCGCTACCTTTGCGAGCAGAGGGTTGCGCACCCCTTACCTCTCTCGCGGCTGTGCTCTGCTCTCAGTCCTCGTGTTCGAGGGTGCTCACATTGCCTCTCTTTACGGTCCACTCCCCGCACTGAGAATGTATCCTCCGTCTACTGCAACAGTTTGGCCATTCAAGTATTGGTTAGTGGCCGCGAACAAGACCGCATTCGCCATGTCCCTGTCTTCACCGGGCCGTCTAGCGGGTACTTTGTCCTCATACTTCTCCCGCGGAATGTGGCTCTTCTGATCGTCGCCGCTCTCCTTGGCCGTCATTTCCGAGGGGAAAACGCCTGGCGCGATACCGTTGATGCGAATTTTCAGGCCATTCTCGGCCACTTCGTTAGCGAGCATCGAGGTCAAATGGATGGCGGCGGCCTTGGATGCATTGTAGGCGGCATGGTGTTGAGAGGTCTTCACAATCCCTGAGATGGACGAGATATTGATGACCGTGCCGCTGAAGTTGTCGTTGTGTTGGTGCGCGGCTTGCAGGAGAGGCAAGAAGGCGGTCGTCATGAAATAAATCTGCGGCACGTTGGTGCGGTACGTGTCTGTCCAGTTCTCGAATGTTTCGTTCTCGTCGTTGAAGAGGTTGTTCTTCATCTCGTCGGCGGACTCTGCTTCGGTCTGTTGCGTGTTGCCGGAGATGCCGGCGTTGTTGACCAGGATGCAGAGACATTTCTCCTTGGACGAGATCTCGGAGACGAGCTTCTTGATCTCTTCCTTCTTGGACACGTCGGCTGCGATGGGAATGATCTGGCCGGGGATATCCTTGCCGTAGAGCTCAGCAACGCGGTCCAACTTCTCTTCGGTACGGCCGCAGATGTAGACTTTCGCTCCGTTGGTGGCCAGGGCTTGCGTGATCATCAACCCGATACCAGTGCCTCCGCCTGTCACTAGGGCAACTTTGCCAGAGACATCGAAGAGCTTCTCGAGCTTGAAATCCTGGTTGCGGGAGTTGACTCCGGACATGGTGGGCGTGGAAGAGAAGTGCTTTTGTAAGGTCTGTAGACGAGACTGAGCCGTGATGAAAGGAAGTGGTTTTTGACAAATCAGAGGAGCAGTGAAGGCTCTGTGAGTACAACGGTAGGCAGATTTGGTAGTTCGAAGGGTAGCTGCTATAGGTGCTTTGGGCGGCATTGGAGTAGGATCACTTGAGGTGAAGAGCAGAAGAGGTCTTCTAATATGGAGAACGAGTTTACTGATGCCTCACGTTGGAATCAAAGCGAATGCTGCTATGACGCTTTTCATGACGAAATGCGACTATGTATGACGGCGGATCACTTCTCCGAATTTGGATGTCTGCATGCTGAGTTCTCTCAACTGCTTTTCAGCATGGACCTATGTGTCCCAGTTCTGGTCGGCCACGTAGTAGGCAGAGCAAGATAGACTCCAGCGTAGTGTGGCTTAAACACGATGTTGGGTTGGCTGCGAGGTGAGGCTTCGAAGACGTGCTCGTCGTGCTCGTCGTAACGCGAAATCCGGGGAAAGTCAGGGTGGAGCAAACCGCGACCCAATCATGCCAAACTGCGGGTTGACGTCGGCTTCGACTTGACGACTTACTCACGCTCGAGTCTGTCCCGCCCGTCCCCTCCACGGTTCTCAAAGCGTGCCTTTGCCTCCTCTCGAGTCGCAGGATGACAACCTATGGCGCCGGTGTTCCTCTCTCCTACGAAACGCCCCAGTTCCCGGCCCTCTACTGGCCCGTCCGCGCCACCCCTGGCGAAGCAAAATACCTGTACTTCCTCGGCGACATCTACCGGTACACGTTGTACTGGACGCTCATAACCTTTGTCGCCGCGCACGCCTGTGTGGCAACTTGGGCGGTGTTGATGCAATTCGCTTCCGCTACACAGCGAAGAAAATACCTCAACTCCTCGCAGGGACGAGAACTTAGTGCGAAGAACAGGAAATTGTTGGGCGAGAACCCAATTGGAGAGACATTGAGCTGGGTCTGGATTGTTCCCGTGGTCTATATCGTTATTGGGGCAAGTGAGGCGCTTCTGGCAGGGAGTTTGGTCGGGCTGGTACTTGGAGCGGTCTACAATGCAGGTTATTTCAGGATGAGTACTTGGACACCTTTGTTGTGGGGAGTCATCAACATGCTCGTGCTGGTCGTCAGCAGTTTTAGGATTCAAGGCGGTCTATGAGACGTCAATAGCTACAGGAAGTTACTCGAATCATTGCTGCGCCAGGATGCTTATCCGCCCAGCAGAGCAGGCACCAGTGTCTTGATGACTGGAAGCGCCGTGGACAACTACTCCAGTGTCGGAAGAGCTAGGGTTCCAATGCGACAAATGAAGTGGAAGTGCAGGACAGGACCTGGCAGCGTATGCGAAACCACGTCACCATCAAGTCGGGATGCTCGCGTGGAAACGGAGGATGCCTGTACTGGCAGATGATGCTGTTCAGGCTTCGACGAGCAACGCAAGTCCGAAACTGGAGCTGGAAGCAGGAAATCCCTCCTACACCCGATGATATCTAAAAGACATCGGATCTTTCCACGAGGGGGTCGATTGGGAAGCTGCCTCGGAGCCTGTTCTCCGCCTCAGACGGAAAAGACACTTGTGGGAAAGGGCAGAGAACGACTCGAAGTCACTAGAGAGCAGAAGCGCTCGAACTCGGCGTAATGCTCATAAATGGGTTGCAGATGGTCTCCCAGCATTGCCGCTGAGTTGTTGCTGCCCTGCGGAGGAGAAAGTGATGTCAGAGACTGCCACAATGCTGGTAAGGAGATACTTGTCTCAGCCATCCTAACTCTTTCTCTGCCTGCAAAGAACCGGTTTGACGTCGTAGCAGTATCTGCATGCGGCCAGCGGGTCAGCTATCGCCTTCCAATCCATGAACGCCCAAAGCAAAATGGTACGAATGAGTGAGGCGCAATCAATAAACCCCACGAATCCTGCTCATTCGTCCTGGCCACCTTGTTGATAGATGTGTCGTGTTCTTGTGGGATCTTTGCGCATTTCATGGCCACTGCCAGTGAAGCCAACTGCAAGGAGGTTAGTACCGCTCACGCCATAGGCAATAGGGGACGCGAGACGTAGCTTACCTCTTGCACTCACACCCTCGCCGGTCCTGAACATACTCTCTTTCTTCCCCAGCTTCCCGGCCTTGCTCTTCGCCGCAAAATCCTGCCACTTACTCTTGCCAGCCTCGAGTTCCTTGTTGGCCTTGACTTTGCGCGGTAGCTTTGCAGGTCGGACTGGGCCGTCATTAACCTTGCTTGGTTCTCGTCGAGCTTGTTGGGCTAGTGCCGGATCGACACTGGCTGCGGCTGAGATGACATTGGGGTTCGCTGGCGGAGGAACTGGTGTAGACGACCCTGACATTCCATCAGCCTTACGCTTCCGAGAGTCGTTGGAGAGCGGCTTGATGTCTTTGGCCTTTAGTGTTTCAGTGTTCCCATAGTTCTTGAATGTGACGATGTAGACCGGATCGCTCGAGGAGCCCGTGATGGACGTAATTCTCGCCGCATAGAAGCCGCCGTCGCCAGATTTCCACCGAGCTGAGACTGTGTCGTTTACGGACAACTGGGCGGGCGCGCTCAATTCTTCCGCGTCGACATCCGCCTTTCGATATCCTGCCTGGTATGCCGGGTGGTTCTCCTTGGACCACTTTTCTTTAACGGGCGGCGAAGAGGTTTTCGCTGGCGGCGCGGGCCCTGACTGAGGCTTTAGTTCTGCAATGGCAGATTCGGTGAGGGAAATGACTTCTTCAAGTTCTTGTTTGAGGCTCTGCAGTTCGCTGTTGTCTGGGTCATTCTGCAGACTCAGCTGAACCGTCTCTAGTTGAAGTCTGTATTCTTTGACTTCGCCTTCTAGAGCCGCGACTTCGGCGGTACTCATGATGGGCTCAGGGGGAAAACGGGGCGCAGATAGATCGAACACAAGGAACTATGTTCTGGAAGGCACAGGGCATATGACGTTTGGCCTCGAAGCGTATGAATAGATATAGCATGTAATACAAATTCTGACGGTATGGAGGTTTGGAGGCGTAGCAGTGAACTGCGAACGGGCGCGCTTGACCCTCGGTTGGCCGCTGTCACCCGCCAAGCTTTTCGCCGAAGGCGCGAGACTTGCCCCCCAGGTCCCTCAATTTTCAAGGTGCGCTCAATTCATGGGCCTTACTGTGAGTCAGGTAATGACTTTGGCGTCCTTGCCGAGGCCGCTTTGTCCATCGAGAAATTGTAGACTCTACTGGCACAAGATCCTGTGTCGGATATTCTACCCTACAAGCCGACCTGTAGACTTGCGATTCTTGGAGGTGGCACGGGTGGTACTCGTGCCAGTACGGAGTACGGAGTAACTGTTGATGCTTTGCGGGACGATGACGTCGGTCCGGTAGAGGTTCTGCCTGTTGGATCTCAAAAGGTACCACGCGGAACGCACCCAATTCGTATTCAGCACAGCAAATTTGCTTCAGTCTCCCAAGTAACAATTGGAGGAGACGAAGATGACGGGGCTGAAGGTGCGTAAAGTCAGCGAACGGGAAGGGTGCCTGATTGAAGTTTAGCATGCTCGATCTGTCTTGGTATGGACCGCCAACGATTGTCATGGACCAGTCGCGACTCGATGCCGCTTAGAAATCAACTTATCGAACCACTCCTCACGCAGACTCCCCAACCATGCTTGGGTTGCTCAGTCATGCCGCGCAGAATGAGGCCCGGCTCTTTCGCCACATCTTACCCTGGCCCACGCGTGGTTTTCCTCCAATCCTTAAGAAGACCCTACCGGAGTGCTTGAAGCAAAGATCTCTGTGCGGGCCAGTTCTCTCTGTCCCTTGACCCTGAGGCAAAGAGGCGGTCCAAGAGTGGAATAGATATCCGCAAGGAGAGGGGAGACAGAAGCGGGATTGAAATATTGCGGTAGCCAACCATGGCAGTCGGTACCACACTTCATGAGCACCAAGGGAAAGCCTTGACACAGTAGGTATCTTTCTCGGAAACCCGTGGCTGGCGGAAACTTTGCGGGCACTTTTAGGTGTCATAGTGGCCTCTCTGGGTGCAGGAACGACGTGCTCTGGTGCTGGTCAGGGCTGAAGCCTGCAGCGTAGGGATCAGGGTGTCCTTGGCGGGTGCTCACCTGCATGTCTCTAGAACAGACGCTACGGCGTCTATGCCCGCACCGCACGTTCCTCCACTCTCTACCTACTCGATACAGATTGATCTCATCGGACTCACAATTCCTTCCTTCCTTCTCTCCTGCTGGATCTTTCCCCTTTCCCTAGACTCCCACGTCCAATTCGTCCATCTGACAGAGTTCTTCAGCCTTCTGATATCGTCATTGGCACTGCCACCATTGGGGTATCCTGAATTTGGAGTGTGACCGGCTGGCTCTTTGTATTGCTGGTCGCCCCCGCCTATTATTCCGTTCCGTGCCCGTTGCCCGCCCTCTTCCTCTCCAGTACTCCCTTACTCCTTCACCTCGATTAAATACAACCGAACGACATCGTCATCTGCCAGTCGGTACTGCCAGTTGACGTAGTGGAGAGGGGACAGGGCCCGACGTCTTCCCATTCGTCTTGTCGGTGCTCTCCGCGTGCTCGGTTTCGCCTTTTTTCGCCGATATCACCTCTCCGTCGACCGGAATAGCGGAGAGCCCGTTGACTCGATGTCGCAACAAGCAACAGAGGGTCTGTATCTGTCACCCGAACAACAAGACCTTCTTATGGCGGCTCTGAATTCAAATCAATCTCCAAAGCAATCGGGAGCCCAAAAGACCACTTCCCAAAACGTCAACTTTACGCCCAGCATGAGTGCTCCGGATTCAGGCAATCTGGACTTCAGCGACGACAGCCCATTTCTGGATTTTGATCCCGACGCCGACTTTGGCGACGACAGTTTCGATTTTGACGGTAACCATCGCATGATCGGCGATATCCCCGATGAACCACTCTCCCATGACCTGCACGACAAGCGGAAAAGCGTCGACGGAAAAGATGAGGATGACGAAGGAGGTGGTAAAAGACGAGAGGGCGAAGACAAAGCGGCGAAAAAGCCTGGAAGGAAGCCATTGACTTCCGAACCTACCTCGAAGCGCAAGGCACAAAACCGTGCCGCCCAACGCGCCTTCCGCGAGCGCAAAGAGAAGCATCTAAAAGATCTTGAAACCAAAGTGGAAGACCTTGAGAAGGCTTCAGAATCTGCCAATCATGAAAATGGTCTACTCCGTGCCCAAGTCGAGCGCCTGCAGGTCGAATTAAAAGAATATCGAAAGCGTCTCTCGTGGGTCAGTAGCAATGGACTGAACAGATCGCAGCCCATCGCCTTCAACCAAAATCGGAATTCCAATGCCAACAACCACAATGACTTCCAGTTCGAGTTTCCCAAGTTTGGTGACCTGCCACCGATGCCAGGCACAAAGTTGTTCGGCAACTCGACCTTGAAGAAGCCACAGGGAAACCCTAACAGATCTTCATCTGGGCCGGCTGCCAGCACCTCTCCAGCGACTCAGAATGGTAACAGCCGGCGTTCCGCATCTGGTTCACAGAGCCAGACCCCACAGTTCGGCTCCATGAGTCAATCACCTGTGCCGAAGACATTCACCACTTCGCCTCAGCCACAAAGTGAAACCCGGCAGCATCAGGGAAGCGTGGACAGCTTGTCTGGGTTGTTTAGCCCTTCAATTCTCGAAGCCAGCCGTCACGCCAGTCTGGGAGGTTACTTCCCTCAGGCCGCCCCTCCTCAGCATAATAGTGCTACCGGAAGTACTCGTGGTAGCCTCGACAATGGCGTCCTAGGCAATGGCACCGGGCGGTACTCGAACTCGAGCATCTCGAACTCGGACTCGCCGGGCTCTTCTACGGATTCTCACAATCCTATATCATCCATTGGCACTTCTCCAGAGCCTACCATGAACTCGCCTGCGAATAAATTGGCCGATTACAATCTCAACCCAATAAGTGAGGAAAATCAGGCTGCGTTCGGAGGTAAGGATTACCTTCGTGGACAACTCCAACAGGCCTGTGGCTGCGCGGATGATCCAATACCTCCCATCTTGAAAATGGGGTCTAACGATGACTCGTTAGGCTACACCAACGAGCCTGGCTTCGATGCCAATGGCATTAACTGGCTTGCGCAACAGAACAACAACTCGTTTGATCCGATACTGTTTGGTGATTACCGCGAAACGCAAGAAAACATCCTATCCCAAGACTTCGGAGCATTCTTCAACGACGCTTACCCCCTGCCCGACTTGGGCAGCCCTCTGCATAACTACAATGACGTTGCCACGGAATCCGCACCGAAGATTGACCTGCTGAAGCAAGTCGAGGAGGCGAAGAACGGAAACGAGGAAGTCGTTCCTGATAACGAGAAACCAATGTCTTGCAATAAAATCTGGTTTGTGACAGTTGCGCCCACTATCCCCAGCAATCGGCTAATCTGGTGTTCAGGGACCGACTCCAGTCGATGGAGAAATTCCGCAACGGCGAGATTGACATTGATAACCTATGTAGCGAACTCCGAGCGAAAGCAAAATGCTCGGAAGGCGGTGCTGTGGTTGACAAAAAGGATGTGGACAAGATTTTGGGCACGGCTTGAAGAAAAGCAGGATCTCCTCGGACGGGCCTTCGCGGCACAGGGAGCTAGAGCCTGTGGGAGTCAGTCATTCATTTATGGACGGACATGTGGAAGGCATTACGACCCGCAAAATGGACGGGCGGCATATACCCGAAGGCCAGTGGATGCTATAAGCAGCAAGAGAAGACGATATGATATGGAGTTATGGTTTGCGCAAGAGGCTTTGTTCACTTCAATGTATCAACGTTCATAAGCCGACTTTGCCCATCAGTGGTGACCCTCGTTTACCAGAAACCTCCACCTCTGCTATACAGCAGCCAAAAACTGTGTCCATCTAGCTCGAATATGCCACACTACTAAAGACAGAGTGCGTGCTTGAGTGTAATCACTCTACGCAATAGAGACCGGATGGAAAGGGGCGCAGAGCCAAGGCGCTAGCACGTTCTGGGATAGCAGCTTCTCGCCGCCGTATTTTGCTTTTCCTGGGGTCTAGCCCGTGAATTTGTACAAGGCGACCTGGACACTTAGATTCACTCATCTCTCATACTTTTGCTGTTCAGTCACATCGCATCACCTTTCTTCCCGTTGTTTTAGGCGATCTCGTCAGTTGCTCTGCTGTCAAGCAAACGCAACCGCGGTCTTGAAATTAGGCGTCCTCCTAATACTGAGTCTGGCCGTGCTTCATCCGCATCTCTTGCCGCATCCATATCCGGCCTTGTCTCAAACGCCATTGTCGCGGTACCCTCAGCTAATTCTGCATCCATGGCTTCTGTGAGTTGATCTCCCACTCTTTTTCATCCTGCCACTTCCGTCTGAGAAGTCCCACCGTCTCCTATCATGCCTTTAAGATCGAGAACCCCGGTAGCACTCCCGCTGACGCAGAGATGTCGCCAGCCTCGACCACAGTTCCCGAATCAAGGATATCTACCCAACGGTACGACCTCCGGGCCGACTCCTGGAGCGCAAGCTCTTCTTCCCAACAATGGCCGCGTTATCCAGTCAGGGCCCATCCGAGTCTTGTGCATCGCAGACGTTAGAGGTCAGTCACGGCTCCGTGCCGAAGAAGTTGAGTCGATCTGACGGAGGTTGTTAGGCAATCTTAAGTCTCTAAACGATCTCGCAAGACAAGCGAAGGCCGACTACATCCTGCATACTGGCGACTTCGGCTTTTACGACAACACCTCATTGGAGAGAATAGCTGAGAAGTAAAGAGAAATCGGGCACACGAGTCGGACACATTGGCTGACAGTGATTGTAGGACTCTAAAACATGTCGCTCAGTACTCTCCACTTTTGAGCGAACATGTCAAGCGCCAGATCGCCTCACCTCAGCCTCAGCGACCGATCAAGCAGATGTTTGCGCCTGATCAATTACCTCTTTCCGAATTGCCGCTTCTCCTCAACAAACAGATCACTCTAGATGTGCCCGTCTACACCGTGTGGGGCGCTTGTGAAGACGTGAGGGTTCTGGAGCGTTTCCGATCTGGAGAGTACAAGGTGGACAATCTTCATATTATCGACGAGGTGAACTCGAGGTTACTTGACATTGGCGGAGTGAAGCTGCGACTCCTCGGATTGGGCGGCGCAGTCGTCATCCACAAGCTTTTCGACAATGGCGAGGGCAAGACGTACATTGCAGGCGGTCAGGGCACAATGTGGACGACCCTGCTTCAGATCGGTGCCCTGATCGATACTGCAAACCGTGTTTACGATCCGTCAGAAACCCGTATCTTCTTGACTCACGCTTCACCAGCCCGAGACGGGATTCTCAACCAGCTGTCCGTCACCCTGAAGGCCGATTTCTCAATCTCAGCCGGTCTCCACTTCAGATATGGCAGCTCTTACAATGAATTCTCCGTCAACCCCTCGCTCGACCACTACCGTGGCAAGTTAGCTGCGTCCAAGGCATCCTTCCAGGACGTTTGGGAAACAGTCAAGATGGATGTGGAGCAAGCAATCGAAAACAACACCAATCACAAGGCTCTCCTTCACAGTGCGCTAGAAATCGTGGAGAAGATGCCCAGCACCGCCAACGGAGGCAACCCTTTTGGTGGCCCGGTTGGCGGTGGACCAGGTGCGGGCCAGGTGGACGAAAGTGCGTTCAAGAACATGTGGAACTTCAATCTGGCAGATGCAGCGTTCGGATACCTTGTCCTGGAGATCGATGGCGGTCGTATTGGCACTGAGATGCGGGCTCAAGGCTTCAACTTTGCTCACCGTGGGAAACCGAATGCAGCTCCACTGGCTTCTCAACCACCCTCTAGCGGTCCGGCATCTGTGAGCACCGGTCCCTTGCCCCCGACCGCCGCTCCTACCGGCCCATCCCAGAATCGCACTCCTGCCTTCTCTGCGCCGGCACAGCCTTTCCCACAGCAGCAGAAGCCTCAGCAGCAACAGCAGTCCCAGCCACAACCAAAACCTGCTCAAGGTATTCAGCCTGCACCCATGCCTGCCGCCAAAGCTGGAACACCGCCCACAGCCGGATCACCAGCACCACCCGTGACTCAGGGTAAACCGTTGACGCCTCAACCGTCTTCGACGGCGGTCCCCACCACTTCCGCCCCCACGGCAACCAACGGCGCTGGCGGGGATAAGGTTAGCGACAACGAAGCCGCGAAACCAAAGGTTCAAACACCTACTCCGGACCGGAAGCCCTCTACTGCTCTTTATGTGAGCCAGGCGGACAGCGAGCAGCATGTCAAAGACTGCTTTGCGGACGAGGACAAGGAGAGAATCAAGGCCATCAGCAGAATGGGCAAGTTCCCCAACTGGAAGGTGCAATTTGAGACCCACGAAATCGCCGAGGCCGCTTTGAACCGAGTGCAGGCTACGGCTCACAGTCACAAGAACTCAGCAGGCAAGTCCCCGAGATTCACATGGTTCGAGGATAAGGGCGACCGCCCGGGCTTCCATCAGCGTGACAGCCAGAGCCAAGGTGGAGCAGGGGTGTGGCAGAGCAGCAACCGTGGTGCAGCAAGCTCGGCCAATGCCCCTCCTCGCGGAGGCTATCAGTCTGGTGCTGCGAGTGACAGTGAAGGAGGACGAGGCCGAGGGGGTTTCCGCGGACGGGGCCGTGGTCGGGGAGACGATCGAGGCGATCGAGGTGATAGAGGTGACCGAGGTGACCGAGGTGACCGAACTGATCGAGGTGATCGGAGTGAACGAGGCGGCCGGGGTGGTAGAGGTGGTGGACGAGGCGTCTTCCAAAACAAGACCACCGATGGAGCGTCAGACTCGAAGCCCATGGAGCCCAAGTCGAGCGAATCGAAACCCACAGCCGCGGCTGGCGAAAGTTAGGGACTTGAAGTTTTTTTGACAGCGGACCAGTCGGGCACACCCGCGCGGCGGCTGAAGGTAAACAAATTCTAAGGGCTTCATACGGCGAAAGGGGGCAAGGGCTTGTGCATTATGGAAAGGAGAGGCGTCACCGGATGACAGTCAACATGGAGTTCTTCACTTATCCGGTTTGAGGAGCTGATTGATATCCAAATACCTTCGGAGGGGATATGGAGCTGCCCGGGTTGTGAGCGCTTCTTTGCCTTCGAACATATGTATTTTATCCCTTGCTAGAAATCGGAAGAGAGAAGCAGGATATGTGGGGTCGTGCATGGGGGGTTGGTAAGGTGTAGGTGAGCACCGTGGAGTTGAAGCGTCAGAGAACAAAAAAATGAAATGAATACCATTCTATTTGGTTGTACTCCGTACTGTAAGTGGACGTCGATCTTGTCAGGCAAGTGCAGCACATCTAGTCGGGATGGTGCCTGGTACCTGAAACTATGCCTGCTACAGTGAGGAGGAGGAATTAAGCAATGCTAAGTGAGGCTCTTTATTCCCGGATGCGCCCAGTGGCCTGGGAGCCTGGCAAGAACTGGTATTGGGGTTCCAGAATGCAGAAGGTTCATGATGGTGGCTGGGTCTCGACGGGCCATGGGGAGGTGGGAAGTGAGAGGCGCCCAAGGCGAATGCCAGGTTGTGGTGACGTGGGAGTGAACAAATCAGACAAGTGAACAATGGCAATTTGGGGTTTCCGAGGCCCCGACAGCGCTCGTCATGCCGTCGTGATCGTGACACCGCGGGTGACTACAAAGTCCACACCTTCGCCGTGCCTGCGACCGCGCCCTACAAACAAGCCGTCCGTCATCTTCTGCGCTCATTACTGTCTTTCTGCAGGCATCGTGCAGATTTCTATTCTCCGGTTGCCATCTTTGCAGGATGATATGAAGCGGCGGTCGACAAGCACAGATTAAACTAGCCACTCCGAGACGTTGACCAGAACGATTCACCACTCACATCTCACGATGCGCTTCGCGGCCACCGTCCTTGCAGCTGTCGCAGCAGGCGGCTCTTTACCTCTAGCCTCTTCGTCTCCCCCTACAGCTCTTCACGAGACCGGCCGGTGCGCAATTCGTGGCCATTGCGGGAAGCAGGGCTTCTTCGGCTCAGATCTGCCATGTCCGGACAACGGCAAGGCTGCAGCTCCCTCAGATACTGTTCGCGAAAAGCTGGTGAACCTTTGCGGGTCGAGGTGGCAAGACACTGATGTGTGCTGTGAAGAGGAGCAAGTGGACGCCCTCCAAAAGAATCTCAGACTGGCAGAAAGGATCATCGCCTCGTGTCCCGCTTGCAAGGAGAACTTCTTCAATCTCTTCTGTACATTCACATGTTCCCCGGATCAGTCATTGTTCGTCAACGTCACGGGAACTGGCAAGGCCTCCAATGGGAAAGACGTCGTTACAGAGCTGGACAATGTATGGTCGAAAGAATACCAAAGCGGCTTCTACGACAGCTGCAAAGAGGTCAAGAATGGCGCCAGTGGTGGCAAGGCAATGGGCTTCATTGGCGGTGGTGCGACGAACTACACGGAATTTCTGAAGTTCCTGGGCGACAAGAAACTACTCGGCAGTCCGTTCCAGATCAATTTCCCGGAGAAGCCACGGTATAGTGACGATGAGGGCATGAAACCGTCAGACCCGCGAGTCTATGCATGCAACGATACCGATCCCAACTTCCGATGCAGCTGCGTTGATTGTCCAGCAGTCTGTCCGACTCTGGAGCCTGTCAGTGCAGTCGACTATTGCCATGTTGGCAAACTCCCGTGTCTGTCATTCGCCATTATCATTGTCTACTCCATCTGCCTTCTGCTTCTCATAGCTGCTATTTCTGGCCATGTGGCTTACCGGAGACACAAACAATGGAAGAGTGAGAGGATGCAACTATTGCAGGACGCAGCACCGAGTGATGATGAAGATGAGGGGGAACTCGTCCACAATGCAGGAGTTTTGGACAGACCGCAGAGGAACTACTATCTAAACCACATCTTCGACCGCGCTTTCAACAGGCTGGGCGGTTTTTGTGCACGATATCCAGGCCTAACCATTGGAACGAACATCGTCATAGTTGGACTCCTCAGTCTTGGCTGGCTCAGGTTTGAAGTCGAAAGAGATCCTGTCAATCTGTGGGTCAGTCCCTCATCGGAGGCAGCTCAGGAAAAGGCCTTCTTCGACCAGCACTTTGGTCCGTTCTACAGGACAGAGCAGGCATTTCTGGTCAACGATACCTCGACGAACAGTTCGGTCTTGAGCTACGAAAACCTTGATTGGTGGTTTGACGTTGAACAACGCATTTCGCGCATGATATCGCCTGAGAATGGGGTCAAGCTGGATGATGTCTGTTTCAAGCCAACGGGCTCCGCGTGCGTTGTGCAGTCTGTCAGCGGATGGTTTGGCGCAGGCCTTGACCGTGACTGGAAAGAGCAGATTCGGAATTGCGCAGCTCATCCAGGCGACCAGCTATGCTTGCCAGAGTTCATGGATCCACTCCTGCCCGGCCGCGTCCTGGGAGGCTATGACGGTATCGAGAACGTCGCCAACGCGAAAGCCTTGATCACGACGTGGGTTGTCAACAACGATCAGCCCGGCACCGAAGCCGCAGCAAGGGCTGAAGAATGGGAGCGAGCTCTCAAGCACGAGCTGCTGATTGCCCAAGGAAGCGCCAGCTCCCGTGGTCTCCGCCTTTCCTTCAACACCGAAATCAGTCTCGAAGAGGAATTGAACAAGTCTACCAATACAGACGCCAAGATTGTCGCCATCAGCTACGTCGTCATGTTCATTTACGCCTCGCTTGCCTTGGGGTCAGCGACTCTGTCATTGAGGTCGCTCCTGAGCAACCCTGCGAATGCTTTCGTCCAGTCCAAATTCACGCTCGGCGTTGCAGGCATTGTCATTGTGTTGATGTCTGTGTCCGGCTCCGTCGGTCTGTTTTCTGCGGCAGGGGTCAAGGTCACTTTGATCATTGCCGAAGTCATCCCCTTCTTGGTCTTGGCTGTTGGGGTTGACAACATCTTTCTCATCGTGCATGAGTTCGAACGCGTCAATGTCAGTCATCCCGATGAAGAAATCGACGTGCGTATCGCAAAATCTCTGGGACGAATGGGCCCGAGCATTCTCCTGTCGGCGTCAACCGAGACCATTGCCTTCGCAATGGGTGCGTTCGTCGGTATGCCAGCAGTCAAGAATTTTGCAGCGTATGCGGCTGGTGCCGTATTCATCAATGCTGTATTACAAGTCACCATGTTCGTCTCTGTCTTGGCGCTCAATCAACGAAGGGTCGAAAGTCTTCGGGCAGACTGCTTCCCGTGCGTGACAGTCAGAGGAGCCAACTCGACCGGTATGCCCGGTGGTCACTTCTTTGGCAGCGACGAGGAGGGCTGGCTGCAGCGTTTTATCAGAAAGGTGTATGCACCAAAGCTGCTGGACAAGAAAGTCAAAACGCTCGTGCTGACTTTCTTCGTCACTCTGTTCGCTGCCGGAATTTCACTTATCCCAATGGTGCAGCTTGGACTCGACCAACGCATTGCGATCCCTCAGGATTCGTATATGATACAGTACTTCAACGATTTGTATGACTACTTCGGCTCCGGACCACCAGTATACTTTGTCACTCGGCATGTCAATGTGACGGATAGAGAGCATCAGCGACAGCTCTGCGGCGGCTTCACCACATGCGATGAGTATTCACTGGCCTATGTTCTCGAGCAAGAATCCAAGCGGCCCAATGTCAGCTATATCAATGCTGCCACGGCCAATTGGTTCGATGAGTTCTTCTACTGGCTCAATCCCATCTCGGACTGCTGTCAAGACGACAATGGCAATACCTGCTTCGGCGAGGACGAATGGAACATCACCCTGGGTGGAATGCCTGAAGGGGACGAGTTCGTGAAGTACGCGCAGAAGTGGATCCACGCGCCCACAGATGAAGAATGTCCGAATGGAGGGCAAGCGGCATATTCGAATGCTGTGGTCATCGACAGTAACCATACCGACATTCCGGCCAGCCACTTCCGTACTTTCCACACTCCTTTACAGGGCCAGGACGACTTTATCAACTCGTACGCCGCTGCCAGGCGGATATCGGCCGACATCTCAGCACGTCACAACATCGACGTATTTCCTTACAGCAAACATTACATTTTCTTCGATCAATACAGCAGCATCGTCCGCTTGACTGCCGCGCTTTTGTGCGTGGCAGTCGCCATCATCTTCGTCATCTCTTCGCTGCTGCTAGGCTCTCTGCTCACGGGTACCGTGGTTGCATTGACGGTAATTATGATTCTGGTCGACATCCTCGGTGTCATGGCAGTGGCTGGCGTCTCACTCAATGCCGTGTCACTGGTCAATCTCGTCATTTGCGTGGGCATTGGTGTCGAGTTCTGCGCACACATTGCCCGCGCGTTCATGTTCCCCAGCAAGTCCGTCATGGAGCGAGCAAGGCACAAATTCCGGGGCAAGGATATTCGGGCCTGGGCCGCACTCGTCAACGTCGGCGGCAGTGTCTTTAGTGGGATTACGATCACCAAATTCTTGGGCGTGGTCGTGCTGGCGTTCACCCGGAGCAAGATCTTCGAGATCTATTACTTCCGGATTTGGCTGGCGTTGGTGATCTTTGCGAGTACCCATGCCTTGGTGTTTTTGCCGGTGGCGCTGAGTTTTGCAGGCGGCGATGGTGAGTTTTGGTCCCTAGGTCCCACTTGGCGGGAAGGCACTAACTTTTCAACAGGATACATCGATCCCGAGAGCGAGGGTGGCCTTGAGGAGGATCTGGCTAGCCGCCGGTACAGGAGTCTGCTACCGGACGATGACTACTACGATTCAGACGACGATTAGAGCTCGCCAGGGTCACGGGCTTGATGGAAGCAGGAGGGAAGCAGGAGGTGGAGGAAATTCTTTTGCATGACAGCCTGAAAGCCGGGAGTCAATATGTCATGGTAGCAAAAATTGATACCTTCATAAACCCTTGCCTTTCTTACATTGACTCTGGGGTAGTCGTGCTACAAAATGCCAGTTACTGTTAGACACTGCGCCGAAGGGTGTTATACGTACAGCGTCGAGCGTCGAGCGGCAAGTGCCTGGCAGCATTCGACCTCTCTGCTCCGCAAAACAAAGGAATAACATCCTGCTGTTTCTTAGTCCTGTAGCAATGCTGCTTCTCCTGTCCTGACTCCTGAGCAGCATCGAGGAACACTGGACATGCCACGCGCACATTAGGAACCGGTTCCTCTTACATGCAGGTGCAGATACCGGTACATCCCTGTCGTAAGAGACCTGCCTGCCTGCCTGCATTGACTGCATTGACATACTATACATTGCTCTGCCTCCAGGTCTTCTGCCTCACGAACGGATGGACGCGCACTGCTCCGCGGGTTCTTGATTTACGTGTACGGAGTTCTTGTACTCGTAAAGGCCTTCAAGTGTGGGTAAGGGGCGACAGAAAGTGCAGGTGACCTTTAATTATGCCTCGCGGTCACGATTTAGTGCGCCATTGAGGAACGGAATGGAAACGTGATTGACGAGACTCGAGAGTCATTGAAATTTCCCGTGGGTTGGGTTTGACGATGGCTTGGTCTCCATCTCCATCTCCATCGCTCATCTTGTGGCTTGACTGTCCACAAGCGCGTTCTATCCCCTCCACAACCTAACCCCGGGATGTGCAGCCGTAGGGTTGGTTCGGGTGCTTTTACTTGACTCCAAGGAGGCATAACTTAGGATAGTCAGTGGAGGTATGGAATATGATTTGTTGACTACTGGGCACTCCGTACTGTTGGACCGGGTCGCGCTTGAAATTCGTCCTCTTGGCACGTCAGAGGGTCACTCGGAGGGAAAGTCACAACGTGGTCTCACCGAGGGTGTAGGCTGGCAATAGGATAGGATAGTGTGAGTGCGACGGAAGAGGACAGGCCACGAAACTGGCTCACCGAAGATGAATCCTTGATTGTGTTGTGTGACTTACAGTAGGTCTGTTTGAGGGCGGCTGGATGCGAGAAGCGGAGGTGGTTGGCAAAGCGGACGAGGAGGGAATGGTAGCGATCTGTTTTTGGTACGGATTACGGAGTACGGAGTATCCATTGGATGACTAGCTTGAGGGTGTCGTGCATACAGTGCATTCGGAAGGGTCAGGACATCAGAGAGTTAGTGTGAGACCAAGGGTGATAGTGAGAGTGAGGACGAGGGTGAGAACGAGCGTGAGGACGAGGGTGAAACGGATGTTTGGCGGGTGTTCCTTCAAGGCCTTTGCTTCTCTGCTCCCTGCTTCCCCAGGAGCGTGGTTGATGATCAATATACATATCAAAGCTCCTCACTCAGACATTTAGTTTGTGGAATGGCCCACCATGACGGTGAGGCCTCGACGATCCTCTGCCTGAGCTTGTCTTGTTCCGGTCGTCGACTCTTGTCATAAAGTCATCACCAATGTGCTTTCTCGTAAGAAGACCTTCAGTCATCATCCTCCAGGTCCAGAACCTGCGTGCTGCGAGGCGGCCTCGACGCGGGGGCCTGACGCCTCGGCGACTCGTGCTGTGGAATGTCCGCCATGCCATCGAATTGCGAATCTGGAATTACGCTCTCTCGTCCTCCAGCACGTGAGGCCGGGGCTTTCTCGTTCTTAACGTTCCTCCGTCCGCTGGCTGGCGTCACAGGACTTGACCCTAACCCTACCGGTTTTCGCTGTGTTCCTTTGACCACTTCATCGTCATCGTCGTCATCGTCGATATCGCTCGTCGCCGGAGCATTCCTCTGCATCTGCCGCGCCAAGATCCGTGCAACCCGTCGCTTGAGCAGCTGATTCTCGTAGAGGTCTTCCTCGCCATTGATATCCGCGTTACACCCCGTGTCGGGACATTTGACTTTCTTGGGTTGTGTACGGCAGTTGGCAAGCAGTTCTAGTATAGCCGTCTTCTCGTAGCTGTGGTTGCAGGTTCGCGATGTCATTGGTTCTTTGTAGGGCAGGAGGGTGAGAGGACACCGTATCCGGGTGTTTTCGGCCGAGATTTCGAGCTCGTCTTCTTCTTCCTCGCCTGATTCTGTGGCGGAGTGTGCGCCGCGCTGGCGACCTTGCGATGTGGATGAAAAGGAAACTGTGGCTGAGCGGCCTTCTTCGACCGCGAACCAGAACGTCTCATGGGGCATAGGTGGCGGGTTGTCACCCGGGTTTTGTCCATCCCAGAGGGAACCTTTCCAACCTTTATAGTAGTTGTCACGGGCGTATCGATCTGTCAGGCTCTGCGAGGTCCACCGCCGGCCTTGATCCTCGAGCGCGATCGAGAGTTGGACATGTGGTGTCTCAGATGGGTCGAGGGTGGGTGGTTCTTGCGCGCGACGAGAGCGACCGACAGGCTCCTCCTCTTCCTCTTCCTCGTCGCCGTCCACCGTTGCGTCATCCTCGCCTCCTTCTTCTGAGGTCCGTTGCTGTCTCCTCTTCCGCCTTGATGAAGTCGTGTCTCTTCCATCAAAATTCCTTCGCTGCTCCTCGGCGGAGTCTTGGGCCTTCTCAGTTACGGCCTTGAGGATGTCAGGATACTCGGCAAGCCAATTCAGGTCGTCGATGATGCCACGGATACTCATGTCCATCTTCTTGGTCAGCTCTTCGGTCTTTCGTTGGAATTCCTCATATCGGGCATCCGTCTCAGCGTCAGCCCCAGCCGCCTCACCATCGTCTTCGGCGTGCGCCTCCGCCCTCTCCTTCTGTCGGCGCGCTTTCAGTCTCAAGTGCCGAGTCTTGGACTTGTTGGCTCCTTGATTCAGGTCACCGGTAATGTCGGCTAAGGTTTCGGCAGCCTTTCTTAGCAGATCCCTGGATTGAAGGCATCGCTTGGTCGGCACGTGGCGGTCGCGCTCAAGGGCGGTACGCAGCTGTGGCTGAGGGACTAGATCTCTGAGATGGCCAAGAGCATCGTCGTTGAGCGGCGCTCCTAGAGGTTGAGGCTCGAAGGTGGAAGCCATAGTTGGGCCTGATCGCGGAGGAACGGGGTGGGTGGGTAGTGGGTTCCAAGGCACTACTGTGTAGTAGACGCGTCGACAAATTGAGACGCGTCAGAGATGGAGAAAGTCTGCCGACGGAAAGTCTAGCGAAGGATTGTCGTATTGCGTAGTCAAGTATCGCTTCCCGTCCTCCCTTCCACTCTCCTACGAGTCCGTCGCCTTCGTTCCAGAATCTGGTGAGCAGATGTACCTAGTAACGTCATCTGCATTCCCCAGCATCACAGCCAGTATCAAATTACGAAGTTCTGAGCCTCTCGTATTCGCGTTCTAAAGATATCGCCAAGCTTGCGTCGTCTGCTTGGCGAGCGAGGCTGTCGCAAGGCTGACTCCAGACAGCTGGGAATCCCTATCATTCCTGCACATCGACTGGGTGGCATTACTCCATTCCCACTGCCGAATATTCCGTAGATCTGGATATCCTCCAGTACGAGCAAGAACGGCTTTGTGCCAACAACGTCGTCGGGAGATTCGGCATCACGTATCCTGTTGCCGACCAGTCGTGTTGGATCCGACGCCTCGAGAGGCGATTTACAGGTAAGACGGTCAATGTAATGAACTACTACATATAGATCAATCCATTTCTCTTCCCTAATCTCAGATGACGCTACCGCCCCTTCGCCTACTGCTCGATATCCTAACATGTACAAATACTTCGTTCTCTTTCTGCTGGCGGCTCTAAGTTGCGCTTCGCCGCCATCGCGCAAGAGATGTAAGTCTGGTGACAGTTGTTGGCCTGACGAACAGACCTGGCAGAGTTTCAACAACAGCATCTCAGGCCGTCTCGTGCAGACGTTCCCATCAGCAGCGGTGTGCCACGGGTCGACCTTCAACTCCGAGCTCTGCGAAACGGCGAAAGAGGAATGGGACAACAGCTTCTGGAGGACAAATCAGACCGGTGCATACACTGCTATTGTGTGGGAGCTGGGAAACCACCAGTGCTTCATCAACTCATCCCGAGACGCACCCTGCCAACCCGGTCTTGGTAAGTTGAGAAGGAGAGTCGCATCAAGGTCTGGGACGCTGACACTCACTCCAGTCCCACACTATTCCGTGGCGGCGACCTCCGTGGCAGATATCCAAGCTGCGGTGAAATTTGCCAGCGAGAAGGAGTTGTATCTTGTTGTGAAGAACACTGGTCATGATCAGTATGTTGTCTCACTACACAGTACATCAACGGAGCTGGGTTAACCGTCCTCCAGCCTCGGTCGCTCTAGTGGCCAAGGTGCTTTCTCCATCTGGACCCATCGCCTCAAAGGAAGACGGTGGACAGATAATTATGTTGTGGAAGGTGCTCCTCAGGGAACTAAAGGAATCCCTGCTGTCACATTACAGGCTGGAGAGCAATGGCTCGGTGAGACAACCCTGGCTGCGTAATACTATGTACTCAGTTGTATCGTCGCTAACGGGGATAGATGTCTATCGAGCTGCCTCCGAACGGCATGTCATTGTCGTCGGGGGTCAAGCCAGAACAGTCGGCGCTGCCGGTGGGTGGCTCACCGGTGGCGGCCACTCCGCCTGGTCACATATATACGGCTTGGGTGTCGACAGTCAGCAGCGACCCGCACGCGCATTGTACGCTTGAGTGCTGACTGCATATTGATAGATATTCTTGAGGTGACTCTGGTCAACGCTCGAGGCAAGCACGTCACGGTCAATCAGTACACCGACCCTGACTACTTTTGGGCCTTACGTGGTGGCGGCGGAAGCGCCTGGGGCGTTTGTACTCACCACGACCGTGTGTTTGGGACTAGGACTGACATGCAGCAGGTGATCACATCGGTGACTTATCGTACTCATGTGGAACCCGGCCACATCCAGGTTGCAGCGTTTCAACTCAACGCTACAACCAACTCGTCGCTTCGTCCTATCCTGGAGGGATCTCTTGGCGCCTTGGTGAACATAACAGACGCCGGGTATACTGGGTATGGATACTTATCTAACGGGTTTTCTGCCATCTTCGTGCGTCCCAGCGGTACTGAAGAGGAGCTCCTACGAGGGACCGCACCGTTTCGGGAGCTAGCTCAGCTCGACGGAACGAGCTTCTTCATGGTGAACTTTACGTTTCCGCGTTGGATTGATTTCTGTGACGCGTTCCTGCAGGATCCAAACATTGCACAGAACGTCATGGACTCGTCCCGCTTGCTTACCACAGATATGGCACTGAACAAACCGGACCAGATCATTGACATGATGATGGAGTACGGGGCTGAAAACTATCCTAGTTTCAACTTTAGTGGGTTCTCCCGCGACGATATCTCCCCTTGATGCGTTCTAACATCGTGTCCAGTCGGCAAGGTCAATTCAGCGACTCGAAACGATACATCCGTCCACCCGTCGTGGCGAGACAGTCGGGCTGTCATGAGCTTTGGTACCAATTGGGAGGATGATGCCTCCGAAGGTGAGAAGCACAGGAAGAAGCTCCACCTGGTTGAGATGAGCAATCGATGGGCCAAGATTGCCGGCGCGGATGGAGGAACTTACATCAACGAGGCAAATCCGTAAGTGTCGCCCGCACCATTCTTTGGTTTGTGAGAACCTGGAGTCTTCTTGTTTTACTGATTGGGAGGTCCGCAGATACGAGCCTGCATGGCAAAAGGTCTTCTGGGGATCAAACTATGACCGACTACTCAAGATCAAGAGGGCCAAGGATCCAACGAATCTCTTCGTTTGCAATCGGTGTGTAGGGTCCGATGTGGTTTACCAGCCATAATGGATTTCCAGGCATAAGAATCTTGGTCATGACGATGCTTGGACATAGTGAGGAAGCAGTGGTAAGCCGGGCTGTTCTTGCAGGATTATGTGTATGTGCTCGCCCGGGGGAACCGCGCCCGATTTATGTAGTATCTAGTGAGTTAATAAGTTGTCACGATCTCTTGCGCCCAGCCTTGTCCGCGGGCCGTTCAGCCTCACACGTGACTTCTTTCTTGGCATGTTTGACAACCGCAGACATCCATCTTTCCGGAGTCGAGCTTGCTCCCTCTCTGCCACAGGCTTTGATTAGCCTCCCAGAACTTCCTCCCATCCTGTGCCTTTGGAACGCCTGAAGTGGCTGCTTGCTGAGTTCGCTGCACAGACTTCGTGGTCAGGCGTCTGAAAATGACCCGACTGTCGGACACTCGCACCACGCACAGGACAGGTCGCCATGGAAGCGCTGGTGCAAGTGACAGCCATCGACGGCTCCCTCTCTTGTTCTGTGAACTCCCATTCACAGCGAAAGTACTGGTGGATCAAATCTAACTGGTCCCAACACCGTTGCAACTTGACAACAATATTAGGATGTCTCCCCCTGTTTTGTCTGGTCTTGAATATTTCGTCAATGCATGCATCATTGTAAGAATGATGATGCTTCACAGGAAGGTGCGCTCCCTCGATTTCCGCTCACAACTGCAGACTCATAACCTCCTCTCCAATGTCCTTGCTTGATGACCGCGAGTGTTCCGCGCTTTACGGCAGTGAAGGGGTCTGCACTCCCAAGCCCCAAGCTTCAGAATGGCTTTCCGCAATCTTCTTCCTACCACCCGCCCTCCAAACACCGCGGCCTCTGAAGCCAAGTACCAGTGTCTGGACTTTACGGATCGTCACCCTATATTTACCTTGGTAACGTCCGAAGTCTAAGTGACGGAGGGGCTCTGGCGTGGTGGACGTCTCCTTCCTCCCTATAAAGGATTCCTTGATGGAACGCAGTCGTCTCAGCCCTCTCCTCTCTTTCATTCCTTTTTTTTTTTGACGAACCACTTGATTCGTTTCTTTCGGTATCTCCTCTCTTGGTGCTTTGCACAGCAGGCTCGGCCGCTGTCGCCAGATCCGTTCAGCTACAAGAAGCCCTCGACTTCATGCTGGGCAAGGATTTGGTTTCCTTCTTTCATCATCTCTTACTTCTGATTCGAGCCGCTGGACATCTGACATCTGGACATTCGTTGCGCCGGTCAGTTGCGAGCTTCATCTTGTGGCGACTTGCGTTCACCTCGTATTGTCGGCGGCCACTGCTCAGCGACTTTCGTTCCTTACACTTTATTCCGTTCTTCGATGACAAGACGATCGCGATCGCAGATTCTGTTCCTGGGCACCTGGTGTGCTCGAAAGCGCGGCGCAGTGTCATCTCCGAGAGCTCTTTCACTCACATGTTCGCCGGGTATCAATTCAGCCTCAGGAAACATCATCTTTTCGAGGATTCTGTCCGGGAGTGACATCTTCATCGACCCGTCACCATCGATTCACTCACCCGGAATCTTGCGTACCTGTTTTCGCCCTCTTGCTGCAATTGGCAGTCATTCCCTCGAGCACTTACCAGCGTCTGCCCTCTCTCCATCGGCAGGGAGAAGCTGCTCAGCGCTATGGTTCGCACCTTCCTCTCGACCTCGAATCTCAGTCAGTGTCTCACAACAATGGGCGCCAACACCTCCAAGATCGACAATGGGCTTGGTCTCCCTCCTGATGAGCCCGAGCCAGCTTCAACTCGGCCTGTCGGGCAGCAACGGCCCTCGCCTGCCACTTTGTCAACTAATACTCCGAGCCACGCATCACCAATCTCAGCACGCTACCGGTCCCTGCAGAAAGTTGCTAACTCGTCGGCTCAAAGCTCGCCCAGCGTATCTCCCGCCGTTCGACGCCAAGGATCGACTCTAACAGCTCTATCTTCATCTCGTCTAGAGTCGGTGGTTCCAGCTTCCCTCCCGCCACACCAGGCATCACCGCCGGTGACTTGCGTCGTGCGGAAGACCTCAGCCTCCAAACTGTCTACTCATTCTAGACCTCTTCCACCAGTCGAAAGCAGGGAAACCGTGAAATCACAAGCTGCAAGAATTGCCAGATGGGCACGCATGGATCTCTCTGACGAAATATATGAGTCTTGTCAGATCGGTGAGCCGCCTCAGTCTGAGAGCGATATTGGCTCTCTGGCAATATACGACAGCGACACAAGCTCTTCAGACCCGGACACGGGTTTTGCACCAGAGGACGCCCACATCAATCCAAATATCAGAAGCTCGCCGCCTCCAAAAGATCTATCAGCGTCTAACTCCGGTGACCCTCGCATAGTTTCAGTCCTTCCGCTTGTTCAAGCCACCGCTCCTTCCAAAACTCTTTCAGTGTCCAAGCCAAAGCAGAAGCGACGGCTCGTGCCCACTGCACGATCAATTGAGATTGCTATCGGGAACGTCAACAGCATTGGGAAATATTCGACGGGTCAACCCAAAGAGATATCTCTATTCTCGAATGGTGACAAAAAGTCAGAGTATGGATTTTTCAACCCGCATCCTGATGGCGTTGAGCTCACCTGCGATGAGGAGTGGTTGCTTCCAGATCCGCATCCAGGATCTTGTCTCTACCAAGATTCGGACCACGAAGACGAAGGCTTATGGTCAGAGATACTCCGTATGGGGAACCCAACCGAGGGCGAAACAGTCCAACAACAGGAGGAACGTCGCATGATATTGCTGGCGAGAGTCCATGACCACCGATCATCGTTACAGTCAACCAAGGTTGATGAAGCATCTCCTACTGAATTGCGTGAGGACGACTTACTTCTTAAGCAGGCTCGTGAGTGCATGCTCAAAGAGCAAGAAGCAGGTGCAGAGCGTAGCAGAAAGCTACGCGAGAAAGCTTTGCAGCGACGCGGTCTCCTCGAGCTACCAGACCGCAGCTGCTCCAGCTCCGAACATGGAAAGACATTCTCGGATGGCCACGCCGAGGACAGTTCTGCGAGCGATTTGTTCTTAGACAAAGATGGCGATGTACAAATGGAGAGTCTCCTCGACGTTGCCCAAGAGCACGCTACGAAGGACTCGAAACGTGTACAGCCGAAAGTACAAGAGACTACTCAGTATGTGGATGACACCTTACACACAAGCATCAACTGACCTCTGATTCCAATAGAACCCCTCGCCACATATCTGGACCAAACCCTCTATCACCTGAGGCTGCTGAGCAATATCGAACGCAAAGCCGTCGCTTATCTGATTATGACCACAAGCCACGTGCTCCGGACAGTCGAGGTCGACATCTCTCTTCTGGATCCCTCTCGGATAGCCACCTATTGTCCCAAAGCCGGAAGGATCTGGAGGACCGAGAGCAGCGTCTACGTACGGCTAAGAAACAGATTTCTCGAAGCCTAATTGACCGCATCTCAAACTCCCGCGATATCAGCGAGAACTATGATGATGAAGAGGGTGAGGCTGTTATGAATAGGCCATCTCAAGAAACTAGAAGTACAGTGCAGCGTCGGCCTCTGTCCGGTTTCGAGCTCCTGGCTGCCAAGAAAAAGGCTCAAGATGATCTCAAGAACGACAGCAACCAGTGCCTTTATGAAGATACTAGCGTTACCTACAAGCCAAAGAACCAGCCCATCTCTAAAGTTCAAGTGGCAACGGCGAAAGAGGCGCTTCTCGAAAACAATACTCTACGCCCGGAACGACCTACATTCGCACCAGCGTTCTCCAGGACACCAGCAATCAAGGACTTAACGCTTCCCAAGAACTTTGGTCAGCTAAAAGAGACTGAGAAGGAAGTGGTCGTACAGCACGAAACAGCTAAAGAAAGAAAGCGAGATCTAGATACCATCGGCAGCGTATTCTGGGAATTCGCACAACTACTCTGCTTTACTAACAGAGAGCTCACAGATCGCACCATGCAAACCGAAACGGATGAGCTCTTTGATATCGGGAAGTATATTGGTCTCGTCGTTGACCAAAACAAGTCTGGCAAGGCAAGGAGAAAGCGCATCCAAGATATTCGTGACAACATCAAGCGCAGAATTGACAAGGCCGCAAGACATCAACCGGAGCCGACCGAAGCCGCCATCATCACGGAGATGAGACGTACGTTTCGCCCGGAGCAGGTCGACTTTATACACAATGAGCTACCCAAAATCCAGAAGGTCATTGACTACTGGGGAGACCTTCGCAGATCAGGAAAAGATACCCGCAAACCATCCAGAAAGAGGGAAGTAACCTCTACAAAAAAGCAAGTACGTTTTGCAGACGAGCAGGAGCAGGATGTCGTCTACTCCTTCCCCAACGAAAGTCCCTGCCCCTCCAAGCCCAAAACGGCATTGAAACGAAGCGGCAATGCGACTGAGAACAGAAGGCAAGCACAGTACGACCGCCAGGCCAGACTAGAGGAGAAGTTGCGGGTACAACTCAAGCTCTTCGAGACCGTCGACACTCCAGAAATTGCCGATATCCAGAATCAGGTCGCGGAGACTCAAGCAGAAATTGGGCGTATCGAGCAACAGAGGCAGGAAGACAGCGACAGTGAAGAAGAGGACGGAGCTGAGTTTGTCTTGGGCGCTGGATTGGACGTCGGAAGAGCCCATCTTGAACAGGACATCAACGAGATCAACAGCCTTGAAGATGCTCGCCAAAGAGAAGCCGGCACCCACGTATCACAACGACAAGAACAGGCCCACCAAGCCCCGGGGCAATTAAAGTCACGCCAATCGTTTGACCCGGAGCTTTTGAGACAAATGCAACTCAACAGAGCGAAGAAGCTGGCACAGATTGCAGACCCGGGTATCATCGAGGACAAGGCCACAGCTGTGGCGTTGGACAGTGACAGCGATGTGGACACCACGGCCTCCTCCAGCGACGATGACGAAGACGGTGACCGACGCATTTGCAAGTACATTGTCTGGGGAGCCTTCCGGGGCTTCGCAGACTATGAAGATGCCGACCACTACCGCATTACAGCGACCTATGACAAGGAACGAGCGGAAAAGAGAGTTCGCGAGCACATTATCAGTATTCAAGGCCAGCTCCCTGCCGGCACGGTCTTTGACGCTGGCAATTGGTCGTGCAACACGGTCTACCGAGACGGGTTGCTAGAACAGCATCTTATGGTGGGCACAGATGTGGATCACGAAGCGAGAGTCTGGATCGAGAAAGAGCTTGTCCATCTTGGCGAGAAACGGTTCAAACAGGCGAAGCGACGGCACGCCGTCGTCGAACGCTTCACCTACAAAGTCTACTGGGAGAAGACCGTTACTCCGGTCCTCACCGAAGACGAGGAAGCCACCGAGCAGGCTGCCGAGAAGGCGAAGGAGACCAGGCTCGAACCCGAGTTCGAAGGGTACGAGGATCTCTTTGGCGTTAGCCCCTCGCCGGAGACAGCGACAGCGAGACCCACCACTAGAGACGCCGTCACCACCGAAATCTCACGCGACGAGATCGAGGCCCGGACCTTCAGCTGCGCAATCTACGCGAACCGTGATGCCAAGGACGTCTTCCTCGCCTGGTACTTTGCCTTCCTGCCCGGCGTGGCCAACGAAGGCTATCGACGCCAGGAGGACGAGTCGATGGAGCAGACCCTCGAAGCGCTGGGCGACTGGGGCCTCTTCGACCGCTCGGAAAGTTTGCAGAAGGACGTGGTCGGGCCTACTGGGGTGACGGGGAGAGTGGAGGAGAAGTTCAGAGTGTGGGTGAAGAAGATTGCAGTGAAAGGACCGGGGAATTGAGCATGAAAAGGGTGATGGGAAGCAGGTATTTGACATATGTGCACGGCGTGCGTTCGACAGACGTTCTGAATAGTGCAGACGTGCGCCCTTTGAGATCTGCAGTCGACGATGGTAGCGGAGGGGGGTTGATAACGATGGCGATGGCGGCTCGAAAAGGTCGAGGGCAAGCAGACATATGACGCATGTGCACAGCGTACGTTCTGCAGACCCTCTAGACATTGTAGACAGACGCGAGCCCTTCTGAGATATGCAGTTCACGATGATAGCGGCCGGGGTGATGATGATGATGATGATGGTAATAGCGATGGTAAAACGATGATTGTAATGGCGGTGATAAGTCGGAGAGTGCGATGGTGATAACAATAACCATAGTATTCGCGATAGTAAAGGCTTACAATATCAATGATCACATTGAAGAGGACGTTTCCCGTGCTTCAAAATATTATGTATCGGGAAATTGCTGTCCTTATCGTGCTGCATCGTGGTATATTATAGAACACCGTGATCTATCATCGTATATCGTGTCATGTCACGCTATACTAGAATTCTAAGGGACACCGAATTATCGTGAATGACGAATGAGATATATTAGATTCGTTAGGGAGGTATCTATTCCATCGGCCGTCAGGTCCAGGCGTTAGGCGACCTCAGTGCTGAGCATTGAGCATTGAGTATTGAGACGAGGTGTCTCGCGAATATAGCGAGCAAACAAATGATAAAGTAAGCGATATAACGAACACGATGAACATAGCAAACAAGCATAAGCGTAACAACGATATTCAGCGGAGCTAAATCATCGCGCTGGAGGGATATAGGCACAAGGTAAAAGGACAGTCTCGTTGGACTGGGTTGGGTCACGGTGCCTCATGTTGCATTGTACCGCCCACTTAAAATGATCGCGCTGGAGGGATACAGATAGGAGAAAGGCGGACAGACTCGTCGGGTAGGGTCACGGTGCCCTTACCGTTACGTTGTCTCATTACTTAGGATTATCACGCTGGAGAGATACAGAGAGCAAATTGAGGGACAGTCTTGGTTGCTTTGCTCACGGTGCCTCGTGTTGCGTTGCGTTGCCTCATCAAGTGACTTGGCTCGGGATCCGTCCGTGGAAGAGAGTGATCATGCTGATGACGAGGGCGTGCGCGCAGAATAGGGGGGTCGTGAGCCTTCCAGCGTCATGGCAGAGTAGGGGGGAGGCGGGAACTTGTGTCCAAGCTGTTTTCCACTTCAGTGGTCGAGAAAGAGGGGACAATGCAATCATGAGGCCAACCTGTGTCCGAGGACACGTATTGGGGTCTGGATTGTGGCAACAACCCAGCGTGAAGCTGTGCAGAAAGACCATGTCGCACAGTCAGCGGACGCAGTGTAACTCGAGGGCGGGGAACTTTGGCGTTGACACAGCTTGATGACAGCTTGATGAGAATGTCGTGTACAGCAGCGATCTAGACCCTGCGTTACCACTTGTGCCATCTTGGTGTGATGAAGGGATGCCATTGTCAATCTGTATGGTCAACGGGCGGCCGTGAAAGAAAAGGAGCGTGGGATGTCGTGCGTCGGTATAGATGTCAATCGTGAAAAAAGGGTGTCTAAGGCCCGCGATCGTGCGCATTAGCATTGGCATTAGCAGCCGCTCATGTTAGCAAGACAGGCAGGAGTGCGAACGTGTGTGGAGCATCGCTCAGCACAGTAGACGAGCTAAGTGTGTGAGGGTGAGTGTATGCATGTTTTGTGTGTGGGTGTTAGTTTACGATGCCCGTGCTCGACGACAGAGATCCCGAGCAGCAAGGAGATCATCGAGAGCAAGACGTTGAGGTTCGATTAAGAGTTTGAAGGGCCCGCGACAGGACGTCATCAATATCAGAATCGTTCGTAAGGGTTGTCGAGATGAGCACACCAGCAACCTGTCAAGGTAATTTTGTTTGTCGACCTGACACCAGAGCCTGTCGATAAGCGGCACGAATGGCGCATCAGACGCAGAGGGACTCAGTTTGTTGACTGTCAATGTCGTCAATGGCGATGTGGTTCCGGACGAACATGTGGTGGCCATTCGTGAAGTCTTTCGCACATCAAGCACGCGGAGCGCGCCGATCATGCTCCCAACAACCTGAAATAGGCTGCGACTCTCGCGGGGTTGAAAGCTTGCGTCTTTGGTTGGGTTAGGCATGTCCTGGGTCTGTTCGTGTCTCATTCATGCATGACATCCAGCGGCAACGTCTGGGGATCTCCACGGTCTTGAGCAAGATTCTGTGGAGGACATCATGTACAGTCTCAACGGAGAGGCAAAGGCGGAGACGCCCGTAGTAGTGAGGGTATCGCTTCGGAGGAATGCTGGGAAATCGTCAACGAGTCGTTGTGCCTGGAATGCGGTCAGTACGAGCCGATGTTGTAGAGAGCATAGGGAGGCTAATGAGAAAAACAACAATTTTCACATGTCAAGCTCACACCTTACATGGAAATTTGCTCAGCGCCAAATCATAGAAGAAAGGTGCTGCAATCAGCAACGTGGGGCGGACTGCACCCCGCCATCGCTGCAGCGATCAGCGGGGGATCTCGTCCCAACAAATTTCTGACGGAGTCGAGAGCGTTGGGTTTGTGTGACATGTTCGAGTGTGAAGCCTAGCGCCTGCAAGTATGTCGATGGTCGTGCGACATGCGCGAGAAGTTCAATCGACAGGCATGCCAGGCATGTGCAACGTCAGAACGCAGGCAAGCCATTGCTTCCATGTGGCGGCTTGGCGGATCAGTATGAGTACGAGTAGGGCAGGCGGTTCCATTTCTGGCTTCAGAGGCGGCATATCGCGGTCGAAGCGAGGAGCGATGGCGGCTTGCAAGGCAGCGATATCAGCGGTGGCGTGTATGGCGACAGTGTGGCTTGCATAAGCCCTGATATCAGGCTGCCAGGCCGGCCACGGGCGCACCAGGCGGTCTACCACAGTACCCATCTGTGCTGGTGGAGATATCGAACCGCCGAGTTGCGCTGGCTCCGTCCACTTCAGCGAGCAATGAGTCTGGGCGCAAAGGAGTCACTGGTATCCACATGCTCCTCCAGATGTTTGAACAGTCGCGAGATTAGGGCTTCAGGTTGGCAGGCTGTTTGCGGAGTGCGTACTCCTTCCTGGACAGATGTGGATCGAACCCTGGAGCAAGGAGGCGAAAGGTCGAGCCTCACCCCAGGGTGGAGGTCATTGCAGGATTTTCACAACAGGAGGAACGTCTTCTGGGGAACACTGGAGTGTCGGCGGTTAAAACGCTCGATGAACCGATCTGGGTGCCGATGGTTGGGGATATTGCTTGCCACTTGACACAGTAGGCGAGCTGCTAGAGACAGCAGAGAGAACAGTCATGCAATTTGCCACCGAAGTCGTTGAGACAGAGATCGAACAGACCATTATTCCGATGTGTCCAACGAGTAAAACAGACAACCGGATCTGGCAATCGCTGGTGCGAAGGCTGAACTGCTTTTGAGAAAAATTTGATCGAGTTCTCAGTCGAATCTGAGGCCCGTGTGAGATTGTGTTCACGGCCGAGTCCGTGCGCGTGCTTGCCCCACCACCAGCCATTTTGAGTTTGATTAGTTCCACGCCGCGTTCATCAGTCACGTGATATGTGGAAAACGCACATGCTTCGAAACCAACGTCGACTGTCCAATATGCATGCTGGGTGGTTACGGAGTACTCACACGGTCGTTGCTGCTTCATATCGCCTTAGCGCTCTTCTCTATCTGTATTAATAATGGCAATACCGATGCGCTTGCCACGTCTGTCATTGCTATCAGGTAAGCGACCATATTTGATGCCGCCTGGGCTACGTGCTCAATGTCTAGAACCCTATCTCCACACCAGTAGGTGAGTGAGTTGTCAGGGATAAGCGAGTGTCGATGTGGATATGTCGGCAGCTAAATCATGGGGGTGTGGTTCATGCTGTCGTCCCGGCAGGGTTTATTTCCCCAAAGAAGGGTCCAGTGGCCGAGAGAGCTCCTCGCTTGTCTCTGGTGGAAGGGGTTAACAGCGAACAGCGGCCAGTGCTCAAGCATCAGCATCCCCATCCAGGGGATTTACCCGCCGCAGGGACTCCCGTTACCCTTCGCTTTCAAGAGATTTGCAGCTGGCGGTGCCGATCCGTCAGCCACCGTAGCACAAAAGTCCGAATACAGGTACCTGGAAAGAGGTGGTTGAATCACGCCGTCCAGAAGAGGGCAGCTGGGAAACCCGATCAAGGCCACGGAGACCCGCTGCAACAGACCCCATCTCTGTGCATGACGGCGTAGTCAAGGGCGGAGAAGTTCTAGCTAGGCCGTCTGCCTCCGCGACTCCCAGAAGGGGCTCTTGGTCCTCCAGATGCCAGTATGGTTTGCGGGGCATTATCGGTAGCAGGTGACTGAACGGATCTGTGAACATTACGGTGTACTGTGTAATTATCACCCCTCGATATTGTTGGTTCACTGCGGATCATGCGTGGCGTTCAGGACAATGTAATGCAAGTCGTGGCAATGATCCCTTGAACGAGTTCCACGACGAACTCCTGGGCTATATGGGATGCAAGCGGGAACCTCCAGCTCCACCAGTCGTTGCAGGCAGCTTTGCCTCGCTGAGAGCATTGCTTGCAAATCAACATGGTTCATCTCGGAGTCCATTCTCTGAGCCATGGCTGATTCCACGTGAATGGTACCAAAGCGCTTTGGTCGATATTAGGCATGAGAGCTGGCAGTAGAACACTCGGTGGGACACCTGAACTCAGTCATGCAACATGAAATCCGCCCACGGCATTTCCCCTCTATGATTCTGGTAACACTTGCTTCGAGGCCGAGTAGCGGTGCTTATCAGGAGGAACTCTGCGCGTATACAAACTTGGGCTCATGCTGGGCTGAGGTTGGTTGGATATCCCTCTACGGAGTATACGGACAACATCTTGCCGATCACGGGCAAGTGCATTGCTCAATGAGACTGCAACTACACTCGCAAGCTAGGAGATTCTAACTCACCTTCAGAACAGGCAGTGGTCGCGCCGATGCACTATTCGCACGCCTTAGCGACAGGACTGAGCTCGATCCATTTCTTCATTCTGTGGTGTGATGCCTTCGCTTTTGCAGTGTAGGAATTGGAACTTCGCAGATGCGAGCATCAAGGCTTAGCGACGAGTGCGGAGACTCAGTAATAGGCACGTAGGCCGTCTCCAGTGTTCGTTCGCCAGGTATACTCCGAGCGGTAGCCCAAGTTCTCTAAATGCTGATTGCAAAATCTACTCTGATACGGACGATGTGCAATGACAGTTGTTCCGCATGGCTTTGTCTGTCAAGTGTGTTGCATGGTGGGTTGCGGCGACGCTTGCATGAAACAGTTCTCCCACAGATCGAGTTGAACCCCTCCACGCGACCGAATGATTGGCTATGGTCTTTACCGCCTTTTGGACGTGGGGGTGCGAATTGATGTGTATTCGTATCGCGTTGAACTGTTCTCCGAGGACGGATGGACCCACGGATGTCAAGTCGTTCCATCGCGCAGCTGCCGTCCGTATCTCTTCGTAACTCGGGTCCCCAAAACCAAACCAAGACGCTCTGGCAGTGCGAGTAGAATTTAGGTCTTCACATGATGGCTCGTAATCCATGGAAACTTAAGCACCGATACGTCATCATATGAGAATGCGGCATGCAGTGAGCAGTTAATTGGCAAGAGGTACTTGTGCATATAGGTGAGAACTTCATGATGACGGAAGGGTACGTACCTGAGGTCACCAGGCCTACACAGTTTGTACACTTGATTAGACTGCCGTAAGATCCGGTACTTCGTACTCGTGCGACTGGTCGACGCCAGTTCAGGAGGACGAATCGATGAGGAAAGTTGGCCCAGAGGGCAAGCCACAAGCCTCCGCCAGAAGCAAACCCGAGAGGTCGGTTTGATTGGAGGGCGCTTTGTCCTCACCGCCAGAACTCTTGATTCTGAACGCGACTGGTCAAACCACACAACCACTCACAATGACCCGCTTGTCACCGCCTTCAGCTGGCCTGTGGCGCTGTGCCGCTGATGGTTGGGGCGCCCGGCTAAAGGGGCCCTCTCGCATCGCTGGACTCGCTAAAAGTTCTGAAGTCGCGGGGTAAACTGACAGGATTCGCGACGGTGTCACAGCCTGCCAGTAATAATGGCACAATTTTCCTCCATGGCGGATTTCTTTTTCTTCACAGATTCGGTCGGTCGAATGGTATGCCACAAGAATGACGCCCTGGCGTAGTCGACGCCTCAGCGAGTTGAAGCCGCATAGCAAAGTTGGTCTCGTGACGGTTGCCGAAGGAGCTAGGCCAACATTCAGCAGTCATGATGTCGTGATAGCACGTGTCCGGACACCTGGATTGACTAAAATCAAGGTCTCGAAGTTCCGGCGATTAAGTCAGAGTGGAAACAAGTGCTCATCCGGTACCTTAACCCAAGCACCCTTTGCGACTCTTGCGTGACATCCACACAAGGAAGTTGCGACTACGGTTACCATATGCCCGGAGGGGTTCCGAGGAGTAGCCATTATCACTGTGGTCTTGCGCCTGGAGAGCTGTCTTGGCTTGTACGCATATAGATCTCTGCAGGTATGGGCCGAACGGTATGTACCGTCTAGGCTAGACATGATAGCTGGTCCTTGACTTCGGGGGGAACTGTTCCACAGGTGTTGGCTGCCTTCAGAGTTCAGAGATAAGGAGCCACGACTGATTCGGGATTTGATTGCACCCCGGCGGCATCGATATAGGCTACAGTACTCTTAGGGCCCGACTGGCCCGCATGGGCCGCCTGAGCCGTCTGAGGCACACCCTTTTTTGACTCCAGAATCTTGATTCTGATGCCGGCGAAATCAGTCCTAGACGGGTGCAGATCTGCGCGGCCACGCGAAGGATTGCCAGGCACGAGTACGGAGTACAGCAACTACCAATATCCGAAAGACGTCGTGCGGCGATAGAATGAAAATGATGAAATCCGTGGAGTCATCCCCGTCTCGTTCGTTGGACGTGCACGGGGTACGGAGTATCTTGATTAACAGACAGACGCACTATTGGAGCCCGTAGAGCTATTTTTTTTTTCCACGAACACGAAACATTATTCTTATTCGTGTTGAAGTGGAAGCAGGCGCGTCGAGACTCTTTCAACCGAGAGGACACCTATCTCTGGGACACTGGTCGGTTGGTCCGGATGCTAAGGAGATTGCTTGTTGAAGCGTGTCAAGGCGGGCGTAAGCCAACCAAAACTGAGCGAGACCCTCGGCGGTAACCTTGTGTCGCAGCATGAATCATGCTACTACTGAGTGCGGAGTAGTGCAGGGCAGGATCTTGGTGCACATTCCCATCTCGCGACTTCCCAGGTGTCAAAATTGAAAAGAGTTCACTTGACCTGGGAACCTCGCCCGCTGCCAGGAGAGTCACCGCAGGAATGATTATGGAAATCAGTAGAACCGGCAATACTGCAGCTTGTCCTATCATGCACGCGCATTCTGATTTGCGTATTATGACCTGTACCGGGTAACTGTTGCGCTCAGGATTGCTGACTGTGTTATCGCGCTGGTGCCACAGGGAGGGGAAGCTGGGCCAAACAGCCGGGTAGGACTCAGAAAAGCTCACAGCGGCACGATTGGGCTTGCTATGGCTTCATTGGCCGGAGAATCTCGCCGAACACTAGTCATAGGCCAATGAGCGCTGGTTTTTCTGCCAGCTCAGTCGAGCCCACAGTTGGTCGACTCTGGCAATAAACCATGTACTTCCGTGGGCTTTGGACGCTCCTCTGTACGAGTACTCAGTATCATCGCAAGAGCGCGGCTTTCCTCCTGTGCTCAACGTCCAAGCTTACAAGCCAATGCGGTGGTGCTACAGACACCGGCCAGGCACCACGGTAACCATGCTGCTGGCAGAAGATTCAAACCTGGAACGACGCTCAGACCATCTTGTGGCTCGTCCTTCCCGCCGGGTCCCGCAAGCGGCTTCCGCTTCCGGGGCGTCTTCACTCGCTGCCCACGGACCGTGCGAAAGGGAACTGCTTGCGTTCGAGCGAGTTTCGAGTGGCTCACTGGGAGACAAGAGTTTCTTATAGGACAAGTAATATACGGGCATGTCCAGAGCTTCGGCGCCACCAACGCTGAGAACAGCATCTCAATGATGCCATGATATAGCGCACAGGCTTGATGCGGTTTCTGCGCCCTTGCTTGCGTGGTGCTCTCCATCCATATTCGTGCAGATACTACGGAGTAGAGATCGAACAGATTTTTGCCCTGACTTCCGGCCACCAATACATCGTGCACGATACACCTACTGTATGTAGTTGTTCGCAACCGAGAGACGACCAGTGAGGAGTAGGTAACGACAAATAAGCCTCGCGGCCGCCGCTTCATTCTTTGTATTCCTGCTGTCTGTCATTTGGCGTTGTGCTCACACCACGATAATCCATCGACCCGTCTCTTCGTTGCTGTTGTACGGGGTTCGTACTCGTACACTGCTGAACGTCTTCCCCGCTCTCCGGACCTGTGTGTTCTCTCCCACCGAGCCATAGCAGCAACGCACTGCATCTGCATTTGCAGGTGGCCTTCACCAGGGATACCAGTCAAAGGGCACGTCAAGATCCCCCATGTCCAAGACGAGAGTGGGAGCGCGCAACTAGCGTCTCAGGCCGTTTCCTTAGCTGCAGCTGTGGTTGGAAAAGTCGAGTGTGTCCTGCACTGCAAACGTTGGGGCTTGCAGCGCTTGAGAGTTGCGCCACCTCCAAGCCCTCATTCCACTGCCCACCCTTAGCCTGGAGCATAACTGAAGGCTACTGCACCTCATCCCCGGCACCCTTGCCACCTCTGTTCGCCTCTTGCTCAGAAGCCCTCGAGCCGCGTCGCCAGCAAACCCACACCTACAGAGACTAATTCCGGCAGCCCACCCAGCTTCCAGGTTCCAGCAGCAACGCCCTCGCGCTCACCTCAGTCGCCCAGTTTGCCCATCCGATCCTAATCTACCGCCCATCAACCCCAATCGCCCGCTGCCCACCGCGCAGCGCAGATCCGAGCTTCCTGCTTTGGGCCGCTCGAGACTCAACACCTTTTGGCCGTGATCGCCTGCTTTTTCTCTTCATACACCTCTCACCACATCGAAAATCTTCTACTCCCTCTCTACCATTCACCACACCCTCCCTTGTCCCATATCCTCTAGGCCATTGCCAGCCTTATTTCCTCACGACCCTTCGAGAAGGCTGTGGGAATCTCGAGAAGGAACGAAGGGCACGCCCACGGTCATAATCCTCGCCTATTACATTGTCGGTGACCGATTAGCAAGCAGCCCGGAACAGCGTGGGATCATTGCACGCCAACAAAGAAACGGGGGATAACAAGAGGACATTGTCACGCCACTTGACTTTGACTCTACCTTTCGGTACCTGCACTCGCTGTCTCGCAGGAGAAATACAATTCATCACTGTACGGTCGATCTCTGGTCCCGTGGTGATTTTCGTCTCTCCTACATCAGTGGAGAGTTCACTTTAACCTCACTTCATCTGAGGCTGAATAGTCTGTGCTTTCTTGGTTCTTGCCTCGCAATTTGACATTTTATTGCGGTAAGTGCCTCTCTACCTCAAACTGTAACTTGCCGCAGCAGCCACGTCCGGACGATGGGCGTGCAGAGTTAAAGTTGGCACGGTCGTGGACCATTGACAAGCGTGTGGCTGCGCTCGTCAACCCTCAGCCAACTTTTCCATCACCCACCACCTTGTCATCCCCCACACATTGTCTCTCCTACAACCCACCTACCACCCTACCAGCACGGCATTATTTTTATGATTCACAATGCTTTTGATACCTTACTGACGTCCATTGTCTTCATCAGATCGACTGCGTTCTATAATTCCTTGACCCTCTTCGAGCGACTCTTGATGAGGCTCGTCGCGAGATAAATACCGCAGCTCCTGGTCTGGAGTCTTTCACCCGTGTAATCCGGCCGAATGCCTTACACTCCTCCAGCCCAGCTTTCTCCTGCAAGCTCGAAAAATCCTAGTCCTACCCCGAGCCGGTCTCACTCCTACATCAAAGGGCAGCAACTACTCTCTCCGGAGCTTCCGGCTTCTTCTGGCCGTCCAGACCTGCCGCGCTCGCAGGGTTCCTCCTCGTACATCACAAAGCACCGACGAAGCCCATCGTTGAACGACGCGCAGAACGGCGAGATTCTCCATAATGGGGAGGCGTATGAAGAGAATGGCGCTTTTGATCCCCGTGGCAGTATCAGACAGTCACCCCCGCCTGTGACCAACTCTGCGATGCCTGCTCAGATGACGATATCACCCCCAGAATCGTCTCACAACTCTAGTGATGAGGATGAGCCTGCAAGAGGACGGACGAGGGATCTGGAGGTGGAAAACCTCCAAGCGTTACATGCTGCGATTCGGTCGATAGACTTGAGAAAGTCAACCGGATCCCCAACCCGTGGAGTGGCTCCTCCTTCCACCAAGCTTGACGTTCCGGTCTCTCGCCTGGATGGGACTCAGTCCGCCGGCCCACAATTACAACGACCTCCTCTGTCGCAAGAAGCTCGGAAGATCTCTCACTCCAGATCATCCACCGACTCTAGCATAGTCTTCGAACCACCCCAGAAACAAACGCCTTCAGTTGTTATTCCGTCCGAATCGGATGACAGCGATACTGATAATGGGCCTGGTGAACGACCCCCAATGCTGCGAAAGAAGTCAGGCGAGCTGGTCCGGCCTGCGTTGCGGCCGTCATCACGACGACGGCCCTCGAGTATGCCTGGAACCCCAACCTACTCCAAGGCTGTCCATTTCGATTCTCACCTCGAACATGTCAGGCACTTCCTGCAGGTCGATCGGCCGCTTGCTGTCAGTGCAGGTTCCTCACCTGTAGAAAACTATGAGAGTGAGGGCGAGTTTCCCTTCGGGTCGGATGAGGCAAGCTCTCGACCTCGGTCCCCCGCATATGAGTGGGAGATCTCGTTGGCCAACTTTCCTCAAGACTCAGAAAACCGCAGATCACAGCCTGTGTTTGTTGATCGAGTCTTTCTTTCAGCCGACAACAAACACCTTGTGGGCAATATTGCTGTGCAGAATCTTGCATTTCAGAAGTCGGTTGTAGTTCGCTTCACCCTTGATTACTGGAAGACGACTTCCGAAATTGTCGCCGACTACAACAACGATGTCCGCCGGAAAGGTCCTCATGACAACCTTGACCACTTCAACTTCAGCATCAAACTCGCAGACCAGGCGAATCTCGAGACTAAGACATTGTTCTTCTGCGTGCGGTACAACGTCAACGGTCAGGAGTTCTGGGACAATAACGGGGGCTACAACTACCAAGTGGACTTTAGCAAGAATGCTAAAGTGCACCAGGCCAAGAAGCCTGCAGCTGCACCCGGCCTTGGTGAGAGACCACTGAATGCTTTGCCTCGAAGTCGGCCGTCCTCAGCAAGCTCCGCTGGTAGACCAGTATCCATGCCCACATCGTTCGATGACTTCTCAACGGGTTTCGACAACTTTGGAAGCTTTGGTCAGTCCGCCGGCGCTCTCATGGGTGAGCCGAAGCTCAAACTGAGAAGCCCACGCTCAAAGGCTGAGCTGGTTCCTGATGCTCCTCAGCGCCGTAAGCAAGCCGGCCCTCAAGCATTCGGGCATCGGTACGATTTCAACTCATCTTTGACAGCGGCGAAGAACAATGCATATGCCGCTCTGGGCGAATGGTCTGGCTTGAATCCGAGGGTAACCACAAAGCAGTCATCCCACGACGTTCCTGCGACCACAACCGTCGCCCAGATCGTTGTAGACGCTGCCCCTAAGCATGAAAACGGTGTCAATGGTATCAAAACCGGCGCCACTAATGCCACTTTTCTGGCATCCAAGCCCGCGGCTTTGGTCTCCGAGAAACCTTCACTCACCTCGCAATCATATCAGGAACTAGTGGACAAATACTGCTTTGTAGGTGCCCAGGGGAAGAGCGAGGAGGTCACGACACATTGAAGTGCTAATTGTTGTTGCAGTTTGGGACAGCCAAATCATCTGAGCCCTTGACAAAGACTGCCTTGAGCATGGTGGATGGGGTGGCTGATTCGTCGACGGCGTCAGATGTGAGCACTGGGGCCAGCACTCAGTCCACGAGTTCGTCCGGATCTTCAACTCCCACACCCCCTCGGAGCATGTCGCCGGTACCGGGTTCCCAATCGTCGAAGGCGTTCGCACAATACGTCGCTCGGTCATCGTCGCCGCTGCTGGGCGGAATGTTTGGGTCCCGATCCGGTTCGCCAGCGTCCTTCGATTCACCTTACTCTGCTGCGCAACATACCTTTATGTCCGAAACACCTACGCCCACAGCAATCCAAGGTTAACGACCTTTGTTGGTTTTGTCCACGTCCTTGCATGATCGCATCCAGTCGGCCACCTTCTCCAGGTCGACCTTGTACGTGTGGTGCCCCCTTGGTGCTGTTCAGCCACTTCGTGCCCAGCATACCTCACCATCGGTTGAATGACCACTGGGCCGACGGTGCAGAAAGCATTTCGAATGCCAACAGGCAGGAAATCGCATCTCTCAGTGTGGGGCGGTCATCATCGCTCTTTTATCTGCTGTTCTTTGAGCGCCCAGACAAACTTGTTTGTCACCTTTGGCGGCGTTGTGCGATTTGCGGAGGACATTTGTTCCTCCTCCGGCGTTTCTAAGGGGCTTTCCTCCGCTGTTAATAGACGCTTCTGACATTCCAAACCGACGGAAGACTGACACCAAATCGTCGACCGACCCTTAGACTGGAACTTGTCGGAAGCCAGCTTCTCGACTGGCCCCGCCTCGAGCGAAGGGGACAGCGAACGCTCAAAAAGTTTGTGGGATTTTCTGGCGTTGCGGCTTGGCTTTCTTGTACACACTTGGACAATTCAGTTTGGATTTTTGAGGCCTTCCAGAGAGGCTGGGGAGCTTTCGCCGGGCTGAAGTCGCATAGGCTGCTGGCAGGGATTGAGTTTCGCATTTCCGAGGACGGGCACAAGGTCATCGCAGCTTCGTACCTACCCCTTTTCTCTTCTTCGGCCATATGGATGGCTCTTCTCACCACAATGACGGGTGCGCGGATTGCGAAGTACATAGGATGACCCAGAACAAAAGATCCGATGTTGATGATTGTGGTCCTGTTTGTATCTTCCGCCGTGTTAATTTATCGATACGTAGAGTTCTCCGTGTGTGTGAAGTCGAGTCGGTGCGCCGAAACCACCCACGGCTGGAAGGGAGAGTCAAGGTGGTAGACAGACGAATCGCTGGCGGAGGAAGTCGACCCAGTGAATAAACGGTGCGGTACTGGGATGAGGATCAGCCGGTCATTCAACAAGGTAAGCACCCACTGGGTCGATACGACGACGTCGAGGCCATCTGTTGTTCCTTGTGTCCCATGTATTGCTGGTCGAGTCGAGTCCAGCTTCTTGATCAGCACTTGCGCCACGGGAAGGACAGTCTGGACAGCAGTGGCAGACCGTATGGGAGTTCTGTCGGTCGCGAAGAGGATACTCTCTGGAGCGTCTAGACCAGTGACGATGCTATCGACCTGTTTGGGTAGGGTAGGGCATGGTCCAGACATGTTGTGGTCATGTTGTGTCATGTCATGTCCCTCGGTGAGGCTGTCCGTCCATTCGTCGCGGTGCAGAAACTCTGCCGGTCCCGTTCGTGGTTGAGTGTCTGGGAACATGTGGCAGCGTCTATTGCCCCCGTGGGCGCGAGGGTGTGCGGCATGCGCTGTGGACGTGGTGCGAAGGTGTACTTGCACATGATTTGAGTTAACGACGAGGATGTTTCTATCTTCGATCGCCAGTCGAGGACGCTTTGCGTGGATGTGGATGCAGCGCGATGAGTGTTGCGGAGCAAAGCAACAACGCTTCGCCTGGCGACGGCATCCGGAGTCCTCAGCGGTGAGGTCCACTCTGGCGTACCATGTACATGTACACGGGCTCTGTCGTAGTGCCCAATTCTACCTGATGGGTGTGCGTGCATGCACGGGCTGAGTTATCGGCATTGGCGATGTATGTAGATGTCCGATTGTGGTGTTGGGGCCATGCCGACCCTTATCGAGATAGGCTGCGGTACGGAGCGGCGCGGTCTCAGCCTCATTTTTGGAGCAGCGCGAGCCTTGCGTAAGGCGACAATGGCGACCCGCCATTGACGAGAGATATGCACAGCAGACGTTTGCGTACTGCGTGCACTGTGTACTCCATGGTTCGGGTATTGCTGTGAAGGAGACTGCTCGCGAATGGACTGGATGCGCGCTGTAAGAGTCGCAAGGGAGCTGACTTGGGCGCGTGGTGAGCGCAACGGGGAACGGGTGACCACGTTAGTTGGTGGCTTTCGGGCGGAGGGACGTGGACTCCGCTCAAAACACTGTGTTAGTCTGCGCACCAGTAGCCCAGGAGTGCAGAGTTGAGCGCACGACAGGATGGGCCTGAAGGGAGTACGCACCTCATATAAGACAGAAAGAGGGAGAGAGGGGAGAAAGGGTCATCGCATCCGCTTCCTAAGGGGGGTGGTGAGAACTGGCGCGTCTACCCATGATATAAAGTACTCTCGCTCTCCGTACCGAAAGTGAGCGTGATGAGAGCTGCACAGTACGTACAGAGTATGTGTGTGTGCAAGGGAGCCTGAAGGCAAGAATGTCGGGTCCCAGAGCAGCAGTCTGGCATTCCCAAACAGGGTGTGTTTGCTGCGTGGTGCCTGGCTAGAGGCCCAAGGATCGCCAGTGAGCCCTGTTTCGGGACTGTCAGGGTCCAATCCGCGGAATCGTGGCAGCCAGGGATCCTGTCGATTCAGGGGCCAGAGACACACCCAAGCTCGACGGTGAGTGGTCGCGGAGGTGTGCAAGTGCCCAAGGGTGCCTGACGGGGAGGATGATAGGCAGGGGCAAGTGCCAGCTCTGGGAAGGCTAAGCTGGTTTGATCAGCGCTGCCGACGTGGCCAGCCGGCGGTCCGCAGCATCCTTGCTGACTTTGGACCCCGTTTGCTGGTGACCAGATGTCTCAGAAGGGGCCATTTGTCTTGTGCCATTTGGCAGGTCGTTGATCTTTGTGCCTGATTTGTTGGTGTCGGTTGTTTGACAGGTCAGAGGGTAAGGCTGAAGGGTGGTGGCGTCGATTGATGGTGGCGACAAACCACCCTCTGCGAAGGCGCTGGAGTGGCGGAGAGGAAGGGAGAAAAGGAGAAAGAGAGAGAAAGGAAGTCAGGGCTCAGTCTCACGCCCGGGGGATTGTGGTAGTCTACATATGTAATAAGAAGCGGTGATTCATAGACAGAATGGACTGGCCAGAGGCGGACCCGACATGATATGGAAAGAAGCAGTGTGATTCCTTTCCACTTGGCCTTTGTTCTAATAGTACGGAGTAAGCCCGCCTCTTTTCTGGTCAGCAGGTTCAACTTGACCCAGCGAACTGGCTGGTTTGCAATAAAAGTGCGGACCGACGATTGGCCACGTAGCCAAGCAGCATATTAACCCACGAGCCTAAATTTGCCCGAATGGGCCGAGATGAAGCCAGGACGCACAACGACACTGCGCGTGACCAAGAATTCTGTGCAAAACAATCTGAGGTGACCACGACTGTCCTGCTTTTCCCTGCTATGAGCCAGTCAGCTGGCACCGTCGTCCAGGGCCGGCCGTGTTCTGGAACACTTCGCCTCGCCGCGGTTGTGCCTGACGATCCACTTTGGCCCTGCATCGCGCAAGCGCCGAAAAGAGTTCCTCGAATCGTCGTACCCCGAGGTACCCTTCAGCCAAAGGACGGTGAAGAGAGACTCGTCCAGTACCACAGTACTCGTACTCCAGTACTCCGCCCCTCCGCCCCTCCGCCTCCCTCTTGCATGGACGCGTGACTTTGGAGAGATTAGCAGTCTAAGCCAGTTCTGGCTTCACGAGCCTCGCACTTCTCGAAGCCAAGGAACGTTACTGGATACGCAGGGTTCCCAGATTGTTCCATTGCAGCCTCGGGGCTCCTGGCTCCGTTCCCTTGTTGTAATTGCTGACCGAAATAGGCTTTCTTTCTCGCTGTGTTAAGGCGGGGCGCTTGGGAACCGCAACAGCTGGGAATTCACGTCGCACGAGTCTTTCGTTTCTTAGTTGCAAATTGAGGATTCCAAGCTGCTCTGACTCTTTCCTCAAGTCAGCTCGGTACATCTCTAACTGCCGGGTAAACGGCTGTCAGAGATTGGACGTCGTTTTCGTGCCCGCGTTTATTTTCCGAAAGTCTGCAAGTCGAGATCGGAATTTGCCAGAGCAATCTCGGGCTTCTGGCCAGAGCAATCCACTTTGAGCGAATGTAGCCAGTTTATTGGCAACGAGGCACATCGTGGTAGCCATCCGTGGATCGTTTGACTACAGATCGAACCAATGGATTTTGGTGTCGATATTGACCTCGGATACAGTCCGACAAGTTTTCGGGACTTGAGTTCCTAGACAGCAGTGAACGGAGGGAGACGGCGTATCGTCGTCAATATTTCGGCTCCGAGACCCGACTCGCACACTTGCTGACCTTTAGACTATACAGGCCACTGGGTATGGAGTGCGGGCAGTCCAGTCTCAAACAGAAAGGGGAGTGGTAGCAAGATTGTGCAGAGAATGCTTCTTCTAGTCACAAGGCAGACACCTTCCGGATCGAGAACAGGTACATCCCACTACATGGCTGGGCACCTGTAGCACTACTATGCATGCTGTACCGGTACCCAACTTAACACAGCAGCTCTGCCGCGTGTCCGGAGCTGCTCAGAGGTCCCAGACGCTGTTCCTTTCGTTCCCTCCTTATGGACGTCCTGCCGCACATTCTGCGGAGCCCCTCGAATTGCACTAGTCCTGTCCTCCTTCTGGTACTCGGCCCGTTGCTCTCGACGCAAGACTCATGCCGAGTCCGTCTTGCACATCTCTTGGGGCCGGGATGCATATGAACCCGGTCGTCTGCTGGTAGGTCGAGAAACGGTGCCGGGATTCTTGAAATGGCCTGGTTCCTCATTGAAGAGGACTCTCCTCTCTGCAGACAGCATCGTCGTTGTCTCAACCACCTAAAGACACGGTGCAGCTTTGCCATCGCTCAGGTGGTTGAAGTGGCCTTATCCCATGCAGACTTCGTATTGTCGGGAAACCCTCAGTCAACGCATGAATCCAATACATAGGGGTAGATGGACGTGGACTTGCGTCTTCACTGAATCCCAATATCCAACGTGGCAGATTTCTCAGCGCTCTTGTGAGGCAGTCTGTCCAGTCTAGCTTGCGCCTCTCTTGGCGTATTCTGTCAGTGTCAAACAGTGGACTACACGCCACCTACCTAGCAATCAGATGTGGTTTTAGTCATGACCTCGAAGGACCTCGATTGTAGTCAGAGAAACCACTGGCTAGTAGTCGTAGTCGCCGTGCATCTTGGATGAACAGGAGTCCAAAATCAATTAAGGTCGAATCTGGTTAGCGCACACGCGAAAGTTCGCGTCGACGCGTTTCAATCTCAAGCCCAATTCATTTTGGCCGCCTCCTTGACTTGACTTAACGCTGCACCGCCAGACATTGCTATCATTGATCGCCAAAATCATGTCGTCGACGCCATCCTCACGTCGTCGGGGCCATTCATCGCGCAACTCACAGTCCTCAACTCCAGCAAGGCCATCAGAAGCGACACCGAGAAGTACCCGGTCAGCAGCCAATGCAGCCGCCACAGCCGCATCCTCGTCACCGTTGTTCTTCCAGTCATCATCTGCGCGAGGGACACCGGCACCTGCATCGCAGCCGGCCAACGATGGCATGATCATAAGTTCTCCTCCAAGACAGGCGTCCAACGCTGGCGATCGTGAGGCGACTCCTCGCGCCTCAGCACGACCAGTTGCAGGTTCGAAACCCCCTTCGGAAAGTAATGTCCAATTCTGACACATTGCAGATTCATCTCCGGTTCGATATGATCCCAGCTCGAGCCCAGTGAGGACCCGCCATGAGCCCCGGTCAGACATCCCCACCAGCAGCAGTGGGCTCTTCGTCCGGCAAGATGGTGCAGCCAGGATATCGTCCCGAAGGGGAGACATACACTCGGATGCCTTTGCTGCTACTCCATCGCATCGCCGTCGAATCTATGTTGGTGAGGATGGTATGCCTGTCCGAGACGGCCAAGATCCTGCCTCTGAAGCGACATTCTCCAACCTGAATCCGGATACCTCAGAGGCTGACGCGATGGGAGGTGATTCCACAAGAGTCATCTGGGGTACCAACATCTCGGTTGTTGACTCAATGGCATCTTTCAAGAACTTCCTCTACAACTATGCAAAGAAATACCGGATGTGGGCCGATGGTGCCACCGAAGATGAGACACGTGCTCTAGGGGCCAGTGCGGATGAGAAGGAATACCTCCAGATGCTCCAGACCATGAGGAGACTGGGCGTGCATGGCCTCAACCTAGATGCTCGTAACCTCAAAGCATACCCAGCGACCTTGAAATTGTGGCATCAGCTCCAAGCCTATCCACAGGAAATCATTCCTCTGATGGATCAAGCAGTCAAGGATATCATGGTCGAGTTAGCTCAGAAAGAAATGCAAGACCTGCGACGTGCACACGCTGCTGGACCTTCTTCGCGCGCAAGGGACGGCAGTTCAATGCCTCCGGCGCCATCCTCAGATCTGAACCCACCAACACCTGTGGCCACGGGAAATGCTCCAGATGACTTCCCGGATCTTGTGGAAGAAGCAATGATCCAGCCTTGGAAGGTGATGCCATTCGGCCTTGACAAGACAATTAACATGCGAGATCTTGACCCCGCCGATATCGACAAGCTGATCTCTGTCAAAGGACTTGTCATCCGCACAACGCCAGTGATCCCAGACATGAAAGAGGCCTACTTTAAGTGTTCTGTCTGCAATCACACTTTGTACGTCGCCATTGATCGTGGCAAGATCGCAGAGCCAACCATATGTCCTCGTCAAGCGTGTCAATCCAAGGACAGCATGGAGATCGTCCACAACCGATGTGTCTTTGCGGACAAGCAGGTTATCAAGTTGCAGGAGACACCTGATTCGGTTCCTGATGGGCAAACTCCTCATAGCGTGTCTCTGTGTGTTTACGACGACCTTGTCGATATCTGCAAGGCAGGTGATCGCATTGAAGTCACGGGCATATTCCGAGGCAACCCTGTGCGTGTCAATCCTCGCCAGAGGACTGTAAGAGCGCTTTTCAAGACTTACGTTGACGTGCTCCACGTCCAGAAGGTGGACAAGCGCAAAATGGGCATTGACGCGTCCACCATCGAGCAAGAACTCTCCGAACAAGTCGCTGGCGACGTGGAGCAGACTCGAAAAGTCACAGCCGAAGAGGAGGCTAAGATCAAGGCGACAGCAGCGCGAGAAGACATCTACGATCTCCTGTCAAGGAGTTTGGCGCCCAGTATCTACGAGCTCGACGACGTCAAGAAAGGCATCCTGCTCCAACTATTTGGCGGGACGAACAAATCCTTTGCAAAAGGCGGCAGTCCACGATACAGAGGCGACATCAATGTCCTGCTCTGCGGCGACCCGTCGACCTCCAAGTCCCAGCTTCTGCAATACGTCCACAAGATTGCCCCGCGAGGGGTGTACACCTCAGGCAAAGGTTCCTCTGCAGTCGGTCTGACCGCGTACGTCACCCGCGACCCGGAGTCGCGCCAACTCGTGCTCGAATCCGGCGCGTTGGTCCTCTCCGACGGCGGCGTGTGCTGCATTGACGAGTTCGACAAGATGAACGAATCCACTCGCTCGGTCCTGCACGAAGTCATGGAACAGCAGACGGTGTCCATCGCCAAAGCAGGTATCATTACCACCTTGAACGCCCGGACCAGTATCCTTGCCTCTGCAAACCCGATCGGCAGCAAGTACAACCCCAACCTGCCAGTGCCGCAGAACATCGACCTGCCTCCGACACTGCTCTCGAGATTTGACCTGGTCTACCTCGTCCTGGATCGCATCGACGAAGTCAACGATCGCAGACTTGCAAAGCATCTGGTAGGCATGTATCTGGAAGATACGCCCGAGAACGCCTCGCGGGAGGAGATCCTGGTAAGCCTGAACCTAAGCCCCAGCGCCCTGTTGCCCTCTTACCCGAACCGCTATGCTGCCCCTGTCATTAACCATGTGTCCCCCTGCTAACGCATCTGCCGTTCCCCTTAGCCCATCGAGTTCCTGACCGCGTACATCTCCTACGCCCGCAACAACATCCACCCCAGCATCACACCCCCTGCGGCACGAGCCCTCTCGGACGCCTACGTCGCAATGCGCAGTCTCGGCTCCAACATCCAAGCCGCCGAGAAGCGCATCACGGCCACGACGCGCCAGCTCGAGTCCATGATCCGCCTCTCCGAAGCGCACGCCAAGATGCGTCTAAGCCAGACGGTCGACGAGTCCGACGTCACCGAAGCCGTCCGGCTGATCAAGTCGGCGATCAAGGCCTCCGCGACAGACGCGCGCACGGGACTCATAGACATGGGCCTGCTTAGCGAAGGGGGCAGCGCCTCGGAGCGGCGCCGCCGCGAAGATCTCAAGAGGGCGGTCATCCAGGCGCTGGATCGTGACCCTGCGGTCAGGAGCGGTAATCCTATCCGGTACACGGATCTGTATCGCGCGGTCGGCGAGGGGAGCAGTGTCGAGGTCGAGGGCGCGGAGTTCAACGAGGCGGTCAAGAGTCTGGAGCTCGAGGGCCGGGTTCTCGTTTCGGGCGAGGGCGGGAGGCGGAGTGTCAGGAGAGTTACGGGTGTATGACCGTGATTCGCGTTCACGAGTTGAGCTCCAGTTCCAGACAGAGCTAGAAGGATGTTCGGCGTTTATGTGGCTACGTGTCGACGTCGATCTAGCTTTTGTCCATTTGGGTTTCATTCACACCACACGCAGTACAGAGTACGCATTGCAGAGGTACGCAGGACAGCCCAGGCCGTGACGGGACGGCACAGAACAGAACAGAACAGAACAGGACAGGATCGAATGAATGAGTGCATGATTTGGACCTAGCATGTAAGATGAACAAATGTCAACGAGAAATGGGTAATTACGGAGTATGCAGACGCGGATTGAGCATCACAAGGGACGGTTTCATTTTCGATATGTAATTAGACTTTCTGGAGTACAGTACGGAGTACTCCGTACCCACGTCGTTCATCGAGATACGAGTACATATGTCCGAAATACTGCAGATGATACTGCAGATGATACTGGAGAATGTCCTGCTCAATACTCAAGTACCCCGTACCCCGTACCCCCTCTTACTTGAAGGGTGGCTGGTGCGGGCACTACCTATAGTAGCACCGACTGGACAGCCACACGAACACGAACACGAACAGGAGCAGGAGCACTGACTTCAAGGACGGATGGGATGGGATGGGATGGGTGGAAAGGGATAGTAATCGGGTCGGGTCGCATTGGCAGACAGCAAGATCTTTTAAAAGGTCTCTTAGGGTAGGCACGGAGGTAGATAGATACCTTACTTGGGTGGTGGGTACAGTAAGTATCCAGACATTAGGAGTTAAGGACCTTTAAGTAGAGCGACGAATCCGTGTACAGTACGGAGGGCTTCGTATGGTACTGTATCTTTATGATCAGGGTACTGAGGTACCGATCTGGGATCATACATGAAACGATGGATAGTCATCATGAAGTACGCATGTATTTTCTCTACTCGCTCCGATCGTCCGATTTGCAATCCTTCCTGTGGAACAAGCCCAGCCAGATGAGGTACTGATACTGATACCGATGTTGATCCTGATCCTGTACGATGTACCTACTTGTCCTGGTACACCGAATGTCAAGTCAACGCCCCGAATCCCACCGTCACATTGCTCCCTCCTTCTGGGGGGCAAATGAAGCCCTGTCTGTTCTTCCTGCCCTTGCATAATGCCTGAAAACGCCCGACGCCATGCTTTGCTCGCTTCAATTCGTGCCAACTGCTAAATAATCATGCGTGCTTGGTTAGGGCGAGATACGTGCCCGACATGTCGCCAAAAAGAAGAAAAGAAAATACTGACGCCCAACTAGCATGATGCTGACCGGCCGGACCGACCTCAGGCTGTGAAATTGTAGACTCGGACCTCACCGTCCTCGCCTCCGGAACACATTCGACTATCGCTCAGCCCGATACACGTCACAGGGCCGGCATGACCGGTGAAAGTCCGCTCACACTTTCCTGTCCTGGGATCCCACACTTTCACCATGCGATCCTCTGCCCCGGATACAAGGCGCAGTGTGTCTGCCGCGATGGCCCATACTCCTTCGACATGACCGAAGAATTTGCGGACGCATCGTCCCGAGTGCACGTCCCAGAGGCGGATCGTGCTGTCCAGGGCAGAGGTGAGCATATAGCGCGGTGGAGGCGGACGGTCGGATTGGAGGCTGAACAGGCTTGACATGTTGAGAGAATGAGATGAGGAAGAAGGGATGGCAAGAGGGAAGCCCCCGTTTTCATCGAGCACGGTGACGTGACTGTCGGGACTGCCCGGGTCGGATTGTTCTTGTTCTTCGTCGTCTTGGTCAGCTTCGTCGACGCCGGCTTCAAACTCTGCGGGCAGTGGCAAGACTTGTTGGACTTGGCCGACGTGTCCTTCGAACGTGTGGATGCACTTCTTTGTGTCCAGGTCCCAGAGCTTGACGGTGCAGTCGTCCGAGGCTGTGAAAATGGTGCGGGACGCGGAGTCGACTTTGACCGAGTTGACCCAGTCGGTGTGTCCTCGAAGGGTGAAGACGGAGCGGTCTTGGAAGTTCCATACTTTGGCCGTGTGGTCCACTGAGCCGGACGCCAGTATGTTCGAGTCAAAGTGTAGCGCAATGACGCCCCCGGTGTGGCCGTTGTAGGTTGAGATGCATTCTCCGGTCCGCCAATTCCACACTTTGAGTGTCTTGTCCAGACTGCCACTGATGAGTTTGTTGTCGTCAAACTGGAGGCAGCGGATGCCCATCGTGTGACCCTTCAGTGTGCTCAGCTCCTTGCCGGTGTCCAGGTCCCAGATTTTGATGGTTGCATCATACGACCCGGTGGCCAAGATGTTGTCGCAGAACTGAAGCGCCATAACTCCATTGGTGTGACCTTTCAGGATCCTGATGCTGCAACGACCGTACTTCCAATTGGTCCCAACTTTGAATCGGTCTTTGTAGACGTCTTTCCAAGGCCGAGTCTTACGGAAATACTCGCTCTCGCTGCTGCAGAGTAGGGGTCTTCTGCTTAAGATCGGAGAGAGTTGGCCGTCCGAGGCGGAATCGTGGTGACTTTCAGTGTCGGAGGCTTCAGGCTGCGACATCGCGGGTGGACACGAGTCGAGTGGTAGGTTACTTGCTGCTCGAAGCTCGATTTGTCTTTTCGTAGCCCGCAGTATCTTTCGTTCCAGCAAAGGCAGGCCCAAGCCACATTTCTTGCACTTGCGGTCAATATGTTGCTCACACATACGGTGCCACACGACGTCGTCGTCAGCGAGCTGTCTCCACCTCCTAGACACCTGTGCGGCTTTGCAGAGGGAGGTTGTGTCGAGGAAAGAAAGGATTCGGAAAGCCACTTCCGAGGGCAACGCGGAGAGAAAATCGATTCGGATGAGTTCTCGGACATTCGCAGAGAGAAAGGACAGTTGCGGGAAGCAGCATTGAGCGAGGATCCCTTGCAGCATGAGGTTTCGATGCTTGGAGGGAGCGGCCGAGAACAAGGACCAGACTTGGACGATGCCCTGCCGATCCTCTTGCGACAGCGTCTCCAAGCCCTTCTGCAACTTGTCCATGGTCATTTCATCCGCCTGTCGTCGACATAGCATATCAGGCCGATGGCGGTAGCAGAATTTGGAGTTGGGATTCGGGTCCTTCAGTGGGTCGAAACGGTGAAAGGAAGGATTGCCAACCTTGCCCAAGGGAGCGTACTGCGAGGGTATGTGCTTTGCCAGGAAGGGCGCCACAGCCTGGTCGGCATGTTTGGCGGTCGATGCGATGGTGATACTCTTGTCTTTCCTTTCCTTGTCTTCGTCGGCGGGATTGAGTCGTTGCCTCTTCCACATCGGCTCCTCCCAATCACCCTCCGTCTGTTCCTCCGACAAAAGGCGCCTCCGGTGTCCTTCGATCAAATCAAACGGCATTGCGAAGTCGAATATTTTTGCACATTTCGAACCAAAGGTAGATCTCGACGTCGACCGTCACACCACTCGACTTAGGATTTCGAGTGTCGCTGCGCTGCCCAGATAGTGGGGAATCCGGGCCGATAGAAGGAGCTGTGAGAGTTCAAATCAAGGCTCAACTCAGGAGTAGGTGACAGCAGTTGATAATGGTGCAAGATGGCGACTTGCGGCTGCTCGCAGGCACAACTGCTCCGAACCAAACCTGGAGAATTACGCATGGTCATTCATCCACAATTCACCGACTGCCGAAGCTCGAATGCCGACTTGCGAAGTCCCAGGGAGCGCCACCCATGCCCAGCGGGCCCGGGTTAGGCGATTTTGAATGATCTTGGGCACCGCGGGCGCCTGGATTGGCTCGCCTCCAGGGACCAAGTCGGCGGAAGGCGGTAGCTCCCGCGTGCTCGGCGCCAGTGGGCGACAATCTCTGAGTCGGCCGTTGAAAACTGATGGCGATGGTTATGGCTCCGATGGCGTGCGCGATAACGCCATCCTCGCCATCGATGAGCATTCTGGCACTTTTGGTACAGTGGTCACCGCAGTCACTCTGGGTTGTGCAATACACAGTACTGCATCTGTCGACCGGCTCCGCTTCCTGCGTAGTCTTGACAATTATGCCCAGCTATGCTCATCCGGTCACTGGCCATTTGTTGACAGACTTATTGTGTCCACCCCTTGCCGAGAAAATACGACGTGCAGTCGAGATTCCCCAGACTTTGGCTGAGGCTGACGCAGGCTGCGCGCTTGGTACCCCACACCGGCCAGGATCCTCGCTTCGGCCTAGGTTCACGTTCAGCCTCTGGCAAGTCAAAGTCTCCCGAAAGGCAGTGACATTGTTTTGAAGTTGCACAAAATGCATCTCAAGCACTCTCACCACTGTCATTATTAGCAACCAAAACTGCCGGGCGCGCATTGATGCTGACTTGGGCATCGTTCACCACGGGTTGCGTCGGTCCCCAATTCAGATGAGGTAGCAGCCATGTCCTCACCCTCCCCTGCCATGGCGCCATCTCCTCACCTTGCAACTGCCCAACGGCACGACCTCTCCGCTCGCTCCTCTCCTTCGCAATCTCTACGCGCAACCAGCCCCTCACAGACATCTGTCGAGGTGTTGGTGTCATACTTGGTCGCCTCCAAGCGCTCCTTAGGCAGTATCCACCTTGTTCACCGTGCTACGACCATTCTCTCCGAAGCACGCGTCTCCATCGAATCAACGACGGCTCTGCTCGCGAAGGCCACCTACCTGCGTCGCTCCTTGACATCGCAGCTGAAAGTCCTGCGTGGCGTCCAATTCGAGTTAGAAACTGCTGCCCAAGGCATCCAGCTAGAGTTCCAGGCTGTCATACGGGAGCTAGATGAAACTGGCGCGAGGTTGCTGCAATGCATAGACCTCTTGAAACAGACAAAAATCGAGCATGCCTTCAAGGTGGCAACGGAGGGCGAGCGGCAAGATGTTGCAGGCAAAGACACCCTACACGACTTTGTCGATGACAATGGCGTCGAGACCATCAAGCAAGCCATGGAAGTAGCCATAGACAATGTACAGAATGCGCAACAGGAAATGAACGATTCCATTCAAACTCTGGAGGTGGATCTACAATCCATCAATGAAGTCCTAAACAGCAGAGGTGACCTCTCTGGTACCGAGAGCGAAGTGCAGCAGCCTCTCAATATTGCAGGCACTCTCACCCTCCTCGAGAACCACGCTCACGAGATGGCGCGAGGTCTTGAGAGCCTGGTCAAGCACTTTGATCTCTGCGTCACAGCCATCAAACACACCGAGGGAGGTGGAGAAGCCGTCTTTCAAACCATGAATGCAGAGGAGGTCGATGCAGTCGGGCTTGGTATGGACGAACTACAAGCACCTGCCCAACCCATGAATGACGAGGAAAGAATAGAAATGCTTCAGGTATTGGAAAATGACGCTCAAGAAGTCGACGAGGTAGTCATGGAGTTGCAAGACCGAAACGCCGAAATGGAAACACAGCTAGACAAGATCCACCGATGGCAGGAAAGGCAGGAAAACGTCTATGCAGATGTGGCTACAGCTTTCAAGCTTCTCGATAAGATCTCGGGACGTTTGTCCGGATACGTCGCCGAGACAGCACGCCACGCGATGAGGTGGAACGAAGAAAAAGCCAAGATCGAAGACGGCATAGGTGGCATGGAAGAGCTTTGCGAATATTATGCACACTTCCTCCATGCCTACGACGGTCTTATTGTCGAGGTCGCAAGGAGAAGAACAGTCAAGAAACAGATGGAAAGAATTGTCGCCGAGGCACATGCTCAGCTGGAGCAGATGTACGAGTCCGACAGACGGTTGAGGTTAGAATTCAAGACGGACCACGGCGAGTACTTACCAAGTGACATTTGGTGCGGCGTGAACACGTTACCTGCGAGGTATGTCATCACCAGAGCAGACGAGGAAGATGCCGTCAGCGTGCCTGAACTGCCGCGGCGGGCTGTGGAAGAAGCGCTCCGGAGATTGAAAAATGGCAACAGTGCAAGGGCGGGAAGGTGACGCTTGATGACAGGATTCGGGACAACCTCAGCCACCTACATTCGTCCGGCCTTCCTGCGGGTACTCAGAGTGAGTCTTTCTAATCTCTTTGCTCTCTCCTTCTGAATTCCATGAAACCCCGGTGAAAATGAAGATACCTCACACACTTGATATGAATCATACACACTGATCGCTCTGGCGTGATGGCCGAACTGCATCCACGCTTCTCAGCCTCACCCTCGGCCGATCGAGACAATGATATAAAAAGAGAGCACTGATTTTCCACCGACTCCACCCCATTTTCTACACTGCCTCCATCAATGGAATTGCAACTGACCTGGGTTGATTAGGACACCACTTCACCGGTCATGGACGCTCCATTGTTGTGACACTGACGTCGCTTTCTTCAACTGCCAGTCCTCAAGAAACAGACGCAATCTTTGCCTTCTGGCAGTCTACAACGGAGACGCCTCTCAAAGTGAAAGAGAGATAACACACAATTTCCGTCCAGCTCTGTCGTATCTTGGCGCCTTCAACTCTACTCCTCCCCCACAGTGACCCTCTTCTGGTCTTCCCTGTCTGCTCTAAAAATAGGGCCATACCGGAGAAAGTACAAGACGGCCCTAGCTGCTGTTATAGTAGCCAAGCCTCGCCACTGCGATCGTCTAAGATGTTAGCTTCAAGTCAGCTTGCCTACAGAATCCGCAAGAGCCGAGTGGCCAACTCACAACGGACCACGCGGCCCGTGGGGTGAGACCATATTCTGCAACCTCGAAGACGTTGGATGCACGATTGCTGGATGATTTCTGCTAACCCGAAACTTTTTTCGATTGGCGGAGTTCGAGCAGCTCGTTCGGTGATCGTGAACGTGGTTGCCAGTGCGCTCAATCGGCTTGGACAAGGCGTCGGAGAGAGGGATCTTCTCTCAAAGTCGTTATACAGCTACGAGGGGGAGTACATTCGATATCACGACTTTCTAATTCTGTCCGACTGTATTTTGTAGGAGCGGCGTCGTGGGTCTATCACTAGTAAGTGCATTGCTTCATAGACTTCCGATCCGGCCTCGATGATGCCAGGGGCAAGCAAGACAGCCCGGATAACATTTCCGGTGCATTTGGTATGTAGGCCCTCGGACAGAGACCACCAACATCTTGTGCACCTCCAAGTTAGATCTCTCTGCGTACCTAGCGTTTGTTCGTTCTTCTTCGAATGCCTAGCCTCATCCCTTCACAGTATGACGATAGTCGTGTGATCGTAGCTAGATACGCAGCAACCGTAAACAATCTCCTCACAACGTCCTTGACGCTTGTACTATACGAGAGAACAGCAGCTTCAACAGGCGGCTTGCAAGACGACGTTGGCGTTAACTCATTCCAGCCGTAAGAGGCCTCTCGTATTTGAAGATTCGTGCCTTTGAAAAGATTCTACTTGTGGTGTTGAGGCTACCGCGCGCACTCACGGCAAGCTATCTCTCACCGCTTCCGCCTCGCCGACTCCTTGACCAGCCTCTTCTTCTCGGCCTTGGGCATCTTGGTCGCCCGCTTCTCGCGCTTCTCCGCCTTGATTTTGTCCTTGTGGGCCTTTTTCTCGTCCTTGTCCTGGAACCGTTTGCCACGGGGTCGACCAGGCACCGAGGCTTCGGAGTCGTCATTCTCCCCCGCGGAGCCTGAGCCTGAGCCTGAGCCTGAGACGTCGGAGTCGTGGTCCCGTGCGGGCTCGATGCGAGCGCCTCCCTTACCCTCTCCGTCCCTGTCTTCGTCGTCATCTTGCTCCCCATCGTGGGCTTGCGATGGAGGGGGCGCATCTGTCTCTCCCTTCAGTGGCGCAAGCAGGTCCTTGTACACGAGCGCGTCGCGGCCCTGCTGGTGCAGCGTCCTTGCGTCGCGCTCGGCGTCGTACACCTCGTCCAGCGTCTGCGGGATATACTGCTTGCGGAAGACCTCGTTGTCGACTTCGTCCTCGTGCTGGTCCTGGTCTGTCCGTTGGGCCATCGACGTGTCGATCTCTCCGCGCAAGACGTCCAGTGCGCAGCTCTCAGGGCCCGAGGCCGCCGCTCGTGTGATGAACTCGTATGTCCTCCTATCAGACAGCGTGTGCACGCCTTTTCTGCTGAAGAAGTCGTTGACGTTCTTGATGTCCATGCGCAGGAAATCCAAACTGCGCGGGTGGTCGCCCTCGACGCTCTGGCTCACGTCGATAATGTAGGGCGTGTTGTCGAAGTACAGCATGTTGTACTCGCTCAGGTCGGCGTGCACGAGCTTACACACCTGCAGCATGACGCGCATGTAGGCCAGGACGTCGATGTAGACGGCCCGCCACTTTGCAACCCCGTCCTCGAACTCGACGTCCTTGAGCCGCGGCGCCGCTTTGCCCTTTTTGCCGTTCCCAACGAAGCTCATCCCAAGCACATGCCTCCTCAGGTAGAGTGGTTCAGGACACGGGATCCCCGCGGCGTGGATGCGTTTCAGATTCCGCATCTCCTTTTCCGCCCACAGCTTGACCATGGCTCTGTTGTCGCCAGTACGAAACCCCTTGCGGAAGCGGAACTCGCCCGTCACGTACTTTTCGCGGTCCTTGAAGACCAGGATCGACGTCTTGTAGACTTTGATGGCGACGTGCGTGTCTTCCTGCGCGGCGTCCTCGGGGATCGAGACCGCATGATACACATTGGCTTCCTTGCCCGTCGAGATCGTGCCGTAAATCTCCGACACGATGCCCTTCTGGATCATTTGGAAGAGAATCAGCCGCGTCTTCGGGTCGAGGACTTGCTCGGCCGTCGCGCGCTCGCTCTTGTCGCGATCGCGGCGGCCGCCGCCGCCCTGTCCTCCCCCGGTGGCCCCAGACAGGAGATCGTCTTCGGTAAGTTTCATGTTTTTGACGTGATGGCGGAGGTCGAGCTGGTCCTGCTTCGAAGACCTCTGCTGCGGGTTTGTCTTGGGATACTGCCATGACGGGACGTTGGGGTTGGAAGTGGCGTCGTCGAGGCGGCGGAGGCGGTTGTATGATTTTGTCAGGTCTCCGGGGTTGGATGTTGCGAGGTCTTCCGGGTCGAGGAGATCCTCGCGGGGTATGTCTTGGTGGGGGTCTACATCTCCGTCGCCGTCGCCGCCGTCGCCGTTGTCGTTCTCATCATTCTCATCGTCCCCGTCTTCGTCGTCTTGGATGAATTGCCCGAGGGTTATTCTCCGGCGGGGTGGCGCTACATCGTCATGCACGTAGCCTTGATTGGGGATGTAAGTGTGCAGCGGGGCGAGGCCGTCGGCGATTCCTCTGGCTGGTGGAGTCGACATACTGTAGTTCGTGTTATTTGACTTTGATTATTGTGCCGTGTCCGGATACCCGTAATAGAGGGACTATGGCAAGCCAGGCATGGATCGGTTCAAAAGGTGAATGAGGGATCGATTCAATCATTTTGTGACCATCGCCACGAAAATTAAAGTGGGTCTCATGCAAGTCATCCTCAACGTCATTTGCACAAGTGATGCTTAGGTAAGCTACGGTGGACCACTGATGCCAGCCAGATGCCACTGCTTCAATATCCGAACTCGTCCTTGCCAGTGCCTTGTTCATGCTCACCATGCTCACACCGACACCCATGCTCATCTGTGGCTTCCATCGCAGTGACTCAATCACGCTCCGGCGAACGGCTGCTCTTCCTTGGCGGGAGGAATGAACCACTTGGTCTCTGCGTCAACCACCAACTTGACGCGGTGAAGATCGTTCTTGACGATCTTCTGCTGCTCCTCTTCGTACGATTCCACCTTTCTCGAGCAATCAACATACCTGCCAGAGAGGAAGTCCATCTTTCCACTCGAAAGCATTACCACATACCCTGCCGGCATCTGCGGCGTGTCCCACGTAACGTCCTTAAAGAAACCGACCGCCGTGTTCGCCGACTTCTCCTCACCGGGGATCGATTTGGAAACATAGCTGTTGTCCTTGATATTGCCCTCTGCCGCGTCCTTGAAGTCGTGGAAGAACCGAGTCGGTATGGCGCCCGGATGAATGGCGAACGTCTTGATGTTTGCGTCCTTGTTCTCGTGGTGCAGAATCTCAGCCAGTCGTACCAGGCCCAGCTTTCCCAGCGCGTAGCTGCCCATGCCATTGCTCACGTGCGCGCCGGCGCTCGAGGTGAACACGATGCTCCCGCCCTTCTCCCTCCGCATGATCGGAAGCACGGCTCGAGCGAAGTTGAACCCTCCTTGCAGCGACACGGCCAGGGTATCCCACCAAATGCCGGGGTCGGATTCCCAGGTCGCGAGCCACTGCGGCGGTCGACCTGCGTTGGCGAAGACCACGTCAATCTTGCCGAATTCTTTGTCCACCTCGTTGATGAATTGCTCCGTCTTCGCATAGTCCTTGACATCGAATGCCGCGGTCTTGGTCTGCAGATCGGGGTTGATTCTCTTGCATATACTGGCCGTTTCGTCGACCTCGTTCAGTTCCAGGGCCATCAGACTGATTGATTTGATGTTCGTATGTGCGAAGAATTCGGCCGTGGCTCTTCCAATACCCCGTCCGGCACCGGCAATCACGACATTCTTGTCCTTGAAGGCAGCGGCCAATTCTTTGTTCGTCCGCGGGTCGGTTGCAGGTTGGCTGTCGTGTTGATCCCCGAGGAATCTCTCGACCATTGGGTCAGGATTCTTTTCACCCATGATTTCTGAGATCTGAGTCTGAGCTTGGGGTTTGAGTCTGAGGTCTGACGGTTTAAGTAAGAGGCCTGGCGTCTAATTTTCAAGTTTGCTGTCTTAAACCTGGTATCTCTCGACGATCAATGGTCAAGTCTGGGCTTCAGCACTGTGCGAGTCCTGATGTCTGCTGTCTAATCCTTGCTTACTGGTACAACACTATGGGCCCTCAGCACTGTTTGACCACTACTGGACGTCAGTCGAGAAACAGCATTTTCATATGGATGTCTGGCCGTCCCCCACATGTTCGAACCCTGCCGCCATTACCGAGTGGAGTAGGTGCATTTGCCGTTTCCCATCTGGTCAGGTCGGCTGTGGGCCTCGTCAATAATCGGTTACTGTTGAATGTGTGGGGAAGGAGTTTGTGGGGTTTTGGAGAACGACGGCGAGGATCTGTACGAGGACCGAGTACAGATACTTGGTGGGTTCGTCGGCGAACGAGCTGCGTCAATCTCGCCTATCACGTCTTTGCATATTTATACAAGATGGGCTCGATAAGTCCTGCAAAGTCAGAACACCACCGTGTCATCATCGTCGGTGCCGGCCCTGTCGGCCTGACCACGGCCACCAATCTTGCACGGCTGGGTGTCCCAGTGCTCGTACTCGAGAGAAACCACCAAGTCGACCAGTCTCCTCGCGCTGCTTCGTACCAACCATGTGCGCAAGCCGAGCTGCTCGAGACAGGGACGCTGGACGATGTCAAGAAGGAATCTGTAATCAATGACGTTGTTTCTTTCTGGATCAAAAGCAAGAAGGTCGCCTACGTGGAGAAGAAGGAAGGAGGCAGCTTGTTCCCTTCTGGCATCAATTGTCCGCAGCCTAGACTGGCAGCGATCCTTCTCCGGCACCTGACGACGAAATATAACTCGCAAGTCCGCTTCAACCAGAAGGTCGTTGAGATCTCGCAGGACGAGAAGCAGACTACAGTCTCCTTGGTGGCCGTGGATCCGACCACGGGTGAAGAAACGCAATACACCTGCGACTGGCTGGTGGGTTGCGATGGCGCCGGCTCCTCTGTGCGCAAACTCTCCAACATTCCGTTCGAGGGCTTCTCCTGGCCAAAAGAGGACTTTGTCGCCACGAACATCCGCTTCGACTTTTTCAAACACGGCTTCAACACCGCGAATATCGTCATGGATCCCGTCCATTGGGCGGTCGTGACCATCCTGGACGACACGGGTCTCTGGCGCGTGGCTTTCGGAATCCGGGCCGGCTTGACGAACGAGGAGATCAGGGCAGAGCTGGACGAGCATTACAAGCACATCTTCCCCGTGTGGCCGGCCGAGTACGAGCTGGTCCAGCTGAACAAGTACAAGCCGCACCAAAGGTGTGCCAAGACATTCAGGCAGGGAAGGATACTCCTAGCCGGGGATGCTGCGCATGTGAGTGAGCCCTGCAGTATTCAGCCTGCCTTTAGACTAGCTGACATCGGCAGAGTAATAACCCCATCGGCGGTCTGGGATTGACAACAGGTCTCCTCGACGCGGGACCCCTCGGCCGCGCCCTCGCCGCCGTCATCAACGGCAAGGCCCCTGACACGCTGCTCGACACGTGGGCCCAGCGCCGGCGCGAGAAATGGCTCACTTTCACCAACGAGTTCTCGATCGAGAATAAGCGTATGGCGCAGCTGGGCGGATACAGCGACGACCCGCTGGGAATCTGGGTGATTGATGATGTGGCCAAGGAGCACAAGATGGAGCAATGGCTCGCGATGGCGACGCCGGAGAAGAAGGAAGCTGACGCTAGGATGGTGAGTGCTTGCTTGAACTTCACATTGACTTAGCTTTCGCATCAACCCCTTCACTTCATTCACTTCACCTCACCGTTCCTGCCACTTCTCTGTTCCAGTTCTTGTTTAAAACGTCGACGTGCCCTAACACTCCGCAGTATAAAGCGCTTGAAGACCCGCAGGCCCAGCTTATCAGTCGGATGAAACAGTGGGAGATCACAATGGATCCGATGTGGATGGCAGAGTACGAAGATCCGGAACTAGTCAAGTATAGGATCAGTCTGAGACCGGCAGTGTTGAGCGCGCCGGAGGCGGCGACGGCAGCAACGTGATGTGTTAGACTGAACAGACGCGATTTTAGAATCATTATTAAAATCCGAACGGTACTGGGAAACGTACGGTAGAGCGTCCAATTGTACCCTGCTTGGGTCCTTCTTTGGTCTCTAAGGCTCTAGCAACCCCTTTTTGAGTGTTGTCGCCGGCTTCTCGGCTTCCACGTAGCGAATGCTTTCCCTGGTCTGCCGAAAGTGCACCGTGCCATACCTGAACAGCTCGGCGAAAGTCCCTGGCTCGTGGTCCTTGTCTTCATTTCCGCGTTCCTCCCACAACACGCCTGCAGCAGGAGTATGCGTCAGATTCTTGCCGTGCGTGATCTTCTGCAGTGTCGACTCGCTCAACAGCCTCCACACGAGCTTGTATGCCGTCTGGTATTCGTCCGAGTCCTTCGGCGCGTCGAGCCTCGTGGCCAGCGCGTTGAAGAGCACCCGCCCGCCGAATCCGATGGTCGCTTCCGCGGCCCAGTTTTCCTGCAGGGAGTCATAGACGAGGACCTTGTTCAACCAGTATCCCGTTGCGTTGAAGCCGTCTCCCGCATCCTCGAGCATGCAGAGTCGCTGCCACGAGAGCACCTGGCTGATGTACTCCATCACAGTCTGTGGCGCGACCTTGAAGTCCCATTTGAAGTTCGCCTGTTGGGACTCTTCGAAGGTAAGAGTCAGGGCGAAGGCGAGCAACGGGTGGTAGATCAGGCCGTCGTGGTTCTGGCGGTCTTTCCACAGGTGGACGAAGAGCTCGTGCCTGGGGAGTCATTGTCAGCCTGGGGCAGCTCCCCCTGGATTCTAATCCGAGGTCTACTCACCAGCGTTTGATGAATGGGTCACCTTTGCGGCTTGCGACGAAGTGATTGGCCATGACCGTCGCGTACATGATAGGTACGCATACCTCGTACGGTGAACCTGGATCAACGAGCTGGTTCCAACACACGCGGTCGAGGTCGCGAATCAGCATGTTTCCAGTGTCCATGTAGACGCCGCCGTGCGAGTACAGACAGGCTCCGCGCAGGAAGTCCGAGCTGTGGGGTCCAGTGTATACTCCCGTCATGGTTCCCTTGACGAATGCTTCTGGGAGGAGGTCGGCGGAGATGTATTTCAGGGCGTTTGTGGGTGATCCCGGGACAGCGTCGAGGATACGGACCGTCCACGTGGGCCCACAGATTCTGACCCAGTCGGCGACGTTGCGTTGGCACCAGGCCGGCATGTTTCGAACTCCCTTGTCCCAGAAGGCCCAGATGTTCTTTTCAGATGTGATGGGTGTGTACTGCTCCAATGAAGCCAGAATATCTTCATTGGTGCGCTTGTCCTCTGGTTCGATATGGACGAGTTGGGCCTGAAATTCTGGGGGGATGCTGAACTTGGGAGTGGACGCCATTGCTGGATGCTTGGACATGCTGCTCCTCTGAACTGTTCCAAGGTGAACTGCTTTGCGAAAAAGTACACGAAAGCTCAATGCTGATTTTGGGGGATTATATAGACGTCGGCCCCATCTCTACTGAGAGCGGCCTGAACAAGGTACCTTGGCAGGTCACTAGGAAAATCCTGTGGGTTCGTCCCAAGCACCTTCACTAGGGGGCCTGATCGCCTAAGCAAGCAAAAGACCAGAAGCGAGCATCATTGTCAGCTGCAGGTTCAAGTTAGTCATAAAACGCAGCAAGACGGCATAGTGCTGGAGAGCAAAGGTAGGAGGACTAGGTCGTTCGTTATCGGATGGCGGTACATTCCATGTTAGTGTCATCCAGTGGAGCTTTGTACGCGCCATAGAGACCACCAAAGCAGACTCCATGCGTGACTCGTTCGTTAGTTGAGGTTGAATGTTACCTTCGCCGCAGCTGACACAGGAGAAGCCGAGCACGCTGAGCTCAATTGTGCACGCGACGAAGCAACTCTAACTTTGTGGCGGTCTAGTTTACGTTGGATGATCCGAAGGCCACTTGGATCGCGTCATGAATGGCGTAGTTACCATTCCGACAGGCGTTTATGTCCGTGTTGCTGATCGCGCAGATGGGAGACGTCTGTGACTTTACAGATTGGGGATTCAAGTCGCCTGGGCTTTCTCGATAGTCATCAGGGTCGGTTCGTTATGGTGCTTTGGTACGGAGGATCCTGGCCTCAAAACAATGATCTACTCCGACCACATCAAGGCTGTTACGCCTTGCGACAGGCTTGGCAACGGCCCGTTTAATTAGTCGTCGTAAAGTCAATTGAGGGAATGTCAAGGATAAAATATCGAGAGCTTCGACTTTGAGAACCACAAAGTTCCATCAAGCCCTTCGAATCTAGAGCGCAGCAAATCACCCGTGAAAGTCGCCAGTCGCCCTTCGCCCGTAAATGGCCCTATCGCCTCTCGTTCTCCGCGTCCTCACGGCGCCAGAGCTGTGGAGCGATGCCGTCCTCGTCCCAACCTGCACGCTGATCAACGAATCCTACAAGGGGCGCGAATCCGAGGGTCTCCTGGACCGGTATCCCAGTGCGGAAGACTTTGCGCGCGACCTCGACACAGACGGCCTGTGCGCGGTGATCCAGGACAGCCGGCACGAGAACCGCCCCGTCGCCGTGGTGGTGGCGAAGCGGTGGAAAGGGCGACGGAAGGACGTCGACGACGACGACGACCGCGCCACTGCCCCCGATGCCGGGACGCGAGATTGGGAGATCGGCCCCGCCGCGTCGCGCAGCTTGCCTGAATATCGCGGCCGCGGGCTCGTCGAGCGGTGCTTGCAGGGTCTATCGGCACGGCTGCTCGCGCAGGTCACGGAGGGGCCAGTTCGGCTGTGGGTCAAGGTGGTGGAGGAATTCTACGCGGCGTACTGGGCGCGCAAGGGCTTTGTGCAGTGCGGAGCCAGCTACGTGATCCCCGTGGGACAGTGGCATCGCGATCGAGCTTACACGTTGGTGGATATGGTGAAGGAGATATCGAGGAGCGCTGATGGTGCAGGTAACGCTGGCTCGCGCCTAGAGAAGACTGGGGGTGGCATCATAGAGCCCAGCGCTTCAGAACTGGCGAGGTGAAGCACATAGGGGAAGACGGACGCCAATTTCCGCGCTCTGGACTCTCAAGGGCCAAAACCGGCGGCGCCTACCGCTATATTCGGAGGGAATTACCCTTGCAACTTGCGTTGAACGGTAATCGGAGTCAAGATAGCGTCATCATCACTGGACGCTAAGCGTGCATTCTCTGGGCAAGAAGTGGTCAGGTTGCAGAAGTTCCAGTGGTGGATGAGCGGTAGGTGAGTGGTTAAGAATTATTTGCTGGGTCATTGAATAGCGTACAGTTACTGTATCGGGTATAGCTCACCACATGGGGCAGTTTACATAATCCTGGGGTGCTCCATCGCCATCGCGCTGCGCGTTGATGGGTCTCGCGTCCTGCGGGCGACTGCTGTGCTCTCGTGGCTCTCCCACTTCTCCTCCGCTTTCCTCGACATTGGTTTGACGCGCCCTAAGCTCCCCTAGGGTCAAGATGCATATCAAACAGATCACGATCCAAGGCTTTAAGAGGTGCGTGTCGGAGGCGCGCAATGAGTGAGCGTGGGTTCTAATATGCGACGCAGTTACAAGAATCAAACAGTGGTCAACCCGTTCTCGCCCAAACTCAATGTCATTGTCGGTCGCAATGGCTCAGGCAAGAGCAACTTCTTCGCCGCGATCCGCTTCGTCCTCAGTGATGCCTACTCTCAGATGGGTCGAGAAGAGCGCCAGGCCCTCATCCACGAAGGTTCCGGCTCCGCGGTCATGTCGGCCTACGTCGAGATCGTTTTCGACAACTCAGATGGCCGTTTCCCCACGGGTAACGACGAGTTGATCCTACGCCGCACCATTGGCCTCAAGAAAGACGAATACTCTCTCGATCGCAAGAACGCAACCAAACAAGATGTGATGCAGCTACTGGAGAATGCGGGCTTTTCGCGCGCAAATCCCTACTACATCGTGCCTCAGGGTCGCATCACACGATTGACCAATATGAAAGATTCGGAACGTCTGGATGTCCTGAAGAGCGTCGCTGGCACACAACAGTTTGTCGCAAAGAAGGAAGAGTCCCAGAAGATCATGGTTGACACGAACAACAAGATGGCCGCAATTGACCAGACCTTTGACCAGATCAATGAACGTTTACAGGAGCTCGAGGATGAGCAGAAGGAGCTGCGAGAGTTCCAAGATGCCGATCGCCAGAAACGCGCCCTGGAATACACCCTCTTCCATCGGGAGCAGGATGAGATCAATAGAGCCCTGGCGGAATTAGAGGAAAAGCGCGTCGGAGGCATAGATGACGCAGACGAGAATCGCGACCGTTATGCCCAAGGAGAGGATGAGTTGGCCAAGATAACCCACCAGATCCAACAGCTCAACCAGCAAGTCCAGACGGCGCGCCTTCAGAAGCGACAACTCGAGGAAGAAAAGCGCGAAAAGGCCAAAGCAAGAGCTCAAGTCGAATTGGAGGAGCGAAATCTCGTCCATGGACAGGCGGCGGCGCAGCGAACCAAGGAGACCCGTGATAAAGAGCTACAGCAAGTGCGGAGCCAGATAGAAGAAATTGAGGAAGAGCTTCGTACCATCGTACCACAGTTTAATGCCGAGCGCACAAAGGAACAAGCGGTTAAAACACGACTGGAGGAAGCAGTTGCGATACAGCAGCGGCTATATGACAAGCAAGGACGAAGCGCCCGGTTCAAGACTAAGAAGGATCGGGACGCCTGGCTGCAAGCACAAATAGACGACACCTTCCAGTCACTATCTCGGTTCAAAGCCACTCGTATGCAGACCGCCGAGGGTATCGCCGAGGATCAGAAGGCTATTGCTGCTCTTGAGAAGGAGATCGAAAGTCTTCAGCAACGACTCGGGAGCCAGGATGATTCCACCGACCGACAAATTCAAGCAGCTCATGAGAAGAAGGAAGCGCTCATGGACGAGCGGAAGATGCTATGGCGCAGAGAGGCCCAGCTCGATTCAGAATATGCCAGTGTCCAGGACGATCTACGAAAAGCCGAGCGAAATTTGTCGCATATGATGGACGGCAATACCAGTCGTGGTCTGGATGCCGTGCGGCGAATCAAGGAGCAGTACAAGCTTGACGGGTGCTACGGTACGCTTGCCGAGCTGATTGATGTCCCTATGCATCACACCGCTGTAGAGGTCACGGCTGGCAACTCCCTTTTCCACTATGTCGTCGACAACGATGACACGGCCACGAAAGTGATGGAGATTCTGAACACAGAACGAGCCGGTCGTATCACTTTCATGCCGCTCAATCGACTGAAGCCAAAGACGGCGAATATTCCCAATGCACAAGATGCGAGACCACTCATGTCACTCATCAAGTACGACCCGATGTACGAAAAGGCCGTTCAGCAAGTCTTCGGAAAGGCCATCATTGCTCAGAACCTCAGCATTGCGGCGCAGTACGCTAGGACACATGGCCTGACAGCTGTGACACCCGAAGGCGATCGATCCGACAAGAAGGGAGCTCTGACCGGTGGCTACCACGACGTCCGCTCGTCAAGGCTCAAGGCCACGAAAGCGGTTATGGCTGCTCGCGAGAAATTCGAGGCTGTCAGGACCGAGGGCAGGGAGAACAAGCGGAAGATAGAGAAGATCGACCAGACCATCACAATGGCTATGGGCGTAGCCCAAGTGCTCGAGCAACAAAAGAACAAATCACAAGGGAATCAGAGGCTGCTGAGGCAGGAGATCCGCAATAAGACGGAAATGCTACAGCGGAAGAGGGATGACCTTGAGGCCAAGCAGAAGCAGGAAGCAGCCATTGCCGCGCAGGTCAAGATTTTGACTGACAAGCAGAGTGCTGATCAAGCGGAGCTGAATACAGACTTTAAGAAAGCACTGTCACCAGCTGAAGAGAAGCAGCTTGAGAAGCTCACTGCAGACATCCAAAAGCTGAGGCGCGAGTACAATGATGTATCCGCTTCGAGGGCAGAGATCGAGACCAGAAAGGCGGATTTGGAGGTCCGACTCAACTCGAGCCTGAAACCACAACTTGCGGCTCTCGAAGGCGATGACATGGACGCAGAGGGCGAGGGGGGTGGTACTCTGCGCTCCAAGAGGGCGGAGCTGGCACGTCTGACCAAAGAGCTGGATTCCGTGCAGAAAGACCTGGACGAACTTGAAGATCGGCTGGAAAGTTCGGCAGCCCAGATTGCTCAGCTTGAGAACCAAGCAGCTGAGACGAGACGACACCAAGAGGAACTCGCCAAGGCCATTGAGCGACATCAGCGGCGCCTGGAAAAGTCGGTCCAGAAGAAGGCTGCTCTTCTTGCCTCGAAGCAGGAGTGTGCCGAGAACATCCGAGAATTGGGTGCCATCACCGAGGATCTGCGAAAGAGATACCAGACCACCAGCTCCGAGGCCATCGTGAAGAAGCTGCAAAAGGCGAAGGAGTCGCTGAAGAAGTATAGCCAGGTCAACAAGCATGCCTTTGAACACTACCGCAAATCCATGAAGCAGCGCGAGGAGCTGGAAAGCCGGAGAACGGAGCTCGAGGCGGCGAAGAAATCAATCGAGAATCTCATCAAGGTGCTCGACCAGAGAAAGGACGAAGCCATCGAGCGCACCTTCAAGCAAGTCAGCAAAGCGTTTGCCGAGGTCTTCCAGAAGCTGGTGCCAGCCGGTCGTGGCCGCCTGGTCATCCAGAGGAAGACCGACAAGGGACACGCACGAGACGAGGACGAAGAGTCAGACGCCGAACCTGTCAACAAGCGCGGCGTCGAAAACTACACCGGCGTGGGCATCAGCGTCAGCTTCAACAGCAAGCATGACGACCAGCAGCGCATCCAACAGCTCAGCGGCGGGCAAAAGAGTGAGTCGCCGTCCCATGTGGAGGCCTCGTGATCTCAGCTAACACATACCCCACCAGGTCTTTGCAGTCTCGCCCTCATCTTCGCCATCCAGGCGACAGATCCGGCCCCGTTCTACATCTTCGACGAGATCGACGCCAATCTCGACGCGCAGTACCGCACGGCTGTCGCTGATCACCTGCTGTACCTGGCCAACCGGGCGGACCTGGAGCCTGAAGACGGCGACGGACGACCGGTGGGTGGCCAGTTCATCTGTACCACTTTCCGGCCGGAAATGCTGCGGGTCGCGGACATGTGCTTTGGCGTGCGGTTCGGGAACAACGTCAGTAGTATCAGGCAGGAGACGAAGGAGAATGCGCTGGATTTCATCGAGAGCCAGACTCAATGATTTGCGGTTTGGGGCGGAGGCTATTGCTGTGTACATGTACGAAATGGTAGGATGACTTCTCGAATGTTGCAGGGACGCACAGGGTTTACGAAGGGCCTGAGTGAGTTACATAATGAGTGAATCAATGGCCGGATGCGCCGAGTCGATTGAAGGACGCGCGATGACATTCCACGCGGAGCTGAGCTGAGCTGAGTTAGCCAGAGCAGAGCAGAGCAGAGCAGAGAGCTGAAAGTTCGAAACCTTGATCACCTCAAAAGAGAGGTTTACCTCGTCCTCGTCCTCGTGATCTTGATCTTGATCTGGATCTTGCTCTTGCTCTTGTACATTCCTTCCGTTTTGCGGATCCTTGCCTGAGGCCGATTCTAGCGATTCCGAACAGGCGGTCCTTTTCCCATGACTTACTAATATGCGAAATGAACAGGGCCGTTAAATCAGGAGCCCAGTAAGTGCAAGTGCCTAGCTTTCCCGCATAGACTGCCATAAATCCCGCGCGTACGAGAGAATAGAACGTAGAACTAGAGAACAGAGCTTTTAGCGACGATTCCATTCCCACCAAGAGAAGTGACGTAGCGTGACAGAACCGATCATCGCCCAGCCCATCTAATTACCTTGTCTGCTTCTCTTCAAGGGCCCATGCATGCATGACAAGGACTTGAATTTGGGTAGTACGAGGTGCCTCGCGCCAGGGCAGTCTTGGTGTGATATGTGGTATTAGAGTACAGGCATGAGGGCCGAGCGGGCGGGCCTCATGAATCTGGCGAAATCAACAACGAACCCTGGGAGAGGCTTCGGTGACCCAACCCAGTGAGTGCCAATCCTCCCCTATAATACAGGATCAGACGCGGCCTATTTGGTTCTTCGATCCTCGCTGTCTTCCGCGCATTGATGGTCCTGCTTTCACGTGTACCGTCCGTAATAGTCGTTGGGGTGTTCGTTCATCCCGCTCATGCCATGAATGCCATTCATGCCGTGCATACCGCCAGGGGCACCGCCTCCGCCTGGAAACCCGCCTCCGCCTCCCGCTCCTCCTCCTCTGCCCATACCAACTCCCGAATACCCACCAAAAGGCTGCTCGGTCATTCCATTCCCAGTCACACCTGCGGGGCCAAGCGCCGTCATGTCTCTGAGGATCTCTTTACCCTTCCAGCTCAGATAGACCGTCTCGTGCACCTGCACGAACGCACCACTGCCGAGCGGATCCTCGTCATAGTCATATTCCTTCTGGATCGTGAATTCCGTGTGCGTGCGGCGTTCGATGCGACGCACCACGAAGCAGGCACCGAGCCACCACAGCGCGGCAAGCCCCAGCACCGCCCAGCCGACAGTCGGGACGACGAACCAGGCGAGGGCCGTCCGTGCGGGGAGGACGGTGTTCGAAACTGGCAGCGCCGAGGTGGTCGTGTCCACTGTGTCCGCCGACGAGGAGAGCGGCTGTTCCGGCTTGACCCAGTATGTGATGATCGGGAAGAGGTTACCGATCAGATAGATGGTCGCGGCGCCGACGCTGAGCCACGGGTGGATGTTGGGGGTCTTCTGGCGCCAGTTGCGAGATTTGCTGAATCGGAGGTACAGGATCCCCGCGGCGAGGAGGCTTCCGAAGCAGGCGTTCACGACGTAGGCGGCGATCCCGGTCAAAAGAAGGTATGCGGTTTGAGGGGTCGCGCCGTAGGTGGCGAACAAGAGGATGATGCAGGTGAGCAGGTGGAGCACCAGCGCGCCGACGGGCGTGCGTTCCGAGTGATGCTCGGGCGCTAGCCAGCGGAGACGCAGGATGGATCCGAACAGCTTGCTGATGGTCTCGTTGCGTTGCGCCCACCGGAGGAGGCGGCCGAAGGAGAGATCCTTGTTCTGGCCGAAGAACCTGGGCCACGGCAGGAGGCCCTCCTTGGCGATCTCCTGCTTGACGCGCGCGGCGGTGTACGTCATGACGATGATGTTTCCCAGGCTGGAAATGGCGAGGAAGGCGCTGAAGATCCGAGCGCCGGTGTGGTCGTCCGGCGACAGGGCGCCGTAGGTCAGTTGGAAGAAGGATTCGGCCACGCTTGCGCCTTGCTGGAGCTGGATCTCTTTCGGCACTACCACCATCTACGAAGGGAACGACTCAGCTTGGTTTTGAAGTGGAAAGCACTGGGTGGGAACACTCACGTAACTGACGTTGACGGCCATGTAGAGCACACACACGATAGTCACGGACGCGGCCATGGCGATGGGGTAGGTCCGATGAGGCCGACTGATCTCGCCGAGCACGTAGTTGGGCTGCTCGAAGCCGCCGAACGCAAAGATGATGGCGAGAAACGCTTGAGCATACCCGTTGGCACTGGATGACGATTGGCTGAATGCGTGGGCTGGGGAGAGGTTCTGCGACAAGGTCTCATCGCGGTCGATGTTGCTGTCAGGGATGTCTGGGAATGTGCCCTGGCCGTAGCAGATGGCAGTCACGATGATGAAGAGCATCATGCAGATCTTGATCAAGGCAAAGACACTGCTGAGCAGGATGCCACCCTTCCGTGAGAACGTGTGGATGAACCCGGCGACCACGGACACGGCCACGGCAATGCCTCGAACCGCCCCGTTCGTGACTTCGGTGTTGGACGCTTCCAGGACGCGTACGCCGAAACTGATGGCGTTTCCGGCCATGTTGCCCAGGATGATGAACGAGATGCCGAAGAGGGAGGCGATGAACATGAGAGTGTCCGGTCGATACGTCGGCTTCTGGTAAACATATTTCAACTGCGAAGCGTCCGTCAGTCCTTTGCGCGGTCTTTTCTAGCGGAGAATGAGAAAGCGTGGTGCGTACATAGTTCAGATCGCCGCCAGATCGAGGTACTCCTCGCTCGGTGGTCTCTATTGTCCGGCGCGGGACATTGAGGCCATATTCGATGTATACGTGCACTCCCGAGAATGCATATACCACACCGGCAAACCAGAACATCAATGTCGCTCCTGTGCTTCCGGTGCCTTGGACCACCCTGGCCGGCGTCATAAAGATACCGGTCCCTTTGAGACTGTCAGTCCGCTGTTCATCGCGCAATGAAGGCGACCAGTGCACTCCGTACCTATCATCCGATTAATCACCAGGCCCATGACCGCGAGATAGCCGAGTTTGAAGCGATTCTGCGGCGCCCGCGTGACAATCCTGTTGGGGTCCTCATTCTCAGAGAACAGACTCTCGTCGTCACTCCAGCCGCTGTGTTGAGAGGCACGTCGCTGTAGAGAGCCGTCCATGACAATGGACTCGAGGCATAGGACTTCGGAGTGAAGGACGCGACAGCCTTTTCGCACGCCTGCGAGAGGTGGATGCGGCCATTATTTGAGGCTTGGTGACACGACCTGGCGTACCCCTCCGTCAAGCCGTGAGGCTGACTCGATTTTGGCCAGGAGGGTTGCCAAGTGCACGTCGTCTCGAGCCCAAGACCACTAGGTGAAGCCTTTTCCAGAACGGGTGAGTGTGTTTGCCTTGCAGCGACATGAAGCTGTGACTGGCTCTTCTGCCGTACAGCCGCAGCCCAGGACGCGGCCGTTGCCTTGTTGAAAGTCGCCCAGAAGCAGCGCCGGCTTAATAGTGCGTCCCTTGCGTCTCTTGTGTAACAACTCCGCCACCGCCCGACACCATGGCGGCTTGTCACCTTCAGACCGGCTGTGGCCAGCTCACCGGTTGCTTGGTAGAATGCTTGGACGGGTGGGGTAAAGGCGTCTTGTCACCTACTTGTAGAACCCATGTGAAACCAAGCGACCCTCCAAGCGACAACTTGGCGAACCATCCCAAGCGAACTGCCCAGCGCGGTCGATCCACTCGAGCCTTATCACGAGTCTCGACGCCGTCAAAGCAGATAAACGACGTAAATTGTCAACCTCGCCATGTGCTGGGAAGCCGGAGAAAATCGAAGTCGTCCTCAACTTCTCCAGCCGACGGATTGACGCCGTCTCTGAGCTCTGCGTGGGCGGCCCCGGCTCTTGCGTAGCTTCTGCACAGGGGATGGCCGGCCTTTTTCAGTTGGGCGACATCATCCAGATCAGTAGGGCTGCTTGGGAACTGTACAAGTTCGGCTGGGATGACAATCTGAACGCCGGTGAGTGTAGCCATGGCTTAATTACCTCTGATCGCCACTGACTGCCATGCAGCGACCCAATTCGGACGATTCGGTCAGGATGTGAAAGGGCTCGCTGAGAGCCTCGATGGCCTCCGTCGCATGATAACCAGTGCTTACGAACAGGTGCGTGGTAGCCTAGGCTCTCACCGGGCTCCGCGCTGGAACTTCGCCTCGTTGAACGAGATCATCGGCGACTACCAACGCACCATTCATGAATGTCGAAGGCTCGTCGAGTCGAACCGTCAGTATGGACAAGCGGTCGGTCCATGGCGTAATATCGAGTGGAACATCTTGATCCAACCCCAGGCGGCGGCGCTCCAGCAGCGAATTCTGCACCACAATTCCAAGATCCTCATCATTATTAAGCCCCTGGAGATTGACCTGCTGAGTCAAATCATCTCCAGGCTGGACGACGTCCATGGTCAGGTCCAACGAGTCATCGGCATCCTGACTTCAGACATTCCGCAAGCTGTTCGGCAACAGGAGCAGCAACTCTCCCACACGCTCGACTGTCCTCCAGACATTGCGGCCAGATTCCAAAGCGCCGCTGGATTGGGACCCGCCACTCAACGGAGCGATCCGAGTCGACCCCTGTCAGACCTCACCGAAGCATTTCTTCTGCACCTCAGACAGTCGACCATCAACTTTCTACCAGAGGCGACGTTGGAAGCTCGAATCGCCCCGGGAAAAGAATACATCAATCTCTTGAAATGTGTTTGGCTCATGGCCCAGATTGAACAACATCCGGATCTCCTTTCAGCAAACGACGATTCACATTGGCCCTCGTACGTCAAGGGATTGAAAGCTGTAAGTAGCACCTTCCGCGTTATGGACACCCGGTGACTCTTTGTGGCAGGAACTCTCCCGAGAGTGCTGGAGGTTCGATGCGAGGAGTCCCGAACAGGTCCTTCCCCCGGACCTAAGGTCACTAAACAACATTGACTTCTCTATCTGGCCTGTAAAGGCGCCAGAGCCAATTCTTCCCCCAATCGTCCAGCTCCCTGCGGCGATGATGGACGAGCTTCTCAATGTGTAGGTGACAATATTGTATGTGGTGTGCACCTACTCACCTTACTGACAAGTCCTTCCAAAGAACAATGGCATCTCCTAGACCGTCGCTCGTCCACCACTTTCGTCTTCTTCGCGGCGTCAATGGTAAAATGAGTGCCGTGATTTCAGCGGTTGACTACGAGAACGAAGAGGAGAGGAGAGACAGTATGCACCTTTCGAGACCGTCGTTCGTCCGCTACAACTGACCGTTGAGATGCCTAGGTCGGACGTTGGATTTCAACATTGAGAGTGCCGGACTTATTCCTTTATACGCCGTCTCGTTTGACCAAGGACCCCTCAGCGTCATCTTGAAGACGGAGTCAGTCATGGCAGAGTTGGCCTTCAGACACGTGGACGAGCTCTTGCGATTTCAGCGAGCTCTGACGGGATATAAAGTCTATCAAGACTATACACAGTGAGTCAAACCAATAAGCAGACGCTTCCTGCAATGGAGTCTGGGGCTAAAACCACACAGGCCAAGCGTAGTGCTAGAGCTAATCATGTCAGATCGCAAAGAGCCTGGAGTCCACACCGCTCATGTTCAATTGTGGATTGCAAAGGAACTGGATGGCCGAGTTAGCACTGGACCAGGATCTGACAGCGAGCTCGATTCTAGTTCACGCCGAGCATCGATTGTCTCAACGCGATGCTCTCCGACCATCCCCTCTCCTGGCGGCGAAAGTAACTTCAATGTTCGGTCGATGCCTCCGAATGCTGACCCGCTAATCAACCGACTCAGCCACTTCAACATAGGACACCGGCAGGCCTGGCACAACGGGGTTCCTTCATGCAATGGTGTATCCCCAGGACGTGGTCTTCCGCGACCATTCCCAAACCACGCCCCTCTCTCACCCCAGCGCGTCAATAGAGCCGTTTCCATGGCATCAATCCAGACCGCGACCTCGGCCTCGATGACGAGGGAGTCACACTCGATATTCTCCACCCAGTCGAAAGACTCACGATCCACCAGCACAAAGTCACGCAAGCTTGCCAGCCCAGACTTAGGCACAGGCCGCGGATACGTCTATCAGAAACCCATGGAGCCATTGTTGGTGTTGCTGCTGAAATCGACGACCGACCCAACGGCCCAAGTCGGACTCGCAAACAGCACCAAGAACGCTCCGCAGCCCTTTAGCGTGGTCATCATCCAACTGGACGAAAACACGGCTCCCAACTACGAGCGCTGCAGCTGCCAAAACCACCCAAGCCACCCCTACCAATGCGACGTAACGGCCCTGGAACGGGACAAGGGCAAACAAGACCTTTCCGCCCGTATCATTGAAGCGGACGAGCTCGAAGCCTGGGACCTCATGCGCCTCCGTCCTTCAAATCGCCAGGGTCAACTTTCGGCCGACGCTTCCGCCGCGGCGGCTTTCTTCGCCAAACAGCCCAAACCACTGCCGAAATTACGACGAGTCACGCTGACATTCCCGGACGTGCAGTCTCGGTACCGACTGAGTGGGCGGCCGTGCAGCTGTAACAAGACCAGAACCACGGCCGAACTGAAGGCCTGTTTGGAAGCAGGGCACCAGGGGTTGCTAGGTCGGGTACGACAGTACCATAAGAAAGAACTGGACCGGTTCGAAGAGGCCCAGAGGAAGAAGCAGGACGTGGTAATGGGGCCGATGGCGAGTGTGTGAGGCGCGTAGACGAGTAGACGAGCTGTGGGTGAGCGGATGGGTTAATGACTAACGGTGTCAGTGTTGTGTCAGTTGGGGTATGAGTACGAGTACGACCATGATATGATTAGGACCGCCATTGAAGTGGTATGGAAGGATGTTCTTCTGTATTGTACAACAGCATATGCACACTTGCCCAGATGATATGCACGTACGTACGCCTGACGGAGGTGCTGGGCCACGAAGGTGAGAAGTAATTAAGCCCCAGGGCTCGCAATAAGGACGATGGACTAGTCGGTACAGTATGTCATTACTCTGGCCTTGCGCCAATCTATTCCACGTCGTTTCCACTTCTTCGTCGTTATCCAGGGTACCTACTCCGCAGTCGGACAGGATGATGCCTGCTGGGTGCCTGCCTTCACTCTACACATGTTTACGTGGGTTACCTAAGGAGTAAGGTACACAAAAACGGCATGGCCTTGCTGGGAAGCACGTGATCCTGAACGCCCACTCAACGCGTCTGCAACACGCCAAGCACTGACATGCATGTGGGCCCGGAGAATTTTATGCTTGTCGAGTGTGCCGCCTCGAGGACTTGCTCCCCTTCCCGCCTGGCTGTTGCCAGCGACGGACTCCTACCTTTTCATTTGGGATCTTCTGGGCCGGCCCTACACTGTCGAGGTTGTCAGGAGTGAAGTCCTGCATACCCGGTGCCGAGCCCCGCCGCGGGTCGTAGTCCAAGTCCTCGCCTCGACCAGACCGCGGTTGCACTGTCGACGACTTGTTACACCGTTCACTACTTCAAGATGAAGTACGTCCTAGTGTCTGGAGGTGTCATAAGCGGCATGTGAGTTTTGAGGGATTTGTCATTGGCCTAGGTGCCATCGAGTCACCAGTGCTAATGGTCGTGTGCAGCGGCAAGGGTATCATTGCCTCCTCGACGGGGTTGTTGCTCAAGACCGTCGGGCTGAAGGTCACGGCTATCAAGATCGACCCGTACCTCAATGTCGACGCCGGGACGATGGCCCCAACCGAGTATGAAAGCCTTCAGACATAGCTACGGAGTCAAGTCTAATCGATTTCAGGCACGGAGAATGTTTCGTGCTCGACGATGGCGGTGAAGTCGACCTCGATCTGGGCAACTACGAGCGCTACCTCAACGTGACTTTGACCTTGGAGAACAGCATCACGACTGGCAAAATGTACCAGCACGTCATCGAACGCGAGAGACGAGGAGACTACCTGGGAAAGACTGTGCAGGTGGTTCCCCACATTACAAACGCAATCCAGGACTGGATAGAGCGAGTGTCCAGGATCCCCGTGGATGACACAAAGGAAGAGCCGGACGTCTGCATAATCGAGCTTGGTGGAACAGTGGGTGACATTGAGAGCGCGCCCTTCATCGAGGCCATGCGACAGCTGAGAAGACGGGCTGGCCGTGACAATTTTGTCCACATCCACGTTTCTCTGGTCCCCGTCATCAGCGGCGAGCAGAAGACGAAGCCTACACAGCAAGCTATTCGGGACGCGCGCGCAGCTGGTCTGGCGCCTGACTTGGTACCGCTCACGGCCTGCCTCCGATGCGCTGAAGACACTGACGACCGTCTAGATCGCTTGCCGTTGTTACCAACCACTCGAGGACGCCACCATCAACAAGATCGCCATGTTTTGTCAGGTTGAGCCCATGCAGGTGTTGGCGGTCCACGATGTCGAGTCGACCTACCACGTTCCGCTGCTGCTGGAGCAACAGAAACTACCGGATCAACTCCGCGACCTTTTCCGGCTCGATGCATACCCCATCGCGCCTACGCTGGTGACCAGAGGCCAACAGCTGTGGAGCGACTGGAAGAAGCTGACCACTTCACAAGAACGTTTCCTCGAGACCGAGAAAGTCACCATCGCCCTGGTGGGCAAGTACACCAACCTTCACGACTCGTACCTCTCCGTCATCAAGGCACTCGAGCACAGCGCCATGGCCTGCCAGCGCAAACTCAACCTCATCTGGGTCGATGCGGGCAACCTCGAAAAGGCCGCGCTGGACTCCAATCCGGAAACATATCACAAAGCCTGGCATGAACTGTGTACCGCCGATGGCGTTCTCGTGCCCGGCGGCTTCGGCCACCGCGGCACAGAGGGCATGGTCGCGGCCGCAAACTGGGCCCGTACCAAACCCAAACCCTATCTCGGGATCTGTCTAGGCATGCAAGTCGCCGTCATCGAATTCGCTCGCAATGTATGCGGCCTGAAGAGCGCCCACTCGGTCGAGCTCGACGCGCAAACCAGTGACCCTGTCGTGGTCTTCATGCCCGAAATCGACAGGACAACCATGGGAGGGAATATGCGCCTAGGGCTGCGTCCCACCTTGTTCCAAGAAAAGACTTCCTGGTCCCGCCTGCGGAAACTGTACAACAACGCCCCCGCGGTGAATGAGCGCCACCGCCACCGCTACGAAGTCAACCCCGAATACATCACGCGTCTCTCGGAAGCGGGCCTCACATTCATCGGCAAGGACGACAAGGGCGAACGGATGGAGGTGGTCGAGCTGGAGGACCATCCCTGGTTCGTGGGCGTGCAGTTCCACCCAGAGTATCTGTCCCGTGTGCTCAGGCCCAGTCCACCTTATTTGGGCTTCGTGGCCGCCAGCGCGGGTGTGCTGGAGAAGGTCACGGCGCAGAGTGCCGCGAGGCAGGAACAAGTCAACGGTGATGCCGCCGGCGAAGTACACGGCGGCGTTAGTGTTAATGGCGTCAACGGCATGATGAATGGAGTCAAAGCTGCATCGCATGGCTTTTAGCCGCTGGACGTAAGACGAACAAAGACGACCCCAGAGGACAGGGATGACGACGAGCTAGTGTCGATCAGTTGACTAACTAATTGATTATGATCATTTTTGGTGCATTTCATGTTGATGACTGCATGAATCAAGTCCTTTCGATCAAAGCATGGATGGGATAGAAGAACCGATGGATGGCTAGCGGGATGGCTTTTGTGTATTGCCATGGTATCTGCAAAGCACATACATACTGTACGTACGGGGAGTCCTTGCGCGTCAAAGAGCGTAGAACCATCTTTTGGGTTCATGGTCATTCGTACCAGATTCCAAGGATCGATCAATCCTACCTACTGCAGTACGTATTACTGAATCCAAGGGGTCGTCATTTGTGCCATGCCCTCATTTCCCAGCATCAGGGGTACAGTATACTCCGTATATATACATTATCCTGTGTTGTGGAGTCTTCTTCCCTGGGTTTCCGCCTCCACCCCACGCCCCGGGACATTTACTTTCGTGGACTCCTACTGTGCTTCTGACCAAGGCCTGAGGCCACGTAAGAGGTATGTGTGTATGGCATGTCGCATGTGTTAATGTATAGGTATGTATACGGTACCGTTCCATGTATGTAATCGTTCTGGCACCGCGCCTAGACTTGTCTATGTCCAATGCCTACATACACCCAGCAGGTTGATCTGTCTGTGGTCCGTGATTTCTGAGCGGGACTCGTAGTTTCTGGTACTGTACGGAGTATATCGGTCTTATACCGTCATATGTGACACACGACCCTTATCAGCCTACGTATATAGTTTAAGCACGATCTGAGCCTCCACTTGCACTTGCACTAGGCCTCACATTCGCCGTTTGTGCCTGTGCAGGAGGACTACTATCGAATGCTTTCCCCTCGACCCTTCCCCTCTGTACGGTCCCCGCCTTGCCCTTCGTATCCGCATCCGCACCCGCGTCCGCGTCCGCGTCCACTTCGACCAATTCGGCCTCCCCAACATATACGGCCCCCGGATCGTCGTCGTCCCCGTCACGGGCAGTCTCGCGGCCTGTACGTGCATTGTCACCGCGTGCCGCACCCCTCTCCGCCCTAAGTCGCGCTCTCTCTTGCTCAACCCACGCCCTCCACCGCTTGTAGCACAGCACGCTCAGGGCCCCGAACACGACGAAACTCCCGCAGATCGCCCCGCCTATGACTTCGTAGTGGTCTCCCGCGGCGGCGACGCCGTCCCAGAACGGACCCGTCGGGGAGGCGACGTTCAGGATGAGCGAGAGGAGTTGCAGGATGCCGATGACGATGGCGCACACGACCGTCAGGCTGGTGAGCACGATGCTGTAGTATAGAAATGTGAGCGGGTCTTTGACGCCCGGTCGGAGTTGGAGTTGGATGGTCGTGGTCGTGGTCGTATTCTCCCGAGTAGGAGAAGAAGAAGAAATCGCAGCGGGGTGCGGTTGCGTGTAGGGGTTTGCTCCCGCCGCTGACTGCTCGACGTCATCGAGGATCAGGGGGTCAGTTGTTGCAGCGTCAGCATCGAGGTCGAGTTGTTGGTCCTGTGCCCGTGCTTGATCTTCAGGGGTATCTTTCTTGTCATCTCCACCCATGCCCATGGGTGCGACGTACAGGCTCATCATCAATGCCCCGTCGGTGGTGTCGACGAGACACATCCCAGCTGTGAACAGGACGGGGAAGATGAGAATAAGCCAGATACTCGTGCCCTTTGCGCCTTGGATGCTGCTGATCCCGAGAAGGGCGATCTCGGAGCTCGTGTCGAAGCCCATGCCGAATAGAACGCCGAGCGGGTACATCTTCCAGGGCCGGTCTATGAGTTTGAACATGCGCTTCAGGAGGCGGAAGAAACAGCCGCCGCCTTCGATCTTCCACGCCTCTTCGCCTTCTTGTTCTGGTTGAAGGCGGATGACCTTTTTGATCTGCACGATCAGCTTGTAGAGGATGTAGGCGTTCATGATGCCCAGGAGGATCAGGAACGCAGCTGACACGGAAGTGCCGATGATCCCGCCCACTGTACCAAAACTGTCAAAGCGGCCGGCAATGCCTGCCGCGGTGGCCGCAACGACAATTGAGGTGATGATGACGATGGTGCTGTGCCCCAGGCTGAAGAATGTGCCTACAGTGACGGGTCTTTGGCCTGTAGCTATGAGTCGGCGGGTCATCAGATCGATTGCCGAGATGTGGTCCGCGTCGAGGGCATGGCGGAGACCCAGTGTATATGCCAGTGCAGCCGTGGAGAGGAGATGAGTGTGTGACGAGAGAATGAGACCGCATATTGCCCAGACGACGAGGTTGACGAAGATCAGGAATGCGATGATCAGGATGGCTCGAAGAGGGAGCTTCCGCAGGTATGGTATGCGGGTATGCCAGCGAGATAGACGACGGTGAAGTTGTTGCTGACGGTGCCTGTAGTATGCTTTCCATGACTTCGTGACCGTTTGAGGAAGAGGCTGGTCCTCTCTCGAGCTTTGCATGTCCATGACTTGGTAGTCGTCCTCCTGCACTTCGCGCCCCGTTGCTCTGGCTGCAGCTACCTCATGTGCAGGAGCTATTCAGCCAACCCCCGGATAGTAACGCACTCTCGACACTGACGGCACAGTGAAAGAGGCGTCGAATGAGAAGTTTTCCATTGCCAGTCGTGATGGTGTAACGCGGGGCTGAGCCCAGCGATGCGGGGTGCCCGATAAGATAAGGATGGACCCACATGGCAGCAAGAGTTGAGGCTGTAGGAGCCATGCCGCATGCCCAGATAGGTACATGACATAAAATATGGCGTGCCAGTTGTTCCTGAAGGAGACAATACCCCTGGTGGGTGCCTGAGATTTGTCGCAAGGCGCGTGGTTAGAGAGCTGCCGCCGATCGGGGACGGAGTCCAGCTCCGGACTCGACGAGGCTGCACAAGGCTGACACCCTCGGCTTTCGGCCAGGAACCGGAGCTACAAAAAGGTTGATATGCCTGCTTTCCCCTCTTGAACATAAATATCTCCCAGCCTTGGAGAGCATGTGCTGTATCGTAGTCTGACCGCGCAACATCACCTTCTTGTCACCATGTCGTGGCCACCTCTCCAGGAACGTTTGCTATCTCTACTCGAACCAGGATATCTCCTCTTCGCAAGCGCATACGGTAAGTTAGACACGCTCAATGCGCCTAGGAAATTATTCCCAGGACTGACCAAGTGACAGCTTTCATCACCACGGCATTCAAGTTCTACATCTTGGGTTTCAATGTTCCCACGAGGTCAAACTTCAAGAATGTCCGCGATGACGCCTTTTCTGACTTCTGGACCAAAGTCACCGGTAAGTCTGTCCGATGTATTACAGTACAGCTTGACGGGTCTCCATTCTTACCTACCGCTTTCTGCAGCCCCGGTTGAAAACCCACCCCCTCTAAAAGGATCAGCGACACTGGTTCCCCCGCTCTTGCGCCGCGCCCATGGTGTCGTTCTAGATATTGGACCCGGCTCCGGCACTCACGTGGGATTGTTCTCCAACAACGCCAACATCAGCGCCATCTACGGAGCGGAGCCCACGAAAGGACTACACAAACCGCTCCAGCTCCGCATCGACGAAGCCAGACTTACGGACAAATACCACATTCTGAGCTCCACGGCAGACAAGGCCGAGCTGTTACCGGCCCTTGCAAAGGCAGGGGTTCAAGTCTCGCCAAAGGGCATCTTCGACACGATTGTCTGCGTGCGGGTCCTGTGCTCGGTGCCGAATCTCGAGGAGACGATTCGCGATTTCCACTCCCTTCTGCGCCCGGGCGGCGAGCTCATGGTCGTCGAACATATCAGGAATCCGTGGACGACGACGGGCAGCCTCTCGGGCCGTCTGATGCAGATCGTCTACCATTTCTTGGGGTGGACGTTCTTTCTTGCTGGCTGTCAGATGAACCGCGATACGCCGGCGGTGCTGAGGAGAGCGGCACCCTGGGAGGCGGTTGAGTTGAAGACGCATTTCGAGTGGACCGCATTGCCATACTTGGCCGGTACATTGACGAAGAAACGGTGATGAAAGACGCGAGGCTGGAGGTTGAACCTCGATGAGGCGGAAGGTGATGGGTCAGGTAGGCCAAAGCGATGTTTGGTCACGCTTGTTGTCGTGCTCATAGGGCACGAGAGGGTACTCTGACGGGTGTACCCGGGATGATTGTTCTTTGCCTGAGTGCCAGCGCAGCGTCTCGATTCAAGATGGCGGAGCTTCTCTGAAGGCGGCGTGTTTTGCCTAGCACAGTCCTCTTAGGTCTGAAGTGCCACAATATTCAAGATTATCGACATGGTTCCACTGTCCAACAAGTCCCCAATTTTCCGACCGTGTCTGGTAATTTTACAGTAGCAGGCGTATCGCGTCCTCTGACAGGAAGTAACCCTCAGCGCGACAAGCCGCGAAACAATCCGCGCTTTGGTGGTCTAGATCTACAATGCCGCTGACAATCGGGCTATTGCCGCTAGTATGGCTGATCACCGTGGAGGTGGGTGTAATGCCAATATTGTACGACAACTGGTTGTGGGACGACGCACTGAATTTGTATATCTTGCAGAGGGACGCTGTAGCGGGATCGGTATCAGGGTTCGTCCTGCTGGCGTTTGCGTTGATGCCGTGGGTCGTGTGGCTTGTTAGTGCGCAAGGCCGGGATGACGACAAGAAGCTCATCTTGGACTTTGATTGCCAGAGAATCCAGGATGAGGAGTATTGTACACGTTAGTAGTGCCAGTGGACTGGCTCCATTAAGAGCTAGGGCGGAGAGAGCACGACATCGCTCATCTGCGAACAGTGCACTCGTTGGTGCTGATGTTTGAGTAAGCGACGCTGACCCTCTGATATGAAGGCACTATACGATGGTTGGCGGCTTGGACATCTTGACAAACCAACGCTCAATTGAAAGTAGAGTGCCTGTGCTGGGAACTCTGCTTCGCACTTCAGAGCGAAGCGTAAATTACCACAAATGGCAATGAACAGTCAAAGTGAAGTATTCAGCCTCTGCCTTGCGCGCAAGACATCAAGCGCTGGTAACGAGGAACCGGCTTTGTGACGCCGTGTTGCAATGATCTTTGAGCACAGTATTCGTACTCGACACGCGTAAAGTGGTGCCGGGGGTTCGAGCGTCAACGCGTGTGCGCGTAAACGACGGTAACGTCATGCGTGGATATGTACACTATGCTATTATGGATTAGTAGCAGACACTTTCCTCGGTAGGAAATCTCCAAACATCCCGTCGTAGACGGACCGGACTACTGCCCAACCCAGAAACCTTAGGCTTTGCCCTCCACGCCGCCTGATGCGGGTGAAGATGACCGCGGCTGTTGCAGAGCGAGACACGAAGAGGGCTTGAAGGACCACAAAGGTCTTGAACAGCAGGGGCTCTTTAAGGGAGTGCTGTACGGTGGCTGATTTAGTCGAACCGAATCAAGGCCAGGCCGCACACTGGAGCCGACGAGATGAGAGCAGCTTCTAGACAGCAGCGCCTACCTGTAGTCTAGGCGGCCGTCATAACAGCTTGAGCGGAGATTCTATCAAGTGTGCCAGTGACCCGGCGTGAACAGCTGCAGCTACTCGATGTGGCTTGATGAGTTGGGCAGAAGCGTGAACAATATTCTACCCCGTACGAGAGAGTCCGAATGATATAAATACCCAGTATGGTACATTCAGATGAGAATAGTGTGCACCGATGTCTGGACCACCCTCCAGGTCAGATGCTATACACCAATCCAGAGCCTTATTCATTTCCGCCGCAATACCCTAGACCGGTCCGGGGGGGGGGGGCTCATCAGTCCGGTGCTGGACAGCGGGCGCTGTCTTCCATACCAGTGCGAAACCTGATACTCGAAAGCGGTCGGGCTTTGTGCCTGGCTAACACGGCCGCCATGAATGTTCTGCTGTTGATAACTCCAGAATAGCCCTGCCGTATTCATGGCTTTGTCGACTTTACCATGGCTACGAATGCGATTCTGTCGGCCTTGAACAACAGCTGTTTCATATTAGGCGACAAACAGAGAAACAAAAACCACTTCGGGACCCGTCTCTCCGTGCCAGCTGTCCATTATAGTGACATACTGCCTCCCAAATCCGGTGAGTGCCACGAGTTAGAGAAAGGAAAGCATCCACGTTGCTTTCTTGAATTCCGCCCTGGTATATGGTCGCCTCTCCGTTCACCCCTGTCATGTCGCCACCTCTTGACTCGATGTTGATGCCGCATGTCTCGACGGCCGAGATGAAGAAAAGCTCTCCACTTGATTCCCCAGTCCGGCAATAAGGCTCTCATCTGTATCCAGACCGGTCCACCTGCCAAACATCACTTTCAGTTTCCCTAGTTGGGAAGGCCTATCGGCCTGGAGAGAATCCGCGGCGGCCTTCTTGGCTACATATGCGGTTTGGCAGCTTTTCAAGAACTCGCTGAGACTCGCCAGCCGCCTGAGCGGTATCTTGTACTTCCGGTGAAGAAGTTCGGACCAGGAAACCAGTAAAGCCATCACGATTAGCATCGTAGCAACGGGCAGTATGAGCAGTCGGACTCTGTCACTTTCCAACTTGGTCGTCGTGGTGAGTGATATGATTTCCACGTCATGCTCGGCCGGCTGATTGACAACAAGCTCCTGAACGACTGCGCTGATGGACACATTGATAAAATGTTCCAGTTGCTCCAGAGTCCAATGGTCTCCTTTCCCGATAGTCGTCGTGTATAGATGGGGGAGAGGAGCCATTCCCCAGTGATAGAACATCGGTTGCTTACCACTTACACTCACTCCGACTAGTATTGGTGCCATGGCCATCCACAGCACAATCTCGTTCAGTGAGTTTTTGCGATAGATGTCTTGCAGCGACGTGAGTGTCTGGTTTATCGAGTGTTTCTCCCTGCATCCCTCGTCGCCAATACAAAGAATATCGTCCACCAGCTCGATGTCAATGTCGCAGGCGACTGCCTCGAGCGAATGGATTTCGTCATGCTTCACATAGGCTGTTATCCCATTCTCGATTGTGCCGTTCAGAGATGCGAAGACGAGTCTCGAACGAGCCCGACTGGAAGATGGAAGATGACAGTCGTCCGCCCAAACTGCTAGCTGAGGCCGCATTAACAGGTCCACAGTCTTATCCCCTCTCGGGATTGGGTTTTGACCGTCATCAAAAGTGCGATTGTGCATTCGTGTGGAGACCTTCCCTTCATGGACGTCGTCGACTTGATGTCCTCGACAGGTGACTGCTTTTTGTAGCCTAACTGCACAAGCTGCAAGGTTGCCTTTGTCAGCCAGCTTGTATCTGTCTACGAACCAATCTCGATAGTCTTGCATCGGCTCCTCAGCCAGCGGCTCAGCCCAAGAGGCATACCTGACGACTGCAGGGGCCAGAAGGGATACTGGTGGGTTGTATTGTAAGAAGTGTCTCCCAGTACCACCCCCACCTGTGTAGTTGCTCCTGGCTTGCAGAGGCGCTATCTGCTGGTGAAAGACGAAGCCCACGAGGGGAGCGGCTGTAAGTGGAATAAGTGTAATCAATGCGGTGCATATGATGACGAGCGCGGCATCGAAATTTGCAACATGGCGAAAGACAACCGCTGTCGAGGGAACCGAGCCGCGGCTGGCGGACAGGAAAGTCTCGATTTGTTCAATACTGTAGGGTCGCTGAGCAAGTAGGGGCCAGATCGAAGCTTCGGACCACGCGTGGGCTGCGTACGCCATGGCTGCCAGACTTGTAGCGTACACGAACGTGACAAGACCTTGGACAGTACCGATGTTGTCTCTGAGCCATTTCACTTGTGGTGGTATTGAGCAATCACTTGCCCACCCAGGGCATTGAAGCTTCTCGCCACTGAGCCACCACGTGAAACTAATGGCTGTACTGGCAGATAGGAAGCCGACACAGAGTGCGATTGGGATGGTTTGATTGTGCCGAATAAACTGCAACAGTCCGTTTCTTGGTTTCCAGTCTGGAGTTAAACTAGGGGACTTGTCACGCGGACTGCGTGCTTCTTTGAACGGCTGCAATGGGATAGCTTCCTCGGCCATCGTAATTCGGTGATATCGATGTTGATGAATGGACATACGACGTCCTCGTATGAAGAGAGATTGATGGGGAATTCTCACTCTGCTGGCTTTATGTAGAACTAGCCCACTTGAGAGGAGGCCGTGAGGCCGCGAGGCCCTGAGGCTGAATGATATTGTAAGGCAGATTCATTTCGTCCTATTTACGATTTTCCCGTCGCATATGAGACCAACTGCAGGAAGCCGGCTGAGAGCAATTGAGTTCTCGCAAGGTAAATCGCACAGGTATCACATTCAAACCTTGGTGCCTCAGGGCAAGCGGGCCCGAGCCCAACGGGTAAAACTTCGCGTGCATCTCACCGGTCACCATAGTAGAAGCTACTTATCGATGTGTGGCAGATATTCGCAACAAGCACCGCAATGCAGGTATCCTTCGTTGGCTGAGAGGGGTATGCTGAAGCGTTGCAGAAAGCTTCCGGATCGAGATATCCGCTGTGTGACATGCATTCCTGTACTTCGTGGCAGACACGCAACTCCTAGTGGGCGATGATAGGTATCAATGTAGGTTCGACCTCTGCTGTAGCACTGAGTATGCAGGCAGAGTGGGACGGCACGGACGGGCACAGGACCCTGCGACCTCTCCCGGTCTTACCTGGAGTTGCCTCGTTCACTCCAGCAGCCTCGCCCAGCCTCGACGTACGTTCGCGTGCTGCCCTTGTAGATATGACAATGTTAATTGCAGTTGTCGTTCATAATATTCTACGTGGGTGAAAAAGGTGCAGATGAAGCGAGCGTAACAGTACGTCATGCTTTGCCAAGCCTCGTTTCACGTGATTAAACCACGTGATTAGCGTCAACAAACTTGACCGCTTCCTCGCGTCTTCGAAAGTCGCTTAAGGGAACGAGCAGCAAATTGAGCAGGGATTTGCTCGAATCACAAAGCATGGTCTGAAAAGTTGGCTACGCGTAGCTGAAGGTAGGTTAAGGTGATTGAGGTGGAACTAGAATGCCCTTCTATCTTCAGTGACTTCATCAGGTAGGCCTGAAACTACCTGGGTTTCAGCAGCTACCAGAGCTTCCTCTACAGCGATCAAGAGCGAGATCGACCGAAGCACCGTTGACCTTGACATCCTCAACACTTCCTTCACAATGGCCGCTGCCGACAGTACGGGGCTCAATTTCCGTCCTCCGACAACATCCTCTGCCTCTTCGAAAGACTTTGTGCCACCAAGTATTTCCTTCCTCCAGGGCAAATGGCACGTCACTCATGCAACGCTTCCAATGTGGAAGAAGAACCAGAATGTCACTATTACCTATACGCCGCTCCCTCAAAACGCCGATCTCCTAGACGACCTGGTTGAATACCAGCCTCTGAACTCGACAAAGCACAAGAAGGTGGAGGGTATTGATACACCGGATGCCACAACAAAAGCCGCATACAGCTGGCGTGGCAAAGGTCTCCTGAAGATCGCGTCCAGCCATTGGCAGGTTCTTGGATATGGTGAGGAAGACGGCGGTTGGGCAGTCACCTTCTTCCAAAAGACCCTCTTCACGCCAGCCGGCATTGATATATATGCTCGTCAAAAGAGTGGATTGTCTGAGACGCTGCTGGAGCGGATCAAGCAGGAATTGAGGGCGATTGAGGACCCTAATGTGCAGAAACTGGCGGAAGATATCTTCTCTATCAAGCACGACCCATAAATTGCGCGTGCAGACATGCACCATGTCTAGGCAAAGCTATCGCTTGGCACGACTCAGCGAGCAGTCCAACCCTTCTGAATTATAATACCATCCGCCGTCCAGCAATTCTTGCTCCATGGCCGCCCATTTCTGTACCTTCCCTCCCTCGGTCGTCTTCAAATCCAGATCCGCGAACTTGACGTCCACAACATCCACTCCTTCGGTGATGCTGCGTCTAAGGGCCAAGAAGACACTACAGTCTCTCAAGGCCATGGCAACGCCAAAATCCTTGCCGTCTGGGCTCAGGAAGTCGTTCAAGCCCACGGAGCCATGCTCTTGCTCCAGCTTCTGCAAGTGTCGCAAAGCCGGTTGCACCTTCGTCGTGAACTCGGCCACAAACTTGTCAATCCCCTTGTGAAGCGGCCATATATTCTTCAACGCTCGAGTCAAGACGTCCCCCTGCTCAGGTCCCACCAGCAAATCGAACGGACAGAACCCCGAATCACCTCTCCCTTTATGCTTCCCATCTTTTCTCCTCAAGGCGTTGAGAGCGCAGGTCCTACAATTTCTCGCGCCCGAGGGCGCGCTAGGACTCTGCACCAGCCATTTTGGCTTGAACTCGACCAGCCAGTCAATTCCTGGGCCTTGCAAGTTTTGCATCAAAATGCCATATTGTTCCACCTGGTAGGACGGCAGATAGATGTGGCGTCGGTGAGCATGTCGAACTTTCTTGCCCTCAGCCGACACGGCCGCCTCATCGACCTGGTCCATCTCTCTCAGTTCTTGATTCGCCTTCTGTGCCATTTCCTCCGAGAGCCGATACAATGCCTGCTCCATTAGCAGGGTCCTGTATTCGTCACCAAACAAAGGGAGTACCGCGCTCTTGAAGTCTGACATCACTTCCTGTGCGGGCTTCGTGAAGGAGAGATCTTTCCGTAGGCGCATGATACAGCAACGAGAGTGATGCTTCAGACTCTCCGGTGACACAACAGACACGGTGTAGATGATATTCGCGGCCCCTTCCGCGAGGTAATATAGCTGGAGAGTCGCTTCTTTGAGGGCGGAAGGACATGACGGCGAGGGACAACGTGCATGGGTTGGGCTTGACATTGTATAAGATGACCTTGAGATTGACATTGAGATTCGTGATCGTGGTCCTGATCGTTGTCGTCTCTTCAGCCGGCTCCTACGGGTAAGGCGTACTGTACTGTACGGTGATTCTAGGTAGCCAGACCGTAAGCAGGACGAAGGGACGGAGGATAAATGGATCCTATATCCTATCTTCCACGCGATAAACAGATAGACACAGGCTGCCTGGGTGGTAAAGCAGCATCTACTGTACAGAGCGGCCGTAAACATACGTTTCCTCGAAGCGCGCCCTTCGTACCATCGGATGCAGTGTGAGGAGTAAGCGAGAGTTGATTGACACCCTGAAACGCTCAGGATACGCCTGGAGACCAACAGACTCTGCCCCAAAATGTATAACCATAGGCACCGAGCGGAATAGACAAGTCTACCTTGATTTACTCCGTACAATACTGATACTAGGTACGAGTACTCTGTAGGCTCCAAGCTGAGACCCAACACGAGACGTGCGCGATCGCGGAAGAGGCTATTTGCTCCGCAGTAATACGAGGTATTCGTATGTGATCGGGACATTTTCTGCTGCGAAGCACATCTTCTCTCGGGTGCTGAATCGCCGGGCCCGAGCAGCGTCTTGTCCGAGATCAAGAACGCGAAGCTTCTGCTCAGGAGACGCACGACACACCCCAGCACCTACACCGTCTATGCCGGCCCATCTCGGGCCCCCGTGCAATGCAGCCAGCCGAACTTCATGACGATTTCCGGATCTTGAAACCCCGATCTTCACTCCGATCAGGTAGGTAAACCCATGCATATATTGCAGCTCATATTTCCCGACGCTGGCTTCGGCCCCCTGATTAACGTGTTTTGTCGTGTCGTGTTGTGTCGTGTGGCGTGTTCTCAAGCCTCTGCGCCACGAGGCCCAACAAGTGCCCACCTAGTTACCAGCACCAGTAATTATTGGGAACTCCGATTCTGCTATCTCGTCCTCCAACAAGCTCTACACGTACGGGAACGGGAAGGGACGAAAGAAGGACGCAGTACCGCTATACGTACCATACGACCCACCACGCCCCGTCCCGATCAGATCCCAGAAACAAACATAGCGATCACCGAAACAATTCTTTACCCTCCCTTCGCTCCCTCACGCGCTCAGGCGCTTGGTAAAGCACACAATGTTGAAACCCCTTCGCGTGCTCGTCGTCGGGGCCTCCATCGCCGGCCCCACCACCGCATATTGGTTCGCTCGAGCCGGCGCGGCCGTCACAGTCATTGAACGGTTCCCCTCGTTACGCAGCGCGGGACAGGCCGTCGATATCCGCACCGCAGGCGTGACGGTCATGCGGAGGATGAAGGGCATGGAGGCCGCGGTGAGGGCGAAGAGCACGACGCTCGCGGGCGTGAGCTTTGTGAATTCTGCGGGGAAGCCGTTCGGCACGATTCGCCCGACGGGCAATCCGGAGCAGCAGAGCTTGGTGAGCGAGTATGAGATCTTTAGGGGCGAGTTGGCGGGCGTCTTGTATGGGTTGACGGGTGGGGATAAGAAAAGTCGGGGTCAAGACTTAACCAATGAAGACGAGGAAGTTAGCAATCGAGGTCCTGGTCAAGACCAAGGTAACGATGGCGATCACGACCACGACCACGACCACGACCACGATCAATCTCAACAGATCAACTACGTCTTCGGAGAGCAAGTGGCTAGTATGCGACAGCCGGAAACCCTCGACGGCCCCGTCACGGTGGACTTTATGAACGGCAAACTCCCCACCGCGGAATATGATCTCGTCGTGGCCTGCGACGGTGCCACCTCCAGGACTAGGGCCCTCGGCCTCAACTGCCAGCCACGCGACTACGTCCACCCCGTCAACCTGTGGTCCGCGTACTTCTCCCTGCCCGGCGATCTGCTCCATGGGAGCAAGGTCGGACACGCATACACCGCGCCAGGAGGTCGATTCATCGCCCTTGGACCGGACCCCGCAGGCGTCACGCGCGTCACCCTGATGAGTGTGCACCCTCGAAGGGACCAGACCGCGCCGATCCCCTTCCGCGAGGCCGCCTCTAAGGGCGACGACGCGCTCAAACGATACGTCGCGGCGCGGTTCGCGGGCGCGGGCTGGAAAACCGACGAGGTGCTCAAGCTCATGATGGACTCCGCGTCGGACTTTTACGCCAGCGAGATCGTCCAGGTCAAACTCCCGGGTCTGTCTAAGGGTAGGTTCGTCCTCGTCGGGGATGCCGGGTACGCGGCCGGTCCGACGGGAGGGGGCACGACGCTGGCTCTGGCGGGCGGGTATGTGCTCGCGGGCGAGATTTGTAAATCTAAGGGAGATATTGCGGCCGGGCTTAAAGGCTACGAGCAGACCATGAGGCCGATCATCACGGACTTACAGAAGATTCCGCCGCTCATCCCGGCGGTGTTGGCGCCGCAGACGGTGTGGGGGATTTGGTTAAGGAATAACATCTTTAGGGTCATCGCGCGGAGCGGTGTCATGGAGTTCGCGCACCGGTGGTTCGGCAGCGCGTTTGCCGAGGGAGACAAGTATCGTTTGCCGGAATATGAATGGGTAAGGCGATGACCCTGTATGGAGGTGTTGGGTTGGAGTAAGAGCTAGTCTGTGGTGTGGCAGGGGTTGTAAAGACTCTGCAACGTTCTCGAGGAAGAAGACGAAAATTCGAGGTACGGGAAAGAACGTTGTATACCATGTTCAGGTTCGACTTGCTCGGTCATGGGAAGCCATGCAGAGAGGCGAGATTACCTTGGTGCAAAGCTGATATGCTTCCCGGCTAGAGATGGAGCCACATAGCACGCGGTACAAGTATGTCGTGGAAGAGCACAGGACGGCGTGCCAGGCAGAGATGATTGGAGCTCAAGTCAGGCTTTTGGACTAAAGGACTCTTCTCAAGGAGGGAGAGAGGGCGGATACGGAGTATTGAGCATGTACTATATCTCCGCTGGAAGCCTTGTGGGACGGGCTAGTAGGTTCACATGGTAGAGATCAGGTATGCCGGGATTAGAACTGTAGATCTCATAGGTTGCACGTCACAGTCTAGATGTACAATTGGCACAACTTGCTGTTCTCAGTACCCTATCATGACCCGAGCATGTATATCAGGATACAAGTGCCACTGCGGAGAACTATGTCGAGAATGCTCGCTCGACACTCCCTTTGTAGCTGGTGTGAGTCAAGACTGAGAGGGACACCCTGCTCACGACCGCCGTCCTTCACAGAGAATCGACGAGAAATACTCACGGAGGGGCGCCGAAATCTCTCTATGTAGATGTATCGAGACGTCCTCCAGTAGCGACGTGATGGTAGTGGAAGGACGGAGAACCCCATCCGTGTGATGTGGAGAAACCACTACATAATGCACAGAGCATCGTCGCTCGGAGATAACGAACGACTCGCCCGTCTCAATGTTACTTGGTCGTGTCGATGCTGAGTTCATTGACTCCGAAGCTCTGGAGTACAGCATTCACATATTTGTCGACTCTGTTGAAGACGTAGTCAATAGGGGGAACAACACGTCCAACTGTCTGTGATTCGAGGAGTAGATCTGCAGTTTGGCCTCCTGTCGCTTCGAAGACGACCCCTCACCGGCTCGATAACTGCAGTAGAAGGGAGAAGACGTCGAGGGCAAGGTATAGGGCAAGGAGCAAGAAGAAAGCTGGGCTACGACGACATCCGGGACGCGGGAGACCTTATTCGAGGGTGACAGCGGTCTATTGCGTACTTTCCGAGCATACTACGACTACAGAGACTTCGACATCTAAGTCCCTGCGGAAGATTGGCTGAGCATCACCGACCTGATTTCACCACCCGAGCACTTAGATATCAGATCGTCAAGATGGCCTTGATCACGGACCTTTCGTCTCATCTCGCCCTGGTCACCGGCGCGACGGGTGGAATCGGAAAGGCAACATGCCTCGCGCTCGCACGCCTCAATTGCTCCATCGCAGTACACTACAACACCGCCGCCGAGACGGCGGAGTCGCTCGTTTCCCAGCTCAAGGATATGGGCGTGCGCGCTTCTTCCTTCAAGGCCGACCTCTCATCTTACGAAGAAACCCGCAAATTGCACGCCGTAGTTGTGGAACAACTAGGCCACCCGACCATTTTGTTCAACAATGCCGGACTCACGATGGGAAAGTCCGGCGTCAAGGATATCAGCGAGATCAGCGTGGAGGACTTCGAGCAGACGTGGAGGGCGAATTGCGGGACGGGATTCCTGCTGACGCAGCTTTGTCTGCCGAAGATGCTCGAGCACGGGTGGGGAAGAGTGATCTTCTGTTCCAGTGTTGCGGCTTTCACGGGCGGTGTTGTTGGGCCGCATTATGCGTATGTACGGAATCTGCGTTGGCGCCCGTGTTCGTCACACTGACTCTGGCGGACTAGGTCGTCAAAATCGGCACTGCATGGCTTGGTACATTGGCTGGCTGGTGCATATGCTAAGAAGGGCATTACTGTCAATGGTGTCGCGCCCGCGTTGATCGAGGAGACCAAGATGTTGCCTGGAGCATCGGCGGAGTTGGCTGCGAGTAAGTTGTGACTCTGGGCCCCGTGCTCTGGATTCCTGAAACCATGGAGATTCACTGACACCTCGATCTGCTTCAGAGGTCCCAATCGGCAGGCTTGGGAAGCCGGACGAAATCGCCGAGACAGTGGTCTGGATTGTCAAGACTGGTTACGTCCACAACAAAGTGATTGCAGTAGATGGCGGAATGTTCATCCAGTAAGACAAAGAGTTGAGGAGAAGCTGCTTATTGCCACGTCAACCGCCGCCCCCGGCCTCTTTCTTCTTTCTCGCTTCTTCCTCTCTTTCCTTCTTCCGCTGCAGATATCTCTCCTTGGCAGACATCTTGTCAGCCTCAGTGACTCTGCTTTTATTCTTCTCCTGCTGTGCTTGGTTCTCCTCGGCTTCGGCTTGCTTCTGTTTCTCCAGCATGTCTTCGATCTGCCGCTCCACCATACGTGACTGCCTCTCACGTTGCGCCTCCCGGGCGTCGTGTGCCTTGGATGATCGCCAGTATTCTTGTGGTCGAGCGGATTCTTGTTTCGTAGTTGCTTGTTGGTCCTTGCCGGGCTTCTTCGGCGCAACATTGAGGCCGGCTGATAGGAGCTGTCGCTTGTCCACGACTTCACCCTCATCGTTAACCACAACTCTGGTGCCTCGTTTGTTCAGATCCTCGGCGATCTTAGCATCGGATATTCCTTCTTCAGCCTCCTGTTCCACTTCGACACCACGTTCCTTCCTCTCGGCGGCCTGTTCCTCGGCCTCCTTGATCATCTGCATCCGCTCCTCATCCTTCTCCAGCATGCGCTTGTGGAACGCCGTCATGCCACCACCTTTCCGCCGGCGTTCCTCTTCAGCCTCTTCGCGCTTCTTCTCTTCCTCCTCCAACTTCTTGATTTCTTCTTGTTGTTTCTTATATGCGCCTGTCACGAACTTCTCCTTGTCGGCAAACTCATCCCCTTCGGCTTCTCGTTCCCGTTGCAGCAGCTTCTCTCGTGCTCGCAGCTGGTCTCGCTTTCGCACTTCTGCGCTCTGTAGTAATGAGCCCATATATTTTGGTCCCGAATCCTGTGCATCGCTATTTGATTTCTTCTCTTTGTGTGCATGGAATGTATCATAAACGGCGTCGTAGTCGTACACCGAGGCATCGAGCTTGGAAGCCTCTTCATCGTGTAGTTTTGCGCTCCTCAACGCCGACAGATTAGTGTACTTGTCGCTTCCAAGCGTGGGTGCGGAGGGTTTCCCTTTCGCGGGCTGCAAGCCATACGACGACAGCTTCGGCGATTTCCTCGGAGGACCCTTCTCATCCTCGTCGGCGCCCAGATCTGTTATCGGCCGGAGTGGCTTAGAGGATTTCTTCGCTCCGTATGCTGGGGCGGGCACATCTTCTGGAGCACCGTCGTCTTCGTCGAAGAATGCTTTGCGCTTTTGCGCTGGCTTTGAGGGTCCTGACCTAGTGGCATTGAGTCCAAACGCGAGCGCAGGCATTGCGGCCGGCTTCATAGACAGACTGATATATTGAAAGGAATGGCATATTAGACTAGGTACAAATCCAGAGTACTATGCCGTTGCGGTGCCTATAGGAGGTGAATGCTCCCCCGGATACGGTACAGTAGAGGCCGTCTGCGCAAATGATAAGATAAGATGGAAGTCGGCTTACACTTGCATCAACTTTGTCCCTACAACAGACTGGGACGGCAAGGTGTCGCTATCATAGCATTTCTCCCTTCATACTCTACTCTGCGCCTATGCAAGGGCGCTTGACGTCTCACCGAGTCCTGCACCGACCATATCGCAAGCACCATGTCTTACTACTTCGTCATCATCTCGCCCACCGACACACCGGTCTTCGAATTGACATTTGGCACGTCAAAGGCCGGCGGCGATGGCGTTGCTCGCTTCCGAAACGGGGAAACCTCACGGTACATGAACCAGTTCATCGTCCACGCCGCTCTCGACGTGGTCGAAGAAGTCCAGTGGCTCCAGCCAAACATGTGGCTCAAGGTCATCGACAACTACGCGCCCACCAATTCCCACATCAGCTGTTTCATCACCGGCACCAACGTCCGATTCATGCTTCTGCATCAACCCTCGACGACGAATGCATCCGCAGGGAGTCGGACGTCGACCATCTCATCCACGTCAATCCCGCAGAACCCGACTAGCCCGCAGACGGAGGAAGCCATCCGGCAGTTCATGAACGAGGTCTTCGATCTGTGGGTCAAGACTTTGATGAACCCGTTCTACGCGGTCGGCAACCCGATCAAGAGTCCGATATTCCGCCAACGAGTCACCGCTGCCGGCAAGAAGTGGCTATGATGGCTGAGCCTGTACGATCTTTATGTGGGAGTTTGTCTTTGTTTGTTTGCAGACGTGGATGGCAAACCGAGTGTCGGAACAAAGCCAAACGGCTAAGACCGTAGCCGTGCCTCGACCACGGGTTCCACTAGTCTGCATGTGGTGCGCTTCACCTACAGAGACTCATGCTCGAATTGGTACGTGGTCAAAAGCGACGAGCTTGATGCCGAGAAAAACAACTCACATTCCAGTCTCAGGAGCCACGCCGATCTGCCCCCACCCCGCGTAGAGATCTAGCCATCTGGCTCAAAGCACGAACGGTCCTGGAGGAGAGCAAGGAGAAGTTTAACGCAACGTCATCACTGTGAGTCGGCCTCGCTTCTGTGATCAACCTCGACTCAGTTCGCTGACAGTCTACTCCAATCCCAGACGAGCGATTGCAACGACGGTATACTTTAACCTTTCGGGCAGAAGGGGCACACTCGTCCATACTGGAACGAAATGGCACCGATACGCGACTTCGCCTTGGACGTCCATCACCAGATCATGCCGAGGTCATCCGCCAGTTACCTCGACTGGCCGCTGTGGGCCCAAATATTGATCATCGTCGTGGGCATCACATTCTGGATACCGGTATATTTCCTGGTCCGGCTAGTCAAGGAGTTCTCATGTCTGCAAAGGTGGCGGGACAGACGAGCATAGACGGATCCAGCGAGATCGCTTGTGTCATCAGGTTTGGAGCTGTTGGGTGCAGGAAGCACGCTGGTCACATGTCCAGAGCTGTAGTGTCATGCAAGGTAACATATGGTACTGGTCATCACAGGCTGGAACAGAATGTCTTGTCGGCAGGGTGCTCATCCATCTGATTGTCTACAAGAATGGCTCTAACCCTGAAATACAACCATGGAGCTATTCGAAGCCATCATCCCCGCGAGCTGGAAACACAGCGTCCTCAGAGTGAGAGCGAAGAGGTTTCTCAACGAGAGTGAACATCAGCATCAGTATTCGTGTCGCATTTCGCCAACGCACGCCGTTCGGACACATGACAAAGACTGATTGCATGTATTGGACGTCTTTACCCAAGCCTATCCCGACAAAGGTACGGTGAGTTGTGGTTTGCCAGGACCCTCTTTCGAAGGCTACAAGGACCTGCTCTTCTTCATCCGCCGGCAATGATTTCCCATCCCAGGTCCAGGAAAGACTCATCTTCTCCTGGTCCTTTATGTCTTCCTTGTCCAAGTCGCCGTCGGTTCCTCCCTTGCAGAAGACAAATTGACCAAACGGGCCAGACTCTGGGTTGTCGTGGTTCTCCAGTATCCTTGTAATGTTCCATGGCGCTCCATCTTCGCCGTGGAAGGGTCCGGTTCCAGCCAGCGCCCTCGCTTTCGCCCCGTCCACTTGACCGGTCGTAACGGTCCAACAAAGGTCAGACAGGTCACGGGTGGTGGTGTCGATAGGCATTAGTCAGGACGTATTTCCATGCGAAGATAGATGGATAGCCCGTCGAACACACCTTGAAAAGTATAGTAGACAGCTTGAAATATAATCTGATCAAACTTCTAGGGCATCGTAAGGACAGTGAGGGGCACCGCCTGTAACGGAGATAGATGTAGAACTGTTCGGTGTGTCCTTATACCATCAAGCAGACAGGTCGATGCCCTTTGGATCAAGTCGTAGGCTGTCTTTTGAAGTACTGGCGACAATGTCAGCCTCTTGTCGATGCCCTCATCGACCCATAAGGACGCTGAGAACGACAAAGCCTTTCAGTAGTCCGCAACGGCGCGGAGAATGGGGTCACCATCGTAGTCCAAGAGGCTCCGCGGTGCGGTGGTGACAATGAGGTACGCGCGCGCCATCCTGCCGCTTCCTATTCATGTTCTTTGACACACCACTACCTTTGAATGTCGCTTCTCTTTTCAACTAATCCGTTCGTTACGATTTTCCTCCTTCCTGGATCTTCACCAGTACCAACCGAGATGGCTAGCAGTTCAGCAACAACGCAGGCCCGCTGGCGGCAAGCACCTCACGGCAAAGGATATGGGTTCTTCGTGAGTAGCAACCCAGCCTCTGTGCCTCCTCGACGGCGTCAGCGTTGGCTAACCAAGTCACAGGCGTCTCGCGACTTCAATGCTGGTGAAGAGATCTTCCTTGAGCCTGGCTTCGGCGTCGTCCCAGAGTCACCACAAGACTTCAGTCCACCATTCCCCGGTCCAGATCGCGTGGGAGACGTGACCTTCGCCGCCATCTGCTTGCACATCACCGAAGAGATGTGTCGACTGTACCACTTAATGGCCGAGCCTGAACTTTCGCGGGGGAATCTAGGCTGCACCGTCCAAGAGGCTGAATTCCTCTTGACTCGCCCCGGCCAAACACCTCTCTATGATCGCATCGTGGTGGCCACCAGGCAAATGCGGAGCCTTGACACCACAATCCGCAAGAGCATAGTCCGGATGGCTGTGAGATTCTTCTCTGACGCGGGCGAGTACAAAGTGCATACGGGCGACGTTGAAGACAACAGCAGCGGATTCGGATTCATGACGGGCTCCATGAAACATTCTTGTCAGCCCAATGCTGAGCTGCACGTGCCGTGCGACACGAAGCAACCAGATACATTTAAAAAGGTCGGCTGGTACCGCATGCAGACTCCTCGCTTGGCAATGCTGCTCCAGGCCACCAGACGCATCAAGGGTGGTGAAGAGATCACCATCTCATACGATCGTGTGAATGACCATTTCCCGGAGAGTCGAGAATCTCGTCTCGAGGACATCAAGAGGACGTATGGCTTCAATTGTCGCTGCGACGCCTGCATTTGTGAGGAAAACGACTCTCTGATCATGCGGTTGAAGGATGATGTCTTGAGATTGCTGAAAGACTTTGAAGACTTTGAGGAGATCCCGGCGCCCAAGATGTACCGTCGAGCTGCGTACATCCTGGACGGACTCGCCGAACTTGGAGTGGACGATTGCACCGTCACAGCAGTCTGGGATATGTGCGCCGAAAGAGCCTGGTCGTGCTGTGACATGATCCGAGCACACTGGTTTGCCACGAAGGCGTTGGAACATGGACAAAGGATGTATGGTGGACCGGCAACTAAGCGACCGGAGACGCTTCGGGCATACGTGATGCTGGGGCAATCCAGGAACAACGAGGGTCTCGGCAACCCCGACATCCAAGGCTATTCCGCTGTCCCAACAGATGGGTATGACGTGCAACAAGCAGATCTGGAAAAACTGATGTTCGCCTTGAAGCACACCAACGCCGAGATGTACTACCCCTGCCTGCAACTGGTCGATGGCAGAGTTCAAGAGATCAGCAGAGACGCAAACAGGAGACGACTGGCCAAGATCCAGGCTGAGCGAGAGAAGCGACGAGAGGAAATCAGAGCTGGCAAAACCGCCGAGCAGGAAGAAGAGAAGCTGTACAACAAGACTGTCGAGGAAGTCATGTCGATGCTGGAAGAGTCACCTGCGGGACGCAGCAGGAAGAAGAGGCAGAAGCAGAGGGTAAGGAGGAATAGGGATACGAAGGCCGCTAAAGTGGCACGGGAAGGCACCACGACGTCCACGGCGAGCACCTCAAAAGTGGCTCTGGGGAAATGCCTAGGGCCAATTCCTCCCTTTCACTCACGATTTACTGCCAAAGGTGGTGATCCGGAAGGCGTTTCCAAGCAAGAATGGCATGCAAACGCCTTGAACATGGACGCTGTCCGCGTCAACAAGGCACGCGATATTGGGCATCTCCTGGCGGCCAAGGATGGCTACGCCATCAAAAATGAGAGCTACGTCCTCAGCACTCGTCGGGATTCGGTGTGCGTTCGTGTCGAAGGCCGGCGCGAGCTGGTGGGATTGGGAGCCGTGGCGTTGCGAAGGGCGAGGACACATTCGTTTGGGAATGATCAGGGCCGTTGGGACATGCTGAAGATGGCGGACGTGCGAGAGAGCAATGGGTTCTGGTGCCCTGTAGCCGGGTATTCGGTGTGATGGTCTCCTTCTGTAGGACAACGTGATGTGGTGCGAGACGAAGAAGAAGAGCTGACATGAAGTTCCGATAATCTTTACATGGCGCGTGTCCTGATCCGGCATTTAGCCGCCAAATCCACTCCCAACGACAACGTTGTTACGGAGGATCATTGGTGACATCAACCGACAGTAGCTATTGCTTCCCGCTCGACATCGACTCGTAATTATGGCTTGTCTTTAGCATCGACCGGTAGCATTGTCTATAGCTAGGAACTTCTATCGCTATCCATTGTGACATCGACCAGCATCAGCGTCCGATAGTAGCAGGATATCGTGAAAGAGGTTCTCACCATTGATAATTCATTACCACCAGCATATACTCTTAGCGACAAAACAGCTCCGGCTACAGGCAGTCATCGTCCTTGAATCATTGTTACCGACTGTTGGAGACACCGTGGTTAAGGCGATATACACGCGTTGTCCTCGTTACCAGGTACCTGTCACCATCGGCGACTTACACCCGACATAAGGTTACTAAGCCGTCTTCCCTGACGAAGTACTGCAGGATATAATCCGTACTAGCAATCTATCAATCCGTCTTATCATCACGACGACGTCCTTAACATCCTATCTGTCTGTCCTGCCATCAGCGCCGACTATCCACAAGTCAGCGATTTCTAATTTGAACCCTCGAGGCCGGATATTCACAGGGTCACCCACCCTATCCGTACCGCGACATCAAAAGCCCTGCTCCCAACGTCCATCGGCTGGCAATGAGCGCGGCGGCAAGTTCGCCTACTTGATCGGCTGGCCCGCCATTTTCAAGCTTGAACCGGGGTGGAGCTGAACAGCGACATCATCTATTCGACAACAGACATCTCCCCGAGTGCACAGGACAACACGCAATCGTGGTTGGTAAGGTATATCGCCTTGAGCCAAAGCGGGTCCATCTCCGACCGGACATCAGTGACAGTCCAAACGCACATTCTCCATCCACGATCACCACAAAAGGTGCTCCGACATCCCGAAACTCACACACCATCTCTCTCACATCCGCGCCCCGCCCCTATTCGACCACCCTTCCTCTCCCAACGTAACAAAATGTCCCACTCAAAACGCAACACCTCCCTCGCCTACTTCACCTCGCACGAACGCTCCCTCCTCCGCTCAACATGGGGCACGCAATCCACACGCCTCACCCGCGAGAGTTTGCTCCCCTTTGGATTCTGTCGACTATGTCTATCCTACGCGCGCGATCCGGTATGTTGTGGAGGTGCCAGCGAACCCAAATCGACCGCTGAGAGGCACAGACCCCAAGTCCACCTCTTTTGCCGCGAATGCGCCCTCAACGACATGATGTCCCAGCGGCGGGAGATCCGGCGTCTCGAGCGCGAGACTCAGCTTCGGGAGCGCGAAGCCCTCGAAGCAGAGGCCATGGAGGCCGAACAGAGGCAACAGAAGGAACTCCACCGCTTTGAGCGGAATGAATTGGGGTTTGAGGATGGGGTGGCCAAAAACAAGAGGAAGAGGCCAGCGCATGGCGTGGACGACGACGACGAGCGAGGCAGAGGCAAAAGCGGTAGTTTCTGGATGCCCAGCGTCGCCAGTTCCATGGCCACGACGGCCTCTAAATCTTCTTTGGGCATCTCAAAGCTAAAGCCCAAGAAACTCCATCCGATATGTCCGGCCTCGACGCCACAAACGCAGCATCCATATTCCTTGAAATCGCTTGCCTCGGTGTCTTTCAGTCTCAGCGACTCCGCCGGTCCAGAGGAAAGCCTGGCCGACCAGGAACAGGATCAGGACCACGACCACGACAACCCCAGCCGGATATGTCCCTCGTGCAGAAAGGTGTTGACGAATACTTCGCGCGCCGTGCTCGGCACGGCAGACCAGTGCGGCCACGTCATTTGCGGGGCTTGTGCGGATTTGTTATTCCAGCCACGTCGGGGCGCGGGTCAGGGCAGTGCCGCGGACGACGGAAAATCCAAGGCCATCATTAGATGTTTCGTATGTGACGCGGATTTGAGCGGCATGGAGGATACAGGACATGCGGAAGGAGAAGGAGAAGCGCAAGGGGAAGGCGGCGAGCAAGAGGAAGACACCGCCGAATCAAAGCACAGGCACAAGCACAAGAACGCCAAACTTGACCACGACACGCATACGGACAAAAGTAGGGGCAAAGAAATCGACAGAGACGGAGCCAAAGCGGAGAGACAGAAAGACAACGTCAACGCCAACGCCAACGCCAAACCCAAACCCAAAGCCAGAACTAGGCAGGGCAGACTCGTCGAGATAAGTTGCGAGGGCACGGGCTTTGCGGCGGGCGGCGGATCCAGCATGGCGAAGCGCGAGGGCGTGGCTTTCCAGTGTTGATTGCTGATTGCTGAGAGGGAGAGGAGATACCCCGGAGAAGGGTTGAGCACATCACCGGAATGCGATAGCTGACGCCGATCAAGGACGAAATACTCCATACGTGTGCATAGGTACCTATGTGCCTACGTAGCATGGGTGCGCCGAACTACGGTAGTTGAAAAACAAAGGGCTTCAACTCATCTCATTTCCTTCAACTATACAGAGTACAGACAACTGGTTCTTTGTTGTCTGATAGAATTGAACGTTGTGGAAGGCTATAAGGTGCTGGTCCTCTTGCTCAGATGGTTCGGAATGCATCATTCTCCCTATACTCGTTCAGCTTTACTATTGAACTCACAGAACGGAGCTGAACGGCGCAGGCTGATCCGTCGCCGAGATAGATACTTTGCAGTACATACATATGGTGGATGGCTGCGCAGTACAGTGCCTACTGTAGACGCACTCACAGACAAGAAACATGGTACGTAGGGCGGAGTTCGAGTTCGAGTTCGTCGACGCCCACCATCGTCCATCAACACATGCATGCAGAGAAAATCCTAGGAATCTACTGTGTTACGCTCAATGATTTCGAGTCAAGCCTCTTTGCTCGTGCTCGTCTTCGCCTACAAGGTCAATGTATGTAACGGGTATCTCGCAGAAAAGGCGTCAAGCAATAACAATAAAAGGACCTGTAAACCCAGAATAGAATGTCTTCAATACGAAGGCTGTGCCGCTCACTCGCTCGCTCGCTTGCCAAAATGATAGTGTCGAATCAAGGATCAAACGCGGGTGAACCAATAAAACTCGCCACCGACATCGCCATTGACGTCGATATGCGAGACAAAGAAATCCACAAGGCTCTCACTCATCTCATCGTCTGTCTCCATTGCCTCCGTCACGGATCTTCTGCTGGTACCAGACTCGCCCGGAGTATTGACACCATTCATATCCCTCAGGAAACGCCTCGCGACAAGGACCACTAGTCCGCTTTCTCCAGCTCCTCTTCTTCGCCCTCAAAGCCAACGTCGGCATACTGGGTCTCATCGTCGACACGACTCAATATGTTGGCCATCTTCTGATGATTCTCTAGGAAGTCTTCGCTCATTTCGTCAAGCTGTCTGATCTGCTCGTGAATGCCGGCCAACTGTCCTGCCACGTTACGTGGTCTCCTATCAGTGGCGGTCGTGGTATCGTCGTCGTCTTCACCGCTGCCCCCTCTTAGCGCAGGCACGTCTTCAACAGGACTGGCCCATTTACTCGATTCCAATCCCGGTTTCGACGTCGTAGGTGATTGCGGGTTCATTGAATTCCTCTTGGGACTTTTGCTCTTCGGCCGAGGCTTGGGGCTCGACAGCGCAATAGGCTGAGCTTTCAACTGCTCGAGCTCCTTCTGCGCTGTCTCGGCCAGTGTCCGTTGTGTCTCGATCTCAAGCATTGCTCCTTCGAGCTCGACCTGAAGTGAACTGATCGTCTTGTTCGCATCAGCAAGGCTTGTGTTAGAGGCGTCGGCAGCCTTCGAATCTTGCTCTTTCTCATTCGCCTTCTCGAGTGCGTGCAGGCGCTTGAAGGCCGTCTCCAGCTGGACCTCGTACTCTGATCTGGCTTCCCGGATGACTTGCTCATGCTTAGCCTGCAGAGCTGAAAGCTCGTGCTGGGCGTCAAGGTACTTTCTGTTGAGCTCTTGAAGTCGTGATTGATCCGGGTGCGCGGCGGCTTCTCTTGCGGCCTCGAGCTCTCGACTCATATTGGCTAGAGCAGATTCTCTTTCGTCGATGGCAGCAGCCATCGCCTTGCTGTGCTGCTCTTCGAGCTCTTTGGTCCGTTCGAGCTGCTGAGCATGAGCCTCCTTTGCGGCGTCAAGCTCTTGTCTTATTGCTGCAAGGGCGGATGCATTCTCCTCGGTTGCAAGATCAACTGCTTCGTGGTGCTTTTGCTCCATTTCCTTGGCTCGCTCCTGGTGCTGTGTGGCCAGGGCTTCCGCTTCGGCGAGCTTTTGCTTCAGGGTGGCCAAAGTGGATTCCCGCTCCTCGTCCGCCGCCGCATGTTTCATTTCTAGCTTTTGCGCCTGCTCTTGGGCCTCAGCCAGCTGTTTCCGAAGTAGGTCCAGCTCGGTCGAGAATTGGCCGGCTTCGGCAGCCTCGCGCACCTCCTGCAGCTCCGCAAGGAGTTTGCCTAATGCCGCGTCGTGCTCCAGTTCGAGCTTTTGCAGCGCTTGCTCGTGATCCGTCTGCGCTGTGCTAAAGCGGGAACTAGCGGCCGCATTCTGCTCCTCCAGTTGGTCGACCTGAGACTTCCACTGGCTCTCGAGGGTCTTCATAACCTCGTCCAATTGCGCGTCGTGGGTTTCCTTCAACTTCTGTTCCAGTTCTCCCACCTCCAACTTGGCGGCCGATTGACTCGACTCGATGCTTTTGGCATGTTCATCTTGCATCTGCTCGACCGCTTGCTGGTGCTGCTGTTCCAGGGTAGCCTGCAATTCGGCCAGTGATTTCTCGTGTTCGACGCGCAAGGCATCCCAGTCTTCTTGAACCTTGGCTTCCAAGGCGGTCTTCGCGGCCACAACTTGGTCATGTTGGAATTGAACCTCGCTCATGCGGGCAAGCTTCATCACAGACGTCGACATGTCTGCTCTCAGTTTCTCGATTTCGTCATTGAGCTGTGCTTCCTTCTCTCGGCCATCCTTCTCTGTGTCTTGAAGGATACTCTTCATCATCTGAGCTTGCGCTCTGGCACCTTGAAGGTCCTGTTGAATCGAGTTCATCTGTGATTCTAGCTGGCGCTTCTCTTCCGCGAGGCTCGAGCGTAGCTCTTCCAGAGCCTCTTCCTGGTTTAACTTGGCTTTGCTCTCCATGTCTTGAAGTTGCTCGGCGTGCTCTTCCTTCAAGGCATTGATTGTCTCGGCGTGACGAGACGATACCTGATCTTCCACCAGTTTCAGCTGTTCGGCATGCTCTGCCTTGATCGTCTCCATGGAGTCATCGGAGAGTTTCAGCTGATCTTCCAGACTCTTAATCGCTGCGGCATGGGACTCTTTCAACGAGTTCAGAGCGACCTCATGCTCCGAGGTCCGTTGCCTCTCCAGATCTTCCAATTGCGAGGTATGAGTTGCTCTGAGCTCTGCTACATCCGCTTCTGCCGCGTGAAGCTGTTGCTGGAGCTCCTGCAGCCTCTCAATGTGGGCCTTCTCCGCCTCGTCGACAGCTCTCTGCTGCGCCTCAGCCGCGTCAGCTTTGATGCGATCTACCTGTTCATTGTGACCAGCTTCAATGACTCCAAGATCTTTGAGCGACGCGCTCATCTGCTCCTCCAGTTGCTTGATCTGAGCTGCATGTGTCTTTTTGAGGGATCCCGCCTCTTTTTGTGACGCCTGAAGCTTCTCCTCAAGCTGCTGAATTTGCTCGCTATGGCCGATCTTCAGGGCGTCAAGTTCTTCTTCGTGCTTCGACTGTGAGTTCGACTGGAGATCTTCCACCTCCTTGGCATGTGCAGCTTTCAGCGCAGTGATCTCCTCTTCATGCTTTGACTGGATTCCAGAGTAGATATCTGTAAGCTCCTTCTCATGGGAAGCCTTCAACATCGTGAGCTCTTCCTCAGCAGATCTACTACGAGCCTCATGATCTTTCAGGATCGTTTCGTAGTTTGACGCGGCCTCGTGAAGAGCGCTCGTCGCCGCATCCAATTGGCTTTGTAGACCGGCGAGAGCTCCCTCGTGTTCTGATGCCTTGGCCTCTGCCTCATCCTGTAGCTTTTGGAGCTGTGCCTCGAGGTCTTGGATCCTGCTCGAGTTGGAACTTTTGGCAGCCTCGAGCTCGGCGTTTGCAGCGGCAATGTCGGCTTCCGATTTCTTCAGCATGTCCTGCATTTTGGTATCGCCTGAATCTTGAGCTTTCTTTAGTTGGTCCTGGGCTTCGCTCAACTGTTGCTTGATAGCTTCTAACTGCTTGACCTGGGTTTTCTCAAGCTCTGCTAAAGAGGCTGCTGCTGTTGCAACTGCATCGGCCTTTTCTTGTTGTAGTGTTTTGATCTGCTCCTCGAGCTGGTTCATTGTCTTTGACTGCGCATCATCGGCCTCTTTCTTTGCCTGCTCAAAACTCGAGACTTGAGTCTTCAAGGACTGAACGACCTGCTTCTGACGAGACACCTCTTTGTTGACCTTTGCAAGTTCCTCCTGTTTCTGGCTGATCTCCTTCTGCTTGGTGGCGACTTCAGTTTCCACCTGATCCATGTTGCGCTGGTTTTCAGCTGATTGTGACTTGAGCTGGATTTCGAGGCTTCCGATCTTGGTCTCCAATGTGTTCTTCATCTCGCTGTAGCTGTCTGCCGCAGACGCCCGCTCTGCAGCTGTTTTGCGAAGTTCCTCCAAATCCAGCTTCAGCTGAGTGGCTACATCTTCGGCCGAGGCAAGTTCCTGCGACAGCTGGTTCTTTTCGGACTCGTGTCCATCAGAAAGTTTTTGCAGATGTTCTCGATGAGCATTCTCAAGCTCCTGGACTCTGGTTTTATGAAGAGATCCTAGTTCATCGATTTTGGCTGCGTGTTCTTTTCGAACTACTTCGATAGCTTCCTGCACACGACCACTCTCCTCCGCTGCACTCTGACTGGACACTTCCAGCTTGGTCCGCAGCTCCGTCAACTCGGTCTGCAAAGCCTCAGCTTGGGCTCTGCTTTCAGCCAACTCTTTCTGCAACTCGCTGACAGAGGCATCTTGGACTTCCTCAACCAAACGGGCATCGGCATCGTCCTGAGGCTCGGGATTCGATTCTCCCGTGACGGATTGAATTTCTTCCAATTCTGCCGTTGTAGGCACTCGATCATGCTTCCGTTCGTAATCCCTGACTTTTGCCAGGTCTGACTTTAATTTTGCAATTGTGGTCGCAGCCTCTTGACCCATGGAATGTTGCTCTTGTTCATCGGCACCATCGGCAGTCATGGCAGCTTGTAGCATACTGTTGACGAGTTCGAATTCCCTGATACGTTGCTCAATCAAGACTGACCGGGTGGACTTTCTCGATCCCAGTGCTGGACGGACGGGAACAGTAGTCCGCTCTGTTTTAGACGTAGTATTCTCCTTGTTATCCTCCGACTCGGCGCCCGATTTGACCGCGGGAGAGGCAGGGATCGTGCTTAGACGTTTCCTCTCTCCAACCGACGCTGCGCCAGTGAGCCTTGTTGAGGGGACTGGAGGTCGTGTTCGAGCAGTAGTCGGTTTCGCCGTCGTTGTTGAGGATTGGATGCTAGTTCGCCGCGCAGGGGTGGCAGCGACTGAGTTTGTAGTAGTCGAGGCTCGTTCAGAAGATGTAGACGGAGCCACGGACATCCGCTTGGGCTTTGCAGATATGCCATCCTTCTTTTCGTCGCCCGAAGGTTTCTCGTCCACTGTACTGTCCGAATCTCTTTTCTTATGGGTGGTAGTAGTGGTAGGCTTGCGGATTGTGGACGAGGTGGTGATCGGTCTCGCTGGCGGCTTGCTCAGCGAACTTCCAGCGGCTGGCCGGGTCGTAGAAGAGGTCGTGGTCGGCCGTGAAGTCGTAGCCAACCTGGCAGAGGTAGGCTTGATCGATGGCCTCGCCACAGGTTGCGCCGTCTTCGGCTTGATGGTTGTCGTCTCGTCCTTCTTGTCCATGACTGCGTTGTGAACAGGAAATCTGACAAGAACAACGCAGAAGGAGAGGTGAACGAAGATGTAGATGAATTGAGAGAGAGGTGTCAATCAGGCAAGGGCCGTGTCTCAGACCTGCTGGCTGATGCTGGCATCGACCGATTGGCGACGCAAAATTCGGGGAGCAGCGACGCGTTTATCAAGGTGGGCGTGCATAGCGTGGCCGAGCGTGATATGGTGGCGTAAAGACCCTGGGGCAGCCGTTAGGCAGCGTTAGGGTCGCCCCGACTGCCTAGGGTGCCTGCTTTTGGGCTTAGTTGAGGCGCAAGTAGACGCCGGTAGGCTAGTTAGGCTCGTGGTGGCAGGTGCCTGTACTGTGAGGCTACTGGAGGCTAGGGGTGCTCAGGCACCGACGTATCAAGTAGTGTCCTGCAGGCCCGGTGCCCCCACTATGAAGCCACTAATTGCGATGCTAACATTTTATCACAGGCATTCTCATCCCTAACTTCTTCCCCGAGATTACTCCGTACTCGTGTCGGTTTCAGCCTTTCGCTTGTCTCGCTCCTGTTTTACATGGCTGGCTTCAAGTAACTACATGCTACCACAGTACAGTAATTGGGGTATCTCTGGTCTGCACAAGCATAGTCATACATGTTGTGCACGCTTCAACCTGGGACACTCTTCAACCAGTCCCATTCGCCATTCATGTCGTGTTCAAGCTTGCTTGCCATGATCTGCTTGCACCACTTAGCCTTGGCCACGAGCGTGTCCATGTCATATTTCCCCAGGTAGCGGCCATACGCGTTCATGATTTCTTCCCACCTCGACTCTCCCGTGTGTTTCTGCAGCCCATTGGTCAGTGCGGTCAATTCCTGGTCAGTCCATTCCGGCTCGCTGGGAGCAGGAATATCTTCTGTCGGTTCTCGACGAAGATTGGGTCTGTTCCTCACAGTTGCGGCTTGGGTCTGGCGTGCATCGTCCCCAGCTTGGTGATTCGGCGCCTCCGATTCGTCGTTGGCAATGTCGTCGACGTCAACAACGTGGCCTTGTTGGCTGGAGAGTGGGTGACGCTCGGAGCCTGCGTTCTGATATTGATAACCACTCATTAAACGACTGTACTTGGTGCGAACCGAATCTCGCCATTTCCGATGCTGCTCTTCTAGCTGCATCGAACTCTGGATTGCCAGACAGTTGTGTTCATTTAGCCACCTCGACCTGGCACTTTCCACCAAAGCCTCATTATAGCGCTTTTTGAGAGACTGGATAGGCTGCGCGATCTCGGATTTTGTCTTACTCTTGACGCCACTTTCTAGCCCCGGTCTCGGAGTCCACTTGCCCGCGCTGTCTACCAACTTCTCCGTGATCTCCAGCAGCTGGCAGATCTTTCCGATGGCATATGCGCTGAGCCTGTTGTTCCGAAAGTAGGTCTTCAACGCCGATACTGACAGCCTCAACGAACGGCGGATGAGGTATCCGTAAATGTCTCGAACCATTTTCTGTCTCTCTCTGTCATAGTACATATCGGGCCTGTAAGAATATCGAGAGATCTCGTGGCAACGTCGTACTAGAACGCCCAGTTTATCCAATTCTTCGTCGCTTAACTTTCTTTGGCGCTCAGGATTTCCCACGTGCATCCGTTTGAAGACAGAGGTCATTTGTTCAAACGATCGGTCACAGGCTTTACCAAGTGTAGATTGAACCTCCGTTGAGGCCCTATCCTCTGCGACTTCAGCGGCACCGACCAGAGCAGTAGCCCAGAGCTCCTTACAACCATGGAGATGTACTGCTTCTTCCACGCCCGCCAGCTCTTCGTTGATTATTTCTTGGCGCCGCGCTTTGTCCTCAGCCGCTTGCCGCTTTGCAGCCCGGCAAGTAGCTTCGGTATGGGGCCGTTGAGACTTGGGAGGCGGCTGAGAGGGTCGATGGTCTTCCTCTCCTTGGTGAAGTTCGGGCGATACATTATCGGGATCGCCATTCTTTGTCTGTTCGTCGTCTGCCGAATCTCCTTCTGTGTCATCATTCTCCCTCCTTTCGTTTGAAACTGTCTCTTCTATTGACAGGTCATCTTCTGCTGTACGATCTGTACGTTGGGCATCACGCCCACCTCTGGCGAGTGGCTGCTGTCTCATTCCCGCCAGCCTGGCAGCTTCTGCTGGCGGATTGATAACTCCTGTTGCTGAACGACGATGTTTCTCGATCCGGTTTTGCTGATGATGTGATTCCTGGGCAGTTTTATGCGATTCCGGAAACTCCGGTGAAGGAGATGCAACCCTAGCTGCACTCAAGAACCGGCCGCTAGGCCCACGACTTCTACGAGGCTTCTCGGCAAGCCTGTCCGGATGTGCATCGTTGAAGGCAGCTTCTCCCAACGGTTGCCCATTGAGTTGTGAGGACGATTCGTCATCCTCTCTCTCGGCAGCTCTAAAGATGTCGTCCTCATCGAGGTGTGCTGCAGCAGCGGCAGAAGTCGAAACGTCTTTTGGAGGACGTCCTCTCTTCTGAAGAGACTTGACGATTATTGCCAACTTGTTTGTCTCCTTAAGTGGTCTCCCACGGCGCTTTCTTGGTGAGTCATCTAGGTTGATCCTGGCGTTTGTGAGCGTTGCCAATTCACCTTGGCCCTTGAATGGCGATGCTGTATTTTGAGACAACGTCTTTTTCAGCAACCGCAGCTTTTTGACGGGCTCTGTCGGTTTACGCCAACCCTCTTCTCCATCGTCTTCCGTCGGGTATTCGAAAAGGTTTCGATTGTTGAGACGCATAGGCGCGGGGAGTGACTTGCGAGCCTGTAACCTGGTAGACTGGCGCCGTGGAGAAGTCGTTGTCACGGCCAGAGGCTGGAGCTGGATTCGTTTCCTGGAGGGGCTCTCCACCATAGTATCACCACCTGAAGTACGCCTTCTCTTTCTAGAAGGGGGCCGAGCGGCGGCTGCGGCCTCCTCATTCAGGATTGCGGTAACATCTTCGGCGTCCTGCTCGTCGACTTCGACAGATCGGTGCACGCCCGATCTGCGCGTGAGTCGCCTCATGGGTGGTAGTGGAAGTGGACATGGATGCTGGAGGTTGGAGTCCCGGGGTCCTGTGGCTGCCGTGCCGTCGCGTTCATGGCGTTGAATGCGTTGCTGAGGGGAACGAGGCTGCAAGAACCCAAAGAGGCAAGTTAGACGTCATCTGCAAGGCTGGAGAACAGCCTCGTCAAAGACGGTTGGCCCTTTTCCTGTTTCCTGTCCGCGACCATGACATCTCCTTGTGCGCCAGAGTGATCATTGCGGTTAGGAGGGTATTTTGACTCTGATCCCCATCGGCGACTGCTTGAAAGAACGTGACTATGGCGAGTTTCCCCAGTCTGCAGAAAATCCCCGATATCAGAGCCCATCACTTCGAGAAACCGGGCAAGAAGATATACGACGGGGCCGACGTCTCTTTCTTTCTCACCTCCCTCGCCTACCGCGATGTTATGACATTCATGCTTCAACTTAACAGATCGGTTGTGCCACGCAAAAGCCACGTCGGCGAAGCAGCCACAACCTCAGCCTGGTTGTTGAACGCTGAGGACATTACCTTTTCAGACGCAGTTTTTAGATTACGTGCTCTACTGGACAAACTATCGCGCCTTATTGATGATGTCCCGCCGGACACTGGTCCGACTAGATTCGGCAACATCAGCTTCCGCAAGTGGTACAAGATCGTTGAAGACAGGATCGACGAACTGCTGGCCGAGGTTCTACCCGAACAGATCAAGCCAGCGTCGGAGGAAATAGCAGCGTACTTGCTGGGCTCATTCGGTAGCGCACAGAGGCTCGACTATGGCACAGGTCATGAGCTCAGCTTTCTGGCATTTTTGGCGTGCCTGTGGAAACTGGACTTCTTTCCCCCTTCGGAACCCGGTGTGGAGGAAAGAGGCATCGTCCTCGGCGTTTTCGAACAGTATCTTTCTGTTATCCGCAAACTGATCAAGGTCTACAACCTGGAACCGGCCGGGTCGCATGGGGTATGGGGTCTCGACGACAATTCGTTCCTACCGTACATCTTCGGCTCCGCCCAACTATGTCCCCCCATTGATGAGACCGACGAGACGCCCATAGAAGGGTCCCTCGTCAACGCGCCCGAACCGTCCTCCGTGACCAAGCAGAACCTAGTGGACAAGGAGAAAGACTCAAACATGTACTTTTCTGCCATCGCCTTTATCTACGACGTCAAGAAGGGCCCCTTTTGGGAACACAGCCCCATGCTCTACGACATATCCGGCATCAAGGACGGCTGGGGCAAGATCAACAAGGGCATGATCAAGATGTACAACGCCGAAGTGCTGTCCAAGTTTCCCGTAGTCCAGCACTTCCCATTTGGATCTCTCTTCAAGTGGGAAAAAGACCCTCAAGCAAAAGAGCTGCCACCCTCGACACATACTCAGAGCCAACCACTTCGGAACCCAACCGACACTCATGCGCCGAGTACCATGCGGCTGAGCGGCCCGGTGATCGGCACAACGGCTGCTCCTTGGGCTGGCAAGCCTCCAGCAGCCCCAATTGGGTTTGCCAACGGAGTCACGCAAGCGCCGTGGGCAAGTCGAACGCCAGCACCACCTCTACCTCGAGGGGGCTTTGCAGCGGCGCGACGACAACCGATGCCTTCCGTGAATGAGACTGGCAGGAAGCCCACCCAACGGCCTTTAGACGAGCAGAAATGAGCACACGCCAGGAGGAATAGAACCGGGGTGTATGATTATGTTAATAATTACGGGGTACTTGCTATGGTGATGAACCTATGATAGTCGTGGGCTGTTTTGGGGGCCACGCAGCCTCTGCTCTAGGTAGCGGAACTAGAGTGCGTACGAAGCAGCGAGTACCTATAGTGTACTGTATTGATATGGGTATCGCTTCAAGCTGGAGGAGCGGGCGCGTGCCCACAATGGCGCATGCCACAGCAACATCGATGGCGCATGCGTGGCGCATTACTGGCGAGGCGGCCTCGGCGGCTTAAGTAACTCATTAGTCATCCACAAAATTCCCCGCCGTACCCCGTAGTCCGTACTGGGTACATTTACTGGAACTACTCGCGACTCTGCCGCACAAGGACGGCGGATTTCGAGTCGCAGCAACAAAACACTCTACACACAGCGCAGTGTAACGGCGGATACCGCGAAACTTCCGCCATTGCTTCGTTCATTGCAACACCCTCTGCGCCCTTCAGGGTTCACACATCCAATAAACCTTCCCACGAGAGATGTGTTTAGCTGCCCCCAGTCCTCGCCCCACCTCACCCGCTCAGCATCTCACCAACAACTCCACGCCAGACTGTTCTGTACAGTCTAGAGACTACTCGTACACTCCAGTGTCTCCAGCGGCTGCCTTAGCCACGGCCTACTCCGCTCGCGCTCTCCTAGCAGCTCGTCCTTCCCCGTCCTCCCTCTCATCCTACGAGTACCTCGTACCGCCACCACCACCGCCAAAATGCAAGGCTTCAACATGGGCCGCTACATCCCGCCTGACCTCGAAGGCCGGGTGTCCGCCAACACGGCCTCAGGCAAGGGTCACGCGCTCGGTTCGCGCGCCCGCAAGCTCAAGTCCGAGGGCATCCTGACCGTGCGGTTCGAATGTCCGTTTCCCATATGGTGCACGACATGCCATCCCGAGCAAATCATCGCGCAAGGCGTGCGGTTCAACGCGGAGAAGAAAAAAGTAGGCGCCTACTTCAGCACGCCCGTTTGGGAATTTCGGTTCAAACATACGCTGTGCGGCGGGTGGGTGGGTGTGCGCACGGATCCACAGAACGCCGAATATGTGGTCACTGAGGGCGGGAGACGGCGGGATTTCGGGACAACAGCAGACGATGGTGTGGGGCCACGCGCAGTCACGGAGGAGGAGAAGGACAGGCTGGAAAAGGACGGCGGGTTCGGCGCCGTGGAGAAGAAAGTCGCGGACAGGACTGTCGCAGAGACGCAGAAGGCCAGGCTGGAGGAGTTGATGCGCGCGAGTCGGCGCGACTGGGAAGATCCGTACGAGAAGAGCAGGTTGTTGAGGCGGGGATTTCGCGTCGGGAGGAGGAAGAGGCAGGCCGACGAGAGGACGGGGGAGGCCTTGAAGTTTAAATTTGGCCTCGCGGCGGAGATGGAGATGTTGCCCGAACGGGAGGAGGATAACGAGAGGGTCAAGTTCTTGGAGTTTGGCGAGCAGAGCGGCGGACCGAAGGAAGGCTTGAGCTCGAGTAAGCCGTTGTTTCGGAGGGGCATTACCGCCACTGGTGGTGGTGGTGGGGGCTCCTCGAATGCTGCCTCGACTACGGGCAAGGTCAAGGCAAAAGCCGACAAGAAGGAGATGTTGGGCAACGCATTGAGAGGCAACTCCAGAACTGCGGTTGATCCGTTCCTGCGCGACGATAATCTCTGGCAACCGAGGGTGAAACGGAAACGAGAGGACGGACAACCTGGAAGGGAGCTGGAGGAGAGGAAACCTGCTCCTGTTGATGGCGGCACCAACGTGGCGTTGGTCGGTTATGACTCGGATTCATCATGATACCCCCGGACATTTAATGTCCATGCACTGTATGATTTTACAGATATTACTTGTACCTGTATATGACTTTTCCCACCAAGATATGAGCCCTGGGCTCTATATCGTTCAAGTGCGCTTTGAGCTCCTCTCGTGGCATGATATCATATCATCCCTTGGACGCTTCCTGTTTCCTGGGCAAAAATTGACTGGCCGTCCCAGTGCACTGTCGAAGAACCCAGCATTCAGTCCATCTCTCCCAGGCTATTCAACAGCCACTCAGGCTCAGCGTCGTCTTCCTCGGGGTCATGCGAGAGGAGGGAGCCCGGCGTAGGAGCCGAGGCAGGACTTTCTCCATTTGCGGCCTCGTGTTGGTTCAGCTCCAGTGTGCCCTCGTCCGGGTTAGCAGGAGGCGGAGGTGGAGGCGGTTGTGCCGCGGATGGACCAACCTCAGTTGAATAGACCATGGCCACTTCAGTATTTTCGCAGTCTCCGGCGTCCCGGTATTCATGGCGAATGTTGTTGGACTCGGGGCTTCCCAGAGTGGTAGACGCGGTCGAAGGGCCCGTAGCGGCGCCAGCGTCGTTGGCCGTGGCCGAGGCCGCGTCCGTCTCCGGTCCGGGTAAGAAGCCTCCTGCTCGTTCCTCGTCAGTTGTGCTTGCTAGCGTGTGCGTTTTGGATGCTTCAGTCTCGGTCACGAAGCCACCACTTGCTTCGTCCTCGTCGTCTAACAGAAACCCGCCACCTTCATTGTCGTCCTCAGCCTCGTCCTCGCGGATGAATCCGCCGCTTTCTGAATTGGCAGCCGCTTCGGAGTCTACTTTCCCTGGTGCGAGGATTGCGGGATGGTTATTGTCAAGCATGAAACCTCCCTCATCGGCCACGTTAGGTTTGTTTTCTTGATAGTTGCTCTGCTGCATTGGTGGTTCTTGCGCGGGCGGTTGTGGGAGCTTGTGGGGAGACCGAACAACAATAACCTCTTGATGCACCACTTCCGGGGGAAGCTCGAGCGGTCTCAAACTGGGCATCTTAGACGGCGTCAGCGCTGTCGCAGCGCCCTCGTCGCTCTCGCCGGGTTCACCTTCTTCGAGCATGAAACCCCCTCCGTCGTCCTCCGGCTTATATGTGGTGTCATCTTCGTCGTCATCGTCGTCCACAAGGAGGGCTTTGCCTTTTGTGCCTTCCTCACGATCCCCATATTGGTGCTGCACATGTGCTCGTACACGCATTGCAGTGAGCCAGCGTTTCCACATCGCCAGAAGGATTTTAGTTCGTGCCTCTTCGGCCTCTTCTGATGCCTGCGACTCTAGTGCTTCAATCACGGTGATCATTGCATTCGTCATGTTCATGGCGACTACTACGCCGTCGATGACAGCCGTGCCTTGTCGGCCTTTGAATTGAAAGCCTGTCACAGCATCCACGTAGTCGATCCCAAGAATGCGAGTTGCTTTCGCGGCAAGAGGATGTCGGATGTGGACGGCCCCTGCTGGAATCATTGACGCCACGTAGACATCGAGGTTACCGTAGGCATTCCTCGGTACTTTGCCGTCGACGACCGGAGGTGGCTTGTGCAAGCTAGTCTGGAACTCGGCGTATAAAGCCGTGCCACCGGCGGCATCTTCGTCGTCATCAAAGTCATCGGCAGCCGGCGTCCGGGTCCGTCTGGGAACAGCCCGTTTCAGCGGCTGCTCCCCTTCGTTGACATCTCTTCCTCGTCGATACCAAGCATCGGCAGTTCGGCAAACATGGACGTCTCGGCGGCGAAACACGCTGACGAGCTTAGAGTCCTTTCCGAACCCTATCTTGACTTTGCCTGACTCGCGTCTCGGGTGAATGACTTCGTTCTTGCGCAAATGCCGCTCCAAAACATACACTGAATGACCTCGGAAATCTTCAATGTTATTAGGCATGGGCTCGCTCTCGGTGCGCGTATGAAGAAACGCATCCTCAATGTCATCTCGAGCTTCGCGAAAGGGCTTCTCAAAAAATCGCATGGTCTTATCCCACCATTTCTCGCCTCCTGGAGTGCTTTCGACCCGCTGTTTTCGGACCTTCGAATTGTAGAATTGAGTGTAACGTCTCGTTACGTCTTTTGCCGAGCCATCATCTTCGAATGCAATCACGTATGTCATCTTGTTGTAGCTGTCATTGGCGTAAGGTTCAAACCCCGTCTTCGGCTTGTTGATCGTTTGACGGACGATAGGGTCCACAGGAATCCATGTTTGTATGGCCGGAGAGAAAACCTCAACCCAAAAGATCGGAAACATTGACTCTGAAAACACTTTTCGCGTCTGCGCGCTTGTGCCGGATGTTGAGCCGTAGTCTTGAGGAGGCGCACGAATATATTCTGCCTTTGGCTTCTGCGGCGTCTGTCCCTTTGCAACTCTCGAAAAAGGTAAGACTTGCAACGAGCACACCAAGCGGGCGTCAACAGCAATGGAACGAAGTAGGGCACAGAACAGCTGAGCAGCTAGATCTCTCGACCCACGTTTTGAGATCGCTGCAGTCTTGAAGTCATCGAAGTCGAGGTCCTCGGTGTCATCGCTTTCCTTGACAGCATCGACATCATCTCTCCAAAAAGCACGTGTCATCCCCCTTCCCTCTATTGTCCACACGCTTTCCCAGATAGAGCATACTTCTTCGATTCCTGTCATGAAGGACCGGTTTCGTTCATATTGGGCCTTTCGTTCGTCCACATGAAGCAACGATGTAGTTTTCCGCCGGACAAGGGGCTTCAAAATGGCTTGTAATGTCTCACTATTGCACCAATGATTTCGACATTTGAGATTCGCTAGTAACATGACGAGATGCGCTTTATGCACATCCAAACGAAGCCGTCTTTCTGCCGCATTTACAGGTTTCCGTCTTGGTGTAGCACGTGTAGGCGTGGACACTTTGGAAAGGTTGAGCTCGAGAGGCTTCTCGTCTGGTTCATCATCGTATTCAGCCTCTTCAGCAAGTGGCTCGAGGTTGACATCCTCAAATTCGGGATCTGACTCGGTTGCAGTATCGAACTCAGTGAGGGTGACCTGTTGGAGCCGTGCAGGTTCGGACTCGACGGGTGCAGGACTTCGAACATTATCAGGTCCGCTGAATAGATTTACATCAAGCTCAATCTTGCTCCAGGGTTCCTCGCTTGTTTTGCGTCGCTTTGCTGGTCTCGGGGGCGAAGCTGTGGCATGCTCCTCCGCAAGAGCCTCAGCAAGCATCTCGCCATAGACGCCTCCAATGTCATCTTCGGGCCTGCCACGACCACGCTGACTAGCAGACTGACACGCTGCCGGGGCCGGTTGTTTTGCTGTACGTTTCTTCTTAGGCGGCATTGAGTCGGACAGCTGTCAGGACAGGTTATGACATGTCGCTTTTGCTTTCAATGCCGATCTGCAGCGTCCCCTGCTGTTATCATAACGGCATAATGGTCCCCGGTGCCTTCAATCAATGATCTGCAGACGGTTCGAGGAAAACTGCCGTTCGGGAAAGAGACTTGGTCCGGTACCGGTGAAAATGCGATACAACGGCAAGGGGATAAGTCTCTGCCACCGAATGGATGTTCGCTCTGTTGTAGCCTGATGGCCAGAGTCACATGATGTCATAAGAATACTGTCACGTGATCATGTCCTCTGGGGGCACATCGTCCATTATGAGTACGGAGTACGTCGCCGCCAAAAAAGCTACCCAGCCTGTTACAGGTCGATAGAGGTGTTAAGCCGACTCAAGCATGTCCAATCCAAAGGCCTATACGTAGACTGTAGCGAGACAGCGTGGCTGTGCCTTTGAGAGTTCTGCGATTTAGGCGAGCTCAAAAACTTGTATCAACCGCTCTTTTGCGCAGGAAAGTGAAGACTTTAGTAAAGGGGGCTTAGTGAAGGGCGGAGGATTCAGTGAAGGGGAGCCAATATCTGATCGATAGTGAATTTCCCGCCCGCCGGCGGAAAACCGGCCCCCACCCCCCTACATCCCCCCTTTACAGGCAAAAAAGCAATTCCCAGCACCCCTACAGTGCTATAGGGGTCTTCGGGCTGAACTGGGAATTGAACCCAGGACCTCTTACATTCAAGGTAAAGGACCCAAAGCAAGAATTATACCACTAAACCATTCAGCCGCATGGGAGAGACCGCCTGTGCGGATAATTCGAGTAGCAATTTTGAGATTATATGTTATCACCCGAAAACCTTTGTGGACCTCGGAGCCCGGCTAAAGCTTCCCCAACTGATGTGAACTCCGATAGTGGCGGCAATTTGCGGCGAAATCTCCAAGAATTGTTATAACAGCAAAAAATTTGTAGGACTTTCATATGGTCCAGTAGTCAGTCTTGCTCCAGGGCCCCTTCCATTTCGCAGCCCCAGAGGCAATACAATATGGGGAGCTTGAAGACCCATGCGGCGCAGTTGGAGCGCAACAAAATCAAAGGTTAGTTGGCACAAACGTCTGTGGTTCTTTTCCATACATAACACTAATCCTCGGGAGCAGACTTCGATCCCGAAGACGAAGCATATCTGCAACCAGCCGGCAGTGACGACCCTGAGTCTGAGGAAGACGGACGAAACAATGCAGGCCGTGAGCACTACGAAGCGGTCGATCAGAGCCGATTGCGAAAGCCAGCGCAGCCAATTCTTGGGCCAAAATATGAGGGCGTGGCTGTAACTCGCAAAGCGCTGGAAGATGATGCTGATGACGACGATCCATTTGCGCCAGTTGAAGAAGACGACGAGGAGGATCCCTTTGCCACCAAGGGCGGGCAAGCTTCCGGCTCCGAAGGTGGGCCAGAAGAGGCTGACGATCTGGATCTGGACTTAGAAGCTGAAGAGGACGAGGAGATTGACAGTGATGAGGCCCTGGGTGAGAGCGACGTGGAGCGCTTCAAACACTTGAAATTTCGCGGCAGCAAGAGCAATCAGACAAAGGCCGTCGGATCGGATGAGGATGGGTTTCCAGAAGCAGATGCAGATCCAGAGGATTTGCTTTCAGACGAGTCCGACAGTAAATCCACCGATCCTTCTGACATTGACATGGAGGACAAGGAAGACGAAGATGACGCTTCCTCGGCATCTTCAGCCACTTCTCCACCTCCACGGCGCAGCAAATCAGCACGTTCCATGGATCGCGAAGAACTCAGAAGAGCCGCAGAGTCCGCATCAACTGCTGGGCTGGCATCTACGCTTTCAACTGGGGCCACTGCCGACGTGAAGAAAGGTCAGGCGGTCAAGCAGCAGCGGCAGGCCTTCGAACGCCTCCTAGATGCCCGGATCAAGCTACAGAAAGGTGTTGCTGCTATGAACGAGTTGCCTTCGGATACAATCACCGATGAGGAAGTCAAAGCTGCCGCAAGAAAAGCCGAGGATGCGGCGCTCACGTTATGGTCAACTATTGATTCCATCCGCTCGAGCATCCTCTCCAACCAGATTGACACTACCCCTGACTCCAATAAGGCAGAACGAAAGCGCCCGCTCAATCCAACAGGCTCGACCTCCCTTACACAAATCTGGGAACACACCACCTCTCTCGAGACGCAAGCCCAGGCGCACCGCCGCACAGTCCTTGACAAATGGCACACAAAAACCCAACCAATTCTCGACACTACGCAACAACGATCAAAGCTTCTAAAGCCGTCACAAGCAGGGAATTCCCGCCTTACAGACGTGCTCGACACCTACCTGCTTTCAGAATCCTCCAAGATCACTTCTCATTCCTACTCGTCGTCAACCCACGCATTCGATGACACTACATTCTATCAATCCCTCCTCCGCGACCTGGTCGCTTCCCGCTCAGCAGCGAATGCCAGCGGCGTCCTCACCACGCAACTGGCTGGTCCTCAAAAGTTACACCCAAGTGGCAGTAAAAACAAAAAGATTGACACCAAAGCATCCAAAGGTCGCAAAATCAGGTATACGGTACACGAAAAGCTAGAGAACTTCATGGCACCTGAGGATCGAAATACGTGGACGGAGGCTGCGAGGGCAGAGTTCTTCGGGAGTCTACTAGGAAACGTGAATGCATTGGCAGAGAAGGAAGTAAGTGGAATGGATGAAATGGATGAAGAGATCACCGAAGGAGAGGCGTTGAGGCTGTTTAGAAGCTGAGATGAGCTTGCCTACGCTCTCCAGAATCACGAAAGGCTACTATCTTCCCACGTGTCCTCGATTTCTTGACGATAAGTGAACAGCCGAGTAGCTCGTGGTGGTCGATGTGCTGACGAACCAAATCTCAACGTCACGTGTGTCGTGTTTCCGGTCGCGTCGAATGTGGACGCGTTGACATCATGCGAACCCACTAGGACGCATTTCCGCCGTGAGGGCGTCGAATTTCGAGACTCCCTCGCTCTGTTCCTGGCAGACCACTCTCAGTCTCTCTATGGCAGGATGTCTGAAAATTCCCTGCCGTGGTCCATTACCAGCACCAAGCGCAAATTCAAGTCAGGGCTGCTACCCACGCCTGCAGCTCGGAAGCGGCGACGGGTAAGTGAAGCACCGGACGGCACCAAACCAGCACGCACAAAAAGTCAGCGGACTTTGACTCAGGCTCGATGGTTGACTACTCTGCCTCCGAGTTACAATGATGGCGACATGCAATTGCTGGATGAAGGGCAGCTGCGAAATGGGCAACAAAAGAGGGAATCCAGACGCAATGTGAAGAAACGCGATTCTACCTTGACTCAAATCGGCTTTTTCGGCTTTCCACCCTCCGAACAGCAGGACTTCGACCATACAATGGTTACATCTCCCGAAGGACGTGCTGTGCCTCAACTAGACGGAACCCACGACAGTCCAAGGAAACCCCGAGCCCGCAAAGTGACCCCAGCCGTGGCCGTCTCATCCTCAAAGCGAAGGGCCGCACCGGAGAGCCAAGAAGAATACAAGTCTAGAACAAGAAAAAGGAAGAGTGAGCCTGCTGAACAACAGCCAAGTGGCTCAGCGAAGAGAAAGTCCAGGCGCCTAGCGACGAAGAATGAGGTCTTCTCAGACCCGGTCCAGAATTTCGACTATTTCGCACAAGCACTGCCCTCTCCTGCGCCCGTTGACAAGGACGAGAACACCGACGAGCCTTTCAACTACCCGTTGGAAATCAAGGACTCCACAGAGATAGACGAAGATCCTTTGCCAGAACCACGTCCGGCTTCACGTCCCTCGTTGCTACCAGAGACTCCGAAGAAATGTATTGTTTTGTCAAGTCAAACACCGGAAAGTCTGTGTGCGAGCACACGGAGGACGAAAGGAAGGATCTGTGAGACTCCGACCAAGGCTCAGCGAACCCCACTGGCTGAGCGCTCGACCAATGTGCCCGTGTATAATACTTCTAGAAAAGCCGGGACGAGAGGTCGGACTCCCAAGCGTCACTCGCCGAAACGCAAGGTGATCGTCCTGAAGCTGCCAAAGCGTAATCAACAGCGGCATGCTACACGTATCGAAGACTCTCAGAACTTGTGGTCGATTCCATCATCTTCGCCCAAACCCGGGACGAATCCTACGCCGCCTCCGCTGGCTGCAGTGGTACGCGGCACTGAGGGCGAACTCGAGATTCCGGCAACAAGCCAGGCACAGGGTACCCAGGAGAGCCCTGTTGGGAGCCAGGACAGTCTACCAAGCTTTGCTAACCTCTTCTCCGCACTGGGAAGTGGTGGAGCCAAAATAGGTACTGGCGCCCATCCTCACTCACCAGGGGCTTTTGTAGAGAAAGGGGAAGGCATTATTGTAAGAGATTTTGCTGCTGTCGCTCCGTGCAGTGACCCTCGCCCCGGCTCGACTGATGCCGAGCACCCGCGGTCGCCATCTCTTCAAGTCAAACTAGCACCAGAACTATGCAACTTCACCGACAGAACTTCAAACATTAGTGACGAAGACTTTGAACAGCTGGATTTCGGCTCACCCGTGGCGAATGATACGCAGTTCAATGTTCAGGTGCAGCATCGCGTTTCCTCCCCCCTCCCGTTAAAGCGAGCACCGGGAACTCCAGAGGCAGTGATCGATCATTCACGTCCGTCAACGCCGACATTGCATGCAGCTGGTGTCACGTTTGGTCACGGGCCCGACACTTATCTTTCTGATACTGAGAGAGTAGGCTCGTCACAGTCCCCAATTCCAGCCCCTAGATTGGTGCCGCGATCCAGCGTTGACCCGGATCATGCGGGCGTCGTGCTGGACGATGACGACTTGAACGAGGTGCCTCTTCCGAGGACGCCTGTGTTTATCCATCCAGCAAGTATCCGTCGCACAACTAGTACCCAAGCGCCGCTGAATGACGCCTCAATCGACTCATCCTCGCCCCGACTGCGACCAGTGCGGAGCAATACACAAAAGTCTATCCATCCTGCGTCAATTCCGCATCCTTCTCAGATGTCCACTCAAGAGCCTACGCAGGCATTCCTGCCACCTTCATCAATGCCACAGAATGGCTATGATGATTCAATGGGGAGACCCGAGACGTTCAAAATCAAGGACTCGAGTTCTTCAAGTGTACATATGAGTCAGATCCCTCGCAATCGCGAAAGTAACCCAACTGGACTGGAAGCTGGCGAATCTCTTAGTTTAGAGAATGGCTGGGAAGATGAGGGCGATCTTGATCTCGACCCTCCGTCATCCCCTATTCAGCCTTCTCAAACACCGCGGCCTCAGGCAAAGCCTCTGCAACGGCCTCTGGAGACAATTCCCACAAGCAGGGAAAGCGAGATGACCACTCCTGCCTTAACTTCTGGGACCACATCGTCTCCACCAGTGCAGCGACACTCCGACCTTGGGAATGATTCGGATCCCGTTCATGATTCGCAACTATCTCCTTCTTCCAAACCCAGGCGCTCAGGGCCTGTAAGGAGGCAAGATATGAGCGACGACTCCCACATTCAAGGCTCTCAACCCTCGGACTCTCTCCCATCCACACCCGACAAGCCTCCGCCCCTGCGGAAGCAGTATTCCCCGATCCCGGGTTTCAATAACGAGACACAATCGAACTTCACGCAGAATGGGCACGTTACTGCTGCGTTTATCCACCGCCAACGGGAGGCTGGACTGTATCCGACGTGGTTTGTCCCTACGCCGTATCAGGTACCGGGCTATACAAGACGGAAGTAACTTCATTTGAGGGTCATGATGGTATCGACAGCGAAGACGTCGAAGAGGTGGGATTCGCGTATGGATATGCCGCAGGCGACAGTGATAGCGATAGGACGTTCTGTCTAAATTAGTTGTGGACTTACGGGGACAAGCACTCTTTCAGTCAAGTGTGCGCGGGAGTTCAACGTTGTGACCAAGCTCTGTGTAGCGCTACACAGGGTGATGTAGCTCAGATCCTTTCCTCACGCACCAAGTGTCAGCGTCAGCATGAGAAACGAGCAGCCGAACCAGATTACATACGAGTGAATGACAAGTAGATGCCTAAGTATCTGATCTACCTCTTCTCTCTCGAACCAGCTTTCATCAACAGAACTAGCATGGAAGTACTTCAATTCGTAAGCACCCATGGATGGAGCCTTTGAATCTCATAGTTGACCTAGGTATCCATCAGTGAGGCGCTTTAATTGTCTTTCAGCCTGTGAAGTGCCAGATATCAGAGCCAGCAGTTCTCTGCGCACAGCCAGCCTGCGTGCGCATGCGCGGCATGGGGTGCGCCGGTTCAGGGGAGACAGTCTGTGGCACTGATCAAACACCTATTCGCTGGTCCCTCCCTCGCCTTCCACTCGCAACCCAAATTGTGTCCTTGATACGGTGATAGATAGACCTTAGCCAATCAGTCACTTTGCAGTGTACGTGCAGCTGATGTTTTAACCTCCTCATGTATGCATTTCCTTCCCCGGCGGAAAGAGCCATAGACAGACCGACTGCAAGAACTCATTCATAACTTGCTCCCCCTCTGATTCCGGTCACCTTGATCCTCATCTTCCTGGAGCACAAAGTACCACTTGACGCCCAACATGTTAATCCACCCATCCCCACACAGACCCTCTTTCCTCGCGACATCCAACATCCCTTCGAATCTCCTCCTCCCCTTGACCTCGATGGTGATGCTCTCCAACCCCTCCGGTTTTCCATCCACTCCAGGCACAAAGCTCAACCTCGAATTGGTGAACACCAACTGACTTTTTCCCTCGCGTGGGATCCCGAAATAGTCCTCCCACTGCCGTGCGGCAGCTTCCACGTCTGCTTGCCCCGGCGCCAGACGCAGCGTGGTGTTGAGCAGCTTTAAATGCGCACAGCGCTTCATCCCGCTCGAATACTTGTGGTAGTCACTCCCACAGGCGTGCCACGGACTGAACGCGCTCTCTAGGGGCGTGGGGTTCGTTGGCGACGGTGCGTGCGAGTCTAATTCGGGCATCATCCCGCCTGCGTTCCACATCGTCCTGATAGTCAGCGAGTCGGCTCATTACCACGCAGTGAAGTCTCTACTGTTCTCACCCGCAATTCCCTTCGGATGGTACTGCACGCACAGCACATCGTCGTGCGCGTGGCTGAATATCACCCTCGCGAGGCCGCGGGATTCAATGTCCTTTCTCCGCGCTGCGGCGTCCAACGTCTGCATGATGATCATGTACCCTCCCTCGCCTCGCTTCTTGAGCAGTCTGCCCGCGGTGGTGTCGTCTTTGAAAGGGGCGACAACTTCGATGAGATCGCCTCCGATGGCCACTTGTGCCGGCGCGAGTCAGCAAGAAGGCCACCTGGTGAGTTTGGAGTGGGAGCAAACCCCAGCGCCTTTGTAGTGAGAGTGGGAGTGGGAGTGGGAGTGGGAGTATGAGTGCATCGAAGCAACCCTGGCAGCATTTCTCACCTACATACCTAGAAAGTTCTTCAACCCCCATTGCGCAACCTGCGGATCGACAAAGACGACTTCCGTCCCGAGAACGGTTGTCTAGGTATAATTATTCACGAGTCCTTACAGGTAAGATGAAAGGACGGGGCGTCAAGAGTCGGGGGAAAGCAAGCACCTACGTACCAGGAGATGTTGAGCGCGGTCGAGATCCTCTGCCACCAAGGCGATCTGACGCAGGCGTGTCGGGGACGCGGTGGTCAATGTTGATCCTTTGTCATCGTTGGTGTTTGCCATTGCTGCTCTGTATGTGCCTCGCCCTGGTGTAATTAGCCGAGCTTCGAGTGACTCGCCTTCTCGCTCAGTAGTGTACTCGCTACTTTCAGTCGGTTGTGCCAATGAGCCGTTTCCAACAAGGCATAACTATGCGACGCTTTTCTCGAGAGATTTCACTGTTGCCGTGTCGAGGAAGGTCTTACGATTCATATCACCATCGCAATACAGTAAGCTGACGTGCGCGAGGAGCGAGTGCTGTCTTTGTCCATGGACCTCGGCATAGCACCGCGCAACGAAACCTCCTCACGAAATGGCACAACTACCTACTGTACTGCTGTCATGCCTTTCCTAAAATACGTACCAGGTAATTATCAAATGCGAAAAGCGAACACCATGTATGCGCATCGGATCAAGACCGGTGAGATCCCACGCAGTATGCAGTCAGTCATTTACTACCCCTTTCGCGCTGCTCTGGTCACGCATCACATGAACTGCCACCTCCACCTACGAGGGAGATATACTTAAAAGGTACGGAGTACTCCGTAGTTTACTCCCTACAGAGTGCTACATACCTCATACGTAACCATACATGACCACATGCGTCAGCTCCAGTTCACCAAAAGCATTGCTACGTAGCTAGGTACTCGAGGCGCCCAGCACCTAGGTATGCTTTCTTCGTGATACAGGAGGAGACACACGACGAGGACCATGAAAATTGCCATGACTGCTACTACGGTCCCAGCTATCCCGATGCAGCGCGAGGGTGGTGTCCCAAGTCTGCATACCTGGTTAGGCCCATCCCAGGTTCGCCAGGACGAAACGTTGCGAGGCACAGTACTTGAATGGTAGTCGTCAAAAACGGATCAGGACTGCAATGTCGAAGGAGCGCAGCTACATATATGTACGCGAGCAGGAAGCTGTTGTCCGATCGCAGACTGTCCAATGCTGTATCAACGCAAACTCCGTTCATTGACGTAAGTTGAGTTGAGTTGAATTGTCGAGGCGAACTGAAGTGCAACGCTCAGCAACAGGCTTGGTCTCGTCGAGTTACGAGTCAACGCTACCTCAATCACATCTCACCGGGCCATCTATCGATTTTTGGATTGACGTGGGTATTATCTATGTATCCTGGCATCAACGACAGCTCATGTCTTGCCTGCCTGGACGCCTATCTCAGCTGTCTTCTTCTCTCGCGCTAAACAGCATCAAGTACTCCAGTATCCTCAAACTCTCCCATCACCTGCTCACTAACAGCCAGGATATGGTTTCGAAAAGTTAAGGCACAAGAAGGACGAACCCAAGCACAGAATTTTCCCCCTTGAGATAATGGATCTCCGTCGTAAAGTACATGGTTTCAAGAATAGGAAAGGCATCTGCCGTCGTTTCCGTGAAAGGTCTGAACAAAGTCACAGTTCGAGCTTTTCAGGGCTGTGTTCAAATCGCCATGCCAGGTCCGAGCTTGGAAGGTCCAACAGGAGAATTTCGTTTCTCCCTCACAGTGCTGGCCGAGTTGCTCCTTCGTCGACTGACATCAGCCATTGGGGGCGGGCCATTTCGACCGCCGTACGGGCCTGGCGACATGCTTCTTCCAGGTGGTCCAGGTCTCGGTCCACCTCTCGGTCCAGGGGACATTGCTCTCGGTGCTTGATTGAAATCTGGGTTCACAGGACGTCGCATCCCAGCCGGGCTCATGGGCCGTCCCGCGGGACTCATGGGCCTTCCAGCAGGGCTCATCGGTCTGCCCATCGGGCTCATGGATCGTCCTGCAGGACTCATTGGGCGTTGCGGGCCGCCAGCTGGTGACATGGGACGAGACACGGGACCGCCCGGCGTAGGTCGCGCGTATTGGTTGAGATGAGATGGCTTGGGCTTCGAGGGTTTGGCGGCAAGGCACGTTCTAGGAACGACACCTTGCTGAGATCGGTCAAGTCGGATGCACAGTGCCTAGGATATGATTAGTTATGTGCTGGGAAAGCCCCGTCGGTTGGCTACTTACCCAACCATCATCGTATTCATGAAGCATCCGGACGAGTTGACCACTCTTCAGCGCCAATTCGTCATCCATGGAAGGTGCAAAATCCATAAGCACGCGGTAGACGCTGCCTTGAGGAGCTTCCGCACGAGGAGAATTAGAACCTTGGGCAGCTGCGACGATAGAAGCTGGCGAGACAGGCGCAGAAGAGGCTGGAGATGAGGTGACTTGTGGTGAGAGCTGAGGAGCCGGAACAGGGGGGGAGACAGGTGCTGGGACTGCCACCGGCTTCTTCTTGACAGGAGCCGCAACTGAAGCTGGAACAGGCTTCGGTTGTGTGGCAGCAGCGGGAGCGCTAAGGGCGGCGACGCCGCCGCCAATCGCAGCAGAAGCAATGGGAGCAGCAGCAGCAGCAACAGGAACGACAGCAGGTGATTTAGCGGCAGAAGGTGCTAGTGCGAGAGCCGCTGGCGCTTGGATTGGCAGTTTCTCCGGATCAGCAAACGGATTCTGAGGATCGGCAAAAGGATTGTTCGGGTTGTTATCCTGAGAGCTTTGGGTAGCTGCGGCTAGACCAAGTCCCCGAGCTGGACCTGGACTCGGACCTCGAGGTTGTGGCGATGGTGTCTTGCGAGTCACAGCAGAATCCGATTCTCCAACTGTGGTGAGCGTGTTGCCTGCGCTGAGCCTGCTCTTAGAAGACGCTCCCACGAACTCTGGCAACATCCGAGATACAGGTCGTAGACTTATCCGTGGGGCGGTTGCACTGACAGGCGGGCTTCTTGTGGCCATTTCAGTGCTGTTAACACCTGGAGCAGGATTGATCTTCTCGTTGTCTGTTCCGTTCTGGGCCTCAATCTGGCGCCTCTTCTTTCCGAGTAACCATAAGAGGAAGACAGCAAATAGTCCGACGACCGCAATGATACCAATGGCAAGACCAGCCTTTGCACCCGTTGAGAGCCCACTGCTCGACGAGCTTGAGGAGTCTGCCGAAGAACTGGCCGGAGCCGACGCAGCCGCCACAAAGCCTGTGCTGGTGCTTCCAATAGTGCCAGCAGAAGTAGCAGACGATACGATGGCGGGCGCGGTAAGTTGGGCAGAAGTGAAGGCACTTTCCGTGGAGGAGACGACTAGGGGTGTCGTGGAATCGGTAGCAGCTGCAGTGGGTGGATTGGTCGTGGATTCTGGAGGCGCGGTGCTCGCATCGGTGGGTGCTTGGGTCACAGAGGAGTCATCGCCAGTGAGAGTAGTATAGCCTCCAATAACACCGGTAAATGTCGGTGTTGCTGTAACGTAAGCGATCGAGTAGACCGTGCCATCCACAGTGGTGAGAGCGGCCTCGTCTTGGCGTCTAGCTAATTCCACCATTCTGTCGTGGAAGTTTACAAGCTTAAGGTCGATGTCGGACATTGTCAGATCAAAGGTGTATCGCTCTGGAAGCTGGCACTCAGCGGTTGATGTGCAGGTCTTTGCTGTCGAAGAAAAATGCTTCAGCGCTGTAGTTGAAGCTGTTATTCGAGAACCGGGAGAGGGTGTCACAGCGCTGCTGGATCGTTTTATGAAGAGGTGATCTCGAAATTATGGAGAATCGTGGTGTCGAAGGAGTGGCTAGTGATGAATTGTCGATAAAAGAAGGGCGACAATTCACACTCGGTGAACAATAGGATGAATGGGGAGGCTGAAGAATCGAAGCAAATCAATGGCGGCAGAGTGTCGAACAGAGGGTGCGCAAGAAAGGAAGAAAAGAGAGGAGTAGCACGGTAACGAACTGTGAGGGTGGCAGTGACGCGATGCTCACTTTCTCGTGAGATGAGTCGGAAAGTGGCTGCTGGGATGTGAGACTGAGAGGATCAGGCCAAAGTTGTGGATGCCGTCGCGAGTGCAAGGACAAACGAGAAGTGCGGAACAGATGCCCACTGCCTCTCCTCAGGCACAGACAAGACAGATCACGGCACCCACAGGGCTGCTTGAGGCGTTCGCGAGCAGGGGCCTCTGTGAAATTCCATTGGCGTGCCTGGATTCAGATGGAAGGCACCTGGCGCCCATCCCTCGATGCGGTTTAGGTGCCACCTGTACCTGCAGCTTAGCGGCGGATAAGAGAAATTGCTCCCTTTTCAAGCTCATTGACATCTGACGCGCTCGGCAAGACTCAACAGTCGTAATGTGCAAGCAGGGCCGCTGGGCGGTTTTGCACCTGGGAAATAGCTTGAGGCAACATGAGTGCAGGAAAAGCATGTTTGGGCTACCGTCCGATCACAACAACTCCCGCATCTCGCACCTCGGACTGTGCCCAAAATCTACTGTGTGGTTGGCTTGACTGTGGCATGAGGGGCAATAATCCGAGCGGCGCGAGCATCTATTGTTGCTTCTTAAACTTTCAAGATGCTCAGTCTTTCTAGACAAGGTTTCAGCGAGCACCACGAGTGGTGTGAATCTCATCCACAGCACATGCAATCTAATCTCACGACCTGATTATCTTCTTCGGGTCTTGAGTGCTGAATCTTTACCAGTTGTACGGGCACTACTCCTGATGCTCGAACGAAACGCTCTGCTCCACCGGTTCACGGTGCACCACAATATGCCGCATTGTGCATGGTGACCTCGGGGAGCTCCAGGGTCCCAACTGTCATCATGTGCAACCCTGTGGTAAGCCCACGCCAGGATGATGGGCGATAAAGACTATTCTTGGGTGACAGCTGTCAAGAACAACGTGGAGTACTACAGCCCATAGTGGACACTGAGCGTATTGATATACAATGCGCCGGATACATCATCTGACGCTCATGCAGCCCGAATGATCGACCTCAGCTCGTGCCTGAGAGCCTCTCCAGCGGTCAGCCTCCTTGTCATCTCGTAGCACACGGTTTTCGAGACGAAATCTATGGCCGCTTCTGGTGCGCCGGGAAGAAGATCTTTCCACGCTTTTGCCGGAAACTGCTGGAAGCGCATCTTACCCCAATCAGGACATGCCTGTGAAGACGGCCAGACCACCTCGTCAGGAGTTCCGAGGATGGTAAAGATGGACTTGATCAAGGCCAATTCACTTCCTACTTCGCCAGCGTCGAAGACTGGTAGGTGGCCGAGTCTGACCATTTCCGCCACGACACAACCAGCAGCCCACATATCCAATGACGTGTCATAACTCTTGCTGCCAAACAGGATCTCTGGTGGGCGATAGCAAGTTGTACCAACGTCGGTGATTTTTGAGGTGGCTGGCTCAGAGTCCTTGTCGTCCGCAGACCAAGCAATACCGAAATCGATCAGGTAGACAGGTCCGTTCATCGTCTTCAACAGAATATTGGACGGTTTGATGTCCCGGTGAATAACGCCCAGCGAGTGGATATGGTCTAAAGCGTTGAAAAGTCCATCGAAGACCATGCCGGCCTGCCGCCTGTCCAATCTGTCCGACCTGAGTAGGTTCTCCAGATCCTGCCTAAGAAATGGGAAGACGAGGATAAACAGATCTCCAGGCTCACGAATGGTGTCAAGGAGGGGAACAACGTGTTCGTGGCGAGCCTTGACCAGGAGTCGAGCCTCTCTAATGGAGTTATGCGGCGCACCCATCATTGCCGGGTGAGTGACCTTGAGTGCCACAACACGGACAGGAGCGGCCTCATCGATCGGCTTCGCCTTGAACACAGTCGACATGAGGCCATCGGCATGAAATGTTGCATGCTGGTATGCCCCGAAGGTGGGACCCTCAGTGTTGAACACTTCATCGACTTTGGCGGGTTCTTCGGCCTGTGCGGGCGGCGTGTCTATTGAGTGAATTGCTCTTACAGCGTCATCCAGCTTCATTTGATATTCTTCCTAGTCTGATCATTAGCAGATCCTAGACGGTATTTGAGTCGTGCCTACTATAGAAGCAGCTGATCCCCGAACCTCTTCCTCCAATTCCTTTGCGTTCTTCCTGGCTTCTTCTGTGTTGTTGCCAGCGGACACGAACGCACTTGTCCTGGAGCAATGACTCAGCAATACGAAGTCAAATACAGATGAGCAAGACTCTTACAGCTGGAAGATGCGACTCAGCCTGTCAGAGAAACTGACATCGACCGGCATCTTGTCGCTATCTCAAGCAATCTTCTAACAGGGTCGTACTTCTATCACCTCCTTCCTCAAAGCGCTTGGGTGCCACGTCCACGATCAGAGCACGAAGACAGCAATATGGTCTTCATGTCAACATCCACCATCCTGCACGTAGGCAAGACATTGTCGGTGTCACAATGACAGAGCAAGTAATTGATTTCACCGTGCCTCTGCAATATCTCTGTCTCCACGATCCAGGTAGTGACAAGCTTTGCGTGGGTGCTCCCGAAGCAAGCTTCCCCCACTGGAGAGCACACAGTACTGTGTAATAGGAAGATGTTACTGTTGCAGCTCACTGGCGCTACGTAATCCCGGCCCGCCGACCGCCGAACCCCAAGAGCTTCTAGAACCAGTCTTTCCACTGACCTTCGACTCGCCATCGTCTTCAACTCTTGTGTAGTGGACCCAATGCCAATTGTTAGTCGGATATTCTTTGTCAACCCACTGCATCTTTCGTGCTCAATGCTTGGATAGCGCCTTCATCATGGCAAACGACGAGCTTCAGCGAACCGAGTATCTAAATCTCCTTGTAAGACTTACCACGCAGGACCCGCGACCCTCCGACCGCAGACTGACTGACCTTTGCGCCAGGCTTCACTGCAGCCGGAGCAAGCAGTCAACATACTCAATGATCGCGTCACCCTCATAACCAAGATCAACAGCGACATCGCCGATTGGCTTCAGGTCAGGACACGTCCGTGTAACACGGTGAACAAGACATTGACAGACGACAAGGAACGTCGGAAGATAGAGGAAGTATATGTCGCCAGCTTGCGCAAGCTCGCGCGACGGCCTCAACAAGATGGAGCCGCTCTTGGGTAGGCGCAGTCTCTCTTTCGCGACTTGGTGTTGCTAAAGCGAGCGCAGCATCTTCCAAATGCCCTGGCAGCGAATCGTCTCTGGCACCGAGAATTTGGCAGCCTCCCACGAGACCCTTGCGACCAAAATCGAGGCTGATGTCGAATACCCTTTGCGAACGTGGGCATCTCGGAACAGAGGCTTTAAGGATCTAAGCACGGCACAGGTGAACCTGGGCAACACCGCAAAAGAGTTATCTGGCGCACAAAGGAAAGCTGCAAAAGGTGGCCGACGAGCGGATACTGCGAGTTCCACCATGGAAGACGCTTCGCGACAATGGGAATCACAAGCACCGTACGTGTTTGAACAACTACAGGTTGTCGATGAATCGCGGGTCAATCACCTCCGGGACGTCCTTACGCAGTTCCAGACCCATGAGGTGGACTCGATTGAGAAGAACAAAGTCAGCGCAGAGTCTTGTCTGGGCGCACTGCTCAACGTGGAGACTGCCGACGAGATCAAGACATTCGCTGCCAGAGTCTCCGCTGGCGGAGGGGGCGGCATTTTGAGAAGACTGAGTTCAGCGACCGCCGGCACTGGTGCCAGACCGACCAGTTCCCTGCGTGCTCCGCCGACGCCTCCTCCACCACGAGGCACGACTGATAACAACAGCTTACGTTCAAATTCCCTGGCCGGACAGGGCAGGCTAGCTCCTTGTAAGTCACTCTTGTGTGTCACCTGAGAATCTCTGACATGTCATAGTGCCGGACGTGCCACCTCAGAAGAAAGAGAGCAAGCTGGGTGGTCTCAAGCGACTCGGCACTGTGATGAATAGACGCAAGAGCACTGCCCCTCCAGTTTCTTCTTCGACGGAAGAGAAACGACGTACGAGATTTGTGCCATTTAGAAGAGGCGACTCGTCCCGCAGTTTCCAGGATCTGGATGAGTCCGGACAGGATCTCACTCCAACAGCAACTCAAGACCGACCTGTAACTTCGATTTCGCAGAATCGACGATATGAACAGCCTCTTCGAGATTTACCCGAGCCTCCGCTCCCTGTCCCGCAGACAAACGGCGTTAACCAGACTCCAAATCCGCTAGAGGCACATCCGACTGGGAATTCGTATCAACCTGGTCTGGCAGACACAGTCAGTCCACCAGCTACTCAAGCCAGCAACAACCCGTACCAACAGATGGCCTTGAATCAAGTCACCACAGCTGACAGGAATGATTCAATCACCCAGGCACAGCAGGCATTGTCGGAAGCGTCAGCCTTCGCCTCACCCTCTGCGGACGAATCAGCTCGGAATTTCATGATTCGTGACAAACCCATCGAAGAAGACCAGACCGAGGCAGAGCAAGCAATGGCAAACATGGCCAACCAACTGCGCTCACAGGCGCAAAACGCCGGCATTAACCGTGCTCAAGGTAGTATGCGAGGTCGTCGAGACGTGCGTAATACCATGTACGTGCCCAGTAGCACAGACGCCTTGCCACAGATTACACGAGCTGCTCCGCCCGTCGCCATACCAGAGAACGTGACAGCACCAGAGAACACACTCGCCTCACCCATTCAACGACCTCCAGCGATTTCCGTTTTGCAAGACGACCACATCGGCTCTGATACCGCGTCGATGACCTCCTCCCGAAGTGTCATCCCCGCAGCTCAACACCCCGACCTCCATGAGGCAGGTCTCTGCGCCAGTATAATAGAGACTGTCCACAGCACATTCACCGAGACCGGCATTTCAAAGTCCTTCGTGCTGGGGGAAATCGCGTTAGCCCATAATCCTACCGGTTCACAGAACGCCGACACCAACACCGAAACAATCCGCATCCAGCACTTCGAACTCCTCGACAAGGTCGCAGCCAATCCCATCTTCCTCCACCAAATCAAGCCGGCAGATGGCCAGACGGAAGAGCAAGCAGGCAGCTACACGGTTACGACGACACAACTCCGTCGTCCCACACCGATGATCTGCCTCAAATATCAACTTCACCTGGAGGAGGCAACCCTCGCGCGATACTCACCCATCCTCCTGACCCCAGCGTGGCAGATCATCGACGGCCAAGTCAGCGTCATCGTGCTCTACTCTCTCAACCCAGTCTTCGGGTCCGAATCACTCACCTTGAAGAACGTCACCATCAACCTGGGCCTTGACATCTCTGACCCGACCTTCCCTCGCGCCCAATCTGCGATGATGGCTCCCACGGCCGGCGCGTCCTTCCGGCGCAAAACATCCAGCGTGGTCTGGCGATTGCCTGAGTTCGTGGTCAAGCCTGAACAGGAGCGTCTGTTGGTGCGGTTCATTACCCAGGGATTGGCCAAGAAAGGTGCCGTCGACTGTCGGTTTGAAATCCCCGGCCGCACGGCAAGCGGGGTAGGTGTTGAACGGCTGGTGGAGGGTACAGGTGCTAAGGAGGCTGCTGCTGATCCGTTCGCGGACGGCGGGGACGACGATGGTGCTGGGGCTGGGAAGAAAGCCTGGGAGATCGTGCCCGGACGGGCCAAGTTGGTGAGTGGGCGGTACACCGCTAGCTAGCTGAGACATTTTCCACACACGTCGAGACTCGGATCTTCAGCGCCAGGAACGGGCAGTGCTGAAGGAACCATCTGGCTGGGTTTGTAAGGCACAACAACGACTGGATGGCTTACCGGTGGCGACGGGGCGCCGGCAAGCACCGACATTTCATGTTCCTGCATCCCATCCATCACCTTGTGCACCAAAAAATTTGTAAGAATTGGATATAGCGAGCGAGCTGACGAGCTTGTGACCGGGCCTTTAGCGACATAATGACCTATTGTAGCGGAAAGACGATCAGAGAGAGGGAGAGCTCCAGACAGATGATTCAGCACAGCAGGAATTGTTTCAATGCTACAAGATTCAGTATTGCTAATGCGGATGCGGATGCAGTTGCGGTATGCGGTTGCTGCTTGCGGTATGCTCCGGTCATTTCTATCCATGCTGCATACTGTAATATACGTCTACCACCAGCCTAGACCAGCCTAGACCAGCCCAGCAATAGTGCACAGAATAGGGTCCTGTAAAAGTAGCAGCCAGCACGATCAGCTGAACTCTCGCCCGACTGGCCTCATTGAGACCCGTGGCATGTGTTGTTGTTTGTCGCCCAAGCCCTTTCCAATTTCTGTACGCAGCAGCATTCACCGGACAATTTGCGCCCTATTCATCGCGCACGTTCCCCAGTCTCGGCTGTGGACAAAAGCTGCGTCATGCCGTCAATAGTATCCACATGTTGCTTCTAGGACGTCAGAGCCTGGCGAGCTCTCATGCCTCGCGGTGTGGTGTGCAGGTAGGGCAGAGGTCGGGTTCCAACAGTTCCTCCGAGGTGAACGCCCACTACCTGATAAGATTGACGACTGTTGGTTTGTCCGGGCCAGGTTGGGCCTTCTAGGGCGCGGTCGTTCGAAGGAAACCAACGGAGATCCAGTGACAGACTTCCAACACTCATTGGACGCGGTCTCTCCAGCAGGTTCCGTCTGAATGACCTCTAGCGCATCTAGTCGAGGTACTGTATTCTGCCGGCTCCTCGACTGGTGCACCAGAGATGTCTCTCTGCAGTATCATTGTTACGTGCCCTGATGCAAAGTCTCTTGCAACTCGGGCAGCTGCAGCAGGCGCGGGGCGTGGCAACAATCTTCCTTCTTCTCTTCTTCTCGTGTAACAGAGGACTTCAGTTTGTCCAGTGGAACATTGTACCGGATTCCCCCAGCAAGTGCCGGACAACAATGTCCGGGGCGGCAGGGCGAGAATCCCAGCTACACTCCTCCAGGTGAGCGAACCTTTCATTGAGCTCTATTTCGGTAACAAGAGACCCCGGTCCTTGTCCAGACGGGTGATCGCCTTGACCAAATTGACGAACTCTGTCTTCCTCTCCGGTGGGTGGGGAATTTTGCGAATGAGGTCTCTAACCGAGATACCTTCAGGAGGGATCGCATTCCTTATATCCTGCTCCGAGGGAAAGGCAGGTGGCCGAGGGGCCGTGGCAGGAGTTGGGACTGGTGAGGCGGCACGTGAAGACGGTGCTGGCGGAGACCCACCGACATTGAGCTTGAGGCGCCGTGCTCGAGAAGCATCCGACATGGCTGCCCCATCGGTTTCTGTGTCTGATCCTGCAGGGCTTCCGGCAACTCCGCGCCTGCGTATCTTCGCCAACGGGTCAAATGCTCCTGCCGGCGCAGACGAGCTTGGCACGTTCGCGGGAGAGCCTGGCCTCGAATGACCCGGTGTGGGCTGCGTAGAGGATAGATGTTTTGACTTGAGCTTCTTCTTCCTGACCGAGGCGTCGGTGCCCGATGCGTCAGATGCATTTGGGGATGCAGGACGTTTGAGGCTACGAGACGAGGTCGACTTCTTCATGCCACCCTCTTCCCGGTCTGTATCACGTTTCTCCTTCCGGCCCGAGGGCGTGTTCGTGCCCGAGGACGGTAAATTGGACTTTTTAGCCTCTTCTTCTTCCTTCTGCTTGTTGGCCAGACGCTCGCGCTCGAGGCGTGCCTCTTCTTCGTCTGTGTCGGTCTACACATCACTGGTCAGTATGCAAGAGTAGCGGTTGGATGATTGTACTCTTACCGATGATTCGTACTCCGAGTCACTCCCATGGTTGTAGTTACGCTCTCGTCGCTCAAGAGCCTTCCTCAGATCTCTGAAATTCTTCTTCTTGGCTTCAGCCTCTCGCTTTTCTCGAGCCTCGGCCTCATCGTATTCGTTCAGATCCTTGAAGTCGAGGAAGTTGGCTTGCAGTTGGTCTTCTTTGATGCGCGATTCTGCGAGTTTTTGATCCTCGTCCTTGTCCATGAAAAGATCTCCTTCCTCGTCGTCGGCGAAATCCTCTTCAAAGTCGAGATCGGCCTCTTCACCCGTCCTCCCAGCGAACGCAGTGGTTTTCGCAGCACCCAAGAAGAGACCTCTGCTTTCCTTGGCGTCGCGCTCCCTCATCTGTTCCTTTATCCGAGCCTCTCGAGAGCGCACCAACCACTCCGGGTCAGATCCACCCTTTTTCATCGCGGCTTCAACTTCTTCGATCGTCATCTTCTGCAGATCATCGCGTTTTGGCTTGAACTGGTATATCTTCTCGATTGGGATAAGACGAAATTTACCAGTGGAAGCGTCAACTGCGGGCTCGTACATAAAAGTCGCATTGGAGTCCCTAGAACCCGGTTGGTGGTGGCCGATGAGGGAATGCTTGTTGTCAAAATCTTCCAGATGCCAGGGGAGCTTCTCTTCGTAATTTGTCTGTATCCGGCGCTTCTCCTCAGCAGAGAATTCGGACTTAAACACCTGCTGGGTTTTCTTTTTGAAGTTCGTCCTCTTTCCAGCGTTCTGCGATGGAGCTATCTGGGCCAGGTTGGCCTCGCGTTCTTTCTGCCGCGCTTCTTTGCGCCGATTCAGTTCTTCTCGCTCGGCGGCGTTGAGCCCATCCTTGGAGTCTAGCTGCTCGTCCTCCTTCTTCTCCTGATGGCCTGGTGGAGGTGCACGAGGGTCGCGTCTATGGAGTCTAGCTGGTTTGGCAAACTCGGCCTCATTGCGGATGTCTATTGGCTTCTCGCCGGCTAGCTGAAGAATGTGATATCTCAAGCCCTTGAGCAGATCTTTCTTTGTCGTGACTAGTCTGTAGTCTCTGTAGGGGATTCCTTCAGCGGTGACCCGGGGGTCAGTGAAGCCACTGATGCGCTCGCGCTCGGGGACCGGTGGTCTCGACGGAGAGGGTGCTCGTGGGCGAGCTAGGACGGGAGGAGTCTGAGGTTTCGATTGACCGTTGATTGTCGGCGGCGTAGGGTGGCCATTCTCGCGCCCAGCCGGTGGATATTTGGTGGCAGCAGGTTTGACTTTTGGCCCTTTGAAGAATGGGTCAGCTGCTGGTTTCTTCCTCCTGATCACCGGCTTGTTGGCAGGCCCGCCATTCGGGGCGGACCCTGGATTCATTATCGGCGATGGCTGTGCTGGATGGGCATTGATGAATGTGTATGACTGTAGAGGAGAAGGTCGCGTGTGCGCACGGATGAGCAGGCAGACAATGGAAACGGGTACGAGCTTTGGTGGTAGGATGCTGAAGACGTCCGTGTCTTCAACCTGCTGGCATCATCGGCGACATGAAATTATGTTACAGGATGGAGCCAGGCAGGTGTGAGCTGGAGGCTTCCTCCACGAGACCGACAAGGGAACTGCTCCAGGCTTGGCCCAGCTGTGATTGCCAAGCAGGGCGCCTATTAAACAGGGACTGGAGTTCACGGGTAGCGTCGCCAACTGCCACAGGCGCGGCTGGTGCCTGCGCCGCAACGCCTGGCCACACCCTGAGCTGCCGCCATGCGTGTGATGCCCCGCAATAAATCGACTTCACTACCTAAGTGATGAGATTCTTCCGCCGAACACCTGTTCTTCACTCGTTGTTCAGCCATTGAAGTCCCCTTCAGTCCTTCCTATTGTCTTTGTCGCTGTAATGACATCCTTCCCACAGCCTGCTACCTGTCACTTCACCATCAGGCGCCACCGAAAACTGTGCACGTCTTCAGCTTGCTCTTCGTGCCACTGAAAGTCTGTTTTCACAACCTTGGAACTCTATCTGACCGAGATCGCAACCCATCTTAGATGGCATGGACTCATCCAGCAACCCGTCTGGCTTTGCCAATCACCCACTGGGCTCTTCGAACGACATGTCTCACCAGCCAGCACTTCGAGGAAGAGGCAATCGTGGTAGAGGCCGTGATGGAGCCAGATATAGAGATGCCTGGTCTCAACCGCAACAGACACACAACCTCCAATCAAATTCACCCGCAGCCCCTTTCAACATGACTTCCGACTCATTTCCTCCTCTTGGATCACAACGGCAGCTTGCTCCCCCAAGCGTTGTTCCTTACCAAATGGAGTCGCGACGTCAACCTGGTCCTCAAGCCCCCACCTTCGATTATGCGCGTCATGGCACTCCCCGGGAGTATCAAGAGCGCGCAAGAGGCAACCGTCGAGGTGCCCATTACTTTGGTCCTCATCCACAACAAGCACAGCAGAACCCACAGCAGTGGTCTCAACCTACCAATCCGGCGCAGTTCAATCCCAACGTGCGACCTCCGCAACGCCATGGTCAGCTCTCCAACCCCAATGGTGGCATGCATTATGGGAACGTCCAGCAGCAACGAGCTATGCGACATCTCATCATGAAGCAGTCTGACTATCTCACTGGCATCGGCCGACAGGCTTATGATGAGTTTCGGTTCACCCAGCAGGAACGAGACGTCAAGGAGAATTTTCGACTCGCCTTGGAGGAGGTGGCCAGGAATGCGGTTGGTGCCAAGTACCCTGATCTGCAGCTCGACCAAGTCAAATTGAAGTGCTACGGTAGTCTTGCCAATGGTTTTGCGCTGAAAGACTGCGACATGGATCTCCTCCTCTCCTTGCCTGATTACGAGGTAACTGAGGTCAAGAAGCGAGAACCTACTCCTCCACCTGAGGGTGATGACACCGCTGTAGCGAGCCATTGGAAAGAACAAAATGATTTCAAGGCTGATGTTCAGCGCATCTTGGAGAAAGCCTTTCTCGACCACGAGTACGGTGCTCGGCTCCTTACTCAAACTCGTGTCCCAATCCTTCGCATTTGCCAGCGTCCAACACCAGAATTGCTCGAGAACCTGCGCAAAGAACGTGCCGAGTGGGAGAAGACTCTTGACCATACTGGTGCGCCCCAAGAGGACGTTCAAGAATCCGAAGTCACCCCGGCAGACCTCGACGCCGTCGAGCAAGCTGTCACAGAAATCTCCCTGAGCACAAAGGCAGCACCTGCGAAGCGACGCAACCGTGGCAATGCGGGTCTAGAGTTCACCGATGACTGTGGCATCCAGTGTGACATTAACTTCTCCAACTTCGTTGCTCTCCATAACTCGACCCTGCTTCGGATTTACCACAGCTTCGATCCCCGTGTGAAGGAAATTGGGGTTTTCGTCAAGATCTGGGCCAAGCTCCGGGATATCAACACACCATATCGTGGCACATTGTCTAGCTACGGCTGGATACTGATGGTGCTGCACTACCTGATGAATGTCGTCAGTCCACCGGTTATCCCCAATCTACAGCATCTAGCGAAGATCGAAGACTCTTGGAACCCAGGCAGACAAATCGAGTTGTTCGAGGGCTTTGACGTTCGTTTTGTCCAAGATCATCAAGGTCTCCAGGATATCCAGCGGCAAATGGCGGCCAATAAAAACCGTGACTCGGCCGGGCAGTTGCTGAGAGGCTTTTTTCAGTATTATGGAACCAACCAAGGATTCCACTGGGGTCGGGATGTCATTTCTATCAGAATCAAAGGCGGAATCCTCACCAAGCAAGCCAAAGGCTGGACCGAGGCCAGATGGCAACAAAGTCAGAACAAATCAGTCCGCAATCGATACCTGCTCGCCATTGAGGACCCTTTCGAAGTTGACCACAACATCGCCCGCACTGTCGGTCACCACGGTATTGTGGCAATTCGCGAGGAGTTCCGTCGCGCGTGCACCATCATTGACAAGATTGGGACGGACGAGGAGCTTCCAGCTGAAAAATTCCTCAGTCCTGTCACAGACCGCGTCGATACCCTGAGAAAGGACTTGGACTATTTCAAACAGCGACAAGTGCGAATGAGGCAAGAAGCGGAGGCCAAGGAAACGGCGCTGCTCGAACAGCGAACCGCTGAGGACGCCGAGCTGCCGGCAACTGATGGTACGTGGGGAAGATCCAAGCAGGGCAAAGCTCACAACGATTCCCCTTCCAAGAGCGGAGGCGAATTGTCCGAGTCCAAGCTGACCTCGACACCACCGGTGCAGGAGCAGAAGCAGTTGAAGACCTTCAGAAATTGGCGACGGAGGAAAGTCTCAGCTGACGCTGACGACGACGACGACAACCCGATCAGCCAAACAAGCGAGACTAGCCCACCGAGTGCTGAGACTCCCAAGACACAAGCCAAAGACGAAACGAAGAAGCGAAATCAGGGACTTACGTCCAGAGCAGAAGTCCATCTCGCCAACGGCTTCGACCGCGACGGAAACCCCGTTGCTTGGGATATCGAGACGCAAGACGGTCGGTGGCTACATTGGAGAGACCAGAAGGTGAAGAATGGCACCCTAGGCACATTTTTCAAAGACTCTTATCGCGAATTGAACGAGCAGTGTCCTTATGATAGCAGGCGACCCCGGCCGGACTTTAGCACACGCTGCTGGAACAAAGATTCGCAAACCGCCCTTGACAGACCCCCTTGGCCAGCAAACAATGCCAGCAAAGATGACAGCATGACACCAGGCTCGGGCCAACACGATCCGGGCGAAAGCAAGATAGCCGTGTTTTGTGCAAATATCGCCTGTTCTCAAGCCAAGATGGCGCATCTGTCTGAGATAGAGGCAGCGCCTGCAACTGCGGCACTGCGTGGTGTCAGCAACGCTGAGAGAAGCAAGACTACGGCAGCAAGCGAACAAGAGATGCTTCCGGAGCCCCAGATTGGCGCAGGTACGGTTGGTCCAATGATCCCCTGGGACAGCACCACCAAAGGTGGAGGCTGGCTTCTTTGGCGGGATAGGCGCATCCGTGGAGGGACTTTCAGGCCGGAGGGCTTGACGGGCCAGTTCAGCAAAATTGCTGCAGAGTTTCCTTACAATCCAAAGATGACATGGGCAGAGCTAGATGTGCTCAACGAACTCCTGCGGCGCTACTACAAGCACACTCTTCGTGCTGCTAGGCTACCTCCCAGCTTGTCACACCATGCTGCCGCACAGCTGCCAGCAGAAATACTGTCAGAGCGAGCTCCAGCCGCCAAAATGGTGCACGGGGTCGAAATTACAGAAACCCACAAAGTGTCAAGTCAACATGTGGCCGCCGCAACGAATTCTGTTCCAGTGCAGCACAGTTCCTCTTTGGCCTGCCCAGCCTCTACTTCAGCAGGACAGTCACCAAAGGCAGCCCCATTGTCTGATGGCCATGCATCTCAAACTACTGTATCCGACAGAGATCCCGCTACGCCGCCGGACAATGAGCGTGTCCCGGATATGGACTTCCTTCGTATGCAGCGCTTGGCGTTCTTCACAAAGCACATAACCCCAGCCAGCAGCGCAGTCGATACCAACGATCTTTTCTTCTCGCGAGCGCAAGCGACCGGTTCGGTAGCATCGAAACACGAGATGGTCCAGACACCGATCCCGCATCAGCTTCCTGTCGAAACACCGCCGCCTCAAGAAATGACGCTGACTGGACCAATCTCTCGCAAGGCAGATGGCGAGACTGGTGAAGATGTGGATCAGCCTTCTCATCGATCCAACACTGATTTCTCTGAACTTTCGGTGGCAATCAGTGACAGTCCGATCAAAGACGATACCGACCTTCGTGTTCCCAAAACCCTCTATCCTGACATCGGCGACGATTTACGTCCGAGGGATGAGAACCCTAACATCATGCCAATACCTCGCAAGATCGGCTTTCAGTTTGATCCGCGGCAAATGCAGGACCTCAGCGTTATCTCGAAAGGTGGGAACGGTTGCGCCAGAGAGGGCGCTCAGTTTATCCTCGAAGAGCAGGAGTACGAATGGGGTGGAGGAGGCATGATGGGATACAAGACAAGCACTGGTCCACAGAACGCCACCGCCACTTGCGGTCATACTCCGTACGAGGCTGGCAAGGGAGATGAAGAGGGTTTGCTCGATGAGCTTCCGAGGCTTTGGGACGAAAGTTAGGCTGCGAACTGCTGATGCCTGTGGACAGTCTACCACAACTTCGCACTGTGCCATTAGCTTAGGACTTTCAAAATTGACAAAGCACAATATTTCAGCGACTGTATCAACAACCATGAGGGCACGGGATCGACGACTTTCAGGCATGTCATCAGGTTTATCAGGCATCAGCAAAGGGAAATTCATCAGCACTTAGATCACGACGACGTGAGCCGCCAGGCAGGGAACAAACGATTCTTTTGTCTCCAAGTGTATCAGTGTTTATCAGGCATGGGCAGAAGAATTCGACCTTCGGCAGGACGACACCAGAGCGACGGATGGATAGACAGCCTAGGGCATGTACATTATCGATAGTACAGATAGCTAGCTCAGCATCCTTCAACACAAAGGCATCGTCAATGATGAACAGGGTGGATTCGCTCCGAGTGTTGCTGTCAGCGTCAAGTCTCTCTTTCGTGTTCTTCCCTGAATCGGTTCTTGTCTTGAGTTTCATCTCCGTCACAGATCCGAGGCTGATGATTGGCTGCGCAAACGCCCCTGCGCTGAGTGTGCCAGCTGCCGCCTCTCCATCTGAAGTTGATTTTGACGAGTGTTCTTCTATAATTACCGTGGATATATCATCTGCTTTGAGGCTGGCTGGGTGCAGACCACGTAATTATTGTCCCACGGCGTCATCCATTCCACTTTCAATACAATCGGAGCATTCAACCTCCCGGTACATATTTCAGACTAGGTAGAACATCTCAGCGAAGGAAGACTTCGAAAGCCCAGCTTCTGCTTCTGCTCCAGCACAACGCTTGCTTGGTTCGACACTGGGAATATCTGGCCTCATACTAATATCCCTCGCAATACGTATCGCATCAACAATGGTTCTCAAACCGTCATCTTCAAAACTACCGTCACGGACTTCAAGCGCCCAACTCACTCCAAAACCATGGTACAAACACATCACACTGGACTTGTTACTCTTGATCCTCGCAAACTCCGTCTTCCACCCCTGGATCACACTGGTTTTCTATCTATGTTTGGCGTCCGTGCACAAGCACAAGACATCCCTGGCGTACTACACGCTCGTTTACACGGCGGTGCTGGCCGTCATTGAGCTGTCTATCTGGGTGAACCACCGGTTGACGTACGGCAAGCACCGCGCCGTCAGCTGGGAGGATGAGGTCGTGGTGATTACGGGCGGGGCGCAGGGGTTGGGGCGGACGGTGGCGGAAATGGTCATGCGCAAGGGGGGGAAAGTTGCCGTGCTGGATGTGCGGGAGGTTGATGAGAGCGCAGAGGAAGAAATGGAGAGGTGGGATTTCGTGTGGGAACGGGTCGATGTGACGGATGAGGTGCAAGTTAGGGGGGCTGTCGAGAGGGTTGTAAAGGAGGTATGTCTATGTCTTTTGGCCACTCGATTCTAGCGACGTTCATCGACCCTGCTAACGCTCCCGCTCCCGCGCTCCCGCCAGCTCGGTCCGCCTACGATCCTCATCAACAATGCTGCGGGTGCAGTCACGGGACTACCGCTGGTCCCCGCTGGGGATGCAACGACTCTCTCGTCCAGCCAGGCGACCAGGACCATCACTATCAATACGCTCTCCCACTTCACGACGCTCTCGGTGGTTCTGCCGTACCTCATCTCCTCGCCACGGGGGGCACATATAATCACCATTTCGTCCATTCTGGCTCATCTGTGCCCTGCCCGTCTGGCCGACTACTCGTGTTCGAAGGCCGCCATTTCTTCGCTCCACAATACGCTTTACCAGGAACTGCTGACGCATCCGGACTCGGGTGTCTTCTCACGCGTCAAAACTCTGCTGGTCGAGCCGGGCATGCTCTCCACGCAGTTGTTCTCCGACATCACGCGTGTGCCGTGGTATGCCAACTTCTTTGGGCCCGTGCTGGAGGCCAAGGACGTGGCCAAGGAGATTTTGCGCTGGGTCGAGCGAGGTGACGGCGGTGTGATTCGGATGCCCTTCTACGCCAAGTGTGTGCCCTTGTTGAGTGTCATGCCGGGGGTTGTGCAGTGGAGTGTGAGGTGGTGGAGTGGGATTGATCGGGCGATTGTTGACAGGCAGAAGAAGGCTTGACGGCCCCTTGCTCGTGGTGCTGGCATGTAGTGAAGCCGGTGTGTTTGTACTGTGTAGGATATGTGTGGATATACTGGAGAGTCGCATAGACGGTGAGGATGATCCAGATTTGCTGACACTGCTTGCTCATCACCGTCAACATGCCGGTGATATGCGTCGCCCGTTACAACTTCGACAGCCGTGCCAGTGTGCCTCCTTCCTGGCTACTCTCTGCCAACCGAACTCGTTTTGGTTATTTTGTGTCGCGCCTCTCTTCGATTGTGGTGTTCTTGTGGTTTCCTCTCGGCACCCTCGATATCCGTGCTATTGACACTCGGTCCAGGCCGTCTGTATCCATTAACTTCAGATTCTATTCGCCCCGGTGTCTGTCGCTGTTGACTGTTTACTGGAACTCTCGAAGTCCACCTCGCTAATTAGGTAGTCCACGGTCCTTTCCTAATCGTCATCGTGAATGGTGATCCCACTCTCCTGCACCACAGCTGCAACCCCAAAATCCGTCGACGACTCCGCATCCTCCGCCCTTGCAGGGACAGGGACAGGGACAGCCAAGTTCCCACGCGGTTTCTTATCCTTCGGGCCTTCTTCGCTCAGTCCGTTCTCCGCAGCGGCGGGACTCTTACTCTTATCCTTCCCCTTACGCTTCTTATTGCGCCTCTCGCGATTCTTGCGCGTCTTCTCCTCGTCCCGCTCTTTCCGCTCCCGTTCCTTCTCCGCCCATTCCCTGTCCTCTTCCTCTTTCTTCGCCTCCTCGTCCATGATCCGCAACCGCTCGTACTCCCGCCGCCGACTCGCCTTGTAGACGTGGAACTCGCCGGATCCCGCGCCCGCGGAGCTGCCCTGCACGTTCGCGACGATCTCCGGCGGCGCGGGGATCGATCTCTTGGCCACCTCAGAAGACGCTGGGGGCGGGATTTTGACCTCGCGCGCCGGGTCGAGGAAGAGGGTCTCGATCTCGTTGGCCTGCACGAGTGCTGCTTTGGCGTTGGGGTTGGTCGAGCCTGGGATGCGGGCGCGTTTGATGGGACGGCGCGACCGCGGGTCTGCGGACGTGGGTATTGCTTCGGGGATGGGCTCGGACATGTTGGGAGATGCGAGGTCGCGTTGCCGGGGATGTTGTCTATCGAGGGTGTTATGAATAGAAACGTATGTAGTACGAGTATTGTGGCGCGCAGAGTGTACGGCGTGGTGCATGTGCCTTAAGTAAATGTTGCGAGCAGCATCCACAAAGTTCAAAAGCAGTGACGTACTCCGTCACGAACAGTGCTGGTATGCTTCGCCGTATGGCTACGGTCACGCACGGATGCAGGTCCGCCTTGACTTGCAGGACCACAAGTGCTTGAGGAAGAGCCTCCCTCTGGGGCCTATGCCGCCTGTGACCCTGTTACGCCTGCCCAGCCGTCGCTCGTGCAGGCGCATAGCAGCCACAGCAAGCTTCATGCACTCGCTACCCCTCTCCGGCCGTCAACATCAGGATCTGATAGGCAGACCTCCAAGATCAGACCGGGCGGGATAGTCAGCAAGCAAGCAGTACCCAGAGCGCCGCGCCAGGCGCGCCGTCGACGATGAACCGAGGTATCCCCCAGACTCCTTAACTGTGGGGTTGTGTAGCCGGCCTAAAGAGGTATCCCAAGAAGGATGGCGTCCATAATATATCGTTCCTCCTGTCAGCTCTGTTGGTGTCTACTGTGACGTGTTGACATCGTTTGCACATCTTCAAGTCCTGCCTGGTGCAGTATCTCTGGGACTTGCCTGCTGTCGCGCCCAACCTGGACGACGTCAAATCGACGGGTCGGCTGGGAAACTGAGACCGCGCTCATCGTCTCGGCCTCTCAGTGTGGAAACTACTCAGAGCGAAGGGCACCTTGGACCCGCCTCAACATGGCGAGCCCAAGCAAGTACAAATATGGAGACATCATCTACGAGGTCAAAGGAAAGATTGGGATCATCAAGGCACGTCACCACTAAATTACTACAGCGGCTATGAGTGCCAGGGCCGTGTCTCTGACTTCGCGACCAGCTCAACCGGCCCAAGTCTCTCAATGCATTTGGGGGAAACCTGCTTATTGAAGTCGTGACGGCACTCCGAGAACTCAACGAACACCCCGATACCGTTTTCACGGTCATCACGGGCGAGGGCAGGTTCTTCTCCTCGGGCGCAGATGTCAAGGGTAGGTCGAGTTGGAGTTTCCCTCTCTTGAAGTGGGAGTGGTGGCAATCCCGATGGAGTTGGCTGTGGCTTTGTACCTGAGAATAGTTCTTAGGACAGGTCATGGGCGGCCTGTCCTTCTTCATTCTGCTTCTAATCGTCCCTCGTTTTGATGAATGGCTTTTATGCTAATCGATCTGCGATTGACAGCGACTGCGGGCAAAAAGGAGGTCGAACATTTCAGTCCAGCCGCTAAAAAGATCGACTTCATGGATAGCATCAGTACCGGTAGGTACTCGTACCTCCATTCTTGCCACCACCATCTCGACTCATCGCTGACTGATCTTCCACAAGCTATCGAGCTCCTCCGGTCAATGATCGACCACAAGAAAGTCCTCGTCCTGGCGCTCAACGGACCGGCTGTCGGCGGGGGCGCGGCCTGGTTCCCAGGTGTCGCGGATATTGTTCTCGCCGCGGATACTGGCTACCTTCAAGTGCCGTTCAGCGCCTTGGGCCTTGTTCCCGAGTTCGGCTCCGCCACCAACTTCTACCACTCGCTCGGCGCACATCGCGCCAACGACTTCCTCATGTTCGGCCGCAAGTTGACCGTCCAGGAGCTCGAGCAATGGGGATTAATCAATAGGATCTTTCCCACTCAGGGATTTCACGACAAAGTGGTGGAGTTCTTAGAGGAGCAGTTGAGCGTGAATGACGGAAAGTCAATGATGGAGGCAAAGAGGCTGCAAAACCTACCGTTGAGGAGAGACAGGATGCTTGCGGTTTACGATGCTGCTGAAGCGCTCGCAGAAAGATTTGTTGAGGATGCCCCGAAGCAGAGGTTCGCTGAGAAGAACAGGTTGCTGCTTGGTGGGTGACACCGTTAACCTGTGCTGTTCTCGTTCCGCGCTGACAATGAAACAGAAAAGTCGAAGGGTCGGTCGAAATTGTGATAAGCGCCGGCAGCCGACGGCATCGCGTTGCTGATGGCAAAGGGCCTTCACCATCTCTACCTACCGCCGTATCTTGGCTGCGCCGTGCCATTGCTCTGTGTTGTTATTTCCTTCTTCCAGGGAGCCACTCTTTGTCGACATGACAGTGCAGTGGCCCCCAGATCTTCTGCTTTGTCCGTCACAAAGTCCTTTCTGCTCCGGATCTCTCATTGTCAAGGCAGTCAAAGATTCAAATTGTTCTTTTCAGCAAGAATCACAAAGAACTGCCTTTGACCGGACTGCTGACTTCCGGTCCTCGATCCCTCTAAAGCCTCGAGCAAGTATCTATACCCCTGGATTTCCTACTGTTGTCGATCCTCCCTCCATCACCTACGAAGACCCACCATCTGGCCGGAGCGCAAGCAAGCACAATCCAACAAGTCAACTGCCACCAGTCCACTCTTGTATTCGTGACCATTGCTCTTCGGCGGACCTGCATTCCCCGCCACTTGATGGCTCGCGTCCGATTTCTTGACCTCAATCCCCAGTCTTGTCCCTCGTCGAGCTCCGGCAGTTCGACATCGACCATGGCTAACCGTGAATGCGATCGAAATCTGCAACCCTGGCAGTCCGCTCATGGGCAATCCTTCTACGAGGCGTTCACTGACTGGCTGTTGCAGCTGAATGTTCGGTCCTACAGTGAGCCCCAGCGGAGAATGATCTGGCACAACACCATCGGGCTAACCCAGGCAACTCGATCCAAATGGCATTTCCCTGCGCTTCCGTACGTGATGGAGACGGACGAGAACGCAGCTCGACTTCTCCCCACATTCAGCTACGACTTTGCCAAGCGTGGCGGTTGCTGGGTCTTCTACAATCTTCGGTTCAGAGCAACCTGGAAGTGCGATCCCGAGACCGGCAATATCGTGGTTCCGACCCTCAGCGCTTGGTCGGACATCATGGATACCCTATCCCATTACCGGCAAGCCCGCGGATGGCCCATCCTTCGCTCACCTAGCTATGAGTGCCTATGCGACAAGGATATGTGCACGTTGCATTTGTATCCCAAAACGCCTCTCTGCACCACGACGTCCGCAAACAGTGCAGTGCTGGTCAGGCCGCGATCGATTCTCAGCCTCAAGTCTCTGGAAGCTCACCGAGTCAATCTGTTGCAAGTTCCAATCTGGCATCGCCTGATCCCGACTCCGATACCCTTCCACGCCGTGTCCGGTTCTTGGTCTCTGCGCCTGACGCCTCCCGCGTACACTTCTTGGTGAACTTGCCTGGGTCTTCCAGCGACGGTCCTTCCACCTCTCCGGTCCCTCCTGCACAGCGGTACCCACAAGACGTCGCATGGAGTGTTCCACGTCTGATCACCATCATCTCGACACCTGCGGCATTGTCGTCTCCAGAGGTAGCCCGTCTCAACGTGTCCACCTCAACTGCTCGGACCAGAACCAATGTCATCTCAGCTATCACGGGTAGAGGTGTGAGTACCGCCACAACCATCACCACCACGAGCACGGTCACTACTACAACTCGCGTCGAGGTCGCCCGATCTGTAACGGCGTACCCCCAGGCCGAGGCTGCCACGTCGCCACTGAATCGCACTGAGACTACCACCTCATCGCAGACAGAGTCGGAGTCAACCTCGGCCTCTACGTCGACCTCTTTTCATACCGCGCCTTCATCGGCCTCTAGCTCCACTTCTAGCTCGTCAGCCTCATCTCCAGGTCATGCGCCAGGAAATCCGTACTCTTACGATTCCGATCCGGACAACTATGAGTGGCCCAGCGAGAGTGAGACTGACAGTGAGAGTGAGAGTGGGAGCGACAGCGAGGATTACGATGAGAACGCCGATACCTACAGCACGGGATCCTGGTCCGGAAGGCATGTCTCCATGTTTAATCATTCCCTGGACGACGGTTTCGATGTCCTACTGGGATGATGACGCGAGGGTCTCTCAGGGGTAAGCCCGTCTCAGTCAGGGTACTAACCACCCCGTTTCAGATGAGGCGAGTCAACGCGCGGAGTGAACGAGCACCAGATGCCAGACACGTACACGTATGTGAGCACACTTCAAGGTAGGCAAATACGGAAGATTTAGAAACGATACTGCCCTGCAGGGACACCGAAAGAAGAACAGTTTACGGCCTCCATGGTATGTGTAGACTCATACTTCGGCTTTTCTCGGACCAGTAAGTTGGTCAGTAGATTGTATTATTTAGAAATGAAAAGTATCGTCAGTGATCAAAAATCCACACTAATTTCATGGGGAAATGTGATTTCGCGGCACGGGGGTGTGAGGACGAGGTTATCGAACCTGCATTTGAGGTCGGTACAACCCTGTAATTTACTGTCTGGAGGAGTATGCGAGTGAGTGCCAAAGTCGTCGTTCCGCTTCACCAGTAATCGCGAAAAGATTCGTTCATTTCACTGGGCCGCAGCGTTACATGGTGTCGAAGCTGAGGTTTGTTGTTGCTGGACGGGAAGTTCTCAGCTGGTATGCCAATCCGTCTGTTGGTCAAGGGGCGAGAGGCTTGCGTGCGGTTGATGGATGGCCTTGCAGCTCCGTCACAACGCACGCTCCTCCTGCGGGCTCCTGCTTTCCTGGAGCCACCAAGCGCTGGTCAGGGGAGGAAGATGTCCTTGGACTAGAGGGCGAGGGGTCAGCAGAGGTACTGGCACACTAAGTCGTACCGTAAGGCCACCGGCATGAGCATGCCGAGAACGGTCAAGAACGTTGTGGTCGTTGAGGGTTGTTGTACACAGTAGGTGCACGTCGTTTAGCGCCAGTGCCGGTTCCCCCCAGCAGGGGCCTCGGTCATCGGGTATGTACCGGCCCGCCAGTCACGGTAGAATAGATACCTCGTAGGTGTCCAGTCCAAAGTCACTCGTTTCGTGCATGGCGCGCTAAGCTTTCAGCTGGTGCTTAGTGGGAGCGTAGATACAACATGGCTCAGCCTGTTGCAGGTCGATACGTCAAAGCTTCCTCGTACAGTTTCTCCCATTTGAGCAAGGTCAGAGGTGCCAAGGGAAATCGTGGTACTCAAACGTTCACCAGAAGTTCAGAATGTCTTTCAGCTCCCTAGTGTACCTACATTTCTTCGCCTTAGAGGTATTGCAACTCTGTTAGCGCCACGAGCTGAACGGAGACCCATCGTCGATCTGAGTTTGGAGGACTATATAATTAACGAGCGCTCCAGCTGAGTGAACATGGTAGGTACCATTATCTCGAACGAGCAGGGACGCCCCAACGCCCATCATTTATCACTCTAACCTCAAAACACTGCCCGTACCATGACTAGCCTTCTCGCTCCAGGCGATTTCGCAGGCCTCAAGGACAGGTCCGTCCTGGTCACTGGCGGCGCGTCTGGCCTGGGACTCGAGACAGCGCGGCTCCTCGCCTCGAACGGTGCCTGCGTGACCGTTGCAGATGTCCAGCCTCCGCTCGACGACCTCGCCAAGGAAGGCCACCACGTCCAGTACGTCCACTGCGACGTCAGCGACTGGACAAGCCAAGTGGCCGCATTCAAGGCGGCGGTCGAGTTCTCGCCGACCAAGAGCCTCGACGCGGTCGCAACCTTTGCCGCCATCGATCCGCTGGAGAACCTCATCGACCAACAGAAGGCCATCAAAGATGTATCGCTGGACATTGACCCTGCACCCCCGTCTCTCCGAACACTCGACATCAACCTGAGGGGCTCCTACTATTCCGCGACACTCGCGTTGCACTATTTTCGCCTCGAGCCTCAGACCCCAGCCTCCTCACCTCCACGGACAAAGGCGCTGACATTCGTCTCCTCGCTGGCCGGGTACCTCGATGACGACCACAATATTGCCTACACGACCTCGAAATTTGGGACGAGAGGTCTGTTCCGTGCCCTGCGACGCCGCGCGAATGCGGACTTTACTCCCCCCGTTCGAGTCAATTTGATAGCACCATGGGCTATCAAGACGCCTATGACGGAGCCGCTCCTCAAGCTCATGCAGGAGTTGGGCGGATCCCTGCCGGCTATCACGTTCGCGAAGAAGGAGACGTGCGCCGAGGCGGTCGCGACATGTGTGGTCGACGAGGCGATTCATGGACGCGCCTTTGCCATCATGCCAGAAGGGGCGTTTGACATCAAGGATGATATCGAGGGCGGCTATGGTGGAGAGGAGTTGAAGGTCCTGATGAGCTGGAGAAAAGCTGCCGGTGATTTCCTGCAGGGTTGAGTGGCGAAGATGTCAACCTCGTCTGGCATGTTCATATAACAAGCTTCCGGGTTGACATGATAGTCTGGACCAAGCGACCATTCTTGTTGTTAACTACCCTCGCCGAATACAGAGTCGTGAGAAAGGAAAGCCGCATTCCATCCTAACTCACCACTATAAAGCACAGCTGTGGTCCCATCTACTCGTAGTTAGTACTCGGCACAGTATTCAGGCCGTATGTGTGTATATCGCCTCGGAGTAGTGCGAACACTTCGCCCACAAGGCTGCATATCCCCGCGGACTTCGGAGCCCAAAAACTCCTCCCACATACAGTATCTTTTCTACGTAGTATACAGCTTCCCCATCAGCTTCATTTTCTCAACCCAGTCCTACCTACTTACCTACTTACTTACCTACTACAGAGCACAAATACACAGTACAGACCTCTTACCTCTACTCTACTACATGCCACAGTAAAGTAGCTTCACCACTTCTCCTCTCCTTCCCATCCAATGTCCGAAACCGACCCCGGCTTCCTCGCGGCCGTCGAGGAAGCAAAGCAGGGCTTCGCAGAGGGGGGCGTTTCCATTGGTACGTACTCAATATCACACACACAGTGACTGCCCCTTCTGTCCTCTATCCAAGTCGACGAGCCATGCCCGGGCTATCATATAATGTCATGTCATGTGGTGGCTCGAACATCATCGTTGCCCCTCGCCGCTAACGAATCATAGGGGCATGTCTCGTGTCCAAGGACGGCAACATCCTCGGCCGTGGTCATAATATGCGTGTCCAGAAGGGGAGCGCCACTCTACATGTGAGTACTATCGAAGGGACCCTACCATAATTCCACCATCCATCACTGTACCGAGCCGATCCAGCGATCCACCGCACCTTCTCGCTTGCTTGCTTCACTCTTCCCTCTTCCCTGCCATCCTCAGCGGAACGAGGCGGACGAACAGCATATCACCGCCTAGGTCCCCGAGTCAATGAGGCGGTCATACATGTCTTGTGCGCGTGCGCCCTCGCCTTTGTCCGCGTCTCTAACATGTCGATGAGGCCGAAATCTCCGCTCTCGAAAACTCGGGCCGGCTCCCCGCGACCGCCTACGCGGGTGCAACCATGTACACGACCCTCTCGCCATGCGACATGTGCACGGGCGCGTGCATCCTCTACAAGGTCGCGAGGGTGGTGATTGGGGAGAACAAGAACTTCGTGGGGGGTGAGAAGTACCTCAAGGAACGGGGCGTCGAGGTCGTCGTCTTGGAGAGTCAGGAGTGTGTCGAGTTGATGGGGAGGTTTATTCGGGAGAAGCCTCGTGTGTGGTGAGTGAATGAGCTTGAGTTTGATTTCTTTTCGCGTCATCGTCTACGTATTTCTTTTTCGGCATGCACGGGACCCGTTCATTTGTGGTCATCATGAAATGCGTGGCCTCCAGTCTTTCTATTGGAGAAGCAAACATGCAGCACTTTTGGTCTTTGTATTGGAGAGGTAAAGGCTAACTCATTTCGATGCAGGAACGAGGACATCGGCGAGGAGTAACTAGACACATTATGCCCCTCAAAGCACCTGGCCCTTTCGCTGCATGGGGTTCCCTGTCAGGCTGTACATCGGTGGACTTCCTCAAAGAAGAACTTCAGGTCATCCGGATTCACACCGGGCGTAATCCCGTGTCCGAGGTTGACGATCCATCGTTGCTTCCCGCCCTCGAAGCCTCGCACCATGTTCTCCGCGACGTGGGTGATCGCCTCATGCGTGCCGTAGAGGACGCCCGGGTCGGCGTTCCCCTGGAGAGTCACGCGACCCTTTGCTATCCTGACGGCCTCTGCCGGATCGTGCAGCCAGTCGAGCCCAACCACGTCGTAGCCCGAGTCGCACAGTTCGTCCAACGCGTACCATGCGCCCTTGGCGAACACTACCATCGGAACCACGTCCTCCCCCATCTCGCGTAGCCGCTTGGGCAGATGTTCCGAGATATATCGTAACGACGGGAGAGAGAACTCTTTGAAGCTCGCCGGCGACAATTCCCCGGCCCATGAGTCAAACACTTGCACGATCTGCGCGCCCGCGGCAACCTGCAAGGCGAGGTATTCCACGCAGATTTCCGCCATCTTCTGCAGGAGCACTTTACTCTCCTCGCCATGCTTGTACACCCACGTCTTTGCCTCCTTGAACAACTTCGTCCCGCCGCCTTCGACCATGTAGCAGAGCAGTGTCCAGGGTGCGCCGCAGAAGCCAAACAAGGGCACCCTGCCCGCCAGCTTGTCCCGCGTCAGCGTGATAGCTTTGTAGACGTAGTCCAACTCCTTCTCTACGTCGACCTTTCTCTTGACAAGTTCCTGGTACTGTCCGTCTTGGGGGCTCCTCAGAGGGTTCGGAAATCTGGGTCCAACGCCGTCAATCATTTGCACCTCCATACCCATGGCTTGTGGAATCACGAGAATGTCGGAAAATATGATCGCTGCGTCGATAAGACCATCGTAGCGGTCGATGGGCTGGAGGGTCAATGTCGACGCGATCTCGGGAGATCGACAGCATTCGAAAAAGTTGTGCGTGCCTTTCGCCTTGTGGTATTCAGGGAGGTAACGGCCGGCTTTTGAGGTTGTTAGTCTGGGGTTGAGCACACGGCAGGGGAGCGGAGGCGAGGCACTGACCGCTACGGCGTACCTTGTCGCATCACCCATATTGGTGGTCGATCGACCTTCTCGCCTGAAAAATACTTTTAGTGACGATTGTTCTGTGTGGTGTTGCGTGCTAAACCGACCTCGTGCGGCGCGAAGAAGTCGATCATTCTTCAAGGGCGCAAAGTCTTTGGGCATGTTGGAGTCTCGCTTGAAGCAGACCTTCTCTCTAGGGGGCAGACAAGGTCATCAGCACAGCAATCGGAATGAGATGGTCAGTGTCAAATCAGCTTCGGAGGGGCTCAATGGGGGGCAATTTGATTGACCCGAATTTTAGCCGGTGACTCAGCCTTGCATAGGACAGTCTTCGAGCTGGACGGGGCCGTGCACCGAGCCGGGTGACAAAAACACTGGCATACCTAAATAATGGCAAGTAAAGACCAAGATTACTCTTCGTGACCACTCAGAATTTTGGGTGCTAGCTGATATATACAATTAGATAAGCCTACTCTACGCCTCATACGCTCGTGGTTAATCTGGTCTGACCACGAAAGTGTGTCGGTTTTTATGTCATCTGGCTCGGCACTTACATATGGTAGGCACGAATAGGTTGTACGAGTACTAATATGTAGGGTGAAGATTTGCATCTCTTCGTAGTGGAGGCCGGCTTAATGCGAGTGGAGATCTCTCCCTGCCCTCGACCAAGGCTGACCATCGGACATTATTGCCTATGCCTCCGGTGGAACAACCTCCTCCTCGCCCATTTCTTCTTGCTCGGCTTCCACGGCTGCCTGCCCTCTCTTCTTCCTCAGGTTTTCAAGCCCGTACAATATCTCCCCGGCCGGGCTAAAGTTGATATTGTCCTTGTCGTTCTGTGGTGTCTCCGATGGAAGATTGCCTTTCTCGACAGTTGAAGCTGTATCGTTTAATAGCATTGCCAGACTCGACCGCTCCCACCGCAACTCTGCCTCCGGCGACAATACCGCCTGGCTGCCTTCGACGCTTGTGTCATTGGGCAGGTTCGAGAACAATGCGAACGTCTCAAAGTAATCTGTTTTCGGTACTTCTTCAGGGTGAAGGATTTTCATCGACCCGGGCTTGTGGATGATATCAATACTGACGACAATTTCCCAGAGTGCTGGGCCCACACCAATATCGAGCACATTGCCTCCTACTGTCAGAGTCTGGTGGTGCTTCAACCGACCCTCATCAGTAAGGCTATAACTCAACACGATCGGGACACTGTAGCTCATGGTGAGGATGGATATGTCACGAGCCTGGAGTAGCACTTACCCTTCGAGAGCGGCGAGGAGCAAATGTGGAGGTCGCGTAGACCTCGGTGAGTGTCCCGAGACAGTGTGGTGGATCGGCCAGATATTGGACACGACTAGGTGATCTAGGGATCGCTCTCCCTGCTCCAAACCGAGACACCTGACGATGTCTTGTTTGACATCACCCTTGAATAGCTCTTCGTCAAGCAATTGCCCAGTCTGCCAGCGATACACCTTCAGAGAAGGTTCGCCGCTGCCCGCCACAAGTAGTTCCGGGTTCCATGGCACGATACACAGTTTGCTCACAAATTCATGATGACCTAGACAATAGTTCTCGATGATGTGCGCTTGCCTAACTCCTCGGGAGACTCGAATGTGTTCGTCTCGATCTGCTGTTAGGATGTACTGGCGAGTCTTGAGGCCGATGGGGATTTCAGTAATGGCAACGTCTGTCAACAAAGAGACGTGACCTAACAGCAATTTGTGTTCGAACTGAGGGCCTACTCTCTTGGATTGAGGTGCCTTTTGTAGTCGCTGCTGCTTCAGTGCTTCGAGGTTACCCTTTGTATGCACGGTTAACTCTGTAGCGGAAGGAGAGAAAGGTCTTCGTTGGTGATCGTCTCTGGGAGCTGGCGGAGTCCAGTCGTCTGTAGGATGAAGTGGCAGCAAATAGACGTCTCCAAACTTGTCCCCAACCAGGATGTTTTTCTCATCTGGTGTCAGGACGACTGAACATATCCGTTTTGGCATCGACCTGTATCGCCTCAGCGTAAGACCTTGCAAGAGTGGACGCGACTCACCTCCGGCTTTTCAGATCCAAGATTCCTCCTAACTGTACATCCAATACTGTGACTGATTTGTCCTCGCTCGTGACACTAATAACCGTCTTTCCGTTGCTGGTGACAACGATATGAGAGACGTTCGGTAGCGTAGTATGTTCTACCTTGGGTTTCCGCCGCTCACCCTTCTTTCTCTCCGAGATGATCTCGATTGATTCCTCGGACTCCTCTCGCGGGAGCTCTACAAGGGCGTCTCCATCGAGCTTCTGTCGCTTCGCTGGCCGACTGGTGTCACCATTGGCTGTGGTGTCATTCTGGTTCTGCTTCTTCTGGGAGGGCGGCCACTGACCCAGTAATGAACCATCTTTGAGATCGAACGTAGAGATCAATGGCCCGGAGGCTGCCAGGAGGAAAGGTTGTCGGTCTTCCACCGGCTGGACGCAGCACAGCGTTTGAAATGGAGCAGCCACCATTTCAGGGACATCCAAAAGGTGTTGGTACAGAACAGAACCTCAGCAATCTCATGCACCTGGGACAGCCTTCAGGATCCCTTTCATGCTCCTTGTCAGGTTTAGTACTATCAGGAACCCACCAGACCTGTTGGGATCGTCAAGGAAACAATGTCACGTAATTATGAGAGGTGCTCCAAGCCCCGAAGTATCACAGCCACGAACCCCCGAAGTGCTCCACCGTAACCGCCAAGAGACGCCTTAGGTAAGCTGCGAAGCTCGCACATTACAGATTTGGCTCTCGAGAGTTTGAACTTTAGAAGTGCACGCATCGAACACTTCCAACCCATCCATCTTACAGTTTGCCCTTAAATATCCTAACTTCAACCCTAAGAAGTCATGGGGGGCAAATCAGGCACCAAAGCTATCTACTTTGACAAGCTCAAGGGCTTGCTCGATGAGTACAAGTCAATCTTCATCGTACGTACCTTAGCCGAGTTGTTGCAGAAGCGGCGCATTAACAGTTCCACCAGGTCAGCGTCGACAATGTCTCGTCCCAGCAGATGCACGAGATCCGCAGTAACCTGCGAGGCGAAGCAGTCGTGCTGATGGGAAAGAACACCATGGTTCGAAGAGCGCTCAAGGGTTTTATCGCCGAAAGCCCCGAGTACGAACGTCTCCTGCCTCATGTCAAAGGTTCGCATAGCTAGAAGAGGGAAAGAGAAGACCATAATAATCTGACCTTGGCAGGCAATGTTGGCTTCATCTTCACAAATGGAGACCTGAAGGCCACTCGCGACAAAATTCTTTCGAACCGGGTTGCCGCTCCTGCGCGCGCTGGTGCTGTTGCACCTGCCGATGTCTACGTTCCAGCTGGAAACACTGGCATGGAACCCGGCAAGACCTCCTTCTTCCAGGCCCTCGGTGTCCCTACCAAGATCGCCCGTGGTACCATCGAAATTACCACAGATCTCAAGTTGGTCGAGGCTGGCGCGAAGGTCGGGGCTTCCGAAGCTACCCTGCTCAACATGTTGAACATCTCTCCTTTTACCTACGGCATGAAGGTGCAACAAGTGTACGAGGAGGGCAACTCGTTCTCGCCAGACGTGTTGGATATTGAGGAAAGCCAGTTGCTGAAGGCACTCACCTCGGCTATCGCGACCATCACCACCATCTCACTTGCCGCCAACTATCCTACCCTGCCCTCGATCATCCACAGCTTGATCAATGGCTACAAGAAGGTCATCTCTGCTGCTATCCCGATCGACTACGAGTGGGAAGCAATCCATGAGCTCAAGGATCGTATTGCCAATCCTGACGCCTATGCTGCTGCTGCTCCTGCGGCGGCTGCGGCTACGACAGAGGAGGCCGCCCCTGCGGCAGCCAAGGAAGAGGAAAAGGAAGAGGAGAAGGAAGAGTCCGAGGATGAGGGTAAGTTCGATTCCTACCCCATAGATACAAAGGTCGCTGACATGTGCCAGGCTTCGGTGGTCTCTTCGACTAAGTGCAATGTTGAACATGCAATCGCGCATCAGGATTTCGAGGCCTTGCCAGCTAAATCGGTAGACAGACGACATAGCTGTAATGACATGAGATGCCTATCACACCGATCATACCACCTGCCGACTGTGACCAGCGGTACGCTTCCTCAGACATCAATCTGTAAGCCCGACCTTTCCTTCACTACCTCAAAGAGATTTCTTGTATGATGATCAATTTTTAACCCCGAGTACTTCGTTCAATGAAGAACAAAACTACGCAACAACACTCTAATTTTTTACTGACTTCCTATCCTTCTGCTGACCTCGACTACGCCTCTGGTTCAGACCATCGCTAACTCCTCGAAAGGCTGTAGGATAGTCACTGTGTCTCACAGAGCCGCTTGGGCCTTCATTTCCACCGCATAAGCCACGCATAAAGGCAGTTTGGATGACTCGCAATCTCAGAGGGGTCTTTCTTCTGTGAATGCACCGCGCTTAAGTACAGTGACCAAGTCTTAGCTGACTTCTGCGCTTGTTCCATGTTGTTACATACCATGCCACGCCTGCTGCTTTCTTAAAGGTCCCATTGCTAACGGAGTCCATGCATTGTTGAGTCCTGAAGATGCGCTGAGGATGATTGCCTTTTTCCGTCTAGCCCACAAACTCTTTCGCCTTCTTGTCTCCCTGTACGGCCACCTGTTTTTCCTCTCCCTGCATCTGCAGTAACTCTGAGTCTGACACCATACTGCTTGAGCTCTTCTCAACTGAACCTTCAACGTCTTGCTTGGGCTTCTCCCAGCTCTCTTTGTACTGGCTCCAAAGGTCGTCCACAGATAGGCCAAAGATACCCTTCCAGAACTTGTCCTCATGATATCTGTGCCTTCTCATCATTTCGTTCATGTAACTGACAGTCCCTGTCCCTCGCTTCTCTTCGAGCCACTCGAGGAACCAGCTGCTACGCCGTTAGCATCTAGATTCAGACCTGTTTAAGTCACTACCGGTAGCGAGGAATCCTTACGCTGTCTTCTGATAGCCCTCGTCCCACTTGTGCCCTCTGTTCTCGGGTGCCCGGTTCCAATGGGGCGGCGACAGGCCCGCTTTCAGTCGAACAAAGTCGGCAATACCTTCGACTAGACCGCCTGGTGCTGTCCCTTGGCAGTTGCCTTGAAAGCAATGCACCATCTCATGAGTGATGACTCCAGCCAGCTCATGCCGTAGACCGGCTGAATTCCTAGAAAGCACACCTTGGACGTAGTCGAGGGACAGATGGATTTCTTTGTGCAGGTCATCCAGCGGCAGGCCCGTGGTGTAGGCCACTCCGCTCATTGAGCGTAGAACTACAGTTACCGATCTTACTCGTGGGATGTCGTCGGGGCCATAAGGCCGGTACAGCCAGGCGACTACGTGTTCAATGGCGCGAACGAGGTATAGACCACCGTCCAGAGAGCTGCTGGCCACTTGTGCTGCCGGATGACTGACGTCGTCGATGTGAAGCCGTAACACTGGCTTGTGACGCAGCTGCGGAGGTATGATGGGAGCCATGTTTGCTGATGAGCGAGCCTCAGCGGGTTTTCAAGCCCGACAACCGTCGGCAACGGACACGCTGGAGTTCTGTGACGCCTTTGGTACCTATCAAAGAGGGGACGTTCGATTGGTCGGCAGACTCCTGCCGTCAACGAGGCTTTGCAAGACGGTTCCAGGTGGATTTGAATTAAGCCTTGTGCTGCAAACTGATGAGGATCGGCCAGGCTGCGGTGGGCTTTCCAGTGAAGTAACCGTCGACTGCGTGTGGTTCAGCCAATAACCGCGAGGTCGCGTCCTGATTGGCGACAGCTCCACCACACCCGGCTGACTTGCGCTCAATCAAAACACTGACCCTCAACAACACAACACCAAGTGTGCTCTCCTCCCCACCACATAGAGGATTCTCCAGCCACGCACCGCATCAACAACAACAGCGGAAGACCTTCCACATAAGGTCCGTGGTTCGCAAAAGGCGTCCAAGCGGAGTCATCAGGTGAGCGAAAATTTTCGTCTTCATAAGCCGCCTCTGCTCTTGTTTCCTTCCTTCCCACACTCAACTCCAGATTCCATCTCGCAGAACCTGTTTCTGCGCAACTTTGCACAATCAAGCACATCGAATCCGCTGTGTCTCATCAATCGACTCTTCTCACTGTTGCAAACACGTCACTGCTTTTCATCTCCCACATATCCCTTGTAAAAGACATTATGGGTGTCTTACAAGCGACTCGCCGACATGGCGTTCTTTCGCAACCGTATGCCTTCTAATCTGCTGTTCCATTCTGCGTCCGCGTTCAATTTACTGATAGGCGCGTGAACAGTCGGTATTACAACTACCAGGACCGTTGAAAACACCTTCAAGAAAATCGACGCAGCTCTCCCAGTTGCTGGCAAGGCCATCTACTTCGCCGTTGCAGGCGCCAGAGCCAGAATGCTCGGCAAAACCTACCAAGATGTGCTCAATTTATTGCAATACGAGTACACTCTTCCAGAAACCGAGGAAAGCTGGAAGAAACGTCAAGGTGAGCCTCTAAAGCGCGATAGCTGAAACTTCTCGAAGCTGATAGCAGTGCAGATTTGCTCGCCGAACTCTCTGATTACTTTGAGAAACGCAAGGAGAACAGCGCCCTTCCAAACGATCTTATCCAGAAGGTCAAAGCTGTCTTGCCCCACATCCTGACTGTGAGTACTTCAACCTTTCAGAAGATGTTCTCTTCACTGGCTAACAGCATCTTCTCAGACTGCCGGCTCTGAGCGTACCACGCTGTCTGGTCAAGCCTGTCGAGCCCTCTCAAACATTGTGAAGAACCTGGAAAGTCACCTCCAGCCCCACCTCGACCTTCTCCTTCCAAGCCTCATTACTGTCTGCGGCTCTACCAAGACCGTCAATCAGAAAAACGCCAATGATGTGATTGTCAACCTCTGCAAACATGCTGGCTACAGCTCACGCCTCTTCTACCATGTCTGCGCCGCATTCAAAGACAGCCGCGTTCCTCCCCGCACTTATGCTCCAGAATGGCTCAACATCCTTCTACAGACGTATCGCGCTCAAATGGACCGTGACAGAGATGGTGGTCTTGCTGGTACTGCCATCTTTCAGGGGCTCACTGACGGACAAGTCAAAGTCCGGGAGAATAGCCGCGCCGTATTCTGGACATACCACAAATACGATGTCTCGGGTGCTCGCATGATCATGGGCGGCCTCAATTCTCACGCACAAAAGGCTCTGCAGGCTGATCCACACAACCCAGACAAAGCCACTGCTAGTGCTGCCAAACCTGCTGTCGCCCCCAGACCAAAGTCTGCTCTTGCCAGCATCAAAGCTCAGAACAAAGAACGTATGGCTCAATCTCAAGAGGTCCAGAAACCACAAAAACCTCATAATCCCAGCGATGAACTCAGTTCACTCAAGTCAGCAGACTTCAAGCTGTTTGGCAGCATCGAAGTCGACGACGGCAAAAAGCCGAGTGGCCTGCTGTCCGCGCCAGTCAGGAGACGTATCGTTGCCACACCCATGGCCTCCTCTAGCAATGCCAATGTCCAACGGCCTGAGTCCCGTGGCAGAGTGGGACCACCAGCCGCCGCTGTTGCCAAAGATATCGGGATCAAAAGCGCCCCCGAACCCCTACCCGGCTCTAGCTGGGACACCATCAAATCAAACAAGTTGGCCGCAGACAGCCTCCCAACCTCCAGCTGGGAGAGCCTCAAGTCTGAGGGCAAAGAGAACGTAATGGCAATCCGATCAAAGAAGAAGCGGTCGCCACGGCGCTCGCCGGAGCACGACCGTCTCGCGTCCGAGAAGAAGACTCTGGCGATGGCTATCGAGTCTCTGCGCCGCAAGAGTCTCGACGCTCTTGGCTGGCGCAGACTTAAGAAGTTGCTCGAAGAAAATCCTGGTGTTTTAATCACCAAGCAAGCACAGTTCAATGAACTGTTTGAACTTCTCATCACCAACGTGGCCAATCTGGACATGATCGCGGAATCCAGAGACAAGCGACTCACCAACTACAATCACCCTGCATATCATACACACACGATGCTCGTCTGCTTGATGCACCTGCAAGACCAATATCCCCAGTGGCCCGAGCCACAGCCTGGCATGACCTTGTCTGCACTACTCATTGCCAGATGCAACTTCAGCTCCAGTTATGAGTCTGTTCTGACAGCTGTCGACGAGGGAGCACTTTACCTCTGCAACCGCTGCAATACCCTTCTTCCTACAATCGACGCCGTCCTCGATATTCTTCAGACAGTCGAGCGCATCATTGCATCAAATGATCCTATTGTTACCCCCACGTCGACCGACACTATATTTTTCAACAGCCTTCAGTCTCTGGCTTCCGACTTTGGCCCTGAAAAGCCTCGTTTCGCCAACAGACTCCCTATTGTTATGGACTTCGGCTTGAAGATCATCAACCAGCTGCTCTACCGGCTCGAGCAAAGCGGCGAGTCCCTCTACGAGATCCAAGAAGACCGCCTGGCCGGGTACGCAACATACCTTCTCGCCACATACAACTCTATCATTAAACGCGGCGTCATGAACTTCTGCATCAGTCTTCATGCCGTCGTCAAGCCAGAAAAAAGATTCTACAACTACTTCAAAAAGGAGTCGGACAAGAACTTGATTCATTATTATGTTGATATCGCTGGATCGCCGTGAGTGGGCACATTGTTACTGGGGAGCGTTCCGTCCACAGGGCCGTTGTATTGTATCATTAGCATCATGAAGAATGTCGTCGCTAACGTGTGACGAGACCATGGTTGGCATTGGAAAGGACCCCAGTCTTCATGACATTACTGTATGAAATGGCGTTCGGGATAGATGGGCTGTGATAATGCAATGAATAGAAAGCTTTCAAAATGACCCATGTTCCCTCTTGCCGTCCCGCCTGTGTTGACCCTTCAAGCCCACATTATATACTGCCGCGAACGCGAATTTGGCCCAGGCTCCTCCCTTCCACGGAGATACAGGGAAAGAAACCTAGCCAGGCACACGTGCAAAACTGCGTTGCGACATCCTTCACAGCCCTCCCGGAACTAAACACGAAAATGGCGGGTCACGTCTAAGAAGCACCGATCAGGGTCAAGGAGCTGTCACAATCTGGTAGCTGAGTTTGATGCTCGTTCCGCTCTGTCTTTCTTGTTGTTCCATGAGCGCTACAGTACTTGAATGCTGCTCGATCCCATCGGCGCATTTGGCTCTCATGGTTAAACTACTCCGTACTGTGCCGCTATGGTGTCCTCTAGGCACCTTGGCCCGTATGGGGGACCTTGGCGCCGCGCTCTTGGTGGTGCGCCGACAGCCCCCTCTGATAATGACATGGATTTCTGGCATTCACTGTGTACACGTTGCATGGAAAAGCTCCGAGTCTCACCAAACACAAAGACCACCCTGTGTGGTAAGAGCCTTGAGGGCCAGGCTGAAGCCAGGGGCTACGCCAAGTGAAACGTCACGGCAGATTTCTGCATGGGGCCTTCAGCAATCTGCGACGTCGGCGCCACGAGCTGATGGCCAGAAGAGGCCTGTCACCGCCAGAACCGTAATTCGGAGATGACGGGAGCGAGCTGGGCTTTTTAGACTGGTAAGAGAAGGAAAGATCATGCAGACAACTATGCAGACTACCTATCGGAGCGGGTGTCTTATTCTATTATCGTGTAGTCGACCATCGTGTCAAGAAAGAAGTTTTCTTCGATGGGAGGCGTATTCGCATCGCATGAGCATGAATCGAGGTGGGTAACCATCAGAGGAGGATCGCGTCCAGCATCTGGCATCAAACCCCTGAATAGAATTCGGGTTCTGGCTGTGTTCATGCCAGGCTGCTCAGTCATTGGAGCGATGGCTGAAAATGCTCCCTCTGGCGGTCGCTGGCTTCTCCATGGTTCGAGTCAATCGGGCGGAACTAGAATGACAACAGTTTAGCTGCAGTGAGGGCCCCTTGGAGAGATGCAGCCCACTTGGGCCATGTGAGCCCTCACTCGCTCGATTGCCTCTGTTAGGCCCGACGGCGGAGCCCCGGGCGTGACGAGCTTTAACTAAACAGGCACCGTTAGTCTCTCCTGATGAGGCGTGTGAGGCATCATCGACTACCGTACGGAGTTATCCAGACCCTGACTGCGAAGTGAGCCTTTCCTCATCTCGAAGACACCGTCTCAGCAGAGTTGAGCACGAATAGCAACATCTCAACCACCACCACCACCACCACCCGCCGCTTATCGCTCTTTCCACAACAGCAGGCTGACAGCAACAATCAATCCTTCCATGCGCCTTTGTCCTCCATAACCGCCCTAATCACCCGCTGCGCACTGCAGTGTCATCCTCTGGCTCTCAAATGACTTTCCCTCGAGCGTTTGACCTGACGTGAAGCGTCACCAAGCCCGAGCGTCTGCGCAACCACACCCTAGTCCGGCCATTTAAGCACGAGCTGACAACCACGATCCTTTCTCGAAAACTTGATCACGTTCATTTCCTCCTCCGACTCCCGTACGACAACTAAAAGACAACCATAGAACGATATCGTCCGGCTCCATTCTGCTGTGGCCGACTCGCGACACGCAGTCCACAGCGCAACTACACCAAATCAGCGCAGCATCAATCGGCAGCTAGATTTTGTCCCGATTCAGTGTTTCAGCTGCAGGCCAGCCAGCACACGACAATCGACGATCGATCAGAGCAATCATTGTCCTTCAGCTGTGCGATGTACACGACTTCGCGGCCATAGTCTTCAAAAGTGGGATAATTGATGCAGTCGCTACAAATAGTGGCAACAAACGGCGTTGGATTCCGTTTGCACATACTCCGACCGCATGTGGACATAGTGCCACACGCCGTGAGCTAGAGGGATATAATGGCCACTGCGATGGAATCTCCTCTAGCCTTCCCCGACTCTCCCATGGAGCCAGACGAATCCGCCTATCCTTGCAAAGGTTGTGGACAGGTGAGCCTTTCCCTACCACATAGTGCAGACCGATGCTGACAATCCCCCTTGGAGATACTTGAGGAAGGCAAGGCGTTTGAGCTAGGTAGGGTCTTCCATTCCATTTCCTCTCGACTCAACATGAACACTGATGGGTTACAGCTGGCAATAGATGGCACATCAACTGTTTCCGCTGCAATACGTGTAGCACCCTCCTCGACTCCAACGCCAACCTCCTTCTCCTCGGAGACGGCTCGCTGATATGTAACAACTGCACCTACAGCTGCAGCAACTGCGGAAACAAGATTGAGGATCTTGCCATATTGACCGGTGATCAGGCCTTCTGTGCCAACTGTTTCAAGTGCCGCAACTGCAAGAGGAAGATTGAAAACCTGCGATATGCGCGGACGTCGCAGGGCATTTTCTGCATGGACTGCCACGAAGCTCTGATGGCTAGGAGACGGAAGAGGTCTGCTAAAAGCAGTCGCACCAAATCGGGTAACAACGTGCAAGACAAAGCTTTGCCCGCAATTCCGCCTCCAGAGGCCAGGAGCACCGCCTATATTCCGGAAAACCAGTCGTCTCCTTTCCTTGAAGTCTATGGCGAGACGCCTACAGCCGGTGTGCCTTCAGTGGGTAAGACAATCAGTGAATTGCAAGCAGACCCAGACTCGAGGCCATCCACCTCGGATCAGAATGCTGCGAGCGGTAAGCACCCGATCCCCGTTGCCCGAAACTCGTCTTCTAATCTGACCTATTGTAGACATGCTCACGTTACCCTCCACGACCTTCCGTAATAACAGACATTCGATGATGTCGCAGCGGTCAGACCTGTTAGGCGGTGGTGGTGAAGAATTCCTGATACCTCTCGCCTTTGACCCTACACCCCAGCCTGCCGTCCAGACGCCCGGCTCTTCACACCCGGTCAAACAGAAATCTGTCGATGGGACACCCACAGACTATTTCACAAGCAAGTCCACAACCCCGGTCGCTCAAGCGCCTCTCACCAAGTCGAACACATCGAGTCCTCACATCGCCTATCAAGAGAAAGGTCGTCTGCCTTCGAGAGAGGTACTCGAACAAGGTCGCAGGAGCGGAAATCTGAGCCGATCTGGTTCTGCGGCTGCTCCGCCCTACGTGCCCGCCGAGTCTTTGGACAACCAGAAGTCAGAAAAGTCACCTCGGCTGTCGCAAATTGGGCGCACCAACGAGGTGCAACAGAATGACAAGTTCAGGCTCGAGGCAGCGCCGAAAACCAAAAAATTCTCGACCTCGACGTCGAGTGCGCGCTCAGAGCGATCTACTCCACGGGCCGACGTGTTGGCGGACCCTATCGAGCAGTTCGCCTCCGCCCTCAAGCCCTTGTCTGTCCCGGACGTCGGCTCGCCATCAGATCGCGGCTACTCGACGCCTGGAATGTCCAACGAGTCGAGTCCAGCTTTCAGCGCCTCCAATGTGTCTCCCGAACCCGCGCTCCTGCCTGCGGCTTCTATACTGCAGAGCTTGCCCAAACGAGGTGACTCTTTGGACAGTGCCAAGCGCAACCAAACAATACCCAGAAAAGAATTGAGCGCGGCGGCCAATATCCCTTCTGCCACCGGAGTCCCTGTGAATGGTGCTTCCACCACGCCGAAAGCGCCGTTCAACTTAGCAAAGGCAAATGGTGGAAAAGTTATCTCTGGTCCCATCGGTTCTCCAAATTCCAAGAGCATATTCGATACAGCAGACAGCTCGACGATACAAGACTTTCATAGTGCCGGTAGCGCTGGCAAGGCCAATGAGTCTTTCATCGACCCACGGATTCCCCCTATGCCACCCGCCGATCACTCGAGGGTGCGAAATGAATCCTTCAGCACGCTTCAATCCGAAAACCAACGATATTTGGAAGGCTCGAAATCCCCTGGCCTTCCCAGATATTCTGCCGGCGGAGATTTCAGTATGGACGAGGACATGGCGCGGATAATGTCTGGTGAAGAACCAAGTCCTGCCGAATCGTTTCTTCGAAGGGTTTCGAACTCTGTCCGCCACGGCCGCAGCTACAGTGACAGGACTGGACGACTCTCGAAAGACCGGTGGCCTCGCTCGCCTGCTCTTCCAGGACCATCTATTGCACAGGAAATTAGTAGTCCCAGCAGTGCATCTCCGGAACATCGCGACGAACTTGCTTGGTTCAAGAATGAGCTTCGACGAGAGCGGCAGAAGACAGTTGAGCGGGAGAAGCGGATAGCCGAGCTCGAGATACAGCTCGACTCGGCCGATTTCAAGCAGGTGAATGTCGAACTAAAAGAGAAGAGATCCACGATGGTGGTGCTCGATACACAAAAAGAAATTGTGATCAGAGAACTGGAGGTGCTGACCGAGCATCTGGCTGCTGCGAAACACAGCGGCGAGCCTTTTGATTTGGGGAAGATGAGTAACACAGTACTTCGCGACTTCGCTGAGGCGCTCGAGAAGTTGAGGACGTCATTCGCGCCTCAGATCGAAGCATCCATCCAGAAGCGAAATGATCTGGTGGATGAGATTGCCAACCTGACTCAGATGAAGGACAAGAGTTTCATGGAGTTTGAACAATTATCTTCCAAAAACGCCCAGTTGGCCGAGCTCAACAACCAGCTGGTCCACCAAATACAAGGGTTGTACAAGGCCAATTCAGGTGCCCAAGAACAGCAGAAGTCGACCATGAACGGGTTGGGAATCTACTCTCATCACAAGGAGAAGTCGCAGTTGTCTTTCGACTCGAGGGACACCTTGCGCAACGTGTCGACTGACTTGACCACCATCGATTCGGCAACTACCTTACAAGGCGAGGCTGAGCCGGTGACTGTCATACAAGGGCCTCAAATGGTAAACATCAGGCCTAAGAAGTTCGACTGGAGAAAGGGTCAGAAGGTCGCCAAAGGGGTCACGAAAGGCCTGAAAGGTGCTTTCTCCTCGACGCAGCAGAGCTATAGTAGAGACCTGCAGTTTGCCGAGACAGGAGCCTATGGCGCGACAGCTACGCTTGGTCAGGAGTACTCGAACTTGCCAAAGAACAATCCGGAGCCACTCAAGCAGGGTGGTTTCGGCTTCTTCAGCAGCCAGAAGACAGCCCCAAGACAGAATGGGCTCTATGCGCAACAAGCCAACGCCAGTACACCGTCTTTGCTGGCTGACGCTGGTGCACGTAAGTCTCCTCGCGCTTCCGTCGTCGTGCGCCTGCTAACCCAAGAGACAGAGTTGTTTGGCTCTGAACTTGAGCAACGCGCCGAATTTGAGAAGACCACCGTTCCTGCGATTGTGAAGCGGTGCGTCGAAGAGGTGGAGTCACGCGGTAAGTATACGGAAGATCGCCATGTGGACCGGCATGGCTAACAAATCATAGGCATGGATGTCGAAGGCATCTATCGCAAGTCTGGTGGCAATTCGCAAGTACAACAAGTCAAAGACTGGTTTGAGAATCCCACGAAAGACTTCGACATATCTGACCCGGACCTGGATATTCACGCGGTTACTTCTGGACTGAAGCAGTATTTCCGGCGACTCCCGACTCCACTCATCACGTACGATGTGTATGATAAGCTGCTCGATACAACGTCCATTGAAGACAGAGGATCAAGAGTTGAGGCCATGCAACGGGCTCTGGGCGACTTACCTAGAGTTCACTACGAAACTTTGGAATATCTGATCGGACATCTTGCACGGGTGGTGTTGCAAGAGAAAGAGAACCTCATGACGAGCATGAACATTGCCGTGGTGTTTGCGCCGACGATCATGCGGCCTGAGAGCGTCAATCGCGAGCTTAGCGACACCAAGATGAAGAACGACGCGGTGATGTGGCTGGTCGAGAACAGTGACAGAATATTTGGCAAGTGAAGAACGGTTGGGAGCATTGAATAGGAATCCTTGGATTGGGCTGATCTGCATGTCGGAAGCGGGGGTTTTCTGGCTGCCCCTTCATGATCAACGACACTTGTTTGGGAGTGTATCGAGCCATTTCAGCCTGGCGTCCCTTCGGAAGAATGAGTTTTGTGAGATTAACGGCAGACTATCACTAGGATTTGCGATTGTCTGTCTGGGATTGGCACGGACTGGGGGCGGGCCTTTGTGAAGCGGTGCTGTATCTGTCACTTGGAGAGAGGTTCTTAAAGCGTAAGGAGTGGAAAGGGCGACGACAGGACTCGGGGAACTCCGGGCCACACATTTCAGGCTGTGGTGATCTAATGACCATGGTTGGAAAGGAGATAATTGAAGACTTGAAGATGCTCGATAGACACCCTCGACACCTTGCACACAGTACAGTGGGTGCAGCAGTGCCTGGCGATTGGTGCTTAAAAGGCCCACAACTTAACCATAAGCGGAGACGCCCAGCTTCACCACGCTTCACCAGTGGCCGGTAAGATGCGAGCCCCGAGCGGCGGCCAGGCACTCCACTCCCTGCTTAGGTTCGCCCACGATGCGCAGTCCGTCCAGCAAGGCCTCACTTTCGCTACAAGTCCATGCACCACACGTCTGGATGAGGACAACTGCGCTCCGCTCGCAGTCACAACCTCGCACCACGGCACACCATCATGAATCCGCAGCCTTGTCTCCGCATGCTGTCCTGCCATGAGTGATTCAGTGCCCTCTGTCCCTATCGTTATCTGCCAGGAGACGATGCTGTCGTCCTCACTCCCTCCCCACGATGAATCAGCAACCCATGTACGGCGGGCCTCGCCAGGCTACCCCCCTCGCGAACGGCACTCAACCTCGACAGAATGGCAGGCCGGCGGAGCAGCAAGAGAGCAATCAGTCCCGTGCTGCGCGCTTTGAAGATGAGAAGCAGCGCATTATCGAGGCGTGCTTCAGCAAACGAGATCCCGAGGGAATGCAATTAGAGTCGTATATCACCCATGTCAGAGTCCTCGAAGACGCCTCGTACCCGTCATCACCCCCTCCGCCCGACTCTCCTTCGAACAACAAGAAACACCGGGTCATCCTCGTTGCAGTCCGCCGTTCCGGCAAGGTGAGAGTCCACAAGGCCCGCGAGAACCCCAACGGCTCCTTCTCCATCGGCAAGACATGGAACCTCGACGAATTGACCGCCATCATCTCGTATTCTGCTCTCGTGCCAGCGAATCCACAGCAGCAGATGGAGAAGCAGTGGGCGTCCAACACCGGCTTCACCGTCTCCCTAGGCAAGCCATATTTCTGGGCTGCAGCGACTGCGAAAGAGAAGGACTTCTTTATTGCCAGCCTCATCAAGATATATCGGAAATACACTGGTGGAAAGGTCCCAGAGCTTATAGGATTCGCTCCCCAGGAAGTCCAGCAGCTCGCCGGGGTGCCCCCGAGCCAGAACACTCCTACAACCAAGACTGCGTTCTCTCCTATCATCTCAAATCCAACTCCTCCGCCTGCCACTCAACAACGTTTCTCTCCACCTCCTGTGATACCCGCGTTCAATAATAATCGACCGCATTCTCCGTATACGGCAGCCCAGCCACCTCCGAGCCGAGATGACCCTCGAGTCGATCCGCAAGAACAGCATCGGGCATTTGGCCGCCAGGAATTCCGTCCACCCACGAGAGAACAAGGCCGCCCACCGTCGTCTCACGGAGATGAGCGAGAAAGGGTGGTAGGCCTGCCACCAAGACCAGTTCGAAGAGCCCCTCCTTCCGAAGAATCGCGCAATCAGCCTTATGCCGCTCGTCTGCCCCAAGATGATGCTCGGAAGCCATCGCTGGCAGATTCCCTACAGCCGGCGCCGCTTCGGCCGTCTGTCAGTCCAAAGGCTTCCCAATCGTCGCTTGAGCGCGCCAAGCCTTCTCATGAACCGCAACCTCTAAGACCGAGTGGCCTCGGAGTTACAACGGCTGGCAACCGGGATTTCTCACCCAAAAGAGCTGGGTCTACACCTGGTCAAGATTTGCCGCGGGATGTTGGCCGGAACGAACAGTATGGCGGCTCGAGGCCGAGCACAGCAACGAGTGATCGCAGGACCCCGGACCCTCCCCCTAGCCTACCGCCGAGCCTGCCCAGCCATCCTGCGCCTGGGTCCGAGCTACCTCCGGAGCAGAAGAAGCCAACGGCACCAGCGGCGCGTGCAGACGTGAAGCCTGAACAACCAGGCCCAGTAAGCCAGAGTAACAGTGCGTTTGTAACACCACAGGGGACTCCAGGCGCCATCAGAGACGAAGAGCAGCAGCGGAAGCCGGAGTACTTTGCAAACGAGAAGGTTGAGGTTCAAGGAAAGCAATCACAGGCGAATGCGTCTGTACCACCACCAGTGCCCATATATGCTCAAGTGACCTCGCCAGAACCTGAAGCTCTTCAAGCTGCAAACGGGCCTGCATCGCCTGAGTCCGTTACTTCTCTAGCACCGCCAAAGGCCGAAGAAGAGTTTCGTCCTGGCCTCGGACCCATGGTCAAGAAGAAATCCGGCAAGGACATCGCCAACCAATTCAGGAAAGCCGCCCTTGCTGCAGCCGCATTTCAGCCTCGCCAGGGTGGCGCTGGTGCGCGGTTAAAAGCAATGCAGGACAAGTTCTCGAATGAGCCCGACGGAGTCACCAGCGTGGTTCCAGCCCCGCTGAAAAGAGGCATGAGTGGTGACAGCGCGCGAAGTGGAACTCCTGATATAGCAACCCCTGATAAAGAAAAAGATCAACCTGCTCCGAAAATCCTGCCAAAAGACGCCTTGCCGCAAGTACAGATTGAACGGACAGCTACCTCAGACAGCGTGCCTCGAACGGTGACTCCAGCTGCGAAACCGATCTTTCCTGAAGCTGATGGAGAGAACGAAGATACAAAGATTGAATCTCTTGAGAAACTCCGCTCATCCTCGCCTCAGAAAAGGCGTCGGCAACGGCTCGAAGCGGAAGTCGAAAAGCACTGTACCGGACTCGGCATCGATCCGCGCCTTACCGATGGGGAGGGAGCAGATCTTGACGAACTCATGACGCAACTCGGCTGGGAGGGAAAGCTGGCGGATGATGACCACGTTGACAAGTATGAGACCGACATCCAGAGGGAGATAGGGCGCGCTCAAGCCAGTGGCTGGCTAGGACACGTCGAACAACAAGAGGGCAAGGTACTCGAACTTGCTACAGCCTTTGACAAAGCTATTGCAGAGTGTGAAGAGCTTGACGGGCTCTTGACACTGTATGCGCATGAACTTGACACTCTCCACGAAGACATTGAATACATCGAAGCTCAAGGACAAGGCCTGCAAGTTCAGACGGCCAACCAAAAGTTATTGCAGGCATCATTGAGCACTTTATTGAAGACACTCTCCATATCTCCAGCAGATCTACGAGCTTTGCACTCAGCACCCATTGACAGCTTTGACGGTGTCGCAGCGATCGAAAGTGCTCTAGCACTCCTGTACGACGCGATGCTGACAATTGACCCGGAACTCGGCCAGAACAAGCTCAAGAGAGCTGCCTCGACTGCCAACCGCCTCGGACTGGGCAAGGATCCCGAAGCGAGGATTGACAAAATGCGCGCCGTGCGCGAGAAGAAGGACGAATACAAAGATGGAAGCATGATGTTCGTCAACCGCATCAACCAACACATGAAGCTGATGTTCTCGCTGGTCGAACAAAGGACCAGCGAAGAGAATGCGAGCGCGAGTGTCTCTTCCGGTACCTCGTCCTTCACACTGAACCTGCGGGCGTACAATGCTTCGAGACAAGAACTCTGGGTCTACAATGCCATGATGCTTTTCGTGCGCGAAGTCAATCAGTATGAGTGGCAGGTATTGATCAGCAGCTACGAGCGCAACTTCAACAGCATCTATCAAGACCAGTTCCGGGACTTTGCAGAGAACCTGAAAAGGACCGTCAGGCAGCCGACGGGTGAGGAGCAAGAGTTGCTGTTCAGTCACCAAGAAAAAGAAAGGCCTGACGAGTCCAATCTCTCGACTGCAGCCCGCAAGCTTACAGTCAAAGGACGTAAGCCGGTCAAAGCCAGTACACTCAGACAATCACTCGGTGGGGACAGGAGGGATGGCAAGCCCGATGCGTGGGTCATCTTCGACACAGTGCTCGAACAGCAAGCTCTTGCAATCTCCGAGGAGCAGAACTTTATTGTGCACTTCTTTCACTTGGAGTCACAAGCCGCCGAAGACTTTGTCGAAGTGATCAGGTCTCAGCCTCCAGAGCAGCGCAAACTTCCCAGCCTACAAGCCAAACTCCCCTATGACCCAGATCGCAACATGGCCAAAATCGTCCAGAATACCACTGATGGAATCTACTCGTTCTGGCCTTCGCTCCTGCAAGGCCTCATGGAATGGGTATTTCGCCTGGATTCGTTGCAAGGCGTGGGCGTCCTCGTGTCCCTGGAACAGTGTCTGTCCAAGTATGAAGAAACCAACCAGGAGTTCATCACGAGGACGGTACGAACTCTCCATGACCGAATCATAGGTCTCTTCCATAAATTCGTCGACGAGCAAGTGCGCGCCATCGAGGAGACGAAAGTCAAGGTCAAGAAACGAAAGGGCTTGATCAGTTTCATGCGCGTGTTCCCCGAGTTTGTGGGCGCGGTGGAGGAAATAATCCCCCAGCCGCAACAGTCCGAGCACCAGGATTCGCCGCTGGAGGTGCGGTTCGTCGTCAACGACGCGTACAACAAGATCCTCAAGGCCATGTGGGAGTCCCTCAACTTTATCGCAAAGGATAATCCCGCGGCAGATCCTGGCGGACAGCGGCACTCCAACGCCCCGTCCTCGGGCGACCCAGAGGACAAGGAAGCGCTGAACTACCATATCCTGCTCATTGAGAATATGGCCTTCTTTGCGGACACGATATCTAGCCACAACAATGTGGTCCTGGGGGAGTGGGTGGAAAAGGCAGGACGGGACCAACGCTCTCACCTGACGCAGTACACGGACGCGGTGATACGACGCCCATTGGGCAAATGGTTGGATTTCATAGAGTCGACCGAAGCGCTCATGAACAAGGGCGACGGCTCGTCAAACGTGGCCATCATCGCCAAAATGCCCTCCCACTCACGGAGCACGGCGAAGAAGATCCTCGGCAACCACGACGCAAAGGAGATCAGAAAGGGCGTGGAGCTGCTCCGGAAGCGGGTGGAGAAGCATTTCGCCGCCGATGATGGGGAAGTAGGGGCCGGCGGCGGGAACAGGAGAGCGCTTGTCGAGAGGGTGTTTGACGAGTGTAGTGTCCGGTATGCCCACGCGTGGGATCGCATGAAGGTCATCATCGAGAAGGTGTATGATGGGAATCTGGACATGGATTGGCGGAAAGAGGACGTGCAGGCTTTGTTCAAGCGGTGAGCGCTGGAGTACAAACCAGAGAGCTGCGTGACACTTTGGGATATCGCGGCCTCCAATCGAAGCGAGCACATGGACCCGGTAGACAGACCTGTTATGCTGTCTTGTCTGATGCAATGCAGCGGCTGGCGATCGATGGATGCAAAGCAACGAAATGTATGTACCTACCTACCTTATGTGTGTGTATACATGTATGGGGACGAGCAATGGAGTTCAGTTCTACGGCCTACATACTGGAAGTCGTCGTCGGAGTAGGTAGGAGTGTCCTGTTTGTACTGTGCACTGTGTGCAAATGTTAAAAACGAGGCTGGCAGATCGAGTTTCTGAGTTGTGTATGAGTCCAGAGTCCAGAGTCCAGGGTAATTATCATGGCAACGAGTCTTGCACTGCAGTGATTATTCCGGACGGGCACGTGATAAGGTACTGGACTACCAGGGACTGTACATAGGCAGGTGCTTATGTACCTACCACGGCCACCGGACGTACTCGTACAGTGCCCACCGTAATCGCGTCTGAGGCTGCGCTGCTCTTGATGAGCTGAGCTGGTCTGGTTGCTTCGACTGGACTGGGATCGGGCGGGATTGCTTCTGCACCCGGACTTGGACTCGCACTCGCCTCAACTTGTTACGGTCGACCGGTGGTGATGTTACTGAGCATACCCAAGTACCTATACCGGTAGATATCTACTGTATCATCGACCAGCGGTTTTTTTGTGAATTCCTACGCAGGACTCCGTACAACGTAGAAGCTACACAGCTCGTGTCGGGAGCCTGTTGGTACAAGTGCATACCTAGAGAAACACCCCACCTGGGAATGAAAACCAATTACTGTACCCTTTCCACAGACTCGACAGGTTTCGCTTCGTGCCGGTGGACCAGTGGGTTTTTGTCATATATAGAGCTCGTGGCGAGCGTAGAGGAAAGGAGAGAGTACAGTTAGACGGTGCCGTCACTCACGCGGGCGTGAGTAGCCTGCCTAGGTTTCTTTCTCTATTCTTTCGATGATCCGAGGCTGGGCTATACACGTGGATGGGGGATAAAAGTGTACATGTACCTATGTACATGTGCACTAATGAGTACTGAGTAGCCAGCCTGGCGCCCGACCGATAATCAAGATCCTACCTTTCCCTCCTGTTGGAGCTTCCAGTACTCGCGCTCGTGCTCGTACCGTGTAAGAAAGCTTGGTGTCCACTGTCCACCGTCCGCCGAGTATCCTTGGGCGCGAGGGCCACGTGCGGGTTGGGCAACGAAGATTCTGCTCCGTCATCGCAGCAGGGAAGTAAGTCGCTGCTCGTGGACCTGCGGCGGAGTCACGACCTGGTCTAAACAGGGAGGCACGATCACGCGTGGGTCTGCATGAGGGGGCTGAGCGGTTCCCGGAGCAAGAAGAATATGTGGCTGGGCGGATAGAAACGGTAATTCTGTGCTGAGGTCTGCAAAGCGCTCGGATACTTTATGGCGGCTTAAATAGACCTTCTGCTAGATCTGGTTGTCAAACGGATGCAGATGCTCGTGCCGGGTGGACGAGTAGATTCACTCCTCGGATTCACTTAGGTTCGTCAAATTTAGCCATGCCTTTCTGCTCCGAATAGTGACACCAATTGCCGCAGCCGGCATGAAAAGGCAGAGGCTGGTTTTGGAAAGCTGCCATAACGGTGAACCATGAATTTCCTTTGGATGAGACCAAAGAGTGGATAGGAATGAAATCCAGATAGAATTTGCTTGAGGATTTGAGCTTAGAAAACAATAGTCCCGAGCCCGAATAGGGAAGACAGTAGAGTTCGCGGTCATCGGAGTCGCGACGTTGCGCAACCTGTTCTTCACTGCATATGGAGAGTTTGGAAACCTTTGATGGGTGTCCGGCCCACTCGAGTGTACTTTCAAGTCGCGATTCCAGACTTCGTACCTCGGATGGAACCAGTTCAGTAGATCTGCGTCGTCGGCCCGCCATGTCGAAAGGCGAGTCTGGCTGGTTCCGTGCATGCAAGATCACTCCGGAAAGCACTGTAGGATAAACGTGGTCTTGGCGTGCGGCCTGAGCTTCAACCATATGAAGCTGTGGGTCCAGCAGTCTCTGTGCTTCGTTGTCGTGCTGGAGGTGCTCGAGCGGCTGATTGTCATTCATCCGGTCCCTCTATAGCATCTTCTATGGTACTGATCGGAGGGGTGGTTGTGCTTGGAGATCTGCTTAGCTTAGACGTTGTGATTGGGTTCCGCGCTAGGAGAAGTGTTCCTCGAGGTGGTCTGTGACGATGGCTGTAGAATGAGGCGTAGGCGTGGATACGGAGTACGGAGGCTTGTCACAGTAGGTCTTGCTATAATTACTCGTACATGGTACGTGCTTCATTCCAGCTGCCTTGCGCCTTGGCGTGATTGCAGATCATCCTTTGCTCCAGCTTGAGAGATGTGGAGGATTCTGACACGCGTGGAGGGGACAGGGGGGTTTCATCCTTTAACGACGCGGAATTCACCGTGAACCAGTGGTGCTCCTGTATCAGCTCCGGCGGCACAAAGGACCGTTCGGTAGATCAAAAGTGGGAGAGTCCAGTGGCAGCGGGATTTCCCAGACCGTGGGCTGAGCTGTAAGTTTCATCGAAGTAGCAGAGTTCGAGGCGAATGTCGGAGGAATCGAGCCTGCACCCTAAAGAGCCACTCAGGCGGCAAGTCTAAGCGTCTGCACGCCTGGAACATGCATACGTAACTGGTAGTTCCTGCCGTGGGCTGCGGCTTGGCTGAGCCCGTCGAGCCCATCGAAGGGGCCGTCGACGTTTTGGGTTGCGAATGAAATGTGGAAAGGCTTCCGGCTCGCCTCCGACACCGTCAACGGTAACTTTTTGAACCATCCACCGCAACTCGCCTGGCGAGGAGGCCATGCCATCCGTGTAATGAATATCTACTCTTCTTGCAGGTCGCCAGCGGGTTCTGGTGCTGCTGTATATCCATCTTGAAATTCATCGTCAACATTCTTTCCTTTATCTACTCCTGCTCCGTGCGTGGATGCGGCCAGTCCAACTGTCTATGCTTCTGATCCCGCCTTGCTCGACGGACGTCCACGCTCGACGCACATTCCGCCCTGTGCTCGTCTGCATTACCTGCACAGGTGACCAGCGCGGCGACCACGCCTTTACCTGGGAGACTGACCGCTGAGTAAACAGTCATCGCTGGGGCCTCGATCACCGCCCGAACGGTCGATCGACGTGCCAATGATTCCTGCAGTACAACTTCGCCAACATAAGAGGGAACCACCAGGAGGGACTGGTAGAAGTTGGGCGCTGGCGGCACAGGACAATATCAAGGCATCTGCGGCTCGTGGATCTGCAGCAATCGCTCCAAGGTGTTGACCTGGACCGGTGTCCCCACAGTGAGAGGTCGAGGCATCGAGTGACAAGAGAGTGGCCCGACAGAGCGCAGCAGCATAACTGGCGCGGAAAAGACACACACGAGACGCGAACACACAAGATTCCAGGTGTGAGGGTCGAGGATCTGGGCATATCACTCTTTCTTATCCGACCCTTCACCTCCGTTTCACCACCCGGCCGTTCAACTGAGACCGAGACTGTCACCGTGATATCCTGTTCCAGACCGGATACCAACGGTTCTGCACCACAAAAACAACGAGGCCAGTGTTCGCGCCAGAGGAAACTGTCTCGGTCGAAGAATTAGTGGTTGCCAAGGAGACTTCGAATTGCTGTTCCCCTTGTTTCCTACATTCCTGCTGGTGGCAGGTCGGTCATCACCCACTTCGCAAATTCAACTCCTTCGAAACCCCTTCTCAGCACCTTCGTTGGCGTCCCTCGTTACTTCAGGTAAGCCCTGCATCCAGTTATTGTGAGTGTTTTTGAGCTATGGGCTTTTGCACCAAGATATATGTGACAATAGTGGTTGGGCCAACGGTAACGGGGCTCGTGGTGCAACAGCGCCGTGACGTGCACTGACCTGGCACTGATCCCTTGCGGACCAAGGTGTTCTTCAACGCTTCGACTTTTGCCCTTGGTTGTTGTTTCTTCTTCGTTCTGTCACTGACAGGTTTAACCATGCAGTCCACGCGCCTCGGACCCGGCTTCACGGGCTTCCTGGTATCTCAGCGCGCAGCTTCTTATCAACGGTTCCAGGCTCTGCGATTGCCTATACCCGCACCGAGCAGAGCAAGGATGGACATCAACGACGTGCTAGATCCGGAAAAGCGCGCCGCCCGGAACAACGAACTACGACGATATCACCAGACCTTGCAGATGAACAACGGCTCAGGCTATGGCATGAGCCAAGACTCGACCTTCCCCAATCATCAGCAATCAATTCATCAGCCCGCTGGCTTGCCGTATAATATGATGGCTCCTCATCAACACAGCCCGCAACTCTATGCTCCTAGCTACATGGCCAGACATGACAGTCAGAGCTCGTTTACCGACGAGAACTTTGGACATGCTCAGGCGAAGAAGCAACCAGCTACAAAGCAATTCCCCTGTAGCTTTGCCGACTGTAGAAAGAACTTTGCGAGGCGGAGTGATCTGTCGAGACATGGTACGAAGTTTTCTCTTCAAGCGTTTGGAGACCACAAGTTGACTTGATCAGAACGCATCCACACCGGCGTTCGGCCTCATTCATGCGACTGGGAGTCCTGTAACAAGTCGTTCATCCAGAGATCTGCCCTTACCGTCCATATGAGGGTGCATACGGGAGAGAAGCCACATCTATGCAGCCATTGTTCAAAGGTGGGTTTGCCCTCTTGCTTGATACGATCTCTCTGCACCTGCGATACTCGGGAGCCGAGGCGCTTAGGCGCTCTGTGTTCCTTGTTCACGCCAAACACACTGCCGCCTGTCTCCAGTTCGATACTGACGAGCATCTAGCCCTTTTCCGACTCAAGTTCCCTTGCGCGGCACAGACGAATCCATTCTGGTCGACGTCCTTACAAGTGCGAATATGCAAATTGCCAAAAGACCTTCACGAGACGGACAACTCTGACAAGACATCAATCTCACCACGTTGGCATGACTCTGGAGCAGGCGCAGGCGCAGGTTACCGCGGCACTAACACCTACTACGCTTCACGACTCCCCCCAGTACGTGTCTCCGTCGGAAAGCCCTCCAGGGCACCCGTTTCAAGTGCCAAAAGCGGAGCCGGCTTCGCCTCATCCTGGACTGCCGCCCATGGTCACTGGCATGCAACGTCAAAACTCGGACTACGGATATCCACCTCAGCATCTGCCTCTGCCTGCTCACTTGCGGGCTGGCTTCCAGCAGAATGCGCTTCGGACGACAAGCCCGCTGAACGGCCAACCTCTTCACAACTACACGAGTGCACCGCAACCACAGAGGTCTAGCACATCTTATCCGACGGCATATGGGCCGCCTCAACCAATGGAGCCTCCAGCCAACGGCACAGCTAGTGGAGGCGCCTCTCCACACCTTGGGGCGTGGACGTCGCCTAACCCTGGTACCCTACCACCACCGTTTGCCGTGGACGGTTCCGCTTATCAGGAATCTGGCTTTGGTGGTCACCAGATGGGCTTGCCCCAGCTCAATAATCATCAGCTAGGCAACCATCATCTTAACGGGCACCAGCTCTACTACCATCCTGTGAATGGGATGGGAAGACCTCAGAGCACCGAACCCAAAGATTATGGCCTTCAACAACACCAAGCTCATATACCGCCCCCAATGCCGCTCAATCATGACTGGCACCCAGATACATTGGATCCTCAGCATCATCGGCAGGGAAGTTATGGCACGTGGCGCCATAACGTCACTGGTCGGCCTCCAAACGGCGGCCCCGACCACTGAGGCAATCTCCATCCCTTTTGTGTGGCAGAGCATCTCGTGGTAATGTGGATTGGCAGCAGCGTGGAAACCATTCTAAAGGTGTCCACGTCAACAAATGAAACATATCGATCATTCCCAGCATTTCAGCAACAACGAACAACAGGACACAGAAAATCAATAATGCCCAAGACCCAAGAACAACCAATGGCGCATCGACCGCAGTTACGCATACCCCAGCATCCTACTCGACCTTAAGTCTGCCAGGGCGGCTTGAAGGCTTTACTTCTACTCATGTATGAAAATAATTGACCGCGCCCAGTTCTGCCGGGATGGACAGGCTTTGGGCTTGAGGAGAGTCTATTAATATGGTCTAAGCAGCGAGGAGTCTGGCGAAGTCGGTCTGTCAGGGTCGAACCAATAGGGGGTCGGAAGTTTGCCAATCTATGACGAGGCGCAATCATTGCTGATGCGCAAAGGCTATCGCGATGAGCTGCCGCAGCGGGAGTCTGATTGCAGGGCTGGAACGGCCAGGAGTTTATGGACGGGCGGGTATGATTAGGCGTTGTCTTTGCACACAGCTTTACTACGGAGTTTCTTTAAGAGTCTTACTTGGGCCGGTCTACTGATTGGGATAATGTTATTTGGCAATCATCTGGTGACTGAGACCCAGAATAGTTCATGCCTTCTCGGCATTGTCTAGTCGCCTACAGTCGACGCAAACATGTCGCAATCCAGAGAAGTTCAGAATGATCTATCGCAAGTGAAGGCTCAGGTGGACCAGTCTCACGCACGCGCCGACAAGCCGGTATCTGACATATGCACGGACACGGACATCATCCGACAAAATCCATGTCGAGCTGCTGCAGACTGAGTCAATAGTTTACCGCTTTTCTTCCATACTCCATCCCATCTGGAGAAATAGACTAGCTGCAGCCCGGGCGTCGATCCAGGTGGAGACATGTGGTTGCCTTCGGTGTAGCGAGCTCGCTCGGTCGAGAAGGAGAGAACGACCGAACATGCTTCAGCCTAGGGAGAGCTGATAAAGAGAGAGGACCGCGCGTTCCTCGTTGAGAAGTATTCTCTATAACCACGGCCTCGACTTCGTTTCGGCAGAGTTCTCTCTTGCTGCTACAGCATACCAACTTTTCGCCCGACCCCAAGAGGCCGTTGCGAGGCACAAGCAACGGCAAGCACCTTCGGGAACCCCAAAGGTGTCAAGCCCGCCGGAAGCGATTCCGTGCTGATTGATAAGATAATCAGGCCAGGCGGATGCTGCACGACTCTCGCGCCCATCACGCCCAATATTCCCCCGAGCCGTGCCGTCATTGACCCCAAAAGACGCAATCACGAGTTAAAAGTGCGGTACCCCGGCGGGACAATGCCTTCCCTCAAAAACAAATCCTCCCCTTCGGCGACGACCCCACGAAGGGCCAAAATGTCGCTCCTCCGGCGCGTAACGACATTTCTGACGCCTACACAATCGTCGGCAAACCTGAACGCCGGGTTTAGCACCGCAAAGACCGAGGCCGATTTGTTTCCACCGACGGACCCTGCCATAGACGGCGAACAATGTCTACACGATTGCTCGTCGTGTACTGTCCACTACCCCGCAAAGTTCTCAATCGATGAAGATGACCGGTTGTATGGCCACGTCAAGGGCTTCAATGTACACCTTCTCGTCGGGACGGGCAAGACGGACTGGGTGCGGGACGTCACTGATGAGAAACATTCCGTCATGGAAGCCGTGGGCAAGGTTGGACTGGAGATGAGTGGGAAGAGGGGGAAGGTCATGCTGAGTGCGAGTAATTTTCCCAGCGGAGAGGAGTGTCATGCGCACGGCGAGGAGGAGGGCACAGCAGACGTGATGCTCCTGCCGAGCTGGAAACTCATCGAAAAGGTACCGCCTAGTAAAGCGGGCGCCTTGATGAGGGAGGTGGTCGAGAGGAGCAGCACAAACGACACACCTGTTGGCGGAAGGAGAGTGGTGTCGAACGGCGCGCCCAACGGACACACGGAAGCGGCGCTTACAACGGAGCAAGAGCAGGTGCAACAAGACGCAGAGCAGAAGCGGGCTGAGAAAGAGCAAGAAGAGGAAACACCGGACTTGTCAAGTCTGCAAATCGGAGGTGGCACAGCACCACAAGGGCTCTCCGAACAAGAGCTACAGGAGGAGTCGCAACGAGGGTCGACTCTCGACCCAGCCCCAATCCCACCATCAATAGCCACGTCGTTCAGGATCCGACCTATCCCTCACTCCTATCTCATCCTCATGTGCAGTCAGAAGACCCGTGATGCCCGCTGTGGCCAGTCCGCCCCTCTTCTGCGAAAGGAGTTTGAGCGCATCCTGCGACCCATGGGTTTATATCGCGATGTCCACGACGACAGGCCTGGCGGAGTGGGCATATACTTCATCAGCCATGTTGGTGGACATAAATATTCGGCCAATGTGATGATTTATCGAAGGCAGGGTCAGAAGCGGCCTGGCGAGGATGTTGGCGCACAGAGGTTGGAAGACGAGGCGGTCCAGTTGATTTGGCTGGCTAGGGTGCGGCCAGAGGATTGTGAGAATATCGTGAGGTACACTATCCTGCAGGGGAAGGTCGTCAAACCGAAGAGCCAGCTCAGAGGAGGTTTCGACCGCGAGAAGGGAATGGCGAGTTGGTAGTTGGATGCATACACGGCATAGAAAGATCGCCACAGTCAGCAATTGGCACAAGCAATGATAACGCGACTATGGAAAACAACATAATGATGGCGTGGGTCGCCCTGATCTCTTTGTCTCTCATCGTGGCTGTGTCCCGTACGACGGCGTGGGCCGACCTGACCTGATCTATCTCTTATGGTGGCTACGTGTTGTCAGCGATGCGAGTTTCTTTTATAGAGGTTTCAAAGAAAAAGAGTTTGAGAGGTATATCTGTAGACAACAGTCTTGGTTTTGCCCAATGATCATGCCCCGACGGGGCTTGTACACCAAGCTTGGGAATAAGACGTCTCCCCTCCCCGACCATCAGCCCGCCGAGCTAATCAAAGTACCCCGTTCGGAAGCCCCGCCAAGATCGCGCGAACGACCTCAAAGCAAAGGCGACGTCTCAAGGACCGAGCTCGAGCGCGACTGCGCCCGCACGGCATGTGCAGGGCGAAAGGTTCGAGAAGGGGTTGCTCTCAGTTCTGTCGACCGGGAAGATAAACATTATGGGGGGGCTAAAATGTGCTCCGCGCAGAGGGTCGAGATCGTCACGGACGTTCGGACCTCGCACTGCTTCTTGGAGAAGCAGGGAGGGATCGTTCGTGACGCAGAACTGTGGTTGAGAAAGGAAAAAGAAGAAGGAGAAAAGGCAAGAGAGAGGTGAAAAGAAAGGCTTGGGGGAAGAAAATGGATGCCAAGAGTTTTGGGCTACGAGGAAGTTTGGCCGAAGTAAAGTCACCCGAGCCTGCAGGTGCTGACAAAAAAGGGTGGCATGCGTAAAGCATGACAAGTGAAGACCCAGAATACTCTTCGCGCTCACACGGAATTTGCGGTGGTCATAATATATGGAATTGGATAAGCTCACTCTAGGCTTTATGCGCTACTTATTGAAACCAATATTATCGAGTGTCGTCGCTAGAAGATTAGTTGAAAGATAGCGCTAATATATACGGAGTATGCTGTACCTCATGGTTGGTCTGGTCTGACCACGAAAGTGCGCCAGTTTTTATGTCATTTGGGCTCCTCACTCATCTAGGTAATTAGCGCGGGCTGCGCGGGCCTCTGCAACCTTAGACTGCCTCGACTGCGCATGTCGCCTTCGTGTCATTAGGCACCTCTTGCTACTGGAAACCGCACTCTCACCAGGCATCTCTCGCTGCTCGACACCTTCCTGTGTACGGTCTTTTATCTATCCTCCCCTCTGTCGCTCTCTGCAAAGACACTCGTCCGTCATCATCATGGCTTCCGCGGCAGATATCGAGCAGATGAACAAGCTCAGAAAGAGCCTGGGCCTGCCACTCTTAAACGTAAGTGGACAGCCTCCACCGTCGTCTGAAGGACCTACATTCAAAGAATCAAGAGCTGCCACTGCCGCCGACGACGATGGCGACCAAGGTGGAGACGCCGAGCCCGCATCGACCCTAGAAACCCGCGAGGCAGCGGGGTTCGAGAACTGGAACCAACTCCGTGAGGAGGAGAAGAAAAAAGCATTGAGAGAACGTCGCAAGAAAGAGATACAACGACAGAGAGATCTTGAGGCGCGGAATCGAAAGCTCGATGGCAGGGGGTTAGGTGATGCTGGTGGCGATGAACACGAGATCGATACCAAGGCTTGGTTGAGGGGCCAGAAGAAGAGGCAGTCGAAAATCGAGAAGGAGCGCGCGGAGAGGTTGGCCCGAGAACTGGCGGAGCGGGAACGAGAGGCTGCGGTCGAGTATACGTCCAAGGACCTTGCGGGCGTGCAGGTCGCGCATGAGATTGGGGACTTCGACGAAGGATTTGGCGAGCAGATTCTCACGTTGAAGGATACGGAGATCGGAAAGGGGGATGAGAGCGAGGACGACGATGTCCTGGAGAACGCGGACATCGTGTCACGGGACAAGCTGAAGGAGAAGCTCGATCTGAAAAAGAAGAAGACGGCCTACAATGTGCATGAGGATGCCGAGAAGGGGCTCCTCTCGCAGTATGATGACAAGAAGCGCAAGGCGTTTACTCTCGACGCGCAAGGCTCGACCGTCGAGGAACGCGAGGCCAAGAGGCAGCAGATCGGCGAAAAGCTCAAGAATACGATCAGCCTGGACATCCTAAAGGACGAGCCTGTGTCGGATTATCTGGAGCTCAAGATCAAAAAGCCAAAGAAGGAAAAAAAGAAGTCTAAGCGCCAAAGGCCTGTTGATGAGGATGAGGATGTTTTCCCTCCAGCACAGAGTGGGACCAATGGCGACGCAATGGATGTGGATTCTACAGTCGCTGTGGCTCTGCCGCGGGCGAGATCGCGAACCGCAGAAGACAACTTAAACGATGATGACGACCTGGCCAGTGCGCTTGCTAGGACTCGGCAGGCGGTGTTGAGGAAACAGAGGAGGAGACCCGAAGACATCATCGCGCAGCTCAAACAAGAAGAGGACGAGCAACCTGTCGCGGATGGAGAAGGCGGTCTCGTCCTCGACGATACCACGGTGTTTCTGGACAATTTGTCGTCTCGTCCCAGGGACGAGGAGCCGGAGCGAGGGGTCAAGAAGTCGATCGAGCAGAACGATGCGGAAAGCCCGCCGGCCCCTCAAGTCAAACAGGAAGACGAAGACCATGCCATGGGCGAAGCGTATGCCGGTGTTGAGGATGAACAGGAACTCGTCAACCGGGTCAAGCGCGAGCGCTCAACTGTCACCCCAGACGTGTCAGCCACAGGCCTCGACGAAGAGAAGTCACTCGACCAGGGTCTGGGGTCGGCGCTCAGTCTGCTCCGCCAGCGTGGGATCTTGAAAGAGACGGACGCTGGCGACAAGAACAAGCTGTACAAGGATCGCCAGAAGTTTATCGTCGAAGCTCGTCTGCGCGAGCACGAGAATGAGCAGAAGGCCCGCATGCAACGTGAGCGGGATCGCCAGTCCGGCAAATTGACGGGTCTGTCTGTCAAGGAACGAGAGGAACACGCTCGATGGCAGAACACCCAACGAGAGCATCAGTCATCAATTCAAGCGGCCGCCACTTTCAACAAGGAGTACAAGCCCGATGTGCAGATCAAGTACGTGGACGATGATGGTCGGCTCATGAACCAGAAAGAGGCATTCAAGCATCTGAGCCATCAGTTCCATGGCAAAGGTAGTGGGAAGCTGAAGACCGAGAAACATATGAAGAAGATTGCCGAGGAGAAGAAGAGAGAGGCGACGAGTATCCTGGATAGCAGCGAGGCTACGGGTATGAACAACGCTCAGGGCACGATCGGGAAGAAGAACAAGCAGGCTGGTATTAGGTTGGGCTGAAGATCCGGACATAGTATCAGGGGCTGAAGGACCATTGAGGTTCGTGCTTCCGAAAGTGTCGTACAGAGTATGTAGTCCTGCTGAGGACGATGCAGCGGCGTTGGTGTCGCACGACGCCATGTGGAAACTGTCAGGGGCAGCGCGAGGCGCACAGTCAGTACTGTAACCATTTAATGCGTGTGCTTTGTGTTGTGCCGTGCGCTGTGCCTGGGTACACAGTAGGTCTCACGAACAACGTTGAACAATGAGGCCGGATCATTGGCGGCTCGGGGGCATTTGCGCCGGCTTAAAAACAGCTGCCACAGAGTAAGCACTCTTATTGGCCCACACGCCGCTTAAGTTGGTAGCTCTGGTGCCATGCCGTGTCGCTTTGTGCCCATCCCACGCGCGCGATGTCGGAGCCTGGAACGGGTTGGAGCCCCAGCCAACCCCAATTCCAGGGACCAGAGCAGGCAGATGAGGCCGTGGGAGCAGCAAAAGGGTAAATTAAAATCTTGGAGAACAGATCCGAAGTGACTCTGCTGTAGCTTTGCCTGCGGACAACGGAGCTAGTTTTCTTCATTCTCCATCCATCATTCTCATCCCTTTCGAGGTCAATCTGTATTCACAGTGAACTGTGCTTCATTCCATCTCCGTTTCAGCCTGCGAGGAGATCCTAAGTCTTGCCTGTACAACAACAGCAGCGAGCGTCTTCTTCGACTTGTCTTTCGTCTTTCTTCTTCGTACTTCCAGCATAGACTCCATATCGTTTCACACACCTCCGATCACAATCACAATGCTGTCCACCCTCCGACCAGCGGCGACGCGTGCTACCTTGCGGCAACAGGCCGTCAACCCCCAAGTGGTCCGTCTCGCCGCCGCGGCGTCGACATGGGCGCACGTCAAGGAAGGCCCTCCCGACGCCATCCTGGGCATCACGGAGGCGTTCAAGAAGGACAGCTTCAAAGAGAAGATCAACCTGGGTGTTGGCGCATACCGTGAGTTTTTAAGTCGTCCCTGCATACATGTTTTATCCTCAAAGGGATACGGGGCACACGGATCTCTAACCTCGCACTCATCTTAGGTGACGACAAGGGCAAGCCGTACGTCCTCCCCAGCGTGCGCACGGCCGAGCAGAAAGTCGTCAATTCGACTATGGACAAGGAATACGCCGGCATCACGGGCGTCCCGTCGTTCACCAAGGCGGCCGCCCTCCTCGCGTACGGGCCGAACAGCAAACCCATCGCCGAGGACCGCGTGGCCATCACGCAATCCATCTCCGGCACGGGCGCGCTGAGGATAGGCGGCGCGTTCCTGCAGAGATGGTACCCCGGCAGCAAGACCATCTACATCCCGACGCCGTCGTGGGCGAACCACAAGGCTGTCTTCTCCGACTCCGGGCTCGAGGTCAAGCAGTACAAGTACTACAACAAGGACACCATCGGGCTGGACTTTGACGGCATGATTTCTGACCTGCAGAGCTTCCCCGAGGGGTCCATCGTCCTGCTGCACGCCTGCGCCCACAACCCTACGGGCATCGACCCTACGCAGGAACAGTGGCAGCAGATCGCCCGGGTCATGAAGGACAAGAACCACTACCCGTTCTTCGACATGGCATACCAAGGGTTCGCATCGGGGGATACGGACAAGGACGCCTACGCGGTGCGCCACTTCATCGAGCAAGGGTTCGGCCTGGTGCTGGCGCAGTCGTTTGCCAAGAACATGGGCCTCTACGGCGAGCGGGTCGGCGCGTTCAGCATCGTGTGCGACAGCGCCGAGGAGAAGAAGCGCGTGGACAGCCAGATCAAGATCCTCGTCCGGCCGCTGTACTCGAACCCGCCCATCCACGGTGCGCGCATCGCCAGCGAGATCTTGAACGACCAGGGCCTCAACAAGCAGTGGCTGGGCGAGGTCAAGGGTATGGCGGACCGCATCATCGAGATGAGGGCCCTGTTGAAGAAGAACCTGGAGGATCTGGGCAGCAAGCATAACTGGAATCACATTACGGATCAGGTACGTTCAAATCCTCTGGCTCGAGTGAGCTTGCTGCAAGATGGTTACTTGAATGGAAGAGAGAGGAGAGCTGCGCAAGCTCGTTACTCTGAAAGGAAGAGAGAGAGAGATACAGAGAGGTTCTCATGCTAACGTATCTTCACGCACGTTTCTAGATCGGCATGTTCGCCTACACCGGTCTGAAGCCCGAACAGATGGACACCCTCGCCAAGGAACACTCTGTCTACGCGACCAAGGACGGCCGTATCTCCGTGGCAGGCATCACCACGGACAACGTCAAGAGACTCGCCGAGGCCATCTACAAGGTGACCGGCTAGCTGCGGCCACGTTGTCGTGCGTGTTGCGAGATGCGATCCGGGGCAGGAGTCACCCGTGATCTGAGGGAGATGGGTACAGAGGGGTACGGCAGTCGAGTGACCAGCCAATAGACTCCCGGAAGGGGGCATCCATGACGGGAAGAGAATTTGAGACTGGAGAATTCAATCATCTCGATAGCACCTATCGTGGCAAAGACGCGGGTTTGCTTCTTACGTGCCATCTGTCGACTCTCCCGTCTCAGGTCTGCATGGCTTCTTTCTTGATTGCGGCCAACAAAAACTATGTATCAACACGATATCCAAAATAGACGGAATGGTTCGGTTCGGTTTCTTTCCAAACTCCTTTCGCTGTATTTCCTCGTCACAATGTCGCATCCACGTCGATCAGGAAGCTCGTTTGAGGCAAACACTGGTCGAATCGGATAGAGGGTCGAGCTAATCGTTGATTGAGAGCACGAAGCCTTATGGCGTTCGTATCCCTGTGGCTCTTGCGACATCAGCCACTCCCGATAGGGCTCATCTGTTCATCGCCGTCGAGGAACATCGCAGTCAAGCCTCGTCCCATAACCTACGTGCCTACTCCGTACCTGCATGGGACTTGACCGTGGCGACTTTTCATGCCTCGGTGGGGGAGAACGGGGAGATGCACAGTCTGGAGCTAGTAAAAGGTGACTGACTGACTGACTGACTGTCTGGAGCCGTCCCTCATTGGTATCGTGTCTATCCCTGGCAGAATGCGCGTCGAATACTAGATCAAGCAGGAGTCAATAAAGAAAGTGTTCGAGGACAGGAGGATGAGTTGAAGATCCCGCGATTGATCACGCTTCCACCTCGGTTGGTCACGGACAGATCGCAAGGTCGCGTAGGCTTTGAGCCGTCATCATCTAATTACGGCAATTCTGTTTTGCAGTCTCTTGCTGCCTTGAAGAGGGATTGTGACTAGACTATTCATGTCTCGATCTTGACGGAAGCCCAAGACTGGTGTAGAGGTGGCGGAAGGTGCCGAAGCATTCTCGCCATCGATCGTGAATGTTTTCCGTCTGCGGTTCTGTCTGGCTGGGCATGGTACTGTGTAGAGACATCATGGAAGGTCCTAAAGACAGGTCGCCGAATGGTATTTGTCACACAAAAATGTCCGGAGAGGTATGCCATGTGAGCAAATCGCAGTATTGGTAGATGTAGCAGCCAATGACAGTCGATCCTGGTGATTTGAGACCCCGCTTCCGGAGACGTAATGCGCAGGTTGTTGACTCGTCGAACCCCATTTTGCGATCTGTGCTGGCACAAGGCTCGGAACAGATAACCGGACAGCCTGATTGTGCCATCTTGGATCGCCTCGAGTCTGAAAAGGCTATTATCCGATGAGTCGAAGGTGGCTATCGAGGTTTTGGAAGCACCACCATCCGAGCCAGCCTTGCATTTAGCGTCTTCGGGTGATTGTGGTAAACAGTCAAGTGCTTGTACTGCGGTAGCCGTAGGTAACTTACACAGTACTGTGTGCTTTGTACTGACAGGACTCGGATTGCTTGTGTGGACAGGCGATCGGCCCCTTCTCCGCTTCTCGCGTTTGGACGGCCATGTGGACTATGCATGAATAACGGAGGGTCACGCTCTGCCGTTGCTCCGAGTATCTTGGTTGGGTGCTGGCCCTTGATACAGCTCTTCTTTGGGAAGACCGTTATTAGTCCAAGTATTTACTCATTGCTGCTGCAGTTAGTCCACCCGTTGACAAGCTGCCCAGGTGCTGGGGTCCCACCAAGGTCATGATGTTTGTGGTCCATCGCCCGGTGGTCCCTCACCCTGAGGAGGACGCTATCATTCTCAGGGTTCTTGATCAGTTGATCGTTTGCTCGTATCTCCAGACCGCTGCAGCTCCGGACAGACTGCGTGATTGGAGTGCCGTAGCAGAGGCATGTGCGTTGGTACGAGGTACGGGTGGGGATTTGGACGCTGGTTTCCGACCATATCGCAAGCCTTGGCCCTTGGACATAACACCCATGAGGGTTGGGTGGCGCAAAGCTAGGACTTGGTGCACTGGAGCCGAGTCGGCGTCAATCTGCGGGTTGACATCATTGGCTCCCGGCTGTGCGCCTACTCATCTGATAGGTAAGTACCCAGCACGGTGTAAACTCTTCCTGCTGTTGCAGCTTGAGCGGCGGCGTGGGCTGCATAAAGGAAGCCACCAAGCCCGCAGCGGCGCTAAGCCCAAGAGCTGGAGGTGCAGCTTTCTCGGAGTCTCTATATATTCTGCGACGCCCTTCTGTTGTGCTGGAACTGGCGACTCACGCTCTGCTTGTTCCTCTGCGACGATGACGGACCCTTGACGCTGGTCGACGTCATTGTGCAGGGGGAGTTCAGGCGGAAATTTGACGTCGACAGAGCAGCGTAGCAACAATGCAGAGGCCGGGTCTCTTGCCAAACGAGGGGCACCTCCCAGAGACTCCTCCCACTACGCTGGCGGCTAGTTGAAGGGCGATGTTCCCCATCGGAGCTCGATTGCAGACGACTCAGAAGTGGACTGTGCATCGCCAGACAACTGGGACTGCAGTTGCACAGGCATGCCGTCAGCTTTCCCGATTCATGCTTCGCTGGTGTCGATCTGCCGTATTCCTGGCTGGCAAGACAAGTGCCAGGAATGGATCAAGGGGATCTAGCGGTGCGGCTGCTGTGTCTAAAATGCTCCTGCAGGAGCGGGCAGAAGGTGGTGGACAGCATTCCACATTCCCCCTTCCGAAGCCCGGTAAGCGTTCGGTGCTTGGCTGCTATTGGGAAACCACGGGAGAAGTAACTTCATGGCCACGCAGGCATTCCCCACGCGACGAGCCACCCGTAAGCTTACCGAGACCGAGATAGCAGCTGTCCACCGTCCACAGTAGTCCGTGGGACTGTGTAGAGGTAGATTGTAGCCATCCGAATAGCGAGTGTCGCGGCCCCAACCCGTTCGTTTCCCTCCAGGGCAAGTGGGTTGAAACAGGGCGGCTCGTATGGTTTGCCTCTGCCTCCCTATCAGTGGTGTGGCGTCCCCAATTATCATAATCATTGCATTCTTTTCTGGCAGAGTCGGACGAGTAGTATCGAAGCACCCCTCAGCCTCGAGTGTCAGAGGTCACAAAGCCGCCAAGCAACCAAGTCTTCCCCAGCTCAATCTCTTCAGCTCGGTGTCAAGTCAGTGTTTGATCGTCTCCTTGCAACAAGCATCCGAGTATACGACGCGGTTGGCCTGCATCCCGACCTCAGGGTCCGTGTTCTTCCTTTTTCTTCCATCCGTGTCTCTCACCGCGTCGAGTAGCGAGGTGTGATTGTGCTTGGCCCCCGCTTGACCCTCGCCGGTGGACAAATTCGTGGTTGATCTGCGCTGCCGGACGGAGATCTTGGGCTCGGTTGCTCGCGAAACAGGACGCATCTCGCCAGGTCAGTATCGCTGGAAGTAGCCGGTTCACCCGAGTTTCGCGCAGAGAGCGGCGCCTGCGATACATTAGCACCCGTCTTGCATCAACTCGGGGGCGGCATGGGAATTTTTTTCTCGAAACACCGGCCCCGCCCCTGCGAAGCAAGACAACCAGATCTGTTCCTGATACCGTCCGCAGGTCGAATCCCTCAGCCTCAACCACTGGTCGCGGATCGCTAAACGACATCAGGTAAGCAGTTCTCTGTCCGACCCGTTCCTCCCAGCGAAGAGCGAGTCGACTGGGAGGGGCCAGTCCCCAGCCTTGAGTCAAGCTTGGGGATCAGCAGTCGACAACGACGTCGGATGTACGTCACTTCTCACTGGTGGAACACCCTCAAAATTCACCCGATTCATTGCGGTCGCTCTTGCTGGCGTTCGTCGACTGCCTTGCTCCTTCTTCACATCGTTGCCAGTTCTACTGTCCTGGGGCAGTGATCTTTGCTGATTCCCAAAGTATCCTCTGCTCGACCGTTTGCGGCTTCCTTGTCTTCTCTCCTGGGTCTGAGGTCGAGGTGTGTTGTCTTTCTTGCACTTTCTGGGCCGTATCAGACAGTCAGGATGTTGGAAGCAAAGGAAGTCAGTCTTGGGTCAGAGTGCTGACGATCTGCTTGCAGACAGATTGTGACCCTTCCCTCTACCTGCTGTCCTCATATTCGGCCCACCTCCCTACTAAAGCCTGGTCTGGATACCGGGCACATCTGTAACAGTCACTGCCGGACCGTCGAAAAACCAAGGCGCGCTTCGTTCATCCATATCACCAACCTGCTTCAACTCACACTTTCAACACTCTTTGTGCTTGTGAACTGAAAACGACTTCTGTCCCAATACCTGTATCCGTCACGACAATGGCCGACGAGGTAAGTGTCACAACTCATGGTTGCCGCAGCGATGTCTTCAACACCGCCGCTTCTGCCGCGAGCCACCACGCCGCGCTTCTCTGGACCCAGCTAATATTTTGCACGCATCACAGCTAGACTTCGACTTTGGCGATAATGTCGACAAGGGTACCTTTGAACAGATCCTCGACATGGACGAAGAGGACGATCGTGACTTCAGCAAATCGATAGTCTTTGGGTTCTTGGAGCAGGCTGAACAAACCTTCGGCAAGATGGATACAGCAATGTGAGTTTACACGCTGCTGGTGCGAGGGACGCATATCTGCCGATACCTTCCTAGTGCTCTTGACCTCAGCTGACTGACAATGTCCCACAGGGAGGAGAAGAACCTTCCAGAGCTGTCAAGCTTAGGTCACTTCCTCAAAGGATCATCTGCCACACTGGGCTTTACCAAGGTCAAGGATGAATGCGAGAAAATCCAACATTACGGACACAAGAAGAACGCGACTGGTGAGGACGACGAGCCGGACGAGAAAAAGTGTCTGGAGATGATCGGCAAGAGCCTTACGGAAGCCAAGAAAGCGTACGGCGTCGTCAATGAACTCATGAAACAGTTCTACGCAGACTCGTGACGACTTCTGTCGCCCAGGTCGCCGTTACCAACTAACTACGAGACACACCATGGCATCGACACCGGCAAGACAGACCTTGGCCTCTGGGCTCCCACGGTCGACTGAGGGACTTACCACGAGATGAAGTCACCTTGAGACCATCAGTGAAAGATGACATGAGCTGGCATGGCTATTCGGACAAAAGATTCATCGAGACCTTTCTTTCCTTCCCGCATACAGCGCTCCTGAGGTCCTGGAGGTTAATGGAATCTTGCTTCTTCATGCAGGCTCACCTAGCTCAAGACATGATGATCAAATTCATTCTGGTCGACAGTACAGGAGACTCTTCATCACTGGCAGACTATAGGTTGAGAATTTCATCGTCTCTCTACCATCGTGCATCCCAGACCTGTTGGTCTTTGCGTCTATTTGGCGCCGCCTCCTCTGTTTTCAAGAGGCAGTCAGTTCACATTCTCGCAGCCATCCCTGCAGCGACCAGGCCGAGTAGTTGTGTCTTGTCCTGTGAGTTCCTGAACCTGACATGGTGTCTATGGAGTTCCTTTCCCACATCTTGCCCAACCGCAACACTAAACTGCAACATGATAGATGCCATGAAGCATGACGCACCCAATCCAAGCTCGTGCAGACTGTTCATGAGCGAATGTGCGACGTGGCAAAGGAACAAGGACACGAGACACAAAGAGGAAAGGACTATACTGACAGACGTGGCTGGCGACTCCTTGTGACTCCATCACTTCCGAATTGCTTAATTACTGCCTACCACTCAGCTACAACAAGACCACTGTCCGACGTGAAGCCAAGCCAAGTTCTATTAAGCAGTCCTGCACTCGCCCCCTCTCTCCATGTTCTCTGGTTGGAACAGTGAGAGCATCATTTATGATGTATAGTACACGGTAGGGACAAAGATCCCTTCAAAGCAGCACCACTAGTGTTCTGCCGGACTGCACGTGACTTCGCGACTGTACCACCACGACCGTGTCTCTGTATAATTATTCGTACCCCGTAAAACTCACCCTACCTGGGCACATCTGGAGACTCGAGTAACGCATAAGCCAGGCCGCGTGTGAAATCTGAATGGTTGCCACCAAGATGAATCCAGTCACGCGCACCGGCCTAGAATGGTATTGAGTAGCGTCATCAGCGGTCATGTATGTTCACCAGAAGAAACCAGCTCTACCTGAACAAACTTCCATGTGCTGTGTACAGCCCAGCCTCCCTACGATCATGGATTCGTGGGTAGGTATGATCTCCGTACAAGAAAATCACAGAGAGAAACCGAGAAGAAATCGCCACGTCCCGTCACGCACGCCATGCAGTTGTTGTTCCTCCTCAGCCTGGCGGCCCGTGGGGCATCTTCTAAAGCCACATCCTCCTCTCCCATCGCCTTGTGGCGGCTTCTGCGTCTTGCTACATAGTGGGCGAGTTTCCTCGCGGCGATCTTGAAGTACTCTGACCGTTCAGCGATGCACCTACCCTTCATCGTCTTCTCCGTCTGTATCCCTCCCGACTTGGCGAGATCCATTCACGACGTCCCGCCCACGAAGTCGACTCGCTGCTCGGGCCTCGTGAATTCGCGCAATCGCCCTGTGCGTCTTTGCCAGCCTCTTGTAGTCGCCGCTCCTCTCGTACTCCTCGGCAAGCTGCTTGTAGCACTCCAGTGCGTGGACTCCATACTCCCTCTCGCGACCATGCTGCTGCCTCTGCTGCTGAGATGAGGGCGACAGACCATCAATGCTTCTCCTGGCACGGGCGAGTTCCTTCGCCTCGGAGTTTTGAGACTCCTTGCTGGCGGTCCGCTGGTGGTTGCCACTGTCATGGCCTTTATGGTTCGTCGTGTCTGCCGGATTCCTCGCAATCTGGTCGTCGTCGGACTCAGTGCTGGTGAGCAGGTCAACGAGTTCTTCGACCGTGCCCACCAATTCTTCGAGCGCCGTCCACAAGGCATCATCCGGCTGATTCGCTATCGTGGAGAACAGCTCGAGCAACTCCGTGATGAAGATTTTGCGGCTCAACGCCTCGTTCGCGGTCGCCGGCTTGGCCTTGAGAACCGAGTTGAGGGCGCCGATGATTTCAGTCTCGATCAGCTCCAGGTCCTCGCTGAGCGCCCACTCGCTGACGATCATGGTCTGGAGCACTTCGACGGCCACCTTTCGAAGGCTTTCGTGCATGCTCAGACAGAGACTGATGGTGGGGGCCACGAGGCTGGGCACATACTGCACTTGATACCCGCCCAGCTTGCGGATGTTGTACCTCCGCTGGTCGTCCGCCGTGGCTTCCCAGCCGAGACTTTCCCAAGCTCGGCGGAGAAGGTCCGCTCCAGATTGACGAACGTCGCCCGCAATCTTCCACACAGCGCGGCGTTTTTGTTCCGGGAAGAGTTCGAGCGTGAGGGCTGGTGAAGAGACAAGAAGGAGGAGGGTATCGAGGAAGGACTTCCATAGTTGCATGTCAAAGCTGTCAGCGTCTTCTGGCTTTGGAAGGTATGATGAGACAAGGAGTGTGGAGAGATGGTTCAAAATCGTGAGGGCCGAGGAGTGGTGATAGATGTGCAAACTGAGCCATGTTGTGGGGAAGGCGTCGTTCCCCAGGAGTGATCGTAACACGGCGAGCGTCGAGGTAATGTAGTTCGACAGTTCTGGTCCTTGAAGTTTCAGGGTTGAAGGTGGTCGGATCTTTGCGATAGTAGATATGAGGGACGACAGCTCAAGCAGCGTTTCATCGAACTGATCATTGGCTTCGGATGGCTTCGTCGTGAACGGGTAGGAGTCTGGGAAGAGGAGGGATAGTGATCGCCGCCTGGCAGTACCTTGCTCTGCAATGGCTTTGTACGCAGAGATGAGTCTCGGCATGAAATCGTGGAGGTGGTGAGTAGGAAAACGCGTGAGCTCGGCGACAACCGAGCAGCATAGTCGCACCTGTTCCCGCCAGTCCTCCGTTCCGTCGTTAGGGGTCCAGAACGGCGTCAGCCACCTTAGACAGCTCTTAACCAATAACCTCCGATCTCTTTCGTCGACCCAGATCTGGTCTAGCTTGGTGTAGTTCAAGATTAGGATGATCCTGTACAAGAGGAGCTTCCCGGTGGCTTCCTCGCATGCGTCCATGAAGTCAACCGCGACATTTAGGACCTCTTCCTTGCTAAAAGCTGGCAACAGTTCCGGAAGCCAATCATGGAACTTCTGGACAAGCAGGGTCTTGCTGCCGACAAGGGCCGGTGTCTCGCTTCGCATCATCATCTGCAGTCCAAACAGGATTGCTTGCATGTCTTCCTTGAAATTGGAGTGCTTCTCGTCGCCATCTCTCTGCTGGGAACCGAAACGTCGCTGCTGGTAGGAGATGATGAGGATTCTCATAAAATTCTTGCCAACTTTAAAAAGCGCTCTCATGTCGCGAGCACTCTGAGGATCTGATACACTCTGTAACAGCCGCGTAAAGCTGCGGATGAGACAAGATGCGGCGTATGGGAAGCGGAAATGGTTCTCGGTATACTGTTCAATCAGAGGGCCCAAATTGAATCTTCTGTCATGGACAATTCCAAGCACCCACACAATGTCGTTAAAGATCAAGTCTTCGAACTTTGACTCGCCTGATTTGTGCACCAGGACGCCGAACAAAGCATCTAATACCTCCTTGAGCTGCTTGACAATCTCGATTTCTGGAACAAAAGTCAGCTTCTGGAGTATATCCAACAGCTGAACCGATGTCTGGTGCTTCCAGTTAGTGAGGCTGACCAGGTTGCGATGCTGGGAATATTCCGTGCTGCAAAGGTGAGTGAAAACTTCCAGCGATGCGATCGTGGCCAAGGCTCCCTCATGAATAGTCTTATAACTGGCGTTGTTCCAGGGTAGGGACAAGTAGGCGCCACGCCCTTGAACAATGCTGGATGTAATCTTGTCGTACGCGTGGAGAATAAGTGAATGTTTGCCGTCACTGACGAAGGCTTGCTTGTCCCATAACGGCAGCCAAGCCAACGCAAATGGGAACTCAGGTGCATCCGCGATGCTCAGGACCAGGTGACTTTCGGGCACTTTTTCGGTAGGTACTCGCAGGCAAAGTGTCTGATCCCATCTGTGGTCCAGCTCCACAGCATTTGTCCGGAAGGCTGTTACTCCCGCGCCATTCGAGGATGGGAAGATGCAATGCTCGACACGTCGTCCAGCATTATCACGAACCTCCATGGTAAGTTGGAGATTCTGAGGCGAATGCGCTTTGATCGGCGCCACGTTCACTTCGGGATGGGACAGAAATGAGCCGGGGGCAAGCACAGCCCTGCTCAAAGTCAGGTAAATGTCCGTACGAGGCTTGGTCGGTGCTTCGGAGAATCCAATCTTTTGGGTCTTGGTGACCATGTGCATTGAGGTCGGAGTGTTCTTGATCAGGGTGTCCGCATCTGGAGCGGTGTAAGGTGTCACGGTCACATTCACGGTAGAGATTTGGCCCGACACAATTAGACCTTTGCCGGCACTGTCCAGGAGCTGGGACTCTACCGGGTGAGACTCGGCACCCTTCTCGTCATCGCGCTGTGACAGGGACCAGATTGTAACACTCTCTTCGCGCGGCTGGCGCTCTCTCATAATACTCGCGGTGTCTAGAACGCCAACCCCGACAGTTCGAGGAACGGGTGGACCTGCTGGCTTGCTCTGACCATCTTCCTCTTCTTCGATGATTGATGGGGTCGATGATCTGTCTTGCGACTGGGGTGTTGTTCGTCCGTTTTGAGCCGGCTGGGGTCTTTCGGCATTCCTTTTCTTTCCGAACATTAAACTCGACCTTCGCTTGTTCAGAGACAGTTGCCGTTGACCGAGTAGAGTCCCATTCCGTGACGGTGGCCTAGTGGAAACGCTTCTTTTGGGCTTCCTAGGAGGCTCAGAAACCACAACCTTGACGACCAAATACAAGCGACCATTCGTGCCAATATCATGATTGCTCAAATCTGAGAAGAGGGTCTTCATGTTGGCGTTGGCAGTAGCACTATATGTTTCCGAGAACGGTTTGAGATTCCCATCAATGTCCCTTTGATACAATGCGATATTTATTGATGTCGCGTCCGTTCCGGAGCCGGCAACTGACCTAACCTCGAGCAGACAATGATGAAGTGAGGTTGCTTTGGGCTTTTCCACGGGCGAGGCATTCAGCACGCTCATGACCGACTGCAACTTCGCTAGCTCTATGGCCGAGTCCTGCGAAGTCATCAATCTGCCCTGGCGAGCGGGATCGCGGACAATGACCTCGCCGCTAAGCATCTTATTCCCTCGAACCAGGTCCCATACGGCATCATGGCGGACCTGGATCCTCTCTTGGGTGGTTAGGACGTCGTTGAGCAATTCTCGTCTGGCGTAGTCAAGCCGTGTGGTGGTCTCTGACATATGGTTGAGAAGATGGTATCGTCGCCGTAGAACCAGGTCCGGGAGGTGAAGAATGTACCATTCTCGTAGACAGGAAGTGATTTCGTCCACTAATGGCTCACTCGTTGAGGTCGGGGACTCATCGCCAATCTTCAACATTGGTACCGGAGCAGATGGCTTGGGTTGGCCTGGCTGAACCAGGGTCTCGACATCAGGGCCCAGCTGTTCTCGAACATCTATGCAGCATCTTGGGAATATGCCAGAGAAGACGCGGGCATCGCCGGCGGTCCTGCCATTGGGTGTCAATGCAGATAACATGGTGGGCGGTGCCACAAGGTAGCCTCGACACCAGGCGCCATTTTTGCCGCCTTGTTCGATGACATATAACTGGTCACCAATCTGAAGAGGCAGTTCTGACGGTGACGCCGAGGGCTGGAACGGGTAGATGGCAACCGCATACGACAGAGGCAGCGGCTGCCAGGGCATATTAATGAGGAAGTTGGATTCCTCCTTGCGTCGAGAGAAGGGCTATCGTGAGAATGTTGTCCGGGGGCGGATCTCACGCTGGCCGTGCCCGTGGCCTCGCGATGATCTGTGGAGTGTCTCCAGGGGCCAGTGCGCGGTTGTGCGTGTTCTCGTGGATATTCATGAGCCGGCGATGTCAATGGCCATCTTACAATCGGGATTTGCTGGTGGGTGATACCATGTCGTTTAATCCAGTGCCGGCCGTGTCGTATGCGGTGAGAAGGAGCAATTATCAGTCGTTGACTGCCTCTTGCGACGCGTCCACTCGAAGAAGAAGTTTCCGGAGGTTTGAGAGGTTGACGGCCGTTCAGCCGATTGTGATCCACGATGCGTCTCCCCGGCTTTAGCCGCTAACTATTTTGACCCCTAGCCGCCTAAACTTCCCTCGCTGGGCGCCTCTAGTGAAGAGCCTACCGCCTGAAGCAGCTAGAAGACCGCGCTTGCCCTCAACCTTGGCTGCAAGGAACCCCCAAGATCCCGTCGTCAAGCAGCATCGTGACACGCTGATTTGCAATAATCTCCAACAGTCGCATGTGCCTCACCTCAAACCAAGCCACCACCACGTCTCTACGAACATAGTTTCAGCACTCGTATCTCTGTCAGTTCGACGGTTTTCACCCTCATCGTCGGAAAGCTAGTTCTGCATCTATCGGCACATGATGGCACCCGTGGTCAACGTCCTGCTTGGGTCCTTACCCGGCTTATCGCTCCCTCCTACAATTTGTCTGCCCTTGTCTGCTTCCTCAACTACTGAGGAATTATTGGCCAGTGTCGCAGAGCTACTGCCACGCAGTTTACTGGACTCTACTCGTCTGATCCTAACCTCCACCTCAAATCGACCCATATGCTCCTCATCCACGATCACTCTCAGAGATCAGAGTGCTATTTCCTCCTGTCAACAGGATGGAGGCAGTTGTTTCCTCCCCGTCCGCATGTCCGCACTACTGGTGGGAGGAAAAGGTGGGTTCGGGTCTCAACTGCGGGCGGCTGGAGGTCGTATGTCCTCACGTAAGAAGCGCCAGAATGCCGAACTTGCCACAGGTAGTGCTCGCAACTTGGATGGCCGACGGCTCCGGACCATAACCGAAGCAAAGAATCTGGCCACGTACCTGGCGACCAAGCCGGAAATGGAGCGGAAAGAGAAGGAAGAAAGACGCAAAAGATGGGAACAGGTCATCGAACTCGCAGAACAGAGGGAAGCTGATATGCGCGCGGGTAAGGGCCAAGATGGTCGCCGTAAGGGACTTAGCGACGAATGGGTCGAGACGAAGGAGGAAGTTGGAGAGAATGTACGCAACGCTGTCAAAATGGCTATGATGGCTGAAGAAGACAAGGGGAAAGCTAAGCTGTCTCCAGAGCAAGAAGGTGAGAGCAGTGGCAGTGGAGGGTCTGCTGCTGCCAGCGAAGACGACAGTGGGGACGAGGCTTTGATGGTGCTAGAGACAGATGAGATGTCCCTGCTCAAAGCCGAAGCAGAAGCTGGGGATTCCGATGCGATCTGGGTCCTGGAGAATCGGCTAAAGATCCCCGCTCATTTGCTTCCAAAGCCCAAGCCACTCGTTCGACGCTTTATGGGCTTTGACGACGAAGACGACTTCTCGAGTAGCGGCGACGAGGAGCCGGCATTGGGCAAGGGAGAGGGCAAACAAGACGATACCACGACGTGATAGATAATCACACTGCTGCAAAGTCAGTCGACGGTTGCTTCAGCCACCTTGTCTCGAGCGAACGTTAGCGCCCTGTCTATCTGTTCACATGGCATCGCAATACCCATGTTTCTCAACCTATATCTTGATCCGTGTCCTTGCTTCTCTTGCGAACATGGCGAGGTACATGCTGCCGCCAGACCAATCAACAGCCTGCCAAGGTCGAGTATGTCGTGCATACGGACATGTGCGACAGCCGACTGCAAGGTGCGGGAAATCTCCCTAATGGAAGGCCGATGCTATCTTGTTCGTCTACTCTTGACATTAGGGGTATGGACTGGTCTGTTTATGACTGATGCCGCTCACATCTCCGTGTGACAAAAGTATCGAAGGGGATATAGCTCTCTGGACAGTCGGATCCGGGTCTTCAGCCTACAACCGACGTACCGAGAACTTGTTGTTATCTTCCTTCAGTTCATCGAGTCGCAAGGCGTCAACCCCAGCGACAGAAAGCTTTGCACGAGAGATCGTCAGATAGAAGTCGACTTTACGGCTCTCACTGTCGGCTGCCGGCGACAATGGCTTTCTCAACATTCCCATTGCTCGCCTTTGGCTCACTGGCTGTACTGTGCCTGTACAGATTCATCATCCACCCTTTGCTGTTTCATCCTCTGAAACATATCCCCTCTGCTCACTGGTCGATTCCAATTTTTGGCGACCTATGGATCACCTATCAGCGATACATGGAAAGGAACAACGCTGTTACATATACGGCACACTTGAAGCATGGCGCCGTCGTGCGGATGGGGGCCAACGAGTTGAGCGTCAATTGTGTCGAGAATGGCATCAAGACCATCTACGCTGGTGGGTGGGAGAAACATGCATGGTATCCTCAGCGATTTGGTTCCTATGGGTGAGTCGATCCGGACGCCTTTACGTCGGGCACCCATTAATGAACGCAACAGTGTCATGAACATGTTCTCAACGATCCACCACGGACCTCATTCGCAGAAGAAACGCACTATGGCCAATGTCTATTCAAAAACCTACATTGCCTCATCACCCCAGGTCGCCGCTAATTCTCATGCTCTATTCTCTACCCGTGTTCTCCCCCTGCTCCAGGAACTGTCGGAATCGGGCGAACCGACAGACGTGCACGACCTGCATAATGCCATCGCGATGGATTTTATGTCTGCCTACCAATTTGGCCTGTCTGCTGGAACGAACTTCACGCAAGATTTAGCCCAAAGACGACATATCCTCCACCAGTACCATTGTAGGAGGGACTATGAGTTCTTCTCAGCTGAAGCACCCTGGCTGAAGAAGCTGACTCGGAGGCTCGGGCTGCAGGTCGTGCCATATTTTGTCGATCAGGCGAATGTCCTGCTAGAAGATTGGAATGCCGGCATGTGTCGCGCGGCCGACAAATATCTGTCCGATAGTGAAAACATTGCCCTGGCAAACCCTGGTGACGATCCGGTCGTCTACAAGCAATTCAAGGCGGGCATCACAAAACTGCGCGAAAAAGACCCCAACGCCGGCAAAGCAGTAGGCGAAGTCACTCTGCCTACGACTCGACACGAGAACCTGCACACCAACGACAGTGACACCACCACGGCCGAAATCTACAGCGAGATGCTCGACCAGATCGGCGCCGGGCACGAAACCTCGGCCATCGCTCTAACCTACCTGACCTGGGAAATGAGCAAAAGCCCTTCTCTCCAAGACCAACTCCGGCAGGAAGTGCTCGGCCTGACTCCGCCCATCAAGTGGCCACTCCCCTCGGGCACCGATCCAGCCAAGGACTTCAACCTCCCGGATCCCAAACAGATAGATGCCCTCCCACTCCTGCACGCCATCGTGATGGAAACGCTCCGTCTCCACGCCCCAATCCCGGGTATCGAACCACGTATCTCCCCCCAAGTCCCTGGCGGAAACACACTGGGTGAATACAACAACATCCCCGGCGGCGTCCGTGTCTCCGCCATGCCATACACTTTGCACCGCAACCCGGTTGTCTTCCCTAATCCAGAGACCTTTCTCCCCACGCGCTGGCTTCCAAGCCACACCTCCGAAGAGCAACTTAGGGAGATGCATCGCTGGTTCTGGGCTTTCGGGAGCGGCGGACGCATGTGCATTGGGAGTCACCTGGCCACGCAGGAGATCAAACTGTTGGTGGCGAGCGTTTACTCGAATTGGAGGACCGAGATAGTGGATGACGAGGGCATCGAGGAGGTGGACGCTTACACGACGAAGCCGAGGCGGAACCGGTTGGATTTGAGGTTCACGCATGTTTGATGGGTGCTGCGAAGTGAGGTATGGTTCCAGGGGTTGAAGAAGGGACGGCGAGGTTTCGGTCAGATATGGCAATTGGGTAGGGGTCGGACAGTTTCAAGACTAGCATATGCACGATACTGTTTGCCGGCAAGAATGAGGGAGATTCAACGTACCCGGAGATACTGATATCCCATGAGGTGGATGCCGTGGGAATGCTTCGTGGATTAGTGAGAAGCAACTTACTGTGGGTCGGGCATTTAGTGGCTCAAACGCTATTTCGTTCATAGATCAAGTCCTTGAGAAGTATCACAGTACTGTATAAAGAGAGCAAAGACGGCATGAAGCCCTGGACATCGCGCACGTCGCATGAGGATAACCAGATGGGCAGACACCGTTGACCATATCTAATCTAATCTAATCTTCTTATCGTATAAAAACCCCGCACAAAAGTTCCACTTCCGCACAACAACGATGTATTCGCGGTAAAAAGTATCATTGTAAAGCAAGCATGGCCGAGCAAGCATCAGAAGAGGATATCCTCCTCGCAAAACGCATCATTTCCGCCGCAGAGCGACACGACGTACCTGCCCTTCAGATCCTTCTGAAGAACGGATCTGCCAACGTTCAGGACCCTACTGCACAAGTTGCGACCTCACCGTTGCACGCCGCAGTCGCGTCGTGCGGAAAAGCCGAGGATGGAAAGGAGGCAGATGACGACGCGATCAAGACAGTCGAATTACTCCTGGAGAATGGCGCGATATGGAACGATCTGAATAAAGAGGACGAAACGCCCGGGTGCGTGGCGCTCCGGCTGGGACAGAGCAAGATCTACGAGATGATGGTCGAGGCCGGGGTGCGGGCGGAACTCCTCTTCGCGAAGATGGAAGCGCTTGGCTTGGACGATGAGGACGAGGAGGAAGATGACGAAGACGATGCGACGAGTGGCGACCAGCCGGCCGTCAAGAAACAGAAACTTTCGTCGGAAGACGCCACAGCGGTCGAAGAGGTCGTGGAGGCAGAGGTTCTGGACGACGTCTCGCTAGACAACCGCGCGTACCTGAAGAGCCAGCTGCGGTACAAACCTGGCATTCTGCTAGATTCATCGTCGAACGCCGTCATGATGCAGTGGGAACTGGCGATAATGCAACGACACGCAGAGACCTTGATACCCAAGAAGAGACTTAGGGTGATGAACGTTGGGCATGGGATGGGCCTTGTCGACACGGCGATCCAGACCCACGACCCTGCTGAACATCATATCGTTGAGGCGCATCCGCAAGTACAAGCCCGGTTGCGCGAGCAGGGATGGTACGACAAGCCTGGTGTTGTCATTCACGAAGGCCGATGGCAGGATGTGCTGCCAAAGTTGGTGGACGAGGGCGTGCAGCTGGATGCCATCTACTATGATACTTTTGCGGAAAATTATTCGGCGCTGAAGGAGTTCTTTTCGGAGTACGTGGTCCAGCTACTTACTCCAGAAGGCAGGTTCGGCTGGTACAACGGGCTTGGTGCGGATAGGCAGATCTGTTACGACGTGTACACTAGGGTCGCCGAGATCGATCTTCATGAAGCTGGGTTTGAGACTACGTGGGAGGATATTGATGTTCCTGCAGATTTGCATGGCAGCAAGGCGTGGGAGGGGACGAGACGGCCGTACTGGACAATTGATGTTTATCGGTTGCCTGTGAACACGTTCAGCAAATGAGCAGCGCGTACGGAGTATGTTGGTGTATTTCGGAAAATCGGTACGGCTGCGAGTAAACACATGCTCATTCTCGGGTGATTTGAACTCTGGTAGTGTACATAGTACTTGGTGCCGAGACAAATCGAGATTATATGGCTGCGCGGATTGCTGCTCAGCCGCATATCCGCCTAATGACTCGCGGCTGCAAGGTGGATTCATGGTGTTTCAGCTCAAGACAGCGTTGCTCTCCTTGATAACGCGTCAGGTTCGGGAAAACGTGGTGCTGAACAGTTATAACGTTCTGTCGAGTTGGAACCCGTATGCGTAGGTGCATCGGGTAGTTCATTTGATATTTGTTTCTTTGAATGGCTCATATAACAAAGTCAGTATTCACTTATTCGGTATTCAAGTACACAGTAATACGAAGTAATCGGTTGAGAATGCACTTTCTGCTCATAATTTTTTTGTGGGGAAGGAAGGCGCTGCGTCAGCGAATCATTGGATAGAAAAACAATGGATTCCGCAACTTGAACGGATCGGCGTTGGTCAGATCTCTTCGCTAAAGTCGGAGAAACCTACGGAATCTGATCGAAGCGCCTGGCAGAAGGCTGTGATGCACTTTTTCACAGGGATTATCGTGCCTCACGATAGACTGCGGAGGGTCGCTGACAGATAAACAATACCCATTGCCAGTGTTTGCGAGAACCTAGACTCATAAAGCAAGACCCAGAGCCTGTACCAGCACAAGTCTTACGGCCTCAACATCCATCCAGCGCTTGCGACCTCATTCACAGTTCACCTTCACTTCCTGTTCTCCACCGCGATCGGCGCAGCTCGCCTCTCAACTTTCTCTCCGCGCTGACACACAAATCTTTTACGCTTTCCACCTTGCCTTATTCTGCTACAACCAAAGTCGGTCCAGAATATCGATCCCCGTGCTCAACAAAGGAATCTAGCAAGATGGTCAAGGAGACGAAATTCTATGACATCCTCGGGGTAAGTCTGAGGATTTCTCGCCGCGAGGCTGGGATAGTGCCAACTAAGTTGTCCAGGTTGAAGTCACGGCTACAGAGGCTCAACTGAAAACGGCCTACAAGAAGGGCGCTCTGAAGCATCATCCTGGTAAGCACGTCTTTGTGAGCCGTTCTTGTGGTGCAAGACTGACAACATACAGACAAGAATGCACACAACCCGGATGCGGCCGAAAAGTTTAAAGACCTCTCCAAAGCATATGAAGTCCTTTCCGACCCTCAAAAACGATCCCTCTATGACCAATATGGCGAGGAAGGCCTAGAGCAAGGAGGCATGGGCGGCGGTGGCATGGCTGCAGAAGACCTCTTCGCACAATTCTTTGGTGGCGGCTCATCCTTCGGGGGCATGTTTGGAGGCGGCATGCGTGAGACTGGCCCAAAGAAAGCAAGAACAATCCACCACGTCCATAAAGTGTCGTTGGAGGACATCTACAAAGGAAAAGTCTCGAAATTGGCACTTCAGAAGTCTGTCATCTGCCCGCAGTGCGATGGCCGCGGAGGCAAGGAGGGTGCCGTCAAAACCTGCGCCGGTTGCAATGGTGCGGGTATGAAGACTATGATGAGACAGATGGGACCCATGATCCAGCGCTTCCAGACAATTTGCCCCGATTGCCAGGGAGAAGGTGAGACCATCCGCGAGCGTGACCGATGTAAGCGCTGCATGGGTAAGAAGACTGTCGTGGAGCGCAAGGTCCTCCACGTTCACGTCGATCGTGGTGTCAAGAGCGGCCACAAGATCGAATTCCGTGGGGAAGGTGACCAGATGCCCGGTGTGCTCGCCGGAGATGTCGTGTTCGAAATCGAACAGAAACCCCATCCACGATTCCAACGGAAGGACGATGATCTTTTCTACCATGCCGAGATCGATCTGTTGACCGCGCTGGCCGGTGGTCAGATCTACATTGAGCATCTTGATGACCGGTGGTTGACTGTCAACATCTACCCAGGCGAGCCTATCACACCTGGTAAGTTTACTTAATGTCCAGCATTCACAGAACTTACTCGACTAACCTGTTTCAGGGTCCATCAAGGTGATCAAAGGTCAGGGAATGCCGTCGCTAAGACACCATGACTTCGGCAACCTGTACATCCAATTCGACGTAAAATTCCCCGACAAGTCGACAATCAACAGTCAAAATCTCCCGCTCCTCGAACAAGTGCTACCGCCTCGCATGGAACAGAAGTTGCCACCTGCTGATGGCATGGTGGAAGACTTTGACCTGGAAGAAGTGGACCCGCGCCAGCACGCACGGGCTCATGGCGCCACTGACGAAGACGACGAAGACGGCATTCCCGCTGGTGCCGAGAGAGTGCAATGCGCATCCCAGTGAAGAGACAACTCAGGCGACGTGGCAACGAGACACGCAGAGACGAATGGATACACGGCCGTCGAAGATGTGATGAGATGACCGATGCCACAAGTGGATGATTCCGAAGCATTAGCGACCGTGAGATATTCCTGCATTTGATATCGGATCACCGGTGTAATCCAATGGGCATGGTATGGCGCATGGAGTGGTGGACAATCGGTGAACACAGGCGTTTGGGTGGAAAGGTTTCCACCTCTGGAGTCTCACTGGGGCAGAGCGGAGCCATGCTTCGATTGCGACCGCGACCAGACTCGAGGTGTTCGCCTTGGATCTCAGCAGGTGCATTACAGATTAGATGAACTTGCAGTTGCATGATAGAATCAGGACATGGAACGGGTGGTGAGCAGGGAAAGAAGAACACCTGCCAACGCTCGGAAGATCACATACTGTATAGACCTAGGAGCGCAGTGGCACTCGCTACTGATGCGCCCAAGTGTCTACCACAAGAATACGCACAATTGAACTACCGCCGTTCACCTAAGTTCCGTGTCCTACTGATAAAGACATCCGTAGTCGCAACCCATGACAGAGCATAATGTGACGAGTAGCACATGACTGTAGTCCGTCTGTTATTGGTGTGGCTAGGTATTTTTATGGCTTCGAGCCCTCCAGGCTCGCGCACCTGAGTGCGTGGAGCATGCTAAAACAAGAGATCGAAAGTAGATCCGACGACGGACACACGTCTCGTCAGTGCTGGATACTGTTCGACAACGGAGTTTGGTACGGATCTTAGGAAGTGCCTCCCCTGCTCAAGGAGCAAGCCCAGAGGTACAGCCTATGGCCGGCCTTCCAGGGGTTTTTTAGTAGGCGGCACGCGGAGTGTAAACAAGGAGCTCTACGGAGTACTGTGGTATGTTTACGGCGAGATTGGCATGTGAAAGGGTCTCGACGCTGGAAAGCAGGAGCAAACGTGACTCGCATCCTCCATAGTTGAATCTACCACTACGTAAAGGCAGAGGGCAACACGAGCATGGCGAGCCTGGCGCCGGTGGCTGAACCCCGGAGTGGCATGTTTGGAGACACACTTCAACCATGCTTTCCTTGGCACATGTGCCCAAAAAGCGGTCAACCGAAACGGAAAATCTACCGGATTTCGGCTTCGTTATCTTTTTTACGTCTCTGTCACTTCAAACTCACTGTGACTTCACTTCACCTCGCCTCTTCCTTTTTCCCTCGATCTTGTTTCTGTCGAGTGGGGAAGGCGATCGAAATTCTTTCAAAACCATGTGGCGCTCGTTCTCTACGCGGAAGAAAGAGGTCATCGAAGCGAGCGAGGGTGAGCGCGCGCGCTCTGATATGCTCGCACGCCCAGGAGGTGAGGATGGGATCATTATGGCGCAGATTGCATCAGCATTTAGCGGACATCCACCCGGCCGAGAGGCTTGGGATGATTGGATGGTTCATTGGATCTTTTTTGGATTGCATATCTATCCCACAAATGGACAAGCCAGGAACCTGGCATCATGCACGTTGAGCGATTCTGATTCGACCGCACAGACGTCAAGCCTTGCAGTCGCAACTGGAGACCGAGCACGCCATTTCGCTCGAGTAAGAGATCTCTTGAGTACCACGCACACACTTTGTCCGCAATATCACAGCTAACCACGTTAGATAGCAGTGCATGCGAAAAGGTAGAATGGTGTTTCAGTACCCCGCCACTGAGCCGGTATCGAGAAGATGTGCAGAAAACTCGTGGTTCAGTTGCGGAGCTGCAAAGTCTACCGGCTGATGGAGGCTCTACCACAGTAACAGCCGGCAGCGGCAAAAGGCATGACGATCATGATCCACGCATGACCAGCTGGATCTTGCTGCCCTCGTCGAGCACGCCTCAGCACCGACGACATGCTCCGACCATTTGCGGACTTACGAGTAGAACGAAACGGCGAGCGTGGAATGTGTCGGGTCTCGCCACGAGCACTTGCTACCGGGTACAGCCCATCTGCAGCAGATGATAGGGACTTGGCTCTTCGCTGTATAACGGTCTCGGCTATCGTGCGTAACCACTGACCAGCAGCTGCGAGAATGCATCTGGTGCTTGGGCAGCAAAGCCTTCTTGGGAACAACAGCCACCATGCTTGACCCTGCTAAGACTGGGTGCTTGTTCCATCTCCATGAGACCTTGTCTCCTTGCAAGGCCCTTGCGATTCGTGCTGCCAATGCGCCGATTGAGCAAACTGGCGGCGACTCACGATGAGGACGACCTCAGCGTTCAAAACGGAGACCCTAGCGGCAGCACGCCTTCGATTGCACCATCGCGGCTGACTCCATATGTCCCATCCGCAGCTGCGGTGCAAAGTTCTACTGGGTTTGCATCAACGCCCCGGTCGAGGATCGTCCAGATCCCCTCTGATGCCTCTTGAAGGTTGTCATGCTGGTCGAGATCTCGCTTATTAGCTGTTCCCTGACGCCCGCATGGCCGTCGCTTGTTGCTACCTCGGCGGTTTGCGTGGGCGGAAACTGCATTGCACGCTTCGTCCAATCTCCTTATTCATATATAACTCCTCGGACAAACTCCCCACGATCCCTGCCGTTCGAGGCGGCAGCTGCGCATCACCTATGAGCTTCTAACCTTGAGGCGCTCGATTAGTCTTCTCGAGGGTGTCTAGACAGACACCTACGGCTCCTTTATTTTCTCACTGCAGACCATACTTTCTAAAACGCTGGCACCATCAATATATTCTCATTCGATCTCGACGTCGACCGGCTGACCGTTTTCTCGAGGGTCCGAGGTAGGCCCTGGAAGCCCGCAAGCCACGAAGCCGCTACGTTTCACCCCGGTACTTGTCGCGACCCTCGAGTCTCCGCCTGTGGCCACGCACCCACACTATCGGGCTTGGCATACCTAACCACTGCTTGGACCCGTAATCAGCGCGTGCAGGGGCCAAATCAGATCTGTATCTCCCTAAGGAATAGGGCGTGCCAAAGCCAATCTGCACCGACCCTAGGGCTCAAACTCTGAGGAAAAGTCCACTCTGACGCCACTCCCTGCCATATATACGCATTGACCACCTCTCCCACGGCCGTCTTTTTAGAAAAGGTTGTTGGCCTTCACTACATATTTCGAGCCCCCATTAGGTTCGTCCGTTGGAAAAACGTTCTACCAGCCTCTGTAAGGCCTGCTGGACGTGACCATGGCGTCCACTCGCTCAAAAGTCGGTCACGGTTTGGCCAAAGTACTCGGCATCAAGGTCGACTATCGCAATGATACTACTGTGACCCGCGGCGAGTCAACATATTCCGTCAGTACCGCTGATTCATACGTCGAGGACGAGCCTCGGACTATCGACTGGATCAAAGACCTCTTCCCTACCCGACATCAATGGATTGCATACGGGCGCAGCCTCTTCCCGTTTACCCATTGGATTATGCGATACAATACCCAATGGTTGATTGGAGATTTGGTCGCCGGTATTACTGTCGGTGCCGTGGTGGTTCCTCAAAGTATGGCCTACGCCAAACTGGCTGAGCTGCCTCCCGAGTACGGACTCTACTCCTCCTTCATGGGAGTACTCATCTACTGGTTCTTTGCTACCTCGAAGGATATCACGATCGGTCCCGTCGCCGTCATGTCCACCATCGTGGGCAATGTTGTCAACAAGGTCCAGGAAGAGCACCCCGAAGTCCCCGGACACATCATTGCGTCGGCTTTGGCTGTCATTGCCGGAGCCATCATCTCTTTTATCGGGCTCATCAGGTGCGGCTGGATCGTCAACTTCATCCCTTTGACGGCCATTTCTGCCTTCATTACGGGCTCCGCCATCAACATTGCGGTCGGTCAGGTACCTACTTTGATGGGTATCAAGGTCAAAGGTTTCAATACCCGCGCCTCTACTTATCTAGTTGTCATCAACACCTTGAAATATCTTGGCCATACCAAACTCGACGCCGCAATCGGTCTGACGGCGCTGGCCATGCTGTATCTGATTCGGTTTACGCTGAACCGGTGCGCAAAGAAGATGCCTCATCGGGCCAAGTTGTTCTTCTTCCTCAGCACTCTCCGGACGGCGTTTGTGCTTTGCCTGTACATCCTGATCGCCTGGTTGGTCAACCGACATCACCGCGAGAAGCCCAAGTTCCAACTTTTGCGACACGTCCCCCGTGGCTTCAAGCACGCCGCCGTTCCGACCGTCAACACCGAAATCATCGGCTACTTTGCTAGCGAACTGCCTGCATCTGTCATTGTCCTGCTTATCGAGCATATTGCCATTTCCAAGTCCTTTGGCCGGATCAACAACTACACGATCAATCCATCACAGGAACTTGTCGCCATTGGAGTCACGAACTTGCTTGGACCCTTCCTCGGAGCTTATCCTGCGACTGGTTCTTTCTCGAGGACGGCGATCAAGTCCAAGGCAGGTGTCCGAACGCCCTTTGCCGGTGTCATTACCGCAATTGTAGTGCTGCTGGCTCTCTACGCCCTGCCTGCCATGTTCTTCTACATCCCGAATGCCGCACTCGCAGCCGTCATCATCCATGCGGTCCTCGATTTGCCCACGCCTCCCAATGTCCTCTACCAGTTCTGGCGCGTTTCTCCACTAGAAGTCATCATCTTCTTGCTCGGCGTTTTTGTCACTATCTTCTCCTCGATCGAAAACGGCATCTACTCGACGATTAGCGTCAGTGCCGCTGTCCTCCTCTACCGCGTGGTGAAGGCACATGGTCATTTTGTTGGCAAGGTCAAGGTCCACTCCGTCATCGGCGACCATCTGATCGAGGACAAATTCCACGACCAGCCGAGACCCAGTGACTCGGCCGAGCGAAACATCTTTCTACCACTGGACCACAACGACGGCTCCAACCCATCTATCCATGTGGAATCTCCTTATCCAGGCATCTTCATCTATCGATTCAGTGAAGGGTTCAATTATCCTAACGCCAGCCATTACACGGATTACCTCGTCGAATATGTTTTCGAGCATACAAGACGAACCAACCCCGACTCGTGGCCACGGCCCGGTGACCGCCCCTGGAACAACCCCGGCCCCAGGAGAGGCAAGACCGAAGCAGACCGTTCGCACCTGCCGACTCTCAAAGCGGTGATCTTGGACTTCCAGGCGGTCAACAACGTCGACGTGACGAGCGTGCAGGACCTGATCGACATCCGTAACCAACTGGATCGCTACGCCAGCCCGGAACCCGTGCAATGGCACCTCGCCAACATCAACAACCGATGGACCAAGCGCGCCCTCGCTTCCGCCGGCTTTGGCTTCCCCACGGTGCCGCAACAGGAAATCCACCGCTGGAAACCCATCTTCAGCGTCGCCGAGATCGGCGGCTCCGAGTCCGCCGCCGAAGCCGCCGAAGCTGAAGCGAACCGCCGTCGCTCCCACCACGGCCACGACGAGGAACACGGCCGTCCACGGAGTCGATCCAAGGGTGAAGATATTACCCAGGCAGATCGATACCAGGATGACTCGCACTCGTCGACGTCAAGCCACGACAATGACCTGGCCAAGGAGATCACAGACAGCAAAGCTTATGCCAGGGCGGCGTCGGTGAAGAAGGTGGCCGTCGTGCACGGCTTGAACAGGCCGTTCTTCCACCTCGACTTGACCAGCGCATTGCAGAGCGCCATTGCCAACGTGGAACACCAGGAGAAACTGCGGCGCGTCGAGGCCGGACAGACAGAGGGGAGTGACGACAAGTTATGATGACGTACGCAGTATTGGGCAGGGCAAGAAGAGAGTGAGTTGAGGCTACTCTCGCTGCTCCCGCCCAGCGTGATCACGGACGAGAGAGCGTGGTCAGGACTGTATATGAATGAAATGGGACACAGTTGTCTATATGACCGGCTGCCAATCAGCCCGAGGTCGGGACACGATGAATGATACATGGAGTGGTTTCCTCCCCAAGTAATGCCTCGATTGGCCACAATACGATTGTTAATGAAGTTTTACCGAGCAGCACGTAGTACTGTGTTTCCGCTCGTTGACTAATGTGAGAAAGAAAGATGACCACTATGTTCTATCTAATATGCCTTGTTAACGCCGCGGATGGCCACAATATGATTTGTTAATGAAGTTATACCGAGCATATTGTGCCACACACTTTGCCGCCTGCCTCTTGATCAACGTGCGCAAGAGCAAGAACCACTAGAGCCTATATATGCCTTGTTAATGCGACGAATGACCACAATATGATCTGATAATGAAGTTTATACCCACCATATCATATCGTAGAGTGTGCCGCCTGCCGTTGATCAAGGTGCGAAACAAGGACAACCACAACATGACTTGTCAATCAAGTTATACGAGTATCGAGCGTATCATATCGTACGGTATATCTGCCCGTGGATCTGAGTGCGAGAGCACTACGACCACTAATTAGAGTCTGCGCCTTGTGGTATCAGAAATAGAAATCAAGCCAGCGAGAGTACAGTCTCAAGACCAAAGTATTCGGGTTGTCTCCCTTGAGATGGAGCCAAGTACACGGTCGTCTGGTGTCTGTACTGAGCGTATTGTAGCTGGGTGCGCGTGCTATAGTAGAGTCCCCCCCTTACCTCCTATCTCCTCCACGACCTTCTCCCCCTCTGCCGCGCTCAGCAACTACGACGACATGTCGACATCTCGTCCGTCCGTCCACACCACCCCCAGTGCAGTTCACCCCCCGCCCACCATGTCATGGTCATGACCACGACCACCCCCTACTCCTCCAAGGCCAACAACACCCGCATATCCATCTCCGTCCACATGACCATCCAAGCCGGCCGGCCGCCCAGTTTCTCCATGACCCGCCGGCTTGCCCCGTTGTGCTGGCTCACGTCGGCGTGTCCCCACCACGGCGGAGGCGTTGAAGTTGAGGTCTTGTTTGCTTCTTGAGCCACCTCGTCCACGGCGCCTCCCCCTCGCTCTGCCCTATCCGCCTTGCCACCCTGTCCGCTCTGTAATTGCTCCTGCTGACGTCTCCACAACTCGGCCCCCAAACTGACGGCGAGCCCCCGTCCGCGATGCTCGACTTCCGTGTGCAACGACGACAGACTCGCGTCCTTGCCCAGGAAGCCCCATCCCACAGGCACAGTGCCTTCCTCGTGGAACACACCTATCGAAACGAGTTGGCGCAACGTGCCCAGCGTGCGCGGGATGGGCGTGCGATCCAGCACGAGTTGGAGGTGCGCGTCCTGCATGGCGCCGAAGCGGTATCCGGGCGGTAGCGGAGCCGTACTCGAGGTGGGACTGGAACTTGTGTCCCTCCGGAACAAATACTTCCAATACCCGGCGTCGGTCCTCGTGCGGGCCCCCTCGGGAAAAAGGTGCCACAGTTTGTCGCTCACGGCGCCGAAGAGGACTTTATCCCTCGAGTACGGCCTGCTGAGGTATTTCCCTGTGGCGGCCAGGGAGAGCCACTCTTCCGGCGGGTTAGTCGGGAGTAAGGGGATCAGGTGGCGCGAGATATATGTGAACAGGGCGTTCAGGAGGCCTTTGTGCAGCAACGCATGGGGATGGGGGTGTGGATCCGTATCCGTGTCCGTAGAAGATGATGATGCGGCCTCATTGCCCGAGGTCGACGACGCCGCCTCCCAGCTCCCGAACACCCAGACCTGCGTTTGGCCTGCGTTGACGAGGTCAATGTGTGCGGCGATCCAGGGGTCGGGGGTGTCGGTGTCGGGCGATTGTGATTGGGGTTCGAGATTCAACCAAGCGCCGAGGTCGAGGTCCCATTGATGAACACGCTCGTGCTCGTGCTCGTGCTCGTGCTCGTGCTCGGGTGGTTCAGGGTCGGATCTCGTGCTGGCGCTGGCGTTGTGATCGCCACGCACGGCAGCGACGAAGATGCGCGCAGTCGTCGATGCACATTCCCGCTGTAGATGGGATTGAATCCGTCGTAGTAGAGGGATCGAGCACGGGAGGTGGCATTCGAGTTTTCGCACGAGAAGGGTAATTTGATGTTCGTTCAGGGCGCGGCTTTGGATGGAGACGTGGGATGTGGGTGTAGACGGGGATGTAGGTGTCTGCGTCTGCTTCTTGTTCTGTGTCTGTGTCTGTGCCATTTCGCGATCAAGCTCCGTTTCAAGACGGGATTGTCCCTCATGGTGTCAGTGTCCTTGGTGTCGCTCGTGTAATTGTCGTCCCGTCACGGTGTGGTTACGGACGACTTTTCGTCCGTACCGGTGAAAATCGGACTCTCCCCCTCCTACTCTTGCTTGCTATCTATCCTCGTTCTGGGCTATCAAAACTACGCTTAGGTACTGATAGACGCACCAGGCGGTATAGGACAAACACTGCATGCCACGCATGGTTCACAATGCGAGGCTGCGTTACATTGAGGAAATGCTGACTTGGTCATCGGACTCTCCTGAATGCATTCCTCGCCGACCAATCATAAGTTCATTTGGACGAGTGGGATCAATTCTTTTGAGCGGCCATTATCTTCATTATAGAAACCCCCCACGGGCAGCATAGTACACAAGCCCAGATGTTTCACAAGGGTCGTACATGTTCCCTCATTAGCCGGTACAGATCACATCGGCTTTCGTGAGGAGCATAGAGAGATATCCTCGCCCATACATGGTTCATAATACATGATCTTCGTCAACTGAACTAGGTGGCCCGATCACCGCCAACCCGTTCTGAGCCATGTTTGAACAGTGGCAAGACACAGTCAAGGTCCAGCCTTGCTAGGCCTCCCACGTCAGTCAGGGTTGCGGTGTTGCTTTCTTTCGTCCAAAGATGCCGCGAGATTTGGACTTGTTGCGAGGCTTCGAGGGAGACGTCTTTCCTGTAGACCGAGCTCGATCGCCCTCGTCATCGGAATCGTTGTATTTAGCCTTGTAAATCCTGCCAAGATAGATTAATGACCGCACAATCAAACCCGAACTTCGTCAAAACTTACCAACTGTTTCCGACCATGCTGACACCTTTCGCCTCTGCCATGCGATAGAACTTGGCTGCTTTCTTCATGTCTTTCTTGCAGCCGATCCCTTCGGCATAACAGAAACCAGCTTCGCTCAGTGCGTCGGTGTCTCCCCAATTGCCCGCTATCTCGAAACATCGCAAGGCCAAGGTTTTGTCCTGCTCCACACCCCAGCCGTTAAGGTGAGAGACGCCGAGTTCATACACGCTCAGAGCGAACTGGGCCCGGTGTGCCCTCTTGTCATGATAATCGACACCCGGCTTTCGAGACTCCGGGTCTTCATCCTCTGCGATATCGAGCATGGCGCAATCTACAGCCTTGCGAAGCCATTGTACGCCTTCCTTCGGATTGGCCCGGAGACCCCAACCATGACGGCAAGCAAGGGCATACAAAAGCATCGCGGTCGCGTGTCCTTTGTTGGCGGCTATTCGCAGATGATATGTCGACTCATTGAGTTTTCCGTCCTCATGAAGTTCGATTGCTTTTGTGACATGGTCGTCCGTGGAAAGTCCTTGATAGTTACTGCCGTTTCGAGCAGTCGTAGGCCGGACGGTGCTAGTGGACCTTGAAGAGTGCGACATTTCCTCGACAGGTGACAGAGGGGTAGGAGGCAGCATAAATCCTGAAGGAGGAGGTGGTAGCTGGCCTAGGGAAGGCCTTGAGCCTGCAGAATCGTTTGACCGAACAGAGCCTGTTGGCGTGTAATAGGCCGTTGCGGGCGACGGTCGGTCCGGTCCAACAAGCCTATCTTCAGCATTCAGCTCGAACGACAAATTGGATCTCTGGTTCTGGTCCTCTCTGCTGGGCCGAGCTGAAGCTATTGGTGACGGAATAGGGAGCTCCGTGCTACTTTTGCCCTCTAGTGGAGGGGTGCCTGGGAACATGGGTTCCTGCCATTCAAAATGCGGCGTCGACAGGGCGGAGAAAAGCTGGGAGGTACGGCCAGTGAGATCTTTGCCGCGCGGGAGGCTATAGGTTGCATGAGTGTACGAAGACGCTTCCCCAGCAAGATATCCATTCGGCGCCGAGGTAGAATTGTCGAAAGAATTCGCGAGCCGAAGCTGGCTCATCCGGTCTGTGAATGTCGCTTTCGAGGGACTCTTCTCTGCTTTTAGGTTTGTCAAGCTCGCTGAGCTCATCGGGCGCGAAAAATTTCGCGTCAAAGTGGGTTTCGTCGGAGAATCAAGAGAGCCATTCGACGGAGTGCGGCCGTGAGACTGTAGATATGGCGAGATCGGAGAATGAGGAGCAGAGAAACCACTGCTGGAGGACAGTTTTCTCGATTGAGAGAAAGTCGAGCCGGCGTTGGAGCTGGTGTAGTCGTCGTCAGAATCCTGATAAGGTCTTAGCCTATCTGAGTGGGATCTGGGAGGCGCCAAAGTCGCGCTCAGCTCTGATTGAGAAGTGCTCCCGGCTTGCGGATGTAGCGACGGGCTCTCTGAATTTTGAGGCGGTGAATGCTCAAGAGGCGGAGGGGATTCTACTCGAGGGGCACCGAAATAATCTTGTACTGGTGACAGCTGTTTACTGGCTTGTTCGTCCACGGCTTTAAAGGCGATGCTGCCCATATGAATGCGTTGCGAGGCTGGCCGGTTCAAAGGATGAGCAACACGGGCAAAATTACCGCCGCGATCTTTGTCAAGCACAGGTAGAGGCGGAACAGTATCCAGCCCGTCGGACAAGGCTCGAAAGATCGGGGGACGATTGTTTTGGTGCTCGGTCAGGGAATCCGTCACAATCTGCGGCGACAACCTGCTCATCCGTCGTTCTCCAGCCTTCCTGGTCTCTTCCAACTCTTTGGCCAACTTTCGGCTTCGCGCCGCGATTGCGTCCAAGGGTGACAACGCAGGCGGCACATCTCCGTCGAAATGCTGGATCCGAGGTGAAAATTGGCCCCTTGACAGCGCACTGGCTGAGCGCGAATCCCCCGGGGGGATTTCGATGTAATTAGGACGGCTCATTGGGATACTCGGTGTTGAGAGTTGTTATGGTTGCAGAGAGTGTTGGCACTGGGGCCGTATGTTGGGGGGTTCGGGTACAAACGAGGTCGGGAGAATAGCGAAAGAAGACCATTGACTAGGACTCTGTAGAAGGCTTGGAAATGAACGGTATCCCGGACGACAGGAAGGGGCTGAGCTGGACGAATACAGCCTGCAGGAAGAGTCCGGGGCTGGCGAAGTCGCAGCTGATGAGGTGTGAAAGCGGACGATAATGTCGACCCTAGAGTATATGATGACGGGACCGACCTCAGTAGCCAAGCAGGAACAAGTCGATGCGATCGTCTAATGATACCAAACGAATAAAATGAACGGCAAGTGGCAAGGGAGAGAGCGTAGGAGTGAGTGGTGGTGCCTTGTTCAATGGGGAGTGACAGCTGAGAGAAAAGCGACAACCCGAGATGCAGGCGAAAAAGATGGGCGCACCACACATTGAATGGGGGACTGCGCACTGCAGAAGCGGGACGATTCGATGGTGCAGGTGCAGTCGCACCACCTAGCAGATTTTAGGCTGCACGCACTGGCATTGGCGTTCATCCCGGTGAAGATCATGAGTGACGGCAGACCCCAAGCAACTCCTAGCGGGCTGCGAGAAACACAACCAAAGGCGGCCCAAACAGAGGCCACTGGGAAACGGAAGGGATCTCCCTGGTTATTTTTACGACTTTGCCCGAAAGCCACCCGAGAGCCAAAAGGCGGCCACCGCTTCTCATTTGTCCATGTCCAGGGAAGCCCAAGCCACAGCTGCACCCCGAACGGCTAGCCCACACTAGGGACGTCGCTCCAGCCTCTGCTTCACCCTTTGGCTGATTCAGGGGCTCTCTGGCCGCAATCCGACTCCCGACCAACAACGTCGCGCAGGCCCATGGTCGTCAAGATTGACCCCAGCTTGAGTGGACAAGATGAACTTGAAGCAACAGGGACTGAAATGCGATCAGGGTCTCTGGAGTCGGCGAACGACGATTGAATGGCAGCTCAATGACATTGCGAGTCTGTCTTTGATTACCTGTTCGTGTTCTTTCGCCACACTCCCAGCCTCGAGGTCCTGTGGCATGCGGCCCGTGGCCTCGTCGAACGATCATCAAGTCTAGGAGCCGCTGATCAGTGCCACTCGACGTCAGCCACAAGATCTCCTATGGCGTGAGTACCGAGTACATAGCACGGAGTCGAGCCCGCTATGGGCGAACTGCCAGGGTCGCAGGGTGACACGCTCGTTGATGCAAAAGCTGCCCGACCTGTGACAGAGAAATCTGGGATTTACAGGCTGCTTCCTTGCCACTGTTCCACCGCGTTCGGACGCACAGAGCCACGGGAAGACCCTTGAATCATTGCTGCTTGCCGCCATGTCCCGTTCCTCGAGACATGAGCCTCTGTTGTGCAACAAAGGCTCGAGGCTTCTGCATGGCATGTCATGGCAAAGTTGACGACACAGTACTCCTTACATTCGCCACAAGGAGTAGTCGTAGCTCTTCGCACTCAAGACTTCCCAGTCACACGAGACTCTCTCTTCGCTATGTCTCAGCCAGACGACCATTGCGACGAGTTATTGTTTTTACGCGAGCTCATAGCGCATGTGCATAGACCTAAACTGGAATGACGATCGGAGAGCTGCCATTGACTAACTCTTCTGAGCCGCTTTAGCACTCACTTTACCTCGTAGGGAGTACTTGAGAGCGACCTCACCGCGTTGCTGATTCTATTCCCCTCGCCCAAAGCTCGCTTGGTCCGGTACCATGTCCTACAGGAGTATGAAAACCGCTGCATCTAATTGGCGTATTGCAGAGTGCAATTCGAGATGAAAGTGATCTGCTGCCAGTTTCGGTCTTGAGCATCTCCACGATCGTGGCCGGAGCGCACGCGACACAACCCACTGATTGATCCGTTAGCACTGCGCATCATGGTGGTCTTAACCTTCGACGATGCTTGCAAAGATCCCCGATTCACCGGCGCCGGCCTGGAAAGCCAGACCCGTCCCAACGGTTGCTGGGAGCCATGTTGTGGAAATCAATTCCGACCGACCCGCAGATCAGCAAATTACTTTGGGACCACCACGGGGGCGTTCATGCAAGGCTGCTCCTGCTCCTCCGTCTCCTCCTCCTCCTCCGCAAACTGCCAAAGCCACAGGCATCCCTTTTTTACGTACATCTCGACCTGCAGGTAGCTTGAGCCCCAACCTGATTTGCGTGAGACTCATCACTGATATCCTGTGGACACTTTGACCCTGTGATTTCATCGCAATGCCCCCATTGCGACGTTATCTGGCCTGTATCTGATCCTCGATGCTCAGAGATATTGTCAACGGCGCGTTCGTCCACCATCACCTACGCTCACTGTCCTGATGTCTTCACTTACTACAATGCCTCCACCACAACGACTTCATGTCCAAAAATCACCCTCGTCGTGGGGGACCCGCTGGATCCTCTTCAGCATTTGGCTTCTACGCCTGGGCTGGCATGCTCCCTCGCCAACCACTCTTGCAGGTGTTTGTTATAATTAATAATTCCCTTTGAGAGTCGATGGTCACTGGTGAGCAGAAACGTACTATCACGTGGCCGATTGACTTGCATGGCGCACAGGTCGACACGCTGAGAGCCCCAATGCTCTTCTATCTCTTCAGGGGCGTCTGTTTTCTCAATGGACCAGGCCAGCCTGAGGGTGTTCGCGATCAGAAGCGCTAGGTGAGCCAGGCCTCCCCGATGTTGCTCTGGGTGAGGATCGCTGTCGGAACTGCCCTTGTCATTCGCAGGATTAATGCTTCATCCACGCTCATGACGCCCAGGTCAAAGATGTAGAGCTTCGTGCCTGGCGGGCACGGGAACCCTGGGCTTGTTGATTCCGAGGATTCGAGGATGGACGCCATCCATGATGTTCGCTCGAAAGACAACGCCTTGCTAGCGCTGTTGAAATCAGCTCATTTAATGCTGTCGCGCATCCAGGCAGCGGACCGACCTGCTACTGTATGCTCTAGTGTACCTCGTTTTTTTTATCAAAGCTCTTGCGAACAGCTTCCTACAAGCCCGAATGTGATATAATAATTCGCAACTTACCCCTGTTTGTATAACAGTATCTCCCTTTTGTAGTCGCGCGTTCCATATACGTCCCGTCCTAGGACCAACCTGTGTTAATAAACCGTCTCGGTAAGCAAGCATAGCATGATCGAAGGAGGTCCCTATAGCAAAGAAGACATGTCATTTCATGTTTCCTTACGGCGATAATTCGACGATAGTTTGGGTAAAGGTCCGCCTTCGAGCGACAGTCCGTATTGTAGCAGTAGTCATCGTTGCGGTGGGTGAGAAGGCTCGGATACGAAACCAGAACAGTCCAGCGACTGGTGACGCATACTACCTCAATTGGAGTTTGGCAAACTCGAAAATCTGAAGTGGGCGGTACTTGTCATTTTCGACTCCGGTGACGTGAATAAGGCGTCTCGAGGAGAGCACCTCGGTACTTACGTCTTCGAAGACAGCGTCGGCTTGGCGAAACGTGCTGCACCGAGATCTTTCCGGAAGCCTACGCACTGAGGACTGGTGGATCGATCTCCGCCCACAAGAGCTCCATTGGCGCTGTATGTGTGGTATACACAAAAGAATTGAAAATTGGTAATGAGAGCCGCAGGAGATAAGTGTACTCCGTAGGAGGTCGGGAATAACTCCTCGAGATGGTTTATCCCGAAAGAGGGAGGGTACCCGAATTTACACTCTAAGCACTTCCTCCGTTCCTTTGTCATGCTTTCTCGATCGATAAGACCTGCGATCCATGTATTTTCGAAGCTCAGTCCACAAAGCGTGGCCCATTTTCTGGGCAGGAGACTTCGAGTATACTCTTACAAGTACGAGGTGGCGAGGATGGGCCGTAGTGGTAGAAATTGATATGCTCTTGATAAGCCGACCAAGGCCGTAATGATCCGGTGCTTCGTCATCTCTGTCCATCCACCAATCGGCCATAAGCATGTTGGCTTGGGTCCAGAGACGCTCGCTCGCGTCGAGGTCTGAAGATGTAGCCTACATAACTAAGTAAGGGCAAGATGCAAGGCCCTTGCATGCGTCCGTGGGCGGGTCTGAACTCAATTTGCCTTTCCATGGTATGGGAATGTCGGCCTTGCTGTTTTAGACTGAAAATTTCCGAATTGGATCGGATCTATCACCCACAGAAATTTGAGCTCGCATATCGCTTTGATAGCGACGCTTGTCTTGACTTCAGTATGATGTCAACGACATGTGGAACGCGAACCTCGTAGAACCTGAAAACTTGAGATTGGTTAGTAATGAACGTCCGGCGTCCAGCTCAACGCAATGATATAATAGAAGCAGTAGAGGAGAGAAAGCCCATCCAAATTCTAGCCAGACATTTCACGGCAAGATCACTAACCTCCGTTCATCACACCAGCTACAAAACAGCCAATAGCAATTCTCAACCAAAGCCTTCACAATGGTCGACTTCAGTGTCTTCAAGGGAGGTAAAGACGGTATCGTCAAAGCCACCTCAACCCGCGAGGTTGGCCCTAGAGAGGTCCTGGTCAAGATCACACACAGTGGTCTTTGCGGCACGGACATCCATTACAAGGAGCAAGACATGGGCCTTGGGCATGAGGGAGCAGGTACCGTGGAAAATGTTGGCAAAGAGGTGACCCTGCTCAAGCCAGGAGACCGCGTAGGATGGGGATATCTCCATGATGCTTGTGGTCATTGCAAACAATGCCTTCGTGGCGCCGAAACATTCTGCCCCGAGCGCAAGATGTACGGGGCAGCTGATCTGGACCAAGGATCCATGGGATCGTACGCTGTGTGGAAGGAAGATTTCCTCTTCAAGATCCCAGATCAAATTCCTTTGGAAAACGCCGCGCCTTTGATGTGCGGCGGCGCCACCGTTTTCAATGCCCTCCAATTTCACGGTGTCAAATCAACCGACAGGGTTGCCGTTATTGGTGTCGGTGGACTTGGGCACCTTGCGATCCAGTTCGCGGCGGCGATGGGTTGTGAGGTTGTGGTATTCTCCAGTACCGACAGCAAGAAGGATGAGGCGATGAAGCTCGGTGCCAGAGAATTCGTCGCAACCAAGGGGCAGAAGGAGTTAAAGGTCTCGAAACCCATCGACCACTTACTTGTCACTACTGCCTCTCAGCCGGATTGGAATCTGTACCTGCCGATCATGGCACCTTCGGGGACGATTTATCCTCTCACAGTCAGCAACGAAGACCTGAAAATGCCGTACATGGGTATCCTTCTGAGTGGGTTGAGGATCCAGGGAAGTCTGGTGGCGGCCAGAGAAATTCATCGAGAAATGCTGGAATTCGCCGCGATCCATGACATCAAGCCAATCATTCAGAAATTCCCCATGAATGAGGAGGGTATCAAGGACGCTTTCCAGACACTGGATGAGGGCAGGATGAGATATCGTGGCGTCCTGGTTGCATAAATTGCGTCTCTGGTGCTGGTGGTTGATCAAGTACCTGCTTTTAACGGGAATGTGTCATAGCGTGGAGCGTGAGATAGTTCTACAAAGAATTTACCTTGACACAGCTTTGCATATCCAGAACATCTTCACACATGCGTAAGCCGTACTGTGCACGATGCGACCCACGACCGGTGGTCATACTCGTACTGTGTACCGCGTAGAAGCAAGGGTGGGAGGAGCTGTTGGAGGGAGCTGAGGGAGGTGGCGGAGCATGGATCGTGACTTACATAAACATCCAACAGTGGAGCCATCGACGCGCGTTCAATGGGAAGGTTTTCCGGGCTGCATGGCTGCAACCCAGCCTGCCACCCCGAGTTTCTTTTCAACCTTGCTCACCCACGACGCGCACATCACCTCGTCGAGTCCGGGCTTTCGCCAGGTGCATGCGGCGAAGATGCTGCTGAAGCCCAAGGAGGAGGTGGGCGGCAGCCACGCCGACAACGATGTACGAGGCTTCCGCAAGAACCGAGCTCAGGCTTCAAGCCCGTGGACATGGCAGCCTCTTACGCTCATTACGACCGCCGTGGCCTTATTGTCGCTCCTTGTCATTGTCCGATCGTCGTTTCAACTGCAACAAGACCCTCAAGGATGCGTCATGTCTATGATGGCACCGACTTACATCAAGCTCTCCGGCTTTGACACGGAACACTCCCGCTTCGCCACGAAATACTCGCTTTATCTGTACCGGGAAGAGGGGGTAGACGAGTACACAAAAGACAATATTGGCCTACGAGGGGCTCCCGTGCTGTTCATCCCGGGAAATGCGGGCAGCTACAAACAAGTGCGATCTCTCTCATCCGAGTCATCCCGCCACTATCACAACGTCTTGCGGCACGATGCTGAGGCTGTCAAAGCCGGCGTAAGATCTCTCGACTTCTTCACTATCAATTTCAACGAAGACCTGTCTGCTTTCCATGGCCAAACACTGTTAGACCAAGCCGAATATGTCAACGAAGCTATCGCCTACATTCTGTCGCTTTACGTCGACGGTAACCGGCTACACCGCGACCCTCAGCTACCGGATCCAAGCTCGGTCATCCTCGTCGGACATTCAATGGGTGGAATTGTTGCCCGAACAGTACTTGTAACACCGAAGTATCAGGCCAACTCGGTCAATACCATAATCACCATGTCGACACCTCATGCGCGACCTCCGGTCTCGTTTGACGCCGACGTCGTTTCCTTGTACGCGCAGGTGAATGACTATTGGCGGGATTCGTATCTGCAACGTTGGGCCAGCAACAGTCCCCTTTGGCACACAACCTTGATATCTATCGCTGGAGGAGGTCGAGACACGACCGTTCCTTCAGACTACACAAATATTGCTTCGCTAGTGCCGGAGAGCCATGGCTTCACGGTCTTCAGTTCCACCATCCCTAATGTCTGGACTTCGATGGACCACTTGGCCATAACTTGGGCAGATCAAATGCGAAAGGTCATTATCCGGTCTCTGTATGACGTGGTTGATGTTCGCCGTGCGGCACAGACGAAACCACGAGCTGAACGGATGGAAATTTTTAGAAAGTGGTTTTTGACGGGTCTGGAGGACAATGCACCAAAGAAAATACGCGACGCACCCCATGAAGTACTCCTCACCTTGGGAGATGGGTCGAGATCGGCCGTGACCAAGGAGAACAACATCACCCTCCGTCAGCTTGGGGCGCAGGATGACATGTCTGCGGTCCTACTACCAATTCCTTCGGTGGACAACACTACCTCAAAATTATTCTCTTTTTTGACAGACCAGCACATGGATAGGCAAGGCAGCTTTGACAAATTGGAAGTCTTGTTCTGCAGTGCATTCCCCCTGGCAGGGGGTTTGACGTCCACACCCTTACCCATTCAGTTTGATCTTTCACCTGGAGATCCCAGTGCAACACGACTCGCCTGCAAAAAACCGATCGGAGACGCCATACAGCTGCCTGCATCCACAAGGCTGTCTCAGAATGCCTTCGACCAAGTACCGCCGTTCACGTACTTGAAATACGACTTGCGAGATCTCCAAGAACATCAGTTCGTGGCAATAATCGACAAGTCCACGGAGATCAACAACGGTTGGGCTCAGGCAGAAATAGTCTCGGCCGCTGATTCCGTCGTTGCTTCTGATGTGAGCTTGCCGATGCTTCTGCTTCGAGGTCTAAACCGGGAACTTCCACCTAATCGGCCGATGGTGACAGAAATTCGTGTGCCCTCTATCAAATCGAGCCTGCTAGCATATACTCTGCAAATCCGGCAACATGGCTGCACTGCCGATACGGAGCTGTTCACTCCCCTGCTGAGGCAACATATCGACAGTCCCTTCGAGTCGAAATATTTTGTCAACTTTAAACAGGGCGACGTCAACCTCCACGGTGTAGCGCCATTTCTGCCCCCCAGTATTGATGGCCGTGACATGAAGGCTGGAGTCGCATTCCAAATCTGGTCCGATCCGACCTGCGACTCGTCGTTGGAAATTCGGCTTCGAGCAGACTTTACTGGCAGCTTGGGCAAGCTTGTGATCCGATATCGCACTGTCTTTGCAGTGTTCCCCCTCCTGGTCGTTGCCATGGTCCTGCGAAAGCAGTTCCGCGTGTACGATAACTCTGGGGTGTTCATGTCTTTCTCGGAAAGCCTCGACCAAAGTCTGCGACTCCCATTGCCAGTTTTAATGTTATCAATGACATTTTTCGCCACCGCCTTTACGACCGCAGGCTCAGCGCACCTCGTACCACCGCATTACTCGCAAAAGAACGGGACAGCTATCGATTTTGCGCAAAATGACCTTCTCCTCGGATCGCAGGACACCTTTTTCTGGTTCCTCGTTCCTTTGGCGGGCTTGCTCAGTGTTGGCGCTTGTGTGGTGTTGCATTACGCCATCCTGGGATTCCTGCACGCGATTGTAATTGTATCAAACCTGGTCTCCCATCGATACATCAAGGTCGACGATGGTGAGAAAGCCATCGCTTCTGCCTTCGTGGCAAGCACACCTCGCCGACGAGTCATCAACACGGCTGTCCTGTTGTTCCTGGTTGCGACCATAATCCCTTACCCGTTCGCCTACGTTGTGGCCTGCATTGTACAGCTTTTCACCTGCGCGCGGGCGCTGCGGCATGCAAAAGATTCCCGATCCGGACCGGCCTACAACTTCTTCAACTACACATATTCGATACTCATTTTAATGCTATGGGTGTTACCGATTAATTTACCCGTCCTCGTGGTGTGGGTTCATAATCTGGCGGTGCACTGGCTGACACCGTTTTCGTCACATCACAACGTGTTGTCGATAATGCCCTTTATTCTCTTGGTGGAGACGTTGTCGAGTGGCATGATGGTGCCATCTGTGCGATCATTCAGATGGGCGACGAACCTGTTGTTTTTCGTTCTGGCTGTATATGCGGCGTTGTACGGCATGACATACGCATACAGGTTGCATTACATTGCAAACATAATTGCGCTCTGGTTGGTGTTGCTACATTTTTCAGCATACCAGAGACGGATACACCCCTAGAGAGGAAGAGCAGATGGGAATCTGCCATTCGTGACAGGGAACGGAGATAGAGCCATAGACGCCAGCAGGCAAAAGCATCAAAAGGGACGACTCGGTATGATAGGAGGCGTCACTTGAGCGTGTAAATGTCGGAGCTTCTGCATCTCCGAGCAGACACCACGATTTAACCACGTCGGACCTGATAATGGAGGTTGTTTTAACAATGCTGGTCCCGGGACATATCTGTCCTGGAGGTTAAACTTTGCTCATCCTTGTTCCGCCGCACTTGAAGCAGGAGATGGCTTCACACACTGTTAATGCCACAATCCCACTAGTACATAGAGAAGAAGTTGAGGGATTCAATGGACGCAGTCGATGAGGGTCTGATTCTCGCCCTTCTTTTCCCGCTATGGCATTACTGTCCTGCATTGCGCTCAGTCACTGGGGGGAATTCTGACCATTTTCACGCATTCAGACTGCAACAAATGGTCACTCGCGCTGGTTAGCATGTCCACGTCGTATCGTCCATGGGCTTGTCCACTACCATACCATTCACATCCCTGAGCATCACCATGGTATATGGCGAGACTAGTCAGTTAAAGAAGCCCCGACGGAGCCTTGTTGCAGAAGTCTAGGTCCTTTCATATTCACCACTCTTTGGCTCAGATGCTCTCGACCACCCTTCTCCCCGTAGTGACAATGTGATGGCGCAGTGGTGGTTCCCTTCGCCCTCTGCCCAAGGGACAAGGGCTGCCATATCTTCGAGCTACCTGGGCTCCGAGATATGCACCTACGACCACCGGCCCCCGTTGCGCCTCAAGCCACTCCCACCCGCCAGATCTCAAAAGAATGTCGACATTAGCCGCGGCAGCCTCGCTTTCAGCCAGGGACATTTCATCCGTGCAGCCTCACGATCAAGGCAACCCTCTTTCTCCTGGAGCTTGGGTCGGAATCGCCATATGTATCGTCGTCTGCATCGCGTGGATTCTGCGATACTCATACATGGCATCTCCATTCTGGTTTCTGCGAATAAAGCAGTGGTGCCGGTTTCGAAACCGGCCGGCGAACCACAGACCCTCCTCGCAACAGCCGATCTCTGTCGAACGCTCCGGAGAGCAAGTCATCACGCGGCCAGCACCAGCGCGTGTCAGACTTGGCTCGAAAGAAGCGTTGCCGTCTTTTCAGCTATCCAGTCGGTTCAGTAGGGACGTGCTCGACGCATTGGCACGGATGGATTTGTCACCTGGAAGACGGCCACTCTCGTGGCAATTCAGACTATCATTAGAGCTGAGGCAGGTGGTGGAAAGATCTCGAATAACGGACCCAGAGATGGGGCGGAATCAAGACCAGGATGGTCGAGGGAAAGCATAGCAATGCGTGATACGGAGATAGAGTTGGGCTGACCGGCGTAGGCGTCTGGGCCTGCAAGCAGCAACAGAATTCACTCCCCTTCTTGGGCTACCCCAGATTTGCACGGCAGCGCTCTGGAAGCTTAAACGATATGCGGAGAAGCACCAAAGGAACCAATAGGCCGGATCGAATGGGCTTGCGTAATCGCCTAGGCGTCAGGCCAATCCGGTGCTCCCGGGCTCCAACCCAAAGGTCGTGGGGTTCGCAACGCCGCCACTCTTTTGGCTTTCCGGGCGTTTGGGCTCTGGACTTTCTGGAAAGGGCAACTGCCTCCATCTCCATATTCGTTGATCGTGTGCGTCTTCCATAATGTGACCGCCTCGACCTTCTTCTTCCTCTACCGTTGCACAACCCGGCATCACCTGCCATATGAGTTTATTTGCACCGCAATACGTCCCCATCTACTACTGCTACCACATTGATCCGATATTGGACGCTCCTTCACCGTTCTCTCACTCCACGTTCTGAATAGCCTTAGCGGAGCTCTCCGCCGTGTCCTTCGACCGCCGTCTCCATGTCTCAGTCGTCACCTCGACCGTCGGTCGATGGCCACGGCCATGTAGCACCACCTTTTCTTCACACTTTGACCCAGCGCCTGCGCAAAGGTTCCAGCGCAAGCTCGCAATACACGGATTCTGCTCCATCCAATCCAGTGACTGTCGACCCACTGTCCAAAACAGAGGCTACCCGGGCCGCGAGACGAATGATATTATCTCTCGTCAGAGACGACTGGGACTGGCCGAATCTCCCACCAGAAGCACTAGCAGACGACAATAAGAGAATTCTACCTCGTGAACCCATCTCCTTCCGCTTGCGCGAAGAGGCCCAATCCGACATTGAAGCCGAGGTCCCGCACAACAAACGACGATCAAAGAGCGACCCCTACAAATTCGAAAGTCCTGACACGGTTGGTGATGTTATAGCCGAGCGGAGGAGAAAACGCAGGAAGCAAGCAGAAGAAGAGATGGCATACAACGAAGGATTAAGAATCTGGCAGGAAAGGCGCGATGCATGGACCGGAGCGTTACAGCATAGGCCCTACAATAACAGACCTACGGAGAGACGGCCTTCCCCGACGACAAAGCGACCATCCTACAAATCTCGGCTGTCCCAAGTATTTGTCCGGGACAAGGCAGCCGACCACAACCCTCGTGCCCATTCACAGTCACTCTCCACTGATGGTGGCTCGAGCTGGCCAGCTTCACCAGTTTCTCCCACTCCAGAATCTTCTAGTATCAACAGTCTGGAAGCGGTCACTCCTGGTATCACCACCGGTACCACCACAAACACAACTGTCGAACCCAACACTCCACTTACTCCCGTCTCCACCACGGTACCGACGGCGTCGTCCTCCTCGACTACCGAGCCAGGCCCGTGGCTTCCAATATACCCGCCAATGCTGCCGAAAGACGATATAATCAGCGAAAAGATCAAACCCGCCGCGTATCCGACAATCTACAGCAAGATAGTGGTGCAAGGACTGTCGCCCAATATCCCCATCCCACTCAGCCACATGATCCCCGCTCTCGTGGAAGGTTGGAAATCCGAAGGCAATTGGCCTCCTCAGCCCAGCGCTCCGCTTGCGGCGGACGTGAAGAGAGGACGAAAATCCTCCACCTTTGCCAAATGGCGGAAAGAGCATTCCGACAACAAGCAACAGGGTGGGGAAGTCGCCGTCGTGGGCAGCAGCCGCACAAACGATGATGAAGCAGCAGGCCAACACAGAAGCAGCATCCGCCGGAGTATCGGCATGATGCGTAAAATGGGATCCTTCCTCGGCGGCGCCATGAGCAGTACCGACGGCCTGGATGAGCTGGGTATTGAGTTCAGCGAAAAGGATCAAGCGGGATTAGATCGGAACGTTGCATTGAATAAAGGGTTAGTTCACTAGGGCAGACGCGGGCTGAGACGGAAGATTGGGAATGTGCAGTGCTGCCATGGAGCGAGTCTGCCAAGGATGCAGTTCATGAGCTTATGAGTAGGCGGCCGCAGCCTTTGTAGAGGTCGATGAAGAGTGAACGAGTAATGATCAACCCGATGCTGGCACCAGCTGGAAAGGCATAATGACATATAATGACGATTACACGGATTATCGTGAAGCGAACTGACTGGCCAGCTCGGTTACAGTACAGTAGTAGGAGGGTCGCCCCGATTTGAAGACCTCAAAGCAGCCTTTCGTGGCCGCAGAAGAGGTGCCCAGCCCTGTCCAGCCCATTCGAGGACTCTTTGTGTGGTCAAGCAAATGTAGATTTCCAGGATGACTGCGGACTAGGAAGATGGTTCGCATGTGTGTGTGTGTGTGTGGGTTAGTATCACTGCCACAGCATATTATGCGAGTGCACCCTCATTGCGTGAGCATTTTTTGAAGGTGTTTTCATTTCATTCCATTCCTCTGCACTGGGGCTGTCACTGCCATGATTCATAGGTACCCACCCAGCATCATGCGCACTAAGCATGATGCGATAATGAGGCGGCGTCCAGTGTCCAGCATCTAGCATACATCAATCACCTTCCAAGGTGGGTTCGTTTTTATCCTGAATGATCCATTTCGCTATCCCCGCCCGATGCGTATCCAGGATGTAAATCGCCCAGACAAGACAAGACAATACCGCTCGCCACAGTCCATGAGTCCACGTGAGAAGAGCCGGCCACGCCCTCGCACTCCGTCCAATGCCTGCAACTCAGTGCGCAGGGAGTTTGCGTTCAGGTTCAGCGTACATGCGCCGGTGTGGAGGAATGCTGCAAGTCAAACTCGATGCACTCGATCCCGCACAAGGAGTCGGGACGTAGGACCGCAGGTTGACAATGTCCCGAGGATTCACTCATCCACTTCGGTATCGGTACTGGCATCGCTATCGCCATCACTATCAGCATCGCCACCAGCATCACCATAGGCATTGCCACCAGTACCGCCATAGGCATTGCCACCAGTACCGCCATAGGCATCGCCATAGGCATCGCCATAGGCATCGCCACCAGTACCAGCAGCTGTTCCAGTACCGCCACCAGCTCCAATACCGCTACCAGTACCGATAGGAGTGAAGCCGAAACTTGCCATCTCGGCGACCGTGGCTGCCCAAGCTGCGTCGGGGGCGTCTTCGGTGTCCTGGCGCACGAAATCGCCCTCGCGGTCAGAGTGGTAGCCCTCGTAGTCCGCCAGTGGGGACGCTGCGCGGGCCTGCGCGCCCTCTTCTTGACTACTGTCATAATCAGGCCATGCATAAGCGATCCCTGGAGATTCCGCGCGCGTTGCATCGGGGTCGTGCGAACCAGTGGCCATATTGATGTCCTCTTGATTGAGATTCCCATTCTCAACATGAGTCTGTGCGTCTGTGTCTGCGTCGGCATGAGGCTCCTCTGCTTCGGTCGCATCTTGGTCTGTGCCGGTGGTAGTGGCTTCTCCGCTGGTAGTATCTTCGGCCCGCCCGGAAGAGGTGCCAGTGCCCCGATCCACTTGATACGAAGCGAAGAATTCTTGCATCTTTTTCTTCTCTTTCTCGGAGAGCTCCGGGCAAAATTGGAGCATGTCGACTTCTGGCACATCTGGACGAACGACAGCACCGTCTTGTTTCCCCCACCTCATATGGATGCGCCGGCCCGTGTTTGTCCCGTCGGCGAGTTGTTGGTTGCTTCCCACCCCGGTCTTGATCCAAGTACACTCGCCCATCTCGCATACATGCTTCTTGACCTTGCGGAGCAGGGGACGCGTGAGCTTGCCGGTAAGCTGGATGAGGTGCAATTCGGGCAGGACGGAACGGGTGAGCGGGCTAACGTGGTAATCCGGCTGCGGTTGGATATCTCTCAGGGCAGATCCGTCCTTGGCCAGGGCGTTGCGGATTGCAAACTCGTCTTGATTATTCTCGTCGTAGCTCGGCCAGCCCGCACGCTTCAGAATGCAAGCGGAGAGACGAAGTTCCGGACTGCCAATGAGAGGTGTACAGGCCATGACAGCGCCGGCGAACTCGAGCGACGCAGCCGCGAGTTGCAGGGTGTCCTCGAATTTCAACTCGAGGTTTTGCAGTTCAGGCATCACTCTGACGGCTTCTTTGACGGTGTGGACGTAGCCCCAGAACGGGCGTGCAGGCCAGCAAACCTCCAGAGCCTCGATGTGCTTGAAGATCGGCTCAGGCCGCGCCAGTCCGGTGCGCAGAGTGGGCAGGTCCAGGGCGAAGACATTGCATTTGAGCAAAACCGCGGATGCCTCCAAGTAGACCTTCTTGTTCAATCGGAACAGATGAATGGGTATCTTTTCCGCGGCTGGATCGGCTCGTTGTTGTTTGATCGCGCCGGTTCCATCCTCGATGAGCTTAATGGGCTCGGCGAAGCAGAAGAGCAGTTCGTAGATCTTGAGCCGCAGCTCGAGCGGGAGATCGTAGAAAGACCCATTGACTGGTCGAGAAGAGGTTGCTGGGGCTGATTCGAGTCCTGGCATCAGACTGGATTGGCCATCAGTAGTGAGAGAAGTAGCCATGCTGTCTCGGGGCGGAGCGCGGGCGGGCAGCAAAATCGGGTAAACAATTTTGCGTGAACGAGAAATCAATTTTGAGGGTCATTCTTATAGCGCTGCCTGGTGGTGGGAGGACATTCACAGCAAGGCCAGTGAAGTGTCCACGAGGCAGTGAATGTTTGCACAGCGGGGCGCGGATGCGGTTGGTCGACCCCTCCGCCATCGCGTATTGTATTAGCCCATGTGCGCGATGGGGCACGATACCATGCGCTTCACCCTCCTGAGACAATGATCAGATCACACGGCGTCCGCCTGGGTGTGAATGTAGTAGATCTCTCGCGAAAAAGCACGACATGTTTTCTTATGAGTATATGTCTCAAATAGGGAAGGCGTCATGATAGATCCTCCACACTGCCGATCTCATGCAGGTACCGTCGATGACATCAACACTCCGGTGCATCGACAGACGATGTGCGCGGCGTTGGAGCAAGCGGCCGTTTCAACGCCAAATCAGTCCTTTCTTTGGGTAATAAAGCTACCTGTCTCCAGACCCCTCAGGCCACGGAGCATCGAACCCCTTTTCCACTAGATATCATGTCCCGAGCCACGAGAGTGGCGTCGTCGGCAACGCGGAGAGCTACAAGGAGCAGTACTGCCACAAGAGCAGGAGACGCAGGAGTCAAGAAGCAGCAACCCGAAGAAGCCGAGATCAAACAAGAACAGAATACTCCCGAGAAACCCTCGCGCGCACCACCGCCTAAGCGGGCTCTCTCAGCGATCGAGAAAGACACACCAAAAAGGAAGAGGGTCAAGAAGGAAGAAGAAGACACGCCACCTTTGCAATCGGTCTCGCCTTCCAAGAAATCTCCCTCCTCGACGAGAAGCACACCATCCACCCTAAAAGACAAGAAGCTCAAGTCCTACGCTCAATTCGCAAATGCATCCCCCTTTCCGGAATTTCACCATCCCACAGCCGAAGAATGTAAGCTCGCGCATCGCATCCTGTCCACTCTACACGGCCCCCGAACCCGCCCTGCCCAGTTGATCGCATCTGCCGACCGAGCAGGTTGCGGCGACTCCCCCTCCGTGCTCGATGCTCTTGTCCGGACGATCCTCTCCCAGAACACCGGCGACGTGAACTCCACCCGCGCCAAGAAAAGCATGGACAAAATATACGGCCGCAGCGACAAATGGGACGCTATTGTCGCGGGTGGCCAGGCCAAACTCCAAGACGCGATAAAATGTGGCGGGCTGAGTGCGGTGAAGAGTAAAGTCATCCTCAGCATTTTGAATCAAGTGCATGAGAAATACGGCCTGTATTCGCTCGATCACTTACACGAAGCGAGCAGCGAGGATGCAATGGCTGAGATGCTGAGCTTCCAAGGCGTGGGCCCGAAGACGGCCTCCTGTGTGCTGCTCTTCTGTCTGCAGCGGGAGAGTTTTGCCGTGGATACCCATGTCTGGCGGATCACTGGGTTGCTTGGGTGGAGGCCGAAGACCGCCACGAGGGACGAGACGCATGCGCATTTGGATGTCATGATCCCTGATGAGGACAAGTATGGCTTGCATATCTTGTTGGTTACGCACGGGAAGAAGTGCGACGAGTGTAAGGCTGGCGGGAAGAATCTGGGAAAGTGTGAGCTGAGAAAGGCCTTTAGGCAGAAGAAGATGGAAGGGGAAGCCGGAGAGGATGTGAAGCAGGAAGAGGTCGAGCTGGTAAAGCAGGAGGATGCATAAGCACAAATCCCTGGCTGGCGTAATGGCCGTCGGAATGATTTTTGCTGATGGATTGACGACGAGGCGTGAGCTATGGTGGCCCGCTGATTGAATTATGTAGATCCATCTGGTACAATAATTGGGTGTCCAGCCTTGTCCCTTGCCGGTCCTGATACTCCCTCAACGCCTTGGACGTCAACGTACATATAAGTCATTTCAAAAGGCTGTTCACATTCAGCTTTGGTCGTCTTTATGACATGCACTAAACGAGTTCAACGTACTCATGAAATTCATCGTACAGCCACTGGTCGATACCTTCCCACTTTTTCTTCTGCTCTTCATCAAACAATCTCTTGTCTCGCTCGGCGTCCGTCTCCTTCTCAAGTATTTCCGCCTCGGCTTTTGAAGCCATTACCATGTCTCCAGGCGTCTTGATCGACGATTCAGCAGGAGTATCGCCGCCAGGAGTGAAGCTTGGATCTGGCGGACATGTACCAAAGGTATCATCGAGCTGTTTCTCTGGAGTCGTTGAAAGCCCAGCAACTTCCCCTTGCGTGCCAGAGAAGTCCTCAATAGAATCCATGCCGTCTTTGAAGCATTCTATGCTCTGGACCATAGTGCTGCTCTGGCCTCGGGAAGCGGTCCTGTCATTCTTGAGAACGTCCGACATGGTGACGTGCTCAAGTGGCGGATCGAGTCCTCCAAAGTCCAGATCTGAGGCCAGGAAATCAATATCATCGTTGTCTGGCATGGTCACCTCCTTGCAGACGCCGGGATTGGCAGTGTTGAGCTTGTCCACAACTATGGGCGCTGCTTCGGAGGCAGAAAGAACATCGAGGGACTGACCCGATTCCACAAAGGAAAAGTCCAGAAGGTCGTCCTCGTCGAAGGAAAGGAACAGATCGTCTTTACCTTCCTCGACTGTTGCAGCTTGTTTCTCTGGGTTCTCTGGAGATACCTGTTTGGCGTGGTCTTTAGAGCAGTCAAGTTTGAGCTCAGATTCGAAGTCCAAATCAGGCTCAGCTCCCCCGAATTCCTCTATGTGGTCTTGCGACCGCTTCGCACGTTTAGCGGCAGGCTCATCGGACTGCTTTTGGAACGTGGCGTCTCCAGAGCTGGAAGTTTTGTGTCTTTCGTGATACGCCTCTACGGCGCTCTTGATCTTCTTTCTTTGATTTTTGTCTTTCATTTCTCTGGTAGTATCACCGCGAGGCTTAGCTGGGGCCTTGCTGTTCGGTTTGCTTTGGGGTTTCTGGCCGGGCCGCAGTTTTGGTTGCATCGGCGCCAAAAATGTTATCTTCTTCTGCCCTTTCTCCTCCTCTCTGACCTTGGTTTCTGCTTTTGATCGACGTTTCGGCTTGGCCACACCCTCTTTGCAACATTTGTGCTTACAATTCTTGTCCCGCTCATTGCAGTCGTGCTGGCAAGTCCACCGTCCATTTGGCAGTTGACTAGGCTCTCGATACACTGAAGCATCGGCGTCTTCGTTATGATAGTGCTCCGTCGACTTGCTTTTCCTATTGTCTGTTTCGAGGATGGCATCGATATCTTCAATGACTTCAATCCTGCTGCCGGTGGCGTCAATGGCCAGGAGATCTTGGTCTTCGATTCCCCCGTCATCGAACTCGTCGACGCAGCAACTGGACACCGGAGCTTGGCGAACGACTGTCTTCGTGCCGTCAGTTGAATCGTTCGTGCCGTCAGTTGAATCGTTCGTGCCGTCAGTTGAATCGTTTTGGTGTGGTTGCTTCGGATATGCAGAGACCGGAATGTCCAACAGATTCAACTCGGCATATTTGCTAGTCCCCGCGACATTATCACACATCACATAACAACTGACATGGTTGGTCGGTTTGGTAAGCCGTAAATTCAATTGGACCAATTCCCCGTGCTCCAATTTCTTTGGCCTAAATCTCCGGAATTCAAGGAGAGTCCCATTTGAGTCTTCAGCCAGGAAGCACACAGAAAAGGGCTTCTTGTTGAAGATCTGTGGTGGCACTGGGTTCAGAAAGCCAATCTCGGCAACAATTTTAACCGTTGCACCCTGACCGTGTCGAATATTTCTGCCAGTCTCTTTCACAGACACCCTTAGATTGGGAAACGACTCCAACTTCTTCAACAACTGATGGCCAAACGGCGGATTTTTGCCAAGCACCAGTTCGATACGGGCTGGCTCTGTGTTCAGCAGTGAGTCCATACTATAGATGGACGATGCCGCCAACTTTCGAACCGCGACCTCACCAAGGCCTTCAACTTGTCTTAGTTGACTAGCCGTGTTGTCCCAGACGTGCGCCGCAAGGCTGCGACCGAGCTCAAGGGCATTTCGCGCTGATATGGCGTCTTGTAACTGAATCTGGCAATCAATGAGGCATCGAATAAGCCTATTGGCATGCGCGAAGATATTTGACCTGTCAATCCGGTATTGGCTAAGGTGTTTCTTGTGGCTCTCTCCGTCTGGCAGAGCGACACTGCCCATCTCAGCTTGCATGACTAACGAGATTTTATGTGAAGGTAGAGCGACGTCGACCTTGATGGGAAATTTGATCTCCGGAGCCTTGTTGATCTCCTTGTAGAAGGACTTCTCGCCAGCCTGCATTCGTAGACCTCGGAATTCTCGTGCTTGAGCTAAGAGCAAGAGCTGCCATCGTCAGTGAGATAAAGCAGCATCTGCAAGATCGAACATACAAGTTCGGACGTTTTCGCTTTTGGAGGCAGCTTGATGAAAGACTTCATAGTATCGAAGTTGACGCAATACCGTGCCATTGCTTCCCCGAACATAGTCGGAGTCAGTCGCTCCTTTTCTTCCACAATTCCGGCGCCCACCAGAAGATCTATGTCCTTCTTACACAATTGCTCTAGGATCTCATCATCGGTACTGTCGTCCACGCCTTCTCGGAACTGGTAATGAGAAGGATTCTTCCTCAGACGGACGTACAAGAACGTGCTTGCGAGCCACTGCTTTGCTGTAGCGACGTCGCGCACAGTCCCAAGGACGATCTCTGCATTCAGATGCTCGATCAGATTCTGGTGGAGGCAGCTCTCCAAGAGCTCCTCTCCAGAGACCATCTTCTCATATCGAGAGACTTTCTCTTGGCGGCACAAAATAACCGCACAGGACGAGGATTCAAATTGAGGTCTTCCAGCTCTGCCCAGCATTTGCATGACCTCAAGGTCTGCATACTCTTTCAGACCACTGTCGGTCCAGGCGCAAGTTCCTTTCAGGATAACAAGATAGCATGGTAAATTCACGCCCACTGCCAAGGTGGAGGTGCTGCAGATGATATTGATTTGTCCATTGAGAAAAGCTTCTTCAATTGTGCGGCGATCTGCTACGCTGAGGCCACCGTGATGGAAGGCAACTCCGGCCTCAGCGGTAGCTGTGATATTGTCAATTTAAGAACAGTAGTTGTCTTGGTGGCATACCTCTGAGTTCTGCGTTCGCTAAAGAGAGCTGTCTGTCTGGGCCCTTCCATAGTCGACGCATGGGATGCGAAGATGACCACTTGTCTGCTAGACTTTCGGCAGTGTTCACTGAGGCTCTCCGAGTGGAACAGAAGACCATGACAGGTTTTCCACGTCCGTGGTTTGCGATAATCTTGGGAATCCTGTCCCGAGTCAGCCTCCCCCTTGGAGTCAGGTATTCAAGCGTGCACCAACTGTTCAGTCAGCATGGACTCGAATGCAAAGTCGTTGCTTCTAGTTTCAAAACCATAGACATGCTTCCGGAGCTGAACAGGACGAAAGTTTTCGCCAAATACTTCCCTACGTGCGGGAAGATGCTGCATCGTCGAGTTTTTGCCCAGCCATATTGCGATGTCTTCAGAGTTCGGTACCGTGGCGGACAAGGCGACAAATCTGATGGAGCTGGCGACCGATTTCATTCGGGACACAACGGCTTCCAATGTAGCACCACGTTCGTCCTTGAGAATATGAACCTCATCGACAAGAAACAGCCTGACAAGTTGCATAAGTCTGGCGTGATCTTGCCATTTCCGAGTGATGCTGTCCCATTTTTCGGGAGTAGTGATGATAATGCTTGCTTTCTGAACATCTCGTAGATGGGCCAAGTCTGTGTCACCAGTGAGCTCAGCACAGTCTAGATTCAAAACGCCGAACTTCTTCTGCCAGTCGTTGTATCTTTCTGCGCACAATGACTTTGTTGGAGCTTGATAGATAACCTTGAAGTCTTGACCTTTGCACTCAGCTACCAGTCTGCAGATGGCGAACTCCATGATGACTGTCTTTCCGCTGCCCGTTGGAGCCGACACCACGAGATTGTCGTCAGTCTCGAAGGCACTAGCAAAGCATTTGGACTGGACCGCATTGAAGATGTCAAATTTGAAGACCGCTCGAAGCTGATCTGGAAGTGCTGTAGCTGGCACCAGCGTGATACCTTGGACAACAGGCGGCGATCCAGCAGGCAGCCTGGCCTCAGATATCCTCTGAACGGCATCTCTGGGCACCACAGAAGTCACTCTTGCTTGAGGATCGAAGTCATCATGTGGAGCGTCCTCGGGCGTCATGTCGGCGACGGTTTTAAGAGGTCGAGCGGCTTTGGCCCTTTGACGATACTGAAGTGCTGACACCGTGGGGCTGGTGATAGGTCCACTTGGTGAGGAGCTAGTTGGTGGAAGCATTGTATTGTCAAGTAAATCATCTGCTGACATGATGAGCTTCGGACTTTTTTTTCTCGAGCTCCTCAATTCACCTTGAAAGAATCTCCTCGTCGTGCCAGTCATCAATGGAGTGATAGGGTGGCGAGGAAGTGAGATTGGAGCGGGACGCGTTCGTACTGGATGCCTGTGGTCACCTTGGCTTTCTCGGAGGAGCTGTCTGTCTGATGACATGTCAGTCTCAAGTGCTCGGAAGATGCTATACTCGACCCACCAAAGTCGTCCAAAGTCATCTCATTTTTAGGCGACGGGGGCTCGAACAGAGGACTCTGAGTTGACCCAGATCCAGCAAAGAATGGTGAACACTGCGGGAGGACGCTAGAATAGGACGCATGGGTGTTCGAGCCGAATTGGGAGGGGCGAGAACTGTAGAGGGCGTGTGCCTCACGGGTGGAAGCAAGAAGGGAATTCCGATGGTAGTTTGCCGGAAAGCGTCTTGCGTTCTCCATGGCATTGGTAGAGGGTCATGCATGTAGCGGGACACAGAATGAGGGTGGAAGTAGGACAAAGGCATCAGAGCAAGGGAGATTGTCAACCAAACTGGAAAAAGTGTTGCATGAAGGCGACGTGCAGGTGAGGGCGTCGTAGAGGGAAGCCACGACCGGACTGTAATGGCGAGGACGTCACGTGCCAGCTTTGCCCCTTGACATTGAATTCACTTTCACCTCTCCCTCGTCGCATGGTAGAAGGGCCCTTCCACCACTTACGGTTCTCTGCTATGTCCAAAGAGTGTTTTCATCTCGGGCTCCCTGGCAGCCCTTGCACCTCCTGCTCAGGGTGTTTCCGTGCCGCTCTAGGCTTGTAGCATCAATCCATCATCATGTCCCGATGTTGATGTCATGTCCAGTCGTAAGCATTAGTTCTGACTAAGGGCTTGGCTCAGTCGTGATGCTTTGTGAAATAGCCGAGAGCTTCCTTATTTCTCTTTTTGTGGCTGGGTGAACCAGGCCTCGAAGTGGCCAAAGCCGTCTCCTCTTGAAGCAAAGGAGTCTTTGGAATCTGGATTGACATGTCGTTTAGCCCGGCCGAACCATTGAGAGCTGCTTTATCGTCTTCGTTGAGAGTGATCGCCGGGGTTCGCAGCTGCCGGGCTTCCTCAGAATTGTAAACCCAAGTCGCGAGGAGGACTATCGATGCCCCAATCAAAAACTGCAAGCCATTAGTAACTGTAGCCATGGACTTCAGAAGAATACACGTACATGACCAGTCATGGCGAAGTCAAAAAACATGAAGCTTGCCAGACTGCTGAGAACCATGCTGATGCTAACAGCAAAGTTCTTCGAGATGTTGTCGGCGTAAAAGATGCAGAACGCCGCCACGATGCCACCAAAAGACTGAATCGCAATGGATAGCGCAACCACCCAATTGTAGCCCGCAAAGAAGCCATACTTGGCTACTGTCTCGCCATCGAGAAATAGAATGCCGACGAAGAACGCCGGAAAGAGTGAGTATGTCGATAGTTGTACGTTCCGAATCCAGAGAGATGTCGGCCTGGGGGACTCTTTGATGACCTTTTCAAAATAGACTCCCGCAAGACCTGAGCATATGCAAACCCCAAGCACGGCAAATAAACCCACAGAAGCGTCCATGCCTGGGTTGTAGAGGGCGAGCTCATCTTCTTCGATGCCTTCATACGTGGCTGATCGCTTCTTGAGGTGCGCACCATGATCTCGCCGCCCAAAATGCTCGCTTAGGGGGTTGAATGATCGCGGCACGTAGATGTGGGTATGGTGGCTCGAAGCCAGGGATGTCGACGAGTCATGAGGAAGAGAGACGATTGCAACTCCCAGCATGAGTAGTATCAGAGATAACCATTGTCGTCCCGAGATTGTTCTTCGCAGAAGCATGACGCTGAAGACAGCTGTAGCAATGATCTTGAACTGGTATGTGACGTGGAACGTCGCCGCGTCGAGATTTGAGATGCCAACGTATTGTAGGCTGTTCGCGAGGGTGTAGAGCCCAGCCGGAAAGGCCATCTTCCAGCTGTCGCCAGCGAAGACTGCGCTGCCCAAAGTGCCGAGAAGAGACGTTGCGGGTGTGGATCGAGGAGCTGATAGAGAGATTTCGTATAGGGATATCGTGAGGCATACTGCCAATTTGAGGACTTCGACCAAGAAGACGGCGGTCGAAGGAAGATAACGCTGTCCGTCAACTGTCGGCATCACGCGAGAGTAATGAAGGAGCTGTCGCACAGGTTAGTCCGCGATCCTGGACGATGCTCCAGATACGCACCAATATAAAGGTAGAAAATTGGACTGTCAGCTATTCGCGCGTCAGTCTGCTTGCAGCCGCATGGCCCTCGAGGAACTTCTTACAATGCTTAGGGAGAGCTTCCGTAATGATACACCCATGACCTTGGGCAGGTTGCCCGGCCTTTCGCCACCCATGGCGCTCAAGGCGGTAGCAATACAGGCCTAAGTATGCAGATTCGACAATACAACGCCGAAGACGCTCTGCGCCAGGCAGGGCAATCCGTCATCTAGAGGATGCAACGAATAAGTTGAAGAAGGAGCGGACAGGGTCTAGGGATTGCCAGAGGTAGTTGATCTCCTTCTCGCACGTTGAACCCGTGGGGAGTAGCGATACAGGGAATGAAGTGGAATGAGCATAAGGTCACCAGACACGCCAGCAGAAATGAATGACTTGGTCAGTAGTTTGTGTGGCAGGCAATACTCTCCGTAGAGGTGGACGGGAAACTGTTGGCGAAGGTGGAATTGTTCATGCCGCGTCGATTCGCCCGGCGTGTCGCGAACCTCGCCAGATTCGCTGCTTGGCCCTGCGTCATGCGGTCCCGGCTTTCCAACTTTTCGCTTGTTCCTGTCTGTGGCTGTCGTGCCCGTTTAGGGCGGTGAGCGTCCAAACAGAGGGTCCGGGAGCGCCGGAGCATCGAAACGGGCTTGGTGAGCCCCATCAACCTCGCCTATGCGCCAAAACTGAGAACCCCAAGTTTCGGCTGAGGAGGCCAGGGAGGCTCAGGGAGCCGCTTCCATCCTCCAGCCTCGCCAGCCAGAGCCTCGAGGCTCAAATCTCAGCACCTAACGTCCCATCACTGCGATGCCCGACAGTTCACGGACGGACACATAAACAGACGCACAGGCGGCAGTCAAAGTGGTAATGGGTATCAGTATTCTACCAGAGCAGATTTCTTGGCCCTTGATATATTCGGCCTTCGCTGAGCTTCCGAGTCCGTTATTGTACAATTACCCAGCTCATAAGTGCCCTTCGTCATGGATAGATCATAGTCAGACCCAACGGAAATGCCTAATGTACAAATATGCCCCCGCTAATCAGAAAGTCGTCACCAACGGCCCTAGTCGAAATCCGGGAGTACATGACAACCAAATGCAATCAAGCGTCAACTGTCATAAAGGAGCAGTCAGTGCGCCGTGGCAACTTTCATCCAGCCGTTGTAAGGCCAGTCGATGAAGTCCTGCGAAGAGACCTCTTCCCTCCTCGGCGGTGCCTGTAGTCTTTCCAAAGTAGCCAGGTACTGTCTCTCCTTCCGACTTCGGGAGTCGTCTCTCGAACTAGTCGTCGACGTCGAAAAGAAGGTCGAGCGGCTCATCCTGTTGGGACCATCGGTGCGCGGTTGAAGGAATCCTGACGGCGAAGGGGCGAATGAGGACGCAATTTCGGTGTCAGGAGCGACAGGTGTGCCAGTGTGGAAACTGGTAATCGAGTATCTCACACTGGGATCGTTGGAGAGCCCGGTCTGGAAGGTTGTGCAGGAAGCCTGATCAAAGTTTGTGTCGGAAGAAGGGGATTGTACCCGTTCGAGCATCCGACCTTGCGTCGTGAACTGTATATCAAGCGCAGGTGAGCTCCTTGGGCCCTGCTGCTTGCGTTTCAACGGTTTTCGATCCGTGTTCATGAGTGCCTGTATTCGTGATTCCGTGCTGGCGCTGTACGACTTGCCCTGAACAGCCTTCTTGCTCCTTATAGCAGCCAAGAGAGACTCTTCCTGCTTTGTCACGCTCATCAATCTTCTACTCTCAATGCTCGCGGTATCCGAAAGCGGGATGTCGGGGAAAGATGCACGACGAAAAGATGACTGGTCCGTGGTGGGTGTGGGAGGAAATGAAGTGAGTAGATCGTCTTCCTCCGGCATCGGATTCGATGAGAGGTCCAGGCACGAGTAATACGTCGATCGGGGGTCCCGTCGCCTGTTGGGTGGTTTCATTGATTCCCCAACATCGCGCCCATGCTGAGGAGCGCGAACACGTTTCAGACTGGGCGTAGCTTTGACCGAAGTATTCTGTTTCGTGCTGATAGTTTTAGCCGTGCCAACCTCGATATCCGATTCACCCAAGGATTCGACGGCTATGCTGTCTCGTATTTCCGGGAGCGGCATACTCGGAGATTTTATAGTGGGTGCCAGTGGTTCATCCTCGTCAGAGGAGGACAAGTCCAGAACGCTCGTTTGATGCAGGTCAGTCGAGCCCAGCGAACCTGCTTTTCCCTTTGGCGAGGTCAAGTGAGACTCATTGGGAGACAGTGTAGATCTAGACGACTTGGCGTTGAGTGTCGACACCCGAGGTGGTATGACTGAAACGGGTAATATGTGGCTTGACTCTGTCCTGGAGCTTGTGCTTCGAGCTGGGTGATCCAAAGCACGAGGGGTTGTACAAGGTTCGTCCACTGCGACCATTCCTATCCTCCCACCTTCGAAAGCCATCTCAAATCCTGCCACGAAGCTAGGCTGGAGTGCGGGTTCGTCGACACTTTCATCGTCACTGCTATCACCTTCCAACCCATCGAACCAATGCTTTGCGCCTGCTTTCGGCCGTCTGATATTTATTTTGTATTGGTGTGCTTCTTGCTGGGAAGCGAGCCGAACAGAGGACTTCGGCTTCTCCGGACTGATGAGGGTTGTTGGTCGATCAGAATTGAAACGTACGCCTTTCTTGAGTTTGGACGGGGGATTGGAGTGCACTGAGCCGGAATCTGCCCCTCGATCCGATGACCTTAGAGACCGTTGATTACTCAATCGCATCTTGCCGGCCGATTCTGGTGATTCTGGCACAGCTTGCGTAGGTGCCTTCTCTCCAGCCTTGCTTCCGTGCCTAGAGAGACGAAAGAACTTCAATCGCCGAATCGGGTCCGCGTCCGTTGTTGTGGGCTTGACGACCACAGGAGCACCTTTCCGAAGGGCAAAGTCTCGTCTGGAAGAATCCGATGTCTGTTGGGAAATTGCTAGAGGAGTCTTTTGAGCATCATAAAAGGAGTGAAGTGTTGAGGATGAGCCTTGCGCCTTCAGTCGCTTGGGGTGTGTAGAGCCCGGAACATCCGCTTTGAGCAGGTATTCCTCGTGCAGCAACACTGACGATGCCTTCCCATTCAGATCCCTAGATGTATCGGACTGTTCTGTTGGCGGGTTTGAAGAGCCCAGCTCGGTCGTGGCATCGGAAAATGATAGCGTGGGTAACCGAGCCGTAACGGAAGAGCTAATGCTTTGGTTACGTGCAGTATTCAGATCGGTTTCAGAAATTCCAAGTATGTGATGGACTTTATGCTCCTTCCCTTCTGGCTGCCAGTCCTGTTGCTGAGCACTGGATTTTGTACGCTTTAGAGCAGATGGCAGGCGGAACCTGGAGCCGCTACCCATATCACTTTTGCCTCGGGACTGATGCTGTATGTCTGTTCATGCCGACAACTATACTGTACAGTGCTCCGACGAGTGGCGGTGCTCCAATTTCCCCACGGTTGGCCACCGAACTTAGACTGCGCAGGACGACGTTCTTGGCTGAAAGAAACGATATGGCAGTCTGAGGTAAGCGCAGGCGGCGGAGATGAAGGATATGACGTTCGTAGACAGGTCGTTACGTCGTGAAGTCGGAGGGAAGGGCTGTTCTTTTCCTGTCAACGTGCCTGGGAAGTCATGGTTGAGTCATGTAGGAGAAGCCGACCTGAGTGCGGTTGTGGTGTAAGAAGAACTCGTCTCGGGACAAAGCAGCCCGGTGAAGGAAGCAACATGGGCGGCGAGGGCAACAAAGTGTAGTATGTATGATGAGCACTTAGGTTCCTCGTCTGGGAATCGGTTTTGCAGGTGAGCAGCCCATCAGCGGGTGGTGGACCAGCCGGCTCCTTCTGGCGGGATGACGGGGTGGAGATAGCTCGACAGGCACCACCAAGTAGGCGCTCGGCGTGCTGATGGACTGTCACCGTTGCCCACAAAACGCCCCGGTGTGGATGCTAAAGCGTGTGGGCACCAACCTAGCCATGGGGCCAGGGGTTGTCCTGCCTCGCATAGCATCCCGCACTCGGGAATCGCGTGCAGATGAAAGCAGGTGGAAGTTACAGGAAGGTCGTGATTCGCCTGAAGAGAGAGGGTTTGAGGTAACATGACCGTCTTCTGGCGCAACTTCTCGGCTTCTCTCGCATTTCTGGAACGCCTCTGCCGTCTGCTAGAGCCCGTGGACTCGGGGACTGGTTGCTACTGTGGATGCAGCACTCTCACGTCAAAGCGGACCAGACATGGGGCCATATTCGTCACCTTGAATGTGTCAGGTTGCACACTGCTGCACACTCAAGCACGGCGGTTGATTTCAGGCCCCAACAACGCAGGCTGATCACGGCTTCTTCAGGAAAGAAAGCAGCGGACTACTGTGTATGGGGACGCTTGGGATCTAGCGGGCATTGCGTGCCTGAAAGACGCCAGCAGAAATAGTCAGTGTGGGCGACTCGGTGCTTGACCGCTCCATGCTCGAACTAGCCTAAGTACGGAGTCAGCTAGCTTCCCAATTACTACGAACATTGCTGGCGTAATTACTCCGTACTGGGGTCTTTGCTTGCGTCCTCATCCTCTGCGAGTGGCGCCGGCTCAGGGGCAGGCCAAGGTTTCAATGCTACAGTAAGTACGGAGTACGGAGTACGACTACGAGTACGAGCACTATGGCAAGTTCCAGTGCCAATGCGGTTCAGCCACCACGGCAAGGACTCGCCGAAGCCACGGAAGAACACGCGGGGAGGCGTTGCATAGTTATTCTCCGTGTGGAAGGTGATTGCTGAGTTCGCGATGGAATCAATCTCCACCATGTGGGAGTCGATGACTCGGATCCTAATACAAATGGCTTGCGCAATTCACACGTGTGAATGTCTCAGCCTTTCAGGAACATTGTTGCCATCAGCCTTGAGACTTCTCTACAGAATCAACAGGCTCAGTTCCCATTCCGATTCAGATACACAGCAGGGTCAGCCCAGCTAGCCACGACGTGGTTTCCCTTCTGGCTGCCCATTGCTTGTCGCACCACAACGGCGGCTTCGCATCTCGCAAGGCGCAGCTGACCGGGTATTCCTTTAGGTGGGTAGCGCTCATGTTGTTACAGGCGGTTCTACTCCTGCTCCTTGAGCACAATATTCACCATTTGGCCCATATTTTTGCAACGACCTCCTCAGTCCGCAGTCGTGGTGGATTCGGCGGTGCTGGAATCGGTGCTGTACGGTATATGGTCACGGACTAGGCTTGGTTGTTCGCCCACGCTCATAACGCTGGCTGCAGATGGTGAGTAGTCAACGTTGATCAGCATGCGGGAGATGCTGATCTTTCGTCGGCGTATTGGTGTTGCTGTTCCTGCATTGTCAACTGCCTCCGTGGATAAGTCGCTTGAGACAGGGCGGTATATCCAGCGCACAGTAGGGTCACCGAACTCGTCGTACGATACCATTTCTTCACACCCTTCGGCTCTTGCGAAATCCCGTCCATGAGCGTATGCTTCAAGCGCCTGCATAAGCTCAGTGGAGCGTTTCATTGGATCTTCACCGCCTGGAGAGACTTCATAGAGATGATCTATCGACGCCAAGGCACTCGCACACTTCTCTTTGAGCTGGTGCAGCTCTGGCTGTTTCAGCGGTTGAACCTCGAAAAGTCGTCGCTGCCTACGCAAAAGCAGGTGCTCTTCTACCAGGCGATTAATCACGCGAGTGAAGACGTCTTTGGTCCATCGCACGGGGTTCAGCCGGATATGCAGGAAGTCGTCACCAATTCGCGATCCGGATTTGACCTGAGTTGTCAAGTAGTTGACGGCCCGCCGCAAGAGGACGATGGACAGCGGAGATTCTCGATCTTCTGGCTTCCCTCCGGACAACAGGCAGGTATAGCAGAAACGCTCATCAGCAGCGATAGCTGTGGGAGATGTTCCGTCATATCCATAGCATTCTCTATGTTGCCATCCGTCGCATACTTCGCAATATAGCTAATCAAGTCAGCCCAGTGAATAGCACCCGATCAGAGATTCCCTTACCATTTCCTTGTCTTGCTTCGGACTTCCACATTCACAGCTGATATCAGTCGATCGGCAGATCCTCTTGATCTTTCCTTCGGCGAGTAAGTCTCCGTCAAAGATAGCTCCTCCACCACCTGCCATCTCTTTCTGGACTGCGTAGCAGTGTACTAGAAGCTCCGCTAGCTTCGTCACGGCGAGACGGGCTCCTACCACCTTCGGCGAGCTCCGTGTCATGGCTGTGAACTCAAGTGGCGAGTCCTTGGCGCCGGCCGTATCCAGCTGAGGAAAGCTCATGTTTCCTAGGCTTCGAGGACTGTTGAGCGCACTTGCTCCGGTTGCACCTGCCATGATACCCCCTTCAGAGTTTTGTACGCCGTTCCGTTTCTCACGCCTGCTGTCGGGAATTGGGGCATCGGCGCGGCGTTTAATCGCAGGTGTCGATTCTTTCAGCGTCGAGAGCAGATTGTTGCTGTGACTGGATGAAGTCTTTTGCATCGCTTGAAGTTGCTTGCTCATCTCGGTATCCTGGAGGTCGACGGACGAGTCCTGAGCTTCCGACTCAGCCGTACGGACAGTGACACGGATCTGGTAGTGACCTGATTCCAGCACGCCAACGACATCCTCTGTGCCTCCCCCTAGCGACCCGCATACTACTTCGGCATCCACCTCTTGGAAGTCGTTCTTGTCCACGAATCCTGGCGGCTGATACAGGGTGGGGCACGACTTGTTGTAAGCAAGGCTCATTCCCAGTCTGCGGCGGGCTGTCAACAGTCAACGAAGTGAACCAGCTGCAGGGCTCGCTATGCAAACCTGGAAGACGAGGTAGGTCGCGCAGTGATCGGAGCAATGCTCGGATGCTCGCCTTGAAGCTCTTGTGGACGTTTTCCAGGGTGAACGTGTGATTCGTGGGGTTCACTTGAACGCTGCTGACGCGCCCCTTTTCATAAGCAAAGACGAAATGATAGTTCTCCAGGACTGAAAGTTGGCCCTGTGAGGACCGTGTCACAAAGACCTGGAGATCCTGCAGGTAACCACGTTCCAGAGCGTCGAAGACTCCTTGCTCCTAGACGCTCGTCAGCAACAGAAAAGAGAGTATGAATATCCACACCTACAAGCATTTCAAGTAGCTGGTCAGCGCGTCGATGACCGCCAGGGACGAGGACTTTGACTTCTTGACCCTCGCCGGCCTCTTGCTGGGTGACAGCTTGAAAAGACGAATACAATGCTTTTGCATTCTGCTCATCGTCAAATACGATTTCGTCAATACGTCGAGTGCAGAAACACGGTGCTGTCCATGGGATGAGCTCTCTTGCATGAGCGATACACGCCAGTGCAGCATTGAGGAATATCTGAACCAAGGCAAGGCTTTGGTCCTGGGAAAGCAGCCGCTCGGACGGCTGAGCCAGAAGCAGTCGCTGTGCCATCATGAGAAGGAGTTGTATGGCATCTGCACTTGAGATAAATTGTAGACGACTAATGCAAGTGAAGCCAAAGTGAAGGAAAACTACCGGTGGAGTGTCGGTTTCCTCGACCTGAGCATGATAACAAGAAACCACAATCTCACCATGACCTCTGCAACACCGTCTGAAGCCGAGTCTTCAGCAGCTTAATAAGACCTAGCCATCTCAAGCACTCGTGTTGACTGGAGTATTTCATGAGACTTGCCATGACCCGCATCGTCTGGCTCAACCGCAGACGTTCGGGGCAAGTAGTCCCCTTCCTAAGCTTTCGCTCGGTGTTCGTTCTTGTCGCCTACGCCATTACTCCAACTTCGAATAATGGTAGAGGAAGTATTAGAGTATCTGCGACGGCGAAGCGGACACTCGCTCCCCAGAACTCGTTACATAGTAGACTGAATCCGATACACCATACGTGGACGAGCAGTCTGCCCTGCTGTGGCAGGATCGGCTTTGCTTGCTCGTTGGACGCATCGAAGTACCTAGGTAGGCAGAACGCTGACGTCGCCCCTAGTGGTAAGTACACAAGGCTTCGAGGCAGCTTGGTCATCTGGTGGCAAAGCGTAAAGGAAAACCTTTTGTTGCGGCGGTCCGGAAAGCCACATCTTGCCTGATGCCAGTGGCGCGGCGAGTGGCAGCCAACCACGCCTCAAGGCTCCCGGGAAGCGCGGTTGCGTCTTCTCCGCCTCCATCACACCAAGTAGAGGGAGCCGCTCTCGCCGACGGCTGGATTGGGTTGGTCCGCCCACGCTCCCACCCTCAGTCTCCGGCACACTGGCATACCAAACACCACATTGTTTGACGGCCCAGATTCACTGTACTTGTCCGCCCTTCCTTCGAGTCCCCGCTACCACAGTGAAGCGGCAAAGAAGGGTCCAGCACGAGCTTTTGCGGATTTGTACATTCAATATTCGCACGAATCATTTGTCCTCCACTTGCAAGAGCCTAACCGAGGGCACGCACGCACGCCCGCACATACGAGCCGGCTTCAACAAACCGAACCTACAAATCAACGCTTTCGCTCGTTACCAAAACTCCACAACCATTGACACGGGTGAAGAAGAGATCATTCTATCATACTCACTTCCTATCGCTAGACTCAAACCCATCTTGCTCTTTCGGATACACGACGCGTCTCTCCGATTACCCTGCCAGATGATCTTCGACCAAAAGGCGATACGGTGACAGCGCCAGTGGGAATTGTAATGGAGGACGAAGAAATGATGGAGGAGGGCCGGCACGACCATTATCGTCCTCGGCCCAGAAGCCATAGATTGGGGAAACGTCCACGAAGCACAGAGAACTACATACATGGCACGATGACTACGGACGCGAATGCCCTACTGGGCCAGTTCTCGTTTGCACCAGCTACGCAAACCACCGTCGTGACTACAACCACAACCACAACCACAAAATTCCCTCCGTTGCGTATGCGGCAACCGCGTCGGATGCAGGATTTGGACCTCAAGCAATACCCCCTCGCAGCTACCCCCACACCACCGAGTCTGAGAAAGATACACTTCGAAATAGGTGGGAAGCAGACGATTTTTCACGAAGCAGAAGACACGACGCTTGCATTGGAGCAGTTTGAAGAGGAGCAGCGAACGCTGCGGAACGTGCACGGGACGGTTGAGACTGTGGAGACCTTTCAACCATGGACAGATGCTCCCCACAATGGCTCAATCGTTGGTGCTCTACAACGAAGACCACTGAGAAGGCCTGCTTCACCCGAGTCCATCACGGACAATGAAGAGCATGTACAACCGCAGACAGCATCTTTCGCAGCACACCGTTCCGTTTCGACCACGAGTCATCATCGCTTTTCTCTTGGGTCGAGTTCTCGGTTCCACGTCACGAACCCGGTCACCCCAGACAGCGGTCCGAAACCTTGTGGTGGAAGCAGTAGGCGGTTGACACGAGACATACCTAATCTGAGAGGCAGCACCACTCTGTTACCTTCGCCGAGCATAGATCAGCAGCCTACATTCCAGCATGCACCACCCTTGTCGCCAAAGCCCAGTCAGCAAAGTGGACTGTCGGTAGACAATGGAGCAGTCTCGGTAGCCGACCGTGCTCAGCGCAATCGGTGGGCCCCTCGAGATCCCTCGCAGGATACTGCAGTGCCGACCCCGCCCATTGACGAAGAGGCTGAGTTGTCTGCAGCAGGGCCTCTGGGTAGACCTGCTTTGTCCTCGGTGCCAGCTCGACTACATGTTGCAGAAAGTCCGTCAGGGCAGGACGGAAGTCTTCCTAGTCCGAGCCTCTCTCCCGTTACGGCTGCGGCAACGCTACAGCATGCTGGTTATTTCGCAGATGTGGATTCGAATTCTGAGATCGCCTCCCAATATGAGGATGTGCAAAGACCTGCTATGTTGATACAGCGGCGATCGCCCGATCCATTCAGCTTGGGTCTAACTGGTAAACCTCGCGCACCACTACACGATAATAGACACCTCTCGCGCTTCAGCAGCGGCTCGATTGCGGAAATCCCGGCGCTCATTGACTACTTCGAACTCATCCCAGACGAGATGAAAAGTTATGTGATGCACCAGCTGCTGCGACGTTGTCCTAAGCCCACGCTGCAGGTGATCGCAGATGCGGTCAACCCTGCCCTGAAATGCGATTTCCTTGCCATCCTGCCGCCCGAACTAGCTCTCAACATCGTCCGATTTCTCGACCTCAGAAGTTTATGCAAGGCAGCACAGGTGTCGAAGAAGTGGCGACAGATCATCAACAGCGATGAGAGAACCTGGAAGGAACTGTTCGAAGCTGACGGCTTTAGTTTACCGGAAGGAGAACTACACCAAGCCATCATGCAAGGCTGGGGTTGGCAAGACCCTTATGGCGCGTTTGGATATGAGGAAGACCTAAGCTACACAAATAAATCCGAGACAGAGGCGATCGCATCTCCTCCTTCGGCGTCACAACCTCGCAGTCGATACGAGGGGATCCTGCGACGATCCAAGCGGAAGGCCTCCACAATACTCTCCAATCGCCATAAGCAGATCAAGCGGAGGAACAAATCCCGACAAGACATGATCGACGTCACATCTGCTGACTGGATGAACCAAGTGTCTTCGGCAGAAGGCCCTTATAATGCGGCTAATGCGGCAATTCTGGCAGTACCTCACCCGAACGTCCCCTTCCCCAGCCTGCGGGGTCTGCATCTCTACAAATCTCTGTATCGTAGGCACTATCTCATCAGGAAAAACTGGATGTTCGAAGATACGAAGCCTCAGCACATCGCGGCCCACGCGCACGACACGCACGTGGTTACTTGCCTGCAGTTTGACACGGACAAAATCTTGACCGGAAGCGATGACAACAACATTAACGTCTACGAGACCAAGACTGGTGTCTTGCGAGCTGTGCTCTCTGGACACGAAGGCGGCGTTTGGGCTCTACAGTATGAAGGGAACACACTTGTTTCGGGATCCACTGATCGGTCAGTCCGTGTCTGGGATATTGCAGAGGCTCGCGAGACTCATGTCTTTCGCGGCCACAACTCGACAGTGCGATGCCTACAAATTGTGTTTCCCGTGAAGGTCGGCGAGACTGCAGATGGCAAGCCGATTATGATGCCCAAGCAACCCTTGATCATCACCGGCTCTCGTGATTCAACCTTGAGAGTGTGGAAGCTTCCGAAGCCGGGCGATCCATCCTTCATCCAGACCGAAAATGAGGCTGATGCCGATGATTGCCCCTATTTTGTCCGGACGTTAAGCGGTCATCAGCATTCTGTCCGTGCCCTTGCGGCCCATTGTGATACGTTGGTCAGCGGAAGTTACGATTGCATGGTTCGAGTGTGGAAGATCTCGACAGGCGAGACCACTCATCGCTTGATAGGCCACGCACAGAAAGTCTACAGTGTGGTCCTGGACCACGAACGAAATCGATGCATAAGCGGCTCGATGGACAACATGGTTCGGATCTGGGACCTCAACACTGGCTCGCTTAAGTACATGCTGGAAGGCCACACGTCTCTTGTCGGCTTGCTTGATTTAAATTGCGACAGGCTTGTCTCTGCGGCAGCAGACTCGACTCTCAGGATCTGGGATCCGGAAACTGGACAGTGCAAAGCCACCTTGAGCGCCCACACAGGCGCAATCACATGCTTCAAGCATGACCACCAGAAAGTCATCTCTGGCTCGGATAGGAACCTCAAATTGTGGAACATCAAGACTGGCGAGTGTATCAAGGATCTCCTTTCTGACCTTAGCGGTGTCTGGCAAGTGAGGTTTGATGAGAGACGCTGCGTTGCAGCGGTACAGCGAGATGGACTAACATACGTCGAGGTGAGTTACGCAACCAAGTCTTTGGGAACCACATTCACTGATTGCTTTCATTGCAGATTCTCGATTACGGCGCTGCCCGTGATGGTGTGCCCGAGCGTGATCTCGGCCGACGAATACTTGTTGACGCCAATGGCAAGGAAGAACGTAATGACGACGGCGAATTTCTAGAACTTGAAAGCAGCAACGACGCATGAACCCGATCGAAAATGCCACGACTCTCTGTTTCGGGAGCGAGATACCCTCTTGTTGATAGTCACGAATTGGAGGTCATGTTTTCTGCTAGCATGTTGGGAGGACCACGAAAGTTGCCTTCTGTGATGAACTACATCTCGATCCGGCTTACAGTATTTCTGCCAATCATCCTGCTCCCAACTCGGCTTGCAATAGAGGCCTGTTGGGCGATGCCGGCATTGGGCGTTGGGTGTTGGGCATTGGACATTATGCATTGCGGGCCTTCTGTTTCCTCGAACGCGAGAGGACGGTTCATTGCTTCTGGCTCAGCATCAGCACCGTGTTGGGCCAATCTAGGAACGCAGGTACTGTGCTGTTTTTGACGAGCAATGTTGGGATGAGATCCTTGCCTACTCCCGAGTGGGAGAATCTTTTGCACTGGGGTCCGATACACGCATGACACATACATACCTACGTTGTTCGATGAACATGATACTTACGACGTGCAAAGATACCTACCTAAGTATGAGACAACGTATACTGTTGCTTCGGTGTCTGCTGGGTGGCTACTTCGTTCTCCCGTTACATATGCTTGTTCCCTTGGTGGTCTGGTCGCCACACTACGTACTGTACCTTCAGACCCGTCCTGAATTGGGCCTACAATACGGAGTAGGGTACATGGGTACCAGGTACTGTTAGTTATGCTTGCTCATCTGCGTGTCTGTACGTAGATGTGTACGCCATGTACCATCCACACCTTTGCGGTTACGACCAGAGAGGAATGAATATAGCACGCACGAACACCTGATACGGGATGCCACATCTGGTATGTGGTAATCGTGTGCAATCAGTGATAGATACACGGGTATACATATTGCATTACTACAGTACCTAGGTAGGTGGACGAGAGTTACACTTTTCTGCACTCCCTAGCATACTTACTGTATTGCGCCCAGTTGTACGCTACCCTTATCCTACCCTACATTCCATTCCGTTATACTATCCTATCCTACAGTATCCTGACGTCCCCTACCGCTTCCGCCTCGCTTTCTGCCCCTGCGCGGGTTCCGCGAACATAGACTCAAATGCGTCAATGCCTCGGGACACGCCTTTGCCCACGATGGCCGGTTGCTTTGGCGGGTGAGCCGGTATCTGATCATCACTGGTTCCGGCGGACTTTCTGCGTCGTCGACCACCACCACCACCACCACCACCTGAGCTTTGAGATTGCTTCGTCGACTGGGCTTTGGTCTGTTTCTGCTTGGGTGGGGGTTCGGCGAACATGGCTTCGAAGGCATCCAGGCCGAGGGAGACGCCTTTGCCTGTCAGAGGTGGTTGTTGCTGTTGTGGTTGGTGTGGTTGTGGTCCTCCTGAGGCGGGATTGCGACTGGATTGCGGCGTTGGTGCTGCGTTCTTTTGCTGCATTTGACGCGGGCTTTGTTCCTGTGCACGTTGTGGAGAGAGCTCGGCGTACAGGCTTTCAAAGGCGTCGATGCCTTGGTTGCCTTGGGCCATGCCTCTGGGTCGGGCTCGGGTAGGCCTCTGGGTGATTCGCTCGGTGGACGGACGCATGGGTGGACGGGGTGGTGTCAGGTCTCTCGCTTCTGGTGAGGTGGGCGCATGCATGTGCTTTTGCAGTTCTTGGTAGGCCGAGTCGAGCTGATCCTGCATATTTGCAGGGGCCTTCCATCTGGCTGTTCCGGGGGCGTCCGAGGTCAAGGGGTGAAACACTCGAGGAGGGTTGCGGTTGGGTTGGGATGTGACCGAAGAGCCGGCCTCTGGACCACCAGTGCCCAGGATCTCACGCATGAATTCTCGCAGACCAAGGTTTGGGGGTGATGCCGATTCCGATTCCGATGACGCTGGATCTTCGGTGGTGGAAGTAGTAGTGTCATCGCGCGGCTTCTGAAGAAAGTGTAAGATCTCGGCTTGGATTTTCTCCTGCGGTCGCTGTGTGGCGCTCTTATCGATCACTTTGTGCACGGCGGCCTTGTCCATGGCGTACCACTCCAGGTTTGCGGCCTTGAGGATGGCCCACTGGAGGTTCCTGATGCCGAAACCATCGTCTTTGGGTTTTGTCCCCGCGGCTTCTTGTAGAGAGCCCACGGCAATGATCTCGCCTAACATCAAGGCAGACTTGTCTCGGTTTGCCTGATCTTTCAACCTCTCGAGGACCTCTCGTAGCTCGCTTTCGGATCCACGGCTGCTGCGCAGACGGTCACATTTTGTAGCGACGAGCTGGAAGGGGATGCCGAGCTTCTGGAAGATCTCAAGCATGTGGCGATCCGCATGCATGATCCCGTGCACGCTGTCCACCAGTAGAAATGCCCTCCGTACGTGTCTTCGGGCGTTCAGATACGAGACGATTTGGTCGCCCCATTCGGATCTGCTTCCAAACCCATAGCCGGGCATGTCGACGAGTGTGACTTTTGGTGTCACATCTCCATCCCATCCCTTTACGGCTCCCCCATCCGGCTCTTTCGCTGCCAACCCCCATGCAGCCATTACCTCAGTCATGCCCGGTGTGGTGCTGACTCGATTGAGGTCGTTCAACGTGAGAGCATTGATCAACGTGGATTTGCCAACGTTGGACCGGCCCAGGAAGACGACTTCGGGGACCAGGATTTTCTGGGCTGAGGATTTCTTGGAGCGGCGCCATAGTTCGGATGTCTTCCACTGATCGCCTGTCCATAGTCGCGAAGGCTTGTGGTACTTGAAAAAGTGTGCTGCGGCGGCTAGGTTCTCCTTGGTCGGGGGTTGTGTATCCCAATAACAGGATAGGCCTACGGACTCTGCCGGCGACAAGGAGGATAATCTCCGTCGGCCATTCTGTAGCTCGGCCAGACGCTGTTGGAAGAGGTATCGAGACAGGAAGCGACAATTCAGGCAGGTCGAGGTCTGCATCTGCATGGAAGCTGGGAGGAACAGCAGGCGTTAGTGGTAATGAGCGAGGACTGGGTTTGAATCGACGCGAGAAATTTTGGAAGACTGCGGCGCGTGTCCAGGAAAGATGGATTCCGCCAATCCGGGGCCTTGAAGTGAGGGACGCCTATAAGCCGCATCTTGTTCCGCCAGAGAATGCTCATGAATTATGCCAGAACTCGCTGTGTCTTTATCTCTTGCAGTGTCCAGGCACCACCATGATCAACGCTATTCTGGTCTTTAATAACAACGGGCAGCCTAGACTGACCAAGTTCTACTCCCAGCTTGTGAGAATGAGCCCAGTGATTAACGGCTCAACGGTCGCTGACTCTATCTTCTGTAGGACACGGCTACGCAGCAGTCTCTTCTCTCGCAGATCTTCGCACTGGTGTCGGCTCGTCCAGCGTCCGCCTGCAATTTCCTCCCCCTCCCTCCGTTGTTGGCTCCATCGGGCAACACTACTTCACCAGATGCACCTACCCAGATCACCTATCGTCATTATGCAACGCTCTACTTCATCCTGATATCCACGTCGACCGAGTCACCCTTGGCTCTGCTTGATTTCATCCAAGTCTTCGTTGAGGCGCTCGACAGGCTGTTCGAAAACGTCTGCGAACTTGACTTGATCTTCGGATTTGAAACATTGCACGCCGTACTCAGCGAAATGGTGGTGGGTGGTGTCGTTGTCGAGACGAACCTGGAGAAGATTGTCGACGGTGTCCGAACCAGCGAGGGAACCAAGGGAAAGAGAAAGGCTGTCAACGCGCGCGAGTCTTCTTCCTTTGGTCGAGGTTCTGGGTTTGCCGGTCTCGGCTGGTCTACTGGCACAGGAAGCAGCTGGAGATGACAAGACCGGCCATATGTCTTTTTGATACGGAAACTGCTTTGCTAGATCGTTGGAGACATTCCTCTCTTTCGAAAGCAAACAGCAGGGGTGGTGAGCGAGCTTGCCTTGGCATTCAAACGGAGTCCCTCGTGCGAGGCCATCTTCTGAGTCCGCACTTCGGCAACTTGTGGAAAACGTCCACCAAGAACGACCGTTCACACCGAGTCAGACATGCATCCCTTGTGAGCAGACATGCAAAAGCTGTTCGATGCCCTCAGCAAGATGTCGATGTGCGGGATGCGTCAAGCAATGGGCTTGTGCTGCACAGACCAGGAAACTTTGGGCCAGACGGCGTCTACAGGTTCAATCAGAGATACTGTTCACGTGCGGGCGCGACCATGGCCACTCGCCAGAGTGGTGTAAAGGCGGCTTGACTCCACTTGCTCCCGGCTCGACCCAGGAACACGCAAGGCTCATGGCACGGGCCAATGCGCGCTCCCGTTATCGAGATGCTGGAGTTGGTGTACGGGCGGCCGAGAGAACATATCTCTCAGATCTCATTGTTTCTTATGTGATGTCACGCTTATCGAGCACGGTATTGGAGAACTCAGTGACGACCTGAGTATGGCCTCGAGCAAATCAGGTGGGGGCAGCCGTCCGCATCACAGTCAGATGCAAGGGACATCGAAGGTGCCAGTATGCAGTTCCGAGGGTTAGGATCGATAGAGCATGTTAGCTCTCCCTCTACAGGGTGATATCGAATGGGCGAGGTTGGGTCGAGAATGCTCTATGACCTGGAATGCACCTCGTCCCGGGCGCTTAAGGACAACATCTGAGTGGAAGGTCCCGGCCGTCTGCCCTCGGATCTTGGACGGTTGCGGTTAGATCCGTTTAGCCAGGGACCCCGCCTTTCAGGTACCGGCGAGCAACCAACGGCGATGCCAGCGCTGCGGAGCCGCTAACCAAGAACCATTTCGATGGGAATCGCGTGCTCGCACTTCTCATTCGTCTCTGGCTGTGCTTCACCTGCATACCGCATCCTTCCCTTCACACTCTCCCGCTTCTCACCTCGCACCAATCATGCCCGGAGGCGCCGCGCCCGTCTCCTCCCAGCAACCATGTTCAGGTACATCTACCGCCGTGATCGCTCTTCGCGTGCAACAAGCTGCTTCATGTCTCTCAGGCCAGGGGGTCAGCAGTTTCAGGCGCCTCGGAACTGGATCATGGTGAGAAGCTGATCCATATACAAAGATGAGGTGCTCATCCTCGGATCTGGTCCTGTCCATCTTCATCTTTGTATTGGCAATCGCCCCAGCCAGAGCCCGGCCACATTCCATCTGGGACGTCAACATCGACAACGATCCTGCCCCTCCACCAGATCAAGGGCCACCAATCTCCGTGGGCGCCCTGCGGGATAGATCCAAGCTCAAATACGAAGTCATTGGCATTATTGGAGCTTACGTTGTCTGGCTCATTGTCACGTTTATACTGCTTTTCTTCGTGGGCAAGAAGCTTCGCCGAAGAGTCCAGACGTCCAACCAGTCCTTGAGCATGGAGATCATGAGCAAACCTGCCCCGATAGCCACCCAGGCCGGCAGGTCTGTTGAGCCGCCTTTGAAGAGCCCCGGCAAAATGGCGAGCCTCAGGTCGTGGGCCAGCGGCAAGTCGCATGCATATAAACCGTCCAACATCAGCGTCACGTCGACCATCGACGAGAAAATCCTTCAGGCAGACAAGGCGAAGAACATGGATGAGATGGCCCGGCTGTACGCTGCTGTGATGCAACACGACGAAGAACAGTCTCAAAAAGCCAGAAGCAGCGGGCAGACATCACCTAGGACGCCCAACATCCCGCCCCAGTACAGTGTGCCTCCCACACCGAGGTCCATTGCCCTTCCGCCAACCCCAAAGTCGCCCTACTATCGCCCAGATATCATGGGAACTCTGGCGCCGAGGTCGCCGAGATCTCCTCAATATCCGCCAGAATTCCAGCATCTACGACAACAGGAGTCGGAGGCACAACGCGAGGTCTATACTGAGCCGAAGTCTCCGAGATCCCCAAGGTCTCCAAGATTGGCTCACCCTCTGGCTCCTACTCCTGCTGAAGACCCGCCGACAAGGCTGGCTCACCCTATGGCCCCAACTCCTGCGGAAGACCCGTCGACACGGACAGCGTCGCAAACCAGCTCTCGCAAGAAGGTTTCGCCTCTGTCCTTTATCTCTGGTGAGAAGAGGAGACCTAGCAACATTTCAGTCCGTGGGCAACCTATTTCGCAACCTCTCGGCTCAGCCGCTCTCTCGGATGTATCATACATCGACGAAGGTCAAGCTTCGCCCAGATTTTACAACCCCGGCCCTCCGCCGCCGACTCCGGGCCAGAAGTCCGCGGTGACGGTGACGCAGGACGAGATTGGGCGGCGGACGCCGGGAGCTTTGTCTCTTGCGAACACCATGGGTTCCGGCGGGTCCAGCAGTTCGAACAGCCTCCCATTCAGGCAGTTCTACAACGAGACTTTGAAGAGTGCGCCCGCAACCAAAACGACCTTCGTCGGCGTGCGCGAGAGTATAATGGGCATTCACCCCAAGACCGGGGTGCCTCAGACGCCATACAGTCCTTACATGCCCATGACGCCCATGACGCCCATTACGCCGCGGTCACTCGTGACCAAGAAGGAGATGAAGAAGAACAGGAAGAAGGGAGGCCTGAAGGTGCTCAGTGAGGACGACATGGTCATGAGCGACGAGGACCTCTGGTCGCCCATGAAGTGAGGGGTCCGCTGATGGTCGGTGGCCTGGGCTCACATTCTTCCTACCATTTTCTCATTGTTGTTTCCTTACGAGTATGATCTTGAGCACTGCGCTCGGAAAGAAGGAACGACTGCCAACGTGCAGATGTACATTGACACCGCCTGACAATGGCGAGATAGATATCCCCAACCAGAGATGAAATTGCGATGAATGCCTATACTGTAGGATTTTCACCAGTGCTCACCAATCTTGCGACTGTTGTGAGTGTTCAGTACGGAGTAATACTGTAGAAATGCATGGGCAGGAGGCTGCTTGGGGAGCCTCCATGTCCTGTTGTGTAGCCAATAGGACCAGCCGATGCGTTCCTTGTGAGCGCAGTTTCCACCACGGCAAATACTTTGTACATGTCCCAAGCACTCCCCCCCGGACGTCTCGCGCTCGTGATGTTCGACCTCTCCCTAGTAGCGTTCTGCACGATACTCTTCTGAGATGGCCTCGAGATCTTCGAAATGGACATCTGCAGATGACGACCAAGAATCAGCAGCGGCCCTCGCGCAGCGGAAGAAACAGAAGGAGGAGAGAAGAAGACTCAAGGAAGAGAGAGCCAGGAATGCAACAAAGCAGCTAGCCCCTTCCGCTGACGCCGCCGGCAGCGATGGACGGCCTAGCAAGCGCCAACGAACATCGCCCGAACAAGGAGAAACACTCCCGGCGAACGACCAAAGCAGCGTAGAAGAAGGCGCCAACATCCTCCAGTTTCCCCATCGACAGTTCGGTCCCTGCGCCCACGTCGACCAGTTCGAACTCCTCAACAACATCGAGGAAGGTTCGTACGGCGTGGTCTCGCGAGCCCGGCGAAAGACGACCGGCACCCTTGTGGCCCTGAAGAAGTTGAAGATGGAGCACACGAGCGACGGCTTCCCCGTGACGGGGCTCCGCGAGATCCAAACGCTCCGGGCGTGTCGACACGCCAACATTGTCGAGCTGCAGGAAGTCGTCATGGGCGACGGCGACGGGTCGCTAAAAGAGTAAGTCCGCTACCCTTCCTTCTACCACTTAGAAAAGGCACGGATCTACCCGACGATTTTTAACCATGTGTCGGCCCTTGCCCGGTCTGATTTACAGTGTCAATGTCTACCTCGTTATGGAGTTCCTCGAACACGACCTCGCGACCCTGCTGGGCGACATGGCGGAGCCGTTCCTGCCGTCCGAGATCAAGACGCTGACCCTCCAGATCGTGGCGGGCGTGGAATACCTGCACCGGAACTGGATCCTGCATCGCGACCTGAAGACCTCGAACCTGCTGCTGAACAACCGCGGCGAGGTCAAGCTTGCGGATTTCGGTATGGCAAGATACACATCGCGCCCGCCGCCGCCGAAGCTGACCCAGCTGGTCGTCACGTTGTGGTACCGTGCCCCCGAACTGCTGCTCGGCGCCGAGGACTACCATTTCGAGATCGACATCTGGAGCGTTGGCTGTATCTTTGCCGAGCTGGTCACCAAGGAACCCTTATTTCGGGGCAATAACGAGGTCGGCCAGCTGTCCTCGATTTTTGGCATGTTGGGCCCGCCCACCAAGCACACCTGGCCGGGATACCAGTCCCTGCCGAACGCGAAGGCGCTGCATCCGCTGCTGTCCAACGCCAACGCGAAAGCCAATGCCACAACAACGACCCTCACCGCATCGAAGTTCCCGTATCTCTCCACGTCCGGGCTCCGGCTACTCTCGGCCATGCTCAGCCTCAGCCCGACGTCACGGCCTTCTGCAGCAGAAGTCCTCAACCACGCTTACTTCAAAGAAGACCCACGGCCGAAAGCAAAGGAGATGTTCCCCACGTTTCCGAGCACGGCGAACCAGGAGAAGCGCCGACGGAGAGAAACGCCACAGGCGCCAATCAGAGGGGACGCGCCCAAACTGGATGAACAGGATCTGAAGGGACTCTTCGTGGGACAGGCTGAGGAGGAGCAGGGGGCTGGCTTTGCGCTGAGGTTGGGATAGATATTGCCAGTATGGGTCCCACCACGAACGACTCACGACTCATAACAGCTAGATCATGGTCAGTATCGAAGTCGAAATCAAAAGCGGAATCAGATACCGGCGCAGTCATCAATCATCGAACGTTCGATTCCGTCGCGCTTAGTTTCTGATTTTCGTGGCGTTTCGCTCTGGCTCTCATTGCACTCATCGATCTCTGAACCTCGTGGATAGCATAGCATAGCATAGCATGCATACGTCGGATACCAAGGTCCTCTACCATACCATCTCGCACGGACCGGCTAGTTTGTCTTGCTGGACTTCAATCCCGATCTGGGTCGTAACTCCGCTCTATCGTAGCTCTTAGAAATCTTTCCTTTCTTTCCCTCCCCTTTGCGCTAGCCTTCGACATTCTCGAACGAAAAGCTCGGCTGTCTAGGGTCGGCGGCGTGTCTTTCCTTCCCCTAGGCACTACTGACCCTCGACGTTCTCGAACAAAAAGCTCGGCTGCCCAGGCACGGCGTGCTCGACGACCGAAGGCAGCCCCTCGCGATTATCCTCACCCACTTCCACGACAATCACCTCCCTACAGCCCGTCGTCTTCATCAACCCCTTCCTCATCTCCTGCAGGATCTCGACCTCGTTGAACGGGAGTTTCCGCTCAAAGACGGCCTCCCGGGCCTCCCCCTGGACGAGGAGTCTCTTTTTGAGCCCCTGCACAAAGGGCATTGCTTTCTTCATCTCGCCGCTCTTGCCACCCAGCTTGGCGACTTGGCCATTGATGGCCTTGTCGTCATTCAACGTGCTACTCTCAAACGCCTGCCGGACGAGCTCGACGTACTTGTCCTGCCAGGCTGGGAAATTCTTGGCCACGAAGATGGTGATGCGTTTGGGTTTGCGCGGGTCAAAGGCAGCGGAGCGGCCTTTTGCCATCTTCTTCGCGGCCTGCGCCTCGGCCGAGGTGATGTTCGAGGATGTCGTCTTGACGTATTCTCGCGCGGCCGTGAGCGAGGGGTCTCCTTGCGGGATGCCCGTTGGCCAGGTGGCTTTTTGGATCGAGGACGGCTTGCCCAAAACTTCGAGCCACATGTACTCGGCCCAGTGGGGGGCAATGGTGCAGATGAGCAGGGCTTGTAGCTCGACGTAGCGGAGGACGAGAGGTCGGGAGAGGGCGTTTCCAGAAGAGAGGCAGGCTTCGCGGTAGAAGTCTCGCGCGGATTGAAAGTCGTAGAGGGCCGATTTGAGGGCGACCTTGTAGTTCGTTCTGCACGACTGCGGTTAGTTTGGTGCTGTGAGACGAGACTTTCAAGACTTACTCCGAGTAATGCTGGTACGCTTCATGGACCAACAGGTTCATCTCGTCTTCAAACATTTTGTCCCAGATGACGTCGCCTTGGGTCTTGCGTAGCCCGTCGTCCTTGAGCGTATCCTCGATCCACTCCTTGAGGGTGTACATTCGCATGATCGCGGCGTTGGCCCCTTTCTCTTCAAAGTTGGCGTCCTCCATGCCGTCGCCTGCGTCGGCGAGCGCTATCCGCGTCGCATCTGCCCCAAATTTCTTGACCGCCTGGCTTAGCGTCAGGAAATTGCCCGTCGACTTGCTCATCTTGTCGCCGTTGAGCAGCAAGTGACCGTTGGATCGTACAGATTTTGGCCAGTATTCTCGGGGGAAGAGGGCGAGGTGGCAGTAGAGGAAGAAGGTGAGATGGTTGGGGATCAAGTCTTTGCCCGAGGATCTCATGTCGAGAGGATACCAGTACTCAAAAGACCGCCGTAGAGTGTGCAGTGCTTCAACCGGGATCTTCGTCGACTTCGACACTTTCTCCACATCGTTTGTTCGTGTGAAGACATAATCCCACACATCGTCCGTCATTTGCTCGTGCTTGATGTCGAGCAAGCCAGGCGTCTTGCCAAACTTGTCGCCGTGCAGGTAGTGTGCGATGGTGTAGTAGGACATGTAGACGGTGCTGTCGCTCAGACTTTCCACCAAAAACGACTCGTCCCAAGGCAGCTTCGATCCAAGACCGTATGTTCTTGCGCACGCCCATTGATTCAGCCATTCCAGGTTTGCAACGAACTGGTTCTCGGCCTCCTGTATGTATGTCTCGAGGCCGTTCTTGTCCTTGACGTAGTCCACAACTGTCTGTTGCCATTCCTTGTCGTTCTCGCCATAGTTCAAGAACCATTGAGGCACATACGCGACCACGCACTCATCTGCACTCCGACTGATGACTTCGGCCGAAGGATCGGCGAAAGGAAGAGCATGGCCAGACTTGATCAGAGCGCTGCGCACCTTGTCCTTCGCGTCTTGGACTTTCTCGCCCTTGAACTCGCCAATCAGCATGGTTCCATTGTAGAAGCCTTCCTTGTAGGCGAGATCCTTTGCCTCCGCTAACAGTGCGGTGTCCTTTGGAGACTGGATCTTCTTCGTCTCGACCAAATGCTTGGCTGCTAGATTTCCGTAGGCTGGAGTATCGATGATCGGGATGATTTCAAGTTCGGCCCACTCCTTCCTGATACCGTAGAACTCTGCTTTCTTGGCCAGCTCTCTCATTGTTGCATAGTCATCTGGACTGTCCGAAGGTACCGAGGTGACAACGCCTGTACCCTTGGTCGCCGAGACTGTTTCCATGGGCAGTATCCGAACGCCTTCTTTGTGGACCGATAGAGGCGCGTCGACCAATGTGCCGATGAAGGCAGATCCAGGCAACTCCACCACGGGTTGCAACTCCTTCTGATCCCGTGGGAAGTTCTCTTGGTTGAAAAACGTGCCTTGGAACGCCATGTTCCAGGCTGCCCTCTTGGTGATCACGTAATACTCCTTTTCCGAGACCTTGAAAACGCCGTAGTCTATCTTGGGTCCAACGAAACAGCAGACTTGGCCATACATGGTCTCGGGTCTTAAAGTCGCTGGCACAAAATAAACGTTGGCGTCTGCAGGAATCTTCGACTCAACAACCTTGGCCGCTTCCGCTGACCATTCTTTGACCTTTAGCTTCAGCGCGGTATACTCTGTAGGGCCGACACCTTCACCCTTGGTCCGGTCGTGGTCCATACAAGGCTGCCCGTCCTTAGGACTGTAGATGGTGTATCTCTTGCCATAGAGGATCTTGTTCATCTCTTTCAGACGATTCATCTGCCATCGCACGAAGGCGTCGTAGTACGGATTTGCGTCGGTGGTGACGAATTTCCTCCGCCAGTCTATCCTCGCACCGAAGTCGTTCAGATCTTGCTCACACAGAGGCGGGAAATACTCCAGCCAGTAGTTTGCGTCTGCGAATTTGTGGATCTCTTCCTTTGGGATGCCCATAGCTAACATGGTCTGGAACTGGTAGTTGGCCTTGGCCGTCTTTGCAGTCTGTTTGCTCTTCTTGCTCTTGAACTTTGTGATGTCGTCCTTGACATTGACTCCTTGTGTCGGCGCAACGGGGACTCCATTGTGCTCCGCCTCGTCCCCGTCTTCATGGTAGTTCTCAAAGTTCTGCCCGAACTTTCTCACATCCTCAACGAGTTTGTCTGCGCAAGCCTTGATCGGCATGCCCGTGCAGTGAAAGCCCAACGGGAACAGTGCTCGCTTTCCGGTCAGGCGGGCAAACCCAGTGGTAAACTCGACCTTGCTGGCCGTGAAACTGTGTCCAGCGTGCAGTGCGCCATTCATATAAGGATAGGCAAAGGTGCCAAAATATTTGGGGTGTTTTTCTCGAATATCTGCGGCGGGGACCGAGTCGAAAGGAATCTCGCTCGTCGAGGGCGCGTCGGACTCGAAGACTTTGTTCTTTTGCCATTCTTTCTGGTACTTTTTCTCAATCGCTATAAGGACATCTCGATTGTGAGTCTAAGGACATCGCTGTTAGAGCTGCTTCGTCCCGCTCGCGCGCACACGACTCACATTCTCGAGCTTGAGGGTATTGGCCGCACTCGCCGTGGGGTCGACCGGGATTTGGGTCGCCATAATGGCGCGCAAAAGTGCAGGGGGGACTGCTACCGATTGCGAGACCTGAATCGAGAGGTATTGTGTGGGATACGTTGTGTAGAGTTTGCGATTTAAATTCGGTTTCATACCCGCCTTTTTGACGGAGAATGTGACTCCGACAATGCAGGTGGCAGCCTCGTTCAAGTTTCTTGGTGGTGGTGCGGGGCAAGGCTGACATATTATTGTTCCCGTTTTATATCGCACTTTAGATTTACTTCTCTTGAAGACGCTATCATCTTGACTCTTCTCAGCGAAACCGTCACCTGCCTGTTTCCATCGTTCTATAGTTCGGGCGCCTCCCAAGATTCTCGGTCGATTTTCATCACAGCTGACTGCTTGTGCGGAAACGTGACCTCGCCTTGCTTATAAAATCCGGCATCTTTCAAGTATCCGATGAATCTGTGCAATGATCAGCTTCGTGGTCGCACAGGCACTCCTGTTAAGACTTACTTCGTGTTGTCGATCCGCGGCTCCAACATCACAGTCTCAGTTCTCGAGTCTGCCAGGAAACAATAATGTACCAACGCAGACAGCCAGACTTTGACTCGATGGGAGCCTCGGAACTCGTTTTCTCCGATCAAAACGTGCAGTCCGCGTGTGTAATTGCCTACTTCGCCACCCAGCAAGCGTCCCAGTTTGTCTTCCTTGACCCAGTATATCTCGAAGTATCCAAACGGCTTGCCGTCCCAGCAACCATAGACCGGGAACGAGTGTCGGCTTTCGAGGCCGTCGACCAAGAATTTGTGCTGTGTGCTCTGTGGTCCTGCGACACCCCATGCCGCGTTCACTCGGGGATCATTCATCCACTTGTGTAGCAAGTCAAGATCTGACGGACGGTCCAAGAAGTTGTCCATGGTGGGTAGTGTGGCTATTGACACTCCCCCACTATGACTCGGCATGACTGCCGGCATCGAGGCCGATGAGGGTACAAACTGAGGATGTGGGCATGGCTTTGGGGAGAGTGTCGGTACCCTGAAGGACAACCACTGGCCAAGGCTGGGGATGTATCTGCTGTAAAACGTTTCACCCTGACGCGGTGGTTTAGCACGGATAGGATGTCGTATGTGGTTCGTAAAGGTGAACTGGGTGGGATGTGGGGGGTAAAACGTAGGTAAATGGCTTCCAGAGTTGAATGGTCCTCCCGGGGATGAGATGCCGGCCGTGAAACTGTCGCCCATGCCTGAAGTCGTCACATAGTCTGCCGGCCGGGGAGAACCGCGATCAGTGCTAGTCACTGGTGCATTCCGGTCTGGCGACGATGGTCGAGAAGGATACGGCGACGCCTGAGGGAATGGCGAGTGCGATTGAGGTGCCATTGTAAAGAGAAAGATTCTTGCATCAAGCTGCCAGAACGACCTCCTGCTCACAAATGTGTCCGTCCAGCCGCTCGGTAAGCGGGTATCGGTATCTGTGCCCACGGAAGAGTCCTCAGATGAAATCAGTCCCATGCGCTCCAGCTTCTGCAGCGTGTTCTTTCCCTTGAAAATGCCTTCCCTCTTGATCTTGATGCGCCAGTCCAGCTTGGGTCTTCCAGACTCTGGCGTCAGCGCAGATGCATCGGTGAGGGCGTGGAGGCTAGGAGCCTCTTTGTGAAAATACCAGCATAACGTCGCCCACAGCATCATGGCGATGTGTCTCGTAGGAGAAGCGGTATTCTTGAAATCCGTGCTCGATGGCATGGATATCGAGGATATGAACATGGAATCACTCTGGACGGTCGGCTTCGTAAATCGATGTGTGACCGTATGCTTGTGTCCTGTTTCTTCCAACTCTCGGTGAGAATCTCCCTCTGCTCGGCTTCTCCTACGCTCTTGGTCGTCTTCCACTTTGTCTTCTGTCTGCAGGATGACAGTCCATCCCGGAGGCATTGCCGAGTGGTGCAGGTCGAGGTTCGTGGACTTGAAAGTGAAGCCGCCAAAGACAGGCGTAACAGTATATATCTGCCTGTAATGTCACGGTGAGCTTGTATCGCGGATTATGAAGCATATCGGTTCGACGCTGTACGGAATGCCGGTCCCGTACAAAGGACGACTTACCCATTGGGCAGGTAGACTTGCTGAACCATGTTCGGATTGTTCAGAGCATAGCGATGCTCAGCGGCACAAAGTGGGAGACTTTTACTTGAAGCAAACGGGTTGGTGTGAGTCTTGGAATATGTAGGGACTCCGTTCATATAGCGAGCCAGGTGGTGCAGCCCGTCTCGTCTCGGAACAAAACCTCGGGGATTCGAAGCATCAAACGAGTGGAAAAGCAAGTACGAGAGAATGAACAAGATGTCCGAGTCACCCTCAAGAAAAGAGACCAGCCTGCTGGCTAAGTGACGCCAGACTGGAATATTCTCACGTTTCCTGTCCTGTCATGAAGTACAGCTTGCGTTGTGCGACAATTCTCTCGAAGACGCAGTTTGTTGTTTGCAAGATAAAATAACGTGGGCAAACCAGGGACAGTGGCCCAAGGCTGGCTCTGCCCCACCTCGGTTGTCTGGTGCTGATGATGATTGGGATAGGGACGTTCCACGAGAGGGGGAGAAATTAGGCGACGTTGGCAGCTCGGGGGCGAACACTCCACTCCGTAGGGATGCCTGGTGAGCCAGAGCCGTGGTACGTACAGGACAGAGTACTGCACAAGAGCATGCGAACTCCATCGCCACAGCCTGATTGCCAGCGACTATCGAGCTTCCCTCATGTCGTTGACATGGGCGGAGCGAAGACGCAAGGACTGGTGCTGTAGTTCAGAGGATGTTGCCCTGACATGTGAACGCACCTCCCGACTTCGAGTACTTTGCACGATCCTCACGAATAGTTAAATGTCTATTCGGCCCGTCTCAGGGCCACCACAATTTGACAATGCCTGAGTGGCTATCTACAGCCCTGTTTCACATTCACATGTGTCGCGACTTGGCTGGGTGCCTCCAGCCACCAGTCCGTTGGAAGGAGAGCAGGCGGAAAAACACACGGAGAATCTCGATCCTGCTGACAGCACATCAGCTGCCCTGTCAACCAGCTGCAGCCTTGTCATATTATGTATCATCAGAAGTCTTCAATCGTGACACCTACGTCTCTGCTTTTCGCTAATCTGATCAGGTCTCCAGCGACAACCAGATCCATGAGGCCCATTCCCACGCTCTTGTAGATAACGTTGCCCTTGGTAAGCCAGTCAAGAAGTCCTTGCTCTCCGGGCCCTCCAAGCTCGATTTCCTTTGTTGCAGCCTTCTTGATCATCATAAGCTCTCCAACCTCGACAAGGTGCTCAGGTTTTAATTTGGCCTTGATCACCTCGCCTGCCTCCTTCAGGCAAGATTCGAGGCTGTCAACAATGATCACTCCACCTTGCCTGGCATGTTTATGGTGGTGGTGTCCGCCATGGTCTGGCTCGACAGCCACTTTGAGGATATCCGGGTGGATTTCGACCATGTGTGGAGCGTAGGACCCGATGGCCGCGATATACCTCCCCTTCCTTCGTCCTTCACGCGATGTGAGGAATTCCGCCGGGAACAGCGGTTCCGTTGATGGCGTGCAGCAGAAAATGACGTCGGCCTTCCGCACCTCCTCCTTCAGCAGACGTCCGTATTCTCCGAACTCCGGGCTCATGGCGGAGAATTTGATGTCCTTCCGCCACTGAACCCGGTCTTCTTGCGTCATCTGGAACGCCTTCATCAACTTGATGGATCTCTCAAAGCTTCGATTGATGATATTGACGTGGTGGATCTCGTCTCCTCTCAGTATCAGTGCCAGTCTTACGTGCCAGTACGCTTGCTTTCCCGCTCCGAAAACAGTCACCGTATGGACATTCTGTCGCCTTTTCAGCATCACAGTGGAAGCTAGTGCTGTTCGAAATGCGGTGAGCTCCTCAGCATTTACAATGCCCAGAGGATTGCCGGTTCTGTCGAGGAGGGTGACAGATCCTTTGGGGGTGGTGCTCTGAGAACTGGCCACGGATCCTGGTGGTTGGAAGGAGGAGCCATCGATTGAGTCCCGGCCAGACGACATGGTAGATGCAGGCGACAGGGTCATTGAGCCCAAATCATTGGTAGCGGACCTTATGGAGGCCCCGGACATACTCCCAGCCGGCGTACCTGACAGGCCTTCTGATACGCTAGAAGACACGGAAGACTTCTTGCTCGAAGACGCCGGCTGCTCTAATGACACGATCTTCATCCCGACCGAAGTTCCTGTAGAAGCAGGCATAAAAAGGGTAGTGATTCCATTCTTCTTGATCACGGTCCGGTGAGGCTGAAACGATGCGCAACAGGGAGAGTTCGTATCGCCAGTTGAGTATGAATGCAGCGCTTCGGCGAGATTAGACTGCAGTTCGTCGACATCCTCCTTCGTCAGAGAATGCAATATCTCCTGGACATCCGCGTCCGTGAGGACTGTGAGGCTATGACGACATTAGAATTGGTACTGGTACACCCAGATAATACAAGCAGCTTATGGGAAGGGTATGGGCACGTCCTCGGAATGAGCAGGGTATGCATGTTGTGAGTGAAGGTCCAGCTTACGGCATACTGAGTGGTTACGCTCGAGGCCGACGTCTTTCTTCTGGTTCAAGGTTCGTTTTGCTTCAAGAAACACTGCGCAGGGACCCAGACCCAGACGTCCGAGGTTCTATGGTCAGGAAGCAACAAGTCCCTTCAGCAAATTCGCCGACAATCACTCCTGTGCACATGCACAATGGAATATTGACGTTTTCTGCTTCATTCTATTCGAAATTAGATGCCTCTTTGCGAAGGTGTCGTTGACGAGTATTGCCAAGGAGACAAGAAATCCTGTCTTCGATCATTATTCTCAAGTTCCGGCATCTCTGGGGCTTACTGGGTGACGTTGGATCACGGTTGAGTAAGAGGAAACGTGGCTGACTAATATCAGCCGTTATTGCTACTGATTGGCCTCGACCACAGAGACAAGGGTTCTTGGCGGGTTTATTACCTTACACGGTCTGGAGCAAGTCCCCCTGCCATTGCCATCGAGGTGCCATCACAACCACCACAATCACCACAGCCTGCGTACTATCGCTTTTACTATCGACGAGGCTGCTTCGATCGCGGCCGAGCGACTCTACAACACTTGTGCTGTCCTGACAATCGGCAGGCAGACAACCCAGCCTGATGTTCGAGGTATCAGATGATGGAATAAAGTGTAGACACTCTATCTCCGTGTGCTCGTTTTACGGTGAACCACAACTTGGGAGGATGCTGCAAGGTGCTGTATTGCGCTGGTTTGGCCACCACTATTCCATAGCTACATAGTCGCTCAGATAGTTTTGAGGCAGTCACAAACGGATTGTCCAGTCACCTTCTGGGAACCGTCCTAGGCCGGTTGATCAGGTCTGCCGTCATCTCACCGATTTCCTTGCTCGAGGTCACTTCTCTCATGCTCCGGGAGGCAGGCTGTTCAACCTCTCTGCGCAAGAGAATCATGCTTCATACAGCAGATTCTCAGGGGTCCTTGCATCCTAAGCTCTAACCAAGGAAGTGACAACGATCATTGTTGAAAAGGTAGAGCTTGAAAGAGATACTCTGCGCGCAGACAGACAGAGTGTACGAGTGCTCCCCCATCGACGACCAAGCTATCACATGACCCAGTATGAGGATCCCATGCGTCCGGACAGGTTCAGTCGATCCTCATCTACGGAGAAGGCTGAATGGCGGTCGGCCGGTATCAGACTGATCCTTGCTAGTAGTCATGGCGTGCATGGCCTAGCAGAAGGCTGGCCCTCAGATAGGCGTAATCCAGAGCCTCAAACCGCATTTGCTTAGTGGCCGCTGTCAACTGTGCGGACGCTAGAGATCAAAGCAAGGCTACTCTTCGAGCGCACCAACAAGCACCCCACACTGTCCCCCAGTCGGTGCTCGAGCGAGCTATGAATCGCTCGAAGGCGCAAATGAGCTTCTATAAATACTAGAGCTAACCACTCACCTCCTCAAAGGACAAGATAAAGCACACGACAATACCAATATAACCTGGGCCTAGAAAGCCGGATCTGCCGGCCGCTCAGCCGATCTGCATTGAAGTGAAAGCAACAGATTGGCAACTCATTGCTTTAAAGCCGGCAAGTTATTGACAGCATTATTGGCACCCGAGCGAAATGAAAACCGCTCCACTCTGGGACTGCAACTCAAATTGCCCTGCAGGAGAGTTGGACTTTGCTAGCTTTGCACAACATTGTCACTCCGGACTTTCAGAGTCAGGGCAACTCTGTTGGATGTACTACCGTACGGAGTACTTTTTGACAGCTAACCTACTTTTGAGAATCAGCTCATTTTGGGATATGTGGTCCTTTCAAACTCCAGAACTAACCTTGCGATCTGCCTTGTTGAGTACTGAGAGTCGCATTATGCCCAGCCCTGACAGTAATAGGCAATCTTGAACTCGCTGTCATGCATCTTGTCACTCTTCAGGCAATCGAACTTTGGTTCACCTCCACACTGACTTTTGACGCGTTCGGGGCCGAGACTCCCTGCCAATGAGCTCAAACAAGCCATCTGTCCTTAAGGTGAGGATTGTACGAAGTACGAGATGGCTGCCTTTGACCTTCAATCAAGATCGGAAATTGCTGCTGGGAGGATGAGAAGAGTTTGTGCTGCGATGAGGAGATCTCTAATGGAGGATAACCGTACCTGTGAATTGAGATTGCTCCTCGTTTGGGAATGCTCAAGGGTCCGACGGCAGGGTCTCGTTTCTGTTCTTCTAGAAAACCCCAGCGCAAGAGACGGAAAATGCCCGACGTGCTTCAGGCCTGGATTTCCTTGTCTCCAGATTTCTGATTGTTTCAAGCAGGAAACACCGCGCTACCAGTTCCTTATCGATTAGATGCTGAAATTGAAAGTCGGGCGTCCCACACGTGCCGACTTGGCCTGAGGCTCATCCCCTGATGATCTCATGGCAATGGACCCTGACGATGCCTGCCAGCTGCTATTCTTAGCGGTTCTGAGGCCGCTCGTCTCGATGACCGACGTTTCACGCTGAGTCTGTGCAATATCCAACTCCATTCTCTGTTGTTACCTCGTACGAGGTACAACTTGCGCAAGCCCGCATCATGTGATGATCTCAGATGAATTTCGTTTCAAGGAGATTGACGGTCACACATAGCTCGTACTATTATTGCGTACTGTTCGAGGCCGAACTGGTGAGCAGTAGATTGGCTCTTTTGAGTAAGACGTGCATAATATGCGTGTGTGTTGTCATCGTGCGGCACGCCTAGGACTCCAGAACTGGCGAAGGTATCTGTACGAGTACAGTACGGCAAGGTCCTGGTTCATAACGGTGACAGTCGCTCGTGCGAGTACGATATTGGTCAGCAGGAGTTGACCACGCAGGCCGCGTCACGCCGGCCGGCTTTCCTTTTCCATAGGTATGTAGGAATATGTCATTAATTTTTGATTTCCGGAGGGAGAAACCCTCCGAGGTGGACTCGTACTGAGTACTCGTGCTCGCAACCCCGCCTTGTCCGGCGATCCGGCATGTGTCGTGTCGGTGTCGGAAAGAGGGATGCCACGACGGCGGTGCTTGTATGCCCGCTCCTTGCCAACACTGACCTGATCCTCAGGAGTCGGAATAATGTTAATGTGAAGGCGTGTTCATCACCGAGCGAAGACACTACCGCAGTACGTAACTTCAACTCCCGATAACCTTCAATTCGGCGACGGCCTCTTCGTTGGAAAGAAGACCCGTCCCCCAGCTAATCCGTGCCAATCAAAGGGTAAGATGATGCCACTTCCGTGCATGCAGCTGGTGCAGCTGCGATTGGCAGTCGCGACCAATACCCTGATTGCTGGGGCTGTTCGAAATAGAACATGCCCCGTGAATGAAGCCTTCGGGCATGTACATCCCACGGCGCTTACAATGAGGTCGGTTGGCTTTGCCAACGCACCATGGGAAACCCGCGTGTGACAGGTAGCTCACGAACCAGGGCCTTTGACAGTAAATTCAATTCTTCAAGCTGTCCTTTTCGCGATTGGCCCATGATCGTAAAGAATTCCTTGGAATTTGGACCGTCAATCCCAGGCACTTACATGGCCCTCGTGACATTGAACTTCGAGCGTTCCTCCATGCTAACGAGCGGATTCGTGGGAGGTCGCAGCGAAGAGCAGGCAACATGTAATCGAACAAGTGAGAACGCGCAGTAGGCGGTGTGACGGCACGGGCGGCTTTAACATGCGAAACCCGGCGATTTCAGGTGAAGAATGCTCTGGACTCATGATGTCGTATTCTTCCCGAGAACGCCCACTTTGTGGACATCCACTCCGGTGCAGAGCGCCCTGAACACTAACCGTCGGACAGTGGTGGAAACGAGTCACGGCAATCGAAGATGCGATGCGAAGTTGCACAAACAGCTGCGTTGGGTAAAGTCACATCTAATCACTATTTGCTGCAGCGAGCTTCTCGATTGCATTTACTGCGGTACAGCCAATGGGCCAGGTGCAGTCAGCTCTGTGCCCTCCCTCCCACGAACGCGCCCACGCCCGCAAGTGCCGAGGCTTATCGTTGGTGCACAAAAATGATGTGATGGATGCATGGCTAAAATCCGGGGTGCGTCAGTCTTGGTTTGCCCTTTCTTATCGCCCAGTGACGAATGGCGGGCAGGGCGACAAGCGAGGGAGAACGACGTCAGCAATTTGCACAGTGCCCGCATAGGTGCCGCGATCCGGTTCTCGACCTGGCGGGCGGTTGGGGCGATTCTGAAACAGGCACAGGCCCCTCGTTTGCTGCTTGTTTTGCGAAGGAGGTGACTAGCTAGTAACGATCTTAAAGATGAGGATAGGTCGAGTATGGTTCAATAATCACATCCTGCCGTGCATTCATAGATCGGTAACTGGGTGAGAGAAACGAAAATATTCGTCCGCCCATTGGACGTAGTTCAGCAGCGCTCGATGATACAGGTCAGAAATGAAGCACCTCCGAGGGGAGCGCAAAGTAGTCGGGACTCGTCCAGGGCCCCTTCGCTCTTTTCATGTACATAATTATGTGTACTGTGTAGATACCAAGCTAATCATAATTCGCCGTGTAGGTTTCGTGTCCAGGTGGGCTAAGGCCTTCAAAAGGCTCAAATTCTGTCGACCGAAATCCGGACTTTGAGACCACAACGCTGGGAACGCTAGGCTCCCAGCTTCCGGGCAACCTCTCCCTGTTACTCCGTACGTGTCATTTCAATCCTGTTGATACCTGGGGGCCTTGTGCGATGCAAAAGCGGCCGTGTCTTACATCAGTCGAGGTTGCGAAGCTTAGGAAGCAGGCTGGCATCTCTATTTTCCATCCCTCGAGCACGTAAGGAGCTGAATGCAAGTTGAGCCTTTGCTGGATGCAGGGTCTGTGTACGAACAACAATTACACAGACCACCACAAGACATTCTACATGGCCGAAGGCACGTCGAACACCAGATTGTCATCTGGTCTAAGCAGCTGTCATTGGTGTGGGGGTTGGCGGTCGTTGACTTGCAGCTTGCAGCGGCGGATCAGAGAAAGATTGGAGATAACATCTGCCACGTATGCTGCGCAGCGCATGAGCCGCTATTCTCTGCATCTGAACTCGTGTCTGCTCAAGTTCGGTCTAAGAGCTGAGCGGCGACCGACGTGAGCCGCAGCTGGTCGGCACGATGCGAGGGAGGCGGCTTGCAGATGCGGCCTTCCTCAAGGCGTCAGTGAGCTTCAATCCACTGCGCCAAACTGTCAGCAGGACACAATCAGCCACATTTGATCCTCTGCAGCAGCGCACCGAGTCAGCGCGGCATCCTGAGGCGAAGCTCGATATTCCTCTGGCTGCAGTCCAAATGAGAATTTGACCCAGAATGAGCTGTTGCAGCGACCATCATGCCGTCAGCTGAATCTTCGTGAGGCTTCCCATATGGAATTTGCGCGGGCAATAGTGCAACGGACTCGTTCCGACGTCCTGGCTAAACTCACCCAACATCTTCTGCAGCAACTGTCCCATATGACCACAATACGTTTGTTATGTTGCCACGTGCGATATCACGGACAGACCCGGGCAGAACTGCGTGAAGACGCATTTTACCCAATTAGGCGAGCGGGACGAGAGCTGTAACGAGCGCCAAAAAGGGGTTTGCAAGGTGAGCAGGAAAGAGAATTACCGTTGATCAGCGACGGCATCTGTAATCGTAGTCGTACGGTTTCCGCGACTGGACGGAATTATCACCAATGGTACCGCGTCCCGAACTAAGGGCGATGAGTGGAAGATAGTCTCGAGATCCTCACATTAATGGTGCAAAAAGAGGATCGTGAAGGCGAACGTGCAGAAGCAGCGACAATGGCGAGGGCGCCCCTCTGCGATCAAGGAGGACGATTAAAAATGTCCACTCGCAGCGTGAGCATGGGGTTGAGGAGCAGGACCCGGGCGAAAGGTGACGAGGTCAGGTATTGCCCCTCCGGCCTGAGCGCGGGCGCCAAGTCGCTACGTAGGCAACATTATGGGAAATTCAAGGGCAAAAGTTGGGCGAAGACTCGGTGGGAAGAGCAGCAAACCGAGAACGGGGCATGCCTGTCGCCAGAAACGCATTACAAGTTCGTACCGGGAGCCCAGCATTCAGGTCGCCCCAGTTCCCCCCTTCCTTGGTTGTCGTGACTCGTGCCTGCCCCTGCCCTGGCTCCCTGGCTCCATTGACGACGAAGTTGGCATCCCCACGCACTCCACCAATAATGCATTCGTGCATTTTTCTTCTCCGTCCGAACCTCCTACCACAGTACCTAATTGGGATGCAGTCCTCTCCTTCATCCGCTCCTTCAACCTTGACTCACTGCCCAAACTACTAACTAATTGCTTGTGGTACACGGGTATTTCAATCACCTTTGAATAAGAGTAGACGCTCAGTGCTCCTCTGCTCGTCCCTTCCTTTGTTCGCATCCGACTTTCTCTACGTACTCCGTACATACCAAGCCAACTCCCCTTTGCGAACGACGAAGACAGACACCACACCACTCCCCAGCCAGAAGACCGCAGGGTTATTTGTGTCCTGCACGTCCAGAGGCTTGCTGTCCACTCGCCTGACCGGTATCTGACTGCATACTGCGACCACCTCGCTTAGGGCGCTCACATCCTATTATTTGCGCTGCGTGCTGCGCCGCGAATCTGCACCTACCCTACAAGCCCGAGTCTGCGAGGCCACGCCAGCCCTCCGCGCCCTGCGCACCTCGATCGGCCGCTGCCCACCACTGCACGCGCTGTACTTCCATCTGGATCCCGGTCCTGCATATTGCTGCTGCACCAACACCGATCGAGCCAGGCGCTACATTTCCATCAGGCGCGCTTTATCATGGCTGCTGCTTAAGGCTGCTGAATGCTACAGCACGCTCAATACAAGCTCCGCTGGCATTGACCGGGTCTTCTCCAGCACAAGAGCACTATGAAGTCGTCAAAACGCTATAGACAGAGCTGGACTCCCTTACACTTTCGATCTCGAATTTGATCTGGTTAGAGGTACGCCTGACCGACCACAATATCTGCGGACATGATATCCGCAACCTCATCGCCCGCCGTCAGGGCTCTGCAGAGCCGCGACAATTCACCCTCACCTCACCCGCGTTCTTTTGCTGGTTTGTCTTCCAGCCAACGGGTGAACACGGCCCTCTCTCAATCCTTCTCCGCCACGCCGGCGTCGGCCAACAGCACATCATCTATGACTCAAAGCCCATATATCAGCTCTATCCAGTCTTCTCCCCTGGTGTCCCATCCAATCTACCAGCTGCCCCAGCTCGGAAATCCAGCCCCATTCGACTTGGGTGAGAGTCTTGTTTCTACCCATGCATTTCCTTCTCCACGAGAACCCTCCACGGGCTCCAAGTCTGTCGGGATTATGCGCAAGCTCTCGCAAAGCGCCAAAGATGGCGTTTCCTCTGCTCGGCAGACGCTGCGCAGAAAAGCCTCCTCATCAGCACAATCTCGCCGCGACGAAAGTACCGGTCCCATCACCAGACGCCGCAGCGACAGCAGGACGGCAATGGCAACCGGTCATCTCGCCGATGCTCCGGCTGTGGACGTCCTACCTCTTGAATTGCACACAGGCCTGGGCCTGTACGGTGATGCAATGAGCATATCCAGCGAGCCGACGACCTTGGCAGACGCGAGTCCTGAGGGCCAAGCTCCCTGTGTGCCGGAGAGACTGGTGGCAGGATGCTTATTAACGAAAATCACCAAGAATAAAATGCAGGAGAAGATGTTCTTCATGGACGTGGAAGGCTCGCGTGTATCGTGGAAGGGTGCAGTAACAACCAAAACGTTTCACATTGACAACATCAAGAGCATCCGCAGTGGTGAGGTAGCTGCGAGCTACCAGCATGAGCTTCGAGGGGAAGCCGTCGACCCTGGCCTCTGCTTCACAGTCAACTACGCAACCTCAGATTCTTCGAAGCAGGTCAAAACTCTGCATCTTGTCGCTCACGATTATCATGACCTTCGACTCTGGGTCGATACCCTGGAGAGTCTGGCCAAGCATCGAGAGGAGTTAATGACGAGCATGATTGGCTCAACAGAGCGTGAGTCAGTCATACGAGCCCACTGGGAGAATGAAATGGCAAAGCGAACTGCTAGGCAGGACAGTATCAAACCTGACGGCTTGGACTTCCATGCAATCCAGACCCTTTGCCGAAAGCTACATATCCATATCCCTGACAAGGAGATAGAGGAGCATTTCAAGTCGGTCGATGTCAACACGTCAAACCTTCTGGATTACAATCTCTTCAGAGAGTTCCTCAGACGCCTTCGAGAAAGGAGCGACGTCAAGAAGATCTTCGATAGTTTGAAAGGCGCCAACTCCAAGGGCATCCCACGATCGCAGTTCATCGAATTTCTCAAGCGTGATCAGGGATTCGATATGCATGCGCTTGCAGATCCGCTTCACTGGGAGGAGAAGATTAACGACCTTATATCTATGTCCTTCCCTGATGACCCGGCCATGCGAGCATTGGAGCTCATTGACGCCAACGTGTTTGCGTCCTTTCTCGTCTCAAAAGACTGTCACGTCTACTCCAGCCCCGAGGAACCTGTTCCGGTCTTCGACCGGCCACTGAGCGAATACTTCATCTCAAGTTCACACAATACCTACCTGACTGGGTGGCAGGTCGGGGGCACCGCCTCTGCCGAAACATACATCACGGCCTTGCGTCACGGCTGCCGCTGTGTTGAAATTGACTGTTGGAACGGTCCGGATGGGAACCCGAGGGTGACCCATGGTCATACCCGGACCAGTTCTGTGCCTTTCTCGGACTGCATCAATGCCATCCAGAGATGTGCATTTGACGTTACCCCTTATCCATTGATCATATCCCTCGAAGTGCATTGCGACCCTGAGCAGCAGGCCAAGATGGTGAAGAGTATGAAACATGTGTTTGGGGATCGGCTCCTCCTTTACCCATTGCCCGGCTTCGATGGCCAACTGCCTTCCCCCGAGGATCTCAAGCACAAAATACTCATCAAGGTCAAATCCACAGAGCTCCATGCTGACCTTGCGGCTTCCCGTCTTCCTATTACTAAATCCCGCGATCGAAGTGCGAGTTCGCCGAATAGGGGAATAGCCTCCCCAGTAAGCTGGACACTCCTCAACGCACCTTCAGTCACAAGTTCCTTACTCATCACACCGCCAGAAACCATCTATTCTCCAACTGATCGCTCAGTCACGGCAACAAGCGCCAGTAGTGCCGATGAGGAAAGCGACGCTCCGGCAATCTCGCCATCTACTGCTGATAGCCAGTGCCGGCCACCGAAGCCAAGTAAAGTTGGTCCTCAGTTGTCTGCTCTGGGCGTATACCTTAAGGGTTACAGCCTGCGTGACGCCAAAGATCTTTCTTTCCAGCAATACAATCACATCTTCTCCCTCAACGAGAACCGAGCTATTGAACTCTGTCGCTCGCCCGAGGACAAGGCCATGTTCGAAGACCACAATCTCCATCATCTGTGCCGAGTATATCCCAAGACGCTGCGTTTCCAATCATCCAACTTTGACCCCAACACATTCTGGAGAAGAGGGGTGCAGATGGTTGCGTTGAACTGGCAGACCTTCGACGCCCATATGCAGATGAATCAGGCAATGTTTGCCGCCGGCACTGATGCATATGGTTATGTCTTGAAGCCGGCTTACTTGCGCAAGCCTCGGACCAAGCAGGGTGAGTTTGAGCATCGCGTGAAGCTCCCTCGCTACAGAATCAGCTTCTCGGTCCAAGTCATCTCCGCCCAGCAATTACCTCGGGCCGCCAATATGGGCAGAGATACCCCTTTGAATCCATTCATTGAAGTCCAGATGTTCAGCGCAGAGGACCGTGCCCGGGGGATAGCGAATGGTACTGGTGGCACAGAGACCTACTCCAATGGCTATCATGGCATCGGGTCGCCCTACCGCCGCCAAACGCAGATCCGTTTTGGCAATGGTTATAATCCTCAGTTTGGTGAAAACATCGAACTGTCCCTGGAGACGAAATACCCCGAACTTGTCTTTGTTCGTTTCATAGTGCTGAACTCCGACGATGGCAGACGCACAGGCAAAGGAATCCGACAGCTTGCGGCTTTCACAGCAAAACTCGACAGCCTCCAGAAGGGATACCGACACATTCCCTTGTTTAATGGACACGGGGAGGAATTCATTTTCTCCACGCTGTTCTGCAAGATTGTGAAGCAGGAGCCGAAGTTGATGCCATGGTCACTTCAGGACGTCACAGGACGGACGTCCAGACCTAGTGTGCTTCGAGGCATTCTTTCACGTGGCCTATCGAGTGATCGCGGCAGAGAGCGATTGTCCAGTGGTGAGGACGTGCGTGCTGCCCAAGCCAGGCTAAATCGCGAGATCGAAGAGAGAGTGACCAGAAAATGAAGGTTCCGGGTGATGCATCGCAAGCATAGTGTACCAACGATCGACGACATGGCGTGGGGTTTTGATTTCACAAGATACCCAAAAAGCATATACGACCTGATGACCACGAAAAATAGACTCATTGCTCGTCTGGCAACGGACATTTCTGCTTGTGCTACAGTACAACTGGCAATCGTTGGGGAGGCTTTTTGTTTGAGTATGAACCGTATACGTCTATGTACCAATATATAGAATATCAACCTGGACCAGCCCTTGTGCTCGTCATGTATCATTGCCTCGTGGATGACTTCGTCCGGTTTCGACACAACACTCAATGTCGTGTACCAAGCGCTCCGCCAGGAGTTGCTTTTGCTCAATCCTGTATAGACGGCAGATGCCTCATCGAGGTCCTGCGTGACGGGCACCACACTCCTAGGCAAAGCGCAGCCTTTTCATCAAAGAGACTGCCGAGTAATCACCTGGCCGCGAAATGCGCCTATGTCTGGTAATGTGCCATGAGATCTGCTTGGTCGCATAAGGTCATCGTGATCTTGTGCTTAAGGACCGAGTCTCTCTGCGAATGAAAAATGCTCACGCGGGGGGATGGTCAAATGGTCTGGCCGCCTTTTCCTGCCTTAGCCATCGATGAGTTGTCCACATTCGGTGGGCAGCGGACAAAGAGTTTGTGTCTGACCGTGTCCAGCTCATTGCTGACTCAGCTTTAGTGGCTTTCTCCCGTCATTCATCTTCATGTCATTTCATATTTAATGGAGGGGCCCGGCGAGGCTGAGCAAGCTTGGCTGCAGCACGGCGCCGAAGATCAGAGCGTCGTCCCTACCTCGATGCCTCCCCAGCCAGGACCTTTTCTTCCCCCAGCACAAGGCTGACCAGTGTACTCTGTAATCCGGTCCAGTGTCGACCCTCGTCAGGTCTCCTCGCACAATGTTACTGCCGCTGGCCCCTGGGTTGTGATCGATATACTGTACCTGGCTCAGTCTCACCTTACGACCCACGGCTGTGTTCGTTGGCGCCGCTGTACACTCGATGTCCTTGCGTAATACCGAGCATCTGTCGGCCGAGCGAGGATGCGGTTCATCGATCAATATGTCAGCAATAACCAGGGTTTTCAGCTTGACATCGTCGGTGAGTTTGTGTTTCGGTAGTGCAGCACAGAGTAGCAGGGCAGACCACTGATACAAGTCCTCAACTAGGTTTCCTCGCTATCCTTGGAGAAGGTTCCGTCGAGACGATCGCCCAGGTGGCGACCCTGAGCTACCTCATATACGTCCCTCGCCTCATACCAGCGCCGCAGATATTCATCAGGCCCTCGCGACCAGAGAAGCTGGAGACCACCGCAAATGCGAAAGTGATAGGAGTACATTCTGGTAATACCGGCGAGGATATCCATCACGTGGCTCATGCTCTTCATCGTGGCGACAAGCTGCCCCCGAACACCGTCACCTGTGTCCGCGTGACGGAAAACGACAAGCCGCGTCCATCCATCAAGAGGTTTGGTCCATTGGCGATGCTTGCCTTTTTAGGAGCTGCAATGAGTGCTGCTTTGCTCGGGCTGTCTATATATTACGAGGACGGCATGTCCTTGCTGGCAACCGTACTTCTGTCGACATTGAGCACGGTGACGGGCATTGCTAACAAGTGGTCACCGACGCCTAATGATCCGAAGCCCGACCCGCATTCACCACCTGGCGACGTGGTTATCAAGTATCCTCAAGGAGCGTTCATCGTCGTCACGTGTGAAGAACGAACGGCGCGATATCTGTATTTCAATCCAAGCGAGCGTTGCATTTATTCCATCAGGAGCACGGCGATTTATAGAGGACTTTCGTTGATTTCGACATTGTTGCTCATGGGCGGGGTCATTTCCTTGGCCAATGCCAGAATCGAGACACAAACGGCGTTTGCGGGATCCTACATGCTCATCAATATCTTTTACTGGGTCGGCGCAGCCTTGCCTCCAGCTCAACACTGGGACCTGAGCAGACTGCAAGTTGAGCATATCGAGGTCCACGGTGGTACGCCGCCGCGGACCGCAAAGGTGGACAACTACTCGCCCACATACACCGAAGCATTGTGGAAAGCCATTGCCGTTACGGGCACAAGCAACTGGGTCAAAGAAGCAGGTTGGGCACCGAAGACGCCTGCCTGGGCAGATTGGCTGAACGAAGCCGAGGAAGCCGCAGTGGGTGAGCCGCTGAAGGCGAGCAGGAAGATGGTGGATGGGAAAGAGGTCGAGGTGTGGACAATCCGCAATTGGGATAGTCGGAATGCATTGTCGACGCTTCTGCGAACGACGACCGACAAGATTACAAGCCCGTCGAGGTGGGCTGCGAAAGAGGCTTCCATCCAGCGAAGCAACCCTCTATGATTGTTGATTTCTACGCCAGCAGCATGTGCAAGGGATGCATATATGAGGGCCATTATGATGAGATGATGATGACAACAAAAGCTCGGCATGACAACATACTAGATAACGCCAGTAATGAATACACGATTGATGAAGATAGTGTTGTCAGTGACATATCCTTCGAGCCTGGCGCCCACCTTCGCTGCAACACCCGCTTGAGTGAACTCGGCGAACTCTTGGCATCACACAAACTTTTTTGCGGAGTTGATCAACCACCACTCGTCTCCGCCTTTGCACTCAATCTTCTTTCGACGCTCGATCACTTCTTGGGACTCAGATAGTCTCCTCCTCAAATTCGACAAGATGTATGAGCGAATCCTTGCATGTTGCTGCGGAATTGGGTCTGCAGCGCAAAATGCTGATTCGAGGGTGTTAATAGTGTACCGAATTGAATCTTGATCCGACAAAGCCATCAAGATGCCTTTCACCAAGCTGTAAGCGGACGAGATGTCAAAAAGGAAATGATAAGGTTGAACTGTCTCTAACTCGTGCCTACCACAGCGTCAAAAACTCCCCCTACTACTCCCGCTACCAGACGAAGTACAAGCGCAGACAGGCCGGCAAGGTACGCCATGACTCGAACAGAGCGTAGACAACCACTGACACCTGCACCAGACCGATTACTATGCCCGCAAGCGATTGATTGCCCAAGCCAAGAACAAGTACAACGCTCCCAAGTACCGCCTTGTCGTCCGCTTCACCAACCGCGACATCATTACCCAGCTGGTGACCGCCGAGCTCACCGGCGACAAAGTCTTCGTTGCCGCCTACTCCCACGAGCTCAAGAGATATGGCATCAACAACGGTCTGACCAACTGGTCCGCCGCGTACGCCACCGGTCTTCTCCTCGCTCGCCGCGCGCTCAAGAAGCTGGACCTGGACGAGCAGTTCAAGGGCGTCGAAGAGGCGACTGGCGAGTATGCTCTTACCGAAGCTGCCGAGGGTGAGGACGGAGAGGAACGTCGTCCTTTTAAGGCATTCCTTGATGTCGGCTTGCATCGTACCTCCACCGGTGCCCGGGTCTTCGGTGCGCTCAAAGGTGCCTCTGACGGCGGTCTCTACATTCCCCACAACGAGAAGCGGTTCCCTGGCTATGACCAGGAGTCAAAGGAGTTGGATGCCGACACTCTGCGCAAGTACATCTTCGGCGGCCACGTCGCTGAGTACATGGAAACACTCGCCGACGACGATGAGGAACGCTACAAGTCCCAGTTCACCAAGTACATTGAAGCCGATGTTGAGGCTGACGGACTGGAGGAGATGTACACCGAGGCTCATGCTGCCATCCGTGAGGATCCCTTCAAGAAGGATGATGACGAAGGAGACAAGAAGAGCAAGGACGAATGGAAGGAGGAAGGCAAGAAGTACAAGGTGCATAAGACTCCTAAGGAGGAGAAGGACCGCAAGATCAAGGAGAAGATCGCGGCTCTTGCTTCTTAGAAAACCTGTTTGCGTTCACCAGCAGGAGTCAGCCAGATGACTTCGCAATCTCGACCAGGCTGAGTACGACCATGGCCGCCATAGACGATGGAGATGCGGCTCCGAGTAGCCATTGCGTCTTCCTGCGATCCATGGTCCTAAAGGCATCGTGCTGCAGGAGCCCTTGCGCATGGCACGCTCGTTCAGATCAGGGCAAACGTCCCGACGGGCAAGCATTTGCCCTGATGGCGGTCGTATTGAGGCTCTCACCACCCAAGCGCCGCTTGACGAGTCAATGGCAGATGTCAGAAATGAAGTTTATGTCTTCATGAGCCAAATGTAGTCGAGACCTTTAGTCCGCAACAGTTGAGCTTAGATTCGTTCTAATCCTCCGGAATTCGCACGAACTTTCGGGATCTTTGCACATGAGATGTGAGAATTCGATACTTAGTTAACGGATACCATTTTGTGAATTTCTAGCCTACGCTCCGAGGTCTCTTGATTTGCTCAATATAAGCCTCGAAACGGATGTCTCCTGGGCGTCTTCTGACATACAGTAAGATGCTGACCTGTACCAGCCACTTGCGGCTCCACCATTACTGTACTGTGGATTTACGAGGTTACAGACGTGGGAGGTAGGCCAACTACCTAGGCAATGGTAATTAAGCAATGGGGCACGCCAGGGGACGGGAGGCCGCATGCCAGGCACCATTATGATGAGTCTGGCCTGCAGCGGGCGTGGTGGCACCCAGAAATCATGCGAGATATACACAGTATTTACGCCTCCTGAGGGAAACCGCGGGCAAACTCGCAAGGACAGCATGAAGCATAAACAGGAATGTATGACCTCAAGCACAATGCCGCGACGAATCCCGAAATCTCATGTCTGCCGCAGCGGGTTGCCACCGAGCGTCCCCGTACAGACACCACTACACAGGAACTACGACGGCATCTTCGGTAATGTCTTTGGCTCTCCCTTGGTTAAGATGACCGCATAGCTGAAAGGCCCCCACCCCAGGGCCCTCCAGATCGCTAACCTTCCCCTCCCAGGGCTCTTCTCTGATATTACGAAGTACCGACCTTTGGGCACCACGGTCATTGGAAGGATGGATTTCCAAGTGAGCTGTTGGCTGCGTCCTCGTCTACACAGTCATGCCGGGCCCATTAAGCACTGGCTATCTTAGTGAGCCGTCGTGTTCTAAGTAGCTGCTCGACTCACGATCCAGACCAAACGCGATCGTCATATCTAGCCAACATTCCGAAGTCCGCAATTCCTCTTTCGCCTTTAACCCCGCTGATACCACGCAGACAGTCGTCGCCAGTCCATCAGCTCCAGTCGAGGTCGCCGTCTCCGACAAATGACCTCGGTCAAATCAATATCGATGCGACAATATTAGACTGCTCCTCGTAAGTCTGAGAGCACTTACACTATAGCCTCCGGCACCATGGCAGCAGCCACGGAGAGTAATCTCGATGTCGACTGGCTCCTACGCTCTAAGAAAGGTGCGATACCATTTTGTCGACTTCCATGCCGCATCTGCCTCTCTCTTCGGTCCGAGACTTGGGAGGAAATGAAGCACTAACAAGCCTGTCAGACCTTGCGCACTCGATCGCAGAGAGGAGCAACCGACAGAAAGAGTCGCAAGGATCCGCTGCTCCTCCTGCGGACCAGCCCGATCCTAAACCGGTCCAGCTCCAGCCTCCGACCGAGCAGACACCGCTGAAGGAGTCGCGAAATGGAACAGCACAACCAACCATACAGCAGCCAAAGCCTACCGTCACTGTCAATGGCAAAGAGAACAATGTCCAGCCCACTGTACAGAAGACCAGCCCGCTGCCAGCCCAGCACACACAGAATCACCCGACGCGGCCTACCATACTGAAAGGTCAAAGCACCGACGACAGCAAGAAGGGTTTGAGACCAGGCGCTCCAAAGAAGGAGGGAAGGAGGAGTTCATGGATTTCGAGCTTCAGTTCTAAGTTCTCGTCGTCCCCCACTCCGTCCCGGAACGCCAGCATCGATGTCCAGCAAGCAAATAATGGCTTGACGGCGTCGCCTCAACCAAGTCCGAAGTTGGAAGTGCCCAACCCGTTTGAGAAAAACAAATCAGCGAAGGATGGGCAGAAGGAAGCCAAGAAAGAAGACCCCAAACCTGTCGTTACACCTCTGACACCCCGGAGACCGTCGGTACTGGTCGCTGCTGGCAAAGAAACCAAGCTAGAACATCCCGGGTTCTTGTCAAGTGCATTGCGGAGGCTCTCCTCGTCTTCGAATGCTAACATGGGCAAAACCGCTACCAATGGGGCCGTCTGTCCGCGAAGGATATTGAACATTGACCACAACCGCGAGCGCATCAAGATCAGCGAATTTGACCAGAACAAGCTCAAGAGAGTGGCATTCTGCGTTGACGTCGAAATCGCTGGATTTTCTTCCCAGGTAGACGAAGACCCAGAACATTTGAACAAACCACCGGTTTCCAGTGCACTGAAGCAAAATCTCTCAGCGTCACCTGACAACGAACCAACAAAGGATTCAAAAGATGCCCGAGTGAAGGACAAGGGTGAAGGTGCTGCGCTCAAAAGCCCGAAACCTCCTGCGGATGAGAAAGAATCGTTAGACCAACCTCGGGTCGAGCCAAAGCCTTCAGTTCCTGACAAGACGAAGAAGGAGGAAGCGAAGGCTGCGGAGGCCTCAACCTCGCTGCAAGGGCCGGACCCTCCAGCAGCACCCGGAACCCGAAAGAAAGAGAAAAAGAAGCGTTCAGAGGCCGAGCGGAAAGAAAGAAAGGAGCGCAAAAGAAGGCACGCAGAGGCGAATGGGTTGGTGCCGCTAGAGTTGACTAGAGACGATGACGACTCAGATTCGGTTTACAGCACTACACCACCAGGAGCCTCAACACCAAGCAGGCGAGCGCCAGAAGGAGCTGACGGCCGCACGACAGATCCTCTCCGTATATACAAACGCTGCTGCCAGCTTCGGGAAACCACCGTCCTAAGCCGGGTAAAAGAGCAGATTTCAAAACCCACGGCGACTCTGGCGGAAGCACCTGGCACGGTAGCAGTAATGGATCTCTCGGGCTTCCAGATGCAGCTCCCGGATATCGTCACCCTGGGCGACTGGCTCGCGGTAGTACCTGTCCGGAAGCTTGTGTTGGACAATTGTGGTCTTACGGACGAAGGTGTGCGTGTCATCTTGTCTGGTCTTTCCGGCTGCAAATCTGCAGAACAGGCCCGCCAAAACAGAAGATTACCGAAGAGAGTCAGCGGAAAGCACGGCATAGAGCAGATGGGCGTGATAGAAAGGCTGTCCTTGAAAGACAATCCAGGCATTACCAACCTCGGCTGGAGGCATATTGCGCTGTTCATGCATATGTCGCGGTCCCTTAGGGCCATCGATCTATCAGGTATCCAATTTCCTAGGTCGACAGACCTTTCGAGGACGATTTCGACGACGAGCTCGAACAGCAGTGGGCCAAACGGAAATTCGACCCTACTGGATCTGGGCTCTCTGATCATTCATGCATTGTCCGAGCGACTAGGCGATAGGTTGGAGGAGCTCGTTCTGAGCGGTTGCGGTCTTTCCACTGCCAACATACGCGATCTCGTAGATTGCGCCATCAAGTGCAAAATCCGCAGACTGGGACTGGCAGCCAGCAATATTAGTGACGAGAGTCTGGCCCATCTGGTCCGGTACATGATGTCGGGCCATTGCGAAGGCTTAGATCTCAGCAGCAACGACTTGCATGGCGTTGCGCACATCCTCGCAGAAGCAGCCACCAGCGATTGTCCCTTGTTCGCTATCAGCTTGTCGGACTGCAATCTGACGCCAGGAGATCTGACCGCGATACTAATACCTTTCGCGCGGCTGAAGAACCTCAAATTCATCGACCTGTCCCGCAACGTGGCGTTGTTCAACAGTAGGCCGAACGCAGTGCCTGTCTTCCGGAAGCTACTCCCCAAGTTGGCGCCCTTGAAGCGTCTGCACCTTTCAGACGTTGGCATGACTCCCGAACAGGCGATTGCAATCGCTGAAATACTGCCGGATTGTCCATCAATGGCTCATCTCAGCATCCTTGACAATGCTCCGCTGATCCACGCCATGAATTCCAAAGAAGAAAGCTCGCAAGAAGAAGCTTGCGCATTTTTCGCTTCCTTGATGACGGCGGTCAGGGTTTCAGAGACCATTGTCGCTGTCGAAATTGAGGTGCCTTCCGCAGACAGCAGCGAAGTCGTCAAAGCTCTGGCCTCGCAGGTCATGGCATACACTTTGAGGAATATGGAGCGCACAACTCTGGACGAAGTAGGCGTCAAGCCTGATGACCATGCCGGCAAGGCGCCAGAAGTTCTCCTGCAGTTGGTCGGAGACATGGAAGGCTATTCGGAGAACCTTGACCGGGATGAGCTAGCACCTGATGAAGACTATATGATTGCCTCCACGGGTATCGTCAAGGCTCTAGGCGTCTGCTTGGATCGTAAAGATGGCAACAGCCGAGCACAATCTAGGAACATTAGCCCCACCGCCAGTGGTTCTTCGACTCCAAGGGGACCGTTTCGGCAAGGAACGGTGTCAAAACCTCGAGATGTCAGCCTGGAGCTTTGCGAAAGTGCGAGGAAAATAAGGCGAAGGTTACAGCCCGTTCTTGTCAAAGAAGATCGGGCTGGGAACCATGACAATTATCGTAAGTCTCCTGATAAAAGCTCACGGCTTGGAATCGCTAACCTCGTATGTCAGGCCGCCTCTTTCTCCTTGATCAGACCCTGCAGCGCATGATCAGAAGGTTCGAAGACGAATACCCGGAGACCAAAGTCGGAGCGGGATCTCCACCAATGCCAAATGGAATGCCTTCACCTGACCCATCAGTGGACGCCTCAATGCTATCTGCCTCGGTCGATTCGACTGGAATAATGAAGTTGACTGATGCAGAAGAATACTTCCCATCCGAGAGCCCGCCCAAAGACGATTACGCACTGAAGCTGTCCCGGACCTCGTCGAACACGTCGCTTGCGGCCAAAGCATTCACGGACGAAGAAGGCCGTATGCACCGCTTTGGTCAGACCATCCGCAGGGAAGTCCTTAAGCCGGCAGAAATGGATGATCACCTCCACGGAACCTACGCGAGTGATTCTGATCCACCCCACATTGCTGCCCTGCGGGCCAAACTCGAAGAGCTAAAGGGTGAGGACATTCGTTATAGGGTTGAAAAAGAAGGAGCTGACAACGTGGTCCGCGAGCTGGGTATCAATGCGCAGGAATTGCTTATGCTGAGGGAGCAAGACCCCAAGGGGTTTGAAGCGTTCAGGGAGAGCCAATTGGCGGCCCAGATCAATGCTGGGCTGATACCCCGGGATGGAGACGAGGCGGTGGGGCCATGAGTCAGGAAGGACATATATGATTGTTGCTGCCATCTGTGGGATCAAGCCGGGATGTTAACAATTGGTATGTTACATGGAGAGCCGGACTCGGAGTGTATGGACTCGGATGGTTTGGCGGCTGATGATTATGGCTTTAGTACCTTCTGAGCGTTCTGTTTCGCCCTGAATTTTTTGGATGACGCTATGACCTTTCACCAGGAGGTACGATGGGAGCGGGGCCCGAGCCGGTCGCTTGGAAATTATAGTGTAACTTGAAGCTATGTAAGCCTCTTTCTGGACTACAGTCACAGCCGCAGTTGAAGTTTTCCGTCTCCAGCGCGCTCCGCTTCTGCAGTGGCTTGTTCCACATACAGTAGCCGGTGAGCAACCGTCTGTACAATCAGGCAGACGAGCACCGCAGCCTCGAAACGCTGGACCGGGCATTGACCTACCAACCTTCTGTAGCTCTCAGCACTGAGCATCCATCAATGTGCATCAACGAGTTCAATTTGGTGCCGACTGGCAAGACATGATATCTGATTAAGAGCTAGCGAACAATGTGAACATGAATATGTCGACAGAGGGAGGGACGAGCGATGGCCATGTTGCCATCCTTCGGCACTTCCAATGAAAAGAGTGCCAGAGTGTATGCTCCGTCCTCCGCTTGAGGAAGCTGTAATCTGTAACGAATCAGGCTCGTAATAGAGCGTGACATCCGGGCCAACGAGAGACGAGAAGATGTAAGTCGTTGTCCAATTCATAGAGATGGTCGTCTGTGGGACACCCTCTTGACGCCCTCTTAGAGCAGACTGTCGGTGATTGTTTGCATGGATTGCTCTCGTGTCAGTCACCCCTATCCAGCTCACAGACTTACAATGCCCACATCATTGGTCATAGCTGCGTGCGCGACGTATTTACGTTGTCCCTCGAAGTCCCGCCATCAAAGCACGGGTTTTGCATCAGGAGTGGTTGTCAAGAAGACGCATCTCATGAGGTGTCCCTCGCAGACAATAAGGTGTAAAGCAGGCGGCAAATCGCCCATCTCTTGGCGCAGGCATTAAGCGGGTCCACACAAAGTCCTCATCAACACCTTTTGCATTATTGTGAACGACCACTTCATTCTTCACGACCACAACTTCAAGAAAGCGACAGCAAGATGTCTCGCCGTGCTCGCTCCTCCTCTGTTCGTGACGGTAAGTCTAGCGAGCCAATCGGCGCGTCCCCATTAGTTCGGGCCGGTCCGTGAAGATCGTCATCGGCGCCAGAGATAATCCGGCCTCCGATGTCCCCTCTCTCAACTCTCAGATCAAACTGACCTTTTGGTGAATCCAGACTCACTCCACACCACTTTCTCAACTGCTTCCCCACGTGGACCAGTGTTCCCTGACCTTCCTACACTCTTCGAGCGTCATTCTCGTGCCACCTCTACTCCTCCAAGCCGTCGTTCGTCAGTCAGTCAAGCCCGTCGCGCCTCGGAGAATGAGAACCGACCCACGCGCCGCCGCTCTGATTCTGTCAACCCGGAACTCCTAGGCCAGAGCGGTAGTGTCGCTGAGCACATCGGGCTCTTGCGACAGACTGTCGACGGCTCAGAAGCCAGAATTCTTGAAGAGTTTTTCGAACGAGCCCGCCAACGCGCCACACGCGCTGCCTCACGGAGCAGATCCTCTACACCTCGACCCTTAGACACAGCCGGCCCTTCTACACCGACCATGGCCTCCTCGAACGCGTTCCCCGCTCTCGATACCTCCATGTCTCCCACTGGCAACCGCTCCGCAGGCGCGTCCCCCACCAACACCTCCATGAACGGCGGCAATGGCGTCAACGGTCCTTCCGCAGCTGCGGCTGCCGCATACATGGCCCCACTGCCAGTCGGACACCAGCAAGACCTGAACTACCTCTTCAACCAGATCCAAGAGCTGGGCAGTCTACTCCGCAGCAATCGCGACAAGGTCAACAGCATCACCAAGAACGCTGAGGAAGTTGCCAAACGTGCGAACGGAGCATTCACGAACGGTGAAGAGTCAGGTGCGGCAGCAGAGAATGACAGTAAGTTTCTTGCCACTCAACACCTCTCTCTCTCTCTCTCTCCCTCCCTCTCTCTCTCTCTCTCTCTCTCTCTCTCTCTCTCTCTCTCTCTCTC